CCCCTCTTTGGGCGGCATTGACGGTCGTAATCCCTTCAACCGTGTACATGCAAAACAAACGCGAAGTAGCATCACTAGATCTCTCACCCCGATCACAAGAAACTCTCCAATTCCCACGCTCTCTCACTCTCTCTATCATGGCCGGCAACAAGCAACGTGGAGTACCAACTGGCCGTAGCACGCGACGAAGTGAAAGCGGCGGCATCGCAATCCATTAACGTTCTAGATTCCTCGTCGAAATCCGCAATCTCCTCGAAGAAGTACGCGAGCAGTGAGATCCCCATGGAATCATTCCTGAACGGCGACAGAGCAGCGGCGGTGGAGGCGCTCCCGCCACCGCGGGCATTTTCGGGGAGAGGAGGGGTTGAGACGATGGAGATGGGGATCGGGAATGGGAATGGGAATGGGAATGAGAATGGGAGAGAGGATGGGATAGCTCGCCAGCTGTATTCTTGATAAATTTTTTAATTTTTGTTTTATTATTTCTATTGTCATTTTACTGTTATGCCCTTGTTGTTATAATAACAACAAATATAGTGTTGTTATGTTATAGTATCCGCTCCCAGTATTCTGCAGGTAATTACTCCATTTATATATTCAACACTTGTATACTAGTTCTGTAGAACAGGGGAATCGGCCGAAGACAACATTGTCGTCATTTTTGTTGAGAAATTTAACGTTTGCATCACAGGGCGTTGCCATTTTTCGCAGTTGTGAACTCTATGGATTGGCAGGCATTATTAGTTCTTCTCAGAACCTACCATATCAAGTTGCGGAAACATCCCATAGTACTGCTAAAGAACGAGCAATAAAAGGCCACAATAGTTGCCCTTGACGCAACCTCCTGTGCTGCCTTTAAAGAAGTTAGCTTTTGGATTTACTCACTTGAACTGAATCCGAATCATGAGAACTATTCAGCCAAGTCACTTAAAGGTTAAGAGAATTTTTAGAATGATGTTAATATCTACCATTGTCTACTCAACAAACACCTCCGCACTCAAGAAATCAAGTTACTGTCACCCACAGTTCAAGGGTTTTGCTTGTAAATTGTAATTAACAAGCGAGAGAACAACGTTAATGTTGATAAACCCTTGATTTATTAATTGAATACGTAACTAATGCCGAACTTACATATTTATGTGCTAGAAAACCCTAATAACTATCCTAGTCCTAGCCGAAACCTACCACTTTTCCTGACTTCCTTAGACCATTCGGCCACTTCCTACCCTTCTTCTAACCGAACCCCAAAACCAGTGGCGGATACATGCATGGTTAGGGGTGTCCCGGGACACCCCTAAAATTTGGAAACACCATTATTTAACCTACGATAGTAATTTGCGTATGAGGAAAAAAATGTTTAAGTGGTAGTGGGACACCTTTAAAATTTGGGAAAATGATTATCCAATCTCCCGTAGTAGTTTGCGTATTGGTATAAATAATATTTAAGTAGTAGTTTATGTGATTTAAATTTGGGACACTGCCCAAAACAACTACTTCCCAATAATTAATAACTAGCCTAGTCCTAATCCCAAAACCGAGCCCAAAACAACCTCATCAAACCCATTATACTAGATAGAGAAATGTATTTGAATTCATAATAAAAGAATTAAATTACGAAAAAAGTGACATGTTTGATTAAACTATAGTGTAAAAACTAAAAAACCTTGCAGAATTTTTATGTCATGCAAATTGATGAGATAGTTAACAATTTAGTTAAATAGAAAAGAATACTTGTTTAATTGTCAATGATTAATACTATGAACTTTACATACTCGAGAAAATGTTGAAAAATAAAGAGAAGATAAACATACACAATAGAAAAGTTGAAGAAAATACATAAGAGAAGAATGTAAAATAGTTTTGTTATGGCATAATACTTTTTGATAAAGTGAGACGCGATATTGACTCAAATACATAACTCGTACAACTCTAATATTAATGCACGTGAGTAGAAAAACATAAATCACAAAGAGAATTCATTCTCACGATCAATATAAAAATGAGAGTAACATGCCATTAAAAATATAGCATTCTTATCTATTCATTTTAATATTAAAATAAAAAATGAAAAACCCCAACTACAATAATGTTGCTCCTTTTTTCATCTCTCAAATTCTTCTCCACGAGTTTAGATCTGCAACCATGGTGGAAAAGAAATGAGGAGAAGAATTTGGGTGATGAAAAAAGGAGCAGCATTATTGTACTTGGGTTTTCTTCTTCTTCAAAGAAGGTTTTTGCTACAATTTTAAGAGAACTCCCACTGGTTAAGGTGAAATTGAAGCTGAACCCACAAATTTTTTGTTGCCCTTTTGTCCTTCTCTTTAGTGGTGGTAATGGGTAAATTGATATTCGGATACCGACGATATTCGAGCGTGTAATTTTCCATTCGATAATACTGGATACCGGCCGATAATTATCGATAGCATACCGTAATATCGAATATTAAATAAAAAAAAGTAAAACGCAGCGCATAGAGGAATGGGTTTGGGAATTGCGAATTGGATTTGGTGGCAGCAGATGTTGAGAAACTCAACCCTACTCCCTAATAATTTCGAATTCGATCAACCTCAGCTCCCTCCCTCGTCCATCCCCAACAGCCAACTCCTTCTCCTCTGATTCGCCGCACCCAGCCCCGGTCGCCGCCCCCAGCAGCCAGCCTCGTCCGCCGCCTCCTGCAGCCAGCCCTCTACTTCTTCCTCTTCTCTTCACCACCACTCCACCAGCGTCCAGCAGCCAGCAGCAACAGTTCTCGCCGAAGCTCACTAGTCACCACCTGCAGAGTCGCCAACGGAGAGCTACGCTGCCCCCACCATCTCCGTCGTCCTCTTCTCTTCACCACCAGCAGCAGTCCCCAACGATCGACTTCCTCCTCGCCATCCCCGACCGGCCGACCCCAAGGTACGTACGCCTAACTCCTCTTTCACCCTACCAGCCTAACGTCCTCTCCATGTATTACCCAGTATTCGGTATACCGGTATTAATACCGGATACCGACTCTTCAGTATTCGGTATACCAGTTGACATTCGGTATTGGTATTCGGTGGGTACACTGTTTGTTTCCGGTATACTAAATAACGAGTAATCGGTACCCGGTATACCGGATACCGACCGACTACCCGCCCTACTTCTCTTACTCCTTGTGCCAATTCCAATTTGATGCTTTAGCAGTGCATTTGAGGGTCAGAGATGCGATCACGAGCCTTGAATTATATTAGTTCTCGAAGTGGAGACAGAGTGATCCTAGAAGGATCGAAGGACAAGGGATGACGGGAGTAGATCCGGTGAGTAACCTTGTGGTGAGTAACCTTATGCATAACCCAATAAGAATTTGCCACATCAGCGCCTAGGGATGGCAATGGGTAGGGTCGGGTGCAGGTTTACCCTATACCAACTCCTAACCCGCCGGGTAGAGCCTTCTAAAATACCCGATCAAATAACTACCGGGTATGAAAATTATATAACCATACCCTACCCACCGGGTAACCACGGGTATTCGGGTAACCATGGGTACGAATCCTAAACTATGAACTTATACACATATATGCACATACATATTGTTGTCCATTAAAAATTCTCAATACTTGTAACTGTTCTAGCTTCAACAATCCACACAAATAAAAACAGCAAACACATAATAATTGTTCTTTCTTCTACAATCCACACAAACATAATAATCGTCTACACTTCATCATCAATAATGGTAGCTAAACTCAATTTCTCAAGCTAAACTAAATTTCTCAAGGGAAATTGACCCTTTGGTTAGCGGGGCGGGTATAACGGGGCGGGTATTATCGATTACCATACCCGTACCCTACCCTTTATTTTGAAACCGGGTATTACCCGTACTCGCCCCTTAACCCGTCAAAGCGGGTAATTACCCTCGTTGACCGGTTACGATTGGGTAGGGTACCCATGGTTACGGGTTGGATTGACATCCCTATCAGCGCCTCCTTCGCTCTCCTGGAAAAATCATTAATTTTCTTTCTCTTAATCTTTAACGGACGATTTCTCACTCGTTTTAACTCGGATTTTAATTTTTTTTTTTTTTACAGTTAGATCAGATTAATTGTGATCTTCAAAATGATATCCACTTTGATATTTTTTTGAACAAAAAAAATTTGTCAGTTATTACCAGTATATACTTACTAATTGTGCTCTTCAAAAATTTGTGAGTGACGGTAAATAAAGTGTGTTTTCGAGGAAAAGATAACTATACTTACTAATTTTTAGAGACTGATTGTGGTATAAAAAATCAATGACCACCTTTTCATGATCACGATACAGTTGTCAATTATACATCTACAAGCTGTGTAAATGACCTAAAGAGATATACATGACATGTCACCATGTAGTATGCTCGCATTTGTAATCTGACACATATAGTTGAAATGGGAAAAGAGGGATCGATGTGGCACGTATGTTGCATAGATGAAAATAATACAAATGGAAAGAATAAGGATTGGGATTAATAAAAATAAGGATAGGAACCTCTCACATTGATAGAATTAATCCATTACTTCCTTCATGGTTTTGCATTTACCTTTAGACATAAAAGATGAATGAAAGTTTAAATTTTTGTTTCCCTGTCTTTCATGCATTCCGTCGTTGAAGAAGAATCTGGAAAATGAAATGGAAATTTGGCCAGCCGCCAAGCCAATCATCATAGAGGGAAAAAGGGAAGAAACGTGAGTTAGGGAGAAGTCTAATCGATGGTACACACTGGCTTACTATAAAGTATAAACCTTGTCACATCTCACTGGACCCCTTAAACTAAATTCGCGCTATTTATATACTAGTAGTACAATAATAATAATGAACAATGTGAATGAAGATCTCTCATTCTACACAATTATGACTAGATACAACTTCCCAAGAAGGACGAATGAGTCCCAACACTGTTTATTTTCCTAGATACAAATTGTACAGACCCCAGAAAATAAACATTTTGAAATAAAATGATATTTTTCTCTCTTTCATATCATTCTTTATCATTCGTTGGTTTATCGCCTTTGGAAATTCAGAAATCTGATTCCATAGGCAAACACAAAGAGGAAGAGGAACACAAACCCAATGTGGGCAGCTGCAACAGCTACAAGGAAGTCATAATCAAATCCAAATGATTGTTTCAAGAACTGCTTCACTGACATGCTTCCTTGTCCTGGCACTTCCACGAGACTCTCTATGTTTCCTAGTTGGGAAGCAAGCAACCCATACAATGTCCACGCCACTGGGGATGCCCAGTAGTACCATCTCCACCATATTGGCATTTCCTGGCAACACAACACGCAAACACAAAAAAAAGTCACCTCTAGAATGGCAGGCATGCATGCAGTGAGTGTTTCAATCATGTTTTTGTTTGCTTAAGGTTACCGTTCGTAGAATAATGAAGCCGGAGAAGATATTCCATGTGGTGAGGAAGAACGACATTGTAATGGCAGCTATTTGGTAGCCTGGAGTGAGGGCGACAAGCATCATCCCGTAGAGAGCGAAGTAGATGAAACTCATGCATATGAAGAAATAGTACCACAGGAAGTTCGCTAGATGCCATGGGTATCCAATCATCAGAAACAGTATCACACAATAGACGAAGGTCTGGATTGCCACATAGGTTGCTTCAATGGAGACCTGGGCAATTGCAAAAGCCATTTCCGAGTACATTCCTGCTGCTCTTTCCCGATACAGGATTGTTCTTTCGATGGAAACAATAGGCATTACAGCAGAACATGTGCTTCCTCCAAGGAACATTACGGCAGAATAAGTAGCTCCAAGCAAGTTGAACACGTCTTGTTGCGTTGCCCTATTTAGCCACAGTTAAAACACATACAATGAGAAATTTTATGATTTTCTTCTAGTGAAGATTATATTCATGGTGATTCTAAGTGAAGATTGATTGGTTGATTTATTTTTCCATGCTTACGTCTTTTGTCCCTTCTTCCAGAAGATAAGTCCAAAGAGAACACCAAAAATTATTGTGAGGAAAAATCTTGTAACATTGTATGATGGGTTCTGCCAGTAAGATCGATGCAGTTTCATAAAGCAAGCTCTGCATTGGGTTAAGAAATCCTGTGCGTATTGTGTAGGAAAATATAGGTCATTTGACCCTGGTGATGGAGTACTTAGCTCTTCAATCAGCTCCTGGTTCCTCCTGGAACCAAATGATGGGACCTTTTGAGTGAAAAAGTGGAGAAATTGGATTTAGGAGGAGGGTAAGCAAAGATAATCTAGTTCAACGCTCACTTGTATAGTTCAGAATGAGAGTAAATTTCAGCAAAGTCCACATCCAGGTGAGATTCTACAGCGCTGGAGCTAACGTCAAGCATCCATGTAGCAGGATTTGTACCTTCTTGGATCTTGGGAACCCCCAGGATAGCCTAATTATAGTACAAAATAAGATACAATCATACAAACATGAACTAAGGTCATCACCTAGTTTTTCTTCCATTATGTTTGAATCAATAGTGAAAGACAAAGTAACCCACCTCGAAATATTCTACCAGCTTATGAGAATGGCGTCCAAGAGAGCCTGCATATATAACTTGCCCTCCTCTCTTCAGCAACAGTAGCTGCAAAAGAAGTGAAAAGTGAAGATGTTGAACAAAACATCCACATTTGACAAAAAGATGATGGAATTGGGAAGCTAGTACGAATTTTGTATGTGATGAATCAAAATGCATGACTTGATACCTCATCAAAAGATTCGAAAATGTCAATGCTTGGTTGATGTATGGTACAGACAACAGTTCTTCCTGTATCCACTGTGTTTCTCACGGTCCGCATGACAATTGCAGCAGCTCGAGCATCAAGACCGGATGTTGGCTCGTCCATGAAGATTATGGAGGGATTTGCAACTAGCTCTACAGCTATAGTGAGCCTCTTTCGTTGCTCGGTTGACAAACCATTCACTCCCGGAAGACCTACTATCGAATTCCTCAAGGGGCCCAACTCAACCAACTCCATCACTTCTTCAATGAACATCTACAACATGCAATGAGGTTGGTAAATTTGAAAAATATAGAGTCATGCTTAATTTCTATCACACCAAACAATACTACCATTCTATCTTGCTTGTTGACATTCTTGGAAAGACGCATCCAAGCAGAGTGCAAGAGGGACTCGTACACAGTAATCCGCGGACTATGGATATCATTTTGTTCGCAGTACCCACTGATTCGAGCAAATGTCCTTTGATTCTTGGCATAACCAGAAATGTTGATGCTTCCATCAGTATACCCTCCAGTTTTCCTGCCTGCTAAGACATCCATCAAAGTGGTCTTTCCTGCACCACTAACTCCAACAAGAGCTGTCAAAACTCCTGGTCTAAAAGCACCACTAACATTATGTAGCAATTGCAGTCTCTCCTCTTCTACTCCTTGGGACTTCATTTCCTAGTAAGTGATTCATAAAAAATACTTTAGCCAAAAGCCACTTCGATATTGGACTTGGATAATGATTAAAAAAAGTTAGAGAGAGTTTCCTTACTGCAGGCATATCAACGTAGTAGTTTACATTCTTAAATGCCAATGACAAAGGCTGAAAGGGCAATACCATTCCCTTTTTTCTAGATTCTTCATCGGGACCTGAAAACCAGAGAAGCCACATGAGTAGTATTTTAGAGAGACAGTAGCTAAAGCTACCACAAGGTGTAAAACATGATAAATTTGAGTTTAACTACAAAATGATCCTAACCCGCATACCTTCCATTGGGGTACATGATGTGATTGTAGTAATCTCGATGGAACTTGAGTTGAATTCGGAGGTTTTGGATGATCTCTTATTCTGATTATCATCCAATATTATGGATTTAGAATCTTCCAAAGCTGCAAGCACAAAGTTCCAAACATCTATTGAGCTAGAGCTATTGCATCATTGTTGCATATCCAAGTAACGTTTCCGTTTGAATGAGAAGAGATAGATAGCTTACGATCCAAGTAAGTTAAGGCGATAACGAAGCATATATTATAAATCATAGTAAATCCTATGAGTGCCCCAATTGATATCCAGTACCACTTGTTCTCGACAAACATGCCTCTTACTTTAAGAATGGCCTTTCCAATTGTTGCCTCTAGGATCCTAGGGTCGGGATTTGGCTGCAATAAGGGAAGCCACATGAATAGTGTAGTGTTAAAAGAACATAAGCTACAGAAGATTAACAATGTTATTAGGACCCAATTCAAAGTTATTATCATGGTATTGATCTTACATCACTCCATCTTTCGTGGAGAAATTCATTAATCACGATAGCATTCTGGCCATACATCATTGGAGAAATGTAATAGCCCCAGATCAGCCATGGTTGGATGTCATCTGCAATCATAAAGAGATCATTTATGTCATGTTCATATGAATTTCATCCATAAACAAAAAAAGACTAGAGAAGTTACTCACCTTTAGCAATAATGAATCCTCCAAGAACAAAAACAACTAGCAATGTGAACATACCAATGACGGGTGCTATCACAACCGATCTAGCTACTGCAGCAATGGAGCGAAACAAACCTTGGGCCATCTGATTTATACAAACAAATGCAAGAAACTGCTTGAAATATCTATCAACTGATGGAGCAAACCCAATTGTGTAATATGTCAAGGAAATCCATATGAGTGACTCTCCAAACGAGATAGGAACTCGGAGAACCCAGATTGGCAAAGCAAATGCCCATGCAGGATAAAGCAAGGAATCTCGCTCCTTGTAGAATACAGGAAGTCTTTGTGTGGTCAACATTAGTTCAGAAACTCCATTGAACATAATGTTGAGCAGGCTACAAAACAGAGCACCGTAGAACTTGTTCCCGTCTCCCAAATGACCAACATGCATCGTAGTCCTGAAGAACATAGTCATGCAAATTATTGACATGATGGTGAGCTGCATGGTCTTGAAGATATAAAGGAAAGCATTTCTCTTTATCAACAACATCTCTCTCAAAAAGCACGCCTTTAGGAGATCCTTGTTAGAGATTCCGTATCTCTCTTTCACTAATGCAGCAGGATGGGTACTAGATCTATCGTAAGGCACTGCGAGCTCCTCATCAAGCTTCTTTCCCGTCAAGAACGAGTTGAAGAACATCACAAAATCGGGTACTGAGATGTATCGATAAGTTTCTTCGGGTTTTGACCAATACTGCTTCTGATCATTCTTTGAAGTAACCTCTTGCAAGAAGTCTGCGACTCCTTTCCTTTCAGGACACTTGAAACCAACATATTCGAAGAAGTCGAGAACGTTGTCCCTAGGACCTTGGTAAACAATCTGGTTCTCAGAGATGAGGATAATGTTATCGAAGAGTTCATAGGTCTCGGGTGCAGGCTGGAGAAGGGAGATGACCATGGTAATGTCCATAATATGGACCATCTGCTTCATAAACCTGACAATTTGGTAAGTCGTAGAACTATCCAACCCGGTTGAGATTTCGTCCATCATAAATACTTTAGCCGGTCCAACCAACATCTCCCCCGTGGTGACGCGCTTTTTCTGCCCACCAGATATCCCTCTTCTCATTTCATTACCGACAATGATGTCAGCACATATATCCAATCCAAGAAGCTGACAGCAAAGTAAACAGCTTTGTTAAGGAATAATTATATATTTAAATTACAATCTCATTACAAATTACAGTTGGTGTAGGTAGAAAATTCTGGTGTTCCTAGCAAAAGAAAAAATTATGGCGTACCTTCATAACATAATCTACAACGAGGTGGTTTTCCTGTCCAGTAACGGATGTAGCTTTCATGAATGCATCAACCTCCAGATCTGGCTTGATTCCTGCTTCTTTCTCTCTTCTGGACAACTCAGCCAACAAGTCGTACTTGGTCCCAACTCCCAAGCAACGGCCTGAAAATTCCAACGTCTCCCTCACGGTCAACTCTCCAAGGTGACATTCCTGCTGGCTGATATAAGCACACGTTCTCTGTGGCACGAACTCGTGGAACTCATGTCCACAATATGTCACTCTTCCTGACACCTGCTTATATAGATAAGCGTTAGGATGTCCAATCCAAGAAAGGAGAAAAGGATGGTGGTAGAGCTATATAGATACCCTTAAATTATTGTCTAGTTTCCCGGAAAGTGCCTTCAGGAGGGTAGTTTTGCCTGATCCTGGAGGCCCCAAAAGCAAAGTCATTCTGAAACCAAAGAAACCCAAAGTAAGTATTCATCCCAAGTTCGAGAAAATGATAAATTTTAAAAATGTGTATCCTATTTTCCCGCATTCAAAATCGTTATTTCAAGATGAAGAGAAAATGGAAACACTACCTCGATGGCTTTACAATTCCGCTTATATTATGAAGAATCTTGACGACCCTTTTCTTAGTTGGGAAAACCCGACAGAACCCAAGAATCCCCTGTCAATTATTTGACAATTATTAGTCTTAGAACATCTCCATTCCTAAATTTTGGCAATTGTCAAATGGAGTGGAGGCTGAGGTGGCAATCTTTTAGCAATTGCTAGGGATGCATAGGTGATTGCTAAGTTAGCAATCTTGCTAGCAATATCACCTAAACACAAGGGATCCACTTTCATATTCTTTTTCTTTTCTTCTTTTCTTACCACAAATTGTATTCTTGTATATTTTTATTTTTAATTTCTTGATTAGAAAATTATTTTATATGATTAACTAATTAGAGAAGTAATTATGACACATATTTTTTGCTTTAAATTATTATATTATATTTTTATAATCCAAATACAAAACAAAAGAGATGTATAGCTATAATTGAACATTCATGAAACTAGAAAGAAATAACTCTAAATACAAATAGTTGGATATTATTTATTTCTTATAATTCAAGTTAATAAACATAACTACTCATAAATATAAGATTGTCAAATATAAGAAAAACATAAGTTCGATATGGATAATGTTATAGGTCCCGTCAATAGAAATTGCTAAGGACTTGTTGGGATGGAGATAGCACGAAATTGTGAAGGAAAAAATTGCTAAATTGTTGATGTGGTTGTAGAGACCAATTTAAAAATTGCTCAACAATTTATGGGATGAAGATGGTGTTACAATCTGAATTCAGAAACTACGGTGGACAGAGCAATGGCCAAATTGAAGGCACATACCTGAAAAGTGTTCACCACGAAATTGAGCAGAGTGGGGAGAGAGCTAACTCCGACGTACCCATCGCCTTCAACGGAAAGACCCTCGAACCGAATCTCGACCGTCGGAATCTTAATCCCGACGACATCGGTCCTGTGCCGGATCCGACGCAGCAGCTTCTCGTTGTCCTCTTCCGCGACTTTGAGAAGGCTTTCAATCAGCAGCTTCCTCTCTGTTCCGCCGAGCTTCCCCACGTCAATTTCCTGCAACTCAACTTCCCCTGCACCGCCGCCGGCGACATGCTTCAGAACCCCCTTCCGCAGCCTGTCGTAGGTGGGGAGGCGCTCAATTGCCGCCCATTTCAGCTCGTCCTCGTCGTCCTCCGTCGTGCTCCTCTGGAACTCGAAATGCCCTGCCGCTTGGCTCCCTGCCCCGCCGTCAAACGCCGCGTCCCGCAAACTCCTGGACCCAAAACTCCCGCTCCGGCTCAACGACGTCGTCGACCCCATTGATCTTCTGGGAGCTGCTACTGCTTCCGCCATTGGCCAAGTGCAGCAGGGCGCTACTACTACTCTATGAATTAATTACTTCTGCTCTGTTTTTCCACACTTATATATAGTGATAATAATTCTGCGGGAACAGGGGGGCATCAGGCCTGGAGCGGCAGAGTCCAACGAGTGATGAGACGACATTATCGTCAACATTGTCGAGAAATATAATACAATTTGAATTTGCCATTTTGGCAAGTCCTGTTCTGAAAAGTCGATGGCCGGCATTAGGCCGCCGGACTACCTGACAATCACAAAGCTCTGTTTCTTTGCTTTGCTTTCTTAAGCTCTGTTTCTTTCTACCTGAGAATATACCAGCAAGCCGCGAAACAGCCGATATCGCTAAAGAACGAACAATGAAACGCCAAAATTGTTGTCTGGGACGCAACATCCCATGCTGAATTGTAGCTGGCATTTTTGAAGTTAGCTTTCGGATTTTCCTCATTTCTACTGAATCCGTATCATGAGAACTTTTCAGCCAAGTAACATAAACACTAAAACTCTCCCCCAAAGAAAGGTACAATTGTCAACAAGCTCGCCTCATTGTTTATTTATTTATTTTTTTGTTCTTTTCTTCCTTTCCTTTTTGACCGAGTTATACTTATATCAAGATTCAAGAGAACCAATACCAGAAGAAGAAAGGGTTGAAGTTACTTTCATAACAATGTCATCAGTCTTTTGTATGTACAAAATGTCAACGTCAAGGTGATGGGTTTGAATCACAAATTTGTAAACGATAGAGCCAAACAACAAAATGAATTAGGATAACAAAAATATTTATATACATGCATATTTGGTCGAGTTCCATCTAATTAGCGAGGGTAAAAATTGAACCAACTTTCTACCCAAAAAAACAAGAATTTTAATGGTTATAACTACAGAGCTAATATGAATATTGAAGGTAATATATGGTCGTATTTTCTTACTGTCCAACTCGAACCTATCTGTATATGTATATTTACATCTAAAAATTATCATCATCTTGCCCAACATATTAAATATTATTTTTATAAAATTGTGTTCTTACCTAAAAATTTATAGTCCTTTTAATTTATAATCATATCTTTTTTCTCTTATGTTTTGTCAATTAATAATTGTAGACTATTTTGTTAAAGTTAAAAACATAAATCACTATCCATTGATGCTTATAGGCACCAAATAAACGTGTAATAGTTCACAAGCTAGTTGAAGTTAAAAATATATATCACTATCCATCAATACTTAAGAATGCGGAAGAATCAATCAAGTATGAGTGAAAACGAAACTGTTTAATAGTATGGTCAAGATGATTCACTATTTGTGTCATACTGAAGAATCGCAACAATGCCTCAATCCTAGCGAAGTAGTTCCTCCCGCATCCAGTGAACAACGACGATTACTTAGCTATCAAGATTATTCACTATCCGTGCCATCCCAACTATGAATGCATATTAAAATTAACAAGATGTTTCATTTCAACCTTATTATCGCTTTGTTTTAGACTCAAGACTAAGCGCTCACAATCTTTGAAGGTAGGAATCGACGGGGAAAAAACGAAATCACTGCATCACCTAACCACTCTTTTTCTTCTTTCCACCCTTTTCTTTTTGTTTTTGTCTTTAGGTTCTCGTTTATAGGTCGACGCCACTAGTTTCATTGTGAGGTTTATTACAGAGTCGAGTAGTACAGTATATACATAAGGTAAAAATCTGTACAAAAATTACAACAATTTGCTCATCCGCAAAGGCCGTGGGGAGGGCTTTCTTCAAAAAACGGCCGTCTGGGGGCTCTTTTACTTATCATCGTCACCACCATTACTGCTGCCCACATCAAACATCTCAGTGGTGGCAACTTCCGCTGAACCGAAGGCAGAAAGGGCCTCCGCGATCCTAAGTGCCATGGTGGCTTTGTAACACAGCAGACTAGCATTCTCCATCAGCAACTGGGCCTTGCGTCGCTTCTCAATCGCCAGCTCCAGGGACCTCTTCGCCGAGTAGTTGGCTTCCTCCAGCTTAAGCATGGCGTTCCTTTCCTCCAGAGCATCATGCTCGACCGCCATGGCTGCTATAAGACAAACACTCGCCAAATTTGAGCACTTGCACAGGTATATAGACTACAGTCGAGAGAGAGGGAGAGAGAGAGAGCAATGGAAAAAGAAGACTGCAGCAGAAGGAGATCACAAACAACATTCAAGCAGGGGTTATCAACTATTTACACAGAAAAGAAGAAAAAGAATCAGGATATCAACTATAAAGCTTTCCAGTAGTAATCCTAACATAGAACGAAGGAAAATCAAACCGAGGAAAGCGCAGATGTTACAGACTAACTGGGTTATTTAGCAACTCGGAACTATTTGCAGACTACTCTCATGTCTATGGGAACTCTACTGGGACCTTCTTCGAACTTAACTAACAGCAAGTCAGCAACACCTACCTTGCAATAGACCCAGTTGCTTGCCTTTCCCACATTGGCCACCCTGTCTTTTGAATGACCGTCTCTTACGTAGTACAAGCTTCGCAGTTACTGGAGGTTTCTTGACTTGATGTTTCTGAAGGAAAGAAAAAAGGCATTCATTATCATCAGAAAAGGGAGAAATACAGAACCAGGGAATTTAGCTAAACTCTTCCGAGACAAAGTGGACGAGCGTGTGTGTGTCTGTACAAACTTTGTATCAAACATTAAATGTTTACCTGGAAAACACGCAGTAATGCTGATCGCCTCTGCTTCCTCTTTTTCAACCAATAGCTATACACAGTTTCAGCTACCTCTTGGCCAGCCAAGTCAGCAGCAAGACTCAAAGCGGCTTTCTCATCTATCACCTCTTCAGAGCTGCAGTGTGAGGCCTTCTCAAACACATCAATCATCAACTCAAATGTGTCCTCCGAAAGCAGCTCAGAGCACCTAACTGCATTAACCGATTCAGGGCTACATGCCTTTAGCCATCCCTCATCTTCAGAGTCCATATCATAGTTAGCACTATGCTTCGCTAGCGCTCTGGCCACTTCATCAGTGGTTACAGAGATATAAGCATCTGGCCTTGAAAATACACCAGAACGATTGGATTCATAGCCTTGCACTTCTCGCACTCCAGGAACAGGAATAGCCTTAACCACTGTCGGGGCAGGTGACACATTGAGATTTAGACATTCCTTATAAAGCTCCTTGAAGTTGGACCAATCCTGCCGACTAGGAAACTCTAGCTTCCAATTCACATTCCCAGACCACAAGACATTGTGAGTTGCTCGGTTAACAGCGCTGGGCCTCATGTATTGTTGAGGCAAAAAGGACAACTTAGTTTCATCATCTTTCTTCACTAAGAGTACAGACTCTTTTGAATCAGAAGATTCCATATCAATATTAACCCCTTTAACCCGGTAACATCTGTCAGATTCAATAACAAGCAGATCCGCGGAGCAGCCAGCTTTACCTGTTGTGCAATTGTTCCCCCCAGCTACCGCTAACCCTACCTTTTTCGGACCTCCTGTCATGCAGCTAGCTGGTAAAGCATTCCTAAGTTTGTACATTGATACAACAGATGAGAGGGGACGACGAGTCTTCTTCCGGCTACCAACAGAACTAGTTACCATCAAGCCATTAGATGGCTGAACTCCAAGCAGAGACGGATTTCTTGCTCTCCTCCTCCGCGAGCTCCGACTTTTTCGAACACCACGGCTGTAATGGCCATTTCTTGGCTGAGTGCTTTTGACAGTCAACCTCGAAGGTCTAAACAAAGGAATCAAAAAGGGCCTGTTCTCGGCAACATCAGATTCAGATGCTAGTTGCACTTGGGGCATCTTCACACTAACGAATAACTGATCTTCTTCATCTTCACTCATCATCTCATCACATTCCTCCGAAGATGTATTTGAAGGCACACGAGACAACCTTAGTACCCAATTCAGATGGATTTGCATAAACCATGAAGGGATCACAGAGAAGTCCAAATCAAAAGTTGGCACCGAATTACTAGAATCAAAAAATTTGCAAATTCCATTACTTGCACAAGGTGCATCCTGGAAAAAGCGCAAGCAACAAAGAGATCATTAACCTCATAACAGCATCTAAAAGAAACCAATGACATTGAAACCTAAAACTCATGAGAAAAGCCAAGCAATATAGCCATAAAAATCCATCACTTTGGAAACAGCTGAATTCACAATTCATCACTTGCGAAATATACACCTAAGAAAAGAATAGAGGACAGAAGATACCAAGATAGAAGAACAACACTTACCTTCAAGAACCGGATCCCATTTGAAGCAAAAGTACCGTTAAGGGGCTGAGAGAACAAGAATCCAGCAAGTTCACACAATCCAACACCATTGTTGATGTGCCTAAAGATTGAAGTCAAGAGAGAAGCTGCACGACTACCAGAATTCTGAACGACAGCAACAAAAACACATGTCTGAACATCAACCACGCAACCTGCTCCCTTCTTCCTTGCCAGCCTCCTTGAGAATTGAATCCCAAACATCTTGTTATCAAAGCTTTCTAGCTTCACGATACTCCCACTCTTCCTTTTCCTTGTGTAAACAATCCCGAACATCTTGTCAACTACAGCAACTTGATCCCCTGTCACGACAACCTTGTCCGACTCTTGTGCCCCTTTCTTCACTTTCTTGACATTCTTAACTGCCAGACGAGGTCTCTTCACCCTTCTGGGCGCTTCACTATGAACAACACTTTCAGAAGCTTTCCTTTTTAGCCTATCATCATTGGTGGCCCCATTTTCCTTGCATTTGTGTGGGTACTTCTTGATACTATGGTGGAGCGACTTGTCTTCATCTTCTTTAACCCTCCTGACCTGTCGCTCCCCGGATCCAGGGAACAGTCGCCGACCAGACCGTAAAACCCGGACCGAGTTGGCACCTTTCACCATTCCAATCACCCTCGTGCCCCGGCGAATCTCCCCAGACGGCATAATTGCTGTTCTGTTGCGCTGGTTCAACCCAATTCCTGGAGCGCCGATCTTGTCAGCCTTCAACTCACTGAGCCTCCAGCTTACTCTCCGATCAGACTTGCCCAGTTTCCTGGCTTTCCCTCGGAGTTTCCGACTGCGACCTTCGGCTGAACCCAAAACAGAAGCACTCCTAGTAAAAGGACTCATTATCCCAATTCTGTCGGAAAATGTCCATTCCCTCCAGAAATCGCGACCGACTCAGTCACTCCGACACGATGGACAAAAAAAAACAAAAAGAACAGTAGAGCAGATCGCAAACTTCGAGCCACCGATTCTCTAACCTAAATCTAGAGTCCTAAAACACGACCAATTAACCGCCAACGGTACAGCCCAAACATAAATCAAAAAGAAAAAACCGTCGACTCATAATACAAACAAATTCTACAGGCGAGTATAAGCACAACAGTCAAACCCAAAACTCCGTTTCCAATTTCTCTTTACAAAGAGAGAAAAAGGAAGATCCTTTTCTTTTTTATGGCTACTCACGAGATCGACAGATCGAGAACCAAGCTTCACGAAGCCGTAAAAGAAATAGTCATCGCCGTCGTCATCAGCAGCTTCGGCTGCGATATTGATGGAACTCAGAGTAGCGAGAAGAGGCAGTTGCTGGGTTGGGGAAGTTGGGACGGTGGCGCTAGGGTTTAAGATCGAAGGAGAAACCACTGAAGGGAGAAGAGAAGAAATTAGGGTTAACAATTGGGCCGAGCGATGGTAACCGTTGGATTGAGAATTGGAGGGCTAGGATTAATCGGGGATCCGAATAGAGAGCGGGTGGGTAGATTGGTAGGGCCAAAGTCCGGGGGAAAATAGAGGGAACCCGAAACGAGATTGGGAGGTTGCCAACAGAAGCAAAAGCAGGCGGATATTTTGGGGATTCTCAAACGAAGGTGGAATGACCAAAAAGGGCTTGGTGATGTGACGGGAGATGGTGGAAAGTAGAGAGGGGTATTTTTGGGTACTCGCCAAAGTAAGACGACAGCGAGCGGCGACCTAAAAGGAAGAACCCGACCGACGACGGAGAACGTGTCGAAGAAGATTTGAGATTAACCCCGGCAATCTGGGAACAGTAAAGGAAGGCAAAAGATAATTTTTTTTATGTTCGATACAGTTTAAATTTATTTTAACTGTTCCTATCCGTGAAAAATGAAAACCAAAACGTACCATAAAAGCAGAACGAGCCTTAAAAAAAATTATTAAAAAAAAAAAGTCCTAACAAAATTTCATTGGCCAATCTTCAAAGCGGGCCAAAAGGAGAGGTGGACTATCAGCCCAAATTACTTGATGGTCCAAAAAAACAAACACAATGGCTTAGTAAGTGGGCCACTCCATTGCTTCGTATAGAACTAAAACTCTTTTGGGCCTCATGGACACTATTGTGTTAGGTGTTGGGCTGTTGGCCTGGTTGGTCCTTTCCTCGCTACTTGGACAACCCTCGCCGTAGCTAGGTGTGTATTCAAATTTCAAGTCAAATTTGGGGCACACCATGATTCAAGGAGAAGTGTTAGGTGTCAAGTGTTAGGTGTCGTTTGGATTGTGTATTTAGGTGTGTTATTTGGGGTCAAATAACACAAAATCTGTTATTTGACCCCAAATAACATGTTTGGTTGACAAAAAGTGGGATGTGTTATTTGGATGTAGTGTTTTGCCAAATAACAGGTTTGAGACCAAATAACACAAAAAGTATTGTTTGCCAAATACTTGGGAGGGGCAGGTATTTTCCAAATAATAAGTTTGAAACCAAATATCACATACCAAATAACAGGTTTTATATTATGTGGTATTTGTGTGGTAATTGGCCCCAAACAACAAGTTTATCAAATACTCAATCCAAACGAACTCTTATACTCTTTCTTTGGTGTTTCATCATAACTCATAAGCAAGGAGGGAGAGGGCAGATCGAGTATCTCAATATCCATATTTATTTAGCAAATTCGTATTTATTTTCAAACGATTTATTTGTCACACGTCTTATATATAATTTTTTAAAATGAAAAATTTGAACCCAAATTTCTCATTATTAAAATCTCTCGTCCCAACCTAACCATCCGGCAGTCGTGGCAATATATGGGTTAATCCAGCAACTACGTATAATTACCTACTGTATATGTACATTAAGAAATGAAGGTGTTCATTAGTCCAAACAACTCCATCATTTTATGTATAATTAGGGAAACCCAGCAAGCAACCTTGTTTGTTTCCTCTCCAGTACTTGATCATATATTGGCTATACAAGCAAAATCTGTAAATTCGTCGACATCAGGATACGTAGGTGAAAGATAAGTTGTAAATTGAATATTCCAGTTTGAATTGGGGTGTTGGGGAAGGGAAAACCTAACCGCAAAAATTACTTGCTAGCTAGGGGAAATTCTTTGTTTGACTTAGTCAATTATTTGGATGTATAATCGATTGAGTACATCGGAAATCCACTGTCGTCATGGTAGCTGATCAAACGTTACGCCGGCCGGCCAGGACAAGCAATAAGATTGGCTAAAAATAACAAGTAGGAAGGAATCAAACTTAAGACGGCATTCCCATATATGTATATATATGCAACTAGCTAGCTGTTCGGAATACATTATTATGTTGCTGTCAATCAAATAGCAAAGAGGTGTTTTGCGTTAGCTTCTTTTGTTGGTTTGGATGAGATGTTTTGCTTATGTTGTAATTTTTTTTTTTTTTATGACCAAGATTCTTATTCGTGGTTGTTACATTGGTGACGTTACATTGCAGACTAAATTCTAGGTTCTCGATCATTGATCAGATCATTGATAACGGGTTGGATGTGTGGTATGACTTCTGGACCTCTTTTGCAACCTATGTTATATTTTTCGGATCAAATTACGTGTTTGTTTCTAGATGTAGTATATTTTATGAATTATCATGTAGGGGGGAAATGTCTTATTTGGGTAAAGTAATTATATGAGTTATTTGATTGTGATATTTCATAAGGGGGAAATGTCTTATTTGGGTAAAGTAATTATATGAGTTATTTGATTGTGATATTTCATAAAGAAAATGAACGGGAAAGTATTAACAAGATCGGTTATTTCGAACAACTAATTTCATTTAACTTATTTTAAGTTATATATTTCAAATAACTCACCACCAAATTATCACATTTGATGTTTTCGTTGCCAAAATAACTCAATGAAATAAAATATACGCTTTAGGCTATGTTGTTTCCTTGGTCTATGTATGTCATCTAGAGATAATTAATATATGGAATGAATAGCACTCTTAATCGGGGAATTCTTCCCCATTTGGTATTTTCTTACTCTTACTTGAACATTTTTGTCTCACTCGCTCTAAACCATATTATGCCATCATCATTACCGTTTCTATCAATTTGGTCAACCCTAAACTATAGAGAAGTAGGGATGACAATTCAAATCCATCTCGCCGGGTATATATTATCCGATCTTATCCGTTGTAGCGTGGGATGGAGCATGGATATCTACTTCTGACTCGTCATGCTCCGTCATGTCTCTTTCTTGGTTGTCATTCTATCGCAATTTCTTATAGTATCTGTTCATATTTCCCCTATTTTGGTTTTTTTTTTCCAACTAATCAGACTTAATCTTTCAATTAGTTATACTCAATTAACATATCTATTATCACTATTTTTATTATTTTTCCTCCGTTTTATAAAAAACGTACAATATTGCGTGTATTTTTTTTTTTAATAACGTGTAAGAGTGGATCGACCCATCACGTCATCCATGGTAGCATGGGGTAGGGCATGGGTATTGACGTACCCGCCCTGCCGATTGTATGAGAAGAAACAAAAGTAGCCAGCCCCTATCTGCTCTATAAATAGGCAGACTCTCAGCCTCGTTAAACACACATTGAATCCAAAAGTCCAAAACACTATTCTCTCCATCTACTAACTATCCCAACATGGCAAAGTTGTCATTACCATTCGTCCTCCTCCTCCTCCTCGCCATTGCTCTCCCACCACTGTCAGGAGCCAGCAGCAGAAGCACCGCCGCCGCCGACGTGGAATGTTTCCAACGTCCGGCCGGTGGAGATGCCGTCGTACATGGCAGCTCGGTGGAGCCGGAAGAAAAATCTTCCGATGAGGACGACGACGCAGGATACATATTATTGCCCAGTGATAATAATGATGACGATGACGAGGAGGAGGCAACGTCTGCAGAGTCGTCGGATGGCGGGTCTGATGAGGAGGAGGACGCCGCCGGCGATCAACTAGGGCTCGTGGTGGGTAACGTGGTGACGCAAGATTTCTTCAACAGCATAATAAGCCAGGCAGCTCCGAGCTGCGCCGGGAAGCGATTCTACAGGCGGAATGATTTCCTCACCGCCGCCAGGTCGTTCCCTCAGTTCGGCCAGCTCAAACCCGACGGCGCCGCCAAGGCCGAGATCGCTGCCTTCTTCGCCCACGTCACCCACGAAACTGGACGTAAGTTCGATTCGTTAATTAATCGAGAACCAACTGGTCCCAATAATTCGAGTTGTTAAAAACATGTCATGTATGTTACTTTAACTATTCCCTTACGTACAGTCCCTTCATTACCACGTGCTTCAAGACGACGGCGAATATTGTAGGGGCATGAGGATTCGAACACGTGAACTCATAAACAAACTAGCTCTGATACCATACCAAATAAAGCATGTTGGTCCCTATACTTGAGTTATTGGAACTATATATAGCTGGTTCTTGACATGGTATATATCTAATTTGATTTGTCCTTGAGATCACATGCTCAAATCTCCACGCGACCCACAACACTTAACGTTGTCTTAGAACACATGCATGGTACAGAGCGGATTTGTACAAATTTCAAACTTATGAGTTGACTTGTGTAAGACAGTCATAATTAACATCTATACACTTACAACTCTTCAATAACTCGAATTATTGGAATCGATTAGTCTATTTACGTACAGTTTTATTTTTAATATTTCACTGCAGATTTGTGCTATGTCGAGGAGATCAACAAGCAGAGGTACTGCGACCCGACGAAAGAGAAGCAGTGGCCGTGCGCCCCGAAGAAGCAATACTACGGGCGGGGCCCACTGCAGCTGACGTGGAACTACAACTACGGGTTGTTCGGGAAGGAGAACAGGCTGGACACGTTGAAGAACCCGGACCTGGTGTCGAGGAACGGCGTCGTGGCGTGGAGGGCGTCGCTGTGGTTCTGGATGAAGAACGTCCGGCCGGTGGTGAAGAAAGGGTTCGGAGAGACGATTCGGGCCATCAACGGCGCACTGGAGTGCGGCGGCAAGAACAAACCGGCCGTCGAGGCTCGCGTCAAGTACTACACCGAATACTGCAAGCGCTTCCGCATCCCGCTGGGGCCTAACCTCCGCTGCTAAAAACCACATATGCACATATAGGCATTTGCTGATATTCATGCATGCATCCATCTACCGACTGCATTATATTTGTCTGTCTACTTTGTGTACGTTCTCTGTTTGTCGTTGTAATGTGTTTCTGTTGAATTTCCTTGTTTGATTATGGTGGGAAGGAAAGAGACTCTCATATTGTATGTGGAGATGGATCGAATACAACAATTTCCTGCTGCATGTATATGTACTGCGTTTGAATAAAAGATGATCTTGCTTCTGTTTATTCCTTTCCCTATGTTTGATTTTTAAAAGTACTTTTCGCCTTCAAAAGCGGAAGCAGAATCAGGGCCAAACGCCGCCTATAAAAACTCGGCATCATTTTTGAGCAAATTCCACAGTTGCAACTTGGTCAAAACAATGATAACAAAGCAATTATAATAATCTTCTGGTTCCAGATCATATACCAGACATTTGCAAAATTCCATATCCGAAGTTTGCAGCAAGAAAGAAATAATGGAGGTCTCTTCTTGTTACACCAACAACGGCAGGGTTCTCGTACCCCCACAAAAAAACAGTTGCTTTTCACCAAGAATGCTCCCCACACAAGTACATGAGGTTGTCTCTGTTTTTCCACACTGCTAACCATTGCTGCTCCAGCCACCTGAGGAAGCTTCTGATGGAAACCCTTCAGCGTAATTAGGGTATCCGGCTCTACCGTTCTTGTTTCTTTCGTTCCATGGCACTAGTGCCTTCCAGCAGACTAGCTGTTTTTTGCCATTGCTGCCTTGGAGGAGGTATCTTTATGGGCGAAAGAATGGGAGAGTAAATGTGATTGAAACGAACCCCTCCGCATTATGGCGATGTAGATGATGGTAGTTACAAGTCTCGCAAGGCTTCAGGCACTGGTTGTCTACATTGCAAAAGAATTTCAGGAAGGTGCGCAGAACGTAGCGTGTCTTCTTGAGTCAAGCATCTGCAGAGAACAAGTGATCTGAGAATCATCAACAATCCGAGTCTGAGTGTGCACCGGATAGTATAAGGACTAGGTTATAGGAGTTTTGGGAACACTGGAAGAAGGTGGAATGCAGAACACGGTGGCCAATTGATATCAATTTATGCGAAAAAGGATGTCGACAATTTCTCTAGACTTCAGAATGTTAGTGTTCGAGTGCCTACTTGGTTATTACTAGTAATATAATAGTTTTTAGTCCAAAAGCAGAGGACACTTCCTACAATGTTAGATAAAGCCAGTCTTATCACAGGAAAAAAGCTCCAGTTTGGTCCCATCTCGCATTGTTATGTGAATTAGATTTTTAACGGCGATGTCCTTGAAGTCCTATGATTCTAACAATCTGGAGACACCATGCAAATAGCCCAGTTATTTATGTGACCCAGTTAGAATTAGATATTTCAGGATGTAAAAGGCAAAACATAAAGACATCTGTACATCCTGGATTCAAATGAGGGTTATCAAATATGCAACAGTGCACATACCTTCAGAATTTTTTCTGGTGCAGAAGGGCAAACATTTATCTTCTGCCCGATGTGTGCACTCTGATGGCGGACAGATTGATCAAGAGACAGTCTAGAAACTGGTCCAGGGAGAAGCTTTTGAATGGCTGGGGAGGAATTATGATTGCCGAACACCACAACACGAGAACTTCCAGAAATTGATTGCCTGATAGAATTTAGAGCATCGAGGCTTCCATCTTTGGAAAGTGGTTCTAGTTCATCAACAACCTATCAGCAAGAAAAAGAAAATCAGGAATCTTGGTGGCGGTAGGTCTTTTTAGGGACATGGCAAGGTTGAAATAACAGCCTAGCATTATGATTGTACCACAAAAATACATGTGGAAGAGAATGAACACGATAGCACAACAAACATCAAGTCAAGGAGACTGCATTATTGTGACAATTATACAATGCATTCGCCACATAGTCCATGTAGCTCAACTAAAGAGAAAATGTAGGGTATATTTCAGACAGAACTAAACATTCCCACTAAATTCGTTTTCTGCACTTATTTTTAAGAACAAGATACCCAATGTTAGGTGACACGTAACTAAATGAAACATTACCAGAAAGGAGACGTCAGATATGTTGATAGCCTTCAAGGAAACAAGCTCCAGGAGTCTCTCAGGCGTAGATACAAGAAACTCAGGTTCACAACTCTTCAAACTGTGCAAATGTAAACAGATTTAGTCAGAGCAATTAGACAGGGCATCTTGAACTTTATTTCATCTTCAACTCAGAAGATAAGATAAAATATGTGTCAATGCACCCTATGCAACTTCTAAATACATAAAAGACAACGAATAACATAAAGAATGAGGTACAGTTATTTAGTCTTACCCATTCATCTGGTGTTCAAGGGATGCACCAGGATGTAAGCTGACTGTATGAATGCCAAGTGGTTTCAGAGGCTTGCAGACAGATCGTACCTGGCATGGTTGAACAGGAAACATGGACACCGAAGTAAGAATACATTAAGATATTTTGTACCAACAAATAATACATTCATCTAGAATAGCAAGTAAACACACGAATGCGACATGAATACATAATCACGTTTTAGATTCGAAACTGGTTATGCAGTATCCAAGTTACATATGTTTTAAGAGCAGCATATGCACAGTGAAGTACTACCTTATGCCAGCACTTTCAGAGACAAGCAAAATAAATAACAATATCATTCCATACTCTTTCCCCCATTTGATGAATTTAAACTATCAAAAGGATTGACATCTTACGGGGGAAAATGGGACAGCTTACCTGTATGGCCTTTTCCTGGGATGACACAAGGAAAAGAAGAAATGGGCCTGTGAATGACAGTCCTTCCTTTTCCTTTCTAGTGATGGAATCGGCAGCAATCGAAACCATCCAGGCCATTTGCTCAATAGTACAAGAAGAGCCACTTGTCTCCATTATGTCTTTCCCACCAGCATAACATTTCAGAAACTCAACTCCCCATGGATCAACAAACAAAGGCTTGTCCTCCTCCTTGCCATATAGACCCTCTAGGCGCAATGCACTTTCTATGGCATTTAAGCACAATAGAAGGAACTTGGATGGGCAACCTGAGTTCCCACCGGCCTGCCTTTGATGATTGCTTTTGCTAGCATGTTTCTCCAGATGAATGGTTGTGCTTTCATCATTATTCAAAGCTCTCTTTTCCGGAAACCCCAATTTCCCCTCACTCTTCCCCCTAGATTCTCCATTTGATAGAGCACTCTTCTGTTTTACAGCTTTCTTCTCTTTCACTTGGGTCTTTTTAGAATCCTTCTTTGAGAAATCAGTTTTGCCACTCCTGTCATTGAAGGGGTCATCTGGAGTTGGAAGACTAAAACACATTCCCTGCATATCAAGTACAAACAAACCGTTCATATAGCAGCAGCATGAATGTCAAATGTATTCTCAATTTACAGGGTACAGAGTGAAGATGGAAAACCAACATAGACACAAAAGCGAGGTAAATGGGACAATTATCAAATACATGCATCTCTTCAAAGTAATGAAAAATTGGTCCAAGATTCAAGCAAAGTTTATTCTACAAAATCTCTGCGCACAGGGTAAACTCTCACCACTCGCTCGTGGATTCAAACAAAACCCAACAAGAAAGACTCCAACTTTCAGCAAAATCGATCAATGATTCTAGGTTTTTTTACATATTCATCCATGATTCTAGATTCCAGGTAAAGCGAATTATGTAACCTGGGTACCTGACACTGGCGTCGCTTCCCGGAGAGCCGACGTTTTTTGGCGGCAATAATGGAAGCAACACGAACTGATACAGCTGAAGAAGAAGTGTCACTGTTCATCTTCTTCCTTCTAGATTTGTTCTTCTTCCTCGCCACAGCATCGTCTCCTTTCGCCATCCTTTTGTTCCCGTTTCCTTGATTTACTCTACAGGCGGCGGCGCGGCGGGGCAGAGGGCAAAAATGGGGTGAACGGGAGCTAGGAAGTCCAGTTCAGGGTTTCGCAAGCGGTTTAGTTTAGTGGGCGAGGTAAAGGGTTTAGGAATTTTGTGCTAGTTTTTTTTTTCTAAAAATATCATTCCTTGGCTAATGCCACTATATGTCTCGAAGTTTAGCTAAATATTCATCTGTACCCCAAACTTTTAATAATTGCAAACCAGTCCAAATTATGGTGGACAAAGTGCAAGTTAATTTTATTCCCTAATATTTTAAAGCCCTTTTTTTATTGAACCCTGTTACAGGAGTGCCATTGGAGAGGTAGGAGGGGAAACGAGGGTCGTACTTGGTATTTGAACTTGAGGGCTACAAACTGAAAAATTATATGTACGACCATTCGGTTAGTAGTCATTTGGGCATTTAACATGAGGAATATCTATAACTATTAAGCTCAAATGTGGATGCATTGAGGCATGTTCACTATTCAAACCACATAAATAAGTATCTCTCAAATTCGTTAGCACTAGTTATTCGTATTTATAGGTTATACATATGATTTGTGCGTAAATCGAACTTGATAAGGGTTGAGAGACAAATAAGCCTCTTTTTCTCTTAAAAAGTCATTAGAAGAAGTAATTAATAGTATTTAGTCCGGCAAGTATAATATTTAACAAGGTAGTTGGAAGAAGAATAATAACATTTTGTAAAAAACTTATTTCGTTATGTTTGGTCACCCTATTTGATACTCGTTAAGTAAAAAATAACCTTCAAAAATAAATCTTCAACTCGTGATTAAAATGTTGCCCAAATTTTGATGCCATCTTAACAGTGATTGCCAATTAATATAATGGTTAAACCATAGTGAAAATAAACACAAAATGGAAGGAATTCGATTATGATTAAATTTTGGGCTAATACCACTACAACACCCGAACTATCACAAAAATGCCACTTGTGTCATATTGTATCAAATATTCCATCTGTGTCCTAAACTATGATACTTTGTGTCATTTGTATCCTGTCAATTTCGTTGACCGTTAAAGATAACGGTTGACCAAACGGTGGTCAACGCGTAGTTGACTTTTGTTGACGTGGCAAAAAATGTGCCTGCCACATAGATGCCACGTCATTGACCTCATATTTTTTAATTCAAATAAAATAAAAATTGAGTTATAAATAAAATAAAAAATTCTTAGAAAATTAAAATAAAAATAATTATTTGCTCCCCACCCCCACCCCACCCCACCCCCACCCAATCTCCACTTCTTCCTCTTCCTCTTCCTCTTCCTCTTCCCCCTCTTCCTCTCCATTCCCAGTAACTTTGTCGCCAACCACCTCCTTCATCTCTCCCATTTTTAGTTCAGTTCCACCAGTTACGTACAGGGTGCCCACAATTGTTGCGGCCTTTGACTGAGAAATGGAAACCTGGTGGAGCTTCTACCATTTTTTCGAAGAACCCTAATTTTTCCAAAACAAAATTTGTTCAATTCAACTCAATCGGAGATTGAAATCATGAATAAAGCATTGTCATACGTTATGGGTGGGAAGAGGTCGTTACATGGGCCTTGATTTGGAGTTCTGCCGAATGAGAAAGATGATTGGAGCGCGCGGTGCCAAGGAGCCGAATGGAATGCTGCATTTCTGGGTTTGAAGAATAGAGTGAAGGACTGGGAGCTGGTGGCGACTAGGATCGACGGTGGCTGGTATGAAGCCTTGATGACGACGGTGGACTCACGACGCTCTTCCGTCGGGGACTCCGACCAAATCACCCCCAGCGGCGTTTCTTCCGTTTGGGAGATCCAGCCCAGGAAGTCGCGAATCCCGCCGAAATCGGCGCACAGCCTAAGGAATCTTCGAGGGTTTTCTGGGCGGAAGAGTAGCTTCTTGACGATTTGGATCCGGGATTTCAGATTTGATGGTGGGGAAATTGAAGATGTTTCCAGGTTGGATGCGTCGCAATTTTAATTTTTGAGAATTGGGGAAGAGGGGATAATGGGACGAGGGGTCTGAGAAATGAGTTATTATTTTTTTTTCCTTTATTAAATTTTATTAATTTAGATGGAAAATAAATAAAAACTAATATGAAAAATTCCACGTCAGATGCCACATCAGCGCTGACTAGATTTTCTGTTAAAAACTAACGGTCAACAAAAGTCAACCCTAACGGAATCATAGTTCAGGACACAGATGGAATATTTGATACAATAGGACACAAGTGGCATTTTTGCGATAGTTCGGGTGTTGTAGTGGTATTAGCCCTTAAATTTTTAAGATTATTAGGAATTTGTTTTTTGCAACTACTTTTGACTATGATATTTTTTTTATGGAGTATAGACTGTGAATTAGTAGCTGTCTTATTCAACTTTCCATTTTATAATAAAGTGTTTAAATGTTAATACCCCACTTTTCCACATGTCAATCAATTTTGAAGGTCATGTTCAAGAAATGGGTTGTGACACAAAAAATATTAATGCAAGAAAATGATATATTTTTTAGTTATTGCATATGAAATTGTCTTATAAAATGTTAAATGGGTGAATAACTCATTCTAGTTAAGTTAAGTTAAATTAAACAAATGGGTTTGAAAAAACATTTGCATACACAAATAATACAATTAGCGAGAGTTGAACTTATGATCAAGTCTGCATCATCTAATGCCTAATATGTAAGGAAGTGGTTAAGCACCATACATGGGTCTGTATAAGATCCAGCATAACCTTCTCCCAACAACTCGAGTTATTGGGACCAACTGGTTCATGACATGGCATCAGAGCTGATTTGTCCTTGAGGTCACGTGTTCAAGTCCTCACGACCCCCAATATTAACCATTGTCTTCAAAGCACATGGTAGGGTTGGGCCTGTGCAAACTTCAAGCCCATGAGTTGGCTTTCGTTTGAGGGGGCGTGTAAGGAAGTGGTTAAGTATGTATAAGATCCAGCATAACTTTCTCCCAACAACTCGAGTTATTGGGATCAACTGGTTCATGACATAATATGCTACCAAGAGATCAAAGGAAAATCAAAATTTTATTTACTCGCTACTTCTTATATAAAGTTGTAATATTTTCAGAAATATGAAATCCCCCAACTTTTACACCATTGACCATTGACCAGTTCTAGTACCAATGATGAATATTCTCAGAAATTGAAATCTTATAGACGGTTAACTATTTTTCTTTGTATAATGGTTAACTAATTATTTTGTCGCAAATGGTTGTATAACTCGTGTGCATACTTACCTAATTGGAATAATAAATCACATATATAGCCAATTTTAACCGTACTTCAGTTTTCACCAAGATTTTATGGCCAGATTTGGGTTATACACTATCATTTTCCCCCCTCTATAAAGACCGGTTACAGGGTGCTACTAGAAGGGTGGAGGAAAGAGAAAACAAGCGTAGTCCCTAAAATTCGAATCCGAGGACTCCAGACTGAAAATCAGCGACACGAGTCACACGACCACAACCTCGTTCGCGGTGATACACTTTTACTTAACTGAGGGCTATGCACCAAACCCTCTACAGTCAACACTCAACACTATCTAAGTGAAGAGCAAAGTTAAACAGAGTAAAAGAAGTCTATTAGTGGTGGCCTGGTGGGGGGAAGAAAGATGGAAATATATAATCCCATGATGTTGAAATTTTAGCAGTCAAGGTTGATGACTGTGTCAGTTCCATAGTCAATGAAACCATGAAGCAAGCAAGCTTGAAAAGTCTAACTACTCAACTGTCCATCCCATCTTTTATCATTTTGGAAAGCAGCATTTCCTTCCAAGAAACCATCTCTCTCACTGCTGCTGAGCATCTCAACAAAGGAAATGCCAAAAACCATGGCTCCAAACTCCATGAACATCTCAGCAGCAGCAGACAAGGCAAAAGGCGACACTGATTCCCCTGCTCCACAGCAGCTTGACGCTGGAGCTTTGTTTGTCCTGCAATCCAAAGGTCAGATAGGAAATACAGAAGAAGAAAAAAAAAACTTTTATCTTTTCTGTTTTCTCAAAACTTTTTCAGAATCGAAAGAGGCAAAGTTCTGGTCTTTCTTTGAATGTGCAGGATCATGGTGGCACTGTGGTTACCATTTGACCACATCAATAGTCGGTCCAGTGATTTTCAGCCTCCCTTTCGCCATAGCTTTACTCGGCTGGGTGCCTGGAGTTGCCGTCATAACCCTATCCGCACTTGTAACTTTCTATTCCTACAATCTCCTCTCCGTGGTTCTTGAGCACCAAGCTCTGCAGGGGAGGCGCCAGCTCCGGTTCCGCGACATGGCTGCAGACATCCTAGGTAACCTTGAACTCACAATCACAACAAACCATGAACCAACCATGAAATCTGAAAATTTGGTTACCATATTCAACATTTTCAATCATAAATTTTGTGTCACACAGGGCCAAAATGGGGCAAGTACTTTGTTGGTCCACTTCAGTTTGCTATATGCTATGGTGCTGTCATTGCTTGTTCCCTTCTTGGAGGCCAGAGCCTTAAGGTCATTCCTTCATTCCCCCTCTTTGCCACTTCTTTCAAGAGATATCACATGATTGTTTGCTGCAACAATTTTGCTTTTTTTTGTCTGCAGTTCATTTACTTGCTGTACACCTCAAATGGAGGGATGCAGCTCTACAAATTCATAATCATTTTTGGCTCTGCAACTCTGGTCTTGGCTCAAATGCCATCTTTCCATTCTCTAAGGCACATCAACCTTGTCTCTTTAATGCTCTGCCTCGCCTACAGTGCTTGCGCCACAGCAGGATCTTTATACATTGGTGAGATTGATGGTGTCTCAATAAAGAATATTCTCAATGAATCAACATTTAGTTTAGGGCCTGATCTTTGATTTCTTGTGACATTCATTGGCAGGAAATTCAAGGAAAGCCCCTCCAAAGGACTACTCGATGAACGGCTCCCAAGTGAGTCGATTCTTCGGCTCCATCAATGGCGTCTCGATCATTGCCACGACATTTGGGAGCGGGATCATCCCTGAAATACAGGCGACACTAGTTCCTCCTGTGAAGGGGAAAATGTTCAAGGGATTGTGCATCTGCTATGCCGTCATCATCACCACATACTTCAGCGTTGCAGTGTCTGGTTACTGGGCGTTTGGGAGCAACTCTAAATCAATCATCCTCACCAATTTCATGGATGCTGATGGATCTCCTTTGCTCCCGTTTTGGTTCCTTCTTCTCACCAACATCTTCACTCTCATGCAGCTGACCGCAATCACCGTGGTAGGGTAAATTTCATTGCTAGGTTTGAGATCTCCCCCAACCAATGTAGTCAAAATCGCGCTTTAAGCCTTTTAACAGTTTGATCTTGGTGGGTTTTCTCGCCAGATCTACTTGCAGCCCACGAACGAGATGTTCGAGAGATGGTTTGCGGACCCGAAGAAGGACCAATTCGCGGCGCGGAACGTGGCCCCGCGGCTGGTGTTCAGATCGCTGACGGTGGTGGTGGCGGCGCTGATCGCAGCGATGCTGCCGTTCTTTGGGGACATCATGGCGTTCTTCGGGGCGTTTGGATGCATACCTCTGGACTACATTCTGCCGATGGTTTTCTACAACGCGGCGTTCAAGCCTTCGAAGAAGAGCTTCATCTTTTGGGGGAACACGATCATCGCCGTGGTTTCGTCGGCGCTGGCAGCCGTCGGTGGAGTGGCGTCGGTTCGGCAGATCATTCTTGATGCCAGGACATACAGCTTGTTTGCTGATGTTACAATGTAAAGGGCAGGCCCCATAGATGGTCTAAATGTTATTTGCCATATATATACGTCTCGAGTTATAAATATATAATTATCGATAAATTATGATAATTATTATATATTTTGGAATAAACACATGGTAAAAATCGAGTTGTACAAATTTTTTATGTGGATGATAACTGATAATGATCTTATATGATCATAAAATATTGTGTATACCACACTATGATGGTACACTAGATGAACATATTGATAAATTTTATGGTTAAAGGAGCTTAGAACTTGGTTTGGTTTGGCGCACCAGGTGAACCTTATATGAAGCTTATCGGTCGGTATGAAATGAGTTAGTGAGTGAGACTTAGATGAGCTAGTTAGTATGTCATAGCAAATCTTAACGAGGATGTTGAGTTATTGGGAAGGGAGTGTATGTAACACTTTTAAAATAAATTTTACTTCGACAAAGCACATGAGAGATTCATGGTTCATAAGTAAGAAACCAGCATTAACTGGCAAGTTGCGTTTTGGGGCGAAATAGAAAAGTTATTGGAAGAATCGAAGTTAAATGTCTTCATTCTGGAGTAATGCATGGATGAGACCTCTCGAGAAGTCACATTGATATGACCTCTAAGACAAAAATCGTTCAAGCTTAGACCCAAAACCGACAGTATCTTGGTTGGAAAAGGTTCAAAAATGTTACATGAGACTTCTAGAATAACGACTAGCGCTAGAACCACTAGACCATATGTAATTGACCAAATAACACCTAAATTATATATGACCATAAAGTTATCAATTTAAATTCAATACACCGATTCATCCATTAAAAATCCAATTAATTCAATTCCAGTTAGATTGTTGTAAAATTCCACTCTAGTCCCTATTATTTAATATTTTACAATTTGATTCATAAAGTTCAATTTTTAATAAAAAACATTCATACAAAATTGTGTTTCGTACCTAAAATTTTCATAACTAATTTTATAACCAAAATTTTCAAAATGAATCAAAGACTGAATTTAATTTAGATATATGAATCCAATCCAAACATCTATTTAATTCATTCAATCAAATCTATAAATCCATCGATTCATTAATTTAATCTATTTGCCACCCCTAAATTCTAATGAATATTCATCTCAGGACCACACAAAGCTTGTATTTTTATAAAACCTGAACTTAGGCCTAGTAAAAAAAAGGATAACCACGGAGCCAAAGAAGAGTTAAATGATTCATATGTAGGAATGGACAAGAAAAGCAGAACTTATGAGTAATTTGGTTCGGTTGGGGTTTCGTTTATTAAACTAAATCTATCAATTTGATTATTAAAAGTGTTTTTCTGTTCCTCCTAACTCCCAAGTCCAACTATGCAAATCTTAAATTCACTCGTTTCTGGGTTTCTTGTCTTCCATTCCTCCATGTTTTTCCGGAAGGGTTTCCTTTCCCTCTCTCTCCATGTGGTTCTAGCGGGTCTTCTCCCACCTGCTCTTTCCTAGTTACTTCCTTTCCGCCCTCCTCCTCTGCACTTTCTCTCTCTAACTTTCCTCTCTGCACTTTCTCTCTCTCTAAAATTTTCCTCTTCGTTTTTCCCCCTCTTCTGGCTTCCCTTTCCCCTCTTATCTCCATTTCTTCCTCTTCATGTGAGATATCGTAAGTTTCTCTCACCTTCTCATTTACTGTTTCCTGGCCGCCACGCTTTCCTCTGTGCTTTTGCCTCTTGACTTTTGCTAGCTTGGTTATGGATTTTGGTGTGATTGGGTTCTCTGATGGCTAGCTAACGAAGCTGGGATTGTTTGTGTTTTTGGGATTTTGGTTGCGATTTGTTTGGGTGTGCTTTTGCTGTTTGTTTGTCTTTTTATTCGACTCTTCATCGAACCCTTTGTCGCTGTTTGTTACTTGTACACAGTTTTTTTTGGGGTTCTTTTTGATTCTTCAGCTGGGTGGATGGGCAAAGAGGGCAGCATCCTATCAGGGTTTTTTTTTTTTATCCTGGTCGTTATCTTTCGCAAGGGTGGGTGTGATTGCCAATAGTAAAATGGGGAAATTTTGTTGATGTTTGATTGTTTAAGGAGATCGAGTGCTTGAATGTTTTCTTTACTTTCCTCAATGAAAGTTGCATTGAAGATTCGTACTTCCCTCAAGTGGAAATCTGTCTTTCTCTAGTTAAGGGCGGGATTCATTGGTATTGAAAAAAAGGTAGTTCCTGAACTTGTAGGTAGATACCGCCTGGGTGGCTGACTTGCTGTTGTCTGCGATGGCAATTAGCAGAATATGCTTTTTACGGCGATTTTACAGTTGTTATCTTTTTGTCTTATACCAGTTTAGTTTATGTATAGATGATGATTGCTGACTGTTGGGAAGACACAGAGATTGTTGCTTATTGTTCCCTTCTTGTGGATTTTTATCAGATTGAGTGGGGGGAAAAGATGGTGTCAGAGTCTTGGTTTCGCAGCCTTTGGAAGATTCCTCGGAAGCACGATCATGGTCGAGATAAAGTTGCTCTGGGCGTTCTAGCCCTGGAAGTTGCAAGCTTAATGTCCAAGGTAGTTCATCTATGGCATGCGTTGAGTGATAAACAGATTTCCAGGTTGAGGGAGGAGATTACGAATTCTGTGGGTATTAAGAAACTAGTCTCGGAGGATGAAGATTATATCGTTAAGTTGATATGCTCCGAGTTGATGGAAACTGTGGTGCAGGTGGCCAAGTCAGTGGCTCGACTATGTAAGAAGTGTGGTGATCCTACTCTAAAGAGCTTTGGAACTGCTTTCCAAGAACTGGTAAAGATTGGTGTAGATCAATATGGATGGGAGTTTTCGTTGAAGAAAATGGATAAGAAGGTTAAAAAGATGGAGCGCTTCATTTCAATCAATGGTTCATTGTATCAGGAGATGGAGTTGCTTGTGGAGCTTGAACAGACGGTTAGAAGAATGAAGTGCAGTGAACCAATACCAGATAGTTATCCCGACTATCACAAGAAGCTTTTGTGGAAGCAACATGAAGTGAAAGGTCTTAGGGAGATGTCACTATGGAATAGGACGTATGATTACACAGTTGGCCTTCTATCAAGATCGATATTCACTATATTCCGCCGGATCAATCATGTTTTTGGTTTTAATACTACAGTGGATCAGAGACCTGGACAAGTTGTGGATTCTGATTACATTTATCGCAGCCAGTCAGTTTCTACGATATTGCAGTCTTCTGTGCCTCAGTCTGAAAGTAGAAATATCCCAAGATTCTCTTCTGGCCCCCTTGGCATGTATAATGGGAAATCTGGTCCTCTTCCTAAAGCAAATAAGAGGAACGATTTCCATTCGGGTCCTATTGGTGGTGGCTTGCCGACAAAGCCTGCTCCTATTGCTGAAAAGAAGAGGGGTCTTAAATTCTTTTCAGGACCACTTGGAAAGCCGAGTTCGAAGTCGGGACCACTCTATGAAATCAGCAAGCTGTGGCAAACTCCACAATCACAGGCACCACAGGGAAATCGGTCTCATTCAAAGCATAGTCGGTTGACTCAAGTTGGTCCTTTCAAAGGATGCATAGCCACAAACAGTTCACCTGTTGTCAATTGCCACATTCCAGATCTTCATTCTGGAATTCTTGATGCTGCACGGGAAAGCAAGGGGAATCACTTCCATCATGGGAGCTTGGCTTCTACTGGTCAGTCGATATTCAGTACCAAGTTTGTGGTTGCTCTTCCTGAAACCCTCAGTGCCACTGCTTTAGCACTCCACTATGCTAACGTTATTATTGTTATTGAGAAGCTAGCAGCATCCCCTCATTTGATTAGCCACGATGCAAGAGATGATTTGTACAGCATGCTACCAGCAAGTGTAAGAATCACGCTAAGGCGAAAGTTGAAGCCATATGCCAAGAGCTTGGCGCTAGCCGAGTATGACAGTGTACTTGGGAGTGAGTGGACTGAGGCTATATCTTCAATATTGGAATGGTTGGCCCCTCTTGCTCATAACATGATTAGATGGCAAACCGAGAGAAGTTTCGAGCAACAGAACTTTGTTTCTAGGACAAACGTTTTCCTGGTGCAAACTCTTTTCTATGCTAATCAAGAGAAGACTGAAGCCACGATTACAGAGCTTCTAGTTGGTCTGAATTACCTCTGGAGATCTGGCCGGGAACCTGCAAAAGCTCCTAGGGAGTGTGCTACTGGCAGAATATTTGACGAATATTTGGAGCTCGGTGAGTAGTATCTTTTTTATCCTTCTACATCGGCCAATTATTGCAGAAGCAGGCAGCTCCATGTGACTCGTCCTTTGTAACATACAAAATGTGTATGGTTTTGGATGAGATTTCTCCTTGCTTAGAAGTTTCCCCGCATCAGTACACATTCTTAGCAAGGCGGACGGCATAGGTTGAGGTTTCACCCTCATTTGTGAGCGAAAAGTTTTCCTCTTTCTGCAATTGTAAAAGGTGGTGGCTCCTGTACTCCCTTCGTCTGGTTAGTTTAGTCTAGCCTTGCCGATTATCCTTTTAATGCAATGGTTTGTGTAATTTTGTTTTCCAGCAGTGGCTGTCTATATGAACTGTAAAAATGTACCATATATGGTGGTCTTCTATTCATGTATAGATATGGTTGGGTTTTCTGGAATGAGCTAACTGGTAGTAAGTATTAACTGAAGATGACATAGCAGCCATGTTATGCTTGCAAAGTTTCTCACATCCCCTACATTTTAGTATGCAGCAACTCCGCCTGGTCAGTATGGATGAATCATTATGTATACGAGTTTTCGTTCTTTTTTATGCTATGCATGAAACATTGTCTCTTGCAGCTCTTACGCTTGAGATTTGTCCACAGCCCATTTGGTTGCTGAATCAGGAAGTGGAACAGCACATTACTGTTACCAGTGTCTTTGATCTTGGTGTGCTCTCTCCATTTAAGCAAGGATCTTGGCAGCTGGGCTCGTGAGACTGAAACCAGGTATGCTGAAGACTACTGTCAAAGTTCTTGTCTTCCCAACTGTTTCATGCTGCCATGGAAGTTGCAGCTTTAGTCAGTACCGCAAAATGGTTACCTAAGGGAAAAGAAAGGTTAGGCATATCTGGATAGCAAGAATTGACCTCCATTGTTGTCAGCTTCTATCTGTCTTCAGGTTCGATTGTCGACATCCCATTTTGGAAGGGAACTTCGCGGACAGATGCTTTTGTAATTTCGTGGTTTTGGGTTAATCATAATTAGGTCGCTATCATACTGAGATGAAAGAAAATGATTAGTTATGTTTGGAGAATTACGACTGCGAATATGGAGTGTTGTGAAGAGTTCTGGCGATGATAAAGCTTCAGAAATCAGAACCCGGTCGATTTATCAACGACTTCTTATTGGCAGAGTTGCCAAAAATTCGTTTAATACTTGTGCCGTGCTCCTGTATGCGTTTCGCGTTCTTGTACTATTGGAGACTGGAGAGTTCGTTTCAAATTTTTTCTCATTTTTTTAATGTTTCACGTACTAAACACATTTTAATATATAATTTTAATATATAATTTCTATTCGAGTAGTGAAAGATTTGCTTGGAATTCCATATAGAAAAAAGGGTAAATAAAATTTAATATCCAAACCTTTTATTTTAAACAATATAATAGCCAAACCTTTTCGAAAACAATCTAATATCCAAATCGTCAACTTTCTGTCTGTTTGACCGTTAGTTGACACTTCAAAAAAGTTCGAAGTACGACACTTCATCAATATCCATCGATATCTTCTTTGAAAAACCGCCAACATATCGTAGTTCCATACCCGAGAAGTCCATGACTCCATCATGATGGTATAGAATGTCTAAATATTCAGTCATCTGCAATGTCAAAACAAGAAACAAAGTTGTATTGTGACAATTTCCCCTAAACAAAGATTTTTTGAAGCGTCAACTAACGGTCAAACGAACGAAAAGTTGACGATTTGGATATTAGATTGTTTTCGAAAAGGTTTGGCTATTATATTGTTTAAAATGAAAGATTTGGATATTAAATTGTATTTACCCTAGAAAAAAAAGACAACTAGACTTTTTAGAGATAGTTGAAGACTATACAACAGGTTTTATTGGCGGTGACTGGGTTGGGTCAGTTAGAATATTCGTGGATTTGAGTTTTGTTGCCATCCTTATCTCCATTTCTTTCTGTGTATGAAAAAAAAATTAGGTTACTTGTTAAAAAATATTTTTCATTATAAAAAATCATTTCACTATTAATATTTATCTATTACTTGTCATCTTTTACAATGTTTATAGTTTGCTTCGTGAGTTTTCTTGTGTGATTTCTAGTCTTTTCGGCTTGCTTCATGATAATTATAGTGTGGTTGCACACATATATCTGGTCGGTTTAAGAGAACTTGTGGCCTGCTTCAAGGAACTTGTAATATGCTTTAGGAGGTTTTTCGTCTGCTTTAAGAAACTTATCGTCAGTTTTTTATTTTATGGTATGCTTTATGAATTTTGTGACGTGGTGATGTTCTAGTATGCTTTACAAGCTTTCTGTTATACATTACGTTATTTGTGGTCAACCCCTTAGAAATGTAAAGTTATCAAAACGAAATATTCATATTGGTTGAATCTAATGTTAGCACCACGCTACACAAATTGAATGTCACCACCTTAACCTTAGTATGGCTTTGAGACTTTTCGATAGTATTTGGATTTTGGTTGGGACCCTGACCTCAACTACCGGAAGTTTCATCTGTGAAAGTTGGATCAAATTACCCAAAACTTCAAAAAATTTCCCTCTATCACAAGGTAAATATTGATTCTGATAAAACAACAACCCGTTCCAAGAGGCCAAGCCTTCGTGTCTTCTTTTCCTCTTCTCCATAGTTTCAACCAAACCGTTTGTCTCTCTCTCTCGTCTGTCTCTTCTGGGCTTTTTTCCTTCCTTCCTTCGCTTTGCTTTCTCTTGCTTGCATGGCCGCTTCCAGGACACGTCGATCGACATCGTACCGGGGAGGAGACACCTCTGACTCCGATACGATGGAGTCTTCCGCCGGCTGGGACGACGCCCTCGATTGGCTCAAGCTTGAGGTTCTCCTCTTCACCCCCTCCCTCGCTCTCAGAAGCCGCATTCTCTTTTAATTGCGTTCTGAATTTCTGAACAATTTTGGTTGTTTCCGTTCTTCCTTCTTCTATAGCAGCACCAGTCGGTCTCCCGCTCTGTTTCGCTCCCGCGTCACGGCAATTACAAGTGCTTGCTTGAAGGGGAACGCGTCTTGGCCGAGGTAACACGCTTCTTCTCTTGCTATCGGGGGAATATCAATTCTCGATAGACGGCTGCATCCTGCCTAATTCGATGCTCTGTATTTCTTGATTCTTCACTTTCCCGGAGGACGATCTTTTGTTATTTGCGTGATGTCAATTTGCCCTGTTCTTGTCTGTGAGGAAGAGGTTTAAGAACTGGTTCCGCTATCAGTAGTGCGCTTCTTTAATTGAAAGCTTGTTCTGGCGATGAGGGGGATGGGTTTCGAATAGTTTCTTGGATGTTGAGCTGGAAAATTAGCAGCCTTATTGGGCGAAGTTGTTGATTTTGAACCAAGAAAGTTGATTCAAATGCTAGTGAACAGTTTAAGGTTGAGGTAGAAGACAAGGGGAGGAAAGAATCAAAAGGGAGGGGGTTACCAGGAAGCATATATAGATAAGCAATCAACTTTATGGTTTCATTTACTTGCCATTATAAGTTGCAAGAGAGAAGGCTGGACCGAATAGGCTGTGTATCGAGTCCAGTACACGGTCAGCAATCCTTTTTGTTAGGGGTGTGGTTTCTATATGCAGTTTGAGATTAACAATTAGTCTGAGAAAAATGCTCTACCGATTGCGTAGGATGGGTTGTTGATGGCTGTTTCTTGGCTGCGGCCTTAGAGGATTAACTAAGAGGACATGAATTCTTAGATACCAGTGGCAGTAGTCTTATGAAAAAGAGGAACTCTGTTGGGTACCAACTGATACTGAAAGAAGGTTTTGATTACTGGTTGTCGGCTCTGTCAGATACATTGGGCCGTTTATGTCATGGAAGTCTCCCCTTATTTTAGTTTCACATCCAGATACTTATTGGGGTTAGATGATGGATGCATTTCATGAATATTCATTTCTCTCATGATGTTGACTAATCTATAAAACGGTCAGGGAAAAGTTGAGGACAATGTTTCAGTTTGTTTTGCTTTGTCTATGCTCTTGTGTCCTTGACGTATGGTCAGATGTGCTGGGGTTAATGTATTAGCAGTTTGGTATTTCAAAGCTGGTCATTGCTGAGACTGACTTGCCAGAATTGGGTGTTTTATCGATTTCTTATCTGATATCAGTCAGTGGGATGCGGCAGGGATATCAAATGTGCTATTTTCTTTTACTTTTGAGTGTGGTTTGTGCTTCAAAAATTTTAACCTGCTTTGTTGTAATTTAGTGATGCTCATTTTATCTTCAGCTTTGTGGTCAAAGTAAATATAAGGACCTTTTCTCCGTATGATAATGTTTTCTATCCAGGGACATGGTGTTGTTCTTGTTAATACAGATGAAGCAGGCACACTGGTAGTGACTAATTTTCGTCTTATGTTTCTGGTGAGTTTTGTGCATTTCTTTCTCGCATTGGTCCGTAAAGATTCTTTCTTTCCAGCCCAGCTAGTTTCAACCCATTTCTTTATTTATGTACATTTAACAATTCCAAGGCAACTAATGTAGCTGCATGTAGAAACAAGTATGATGCAGGGCTGTAACTGTTGTGAGCAATGGTTTATGGTTCTAATTCCTATTTTATTTACTCCTAGAGTGAGGGAACTCAAAATACTGTCGCACTTGGCACAATACCGTTGGCAACAATTGAGAAGTTGAGCAAATTGGTAAGCAGTGTCAATCTTTAACTTAGTATTTGTCCTGTCATAACTTGTACTCTACAGAAGTTGATACATAGTTGTTAATGCTGGTTGTGTCCTTTGTGCTTATGTGTTAGTCTGTTAGATTGATGCTGGTCTTTATATTATGGGAGAAATTGTTTCTCCATATGGCTGGGTGACAATAGGCCTTAGGTGTTTTTTCCATCTGGCTTTATATTTTTCATTTTGAATGATGCTGTGTAGTTTCCAGATAAGAACATTGCTATTTACTTCTATCAACCTACTTGGTCATTGACTTGCTATTCTTCTAGAGTGGTATCGAGGCTGTTGTAATTTGTAAGGGCAAAGATAGGTAAATGCAAGGTGAAATAGTGAGTCAATAGTATTGTTCTGCATCTTTCCTCTAGTTTTTCATCTTGTGCTCTTTCCTGAACCTTCATTATGAGTTATGACTTCCCTGTTAGATAACATATGTTCTTTTTATTTAAGTCCCGGAACATGCATATCTGTAGTTACTGTTTTTAGGAATATCTTCAGGTTGCAAAGAACCAATCAGCTCCACGGCAATCTGAAAAGTCTACTTCAAGACGGCTCCTCCAGGTTATTGGTGCGTTTATTTTATGGGCCTGTATCAATCTGTTTGAAATTTGGAGGCACTACCCTTGGTCTGGAAGTTGGTTTGAAAATGTCCATAACTTCCCTGCAATCTGAGCTACAGCACTCCTTGTATTCCTGAGCAAAGCTCAGTTTGTGGGTTGTAGAAAGCAGAATAAATGTCATACTTTTATTAGTGGAAGGCCAAATGTATTTCTTCTTTTGTTTCCATAGTTCTGGTGACATGTCTAATTGTAAAATACTTTGTTTAGTACTTTAGTAATTTAATATGTACAGGTTGCTCTGAGACTAATGTTCTTTCTTTTGCTTCCTGAATTGTTATTGAAATCTGGACTAAGCTAGAAGCATTTTCTCAACTTAAACTGTGGGTCAATGAGTCTAAATATTAATATTCCAGGATTTCCAAGTTTAGAGACTTTGCCATTTCTTTTGCTGTTTCATACTGGGTGTTGGAGCAGGATCACGGTTTTTATAATTGTTCTTCCACATTTAATACAATAACACTGTTTTGCTGTGCTTTTTTCAGGCAAAGATTTGAGAATTGTAGTCTTTGGTTTTCGCCCTAGAACAAAGCAGGTGAAGTGTTTATGCTCAGCATTTGATTTATGGCCCACCATCTTCATTTCAGTGATTACATGACGTCTTATCTTTGTTATGAAATCAAATTATTCATTATTGCTTGTGTATGCTATATGCTTGTACAAATAATGCCAACCATTACTGGAGAAATTTTGAGAGTACAATAGAATCCTGTTGAAAGTATTGCCCTGTAATTTTTTTATTGATGAATGTGTAATTGGATAAAATAGAAGAAATACGGATTAAACTGTTTTGAATTCTAAACTGTTCTGGTGGATAGGGAAGTTGATACATCTTGAGAGAATCAAGTTCATACCTGCCCATGGTAGACACCTCAATTTGGGTTGACTTGAGACATTGTATTAGAAAACTTTCCCTTTATTCCCCCCTCTTCCCTTCAGTTACCTTCACTTACTCCACATCTATACTATACATAGTTTTACAATGACCTCTGTATTTCCCTAACACATTGTTACAATGATTTCTTGACCTTTCTATTTTGCAGAGGCGTGTTATATATGATGCCCTACAGAGAAGTTCAAAGCCTCTGAGAATCTGGGATCTTTTTGCATTTTCCTGTGGATCATTAAAGTTCAGCAACACAAATCCCAAAGTGCGGCTGCTGAATGAGTATTTTCGCCTCCTTGGAAAAGGTTCTTATGGTGCAACGATGAATATTATTGATAAGGAGTCTTATATGAAATCTAATGAGCTTTGGCGGATCAGTAATGTGAATTCCAGCTACTCAATTTGCCAAACGTACCCATTTGCCTTGGTCCTTCCAAAATCCGTCAGGTAGAATGGTTTCTGTTTTGTAGCTCGAGGGGTTTAGGCAGAAGTGAAACTAACATCACTTATTGCAGGTCCTACTATTTTGGTTACCAAATTAATGTTTATTGTATTGATGGTTCCTCGGAATCAAATTGAATTTTAGTGACGATGAGGTGATCCAGGCATCCACCTTCCGCGCTAGGGGTCGCTTGCCTGTAATTTCATGGTGTCATCCAGGTAGGGCATCATCAGATATTGTGTTTTTTCTTGCATGATCTCAGGGGATGCAAGTTCCTTTTTTCTTTCTTTGGTTGGAATGATGGGGATGCAAGTTTATTTTTATCGTGTTGCAGTGTCGGGGGCAGTCCTTGCTCGGTCATCCCAGCCTTTAGTTGGCCTTATGATGAATCTGAGGAGGTATGGTGTAATGTCCGTTTGATAGCTCATTAGCAAGAACCTTAGAGATGAGATTGGAGCTAAAATTGATAATGTACGGCCTTTAATGAAATAGCAATTTGACCTATGGCTGATATTAAAAGTTGATTTGTTTTAAATATTGAAGTACTTAACACTTAACAGCTTTTCTTGTGAGCTTATGCTTTAGCAGTTAACTGAGCTTATTTTTGTTGACCAGCAATGCTGATGAAAAACTTGTTGCTGCACTTTGCACTAGACCTGGTGGGGCTCGTGGGAGGAGGTTCGTTTGTTGTCAATATCTGTACTAATCATCCGTTCTTCCCTCAACCATTCTTCATCTATAATGTTTACTCCACCGTTGGGGAATAACAAAGGGAAAAAGGAGTTTCAGGTCACGTTGGTATGGTACTTATCGTATGAAGCAATTTACTGTAACTCTACCGAAAAGGCAATTGAAGGATGTTCCCTTCAGTTGCATAATCTATGTCCACAGTGGATAACTTATCATGCATCTATGTTCCTATTGCTCCTAGTATCTTTTTTCTCCTACGCTGAGACTTCAGTTAGGATTCAAACTTAAATGGCTTTTGTAAGACACATGATTAAGATCGGATGGTACACCCTATTCTGTATATAATACCGTCATTAACATAACTTTTGGATGTAGTCCAAGCTCTCCTGTTATACCTGGATAATCTTTCAAATTCTAACCTCTCCTGTTATAATACTATGTTCACATTTAAATGGGTTGTTTGCATAAAATTTTGACTCTGTGGTGTGATTGCTTATTTTCTGTTCAATTTCTAGGAAGTTATACATTGCTGATGCACGTCCAAGAAAAAATGCTCTAGCTAATGGGGCAATGGGGGGTGGCTCAGAGTCATCTTCCAACTATTTTCAGTCTGAGGTTTCTCAACAATTCATATGGTCAATTTTTCTTAACTTTGCCGAGGTGTAGACTAAACTGTTTCCAATATGTTATCAGGTAGTCTTTTTGGGGATTGACAATATACATGCAATGAGGGAGAGCCTTTCTCGGTTGAGAGACTACCTGGATACTCATGGCACAACATCGTCAGATGGAATGTCGTCTTTTCTGGTATGTCTTTTGAATAGACTCCCTAAGAGATTTGAACATGACAAACTGTTGGATAGTTCTGGGCTGAGTGGAGGATCTAATAGAAACATTTCTCCTCGAGGGTTTATGAGCAGATAATTTAAAATGATCTGATATCAAATAGGAGAGTATGCATCTTTGTATTTCTCAAGCCATAAAAAGATTAGTTAGGCCTAGATTCAAACTCTGTTACCTCGCCTTTACTTTGCTGGAGTTATGAGTAACCCTAGTGGTGCACCTATTAATTTTTATTCTGGATTGAGTGTGTCAAATTTCAAAGGTTGGCTCTTGTTTTGTATACTTGCTTTGCTCCTAATTTCAGATAAAGATTTTTGTTTGCTGAATTTAATTATCCATTGCATTCATGCATTACTCCTTCGTTACTCTTTTACACTTCAGCCATGAAAACTTCAAATTCATATGCTTAATTGTTGTTACTATAATAAATACTAATCAGGCAAATCTGACTCTAGCTGGACTTTCTTACTTTGATCTCACTAGTAACATGCAAAATATGATTATTCTCATGCAGAGGCATGGCGGTTGGACATGGGGTGGAGGCAATCTCAGCAGTATGTCTGCTTCTGTATCTGCCTTCGGGGACAGTGGTTGGCTGACTCATGTACAGAGTGTCCTGACTGGTGCAGCCTGGATTGCAGGACATGTTGCTTTAGAATCAGCATCTGTTCTTGTACATTGCAGGTTAATCACTGATGGCTATCTCCTTGTATCTTTTTCCTATTTGTTTGAAAACAAATATTTTTAGCAATTTCATATTGTTCTATATCTTGTTCAGCGGTCTGAGGTCACAACATTTGACCTTTATTTTCATTTTTTCCTGTTGTATTTCTTTTTGTATAATTTATGATTGTACGTGCAGTGATGGATGGGACAGAACTTCTCAGCTGGTTGCACTTGCTAACTTATTGCTTGATCCATACTATCGAACTTTTACTGGGTTTCAGGTGATTTTCCTGAACGCTATATTATTATCTGTCTTTTCCATTGCTCCTTTGTCCTTGTATTTATAGCATTTGGCTGTGCAAGCGGAGCACGTTCTTTTTAAACTGCTGTCTTGCCTGGTAGCTCAAGCCACCGTACGTGTATTTGTGGCATTCGAACTTTTAAATTTTTATGGTTCTCATCTTATCTAGATGTGAATATTATGGTCTGGAAATGCAGGTGCTTATTGAAAAGGATTGGCTTGCATTTGGTCATCCGTTTGCAGATCGTATGGGAATTCCAACTACATCTGGAAGCAGCAAGATGCCTTTTGAATTAACACGTCAAGCTTCTGTCGGGAGTTTTCCGCCCTCCCCTGGTCGGCAATCAGTGGGATCGAGTCCAGCTCCCAGTGCTTCTCATGCACAGAACAACTGTTCTCCAATATTTTTACAGGTGACCGTTCCTTTGCTCTCTATAGGTCTGAATTTATGAGAAGATGTTTGGTATTAATATTCTTAGCCATTTGATGATAGGAAGATTTGAATAGTCTGCCTTGGCATAAGGCTCCCAGTTCTGAAGTATGGCTGTAGAGACTCGGTGACCATTGCCCTGGGCAGAAGAGCCTGTCATTATATATAATCTATCCTCACTTCTACGTGTTATGTGCTGTCTGGTTCCAAATGGTTAGTTGTAGTGGGTTCTTTTTTTTCCTAAAAGAGTAAAGAGGAGACATACAATGAGCAGAACCAATAGAATTTCATTGGTCGAATTTTGGGAATGAGATGTTACTACTCTCAACTTGGCACAAAGTTGTAAAAGCCCCTACATCTTATCTGATAATTTTCAACAAGTTAGAAGCACCCGCTGTAATATGCATGAGGAAAACAGTAAAAGCAAGATTGAGGATGCTTAGACTGTCTTGTGTTCTTCTGGAAGTCCTGGTACTTCACTGATAATGTTTTGATTGTTGCTTGCAGTGGATCGACTGTGTGTCTCAGCTACTTCGGATCTATCCTTTTGCTTTTGAGTTCTCATCGGTATTTACTTTCCTTCCCTCCATAACAATGATTGTCTGCTTACTAAAAGAACATCCACCTTTTCCTATGTTATGGAAACTTTAGTCTCATTGGAATTATTGGTGTTCTTTCATCATTTAGGCTTTCCTGGTTGATTTATTGGACTGCATGATGTCATGCCGTTTCGGGAACTTCTTCTGTAATAGGTAACTATTCTATTGTTAACTACTAGGTTTTGTCTGTTTTCTTCTGCTTGGAAGGTGAATTATGAATTAGTATCTCTATCCATGATATTCCAATAGACTCTGAAATGACTCTAAGCTCCATGCAGTGTAGATACTCTATTCAGTAATCATCCTATGTCTAATAACGGTTTTGATTTTTCTATCTAGTAACTATAATTTTCCTCAAGCCTTCTCTTACTTATTGGCTGGGAAGTTGATACCTAAAGCATGCGATAAGTCCCAATTTCAATTGGATGGGCGATAATGTGTACTGCATTTAGTAAAAGAGACCTTTGAGACGATAATGTTTTTGGGAAGTTGTATCCCCCTCCCTCTCTTACTTATTACTCGTGATTTACAACAGTGAAAGGGAAAGGCAGCAAATTGGTATTGCTGAAGCATGTGGTTGCATGTGGGCTTATCTGGCTGATGTACGCTCCTCACAAGGAAGGTCTCATGGTCACTACAACTTATTCTATGATCAACTGAAACATGATGGTCCCTTATTACCTCCAGCAGCAGCTTTGGCTCCTACCTTGTGGCCTCAATTCCATCTTCGATGGGCCTGCCCATCAGAAGCACAAGCTGACGATGAGCTTGAAGATCGATGCAAACAAATGTCGCTTAGATTTAATGAACTACACAAGGTAATGATTACTGCTTTTTGCTGCTCATTTATGTAACTTTCCATCAGCTGGACTTTGACATGTTCTCCTAACAGGCAAAAGAGGTAGCAGAGAAGAAAGCTGCTGACATGACCAGTGCCTTCGAATCATTGTCTGTGGAGTTGCGGCATGAGAAGCAGCTAAGTAGCTCCTCGATAGCCTTGGCGAAGAGAGCCAGCAAGGAAAGTGCAGCAATAAGGCGGGCCATACAGTCCCTGGGATGCAACGTTCATTTCGCCAGTGGTGGCGGTGGCGACATTGAGACCGGCAGCCCTTTGGATGATAGATTAACAAGTCGGGAATCAAATGGCCAAAATGACGAGTCGGATCTTTCGGTTTCGATTTCGATGGTGGCAGACGAGAATGTTTCTTCTGCTAGCAATCCCATCAGCCGGATATGTGAGACTTTGTGCCCACTACGTACGCGCGAGGGGGGATGCAAATGGCCCGATGCTGGTTGTGCTCAGCTTGGCAGTCAGTTCCTTGGACTGAAAGCAAACTATGATGCCTTTGACAAGCTTTCTATATATGATAGCTATTTCCAAACAGATTGAAGAGGGAGGGTTGTTCGTTTCTTTCTTTCCTGGAAATCAAGAGACGAACAACCCATTTATGGTCGTCTCAGAAGATCCACCTTTCTCTCCCCCACCGTCAATCGTCAATGCTGACTTGGACGATTTCGAGAAAGCTCGGGGCGGGAAAGGGAGGGTTCCCCCCATGGGCCAAAGTTGGTGACGAGAGGTGTTGCCCCCGTGGCTGAGTATCGTTGGCTTTGGTTGCATGTAAGCCGTAAGCTATAATGGTCAGCCAGGGAGGGATTAAGGTTGAAGAACAATGCTGTTGTTAACGACGGGGCTGGTGAGCTTGGCTAGTGGCAGCCTTGCTGTTATCTTCCTTTTGCTGTTCAGAGCTCCGACCTCAGTTGTTAACTTCACGGTAAGATTCAAACATTTGTATACAAGAGGCTGGATTGGCTATGTACAGAACCACATTGTTTTTCGTTTTTGAGATACCACGTGTAGCAGGTTAGTAGTATATAGGATACATTTTTCAAGGATTAGACACAAAATTTTGTACCAATAAAGTCTGCCTAAGGAGAATAAGTTTCATTTAACGGAGATGGGTAATAAAAGTCGATAAGTTTATTGAAGAGAATCTCTTCTTTTACATTGAAAAATCAGATTAAATTCTTCATAAATATAGGTATAGTCGTAGTTGTGGAACACTCGAAAAATTCTGATAGAGATAATTGTATTTTTTTTTTTTTATAATAGTGATAGAGATAATTGTAATTTTACGAATCTACAAACATCTAACATCCTCAGTCGAACGTGATTTGAACAAATGTGAATCATAGCATTTTGTTTTTAATTCTGTAACGCATTCACGATTGAACTCAAATGAATCAAACTTGTATGTAAAACAGAACTGACGATACTGTATAGCACCACTGAACCACAATCAGAATTAGCAAACACACTAAAGATTCAGTTACAACTTACAACTATATCAATTGCTAGGCTAACAATGAAACGAAGAGACTTAAGAATTATTTTACACGAGTCTGGTAGAATCGCGAATATAAATTACCTAGCTACAGCACAATGGGGAGGACATGCTTACACAGTCCATATCACATTATCTTTACACATCTTTGTTGTCTTGCTTACTTGGAACAACAAATCCAGATATTTACAAACAAGAAGCTCGAAAATGTATAAAAAGGGCAATCTGGGATATGGATGGCAGTTATTAACTCATCCTTCCTGTTTGATCAATCAAAGTCCCAACTTGTTCACCACATAGTGCTCTTGATATATTTCCGGGCTCCAGCATGTTGAAGACCACGACTATAAGGAAACAGGAAAGTCCATCAGGAAGGTAGTGTAGTGAAAGAAATGGAAGCTGCAACACAAAGACGAGAAGCGGCGAATTAGAGAATCAAGTAGAAGGGGGGTATTGATGTACCTGGGATTCCATTCTCTTCGCAGTAGGTAATCGCCATCATGTCCATCGAGGTAGCACCCCCTGAGACCACGTCTCTGAATGATATATGATCGAGTATTATATTGCTATTACTGGTTTGCCAATCATAGATGCCATCTGCGTTTGTGCCTTTAAGCAGAGCATCTGCATTGACTGATGAAAGGAAGGAAGAAAATTGTGTAAATTCAACAACTTTTGGGGGTTGAGATAGGGTAACAAGTGGGGGGTTAATGTTCAGATGAGGGCAATACTCTCGGAAGCTCTTAGAGCTGCTGCTGTGTCGGTTGTAAACAAAGGGTTGCCAGCCCCAGCACCCACGCCACCAAATATGACGACTCTCCCTTTCTCAAGATGTCGGATAGCTCGTTGCCTGCTATACGGCTCAGCCATCTCTGGCATTGAAAATGCACTTTGTACGCGACTCTGAATGCCCAGTTTCTCTAAAGCTGATTGCAGCAATATAGAATTCATGACAGTTGCCATCATGCTGATACCATAAATAGTAAAATGGTCAGACAACCAGGGAAAGTAACAAAAACAAATATGCAGCAATACATATGATATTCGAATAGTAACATGGAAATTTTAAGAGAATCACAAGTTCACTTGAGCGGACAGAACGGCAACCCAAATCTGACACAAGAAGAATTATGTGGGTAAACTGGTCACCCATAATGGAGAAAGGCCAGAGAATGGAATTTCAACATAGTGAACTAATGTTTCATAGAGAATGGAATGTGCCGGAAATTCTATGCCTCAAGAGCCTACCCAATCTGGTATGTCGTAGGTCTATCCAAGCCTGTGGCAGATATCCATGACTCTCCACAAAAGAAGTTACGGCCACCAACAACAATTGCCACCTGGAGAAGCACAATGGATACTAGAATTCAGTCTCTCATAAGTCGGGGAAACAAACGAAAAAATACGGAGTCAAGGCAACACCTCCAGTCCAAGGCGACAAACTGTTGATACTTCCCTTGCTATCTGAGTTGCAACCTGGTTCCAAATGAAAACAATCTTAACGTGCACTCCCTTAGAAGAAGTTAAATAGGTCGTTAATGAAAGGAGCAGGTAGACAAAATGAACACACCTTAGGATCAATATTCTGGCAGTTACCTGCCAGAGCAGCACCACTGATTTTGAACACAACTCTGCGCCATTTCAAGTTCGGCATTGATTTAGATTTCAAGCTGTTTGCAAGTGCGGAACTGCTTGGCGTGTATCTGTACAAGAAAATGTAGGAATGTGGTTACACAATCGTCCAACCTTTGATATCGTTAGTAAACAACAAGTAGGTGATCAATTGCTACAGTTGATTCACAGAATTGTCAAACCACAAACTAGCCATAGACTACTGCTTCAGATGCCAATGTAGACATATCAACCCAGAGACCGAGCATGATCATGTAATCTGGATTCTGGAGTTCATTGGACTCTTTAACATCCAATGATCACAACTGACTTCACCAACGTTACGGATAAGGCAGTATACCAACAACATAAGAACAAACGAATAAATGAACTGAACACATCTTCGTAAATCAAAACTCTTTCTAGGTACAAGACAGTTGCTACCGTTAGTAAAAAGAAAAAATGATCACAACAGAGAACAGAGAGTCACCAAATGCTTACCTTTTAGTTTGCCTGACGGTCGGCAAAGTGCCATTCACAGCAGGAACCGCCACTATGGTGGGTTCACTCTCTGAAACAGCTGCACTGCCACCAGCGGAAACCGCTTTAGAGCTAGAAGACGAATTCCCCATGATGGCTTCAATCTGCTTAAACCAATGCCAGTTACTAGTCGCATTACCTCCAAACCCAGCACTACCACCACCATTGTTGTTGATCCTCTGCAGCTCCACCTTATACCTCTTCTTCAAATTGTCAATCTTGTTCTTACACTGTTCCACGCTCTTCCTGTTATTGCTCCCACCCCTCTCGCTCACAGACTCGGCCACCTCCTCCCAGTCCCTCCCCCGCAGATTCCCGCGGTTCAGCTGGCTGTACTTCACCGTGTACGCGTCCAGCAGGCAGGAGATCGCCGTGTCGCTCCATTCCTCCCTGTCCTTGCGATAATCCGCCCTGTAATCCGGCGTCGTGGTGGTCGTGTTGGCGGTCGATTCCGGTTCCGCGCTGTTGCCGTTCGCTTTCTGCCTTTTGCTGCCGCTGTTGTTGTAATAGAATTGCTGCGACGGCTGCTGCTGCTGGTGACTCCGTTTGGACGACGGCGTGGCCGGAGCTCCGGATCCGGATTTTTCCTGGTCGGAGTCGGGGTAGGTGGGGTAGTAATCTCCGCCGTGGACGGACTCGGAGTCGGGGTGGACGGCGGGTGCGTGAGCGGACGGAGGAGCGTGCGGATCGTCGATTAATGGGAAATCGTCGGTGGCCATGAGATTAGGGTTTGGAAAAGGCGGGCAGAGGGGAGAGAGAGAGAGAGAGAGGGAGAGATGACGACGTTAGGATCAGGGTGACGGAGGGATGGCGGAGGTGAGGACGGAGGGGGGATTGAGATCGGTGACGGAGTGAGCAAGGACTGAGGGAGGACGTTAGGGTTGATGCCAGCCAGTCACGGGCTGTAACGGATCCGTTTAAAAAGAGACGAAACGGAACTGTGGAAAGTGGAAGCAATCGCTTTGTAATTTTATCTTTTGTGTTCTGTTTTCACTTTTTAGTTTTACTTTTACCACCTCCTTTCACAGTTCACCCACCGACAGTTTGGTGGTTTCAGATTTTTTCCCCCTCTTAACAGAGATGGATTGGCTAGATAACAGATGCCACGTTTAAGTTCAGACAATGAAAATATTACATAGGGTCACTAAATAGAGTGTGTAAATCGGTTTGGTTTGGCTTCGAAGTACGTTATTAGATACAAAAGAAAAAAATTGGATATAAAATAAATGGGTTAATTGCAAGGATGGTCACTGGGTTTATTAAAACTGTTCATGTTTGGTCACTGCAAATATTTAATTCCATTCATGGTCACTAAGATTAGTTCAATAGTTCAAGTTTGGTCACTCTCTGTTAGTCTCCGTTAGTTTTTGCTGATGTGGCAGTCAACTATTATAGCTGACCGTTAAATGAGTGACGTGGCCATTAAAAAATAATAAAATAATAAAATTTAAATATTTATAATTTACACCTCATTTTACAACTATTAAAAAATAAAAATAATGAGTGACGTGGCCGGATCAGGGACTTGATGGGGCGAATCCAACATCCATCTCCCTCACCTCCCCCGTCTCGTCAGCTACGTGGTAGTAGATAGTACTCCCCTCCAACTTCGGCGGCGACCCAACATTCGAGTCCGTCGACTGCATCAACCAAAAAGAACAGGAAAAAAGAATTTCCAAATCACAGATTCAGAATCGTATTATGGCCAGCATAAAGAGTAAAAACACTCAAACTTTGGCTTCCAAATCTAACCAATCGGACCAAAATCCATACCTCTTGTCTCAAGAAATTAGTGGGTTTAGCGGAGAAAGAGGAAGGCGAGCTGGATTCCTCGAAATTGAGCGAATCCGCGTGAGGGAGCTGCTGCTGAGAAGCAGGGGATTTGGCGGCGGCAGGGGACTGGACTTGAATCTCAACGACGTCCATGTCCCATTGAACCCAATCCTGGGTCGCGGTCCGATGCGGGATGTCGTGGGTCACAGAGTTTCTCCACGGCGGGAGGCCGCCGTTAGCTCTCAAGAAGTTCCCTTACCGGGTCCAGAGCTTGATCTGGGTCCCCTCCCGAACCGGCTCCCACTCCACCGACGAGTCGAGGCGGTGGGGCAGGGTCTGGAGCACCTTCCGGCCGGTCATGCCGAGGAGGAAAGGGTGGCTGGAGGCGGTGAGGTACTTGTTGTAGGACTTGAGGCGGATGATGGAGTCAGATCCGGGTACGGGTTCGACCCACCACTTGGCTGACTTGGACGACCCGTTTCAGTCCTGCAGGACGGATTCCTCGTTGTCGTCGGCGAGGAGGTACTTGTCGTGGTGGCTGCGGAGGCGGACGACTTTGGCCTTGTGGAAGAACTCCATGGCGGAGCGGAATTGGTTGAAGCTGCCGGTCTGAGAAGAAGAAAAAAACAGAGATTGAAGAGAGAAGAAGACGTAGAGAGGAGGAGTCAAATTGAATAGAGAAGATCGGAACTTTTTTATATGATTGGAATTGGGGTTACTTCTTTTCTCTTTTCTTTGTTTTCTAATAATGGTGGTGGGAGAAGGAAAGAGATCGGGCGGCGACAATAGCGGTTGCTGGGGAACAGTCGGCGCCAGCCAAGTTGGAGATGAGGTGTAAATTTTTATTTTTTAATAGTTGTAAAATGAGGTGTAAATTGTAAATATTTAAATTTTATTATTTTTTAATGGCCACGTCACTTATTTAACGGTCAACTATAATAGTTGACTACCACATCAGCAAAAACTAACGGAGACTAACGGAGAGTGACCAAATTTGAACTATTGAACCAATCTTAGTGACCATGAATGGAATTAAATATTTGCAGTGACCAAACATGAACGGTTTTAGTAAACCCAGTGACCATCCTTGCAATTAACCCTAAAATAAATTCATGAGATCATGATTTTTAGGCACATATTATACTTTTTGAAATAAAGTTGGAATTAGAGTATTCGATGCACGAAATCTAAGTTGAGCAACATCATTTTTATGGCGAAATTTTCAGAGCTCTACTACTATAACTACTCTTACATTTGCGTAGGATCTTTTATGTATAGAGAGCTCTACCGTTATGGCTGGATTGATTTTGAGGTAGTTATGGCTAGATTGATTTTTGAGGTTCTTGTTGCTGTTGTCTTCTCCTTTTGTTTATAAGTGATCATTGATCATGGTTGGGAGTTGAAGAAATAACTCTCATGCGGAGAGACGAGGACATAACCATCCTATCAATGTTGGTTTAGTAATGTTGATCTCAGTGCATAGTCTTTAACTACCTAAATTGCTTGTTGATACTAGATTGTCGATTTTAGTTTTGATTGGGTGACATCAAGTTAGCATGGTAATGTTGTCGCGTCAGGTTGTTTGTTGACATATGGTTGACAATGTGTAGCACTTGCAAGCGTAAGTGCGTAACTAACATTATATTGATGTTTTGGCTAAACATTAGGGCTAAGAAAAATGACCCCGATAAATCGAAACCATCGTTGTTGAGTCAAGTTCATAACCTCATCTCTGGGATGGCGACATTCTTATGAAGGTAACAACAATACTATGTTGGAAACTCTACCGTCCATAAACATAAAACATTAAAACTTCATTTGGTCATTTGGTGCATAGGGGTGTGCAACGGTTCGGTTCGGTCCGGACCGGACCAAACTCATGAGAACCGCGGTCCATTAGTGAAAGACATGTTAGGACCAAGGACCGGACCATTCTTGCATTTGGTCCATTTGGTCCAGTTCGGTTCGGTCCAAATATGAGCTCGGTCCACCATTTCTTCAGTAATTATAAAATTCATGAGGACCAAGGACCAGACCGCATTTTACTCGGTCTGTTTCGGTCCGGTCTTAACAATGGTTTGGTCCGGTGTGGTCCGGTACAGACCATTGCACACCCCTATTGGTGCACTAAGTGAACTAGATGAGAAGCTTATAAGTGTGACATGAGTGAAGGAGATAGACACTACTCGGAGAAACTTATTGAAGTTTTTGAAGCAGCTCAGGTCAGCTAATGCAGGTTCTAGCTCAAGTACACTCACTCATAGGAAACTTCTGAGTTCAGATAGCTTGCTAATGCTATAACTAGGAAGGACCAAGAGCGAGCCAAGTTGTACAGAAAAACCTGAACCTGTGTCTTTTCATTTTCCAAAGAGAGTATGTGGCCTTTTGTGATCATAACTTAATCTAAGCAGGGGGGAGATGTCATTTAGAAGTAAGAACTTTCCTGTTCCCATAAATACAACCGGGAGAGCTACAGAAAAGAGAAGGGGATTTTCTTATATGTATGCTAATGCTATACACCAAACCTCCTCCCTCAGCTCTTCCATCAGTCCTCGCCTTCAGCAGGTGAATGGTATTCTGGAGATCGATTCTCCTCCGTTGATGAGCCCTTATTTGCTCTTTCCTTCCTTTCATTCCACCTAGCCCATACCCACTTCAGAACGATGAACCCTCCGAGTGCATAGACCTGCAAACCACACATAACCTGGTCAGGTCTTTACCACAGCAGAAAGTAGAGAACAAACTTGCAAGCCTGAAAGTAGTTAAAATGAGCCCACTGCGAAAGAAGGCTTCCCTCCTCAACAAAAGGAGTGTGGGATGCATTGTTCAAAAGTAAAATGGAAATTGACATTGTTCAAAAGTAGTAAGGCAGCAGAGAGTAAGATGTCGAGTGAACTGGAGAAAGTTAATTCCTTTTGGCTCCAACACAATTCATGCAGAACAACAGCAAATCTTCCTGCTATTTCTTTCTCGGGCTCTATGAGGATCCAAAAGATTGTATAGTACATCAACATCTTATATAGGAGTCGAAGTGATTAAATGGAGGTCTCACATTCTTCCCGTGGCATGCATCTTGTGTACACTATGTAGCAGATATGATAGAGCCTTACACTTTACATAGCTCGTCCCACCCCAAATTGTAGGCTATACCTCCATCTAATTCAACCTCTCATACGCTTCGCCAATAATTAAGAGCTTAAACAACAAGAGGTCAATTAGGTCATCCCTACCAAAACAGGACACACTAAGGGTTGCCAATATTTACAACTATGATTCCCGGTAAGCTCCACCTTGATGCATGCAGCAATTAGAAAGCGAGAAAACATCTAATCAAGTCTACTCGCCCAAGACACTGGAAACTAGCAGGATGGAGCCACTAGTATATAGCAGACTGCACGTAAGATGGATGATTTGGAGGGTTGTACTCTATGCAACTGCAAAACTAAAGTGCAAACTAAACAAGCCACGTTATTTTACAAACATCTCTAAGCTAAGGACTGCAAACCAAAATATATCACTAACTAGAGAACTTTCTTGGAGTTTCTTCCAAACACACCAGACTGCCAAGGATAAGCAAATTAAGCATGTACTCATAGTATCCAGACCCACCTGCCTTAAAACCACACAGCCATCTGAGACAACGATAACCAGCCTTATTTTAGGACCCAAACAAACCACCAAACCCCAAGCTTTAACCCAAAACTCGCTCCCATTTGCAAGCAAAACAGGTCCCCATTCAAGCTTCTTTCTATCCCAAACACAAATCAGCGGTGCGGTAATCGACGAAAGAAGCAGAAGCGTAGTAATCAAATATCAAACCTGCCAAATAATGACGGGGTTGTGACTTTTACTAGTGCTCTCTGAAACCTGAACCTTCATAGGAGCAACTGAACGGGCATTGGGTAGCCTTACAAGGACAGGGTTAGGGGTTTCGGTATCCTGCTGGTTTTTCCCAGTTACCGCCATGCTTCCACTCCTCTCCGCCATAGCTGGTGGTGTGATATTCGAAAAGAGTTTAAGTTGCAGAATAGACTGGAAAAGGATTCTGGGTTTCTCGATAACTTTTGACCTCTTCACTTCCTAAGACCTTCCTTCCCCCACTGGTGAAGAATGAAAAGCCGGAGCCCGGCCCAGAGTGGGATGTAAAATTTACGTTTCTAGCCCTCGCAACCCGTCTTATTTACTAGACTATCATTATTATCCACAAACAAAATCGGTTTTCTTCTAACTTCTACCGTTCCCGAAGTCCGAGCTCACCAACCAAACCAAACGCGAAACTTGGGAACGGGATGGTGGCGGCAAAATAGACGTACCGAATAAGTGAGCAGGGGATGAGAAGGCTCGTCGACTTCCAGCTGAAGAGGAGGAGCAGTCGAGGAAGGTTTGCGTTGTTCCGCAAACTTGACTGCATCAGGTTTGTCGGCGGCGGCGGCCGGTGTAGGGTCATCGGAGGCGACGATTTGGCGGCGGGGTTGTTGGGTCTCCCGGCGAAACGGATTAGGGAAGTCGAGGTGAAAGTTGGGGAAGAAGGGGAAAGGACTGGTGGTGGTGGAGGCGCGATCAGGAATTGCTTTGTCGCCCATGGTATGGTTTATGGTTATCGGCGGAGTAGTTTCGGTTGAGTTTGAGAATAAGATGGAAGGAGAAATTGAAGAAGAACACCGCCTGGAAAGCACCAGCAGTCCAGCACAGACTTGTTTGATATATATTGTCCACAAATAACTTTTTTTAAATAGGTGTTTTCTTATATTTTTAGCTGTGATAAGGTAAGTCTTAGGTTCGATGAATTCAATATCTTTTTCCCTTTCAATTTTACTAAAGTTTCATTTTGGTTCCTTCTCAGATTTAAATCGAACGTATATTTTTCAATTAAAGTCATGTATTCCTTACCTGCAAATAAAAAAAAAGGACATATTCTCTTTACTTGCCGTTAGTTCAGCCTCTCATCACTTCACACTTTTGATATGATTCTATATCAAGTTTTGGTGCATGCTAGTTAATCAACCGTTCAATCCAATTCAATTGGTACCCGGATCCAAATTGACGAAATCAGTCAATCAATCGTCTTTAAATATAAACAATTGACGTTATATGTTGTATTAAAATATAAGATTTTGTCAAATTTTTGTAATAATATATTTTTTATTCAAATATGGTATGTATATGTTTAATTCCTCATGTATTATCCTAACATTAGCATAGTTGTATCTTGATCGAACCATTATCTTCATTGACGTAACAATTTAAATGCAACCAATAACATGTTATCTCATCCCCTCGCCCCTATCCTCCACCAAATTTTCAAAAGCATCCAACTCTAACCTCCTTGATTCCACAATGATAGTTCCACTACAATGGAGCTTGTCATTCACATCGCCATGTGACAAGCAGGCGAAAATTTCAACCGTCAATTGCCTTTCTTCTGAATATATCGGGAGAAAGAAAAGAACAAAAAAACTCAGACATGATCGTGCCAATGTTAAGTACACCCAGATGCTCAGCTACAATCGTACTTCCCCCCAAAGATTATAGTGCAAGCAAAACCGCATTACACTGCATGTACACTTGATTCCAACGTATATATAAATAGCTATATCGAATGCAGTAATCCTACCAGTAATCATGAGTTCAAAGAGGGTTCAGAAGATGCTCCACTTCTGCTCCAGTGCATGGCATATCATGCCTAGACAATACTTGGCACTCAACGGGTAGTCTGATACTGATCAACAAGAAAGAAAGAGAGAGAAAACCAATCAGCAGTCCGGCCGTTCATCACACTGGTAATGTATTTTCATGTTCTGTTCCACATTTCGCATGCAAGATCTTTGATGCTAGTTCGTTAACGAATATGACCAACAGTAACTCTCCTTCATCAGCTCTCATAATTTCTATTGTCATACAGGTGAAATGAGCAGGGAATTGCATCTGTCGAGAATGATGTTGGGTAGTGTGAGCACAAACAAACTATACAATGCAATGCCAAAGGCCAGTCTATGAGAAACTCTAAATTTGTCCTTTAATACCTCCTTGATCATTCCCATCTCCAGAAAATGTCACCAAACAGATGCAAGAAATCCACTTTTATCAGGATAACATGTATGAAAATGAAACACATAGGCCATCTAAGTCTGCCATGCTAAAGCCACGAAACTTACTTGAAACGTAGTCATTGGTGTACTCCTCACTGACTTTACCATTCACCATTGCACCCACCTAATGCCAAAGGGAATTCAGTCATATAGCATACATCAAAATACAGTTGTATGCAGTTTTATAAGCACAAGAACCAGCTCAGCCTAGAAATTCCAACAAGTCCATACCACAAACACAGGGTTGAAATCGTCACTAATGCCAGAGACATAGTCCTTTATCTGAACAGACTTCTGTGAGCTGTAAGAGAGGCCTGCAAACCAAGGAGTGTCACTATCAATACATGTCAAGTACAACTATAGTAAATGACCAGAAAAAACATCAATACCAGACCAGTTATACGGGCATTTTCCGGTAGATATCGTGTCACAGGTCCTTCAACCATACGAATGAGAACATCCCCAGTATCCTTGGACCGTATACAAGACTTCTCCAGTACATCCACTTCATAAATTGCGAAAGCCAACAGAAAATGGCCAAGAAAATCAGCTCAAATAAAGCAAGTTGGACTCGTAGTTAAAAAAAAACTGAAAAGGAAAAGGCATGCATTTCATGAATACAAATGACTCACCCACTACGCCGCAAAATCTCTTGCAAGTTCTTGGTATTCTTACATGAGGTTTGACTTCAAGGAGTAGTCCAGCATCAGTTTTGACATAAATAGCTCCAACCATACCAGCCTTATTAAGTTTACTGTCCAGAATTGCCCGCAGAGCCTGATAGAAAAATAAGTATTCAACACATCCGCCCCATCTATTCAGAAAAGGGGGAAATACCAACAACATTGCGAAAAAATCAAACCTCAAGGAGCATTAAGATAAGAAGGCAAGTGATGAACCAACCTCAAAGACAATGTCAGGCTGATAATCATTGGGGTTCTTCCCTTGCCTGAGCAGAGAGTTCCCATCCTCGTTACACCGCAGTATCTTCTTTTTCTGGACAAGCACAAAATTCAAAAGGGTGTCATCACCACCAGAGTTTATTGATTCCGCTTCATATGAATTGGACGGCATTGGAAAATTGGAATTGTAACTAAACCTTGTGGACGAAGCCCTTGGTCAGAGAAGCATTCTCGAGAACAAATACAGCCCGTGACTTGACATCCCTCAAATGGGGATTACTCTTGCTGCACTTGGCAACGGCTTCCTCTCTTTGCTGTGAAGCAATTACATCGTCAGCTTTCGACTCTATCTTGCCCCTTTCTCCTCTTCCCTTCTTCGAATCGCTTTCCACCGACCCCAAAGCCTTCCCTCTCTTCCGCTTCGCCATGTCCGCTGCGTATCAATCTGCACAATCGAAGCTAACGAATGAAACCCAAAACGCAATTCCAGAGTCACAAAAGTCACTCGCAATGCAATTTCCAAGTTCGCCGTAGACGGGAAAACAGCAGCATTCGAGTAAAGAAGCTTCAACAAACCTCTGGGAGACCCAAGAATCCGGCTGTTTTACTTTCCTAACGCTAGTGCGTTGATGGTCGGAGGAGGAGACGCCGAACAGAAATCAGCCGCTCCTTACTGAACGCTCTGCCCCGTCGGGAATCTCCGAAACGGAGGGTTTTGCCGTTTGGGGGGGTTTTATTGTATTTATGCCGAGACGGTTGCGGGCCGGGTCGATCCTCTAATGTCTGTTTGAAAGCCCAACGCGCGGCGTATTTAGAATGACAAATTGAAAAGCCCAACAGTTAGACAAAACTGAAGAGGCTCCCGGCGGAGCAAAAACCCTGACTGCCGTGGCGAGGGAGTGACCAGTCACCGGTGCCGCAAGCAAGCAAGCTGCAGGTCCTCTTCTTCGCTGTTTTCCGGTCGACAGACTTCCCGATATTCTTTGGCTGCAGGTAACAACATCGATTTTTTTTTTCTGAAAGAGTAACCCCTATAATTTGTGTCTTGCCCCTTTCCGGCCGTTCCTACCTGTAACTTCTTTCTTCTTGGTGCTTTCTGAGCCAGCGGTACTAGTATTTTATGGAGTGTATCCGTTTCTAGGTAGACAAACAAATGCTGTTAGACTGTAAACCTTGTGGATGATTGCAAAGTGGGATCATTATCCTTAACCTTAATACTAGTGTGGTGTAGCACGTAATGAATCCCAACGATGGTTCTTGTAGCTAAACATTCCATTCCAATGGTAGGGTTCATGAATTTGCCTCATATATTGCTTGTCTTATCCAATATGTCTCTATTGCATTCTTATTCTTGTTTGTTGGTTTTTGGTTGTTTGTCTTCAGTTTTATGGTTTCAAGGGCATTATAGGATGGATTCCGTCAGGCTTTATGCTTAGGGCTGAATTACCATTCTCTATAATGGAGGCTTTGTTGTTCAGGTGCTCATTTTATGTTTATTTCATATAGAGGGGGTTTAACAATTTGCCAAACCTTGTTTTAGGATTCCTTGAGCTAACTTGTGAAGAGAAGGTGAGAGTAAAGAAGGGTGATGAAACAAAATAAGGGAGATGAAATCGAGGGGGGAGAAGAAAAGATAAAGGTTTTATGCTTGAAACAAGCAAGTGATGAGCCAAAGCTTAGCAGAATTTCTTCAGGACACGGGAAGCAGGGATCAGAATTGGGAGTAGATCAGGTGGCAATGTATCTCCCTGGGATTGCATTGCCACCATCCAGTCCAGACTCCAAAGCTGGGGTGATTTTTGTTCTTGAGAAGGCTTCGTTGGTTCTTGCTAATGTTGGACGAGTAAAGCTCTTTTCTCTTATCATAATGGTTTAAATCTGTATCATCATACAAGGCACGTGTTGGGTTTTAGCCTCGCATATACTATCACAGGATAGCTGCTTGCAGAACGTAGGTTGGCAGTTTCTAAAGCATGAGAACCGATGCTGCTGCTAGTTAATCATATTAGTTTCAGAAGGTCCTGGTCAGTTATGCCTTCTCACACTAGAGTTGCCTACTTGCAGAGGTATCGTATTTTGAACGCAAATGAGCATTCCGACTACTTAAGGAAGAAGAACATGGATCCATACAAGTACAGACCTGATATTGTTCATGAGGTTAGTCATTCTTCTATCATACAGGGTGTTAATGTTATTTCTATAATTGATGCTCCATCCTTTTCTTCTTCTGCTGAGTGGTAGTCCCTTGATTTACTGGGTTGTCAAATTAATCCTAGCTAGGTGGCGGTCCTGTTACACAAATTATGAACAGGCACCGTTTGGTTTAATTTATCTTCTTTTATGGACCAAAATTATGCATGAAACTCTGTTCATTCTCTATGTATTTTAGGCTCTCGTCGGAATTATGGATAGCCGGCTCCGTATGGCTGGTAAGTTAAAGGCAGTGTACATCAAGACAGATGAAGGGATTTTGATTAAAGTTGAACCTAATGCTCGAATTCCGAGGACATTGGAAGAATTCTGTGATATGATGGGTGAGTTTTGAATTTCTATGGAATTGAATAATGTGAATCACCTTGATCAAACTTTGCCCAGTTGTTTTAACTATTCGGTAGTATCACTTGTGCAGCTCAGTTGTTGCAGAAATTGAGCATCAAAGCCAAAGGGAAGGGTGGGAAATTATTGCGGTTGGTTCAAAATCCAGTAACTCAGTACTTTCCTGTAAACTCCATTGCAATAGGGTAGGCAGGGGAGTTTATTTTTCAAGCGCTTTGATTGGTTATTTCTTAACTATATATGTATCCTTACACTGCCTCCTTCTGCTACTTCAGGTCTCTCATTTGTTTCGCAGAAGGCACTCCCCATAGAGGAGTACATTAGCGGAGTCAACGAGGACAATGACCTCATTTTTGTGGTACATTTCAAGCTTCGTATGCTTTTGATGTCGCTTAGTTCTTCAGCCATGCAGTAATGTGATACTTGTTGTTGCAGGTTGGCACTATGGCCCATGGTAAAATCGATAGCGACTACGTTGATGATCTTGTAGCAGGTATGGTCCGATCGTTAGTTACTTTCCTATCTTTCCTCTCTGATTTCAACGCTTCGTCGCTGATTTGTTTGCTCTTTTTGTAGTTTCTAGCTACCCATTGACTGCTGCTGCATGTTTGAGAGACATAGCCATTGCATTAGAGAGCAAATGGAGAATCCACTGATAATATTGTTCATCCTACTGGGATCAGGTTGTGCTGATGGTTCCTTTGCTGACTTGATGACTATTTCAAGGTGGCCGCCCAGAAGCACAACTCCATTGGTTAATGTGTTTGGCCTAAATTTAAACAATGTTTTCATAATGTACCTGCAAAATTATACCCAAAAAAAAAAGTCACGAGCAACTTAATATTTCAACGGATTATCAGGAAACCTTTCAAGTTTTCAACGGTTGCTATGAAAAAGCAGGGTAATTGCAAAGGTGAATCCCCCAAACGACAATCATGCCTTCTGTTATGGAGCAAAAGCGAGAAACCAAAACCCCACACCCTCTTCCTATTTAAACCGCACACACACAACCTAAACGACCCTCAAACCACGCGCACCGAATTCCCCCCACAACATAATCATGACCCGCACCACCACCGCACTCCTCCTCCCCCTCCTTCTCGCCGCCGCCGCCGGCGCCGGCGATGACCACGGCAACTCCACCACCACGGACTACATCCGCTCCAGCTGCAACGCCACGCTGTACCCTGACCTCTGCTACACCTCCCTCTCCCGCTACTCCGCCGCCGTCCAGCAGAGCCCCCGCCGCCTCGCACGCGTCGCCATCGGCGTCGCCCTCTCCAAAGTCCGCCGGACCGCCTCCTTCCTCGCCAACAACGCCTCCGCCCTAGCCGACTACGGCTCCGACCGCCGCGCCGCCGCCGCCCTCCACGACTGCCGCTCCAACCTCGGCGACGCCGCCGAGGAGATCCGCGGCTCCCTGAAGCAGATGCGGCAGCTGGGCGCCGCCGGGGCGACGGAGGAGGCGTTCCGGTTCCAGATGAGCAACGTGCAGACGTGGATGAGCGCCGCGCTCACCGACGAGGAGACGTGCACGGACGGATTCCAGGACGTGGCCGACGGGGAGGTCAAGGCGGCGGTGTACGCGCGTGCGGCGGAGGCGAAGAAGTACACCAGCAATGCGCTTGCGTTGGTGAACACTTACGCCGCCGCCGGAACTCCGTAGCTTCTTTCTCGCAACTTAGTATGTATAATAATGTCTCTATTAACGTAGTCTTTCTTTTTTTTGTTTTCAAATTATTTCAATATAACCCATGATATGAACCACATATATGTTGATGAACGATTATTGAAGAGCGGCGAGTGTTTTTCGTACATCGATGATGTATTTCCAAAGCGATCGTGATTGAGAATGTTGAGACCAAGGCGGTACAACTGAACCGGCGTACCGATGGAGAAAATTTCATATTGGAGTCTGAATCGGTAGGCGGTTTTTAGTTGTATGAAATGGTAGAACTATGGCGTGAGATGACGATTTGAACATAAAATATCATATTGCCGACATTTTTCGATACGACCTCCGATACCGTTTTATAATATTTGATTGAGACTAGCTCATAGTTGGGAAAGATGTTGTACGTGTTTGGGACTAGGGCTGCAAACGAGTCGAGTTTTTGTTTATCTTGAACTCGCCTTGTTTGTAGATTTTTCAGTTCGAGCTCGGCTCGAACTCAAATTTTGATAATCCAGCTCGAGTTCGGCTCCCGATTAAAAATAATCCAACTCAACTCGGTAGGGCTCGGTAAATGCTCATTAACACAGCTTGTCAAGCTTAGTACAAGTTCGGCTCGAAATGAGCTCGATCTGAAATCATTTTTGCTGAAAAAATATGTACACATAAGAATTTAAATGATAAAAAGAACACCAGAAACTAAAAATAACAGCTAACTTCCATTCACATTTGTATTAACAAGATAATATTCATGTTCTGAAGAGTAATTAATCATTCTACAAGTTTTAAACAATCCAACTCGTGAGGTTAGCTCAACAAGCCAACGAGTTAAGCTAGGTCGTGAGCATGATCTAGCTTAAGATTGGTGGAGGAGTTATTTTGAGTGATTGGTGAAGGTTTCTAGCAAATGAGGGAATGGGATTTGCGGACTCCGCGGCGTTGATCAAAAAGGCTGGGGAGTTTTGGTGGGTTTGGTCGCTTCCAACTTTGCCGAGTAATAATTAGACAGGCAGGAGGGACCTAAGAATATATATGGGAACCAAGGCAATCGAGTCAATCACGCCTTCAAACCATTAAGCATGTTCATTCATTTTAGGATGTCAATTAAACTTATTCTCGTGGGTGTCAATGCGAGTAATTTACATTTTTTTTTTATTAAAAGGAGATTATCAGCCATAGAAGTACAGAGGCATGGTCTCTCTAAACAGAAGTAAGACAATACTACAGGAGCAGTTCAGCAGCAACCTCACAGAGACATGGCTTTATCTGTTTTTGTAGCACTTGCCTAGGGAAGCTGATTCCCTGAGAGTCTTCACGGAGGATAGCAACTAAGTTGGCCGGGGATCATCTAGTTCGTACGTGTCGAATGGATAGACGAGATTGTGCTTCGAGAGCCGGTCTGCGACTTTATTCCCTTCTCTATACGGTATGAGCAAGTTGAACCACCCAGCCTTGCGCCAAAACAAGGCGAATGTTGGCAAGAATCATTGAGTACGGATGAGCAGGATCTGGCCTCTGATTTATCAAGTCTATGGCTAGGTGTGAGTCGGATTCAAGGATGAGGAATTGGGTCCCCCTTTCTCCACGCCAGCGGAAGCCCCTACAGGATTCCCCATAACTCCATCAGCAAGGCTGATGCGAATATATTATAGCTAAAAAATATTGATCAGAATGTTTAGTTTGTGAAAAAAATCGAACCATACAAATATATTATCCCATTTAACTTTTAAACATTTTTGCCATGTTTAGAAATTACTTTATCGAACGGATTTTATATACGAATTTATCCGTGGCAAGTCTCATAGCACCTCAACTTTAGAACAAGAGTGGCAGGGGTAGGCACCATTGTCCTTGGCACAGTAAACTATAGCCCTTGGGTTGGAGTTGGGCAGAAGGATCAAATTGTGGCAAGTGTTATATATATATGGTAAACAGTGGTTAGGGTATTGGCCAAATTCGTACCTGCTAAATGTTGTTCTCGTCTTCAAAGTCAAGTACCACTAATACCCGCCACTTTAATCGGTCAACAGTGAGTGATTGTTATTAAAGGTGGTAAATAACAACCCAATCCACCAATTTAAATCAATAGCTCTGTTAAATATGAACCTAATCCAAATATATAAATTCATTGCCGATCAAATGCAATAGATTTGTGGATTTCCACACGTATTTCTAGTTTGTATTTTATTTACTGATACTAATTTTTTTGATTTTTTACGAAAAGAAATCCATTATTCAGTACATAATGTTATAGTACCAAAAAACTATTTGCTGCTTTACAAAATTATCCACAAATTGCATGTAACTTGAATTCATGAATCTCATCCATAACCATAAATTCCATTAACCTAATTTGATTCGTAAAATGGAGGAGTGTGGCCAGGAGTAGAATTTGATGATGCGGAATAACAAGAACACGAGACAAACAATTTTACGTGGTATCCTCGATCGATTTGATCGAGACTAATCCACGGTGAGCTCGAAAGAGCTCACAGCTGACGTTTTATTGAACGACTACATTGTGACGGCTTGCTGACGACAATCTCCGTAGCTAAGCTTATATAGACGTAGGGTTAAAACCCTAATGACACCAAGTTTCCTTCTTTGACAAGGACAAGGAAACAACGGACTTGGAGAACAAGGAATTAATTATTTTTTACTAAATAATTAATATCCTCAACACTCCCCCTCAAGCGAAGACATGAATGACAAGAATGTCGAGCTTGAAGCTGAACAACACTCAAACAACCTCTTGCTGGCAATGACGATCCAACAGGCGGTGACTTTGTTTGCTTGTGGGAGAGGTAGACGAATGATGAAACTACTCCATGCTTGACCCAGTTCTTTTGACAGTGAACTCAGCATTGTGAAATTCCTTGACGTCTTGGATGAGATTGATCCGACTTCATGCTTGACCTAGTTCAACAATAGTGAACTCCACATGGCGGAATTACCTTGACGTCTTGGATGAGACCGGAGACTGATGACCGGGTTGCTGACTTTGGAGACTTCTAACTGCACTGCTGATTGTGCTTCTCCGAGCAACCTGACTGATCGATAGACGTGGTCGACTTGATGACTGAACTAGTCGACCTACGTTTGATGATTCCCTATTCTCCCCCTCAAGCTGGAGCATGAACGACGTGAATGCCCAGCTTGAAAATTAGAATAATGATGAATCAAAATTGACTGATGCTGAACGCGGAGGGGACGATCGCTTCTTTGATCGTGACTGCCTCGCGGGATGACTTGAAAATTTGTTGACAGAAGCTACTCTATCTCCCCAACACTAGCTATTGAAGGGACGACCAAGACATGTCGCGATTGACTTCAACGCCATGACTTTGATGTTGGTAAAGATTGGCTTACTGCCGGACTGTGAAGATGACTCGTCTGTAACGCCGGAACAAACTCCAAACTGTGGCTGCCTTTGACTGAACAATGCTTAATGATGATGGTGAAAACCCCTTTAATTTCCTCCACCGCCAACACAAGGCCAGAAAGTATGATGACAAGATAACTTTTATTTACCCAACGTAATTCCACCAACTAGTCTCCATTCTCCAAACATAATCAACCAAACAGAAACACAGAACAAAAGTGTATTGTTCTTAGCAACTCGACCCATGCACATAACAAGAACAGAACCTGGAGAGACGGCCGAGCCAGCGTAATGACGAATTGGAGAGAGAGACCACGAACGACCATGACATGAGCCTTGACTGGCCAGCGAACTCGTGAGGGTGCTGATGCTGGGACATCGAGACTCCTCCTTTCACAGAATTTCTTTCAGCTTGCCACTCTATAATTGTTCATGAACTTGACAACGACGAACAAGACTTCGGACAGGACAGCGCCAATCGAGACGAAGAAGAACATACCGAACAACAGGGAACTCATGATCGATCGCCATGGATGGCAGCGGGGCTGCGGGCAGTGGATTTTCCTTGAACGACAACTGGGCAATGAGAAACAAATCAGAACTGGCAGCGGCAGTGCTGCGATGACTCCAGCTCTGTTGCGGTTGATGATGAGGTCATGAGGCTAGCAAAGAGCCGGACGGAAATTGAACAACCCAGCTATGGGCAATTCCGGAGACGCGACTGCCACGATCTCGTTAGACTGAAGACCTGGGACACAGCGGCGGACACCGCCTACGAGAAAAAGAACCACAATTTTGCACCGGGAGTTCAGCGGTGTCGGTAGGATTGACGGCGGCTAAAGGATTCCGAGCACACGACTGCGGAGACGGAGTGGAAAGCCGGAATGAACATCGGCCCTCCTGACGATGCAGCCGTGAATGAGGGTAGCGACGCCGGGACGATTGAGCCGGCGAACGGACTTCAAGTAGATCCAAGGCGGAATGGACTTCGTCTCGGTCAACCGGACGTGTGGAGAGCGGCACTGCTCATCTGAATCAACAACGGGGATCTTTTGGACGGATCTGGGAGATCAACGACAAATAATCCCAACAATTGACAATTGACGAACCATGGCGGAATGGACTTCGCTTAGGTCGACTATGCTCAGCGGAATAACATCGCTGATGAACAAAACAAGCTAGCGGGATGAACATCGCTGGTGCGCGGAAGACTAGCTGAATCTACAGCTCTGATACCAAGTAGAATTTGATAACGCGGAATTGAAATAACACGAGACAAGGGATTTTACGTGGTATCCTCGATCGATTTGATCGAGACTAATCCACGGTGAGCTCGAAAGAGCTCACAGCTGACGTTTTATTGAACGACTACATTGTGACGGCTTGCTGACGACAATCTCCGTAGCTAAGCTTATATAGACGTAGGGTTAAAACCCTAATGACACCAAGTTTCCTTCTTTGACAAGGACAAGGAAACAACGGACTTGGAGAACAAGAAATTAATTATTTTTTACTAAATAATTAATATCCTCAACAGAAATCCATTATTCAGTACATAATGTTATAGTACCAAAAAACTATTTGCTGCTTTACAAAATTATCCACAAATTGCATGTAACTTGAATTCATGAATCTCATCCATAACCATAAATTCCATTAACCTAATTTGATTCGTTAAATGGAGGAGTGTGGCCCATTTGTATCCATTTTAACTAATTGAGGAGTAGAAATCTGAAACATCAATCACATAGATTTCTCCTTGCCCAACTTTGTTATGAAAGTCAAAATCTATTTCCTCCCTAAACAAAGTCATAATGTTGTCTTGAATTGGAAGAAGTTGGGCGCACATGCCATTGAAGATAACACTCAAAATTGATGTCAAAATGAAGATATGGCCATCAATAACATTGGCTATTACGAAATTGGATAAAAGCAACAATATTAACAGAAATTTTTTATTTTTCTAAGTGAGGTGTTCTAATTAGAAGGAAAACAGTCGTACTAAAACGCAAATACTGTGAAACCATACCGAATATCATACCTGAAAAACTAATAGTCGAAGTATTGTACTTAAATTATGGTTTTCTATCTTTGTCCAACAGTTTACTATCGTTAAAATCACTTACTGGCATTTCCAATATGACCTAATGGTAGAGTACAGTTCCTCAAAATTGAGGAGACACATAGAATTTACCAATCGATGACGTCTTTGTTGAAAAGGAAAAAAAAAAAAAAAAAAGGTTCGCCGTCGGTTGGGCTTTTGCCTTCTGGGCTAGTTTTTTTTTTTTGGTGCGAAAATAAGAAATCAATGTATGGCGCGCTGGGCCTAAAACCCAGAGGAAACCTCTCTTTGTGGAGGATTGTTGCCGCAACAGCTGAAGGGATTCTCTTCCGCCTCTCTGCTCGTCTCCGATCGACAGTATCCCCGCCGGGATTTTCAGCTTTTCATATACAGGTAACGACGTCGAAAGAGTAACCGCAAGTCCCTAACCCTAATTTTATCTAGCGGCTAATTCCTCTTTCCTTTCAGCCGTTCCATACTTTTTCCAGTGTAGTTGCAGACCGGGACAAGTTGCCGTGGGGGGTTTTAGGATTGAACTCTGTCTTTCTCTGCTCTCGATTACGCTCAAATATCCAAAAGATCATTACCCTTTGAAATCGTCACCGTTTACTGCTTGTGGTTTCAAGTTTTTTTTTTTTCTGGTAAGGACGGAGGACTATTCACCGTCTACTCCTTTCAACCGCAAGAAAAACTGAATAGAGAGATTAGGCTATTTTGGAAGGCTGCAACTTGGAATAGTTGACTGCATTCTGTATTTAGAACCATTTGTATTTTCTAGTATCTCTCATGGCCTATTCAAACTTAGAGAGATGAGCTATGGTTGGTTGTGTCCGGCATTTCTAATTGGCTTTAAAGCTTCCTGAACTGGTTATAGGACGGGGACACTATTTGTTCACTGTTGCAGTGTTGCTTACGGCTTGTTTAGTTGTTCTTCCTTCTTGTTGGTTCTGCAATCATTGTTTATTGCAAAGTGTTTCAGTTTAGCACTCTGATATTTCTGTTTCCTTACTGTGGTGAGATTGGATCTCCCTATAGTCTCTTAATTTGAAACTTTGTTTTCTTCCATTTGTTGTTTTCAGATTTATCTTCATCTTGACTGTTTGTAGCAAGATGGGTTTGGAAGAAGAAGCTGGTGGCTCTGCAAAGATTTTGCCTCCTACGGAACAGGTATTTATGAATCCCTAATGTCACTTCCTAGGAAAACATGTCCTAGCAATACAAATCTGGTAAAGCCCATAATTAGTCCCAAGGATGGTTCTCATATCATACCTAGACATTTGAATCTGATTTTGAAGTTCATAAATTTCAGATATTACTTGGCTTATCCAATATTTTCCTACCTCCGTTCTGTGAAATATTGCCAGAATTTGGTACTGAGGTTTTGAACATGTGATCTGTTTTGCTAATGTGGCGTGGGAATTTGCCACCCATCTGAATCTTCCATCAATATTGTATTGTGGTCCCAAAGTATGTAAATTTTTAATAACCTTGAGCGACAACTGATTGAAATTCCTTCTTGTTTGTTGCAGGAATTATCTGCAGAGCTAGATACTAAATTGCAGAAGTATCTTAGAGGAGAGGGTGCAGATCTTGAGGTATCCACTTGTGATTCAGATTATTTGCTTTGACAGGGTTGTGCTTGCTATTTAATATTGGTTCTTTCTACGCAGGCTTTAAAAGATAAAAAGTTGAAAGGCCAGCTTTTTGTTCGAGAAAAATTATATGGCAACTCTGCAAAAGCTGCAGCAAAGTTTGAAAAGGTCGGTTTCAACACTAGTCTATTACTTCTCTGGTTCAGCTGATAACATAGGCATATGATACCCTCCGTTGATTCCCTATATACTTGAATCAATAAACTGATCCACCTGTTACAAGAAAGGAGGAATGAAGTACATATTTTCTGTTTTGTCTCTAAAGATATTTTGGGGTTGGAATTCCTTACTAAATTGGAGGTTTGGTAGCGTGGAATGATTGCATTGCCAGATCAATACCTCAGATCAAACAAAGTCCTAAATGCATTTCTAAGGATGAAGCACGATATATTATGCTGTTCTCTTCTTCTCGTGTCTTTTGAGTTTTGGTGTATCTGAAACGTTGGTGTCATGTAATCAGGGTAAAAATTTATTTGCCCCTCCATTTACTCAATTTGTGTTATTCATCTTGCTCATGTGAATTTGGTAGATCGAATAATGCAGTTGCTTATTGAACCATGTTAAGTTGTTGCTTTTTTCAGTGGCTTATGCCAAGTGAGGGAGGATATCTGGAGGCTGAAGGTGTAGAAAAGACATGGAGGATCAAACAAGATCAGCTTACTCGTGAAGTTGATATTTTAAGTTCAAGGAATCAATATGATATAGTGTTGAAAGGTTTGTTTATAGTAGCCTTGCCACTTAGAAAATTTATAGGCTCAATATTCCTTTTCCACCTTCATCTAGAAACTTGCTGCAATTTTCTCCTTACCTATGTGATCTACAGGTTCTTGTTGAGAACTTGTCACTTGTTTTATTTTATGTGATTATCTGCATTACTGATATTGATTTCTGATTATCTTGAGAAAATATTTGTTATTATGGAGAGAAAATAATCTTGTTAGTAAGGAGAATGAAAAGTTGTTAAGCTGATTTGTTATATTTCCTGCTACTTCTCCGTGTTTTTTTTGCCGAGTTAGACTCATCAGGTAGCTTTCACAGCTGCTTAGTTCATTGTAGATTTCTGGATGAATTAAAGTTTATCTGATCATGATTAGCTGTTGGTGCTACCTGTATTGACATTAGTTTGGTGTGCAGATCTTGGTCCCTACACTCTGGATTTTACCCCTAGTGGTCGATACATGGCGACTGCAGGACGTAAGGGGCATGTGGCTATTGTAGACATGAAGAGTATGGAGCTAATTAGAGAGATGCAGGTACATCTAGGCTGCCTCATAATGACCTGTTGCCTTTATCCCAAATTAAACACTTTGTTCAGAATTAATACTAGATGCTTAAGCACTTAGTAATCTTCTTAACCCATTGAGACATAAAACTTCTTTGTCTCAATTTATAATCTCTCAAAGGTTGCTTTATCTTGTTGGCATTTAAACACTTAATCTAACATGCTTAAAAAAAAACAATCTGGCATACTTATGGTTATGATATATATCTGCACTTTCAGGTAAAAGAAACAGTTCGAGATATTGTGTTTTTGCACAATGAGTCATTCTTTGCAGTTGCACAGAAAAAGTATGGCCTTCTTTCTTTTGTTGCATATAATATTTGCAGTACCATGTATTTGTCTATTGTTATAAATTCTCCAAGGATTATTTGCCATTGAACTGGATAAGTCTTGTCATGCTATTTGATAACAATGCTGTCCTCTGGTCTTCCAGTATCAAGCATGCACCTATTCCTACTTGTGCTTTGTAGGATCTACTACAACGCAAGTGGGAAATAGCATGCTTAGTACTTGAAAACTGCAATGAAACAGGTGTCCGCCTTGTGGCAGGCTTCTTCAATTTTGACTTATGGACCCCTCTCTTTTGTGTTCCTCTGATATTAATTCATTATATATGGCATGCAAATGCTGATTGAGTATGCAGTTCAGTAACTCCACATGTCAGGCTCCTCTGTTGAGATGAGATGTCTAAGATTCTATCCTTTGTTCAGGTACCCATACATTTATAACCGGGATGGAATCGAGCTTCATTGTTTAAAGGTAAGTAACACTGTCGCTGGCAGTATTCTTAATAAGCCTCGAGTTTTGTGTCTTGCAAAGTAATGTACAGAAGGTATTTACATCTTTATATAGGTAATCCGATTTCAAGATGCAACAGAGTAAAACTAAGTTAAGTTATATTTATTCAGGAACATGGAGCAGTGTCGAGGCTACAGTTCTTGAAGAACCATTTCCTCCTAGCATCAATAAATAAATTTGGACAGCTCCGTTACCAAGATGTTACCACCGGCGAGATGATAGGTAACTTCCGTACGGGGTTGGGACGCACCGAGACGATGCAGATCAACCCTTACAATGGCGTTGTTGCAGTTGGTCACTCTGCTGGTACGGTAAGCATGTGGAAGCCCACCAGTGCTGCTCCCTTGGTCAAGATGCTCTGCCATCACGGCCCTATTTCAGCACTAGCATTCCACCCGAATGGCCATCTCATGGCATCTTGTGGAAGAGAAAAGAAGATAAAAATTTGGGACTTGAGGAAATTCGAAGTGGTTCAAACAATACCCGGGCACCATGCTAAGACCTTGGATTTCAGTCAGAAAGGTTTACTTGCTGCAGGAACTGGATCATATGCTCAGGTTTTAGGTGATTTCTCAGGAACCCAAAACTACAGCCGGTACATGGGTCATTCAATTGCTAAAGGGTACCAGATCGGAAAAGTATCTTTCCGGCCTTATGAAGATGTTCTGGTCATGGGCCACTCGATGGGATGGTCATCTATCCTCATTCCGGGTTCAGGTGAACCGAACTTTGATACTTGGGTTGCAAACCCATTTGAAACAAGTGAACAGCGGAGAGAGAAGGAGATCCACTCTCTGCTCGACAAGCTCCCACCTGAGACGATAATGTTGGACCCCTCGAAGATTGGTACATTGAGACCATACAAGAAGAGGGAGAAGCCTACGAAGGAGGAGATAGAGGCAGAGAAAGAGGCTGCTGTTGAATCGGTCAAAGACATTGCTTTGAAGAAGAAGACCAAAGGTAGGAATAAGACGAGCAAGAGGGTGATGAAGAGAAAGGTGTTGATCGATAAAGCCAAGAAACCTTTCCTGGAGAAGCAAATGCTGGAGGAAGGAAAAGTTGCAGGGAAGAAGCGAAACCTCGGTGAGGAAACTGAATTGCCTGCGTCTCTGAAGAGATTCGTGCGCAAGAAGGCTGCCGTCTAGTAGCTTAGTAGATGCTTTCTATTCAACTTTTCCAGCACCGGCATACGCTCTAACGCCCCAAAATTTTGTTGTAACAGAGATAGGTACTCAAATGTATCCAATAGTGTATCATACTGCAGTATACACTTGTGTTGGATTTTTAATTACATTTAGACATTTCTCATATTTCATACATAATTTTGTGCAATGATGTTTGACTGGATTGGATTAGGTCGACAAAAATCAAGTATTCTCTGAACTGTTACAGGGCGAAAAGTGAAAACCAATTGCATGTATCTTCCCTATCCTTTGATAGTCAGATTAGAGAGGTCACCAATAGTCACCACAGGAACAAACTCCATTTTTGAAATGGTGAAACCTATGCATGTCGCGTACAATTATCTCCCTTCTTGTTACCAGTGAAATGTACTTTGTCGCGCTATGGCAATCCCCACAAACTCTCAGGTTCTTCCTGATGTGGATGGTCGTGCCCCGGGTAGTATTCAGGAGCCCAAAGGCAATTGCCAACTTCTCACTGTGAGTGTTTAGCAACTGCTCCTTCACGTGATCTTCGACGTCATGGATTGAATTGGTCTCAGGCACATAACCAGCAGCTTTGATCTTGCCAACCAGTTTCTCAAGGAAAGCATAGATTTTTCTGGACTGTGGATGCTCTGTACTCCCTGAATAGAAACTGTGCACTTCGTTCCTCAACTCGACCAAACTGCACCCTGGAGTTTTCTGCAGCCCTTTCTTCTGCATCATTCCTCTCACTTCAGCTACTTTCTTCCACATCGACGCAGAGGCGTAAATGTTAGCTAGAAGTACATGGTAACCACCCTCTTCTGGATTTAATTCGAAAAGTTTCTCCGCTGCTTTCTCAGCAAAATCAACGCTCTTGTGAATCTTACAAGCTCCCAACATTGCTCCGTAAACTGAAATCTCTGGTTTGACAGGCATCTGTTGTATGAATTCCCATGCATCGTGTAGCCGGCCACCTCGACCAAGAAGGTCGACCACAGCTCCATAGTGGTCCATTGCAGGCTCTAGACCATAGTCTTCCTTCATGCTATTGAAGAACTGCATGCCTTCATCCACCAGACCTGAGTGGCTGCAAGCTGATAGAACACACAAGAACGTTATATGATTTGGCTTGATATCTCCCTTTTGCATATCCATGAACAGTTCTACAGCAGCACGCCCATGCCCATGGACGCCATACCCATCGATCATGGAGTTCCAAGTTATCACGTGCCTAGCCTTCATCGTGTCAAAGAGTCTTCTTGCAGTATGGATGGCTCCACATTTTGCATACATGTCGACAAGAGCAGTCATCACAAACACATTTTCGTTCAGAAACCGTCTTATGACAAGCCCATGTATCCACTTTGCTTGTCGCGGAATTGACAACTCTGCAAGAGCAGGAATGACACTCACCATCGTGAATGAATCTGGCTTTATATTCTGTAACTGCATCTGGCAGAAAGAGTTCAAAGCCTCATTGACGCATCCATTCTGGGCATAACCAAGTATCATAGCATTCCATGACACCAGCGTTTTATTCTTCAGTTTCGCGAAGACTTCAGAAGCAAGGTCGACCCTCTTGCACTTGGAATACATGGAAATCAAGGAGTTCATGACAGAAACATCGGAACCAAGCTTCAATTCATCCACCAACCTATGTACAAATTTCCCTAGCTCAAGGTTACCTGAATCAGCACAGGCATGTAGAGCTTGCATAACAGTGACATTAGTTGGTTGAACACCTTCATTCATCATTCTCTGAAATATAACCAGTGCTTCTTCAGGATCCCCACTTTCTACATACCCATCAATCATCGAGTTCCAGGAAACCACAGACCTACGGTTCATCCCATCAAAAAGTACCCTTGCCGTTCCCACATCCTTACATTTTGAATACATATCCACAAGAGCTGTAGAAACATTCACAAGACCTTCAAATCCTGCCCGAATGGAGTAACCATGAATCGCCTTCCCAATTCGCAGCGACCCAACATCAGCAGCTGCAGGCAAAGTAGAAACAACGGTAATCGAATCCGGCCTCTGCCCTTCCTCAAACATCTTCGAAACCAACTCCAACGCAACCCTTGCCACCCCATTCTGAGCATACCCAGAAACAATGGTATTCCAAGACACCAAGTCTCTGTCAGGCATTCTATCAAACATTCTGTAGGCATCATCAATTTCCCTACACTTGGCGTACAGATTCACAACCCCAGTCATCGCAAACAAATTCCACGACAACCCACTACTTATCAACTGCCCGTGAATCTCCTTCCCCCTCCTAAGATCCGAATTATCCCCACAGAGCTTCAGCAAATACGCGAAATTGTACACAACGGGCGTAACGCCGTCGTGCCTCATCCTACAGAAAAACGAAAAGGCTGTATCCAGAGAAGAGTGGTTGACATAACCTTTAAGCATCGTATGGTAAAACGCATCCACCTTATTCTCAATCCGCTCGAACACCCGAGCCGCCTCATTCAAGCAGCCATAGCTGCAGAATAGGCTGACGAGCTTCGTCTGAAAGAGGTGTTCCCCGCAGAGGCCGTGCTTGATAATGAGAGGAAGGATTTGGTTGAGCTCTTTGACGGAAGTACAGAGCTCCAAGAGAACGGCGGCAGGGTGCTTGTAGATATGAGGCGGGATGTAAACTCGCGGGGAGAGAGAGTGGCGCGGAAGAGCTGCCGAGGAAGGGAATTTGGACGAAGGCGTTTTCTGGGTCGTGGCGTTGAGGGGAAGAGGAAGGACAACGAGGTTGGAGCTCATTTCTCAGGCTCCTATATGATAAGATTAACGAGGGAAAACGGAGGGCGTTGATTCAAGTCGCAAAAGAAAACCGATAACTTCCATTATTGACATCAATAAAGCTTTCTCAATATCAATGCCCCGCCCCCATTGCTTCTTCAGTATTGAAGCAAAAAACAACAACGATTAAAAAAAAAACAGAGCAAAAAAGACGCCGCCTTTTTCTTCTTCTTCTTCCACAGGAAACCTCAGAGATGCTTTCTGTTAGGAGTCCGAAGCGCCTTCAATCTGACAACACCAGGCGAGAACTATCCCTCGCATTCTTCTTCCTTCTCAAGCAGCTCGTCATCGCTATTGTACTCAAACCTCTTGTGCTTCCCACTGAACTTGACTGCCACCATACTCATTCTAGTAATCCCTTCACACAGCTCATCAACTGCTAATCCTCTATCACCATACCTTTCTTCTTCCTCGTCTTCACTGTAGTCATCATCGTAAAGCTCCTCTACCTCTACTACTCCAATCACTTCATCAAGGTCTTCATCATCATGGGTGCTCGCGTTGACCTGAATCGACCAGAGAGAGGCGCTGTCATCGTCTGCTACCTCTGACTGTGGTGACAGCGACTTCTGTTCGCTTCCCGATTCAGTCCCAGCTATGGCCGCTAAAAAGCATTCCGGAGAAGAATCAGACTCGGACTTCTCAGAGAAATCCATCAATAATTGCCTGTTCAAACTCTTCTGAGATTCCAATGCCTCTTGCTTGAACATTTCACTCACCACGGCCTGCAGTTTCACATCCATGCCCAAATTCGTTAATTTCTTTTCCCGAGCAGATATAAAGATAGATAGGAAAAGACAATCTTCAGAAGAGAAAGAAAGTACGAACCTCACAAATCTTGAGCTGTTCTTCAATTACTGGAACAGGAGAGATCTGTTGAATGATGCTGTTATTGTTATGGGTCAGATCGTCAAGGACCATCGGGGTATTCGCCGGAGTTGGGGCGAGAAGTCTCATGGGATTAGAGTCGAGAAGCCCTTGGAGCCGGAGGAAAGGCCGATTCTCCAACCCAATCTTTGACTGATCAGCTTCTTCCTCGACTCGCTGCAGCAGAGTCTTCACTTGACCCCTGAGAAGAGCTTCTCCAGATCCAGGAGTTTTGTTACTGTTCTTGAGTATGTTACTTCTTTGCTTTGCTGTGGCAGAGGAGGGAGTCTCCCAGATTCCCTTCGCTAGCCCAACAATCGGGGAATCATTTGTTATGTCAATTAGTACGGATCTTTCTTGCTGCTGCTGCTTAACACTAGCCTTGGCTGAATCTTCCATCTTCCCTGAAAGGGAAAAGGTAAAAAGACCATAACCCAGAAACGTCAGTGCGGAATTTCAACAAACAGTTGGCCGGACTCGAAAAAACGCAAAGATCCGCACTAAAGATCCAATCTTTGATTGTTCTCCACAAGAACCCAGATGATCAAAGAGTACAACGAAGCGGGAGAAGACTTACTGGACATGGGGATATTGCTGTTGTTAAGCCCAAGAGAATGAGTCTGTGATCTTGTAATTCTCTTGGTTGAGGAAGGAGTCTCCATTGTTGCTTAAGTGCTAAAGAGCTCAAAGTAAACTAGAAAAAGAAATCCGGATTGAGGTATTCCACAAAGAGATTGAGAGAAATGGAAAATCGGCAGCGGAAAGTTGAATAGACAGGAATGTTTAGCGAGGATATTCGAGAGCGCTTTATACAAATTCCAAAATTGTAACGGTAATGTGACCGTTAGAGGGGAGGCGCAGGGGCTGCCAGCCAGGCATCTTAGTGCATCTCGGCAAAACTAGCCGTTGTGGAGTTTCCTTTTATCTGTTGATTTTTCGCGGCAATTGGAGTGAGACGATTCTTCTTCTTCTTCGCGTTCAGAGACTCACTAGCGTTTTCGGCGAGCGTGGATGAGCCGCCACGGCGAAGGCAAAGGGGAAGTGGAAAGTCCACCGCAGCTCCAAAGGGCGGAATAGAGTTTGTTTGGTTTGTGAATTTAATTTTTAAATAAAAAAGACAATAGAGTAATTTACATATACATTTTACAATGATAATTAGTAGTTCTATGACGATCTTTAGCATTTTAGTTATGTTTTGTAAAATACTTTTTGATTGGGAAACAATAACTCTCTTAACGATTTTTTAAATATTTAGATGAGAAATTGTGAATGATGATCGGTCAGAAATATTATTTAACATTTATTTATATTTATTGGTATAAAATTAAGGGTAATGTCTATTTTTATTCAAACATTTTTCAGATTCTTTTATATTATCCAAACCTATTAAAATGTTATTAATTAGCCAAATCTTTCGTAATACATAAAAATATTAGCCATTTTTCATTACCGTTAATAATTTCATAACTCTTTTCTTAGTTAAAATACTAAAAACTTTGGAATGTTAACCTTCATGTGTCTCTTCCAAGTCAGTATCATGTTGCCAAGTCAATATTATTAACAAAATTGCTAACCGGAAGTTAACATTTTGATAATTCTTAGTATTTTAATAGGTTTGGATAATATAAAAGATTATGAAAAAGATTTGGATAAAAAATAGACATTATCCTAAAATTAACTAGGTAGAAACCCTTAAATTTATATAATGGCTATTATATGAACAAATTATTGAATAGAAAAACAAGGCTAAATTTTTATATTTATGTTAAATGGTTATATTATGTGACTGCTAACTATTAAATTTTATCATAGTATGTTTCTCTAATATAATGAAATTATAATCATAAATAATTGCACATTAGTTGAAATGATACACATAAAAACTATTATCATATCATTGAAAAGGAAATTGATAGCTGAAATCTTATTGATAAGTATAATTTTGATTTACTATTTGAATCTTATGCAAATATGGGGATGGGTTAATTCCAACTCATTAGAATAAAAAGGTATTAGAGATATACACTCTAACACTCAACTTGTGTCGTTGTGACTTGTGATTTCGAACATTTTGCGATCAATTGAGCCTACGAGGCTAATTTAAATTTGACAAAATTTGCACCTAGTCGGATGTATTATTTTTATTGTGTAATAAAGGTGTAGGCAAATGGAGAGCATGCCTGAAACTATAAATCGTAAAGGTCATCTTCTATAAGTGAAAACGATATGTTCTAACTTCTTAAATTTTATAACAAAATAGCTATAAAAAAAATTTCAACCGTGATATACAGACTTGTGAACTCTCTAATACCAAAGTTATATCCAAGTTTAAAAAAAAAATGAATAACTATCGTGTGTGACATTTGACGAGGAGTGAGATGATTCTAGGAAGTGCAAGAGACAGAGTAACCCCTTTTGGAAGATGAGGTATGGAGATGGAGGTAAATGTTGGGCTACGGGCTCAGGCCCAGGCCCATTTATAAAAGACCCATAGTTGGTATCAGGCCCACCAGGCCCGCAACCCACAATATTTTGCATATCCAACTTAAAACATCTGAACCACTCCTTTATCAAGTAAGGATATGATTATGAAGGGGCCCGCCACCACGACGACGCAATATTGATAGCCTATTTGCTCGCAAGTTGCAACTGCAAGAGTTGTGATATTTTGCTCAGAAGTCAGAACAGAGCAGTTTTCCGGTAACTATATAGTATATACCATTCCTCGATCGGTAACTTAATTTATAAACCAGGCCCTCGGTAAAAAGTTGATAGTAACTAGTTTTTACCTTCTGTAAAGAAATTCACCACCATATATGTTTCCAATGATTAGAAAGTGTGTCCAGTCGCTGGCCTGGCGGTGGAGCTCAGCCATACCCTTCTTGCTGGCCTCGTGTTTTCCGCTTCCCCTCTCTTCTCTCAGTCACCATAATGGCACTAATGGCTTCCTCCTCGCCGCTCTCCTCCTCCGTCGCAATTTCCCGCTTCCACAACCATTCCACCTCTTTCCTTCTCCCTTCTAAATCCTCTTCTTCTTCGTCTTATGTCTTCTCCCCTGCCAAGAGGCCTCTCCTTCTTCGCATACCCTGCCGCGTCCTCGCCGGATCTGATCTTCTCCGGGACGTCGGAGCCACCGCGGGGGTGCTCGCCGGCGCCTACGGTCTCGTCCTCACCTTCGATACTCTCACCCGCCGACAGATTATCCAGCAGGTGAGATAATTAATTGATGTTCGCTTGTCGCCGCCGGCGAAAAAGTAATTTACCATCTTCTTACGGTTTTCCTAATTACGTTTACTTGAGGATGTAGACTGCGAACTTTTCTTACCACTTAATTCTCTTACTGCTGCGTTTTAGATTGTAGTCTGTAGATATGGAACTGATCCGATTTTTAGGGTTCTTCCGTTATTCCTGCGACATCTAATTTTTCTGCAATATTTACCCATTTCCCAGAGAATTAGATTCTACACTAATAAATAATACGTTGTCTTACAAATGAGATTTTATACGCATGTAAAAAATTTATACCTTATCCGCTCCGGTTAGATTCTTCAAATATGAGCTCACAAATGCAATGATTCATCTGGACATAATATTACAAATTTGAACTCTAAAATGTGATGCATTCATTTCCAACTTGACTGACCACCTGTACTATGGTGTTCTTCTTTTTTTTTTTTTTTTACCACTAGTAGTTGTATTCGTTGCGCTTGTTGTTTTGAGAGGTCAAATCTGTAACTACTGCCATGGTAGTACTATGAAGCAGTTTTTTTTAACGGGTAACAATGAAGCAGTTTGTTGCTATACGAGGACTGAGGAGGATGGAATATGATGTGAGGCAAGGTAAAAGGTTGCTTTGGGAATTTACTGGTCCTAGCCAAGTTGCCAAAAGTAGTGTCAAGTCATGATCCAACAGTATATATGTCCTTTCCTATTTGAAATCTAGTTGGCATGGTGATTTCTTTTTGTGTGTGGTAAAACCTGCAGGCATGGTGATTATTGTATGATGTCTGAGGATGATCAGCAATGATCGTGAAACAATTATACCAGAAAAAGTTAGTAAAACTGTATTTTGTACTAAAATCGTGGTATTCGATAGCCTAGGATCTTTAAAACATTGGGATGATGACTCTAGACAAAAACCTGAAAAAGTTACTTCTCGTCAGTGTTTGGTTAGTTTCTTTTCTGAGTACAGTGGCATCACTGTGCTCCATATAGGCCTGCTCTGCCCGGTCTAATATGTGTATGTAACACTTTTCATGTTTTGGGACAGAATTTGAGCAGGAAACTAGTCCATGTGCTCTCAGGGTTGGTCTTTGTCATCTCTTGGCCTATTTTCAGGTGACCCTTCCACTTTTTTGCTTGGTTACTGCAGTCATCAACAGTTCAAGCTCTTAATAACTAATATTTGCACCAGTACTGTTATAAATTTCCGAGTCTTTCTTAATCAGTTCAGTCTCTGATCGTTTTGATTCTAGAGTAGCACCTCCTCCGAGGCACGCTACTTCGCTTTGTTTGTGCCGCTTATGAACTGCCTGCGGCTTGTTATCCATGGTTTCTCGTTGGCTACTGATGAAGGGCTCATTAAGTCAGTTACCAGAGAAGGAAAGCCAGAGTATGTAACTTGACACATATCTTCCACCCTCTCTTTGAGTTGCTTCCTTGTCAGGTGCCATAAATCATATGTTGCTTCCTCGCAGGGAGTTGCTGAGAGGGCCTCTATTTTATGTGCTTGTACTGATCGCGTGCACACTTGTTTTCTGGCGCGAGTCTCCGGTTGGGATCATCTCAGTGGCAATGATGTGTGGTGGAGATGGTAAAACACCTCTGTTCCTTGATGAACACAACAATCTAATTTTGCTGTAATTCGCTGAATTGAACGCGTAATGCTGCCGTTTTACAGGCATGGCTGATATCATAGGAAGAAGATTCGGGTCGATGAAACTGCCATACAATCAGGAGAAGAGCTGGATTGGTAGCGTGTCCATGTTCACATGCGGATTTGTTATATCGATTGGGTGAGTCGATCGATCGATTGCTCCTTTCATTTCCCACTCTCACTTCTTAATTATGCATACTTGTGGGTACTGATTTGGAATAGATCATGTGAAATGATACAGGATGCTTCAGTACTATTCAGCTCTTGGTTACTTGCAGCTGGACTGGAGTTCTGCAGTTCCTGGGGTTGCTTTAATCGCTCTGACAGCCACAGTCATGGAGTCGCTGCCCATTACAAATGTGGTCGATGACAATATCTCTGTTCCTTTGGTTAGCATGATAGCGGCATACTTGAGTTTTGGTCAGTAGCATAGGAATCTGGGAGATTCTGGCACTGTAGAAACTGTGGATGGTATGTCTGTAAATCTCTACCACATTCCAGTCCGTGGAGTTTGCCGAAATTAGTGTATTTGGACATGAGATTGGGGAAATAGTAGAATGCTATATTTTCGATAACTTTGGGTGGTTTGCCTTCGTCCTCAAATTAAGTTGTTTGCTGTCCTAAATGGGTCATTTTGTGATTCAGCGTAACGTTTGGACAGTCTTAATTTTGTGTTATGTCATTTGATCATCGTATATATATATATATATTTTTTTTAAATTTGCATAATCTTTCACGAACTACAATGAGGGCATGACAACCAAGTTTATGCTATCGATCGAGATCACGATATTTCGTTCATCTCAATGTACGGATGTAATATAACTCCATCTCTCATAGTGGCTAGTTACTGAATTGGGCGTAACAGAATCCCCTAATGGTCAACTTTTGGCAAAAAATATACAGGCAAGAGAGCTTGTATAATGATCGAAGCACATTATTGACTTTATGACTTAGTTAAGGATGGCTAGCTTTTGTCGTGAATCATGAATGACATATCATCAATTTATATATGACCGTATTAGGCCTAAAGCCCTAATATGCATATTCCTACGAAACTTCGTATTGTAACATTGTGATAGGACATTGCATTGCATCACCATATCGCACCGAAGTGGTAAACTAGGCTATGCAGTATTTGGTTATGTACTGAACCCAAATTAGTAAAAAAACACATTGATATTAATAGATGTGGATTGAGTGGATGAAACCATCAATATACTAAAATCCAAGCACAATTGACCCACTTATGTCGTGGGTGGTTCATATGAATAGATGTGGGTTCTAAAATAGGTGACACATTACAGTTTGAATGGGTGTGGATGGATTAAAGTTTAGAATGTATGTTATAAAATCCATCAAACTAGTCCAACCACCCAGCATCCGACAATCACTCAACCAAACCCAACTTGCCCACAAGTACGTGTTGAGTGGGTGCGGACCCACCAATTTCGCATATAACCACTCACTACTCACCAATGTTTACCGTTTAAGATAGCGTGCATAGTTTTAGATGGGGCAAGAAGGACTCATATCCAAGGGGCGAGAATTAATGACTTTTATTTTTCCTGGGTTTCTTAATCGTTTCATAACTTGTTCGTTCTAACTTGGATTTCAAACAAAAATTAACAGATGAAACGAGCTCGTTGTGATCTATAAAATGAAATACATATTCTATATATTTCGACAAAAAAATTTCACACAACTCGTTATCACCTTGGCACCACCTGGTATCATCTTCATTTTCAACTCGAAATTTGAAATTTTTTGTACAGATGGAGCTAGTTCAAGTTCATCGTCATTTATTCGATCTACAAATTTCTAAAAAAATATATAGGACCAAAATGTACCGCTTCATACCACCCTTGTATAGGGGTGGTAATTAGTGGTAAGTAGGGCTGTTAATGAGTCGAGCTGAACCAAGATTTACCTTGATCAGGTTTGGTTCATTTATAAACGAGTCGAACTCGAGCTCGGCTCATTTATGAACGAGTTGAGTCGAACACGAGCCAGCTCATTTATTGAAACTTGGCTCATCATTAAGATCGCAATTTCGGCTCGAGCTCAACTCTAAGATAATTTACAAATTAAATACCCTAATAATTATATGTCATATATGATACATGTGATTAACTGATCTTCATGTCATATATGAGACATATTTGCTCACATTCTCAAATTATTAAACATCACATGAGGTGAGATATGCAATTTAATAAATCTATGCATCATTAATAAAGCAACTCATAACATATAAATCAATTTTCTCATAAGTCGTAATTAAGTTGGTTTGCTAGTTACGATGTTGAGACATCTCATGAGCTCAAAATGAGATAGTTCATGAGTTGAACTCAACAAGCCACCTAATCGAGCTAGTTCACGAGCCCCACACGCTCATTAATAGACCTAGTGGTAAGCAATGATGAATGTGGTAACTGACAGTTCATATACTTCTACCATTATATATTTAACCATTATACACTCTGGTATGTTTATACCACCATGGTACATTTTCATACAACGTGGTATGATCATATGTAATACCAAACATTACCACCATGATATAAACTGGTACTAAATGTCTCAATTTTGTTTGTTGAAAAATATATCAAAGTGAATATCATTTTGAAGTGCACAATTAATTTGATATATTTGTGTAAAAAAATTACGACTTAAAAAAAAAAAAGATATAACCCATCAAAATTTATAGGAAAAAAGGTCACACTTTTCATAAATAATTTTTTTATTACTCAGAAACCTCAGCCTCACGTGTCAATTGTGATACTATCTTACCTTTGGTACACTTATGATGATGTGACAGTGATATAACAAATATGTATTCTTATGTAATTGTTCCACTCCTCCAATTTACTCTAACACAAGCAAAATTAAAAACGGTATACCTGATTAGAAAATAAATTGGTTAATTGAATCTAGATGGCTGCTTCAAACAATTGAATCGAAATCCACAACGTTTTTGAAAGGGCCCCGGAATTGCTAGTGCTAGAGTTGTTAACATCAAAATAATTTTTTTCTTTGAAGTGTAGTTGTTAACATCAATTTGATTTTGAAGTCGAAATTCTGTAACAGCCTGTTTGGATACAATTCAAGAAGAAATGGAAATGGAATTCTATTTCCAATTCCTATTTTTATAGAATTCCATTTCCAATTTTAGTGTTTGGTATAATTCCTCCAACTAAAGAAATGAATTGCACTTTTAACAATAATTAATAATATAATATATTTATTTTATTTTGGGAAATGAAATATGAATGATAGAGAAAGAGAGTAGTGAGATAGTTGGTTAATAAAATAATAATAAATAGTGATGGGACCCACTAATTCCATCTTCATAAACACAATTCCTATCACTTTGATAGGAATTGTAATTCCCAAAACTTAGCCCAAATGGAATTCATTTCTCAACCTTCTTATCCTTCCAAACATAAAATATGGAATTCCAATTCCTGAGTTTTTTGTCTATCCAAACAGGCTGAAATGTCATTGTTGGTGGTGGTCAAGCTTCCAGAATATAATTTCAACGCCTAGTGGGGCATCACGGCATTATTTATTTAACATTATAAAAATCCAGCAGCCTGACGAAAAAGAGGCGACTCGGTTTTCTGGTCAATCCACCGCGGCCCAAACCATCTCCCCTGTCTGCCACCTTTCGCTCTTTTCCTTCCTCCTCTCCAGAACAAAGATTAAACCTTTCCTTTTCAATTTTCTCTGTAGGAGAGAGAGAGACGCCAAAAAAGGAGTACAATAGGCAGATTCCCCATCCAAGGGCAGCCAAAACAGAAACCAGAACGAATAAGCAGAAAAAACCAGAGGGAGAGTGGAGAGATGGTAAATCAATAATTCCGCCCGCCGCTTCGTTAACCTTGTTCGCCCGCACAACTCATCGCTCTCTGTTTTCTTGCTTCCTTCCTTTCTACTGACCCACAAACCCGAAGTTTCCACTTTGGAATTTCCTCCTCTCGCTCCTTCCTTTCCTTCCTTCTTGCGTAATCAATCATTAATTTAATATAAAGGAGAGGGATAAGGGCGAGGTTAAGGCATCGCCCAACAAAAAAAAAATCGCCTTTTCCTCAATTGTATGAAAATGTCGCCTGTGCCGCTCCTATTGTTTTTCTCGGCGTTCACGAGGAGTGTGTCTATCTGACCCAGACGACTTTTCCCCCAAATTTTCTGGCTCTTCAGCTCACCTGCTCTTCTTGTTTTCCCCTGATCAAGGTTTTATTATGGGTGTCGTTGTCGTTTCCGGCGGGTCTACTGGCGGGCCTGCTGCCGCCGCCGGCGGCGGCGGTGGAGGGAATGGTGGGTCGGCGGCAGGGAGCTGTTGTGATGTGAGTTTGAAGTGTTGGTGTAAATGGAGGTGGGGGGACCACCAGCAGCACCTGTTGCCTCACAAGGTTTTTTCAGTTTTCTCTTCTGGGTTCCTCTTCTTGCTCGGCTGCTTGATCGTCTACGGCTTGATTGGGGTGATCTATGGCTGGCTCCTCTTCAATAAGCCTTATGTCGGTAATGGTGTGATGGGTTTGAACTCTTTTGGTTGCTTGGAAGATGGTGAAGGTTCTTGGTCAGTTGGGGTTTTCTATGGCGACTCGCCTTTCTCCCTCAAGCCAATTGAAGCTGTGAGTTCCCTTTCTTTTCCCCTTTGTTGTTCTCTCTTCTCATCTTCAAATTTCAAACCTTTCTTGCTTGGGGGTGGACATACATGCATTATAACTTGGAACTTTCTAGAATTCTCTTAAACTTGCTTTTGATATTGATCTTTTGAGTTTGATTTTGCTCTTTGAGATGTGGGTATTGCTTATCAACAGTTCTTCCTGTTCTTGAGTTTTCAGTCAAGGCGGCTGCTTTTTCTTTGTTTCTTGCCACTCTCTCTGTTCCCCGTTTTCCATTTGATGTGTTTTTCTAGATATTCGTACATATTTTGTACAGTTCTTCATTTTTACTGGCCCCCCCTCTCTCTATTCCCTTGGGTTTTGAGTTTATTCAGTTCATATACAGAATACTAATGAGTATGTGCATCATACAAGTTGCTATCGCTGATGTTCAGTTGACTTTACACTTGTATCTGTATTAGGCTGACTACCTCAATTTGATGTATATGTACTAACTTTGTCTACTGTATTTTAATTTGGGAGCAGGCCAACTTGTGGAAGAATGAGAGCAAGGCATGGCCAGTAGCTAACCCAGTTGTCACCTGTGCCTCAGTCTCAGATGCTGGCTTCCCCAGTAACTTTGTTGCTGATCCATTTCTCTATCTGCAGGTAATTTGTGACGTTTTTGTTGGTTTTTTCCTTATCCATTTCCTAACTCTTAATTTCAAAACCCTATTCTAGAAACCTTGTTGTTGGTTTCTTCATGTGTAAGGGTCATACATGTGACGTCTTTGACTGCTATTCACATGTGTATATTGACGAGCTATGTTGTTAATACAGACCTGGGGTTTTTATTTATTATTATCCTTCTCTTGGTTGGTTTCTTTAACTTGACTGGAATCTCAAGCTCCTCCATACTCGCTATGGTTTAGTCTTGTGCGTGCCAGGATTTGGCTCTGACTTTTCCTTTATTCTGCCAGTGAGTTTTTAGTGTCATAAAATATTCCTACACCTACTAAGGTGATTTCCAGATTCACTTTTTCTATCATGTTTTCCCCATTTCTCAACATTTTTAAGTGTTTCTGTGATATCCTCGTGCTGCAAGATGCTCTTGTTTTTTTGAACCGATTTGAATTTGATTTTGGAGCACATGTGTAGTGTGTGTAGCTGCTGTAAAGTGTTTGACAACCAAAAGACTACTGGTATAGTGGTATGTTATGGCAACAATCAAAAGCAGCATTTGAACGAAACTGCAAAAAGTCTGGTCTTGCCGTTCCATTGAAAGATAGTCGCCCTGTTGATTTTTTTGCTGAAGTTAGCATTCGAAGTGTCTTCCTGGGAAGCTTGAGTTTCATATATTAGTACCTAATTAGAGGAAAATTTTGGGTTATGCTGTCCCTGTCTTCCTGCTTCCGTCTCTTAACTTTTGGTGCTATTAATCTTTGCCAGACGAAGTTGTGTCTTCACTGTGTAACTTTGGAACATTTGCTTCTGAATGAAAGTGATTCCCAATGATGCCTTACATACATCTATCGCGCTTGTAGGCAGCTTGATTTGTGTTTTGGATGCGTGTTTACTTGCTGCTGCCGTCAGTTTGACACCTTAGATGAGGTTCACATAAAACCTTAGTGATCATAATACTAGGTTCTACTATTGCTGTTTATCTGTGGGTTCAGGTCTCTGTAGAAGTAAATTGCACTGCATAAGGTGCACACTTCATAAGGGCAACCGATTTTACTTGTTATGAGTTAAAATTTTGACCTGTTGCAGAGTATAGCCTTGTTTTTTTTATGTGTGCTTGTTCGTCCTTTTGAAGTATTTACTGACTTGCTTACTTATATTAAGGGCCACAACTGGAACTTTTGTACGTCTTTTTCTTTGTGGTCACATGATGCTTTCAATTGGTGTGTTGGTGTTTCTAATGATTTAAGCTACAAGATTTATATTTATGAACTGTTAAGAGGATTTTCTCATTTTGTAGGATTATTTTTGGTTTGCCTTGATGGGACTTTGGTGTGGATATCTGTTATTCGTTAAGTTTAATGCGTTCCATAAATAAAGCATCATAAGTTTCTTAATCTTTGGAGAAGCAGCAGATTGGATATCTTTCTCGATTTCTTGCGTTTGAAATGGTGACGTTCTATATTGTTGTTGGATTTTGTACATTCAATAATCTGTTAACGATGACCAAGTACGTGTTTGTTTCTTGCTCGAGGTTCAATTCAGTTTATCTCCTACACTGTCATGATTGTGTTGATATTAACATGCATCTCTTTCTTTATCAATATCTCTTTGTCATATATAATATTTCAATTAATTGTTTGGTTTAAAGTTACGCCATAGGTTATGTTAAACTAATTTACGTTTCATTGAATCAGGGTGACACACTTTTTCTTTTCTATGAAACAAAGAATCCACTTACCATGCAAGGAGATATTGGTGTTGCAAAGAGTACAGATAAGGGGGCGACATGGAAACAGTTGGGAATTGCCTTGGACGAGGATTGGCACCTCTCATTTCCTTATGTGTTTGATTATCATGGGCAAGTAAGTTATATGCTGTTTTCTACTTAAGTTATTTATTTTGCATTCCCTTGCAAATGATTCCTGAAAAGGATTATACGTGGAGACACGTAGTATTTCGCTGTTCTTTATATTAATTATTTGACAAGGCCTTATTTCTTGATCTTCTTCTAGGTATATATGATACCAGAGAGCAGCATGAAGGGAGAACTTCGTCTCTATCGAGCACTTGAATTTCCACTGCAGTGGACACTGGAGAAGATCCTCATAAAAAAGCCTTTAGTCGATTCTACCATCATTAATTACGAAGGACACTATTGGCTTTTTGGTTCTGATCACAGTGGTTTTGGGACAAAGAAGAATGGACAACTGGAAATCTGGCACAGTAGCTCGCCTCTGGGTCCTTGGAAACCACACAAGAAGAATCCCATCTATAACATTGACAAGAGTATGGGGGCAAGAAATGGCGGCAGACCATTTGTGTATAATGGAAACCTCTATCGCTTTGGTCAAGACTGTGGTGAAACCTATGGGAGACGAGTACGGGCCTTCAAGGTGGAAATTCTTAGCAAGGATGCTTATAAAGAAGTCGAGGTGCCCTTGGGCTTTGAGGAGCCCACAAAGGGGCGAAATGCTTGGAATGGTGCTCGACACCATCACCTTGATGTTCAGCAGCTCAGTTCTGGGGAATGGATTGGGGTAATGGATGGAGATAGGGTACCATCTGGAGACCCAAGTCATCGTTTTATGGTAGGCTGTGCATCGCTTGGAGCTGCTGCTGCAGTGGTCATTGTGTTAGGCTTGCTACTTGGAGCAGTTAAATGTCTCATTCCACTTAATTGGTGTGCTCACTATTCAGGGAAGAGAAGCGATGCACTTTTGGTCTGGGAAAGGTCGAATTTGTTCTCCTCAAGGGCGAGGCGGTTTTGCAGTCGTGTCAACAGAGTACCTATCTCTATTCGAGGTAAGGTAAAGTACAACACTTGGGCTGGAAGGTTGGTTCTGGCTGTGTTATTTCTAGTTGGTGCTGCATTAATGTGCACAGGTGTTAAGAATGTCTATGGTGGCAATGGAGCTGAAGAAGCTTACCCGTTAAATGGTTACTATTCTCAGTTCACTTTATTAACCATGACATATGATGCTCGGTTATGGAACTTGAAGATGTATGTGAAGCATTACTCGAGGTGTTCTTCAGTGAAAGAGATTGTTGTGGTTTGGAACAAAGGGATCCCTCCTAAGGCAAGTGACCTGGACTCTGCAGTGCCCGTTAGGATCAGGGTAGAGAAGGAGAACTCTCTAAATAACCGTTTCAAGAAGGATGAAATGATAAAAACACGAGGCGTGCTTGAGCTTGATGACGATATTATGATGACGTGTGATGATGTTGAACGTGGCTTCAACGTTTGGCGCCAACATCCTGATCGGATTGTCGGTTTCTATCCTCGTCTCATCAGTGGGAATCCTCTCAAGTACAGGGCTGAAAAATATGCTAGGAGTCACAAAGGTTACAACATGATACTTACTGGGGCAGCCTTCGTAGATAGCACGATAGCTTTCGGAAGGTACTGGGGTGAGCAGGCCAAGGCAGGGAGGGAGCTGGTGGACAGGTATTTCAACTGTGAGGATGTGTTGTTGAATTACCTGTATGCCAATGCTAGCTCAACAAAGACTGTGGAATACGTGAGACCGGCATGGGCGATAGATACATCCAAGTTCTCTGGTGCTGCTATCAGCAAGAACACACAAGTTCACTATGGGATTAGGAGTAGATGCCTCATGAGGTTTACTCAGATGTATGGGAGTTTATCAGATCGCAAGTGGGAATTCGATGGGAGGAAAGACGGTTGGGATTTATAGCAAGCCTTTGGTAAATTCTTGGTAATTACAGTTTCTGCAGCTGTTCAGCCCTGTCTGGTGAAGATTTCTCGTCTGGGCGGGGGTGGATGTTAGCGTCGACATACATGGGTAGGTTTCGCAACATGTATATTGGCTTTTTCACCATAGTTTCTTGAGAGTTGATGTAGAATAGCGTCTTCTTCTTGGTTTTGACCCTTTTTCAGAAAGCTGAGTGTGTAAAATAGAGATGCAGAGTGAATTTGTTGTTTGCAGTCATTGTTTCAGAAAGTTGTATGGTTGGTTGTTGCTGGAAGGATTCTCCCTCTCCAATCTTCATGTACATCTGCTCTTCCAGGATAGTGTAGGTAGGAAATGTGGTTCCCTGATGCTCTGTTTCCTCTTTATTTTTGGACAATGACCAAACTTCCTCATCTAGTAGTTTCATGAAATTCCAAAATTTACAACTGAAAAATGAATCCTTTTTGCATCCAATACACACCTATTTTTTCATCTTCAAGTTAATTGCTAATAAACTTATGATTTCTTTACACTGAAGCCTTGTTAATTCTGAGTTAAACAACAATCAATTAAATTAAAAAGAAAGGAAGAAACATCCGATTCCCACGTGGCAAACCAAACTTTCCAATCATAGATTAGAAAGCAACTGCCAAGAAGATAGAGAGAAAATGAAATAAAGCAGATAGCCAGATAAAGCAAAGAGGGGCTGGAAAAAAGGTGGGAAAAGAAAATGGTAGGAAAGAGGAAGAAGGGGAAATGGTGAATGAACCATCAATTTCATGTCTCTCTTCCCCTGCCTTCCACCCATTTCTCAACTGTGGCTTTTCCTTTAAAATCTTCGCTCCTAACTCTTCCCTCGCTAAATCCAGTTCCCATTTGCAGGGGGCGTCCGCGAATCCAATCCTTCCTCCAATATTTAGGGTTTTGAATTCCTCCATTCTCTTTTTGTTTTCCTTTTCGCATTCATTCAGCTCGGCTCTCCTGGGAGAAAAAGCTGAGCTGCTGGTGACGGTATAGTTAGGCCAGGGGAATCTTTGTTCTCTTTTTTGCCATCCCCTTGGCCTTTGTTTCTGTTTCTGTACAGAGAATATATAAAAGGAAGCGTTTCGTTGGGTTTTCCCTCTATCTGATTCTGATCCAATTGGAGGGCTTGGTTCGTCTCTTCTTTTGACTTGAATTCTCTGCTCCCGAGGTGTTCATTTATTTCTCCCTCACTCTCTCTTTTAACAGAAGGGGAAAACAAGGAAAGTTGGCTGCTTTACTTTGTTTTCTGCATTTTCATTTTCGTTTCTTTTATTTATGGGTTTTAGAGAGAGAAGATCAGAAGAAAAGGGGACGTGGGAATGCTGATGATAATGATGTGGAGATAGAGATAGAGAGGTAGAGAAAGACAAAGAGAGAGATAGCGGAAAGAGATGATGGCAATGGAGAAGGATTTTGATTCAAAGCTAAGGGTTCAGGGCGGCCGTTCTGTTACTACCACCACCACCTCTTCCTCTTCTTCGTCTTCTGCTGGTAATAACAATAATGCTAATAATGGGTATCCGCCGAGATCTAAGAGTTTTGCGTTTAGGGCGCCCCAGGAGAATTTCTCAATTCAGGATTTTGAGCTGGGCAAGATCTATGGTGTTGGTTCTTATTCAAAGGTGGCTTCTTTTCTCCAAAATTTGTGGGCTGTCTGGACTGTTTAAGTTTCTGTCCTTCGTTCTTGAGTATTTGTTGTTTCTGGTTATTTGGTGAGGGGTAGATCAATTTTTCGGTTTCGATTAGTAAATGTTGTGAATTCAAAATCTTGTCATTTCCAATCACCAGGCCTTCTGGTGGCTCTAGAGTTCTTGTTAACTCTCCCCTCAGGCTCTTGTTAATTCTAAGCGGCTGTGATTTTGTTCATTCTGTTGGTTTGTTAAGGTGTTCCGAAGTTCAGCCTAGTTGGCAGTATGAAGTTTGCATGTGATTATTCTTGTTGTGTGATAATCATTGTTGGGAAGTATGATAAGGTGCATATAGCAAAATCAACCACTGGAGAGAGTGTCTGGTCTAAGCTTTCAGACATCCCTTTTTCAGATTGCTGAAATGGAAAATTTTCATAATTTTTAGGGATAGAACTTATATGCATTTGTCAGGTTATTTGCAACTTTTAATGAATTATTTGTGGCAATTTTATATCAATGTTATACCCTCTATCAGGTAGTGAGGGCCAAAAAGAAGGATTCTGGAATTGTTTATGCCTTGAAGATCATGGACAAAAAGTTCATCACAAAAGAAAATAAAACAGCTTATGTGAAGTTGGAAAGAATAGTGCTTGATCAATTGGATCATCCAGGAGTCGTTCGCCTGTATTTTACTTTTCAAGATACATTTTCCTTGTGTATGTATCCATGATTTGTCATCCTATGCGCTTCTTTAGATTTCTGTAGATTCTGTACCATGGTCTTTGCCTCTAATGTTATTCTTGCATGTCTTGTTTGTAGATATGGCACTTGAATCTTGTGAAGGTGGAGAGCTTTTTGACCAAATCACTAGGGTAAGTTCATATAAGTACCTCAACTCATTCTTTATTTATCTTCCAGTTGTGTCTGAAGCGATGATTTTGCAAAGTACTTGTTGACTTGAGCAGTCTAAATATCCAAGTATTTCTAGTGGATAACTTTTGACTCTCTGACCACTTATAGTTAGACTGTTCAGAATTCTGTTTCTATATTTTTCCACTCGATTTTGTTATACACAGCTACACAATTGGTTGGCATGGTTTACATGGCAGAATGTCGTCCAAAAGTTTATTTCTCTAACTTTTGAATAATTAAGGGACTAGTTTCCGTTTGCAGAAACGTCGTTTATCAGAGGAAGAAGCTCGGTTTTATGCGGCGGAAGTTGTAGATGCTCTTGAATACATACATAATATGGGGTTAATTCACCGAGACATAAAGGTAATATCTGAAGTCAGGCAATGCATGCATGATTCGTGGTATCTAAATTCACTAAATGTTTCTTTCATGGCAGCCGGAGAACTTGCTTCTGACAGCGGATGGACATATAAAAATTGCTGATTTTGGAAGTGTGAAGCCAATGCAAGAAAGCCGCATTACTGTGCTGCCAAATGCATCTTCCGGTATCTATGACGAGATCCTGATTTTCCAAGTAGTTATGCTGCCTGGAACAGAGGTCTGAATTTCTTGGGTTTGCCTCCTTTTCAGATGATAAAGCTTGCACATTTGTGGGCACAGCTGCATATGTGCCTCCAGAAGTTCTCAATTCTTCCCCTGCAACTTTTGGGTATGTGATCCTATATTGCCTAGAATCAGATAAGTTTGACGGACTAATAATCTAAGCATGAATCGCGTTCTGTACGATTGTTTACATATTTTTTGCTTGTTGTACTTCAAAGGCAAAAATTAGGCGGATGGGTGGTACATTTTACTTTATGGTTCTTCCATAGGAAATCCCTTTTGGTTGATGCTGACATGGGTAACCCATTTTCTTTTCTGACCAAATGAAAACAGAAATGACCTATGGGCACTTGGATGCACATTGTACCAAATGCTTTCTGGAACTTCTCCCTTCAAAGATGCAAGTGAATGGCTTATATTTCAAAGAATTATAGCCAGGGATGTTAGATTTCCTGATCATTTTTCAAAAGAAGCTAGAGACCTCATAGATAGATTGTTGGTAAGTTGTGAATTATTTTATAATATACTAAATGTCAGTAGAATATGCTTTTATATCCTTATTGTGTATGATTATTCTGCAGGCTGAATGTGTTTCTTGTCTCTTTAGATATGAATACATGAACTCAGACTTCAAATATAACAATCTCCCCCATTTAAATCCTGGAATTGTAGCGGAGGAATGTTTAGTCGGGCTTGTATATGCCTTGCTGTTTCTTCACCCTGGCTCTAGGTGGATGTCTGATCAGTAGTTGTTGTCGGAGCATACTATTATTGTGCATGAACTTTTTTTTCACCAGAACTTGGTAGTCACTTTGGTTTGTTGCAATTGTTTAGGATTGATGAATTCACTCATAGAGATCTATTCTATTTAACGATTTCCTTGGGATTACCATGTTATGTAACACCTGATTCCTACTCGAAATCTAACCCCAACAGCATGTTGTAAATTAATTGCATAGGACACTGAACCTGTAAGAAGACCAGGTGCTGGCCCTGATGGTTATGCAGCTCTCAAGATGCATCCTTTCTTCAAAGGGGTTAACTGGGATAATTTAAGATCACAAACCCCTCCGGAACTCGCTGCTGACCCAACAGTAAGGATTCTGTTTTGTCGTCGGGATTTCTTATATGTCAAAAATCATTTCCATCTGGAAGCATTTATATATGTCGCAACACTTAACTATTTGTAATATTTTTTTTTCTTTGACATTTGGCATTAATGTATTCAGGCACAGTCAAGTGAAGGGGTTGAGCCTGATTCATGGAATCCTGCACATGTTGGTGACTGCTCGGCCCCAAATGATGGGAATGTTCCTACTGCTTCATCCTCAGCTGATGTATCTGGTCATGTAACACGTCTTGCCTCAATTGACTCGTTCGATTCTAAATGGTATTAATTTAGCCTGTTCTGATGTTGGTTTTCTGTCTGATACCTCAAAGTAAAACCTGATTTTCCTTTTTTTTCAAGATAGCACGTTTAGTTAATTCTTAGATGTCGTTGTTATCATCAGGCAACAGTTTTTGGATCCTGGGGAGTCTGTAATTATGATCTCTATGGTGAAGAAGTTACAGAAGTTGACAAGCAAGAAGGTGCAACTTATCCTCACAAACAAGCCAAAACTGATCTATGTGGACCCTTCAAAGCTAGTGGTGAAGGGAAATATAATCTGGTCTGACAATTCTGATGACCTCAACATCCAAGTCATCAGTCCTTCAAATTTCAAGATCTTTACGGTAATGGTGGCTTTTCCTTCCTGCACTAATTTATGTAATGAACTAACCAATACAATCTTGCCTGCTTCACACCGCATTGCAATGCTTCTACCATTTTGTATGTCTGATTCTACAATCGTTTTCTCATTTCAGCCAAAGAAAGTACTGTCATTTGAAGACGCGAAACAAAGAGCATCGCAGTGGAAAAAGGCGATTGAGAGTCTTCAAAACCGGTGAGAAAGTCTTATCCCATCAGTCGCAGAAGCCATTTGTAAGTTTTGAAGTTGGTACAGAGTACAGCATTAACATTAGATGACAGAATGGTAAGGTGGGAGAATATATATTCCCGATTCAAATTGAAGCATCCCACAAAAGCTAAAGCTTCACTATTATTATTTTCCCCCGAAAATGAAAGAGATGACTACTGTTTCAAGTGCTGAAATTTGTCTCCCTGAAGTTACTCCTATCCTCTCCTCTACCCTCAACTAGGGAAGCTTTCTGCTGCCACGGTTGTTTTTGGTTTGTGTAAAATGCAGGGGAATTTTGTTTTGGCAGGAAGGTGGCCCAATGGGATATGAGTTTCCTGTTTTTCCTTTTGTTCTTCTTTTTAACTCAACTTGTTACACTATTGTATTTATGTAACATTACAACAAGGCCTCAATGGTAATATAATTTCAGATCAGAAGGATTCTTTATTCTTTGTAGCTTTTTCTGGTGTCAGGATTCTTCCTAAATCCTAATAATGAATCTCAACTCTGCAAGACTGCAACCAACCAACTCTCCTGATAATGTTTGTTGCAGACATGTCTGTCAAACGGGCACCATGTTATCGTGATTAAACGTTTGCAGTAATTTGCCTAACCACATGAATCATATTGATTGAAGATTGTTGGTATTCGATTGAAATTTATCATTATATCGACAACTAACATCTCGATTGTATCAAAACGATACAATCACAAATAGTTGTGATAAAAAAAAACTATTTGACAACTCATTATATAAAAGTGATTTCCTAGGGTGCTTGGAAGGCGCGGGAGTACATAAAGTCACGTTCAAGGAAGTCCGTAAAGGGTGCGGATTCCTTCGATGTCATCCCTATACAACTTCCTCTTAGTCAGTCCATAACTGAAGTAAGGGTACATAACCGCTCTCTCATCGGAGCTATGATCCAGCCCCAAAGCATGACCAAGCTCGTGGAGCGCCACGGACTCCAGATCGAGCCGCTCCGGCCCCGGCCGGCCACTGCACGTCCAGGGCTCATCCGCATCGAAATGTGTGATCCCCACCGGCGGCGAGAAAGTATGCCCCAAAACTTTCCCGGGACCATCAAAAGGTATTCCGTCGCCGTGCTTGCCGGAAAAGAACCCGATCTTCAGCTCGGCCGCCGATGCAGAGCCTTGCTTCTTGAATCTGAATTCCGTCGCGCGTCCCCACGTCCTAAGGGCTCGATAAACCGCGCCTCTGTAGTTCACTTCAGGAAATAGACTGCTAGACAGGAATTTGTACCTCAGCTTTGTCTTGTGCCACCTCATTCTTCCGGGCATTAACTTGTAATCCGTGTGGTACCCATTAGCCGTGAAGTTGTTATGGGCATCATTGTCCGGGACGCCGCACCTTGGCTTCGACATTTGATTCGTCGTGCGAATGTCGGGCTCTCCGGTGACCGGGAGGCCGTAATTGAGCTGGAATTTCTTGATTGCTGACACTAGAATGTCGTCGAACACATCCTCATCGTGGTTGTGGTCGTGGTCATCGACATTAGTGGTGTTGTTGTGACGACTGTTCGTGTGACTGAGGTACCCGAATCTTTCGAGGTAGTGCTTGATGTGACGGAGGCCTTCGATGGACCGACCGGCCGGGTTGTTGCCGGAAGAGGGCATTGATAGAACCAAGCCTGTCGGATCCATAACAGTAACAAGCAGAATCAGAGACAGAGTGGTCATAATTGGGACATCCATTAAGACTTTGTTGGTGGATCGATATATGGATTGGATATGGGAGTGATGAATATGATGATGACTAGATATATATAGCTAGAGAGAACTGAAAGAGTGCAACAATGGCGGGGCAAACAAGGTTCATAAGGAGACAATTTTGAGTATATAGTAGACACAGAGTTCTAATAATAGCAGTAGTATTGACATTTATATACGGTTAAGGTGAAAGGGTAAGAAGGCACTGTGTCGTCTTGTTAGCAGGGGAAAGAGTATTCCGTATCTCTTATCAACCCAATTACTATATTGGCATTACTAGCTTTGTCCCCGGCGTCTTGGCCGGGATTTGATTTTTTATCCATGGTCCGGTATACTTCTAAACTGTAGAACACGTGTTTTGATTGAGATTTTTTTCTTCTTTTCATTAGTTAAAGTGTGTCTGTAATGTACTATAGGTTTTCAATATATTTTAAACTTCGGGTCACTTTGAATAATAAATTCATATATGTTTTCAAATTAACGTTTCTCGTGAAGGTATTCAAATTGTTATAAATATTGTAAAATTTTATATATATCGTAGACAAACATCTATTCCTAATACCGAAAACATTGTTTTAGAAATCGTATTTTACCGTCTGGTCGGACTGTAATTATCGGGTGCCAAACACTAAATGACAAGCAATTTTATCGATATGAAACGGTTAAATCACGATTAAATACAGTTTTAATGCAACATACCCTATCACTAACTTATTCGGTACAACCACTTGTACGACTTCACAATTATTGATCTAAGTATACATGTTTGGTCACTCAAAATCACATAAATTTTTCATGTTTGCCACCCGAATTATTTTTCTTTCTTATTGGTCACTAACTTTACGAATCATTTCACCGTAAGTCACCGGTCTCTGTTAGACTCTGTCGGTTTTTTGATGTCGTGGCAAATGGACTGATCACTAGTTCATTAACTTAATGACGGAGTATATAGCTTTTTATGTGATGTGAGTTTCTAATAGTTACAACTTATAACTTATATGTAAGACTTATTTTATTTCAGTCATTAAATTTTAAATTACTACTTTAAGTATATATATATTTAGAAAATATATAAATAAGTCAAACAAATTGTACTCGATCTGACTATTAAATCTCAAACCACTTGATTGACCGGCTCAATTATAAACCGATTTCACATTATTGAAAAAATTGTGAATCCAATTTTCTAACTCTATGGTCTCGGGGGTCAAAGAACGACGAAACTACTAAAAAAAAAAAAGAACGACGAGTCGACGACGAAACGACAGCAGGATTTGCCGAGTTCAGCTCTCGTTAATCTTTTCTTTCTGGCACCGGGCACCCCAACTTCCGCTCAATTCCCTCGTCTGAGCTTTCTCCGAATTCTTTCTTCCTTCCCGTCAGGAGATTCCAGGGCAAGTGAAGGGGAAAAGCCAGAAAAAGAAGGCAAAAACTTCAATAGCAGCCAGGGAGCCGAAGCCTCTCAGGCATGGCGCTTTCACGGCTCAGACATCCGGTGATCTCACGGGCATCCTCTCTTGTTAGAGCTCGCTTTCTCTCCCACTACGCTGACTCCTCCACCAGATCCTTGTCCCGGTAAACTAAGTTTTCCTTTCTCTATCTGGTGTTTTGTGTGAGTTATTGTTCCGATCGGCGTCATTGCGATTCCTTATTTGCGAACCTTTGGAATCTGTTTTTGTAAGTTTGAGGTCATTGGACTGGTAGTGGTGGGTGTTGGTCAATTTTCCGACTTTCTCCAGAATTCGGATTAGAACATTTTGCACACACGTGATCAATGTGATAACCCCAGTGTGTTTTGAAGCTTTAGCTGCTTTAGTATCATGGGGTTACTTGACTGCATGAATGTGTAAGAGAGGATGGAGGAGCAGCGCATCTGTTAGGAATTCTGGGTAGTCCTGGGAAATTTTACTTTTAAAGAGAGGTGGAACGCTGGAACTTCCACTCCTGTATGGAAAAATTAACAACTCCTGAAGTGCCCAAACGTTTCCAATTTTTGTTTTTTGGCATCAGAGCTTACCTGGGATAATTTAGCAAACGTTGGTTTTGGATATGGACAAGTGAACATATTCCAATACTGGTTTCCGGCCTACCTTGCGAGAGTTTTTGGTGCATTTGGGTTTGGGAGTGTGCATGCATGGTTTGTTTAGAAATTGGAGGAAAGGAGAAGTATTGCTAGGCAAGCAGCAGTGAGCCACAGATGGGTTTAAGCTTTTCCTGGGCCATGAACTTGTTGTAACATCTTTGTCAGTTTGGAGTCGCTTGATTGTATAAAATTTTCAAGTGTGCCATGTGCTTTTCTTTCCGATGTCTTGTATTTTCAGTCAAGGCTCTATTCACTGGTTTCACTGCTAATTAACACTTTGTGCTTCTTGCTGGACTTTTTTGTGCAGCTCGTCATGCTGTCAGAATTCTCTTGGTGATGGAAACAGCCTGCTGTTAAGGTTGGTGGCTGTTGCATCTTTCATGTGTTACGCTACAATCCTACTTCTATGTTTTTCATGTCTTAGCACTGTCGCCATATGTAGAGTTCCGTTAGACTCTAAATATATTTGATCAGAACTCCTGTACGTCGTTAATGGAATGCTGTTATATACTATTTATCTGAGCGCACTTGAATCTTGATTACAGTTGGGTAGTTGTCCTCACAATGATAAATGATATTTTTGGCTATGTGCAATGGAGTATCTATCAAGCTAATATTCATACACATGCAACTATGTCCCTTTGTGTGTCTAGTATTCGTTCTCCTTCTGTTCCCTACATATTCTTGTATGTTCTTTATTTACTTGTTCTTATTTATGACCTATGATTATGCTTATCAGGCCATCTTCATTATCTGTTATCAAGGGATCACATGATAGTTTCTTGAAAGTGAAGGTAAGCGCTGTTGTGAGTACTTTGCCTGTATCAGTTTGACATGTCCATTTCCTGATCCAATCGTCATTATGCAGTTACACAGTGGTATCAGGCATTTCTCTTCAGGTATTGTCTTCAAATCATTCTCAACATTTCCCCATGTTGACGAGCTTTCATTAGCACATGTTTTGTTGATAGGAGATAGACTAATTTGTTGGACCTATTGACGTGGTGATACCAAATACCTTGAACCCGGTATTATGTAACTTTCAGGGCTAAAAATGCCACTTCCATTACTAGTACAGTTTTGTAGTTTTTAACGTACATCTCAAGCAACAATTACGTTAGAAACAAAATAGAAGTTTGGGTTGACTTACCAGAGGGTTGACCTTAATTTTCTTATATAATTTTATATATATGTTATTAAGCATTTAGAAACTTATCTGTAGTTTTCCTTAGATTTTCACTTTACTCCTCTGATGATCTGCTACAGCTCATGCCTCTAATGTTCAAAATACAAAGAGAAATAATTACTATTGCAGCAGTATTAGCATTGAATTGGATTGAATCATCAATTGTAGTTCTTCTTGTAGTGGTATCATCGCTAATATTTTGCACAAAAACTGGACTTGACCTTGTCCATTCTTTTTTTTTTTTTTTTTTAATGAATGCACTTGCCCATGCTTTCAAGAGTTTACATATGGTTTCCCAATTTCCAGTCAAGTTGATCCAGATATTCACGGGCTGTTATATAGACAATTTCAGAGTACATTCTTTGAGGGTTGGTGTCTACAACATATAAATCTCTAGGGAAGAAACTGGGCACTATTTCAAGTTTCCATGTGCCTCTTCTTATCACATTTCTTAGCATAATTTTGAACATATGATGTGGAACTGTTGAAACTCTGTGGAGCCTTGTGTATCATGCATGGAATAAAGTTGGGTCTTCCAACTAAGCTAGAGTGAGTAATATTTAGTATATAGGTTAATAATATCCTAGCATCTTTTGCTAGGTTCACTGTCCACATGAGTTTCCATTTCCCCTTAGAAACCTCTCTTGATTTTGATCCTGTTCCCCATATTTGGAGAGGGGGCTGCTCATAGTCATATATTTCCAATGATCTGTCTTCCTTATTTTCATGGTCTCTATTGCTCTAGAGGTTCCAGCACACATGGTTGTCGGGATGCCAGCTTTGTCCCCTACAATGGTAAGATACTTAAGAAATTATATTAGTGGTACGATTCTTATGGTACATGAAGATCTTATGGATGTTGGTTTATGCAGACTCAAGGTAACATTGCAAAATGGCATAAAAAAGAAGGGGATAAGGTGATTTATATTTTGAAGATATATGATATAATGCTTGTGTGGCTTGTTGTATTATGCCTGTTTTTCTCATTTATGGACTTTTGAACTCATCTAACAGATAGAAGTTGGTGATATACTATGTGAGATAGAGACAGATAAAGCCACTCTTGAATTTGAAAGCCTTGAAGAGGGGTAATGAGTCTTTTCTTTCAACCCTTTGTGTCTTTGTCTGATTCTTATATGCTTTCCAGCCTTTGCATCATGCAGAAACACTGGTAAATTTATTGCTCCGTGAAAACATTCGAAGGCTTTTTGTTTCTTGTACGACTCTATTTCTTGTTTATCTTCTCTGAATGTATTTCCCGAAAATCTGGTTGGTGAATTAATAGAGTTGTGCAGTGTAAACCCTATCACAGTCTGTCTTTCTCATTGATGGGTATTTGTCACCCCAGGTATTTGGCTAAAATATTGGTACCTGAAGGTTCAAAAGACGTACCTGTCGGGCAGGCCATTGCTATAACAGTAAGTTGCGCAACTCTCTCTCTCCCTTCCTCGTGATTGGGGGTCTTTAGGGAGCCCTTTTTTTTATATCTCTGAAGCTTCCTTGTCAATATGGAGTTTTGTGCTTGTAAAATGTAAGGAAGAAGATTATGAACTTTGGAATTTTAGCTTCATATTAATTTTTTCTATTGAAATTCTCTTACAATGTAATAGAGTTATTCATAGCAAGTTTAATAACCTGCTTTTGATGGTTTCACTAGGTTGAGGATGCAGATGAAATCCAAAATGCCCCTGGAAGTGTTGCGAGTGGCTCAAAGGTTAATGAGGACAAAGCATCTGACTCAGATGTTAAAACTGAAGATATGACACATGACAAGAGTCCTGTTCAGTTGAACGCATCAGACCTTCCCCCCCATATTGTGCTTGGAATGCCAGCACTATCTCCCACAATGGTTAGTGCGATTGAACTCTTGACCAAATGTTCTAGCTGTTGGCATGAACATCTTCGTCTCCTACAATGCTAAGTATTGGTTATCTGGTGCAGAACCAAGGTAATATTGCCAAGTGGTGGAAAAAGGAAGGCGATAAGGTTAGAAATACTGGGTGCTTCTTTCCTCTCTCTCGTGCTTAATGGATATATTGCTCCAATGGGACAGTTAAACTTATTCATATCTTGACAGATAGAAGTGGGCGACATAATATGCGAGATAGAGACAGACAAAGCTACTCTTGAGTTTGAAAGTCTCGAAGAAGGGTAATACTCTTTTTTGTTTGAACTTATACATGTCCACTTATTTTGAGAGGTAGTCCTTATATGGTCTGGGCAACAGAATCACTCCTAGATGGGGTCCTATAACTTAGTATTCTGACAAGCAATTAGCCACCAAAGACAGGATACAACCCTTTTAGATGATACAATTCGTTCACTTCACTTTGCTTGAGTAGGTAGAACAAATACGACGTAGATATTGCCTTCCATGTCATGGTTGAGGGAACTTATACCCAGAAATGGTGCATAGGTGACTCTCGATGGAGTAAGTTTAGAGTTGTTTCTCTAAAGTTGATTACATCTAACCTGTTAAAGCTGATGAGCAGTTGAGCACCATCATTCTGATTTTCATTCCGTTTCCACAGGAGTTGTGTATCTTATGATTTAGCAGACGTCCTGTTTCACATTCCTCTTTTGAAAAGCTGATTTTCAGGTATTTAGCTAAGATAGTGGCCCCAGAAGGTTCAAAAGATGTTGCCGTGGGAGAACCTATTGCAATAACAGTAGGTTCCCCTTTTTGCTCATAGTCCCTGAAGAAAGAAGCCTGGTGTTTTCTTTCACTCTGGTTTGTGCTATCATTTTGGCTTTAGTTGCTTGCTTTCAACTGTCTGAATTCTTTTTGTTAAGGTTGAAGATCCCAGTGACATTGATATTGTAAAGAGCTCTGCTGCGATGGGGCCGGGGGTCAAAGAAGGAAAATCAGCACCTCCTGCTACTAAACATGAAACTCAGAGACCTCAAGCCAGTGTGAGAAGGATCAGTCCATCTGCTAAGTTACTGATCTCAGAGCATGGGTTGGATGCATCTTCATTGAATCCATCAGGGTTTCATGGTACACTGCTTAAGACAGACGTTTTAGAGGCTATAAGATCAGGAAAAGGATCTAAAATCAAATCACAAACTAAGGAGAAAGTTGCACCAGTGCCTCAGAAAAGCCAACAACCTTCTTCCACACCCCCAACACAGCATTCAGATACTTTCGAAGACATACCCAATTCTCAAATACGCAAGGTATGTTCACTTTTTCGTTTGGTGACCATAGTGTTACATTGGAAGGTTACAGTAAGATAAGTCTGCTGTGGGCCTTAGGGATTCCGGATGAAATGCAGTGTCCTTAGGCACATTTGCAACTGCCTTATATGATAGTGATATCGCTTTCTTAACTTCATATAAAGATACAATGATATTTGTTGATGACCAAAAGGTTTATTGAACCATGACATTAAGATGTGAGTCTGTTAGGAATAGGGAGCTGACATCAGTGTGCTTTTTACTAGTACCAGCTGCGGAAACTAGGAGAAAGGTCTGGGGAGTAGTACTCGTCAGTTTGTGCACCATAAAAGAATTATCCAAAGTAAACAATGGAAGCATACAAGTATTTGTATTCATTGAACATGTACATATACCTATAATAGGCAGTCGTACGTACACATACTCGCTCTAGTGCATGTGTTATATGAATCATGAGAGTTATATATGAATATGGCTCTCTATTATGAATATGGCTCTCTCCAATCTTTCTCAGCTGCTTCTGTTATGAGTTCATCATATATATACACACATACAATATGCTGTTCTAAGTGAGCTCTGAAGTATCAGACATTGGAATAGGAGACATGACCTCTTTCTTTCATGGAAATCTTGGAATTGCTCAATTGCATACATGGGCCTCATTTTCGTGAAAGTGCAGTACACTTGAGATTGGAGGATAAATCAATTGGAGACTGTCTTGTATGCTTCCACATAGTTTCCTTGCTGCCAAAATTGGTCCTATCAATACTTGTCTAATAGCTTGTTTTGATATTTGAAGCATGTGCATTTTGTTGGATGAAATGTTTCTTATGTGATGTAATTTTTCGTGGTTGCTTTTCAGATCATAGCAAAGAGGCTGTTGGAATCAAAGCAGACTACCCCACATTTATACTTGTCCACAGGTTGTGTCAACTCCATGCTATGACTTGTATCTGTTGTTTCTGCATAGTCTGTGGTCTAATTCTGCACTTTTATCTATCAGATGTCATTCTAGATCCTCTTCTCTCTTTCAGAAAGGAGCTTAAAGGTATGCATCTCTTTTTCTCATTGTTGTCCTTATTTTTCATATTCTCTTTATTCATTGGAAGTAATACACTGTTTCCTTGACTGCAGAGAAGCATGATATCAAAGTTTCGGTGAATGACATAGTCATCAAAGCTGTTGCTGTTGCTCTAAAGAATGTGCAAGAAGCTAATGGTAACGTTACCCGAGTATCTTTAGATACTGGTCAAGAATAAAATATGCAGATCTTAAGTCACTGGAGGTTGTCCTTGAATAGGGAATACTCATCCCTAATTTGACCAGCTACCATTGTAAACCTTGAAGATGGCCAACCAAACTCATTTTGATCTCTTAAGATGGTTTAAATGGAATAACCATATTTAATAGTATGATGTCAGCTTAAAATTTGTAAACTTCTATTAACAAATTACCCTTATTTGTCTTTAGTTCTTACATGGTCTTCCATCAATGATTGAGAGCTTCTTATAATTTACGGGTTCTCTGGGTTGATGCTTGAATGATGAAAGTTCAAGAAAGCATACAGCTAATGTTTTGTATTTGAGGCAAGGACAGGCTGAACTGGAGTATCTTTGCTTTAATATAAGTTGTAGTGGCTGCTGATGTATCACTTGGACTATTTTTAATTTGCTTCTTTGACTGTCCTGTGCTCCTGTCTGGCTGTTCTTATCAAGATAATTCTAGGTCCTCTGTCCTCTTACCTCTCTCTAGAATCTGGCGTTGCCGCGTACACTATACCTTGTTTCATCTGTTTTCCTTCAAATATGATATCAAACAAAGAGAATTGACAGTAGTGATGTTGGCTTTTGCGTGTGGATTTATCTTAGGGATTTCCAGATCATGACTGATTTTTTATATCCAATGCTTGCATTTGCCATTTTATAATTGAGAAAATTTTGAGATCTGGATACTAAGTTGTTCCGTCGATATGGTACAGCTTACTGGGATGATGAGAAAGGGGAGATCATTCCCTGTGATTCTGTTGATATCTCAATTGCAGTTGCCACCGACAAGGTATTCTTCAGAAATGACCTGTGTTTGAAGTGTGGCTATACTCTTTCCTAATTTTGATTTTATATAAATTTGCAGGGTTTGATGACTCCTATTATTAAAAATGCAGACCAGAAATCCATTTCTGCTATCTCCTTGGAGGTATTCCTAAGACAAAGTTGATACATATATTCTCTTGTCTACATGTTCAATCCATTTAATGTGTACCAAGTTGTTTGTTTGGTCTTTGTTGACTTTTTTCGTCATGTTCTTACAGTACTACTACAACAATTGAAATGTGAAAAGATGGGGTGGACTGAAAAAGTAGCCTCAACAACAATAGATTCAGCTCGATTCATCAAAAAAAAACAATAGATTCAGCTCTAACTTAACTTTTTTCATACTCGACCAAATGATTTCAGGTTAAGCAACTGGCTGAGAAAGCTCGGGCAGGGAAGCTTGCTCCACATGAGTTTCAAGGAGGAACATTCAGGTACTTGATGCCGTTGGATAAGTAGTAGATCTTTTCATCTTTTTCCCACATCGCCATTTAGCCTCAAGGGTAGGCAGAAAAGAAGAAAATTCCATTAGTTCTGAAAACTTGTTGATTATCACTGTGCAGCATTTCAAACTTGGGTATGTATCCTGTCGACCAGTTTGCTGCAATAATCAACCCACCACAGGTTCTCCCTCCAACACCTCCCTGGTTCCAGTAATCCCTGTTGCAAATGGGTTGACCCTTGCTTCCGTAGATATGATGTATTGATTTATTCGCGTTGAAAATTTGCAGGCGGGCATACTAGCAATTGGCAGAGGGAACAAAGTAGTCGAGCCAGTCGTTGGAAGTGATGGTGAGTGTTTGCTTCCCAATCCAAACACTTCGTTTGCAGCCATTTAGAATCAGACTCTAAACAAAACATCTCGACTTTGTTTGTGCCAGGAACTTTGATTGCCGCGGTTGTGAACAAAATGATCTTGACTTTATCTGCTGATCACCGTGTTTTTGATGGCCAAGTCGGAGGTTTGTGGCACTTTGCAATGTCATAGTAGTATGTTGGTTTGTTGTACTTGAAAGTAGGAAGTTCTCACTGTGATGGATTCTTTTTGTTTCTTATTCGCAGGTGCATTTCTCTCTGCTCTTCGATCAAACTTCAGTGATATTAAAAGACTACTTCTATGAGAGACGAACTTCTCTAGCCAAGCCGAATAATTTTGCAAGAGGTTGGCCAGAGCAGAGGTGTTCATTCTGGTGGTAGCCGTTAGGGGACCTCTTTTTTACTTGTAATTCTTTTGAAACCATTTTCGTGTGGTTCACGCTTTGATCAGGAAGAAGAAGCTTTGCTTACTTGGTAGATAGCGATCAGAATAATGATCCAAAAGAAACAAAAATGTAAGTTTTGCAGAATTGGTCGACTCAATAAATTGTTAATTCCATGATTAAGATTTTCCAGAACAAACATGACTTGAGTTGTGAAACCCTGTTAGTCTCTCTCAGTCTCAGGGAGTTCCTCTGCTATCAACTATAGCTCAGTGTGACCATAAGGACTACAATTACGGATCCTGTGATAGCCCCGACGATTTAATAAGAGCAAGAGTTGAAGAAAAATTGATCTCCACCACACCACCAGATGGCAAGATCTCTTCTTTCACAGGCTACCAATGTTACAAACATATTCAGGGATTGCTGGCATGCCAAGGGCCAGAGGCAGCAACACCTATCACCTGAGCAACATACAATCTGGACAACTAATCTAATCTAATTTCAGACATAGCAAAACAGTCGATCGGGAGGTTGTAGGCAGAGCGTGGTTATTCTATTATGCACCGAAGAAGTCCTCAGGCACATGAAACTTCAACCCCACAGCCTGCAATAAAAAAGAACGAGGTTATCATCAATGGCTATGCTCCATATACCTCACAGGTGAAGCAGCACTAAAAATTTCTCCAACAAAAAACTATCACTAAATTTTCTATCATTCAACTCGCTGTCTTTCACTTCAGAAGTGATACACCCTACTGTTCATAAGAAAGTATTTTCCGAAGAATGCACACAACAGCTTCTATCACCATGTATGCCGCAAAAACATAGGAATCATTATTCCCAATCAACACGAATAGGGTTCGGGTGCTATGACGCAGTTTTACTCATCTCTCCATATGACAGAAGATAATAATGTTAAATGCAAAGAGCTTGATGACATTTTGAAAAAAATGATAAGAAATGGAGATGTATAACAGTAAGACACCACCTCAAAATTGGCTTTACATGATGTACTGGACATGAATCGCAAAAGATTTAGGTCTACCTGAGCAAATTTTAAGTCAGCATCACTATGGTCATCATCTCTCCCTGCTGCATCCCCGACATAGAAGGATCTACATGTATTAGACAACTAGTTAAGCAGCGGCAGATAGATTGAGATGAGGAACAAAACAGAAGCACAACTATATACACATCTCAAAAACACCCTTAATAGTAAAACAAGATAAGGGAAGGGTAACAACTGTTGCATATCAATTGAAATTCCAGAATTGAGATGTTTCTCCATAAGATGCCACATTCCAGGGTTGGGTTTGCGGTACGGATCCTCTACTCCACCAACAGTGAAGCCACATGCTATGAAAACCTGTACACATAATACTCCTGTAAGTGGAACTGCTGGAACTGCTGAGCAGACAATTCAATGGTCAGAATTTGAGGTTGACAAGACACAGGAAGTACGCATTTTGAATGTGAGATAACAATTGTCTCAATCTAGATACGAGAGCAAACAGAGCAATATCACAAATGGCGTTCACCATTAAAATAGCATAACAAGAGACGTCTGCAGACTAAATAACCTGAATTGGGACCTTCACATGCTGAATAAAGTTGTTCAGGCGTCCAATTTTGGAGTCCACTGCTACCTGTCTTTTGTTCTTCCAGCGATCTATGTTAGACTCATTTGTAAAGATAACCTAGTCATCAAACAGAAAAAATCCGTGACATACACCCACTAAAACAACGATAATGAACAAGTCCCACATCTTGACATAATAAACCCCTAAACAGGATGTCCAAAGCTGTTGTATTTAGAAGAAACTAACCAGTTTGTAACCATCATTATATAAGCTACTGAGCTTGTCGGGGATAGAAGGATACATTAAGGACCAAGCATCTGCACCAACTCTGATATCAAAGAAACCAAATAAGGTTATCCGTTGCTATGAAAGAACCAGTGGCAGTGAATGATAACCAAAATTTAAACCCAAAGCATGTTGTTCATAAAATGCCAGCATTGCAGATTAGTACGCCAAAGCCAAGCCCCGCGAATGGAAAGTACATTAAACTGTCATGAATTGAAAGTACAAGTACCTCTTAACAGACGTTTTTGCTAGACATCCGTCAAAATCAAATGCAGCAACTTTATCAGAATCACGAAGTCCATCATCCTGGATAAACCAGCATACCTTCAGTGATTTTCTAAGACAAATAAAAAGGATCATTTTGACCGAGCTGGTTGCCAAAACAAATGTTAGCAAGATAGAACAAAAACATGCTGGGAGCCAGCAGAAATTGCAAGGGCCAACATTAGCAACTCATCCTCATAGGAGATAAGCTCCAGGAGAAGGAAAGACAATGTCATTGAGAAAGGTGACTCTTGGTCCTGTATGTCAGGTAAGATATAATACTAGTAATGGCGAGCTTGATGAAATAATGCTAGAGAAAGTGCTAGAAAGACATCCAAGCTAACTAGCGTAACATGGATCAACATAATTGGATGACCCAGAAACGTAACAACTTATAATTGAAGGATTACACCTTCAGTTGAATCGAAAAAAGGGCAGGCCGGTTCACTTAAGTAGTGCTTCAAATTGGATGTGAAGAGTTGACTATGCAAAACAGAGAGCCCAATGATCATGAACATGAAGTGACTTGAGAAGCCAACAATGATGACGGAACTGTCACTCACATAAGGCTGCCCAAGAAGGGACGAGTAGCTTACCGTCTCAAGAAATATGACTGTCTGAAAGGCCTTCCACTTTGGAAGTAGAGTAGCACCCTGAGCCAAATGAAGAATTCAATATGAGGACTGCAGTAAAGTTTTCTAACACCAGCAAACAGCATTAGCCACAGACATACATCAATGTAGTTTAGCAATAAGTCACACCTTATACGTCTGCATCACATCCGAAATCGAGAACACTATATCAGCCCTGGTTTCTTCCTTGGCCGTCGGCTGGAAGAGGTTAAGTCACAGTTTAATCTAACAGCCAAGGCATCATGCAAGAAGCAGAGCACATCAATTCGGAAAATTTATATTGCATTGCACATTCAATTACATAGGCAGAAACTGAGGGGGGGAAACAAGTAAGTCAGGAGAAAAGACTGACCAACATTCATTTACCTTAATTTTCTTTGTGACCTTATTCTCTTCATCTTCAAGTCCATCTTCATCAGCTTCCGGATTCTGGTCGCCCACAAAATGCAAGTAGTAAAAAAGATAGACCACGGAACGCAAATTCAACATGCAAACCTCAGCATACGTTTCTCTTATACCTTTCTTCCTTTCTTGCTTCCCTTTTGAACCTCTGTAGCTCCATTCGAAACCTTGCCAAAAGAAACATACAATTCTCATCCTAACAAACACATTGCGCAAAGAAACAGCAAATCAAGTGCAAAATCATGCTCCCCAGACAGTTTTCACACCTTGTCAATGGAACTCTTGCATTCATCCACCAGTTTCTTCAAAGCATCCTGATCACCGCTCTGTAACACAGAAAAGGGAAGGGAACTCAAAAGAGTGAAGCAAAGAAAGACCGTGAAGAAAGGAGGGAACGCGAGACAGAGAAAGAACGAAGAACGGGGACGGACCTGAAGAGAATCGAAACCGGCAATCAGCTCAACGGAGTCGAGGGTTTCGGAGAAGCAATGCATGTGGTACCACTTAGTCAGGTCAAACCCTCGGGCGTCTCGGGAGACGAGACCCAATCGGAGGGATTTAGCAGGAATGGACTGGGAGCACTTCTTGCATGAGGACCGGCCTGATTTGGCGTACTCCGCCACGGTTTTAGCTTTCGATGAAGGAGCCATCGGGCCGGGAGAAGTGAGGTTGAGGCGTGATCTCCCGGCGGCGGCGGTGAAAGAGCTTGAAAAGCACGAGAGCGATGACGGAGGGATTTTGAATGGGGAATGGAAGACACGAAACGAGGCGAAGCGATTTGTGGCGAGTTTTGGGATGGAAAGGGAAACTTGGAAGAGCGGAACGCTGAGGACTCGGAAGTGCGTTGAGATAGTGGCGCCGGCGAGCATGAAAATGGCGCGGGCTTTTCCGAGGCAAAATGGTTTCCACTAAAGCCGAGGGCCAATTACGGGTACGATTTTGGTCGAGTTCTCAGCGGAAGGGCACATTGCGAGTCGATTTGCAATTTGGCGTATAGGACTAGAGGTCCGTTTGTTAAAATAAATAAAAAATATTTATGTGAGTCGACACGTAACAATGCATTTTGGTTTGCGAATTGTGCATATTTTTCAGTTTTTTTCTTCGACAAAACCTATCTTTGGATTTCCAAGTTGAACATTTGATATTGATGTTATATGAGTATATTTGAATTTTCACGACATGTTGGATCCTTGTACGAACTGTTATATAGGTGTAATGTTATTACTCATATGTTAGATGAGATTTGTAATAATTTATAAATGTATGAACAATATAATAAAATGACTTTATCATATATCCTGTTAAAACGATCTAAAGCAATATGAGCATTAACTCTCAACTAGCTTGCTTGACTGGACTAGCGGGCTAAACCGAATTGGCAACCTTAACAATACTGACAAAAAACTTGAGGTATTCAACGGGTTTCCAATTCAACTCGCTTATAATTAAGTTACATGAATTTCTCATAATGTTTATGTATCGAAGTGGTCTTATCTTGCTAGCGATAGACAGTTTATTTATCTAACCATAATGATTATTTGTGGTTCAGCATTTCCAGTTAGTGGTTAACCACAAAATTCATAATTTTACTTGTCACCGCCAAACTACTAACAATAAAATATGATCATTGTTAGCCAAATCATGTGCAGGTTAGTGTCTCTAGTCGTCTAGCCGCAAATCAAACTTCCTCCTCTACCCGAAGGTATACCATCCTCAAAATAACTGACCGTTTATGACCCAGCCTTTGATGGTGCACATAAGCCAACATATTTGAGTCGCTAATGGTTTAAAGATTGATCGCAACTAGAAAGTCATAGTGTCATACCAAGAATTGTCTATTAACCTAGCTAAGTCACCAAAACACCTCTCTATCTATGATAACCTTTTCGGTAAGAAGCCAAACCAATAATTCTATCATTTTCGCCATTCTCATTAATTCCTCTCTCGATCCTAATTCGAGCTCGAAGATTGTCTCCAAGTTCACGAAGAACAACTTCTAAGGGGTGACAATGTTGCTGAAACCTTCCTCATTCCATTTAGATACTTGATTTTTAAGTCCTCGAGAGATGAATATGTCTCTTTCCCCTACTTAGAAAGGAGATGCTCGAGATGACTGTCTATTTCCTCTACTTAGAAAAGAGATGTTAAGACATGGGGAATACTCTTGCTCATTTCAAGGTGCAATGGGAATCGAAGTAGTCTCTGCTCCTGCGCGGTGGCCTTATTTGAAAGATTGAAAACATGATTCTTTTAAAAGAAGATAAACAACTATGAAAATATCAAGTGGCAAACAACTGAACAAGTAGGGTAAGCAACCCATGCACTAAAATATTCAAATTGGCATTCCAAACAAAATGCTACAGACAAAGGTACAAAGGATTAAAAAAAAATGCAGAACACGACTTGGGGGAGACTTTGAGACAGTCTATCATTTCGAAATCCTTCACTTGAGGAATCCTGGATTGCGCATCTGCATCCTAGCCGGTGAGCTACAAAGCCTTCTGCGGACACCAAAATAGGGGGGAATTTCCCATCTGTGGGGCTATTGGGATTCTGTGGCAACATCTTTGACGGCAAGTGGTTCATACCATTGAGGGCCAAAGCCAGCAGCTTTCCTTGCTTCAGCATTGAAAGGTGGCTTGAGAGGCCCTCTGAAGTGACTCCTGACAACAGAATGGAACTTCTGAATCACCATCTCTTCATCCTCCTCTCTGGCGGGCTCAGGCTGTCTCCCTTCCGCTTGTTGAGAAACAAGTAAAGCTGGAGTTGCAGACCTTAAGCACAGGAACTTAAACCATTTTACTCCAGCAGCGCAATGAGTGATCTCTTCTGGGTAAATGACCGTCTCCAGTAGATTTGCAGTGTCATTGTCCCCTCCACTCCGGAATCGAGAGATGGTTGTTGGCAGAACATCCAGTCCCCTGGCCTAACTTGAACAAATTCACCACATGTCAATTTGGCAACTGCCAACAATCAAAGATTCATCAATATGAAAAAGCATCAGGCATTGAACACGAGCCTATCTATTCATACTATTCTACATGATAATCGATTGAGTCAAGACACATATCAGTGCGCACGCACCTCATGCACACAATGCTCTACTGCTAACCGTGTCAGCAGACTCTTGGATGTAGCCATAGCAGAGTCCCAAAGCCCATCATGAGCAGGTAAAGCACCATAAGAAGAACCCAATTCCTCTAGACGTTTGGCTAAGAGGGTGAAGTGTCTCCCCTCATCCTGAGCTACCTTCACAAAATCTGTGAAGAATTCTCTTGGCATCGCCTCTTGCTTACCGAAACGCGCAATTATATCCTACAATTCGAGTGCCAAATGAGACCACAAACACCATACATAGAGATTCATGCAATGACAAGAGACAAATTGACAGAGTACCCAAGAGAGATCGATAGCCCAGCTCTCAATGTGAGCAAGGCTATGGACAATAGCCTGTCTACTCTGCAAGCTACCAGCTTTACCAAGCTTCGGCATCAACCCAGGTGCCACCAACTTAACCTGCAGAGCGAAAAGAACAATTTCTCCTCATTCAGACATTTCGTAATACAGGTGGTAGGCAAACAAAAACCACCGTATGTATACATACGTCGGGGAGCCGGGCTGGGCGTTCTGGCACTGAGAATTGGAGATCAGGGTCGTAAGCAAGAGAGATGGAGCCCTGGAGCCATTGAGAAGCAACCCAATCGCCTAATCGCGCCTTCTCAAACGGGTCTGGTGTGTTAAGGATTCTGAGGGCTGCTTCCACCAGAGTCTCGGTTTCGAGTGACGAGCTCATCTTATCTCTGGCTGTCGGCAACGGCCGGAATTGAGGCTCAGTGGTGTTCGATTCAACTGGCATGTCCTCGTTTCCAAAGACCAAGAGCGAGTTGGAGCCTTGGAGGAAGGGTATGATAGGGATATAGGGTTTAACCCTGAAATCTTGGAGCAGCGGCTGAGGGTTTCGAATTTCGATCGGTGGAAGGGCTATTAAAAATAAAACAATGGGTAGATTGCAAGATTGGACGGTAACATATAAAAAACTTCACATTACCATTAGAATTAGTTTATTCCATTCATGGTTACTAAATTAGTTCAACAATTCAAGTTTGGTCACTCTCCGTTAATTTTCGTTAACTTTTGCTAATGTGGCAGTCAACTCTGACAATTGACTGTTAAATGTGTGACGTGGCAAATAAAAATTAATTATAAATAAATTTATCTTTTTAATTTCCACAATTTAACAATAGTTTAAAATTAATGATATTCACCAAAATAATAATGCAATCCTTTGACATAAAAAAAACTATTACAAAAATTCAACGGATCATAGCGTATTCATTTACATTGGATTTAAAAAAAAAATTGCACAGAAAATCAGATTTTTTGTGCTCTACAAGATGATGTCCATTTTTTATATTTTTTGGAGAATTTTTTTTTTCCAGGTCATCATATTACTGTCATATCACGATATCATCACTAAGAGTGTTATAATAATATCATAGTATTATTGTTTTGATATGATAGTGATATGATGTTGGTATGATGTCTTAAGTTTGACCATATGATATAGTGATAATATCATGATATGATAGTGATATGATGTTGGTGAGGTCTTATATTTGTCAAAATATAACAAAATGGATATCACAGTATAGATCTTCATGTTGATATGATGTTCATATCATTGTCATATAATTATATTACCACTATGTTGATATAATATTCATGATTTTACCATAAATGTTACAATTTTACTATGGCGATATCAAAGCAGCAAACACATGTTTTGAAGATTCGATATTTTCCCCAAAACATAGCAAAATATATATTATAATGTAAATCATAATTAATGCATTTTTATGTATATTTTTAAGAATTATGAGATCAAATGTATATATATGACTTGATTAAGGAAAATAAAATACTAGTATAAGTACTTTTTGACTAGTCAACAAACGATTAGCTGGTAATTATGCGCCTTTCTGTTCTTTCCTCCTTCGTATTATACATACATTCTTCCGGAGATTATATGCACATTTTCCCCTCAATTTTCTTCAATGTCAATTTATTTGTATTTCTCTGATTTTGACTTTTCTATAATCATATTTTTTATCGAATGAAACTTCGAATAAGTGCAAGACTTCATCTTACACCTAATTAGACTCACTCAATTACCCTTTCTACTATTCTTATTTTATGTATATAAAATAAATTTTCTTTATTTTATCATAAAATATAAAAATTATTATTATAGTAATATGTGAGAATGTTTCGATGTGTCACAATCCATACCACTATAACAATGAGAAATTTTATAATGCTATATAGTATTGGTGCTATAGGATTATGTCTTTATGGTACAATTTAAAATTGTACATTTACGTTATGGTACAACTTCAAATTGTACCTATACTTTTTGTACAAATTCTTGTATAGTACAACTTGAACTTGTACCTTTATGTGATGGTACAACTTCAAGTTGTAAAGTTGTACCATAACATAATGGTACAAATTGCTTTATGATACAACCTAAACTTATACATTTAATATTATAGTACAACTTTAAGTTGTACATTAAAGTACCAATGCTATATAGCATAGTAGAAGTGCTCCTATAACAATATGGGCAGTACTCAACATGTCTCGCCTTCAGAGCAGGACGTGTATGATTATTGCGCGCCCCACTCATTGCCATCACTGGTCACCATCACCCATTCTGCCGTCCGGCTGTCTTATAAACTCGGCTCATAATTTCATATATATATGTGCATCTCGCTGTAATTGTCCATCCAAATGATTCATCGCAAGCAATTATAGAAACATATCCACCTACTTTAGGAACCCCACGCATTTAAAACACATGCCCACCTACTTTAGGAAACCCCAATATGGTTATCGAAATTTGTTTACACGTGGATTAGGTCGCTCACTTTAATACGCTCGCGATATTGTTTCATATTGTGCATATCAGAATATGATCACTCGGTCGCCTTCATGCACACAAACTACTTTCCATGACGCTCGATGCGTTCAAAAAGTGGAGCTCGTTGAAGAATATTTCTCGTATTTTTTTCTCTCTATGAGGGTCTAAGAGTTTTGCTACTTAGAGCATCCACATCAATCTAATTGCAAAAGCAATTGTATTTGTACTATTTATTGTCAACTCAATTTTTTGCAATCTACCTCACATTACTTTCATTCACCTACATCAATGCAATTGCATATGTAATTTAATATTATATTTAAATTAAAGAAAATAAAGTAAAAGAGAGAAAAAATAATATAAAGTAAAAAATTTCCATTTTTGAGTCATTTGTTGCAAGCTTGTAAATATGCAATTAGTAACCACATCAACGCAATTGGTTTTGCGGTTGCAAACATCCATGTCATGTCATCTTGCAATCGAGAATGCAATACCAATGTGGATGCTCTTATTCCGTTAATTAATCGCATAAGACATACTAATATGATATGTATGGTGCCTTCTACGATACCCCAGGTGAAATCTGGGGTACTGCATACCTTGAGTATTAAAACGCTATTTAGACCTCGAATTAGCAGGACTTTTGGGCATGCTACTATTCCCTTATCCTTAATGAGTGAACCTTAGGTCCTAATTATCTAAATCATAAACTATAAACTCTAAGATGATGCATTGATTTTTTTGCCTATATTTGGACAAATCATAACCGTCGATTATTGCTTCTAATTAAATTGATCTTGGGGTATAAAATTTAGAGAATTAAGACCTAGATTTTGATCTTTAAGGGTTAGAGTATAGTATCATGTCCGAAAGATCAGTCAATTCAAGTTCTGGATAACATTTTCTTACTCAAGGTATGCGGTACCCGGGATTTGCCATATATGGTTCAGGCTAGCGTACGCCCCATTGAGTTTTGCTATATAGATCATGAATTAATCGGAGTTTGGGGCATCATACTATACCCTAACCTCTAATGGGTGAACCCCAGTCCCTAATTTTCTAATCAAAACCATGAGGTTCGTTTAATCTTAAAATGAAAACCAATGAAAATTTCGACGAATCAGAATCGTTGATTTTCATTTTTAAGATTAAACGAATCTCATGATTTGGGTTAGTGAATTGGGGACTGGGATTCACCCATTAGGGGTTAGGGTATAATATCATGTCCCAAACTCCGATTAATTCTTTGTCTAAATAGCAAAACTCAATGGGGCGTACGGTAGGCTAGCGTACGCCTGGATGTACGCTAGTCTTTGCCATATATATATTATTATTAATTATCGTTGATTATTTTTCGTTTATATTTGAGAAACCAATATCATACAATTAATTCAAAACTTTTTCGAAAGATTTTATTCTCAAGCCGGCCTACCTAACTACACACTCGCTCGACCGACCGACCGATCGAATGTCACACTCCTTCTTTCGCAAAATTGGGTAATTAACTCCAATGATTACATCCTTTAGTAGGGCTGTCAATTTGGTTTGGTTTGGTTAACCAAACCATTAAGTATGAAAAACCAAAAACCAAATCCCAAAAACCAAAAGCAAAACCATTAAGACCCTTATTGGTTTTCGGCAAGGTTTTTTGGTTGCCAAAAACCAATAAGGACCAAAAACCAATAAGGGCCTTAATGGTTTTGGTTAACCAAAAAACCAACATGTACTCATACACTCATATTTATTCATATTTCCCTCCTTTTTATTGAATAAACGTCATAATAATGGTAAATGAGCATTACAAATTATTGGTTGGCATGCGTGTCAAAAGAAACAAAAAAAAAATTGTTGATAAATAATTTTATTCTTATTGGTTTCTTAATGGTTTCTATTGGTTTTTTGGTTTTAACCAAACCAAAACCATTAAATTGCTTATTGGTTTAAAACCAAAAAACAGAAACCATTAGCTTTCCAATTAGTTTGGTTTTGGTTAAAACCAAAAAACCAAAACTAAATCGACAGCCCTATCCTTTAGTGGGGGAAAACCATCTAAATACACATTTGCAAAAAAAATCTCCCACCAATATAATATTTCATTTAAAATTCACATGGCTTTCAAATCTATTTCGACCAACACCTACTTTCATTATTATCATCATCCTCGTCGTTATATGTAAACACATACGCATATACACATATATATATAGTCACCCTCCCTCTCATCTCATCTCACCTCACCTCACCTCACCTCACCTCACAAGGAAGCAGCTTCTCGTCCCCGAAAGTACTTGTCCATGTAAGTACAACAAAACCCTTAATTAATTACACGATTTCCTCTGTTACTTAATTACCCGCAGTTTCCCATTAATTAGTACATCTATTCTTTACTAAATCCATTACTAATTAAGCTGGCTTTGTTCCCCTCCTAAAACAGCATGGCCGCCGCCGCCGCCTCGTCACTACTCCTAGCGCTGCTGCTCTCTTTGGCGACGGCTCAAGCCTGGGAAGCGCTCCCTCTCCAAAAGCGCGCCTTCTACTCCCCGTCCTTCTCCATGGCCCCCGGATCCGTCGCCTTCGACTACTTCTACGACGTCGAGTTCCCCAGGGGCCACCTCGCCCTCAAGAGCTTCCGCGCCGACGTCGTCGACGCCGACGACAACGTCATCCCTTACCACGAGGTCTACCTCCACCACTCCTACATCGTCCGCTACTACCAGGCCCGCAACTACTCCATCCCGCCGGTCCTCGACATCGAGACCTTACCCTACGGCGACGGCTTCATCTACCGCCGCAACCACGGCATCTGCCAGGGCGACCTCCTCGGACAGTACTTCGGCCTCGGCACCGAGATGCAGAGCACCCCAACCGCCGTCCCCGACCCCTACGGGATCGAGATCGGGAACCCCGCCCCCATCCCCCACGGGTTCGACGAGAAGTGGCTCCTCGTCGTCCACGCCATCGACACCCGCGGGGCCGTCGACAGGTGGGTGGGGGTACTGTCTATTTAAAAAAAAGAGCGACTTAATCCGGGACTCAGTCAGATTGCAGTAACTCTAATTTTTTATTTTTCATGTTCAGGTTCGGGTGCGCCGAGTGTCGGAGGGATTTGTACAACGTGACGGTGGATCAGTTCGGGGAGCCGTTGAAGGACGATTATTACGGAGGGTTGTCGTGCTGTTACGCTCACACGCAGTGTAAAGTGAGGGAGGACTACGAGGGGACCACCAGGAGCCTACGGATGCGGTACACGCTGACGTGGACCGAGTGGGTCCCGTCGATCATCCCCGTCAGGGTCTACATCTTCGACGTCACGGATGATATGAAGTTGGTGGTCAATCCTTCTTCCGGCGCCGTCGCAGCGAAGCACGACTGCTTGGTAATTAAGCCTTTTTCTGCAATTCAAATTGCGTTCAGCCCAAATGCTTGTTGTTGTGTGTCATCAGTTTGTAGTTTGTGCTGTCAAAACGAGTTAATTTTGACGCTCAATTGCTTTGCTTTGTTGCAGATTGAGTATATGGTGGAGAGCTGCCACGTGGATGGGAATGGAGAGAAGGGGTGTGCGGACTTCAAGAAATCGATCGTGGCGATGCCCAAGGGTGGAAACGTGATCTTTGGTCTCACTCACTTGCACTCCGGAGCAATAAATTCCACGTTATATGGACAGGTACGTATATAGATAGTTTTCGTTAGCTTATAAATTGTAATCATGACTAATTAATTATGATTTGGATTCCGATACAAAATCCCGGCCGCTTGCAAAATTCAGTCGTATCATCTCGTATCACTATATACGATATATCATATCAGGACATATCATATCGTGATATGATGATACGATTTGCAGGTCGGGATTTTGTACTCTTATCTGTTCCCATTAATTATGACTAATTAATGATAATTGGTGATGATTAGGACGGGAGGGTTTTGTGCACGACGAAGCCGATTTACGGAGAAGGGATGGAGGAAGGGTACATCGTGGGAATGTCGACGTGCTACCCGGAGCCCGGCTCCGTTTGGATCGACGACGGGGAATTAATGGTACACGAATCCGTCTACACCGCGGAACGGCGTCGTACAGGTGTCATGGCACTGTTCTACCTCCTCGTCGCCGACAGGGTGGCGGATACCCCGGCGGCGCCGGCTGGTTTTAATGACAACTACTTCATGGGCGTTCGTTCTATGGTGAGCATTTAATTTGTTTGTTAATTATGACTGGAAAGAATGGATTTTATTTTTTTTAAATCAATCAAACCGGAAAAAGATAAGAGATAAGAGTATCAATGGTGATGGAGAAAGGTAGCCTTCAAATGGCTACATTATTGAGGGGGAAGTTTGGAAAGTAATGATTGGTTGCATACTGTGGAGGATATCATATCATCGTGGATGATTGATTGATTGGTGCACGTCGAGCCCACGCAACTGGTTTTAATAACTCGAGTTTTTGTATGATATTAACTATTTCCATAGAGAATAAAGTATTTTTTTTAATCTTCCGGCTACTATTTGCCTTGCTATTACTAACTAATTGCAAAACTGGTGTGTAATGGTAAAAAAAAAAGCTGGCGGAGAAGCTCGCCGGCGGCGGCGGGGGAGCGGTGAGGTCTGGAGACGGTGGTGCGAGCGGAGCCTTTGTGGGAGTTGGACTGGTTCTGCTGGGAGCTGTCGCTACTGCTCTTCTTCTGAGGGTCAAGAGGAGCTAAGGTCAAGAATCAAGATCAAGATCATTTCATTCCAATACCGATGGCGATGGAGATAAGATATAAACGCCGGTTGTTATTATCATATATATGTACGGTGGTGCAAGTTAACGGCGGCCGGTTTGGTTCGTCAATTTCTTGCTCCAGTTGTTGTCTTTATTATGAAATGCGTGGTTGGACCATTTAGTGGTGGGTCTGAGTCTGGGTCTGTCGGTCTGGTTACTAGATATGGTATGGGCCAGGCCGGCAGGCTCATCGGTCATCACTCATATGCATATGTTTTGAGAAATCGAATAGAATAAAAAGGGCTAAATTACACGTTTGGTCACTCAAATTATACAAATCTTTCACGTTTGCCACTCGAATTACTTTTCTTTCTTATTCGCCACTAACTTTACGAATCATTTCACGGTTGGTCACCGGCCGTTACACTCCGTTAAGTCTGTCCTACGTGGCAGTCAACTATAAAGTTTGACCGTTAACTAGATGACGTGGAAATTAAAAAAAAATCAAAAAATCAAAAAAAATTTCCACCTCATCATTGCACTTATTTTGTCTATATAATTTATCATATTAATAATTTAATAAAATTTAATAAATTACAAACTTGTTCATTTGCGGCAATTTTTTGTCGGCGGATTCTATGGTACAGGCACGGCACTAGTGCCGACAGTTTTGTAACCGTTGGATATATTGCATTTAAGGAGGGCCGTAGATGAATAAACATCATGTAACCAAAGCCGGTTGAACCTTTTGGTTAAACCTATTTAATGTTTAAGTTATTTATTATTATAATTGTGCCATCGATCTCCCGCTTTCAGTACTGCACGCCTCCATATATATTCTGGACTTCCAATGATCCAGTTCTGGAAGAAAACGAATGCTTGTGAAATCGGCCAATAGAGAATGCTGGATATAAACCTAATAAAGTATGTAAACTCATCCATCACTGCTGCAAACTTGAACAATTAAATTCAGACTAGAAATACTAGAAGAAACAATCAAGTGAGAAACATGTGGCTTGAACTGCTGCAACTCCAAGTCTCCAACTCCAAGATACTCCGAAAATTAAACAATCAAGGGTTTTCGGGATGTTGGGTGATGACTGACGGCCAACCACCGCCAACGACGATGCTGGTGGTGGATCGCCTCCACGTAGCTATGATCGGCGGCAGGGCGGTCACGACCGTCGTTGGCGAGCTTCACTGCTGTCTTTCCGTTCATGGTTTTTATGCCCGCGCCCAGAAACATCAAATTTTAATTTCGGTGAACTCGAAAAAGCTGACTCAAACTTTGAAACCAAGGCAATAATTATACAATCGAGGAAGGAAACAGAGCGAAGAAAGTAAACAGAGAGCTAAGGGAAAGGAGGGGTTGAAAATCAAATTATCCTCGGCTTCCCCTCGTGGTTTTCGTAGGAGAAGTGGCGAAAGAGGAGCCAGAAGAGGCGGGAGTAATCAATCCGGAGCAGAATCCAACCCGATCCGGCCACCAACTCCGCCGTACGTGAGAAGTTGGTGTACTCTGTTTTGGCAACCATTTGGTTTGTAGCAGAGAGAATAGACAGATATCCCTTTGAGTGGGGTACGCGGGGAGGGAAGTGACAAAAATTCCAACACGGAAGTGAAAGAAAGGAAGGGAATTTTTGTGGGTAGATGTTATCTGGGCACTGTGTTTTTCGGTGGTGGGGTTTGAGCTTTGAATTGAAAGGAAGAGAAGATGAAAGAGAGACAGTAATAATCCGGCTCTGTTTTAGATGGAGAGAGAAAGAGAGGAAGCTGGAGAAGGTATTCTGAACTTGAAGAACCTGTGGCTGCGCTTTGCGGAATGCATTTGCGTATGAACTGGAAAGGAGAGAGGAAACCAGAGGGAGACGACGATGATTTTGGAGAAGATGAAGATGAGGGTGGCAAGAAAGGGGAAACAGGGGAAGGGTTCTTCTGGGGAATGGGAATAGGAAGAGAGAGAGGGAGAGATATATAACAAATTTTGCAAACTGGTAGGCAGTGGATGGTGGATTGGTGGTGGTGATGGCCTCAAGTTTGTAATTTATTAAATTTTATTAAATTATTAATATGATAAATTATATAGACAAAATAAGTGCAATGATGAGGTGGAATTTTTTTTTTTTTTTTTAATTTCCACGTCATCTAGTTAACGGTCAAACTTTATAGTTGACTGCCACGTAGGACAGACTTAACGGAGTGTAACGGCCGGTGACCAACCGTGAAACGATTCGTAAAGTTAGTGGCGAATAAGAAAGAAAAGTAATTCGGGTGGCAAACGTGAAAGATTTGTATAATTTGAGTGACCAAACGTGTAATTTAGCCGAATAAAAAGATCTGTCTTTGGTTGGTACGCTGCTGCTGCTGCTGTTGTGTGAACCGCAAACTTTTTACATTTATTGTATTCTTATTGTATGGTACTTTCATTAGACTAAATTTCCTTAACATCGTCAATTTTTTTTATAATATGGCTGACATAAGTGTTAAATCACTCGAATTTAACCCAAGAAGAAAAATGGATGGACCCATATAAACAAACAAAAAAACCTGTCATTTTAGCTCTCGAATAAAATCCATCAACCGACCAGACCTAGCAAACCAAATCTCATTTTATATAAGTTAATTAGAATAAAAATACGAAAATTCCAACACGCAAATTAATACAAAAAAATATCAGGCCATCATATTATGTCAGTCCAGTCAGCACTGTTGATAGTGTGGTTAAGTAACAAGTTTCATGTCTAGAATGACTGTATTTTTAGCTATTAAAAAAGAAAAAAAAAGAGAGACTATATTCACCACAAAAATTGAAGTTTTGGTTATCCAATATATTTTGTCTAATCATAAGTATAATTTAATATTTAATATTCAAATTGGCATTACTTGATTTCAAATTTCATATTAATCTCCTTGTATAATAGATAAATTAATTAAAATATAAAATCAAACACAAAAAAAAAAAAAAAAAAAAAGTTTCTCATTCGCTATGCAGATAAGCAACAGCCATATCTTATCTCCTCTTGATCCTCAGCAGAAGAGACAATAGCAACATGGCTCCAGAAGAAAGCAGTAGCCCTCACATTCTTTAGACCTCACCTCACTCCCCCACCGGTCAACATCACACCGCCCAGTTTTGCAATCAAAAGCAAGCCAGATACATACAAGATTCAAGAGTGGGCCGACGATTCACAAGAAGCCAAGAACAGATAAAAGTAGTGGAGTGGGCTCTCTTCTCTATGTGACCATGAATCATTCGCACTATCTATATCTATCTACCATTACTTTTCAAATGGTCCAACATCTTCCATCCTCCCCGTGGTATGTAGCAATGGGCCATGTAAGAGTTTCCCCAGAGCCAGGGCCAGGGCCATCAGCCCAGCCCAACACGAGCGGGCTAGACAACGACGGGTCCGATGGGCTAGACACGATTGTGTGGAAAGATTATGTGTACTTGTGTAGCCTCCGGTGCGTTGATATGTAAAGAGAAATTTAGGGTTTATTTCTCTACAAATGTTAGAATGCACAATAAGAACAATATATGCTCTGACATCGAAATACAAGTTGCTAATAATCTTGAGAAGTATCTAGGATTTCCTGTTTTCCATCCTCAGTTGTCCATGGAAAAAGTATAAATATATTATAGAAAAAATGGCCCAAAAACTTTTAGCCTGTAAAGCCATAACACTCTTTTTTCCCCTTGCTGTCCTAGACGCCATCTCATCTATGCTATGCGAATCGCAAGCATCCTTTCTGCCAACCTCTGTGTGTGGTGTGTGGTGTGTGGTGTGTGATGTGTGCTGCTATTGATGAGAAAATAAGTTGGTTTGCGTGAGGCTCTTAGGAAAGAAAACACAAACTCATCTTATGAATGGAGATACTATTTGTAAACCCAATGATGAAGACGAACTTGGGTTGAGATAAGCCCGAAGTCTTAACATGACATATATAATCAAATTGGCTTGGCAGATGTTAAATCGTAGATCTATTTTGTGGGTGCGGGTCATTCAAAACAAATACAAAGTTTAATTCTAAGTTATCTTTCATGGATGGATTGTAGTTTTCTTGAGTTTAATCCGCTTCAGTTCGGACAAATCATTCCATTCCTTTGTTTAACTCTATTAGTCTATCCTGTTTTGCTCTTTAACGCGGGAATATTTGGACGGCAATGGAATATCCGGGCATCAACGGTGACTCCAAGAGTTGACAATTGGGTGATTATCCCATCATTGTTTCTTCCCAATACCCGGAAGAGATGCCATAGATATTGGGACATTGAGTTTCCAAACCATAATACAATTCATAATCATAGACCTCTTTTTTTTTTTTTTTTTTTTTAATAATCTTAAAGTATTCATCTTTGTTGATTAATTTGGTTTTGGTTACCACTAATAAAACTAGCTCTGCAAAAGATCGGCTTTCACCGCTCTGCTTTTCAACCTAGTCAAAAAGCCCAACAAAAACATCGCCACCGCTTCGCCGCTGCTCTCCTTGTTCAATAGCTTTTGATCGAGCTCGGCGATTGTCAGTTCTTCCGCCGACGGAATCCCGATATCCCCAGCGGAAACCCGCCGTTCACGGTGTAATTGGTTTTTGGGGAACCGTTTGGGGTTTTCAGTTTGATATTTTTTTTTATCGATTTCGTTCGAGTTGGGAATACGATGGAGTCGGGGCAGGGTACCGTTGTATTCGGGTCGTGGATCCGGAGACCGGAGAACGTGAATTTGGTCGTTTTGGGGAAGTCGAGAACTAGTGGCGGCCACTATTCTTCTTCCCCATCTTTGCTCGAGATCTTCTCCTTCGATCACAACACCGCCTCTATTTCTTCCTCTCCCTTGGTTCGTGTTTCATTTCCCCCCATGTACTGTGTGTGCGACTTTTTCCACCAAGTTTGAACTAAACCCAGTTTCAGTTTCTGATTATTGCTTGTACGTGTTCAGGCTACGTACGAGCTGGAAGAAGCAGATGGCGATTTAGTTTCGATTGCGGTGCACCCCGCAGGAGATGATTTCGTGTGTTCCACTACCAATGGTGGCTGCAAGTGAGTTCCTTTCTGCCGAATTTTTCTGAGAATTAGTGGAAAGATAGTGGCTTTCTGTTTTAGCGGGGTTTCCCCAGAGGCCCAGAGTTTCAAAGGGTTTTTCTTTCTGATGCATTTTGTGCAATGTTAGTTAGTTGATGATTGGTTTTGAGCTGTGAAAACAGCATCCTCACTTGTGAATGAGGGGTTGGTTGATTTTGTCCCACTAAAGGTTGAGTCATGACCTGTGGAAGTGAACTATCTGTTCATATTTCATGGTAAAATTAGGAAAGCAACTCACAGTTGGGAGAATGCTTTACCTTCCACTTAAAAAAGACCTTTCCTTATACTTACCAAGTGGTTTTGTAATTGATTATCAGATCATTTGAGTTACATGGCGAAGAAACAAACTTCAGGCTACTGGCCAAGGACTTGCCGGCTCTTCAAAGTGTTGGTCCTCAAAAATGCCTGGCCTTTAGCGTGGATGGTTCTAAATTTGCCTCCGGTGGTGTGGTAAGCAATTCCGTTGAGTGTTCTTTGTGTGCTCTATGATGGTCCTTTACAATTGCCAGTAGTAACATGCAGTTGTTTGTTCACTCAACTACAGGATGGACATCTCAGGATTTTGACTTGGCCAAGTTTTGGCAGCATTCTTGATGAACCAAGAGCACACAAATCTTTCCATGATATGGATTTCAGGTGCGCTTCTTCCGTTTTTACTTAGTGTGGTTGTGTACCTGATTATGTATAGTCATAGATCTGTGCTAGTAAACCACCATAGGATGGCGTTTATACAAATATTATAGTATGTTGTAGGTTGATGTTGACCATGGAATGATAGACTCCAATTGCAAAATTTTATCTAATCATACATGGGAATTCAGATAAAAGCTCTTTGTTTTAAGGGGCTAACTATTCTATTCTCTGTTCCTTCCCTCTTTTATTTCCCAAATTTTGTAAGAGCTGAAAATTTAGAGGAACAGATTTCTCTAGTAGGTTCCGGGTTCTGATTGTTGTTTGTTTGTTTCATATATTGTAGCCTAGATTCGGAATACTTAGCTTCAACATCTATTGATGGTTCTGGAAGAATATGGAAGACAGAGGATGGTTCGGCTGTGGCTTCTTTGGCTCGAAGTGCTGTATGATTAAACTTAAGCTAAACCCTTTTAGTGTTTGCTCAGTTGTTTTCTTCCCCACCTTGATGCAGATCGTTTTGTTCTTTTTGATTAACAGGATGAAAAGATCGAGTTATGCCGATTCTCCAAGGATGGGACAAAACCCTTTCTTTTTTGTGCTGTTCAAAAAGGTAAACCTGTCTGGCTTAGGCTTAATAATGCACTTTTGTATCAATGTTACGTTTGATTGACCCCATCAAGTTTGGTCTAAGCTCAATTTTTGATCCTTAAACAGGTGATAAGGCTGTCACTTCAGTTTATGATATAAGCACGTGGAAGAAAATCGGCTTCAAGAGACTTCTTAAAAAGCCTGCTTCTATTATGTCTGTGAGCCTGGATGGGAAATATCTTGCCCTGTAAGTAGTTGGTTGCATGTTAGATTTTGACTGTTTTATCCTTTCCATAAAGATGACTCATCATATGAACCAATTGTGTTTCGATTGCGATGAAGAACACTGGGGACTGGGGTGCATTCTTATCACTTGAGTCAGGAAACTTTAGAAGTGAAATGATTAAACTCAGAAGTCTTAGTTCGTTTTTACGTACTTCAAAAATCAGACCAATTACATACATGTGTAGATCTGCAAAAACATGTGTGGAGATGTAGACATGATGCTGTGCAGGTGGTGATTGTATTCTCTTGTATGTCGTTTTCAATTTCCATGATCGTCTCTTACCATTTTTGAAAAAAATATTCCATGATTGCAGGGGAAGCAAGGATGGTGACGTATGTGTAGCTGAAGTAAAGACGATGGAAGTTAGCCATTGGAGCAGGAGGCTGCACCTTGGTACAAACATTACATCTCTGGAGTTCTGTCCCAGCCAGAGGTAACTTCTCCCTATTTCTACTAGCTTACACCAATATCATCCATGTTCTACCCCTACTTCTGGCATTAGTAATATCTTACCTTTTCCCAGTTAGCATTGAAACTCTCTGAGAATCCAGTTAGTATATAACTATATATACATTCCTCGTTCATGGAACCAGGCCATGTTGTCTACCATCGTCCATCTACTATGTAGTTTCTCACTTCCTTGTTCGGTAACGTAGATGTTGTCTGATCAGCGGAGTTTCTTATTTGGTGGTACAGGGTTGTGCTTACCACCTCGAATCAGTGGGGTGCCGTTGTGACAAAGCTAACTGTTCCAGCAGATTGGAAAGGTCTCCCCTCTTCCTCTTTGATTTCCATATACACATGCCTGTCCCTTTCATCATGAACAAAGGAGAGAGCAAAGACTGATATTCACACTACCCTTGTTTAACTTGCAGAGTGGCAAATCTACGTGCTGTTACTGGGACTGTTCTTAGCATCTGCCATTGCGTTCTACATTTTCTTCGAGAATTCGGATTCCTTTTGGAACTTCCCTCTTGGGCGGGATCAACCTGGCAGATCGAGGATTCAACCCATCTTTGTGGACACACAGTCCTCCCCTGAAGACCCATTCGGGCCTGTAGATTTGTGATTCACATACCCTACAGAGTGCTTTCTAGCCTTTAGAAAACCCAGCAGCAGCAGCAGCAGCAGCAGCAGCTAAATGGTGGAGATAAATAAGGGTCCTTGATAGCTTTTGTGACACGCTTTGAGATTCCCTCATATGACTAGTCGAAAGAATTCTAACACAGCGGCGGGTAGCTTTAGCTACATGTGGTGTTTCGTTTTGTCATTAATCCTTCACACGGAGCAAAAATTTCAGGAAAATCCAGGAATTGTTTCGAAGCTGTAATTAACTAATTTATTGTTTTTATCCGTAAAAGATAGTCGTGGAGATGATTTCATATGCATGATCGAATGCATTCAAGAATAGTTATGAGCTAGTTGGTTATTAGTTATTAGAATCACAAAGCGAGGTGGAGGGTAGGATGTATTGCTTATCATAATCCTGTCTGTATATGAGTACAGCTTGTGCGCGGAGGGGAAGAAAAGCTTTCTTACAAGTTACTAAGCAGACTTGCAACAAAAATTGACCGTCGCCAAATCCACTTGGCGGTCGTCGATAGAGTTTTTTTTTTTTTTTTGCCTCGACTAGCAGTTTCTATGGAAATGTAATTATTATCAAAATTTTTTTGAAGTGGCTATATTTGATTTGAGAATCGGATAGAGTGCGAGTGTTAACGTAATTCATTAAAGGGTAATTTGTTTTTATAGATTTGGGTTCCAAATCTATTCCGTACGTCATAGATTTTGCTCAAAGCCATTGTTTGATAGAAATTTGTTAGGGGATTAAATCCGTTGATTACACAGACTTGCAAATCTCAAGTTGAGGTAGGATTTGGAGAATGACTATAAATTTCAAATCCATAATGCCAACAAGTCCATCATAAATCTAGGTGTTTCGAAAATCTAAAATTTACCAATACCCTCATTTTTAAAATCCATAAAGCAAATGAACCTAACGGTATTATAGTAACTATCCAATCATAGTGGCTCCCGAGACCTTATCCCATGAATTTGAGTTTCATATACAAATTACAGTTGGTACCTAAAAGTAATAGATTTTTAGATTTAGTTCTTAAACTTTTTTTTTGCATATAGTCATATAAATATTGATGAAAAATTATATGTTAGTACCTGAAAATTTTATATTTTACGTTTATGATATGGTTTAATAAACTTGTGATGTGCTTTATGAAGTTCTGGTATGCTTCATGGAACTTGTTGTATGCTTTATAATGTTTTTGATCTGCTTTAAGAAATTTATGGATATGTTTTATGAAACGTGTGATCTGCTTTAATAAACTTGTGGTGTGATTTATGAGATTTATGATATGCTTTTATATATATATAGTCTTCTTTAAGAAACTTGTGGTCTGCTTCAGAGAACTTCTGATTTGTTTCTTGAGGTTTATCCGTTGACTCAAGTGGGGCTAGAGAGCTACTGGCCTGCCTTTCGCTAGTTGGTAGTTTGAATATACCAAGGGTGTTGGGGTGTAATTTAGTCTTCTATTATAATGTAAGAATTTAGTTGTATACTTGTATGGTGAAGTTTTGATACACTTTATAAGTTTTTTTTGGGTTTTTATGGTGTGTTTTGTAGTATACCTCATGATATTATTCGACCTGAAATACTATACATACGGTGCCGCCAGATTTGAATATAGATAGCAACCAGGCCAGCTGCCACATTCCCTATCACTAGATCCCAGACCACCAGGAAACAGAGTATTATTTTGCTCTTGCTGTCAAAAGACGGGCATCACAATACTTAAGTATCGGTTGGGTATCAAAACTGCCGGTTCGACCAATACAGAATTGTACTACCCGCCCGCAAACTTAACCATCAGACCGCACAAACCCGAATAATTCCCTCTTCCGGCTACGACCTATAAATTGGGCTGCTGTTTCGCACAGGACGTCAAACCAATATTATAGAGTGAGACAAAGCAAGAGAGAGAGAGAGAGAATAGTTGTGATGGAGCGACGAGCAATACTAATGCTACTAGTGACCGTCGTCATGTTCATGTTTCTGACGAGGGACGACGTCGTCGTCATGGGCGATAGCCATTCATGCTTCGGTGGCGAAATCAGCGACGACGGGACCCACTCGGCCTACGTGGCGCACGTGCTGTCGGAGCTGGCGACGGTCACGCCCACCATCCCTCCGCTCGTGGACGTCACGATTTTCCCCGGCAACGGCGCCATTGGCTCCGTCGCGGGCATTGCGACGTGCTCCGATCCCAATGACCCCGGCCTCTGCGCAAGCTGCCTGTCGGAGCTTCAGCAGTTGCTTTTGGGTTCTTGCTCCACTTGGGCCGCCGGCTACGCTGAACAAGACTCCGTTTGCGACATGCGTTTCAGAATCGCGTAACTAGCTAGCTATTGAGTTCATAAATAAATAAATAAATATACGGCCTCGTCGAATGGTTATTGGAAGATGAACTTAAGCAAATAATAATTATTCCAATGAGTACTGAAAACAAAAAGAAGATATTGGAGTATAAGAATAAAATGTGTATCTGGTCATCTAGATATATATGCCCATTTTATGAAGGTGATTAAAGGGTATTGCATTGCATATGTCCACTTTCTGTTTCATTGGGTCATGAATTGAATAAATAATACAATTGTACTTATTGCAATGATGGTTAGTGTTGTCCCAAAACTTTCAGTAACAACACTGTGGAATGAATCAGCCACGAACACTACTTAATTTTGGTTATGAGTGCAACATTGTTATTAGAAAGAAGGGGGGAAAAATTCGTTAGCAAAATAGTCACAACAAACATGCATTGATTCAAGTGTTATAGCTCTACAAATTTATCTTGAACAACAATAATAGAGCCTAGCTACACCAAGCTGATCTTAATAAGAATATAAATATACTAGGGCTGGCTATTTGGACCGGGACCGGATGAAAAGCCGGAAACCGGACTGTATAACCCGGACCGAGATCGGACCAGAACCGGATAGTAAACAATCCAATCCAATCTTTGGGCTTAGATTTGAGGTAAAAAACCGGATAAAGACCGGATAAGAGAGCTCAACACCCAAAACTTAAGGGTAATTTGCATAAACGGTCACAAACCTTTACACTTAGTACAAAACTTAACCAACTCCTCACCCTTTTAGGCCTTAGGCCACTCAAATTCCCACAATCTCAATATAAAATCAAGACCGAATTGGGACCGGACCGGATCAAGACCGGACTGTATCCAATCCAATCTTCGATCCTTATATTCTAAAAAAAACCGAACTAGACCGGATCAATTTGGGCCAATTTAACCGGACCGGACCGTATAGCCACCCCTAAAATATACATGCATTGCGTGGTCCTACTCTCAAACTTCTTTCTAGTGATTATGTCCCCTCATATATAACCCAAACAGCAATAATCCTTCACATGGTTCAGGCATGTGAAACTTTAGACCTTGATTATTAGGCCTTAATGTCTTCAACTTGATATTCTTCCGAAAATGTATATCACCACAACACATAAATTCGATCTGTAATAAGCCTCTAACTTAGGATTTAGCTTTCATCAAGAAACCACAAATTTCTACTATAGTCATCAACCAACCACAGTTAGAAATTTTGTAATATTCTCAATTTAAATATAAAAAAATAATAGCTCAAATCCATCTATCAAGTCGAAACAGCAAGGCTTGTAATAGACAATTAATTCACAAACAAATAACAACCCTCTCCTGAAGTAATCAAACAAAACAAGTAATGTTTCACTATAATCATCATCAGTCACCGTTAGAAATTCTGTAATATGCTCAATTTAAATATCATAGAAATAACAGTTCAAACCCCAACTAAGGCCTAAAATAGACAAATATAATTCACAAACTAATAAAAAACCACTCCTGAAATAACCAAACAAAACAGATAATATTTTACTACTAACCTAAAAAAAATCCTTAAGCATTGGCTTGATGGTTGCTATAACGTAACTAGTGCGAATCAACGACCACGACATGATCAGCTGGTAGCTTGAATTAGATCCTGATAATACTGCATGATCCACCCACTTATGATCTCAATCTCTTTAAGCCTCATCTCCACCAACCACTCTGGATCGTCTTCTCTCGATCTCACTATGTCCATGCAGTGCGAACCCTTCTCCGTCTTCAGCGCCACCAAGCTCTCTGATATGTCTTCCAACACCCTGTGCCAAAGAGTCAATCCATTACCATCTACCATCACAGCTAGTTAATATGTACATAAGTCCGCTACATATATATCAAGAAGAAGCAATTATAGATTCTTCATCGTACGTACCCAGCGCTGCTGTAAGGATCGACGAGGCCGTTGGAGAAGATAATGTTGCTACCAAACCTCTTCAGCACCTCTTTTATATCCTGCATTGCAACGTACGTATTTGATTCATATCCAGAGAGAGAGAAAAGAGAGATCTCGTCGTATCGTTCCAATTTTATCGGATGTTTATAAACTTACGTGACCACCGTAGTAAGAGGTGATCCAGTGCGGCCGGGGAAGAACACCGTATTTGGATTTGCAGTCCTCGGTGAACCCCTTCATGTCAAATGGCTCCTTGGGAAACATGGTGTCGTTTACTCCCGTTACCCCGATCGGCATCACCAGTTCGCTGCATGTCTGTGTTTAGACACATAAATTAAACATAGCTAATTAGCAATTATTATGCATGGATTAGTAATCGTACGTACGTGACGTACGCTATGTATTGGGTCGTTAATCTAGCTAATTATGTATAACTTGCCTGCCAGTCCCAGCCTGACAGTGTTTCAGCCGAAAATGACCCGTCATCGCCGGTATAATTGTAGCAACCGGTGTCGATGCCGGAGTAAGCAGCTATCCCGGCGAATATTCTGTCCAGTAAATGAGTAGTAGTGTTGCCGCCGGACGTGGGTTTATTATGGTCGATGGCGTCGCAGATTTTCTGGAGTCCGAAATTCGGTGGCGCTCTGTTGTACTGGGCCGCTACGCAGTATATGCTGTCCAGCTGCGATTTCAGTGCCTCCACGCCTTCCACGGTCAAGGTCCTAATTCACACAGGCCGCCGACCGACGACGACAGTACAAAACACATAAAATCAACTAACTAAGACCTAGCTAATTTGAGATCAACGGCTAATTAATTAATTAATTAATTTGGTCTTCCCTCTTCGACGAAATGGTCAGATTAATTATAATTACTTACTTGCAGCTACGGAATTTCTTGGAAAGGATTGCGAGGCCCTCCTTATGCGAAGCCAGCCTGTCGATTACGGCCCACGACTCTTTTATCGTGTGATAGCAAGTCTCACTTGTTTCCTGCACTTACGTTACGCATCAATAATCCATTTGCATTGCGTAAATTATTATTATTATTATTATTATTATTATTATTTTCATTATTATTATTACTACTTTTATTATAGTAGCTTGGCTTGTTTAATTAATTTGGTACCTTAAAGTCTTTAGTGATGACACTGTAGTAGCCATTTGAGGGCGTGATATCATCGAAGTACAGAATCGGAGCCGACGACGCCAACGCTCCCAGTGCAATATGAGGGTATTTCAGACGGAACCACGTTGCCAGCACTACATTAATAACATTAAAAAAAAACTTTAATAAAATATAGTAGACGTCAAATAAAAAATTGGTGATTAATAGATATTCTTGTTACGTACTTCCACCGTAGCTTCCTCCGAAAACAATGATGGGAGAGTTTTCAGCTTTCAGGCTTTTCTTGACATGCAGAAGCACCTCCGCGTAGTCGGCCAGAGCTTGCTCCGAGTTGAAGTATCCCCTCACCGTCGCCTTCTTCAGCGCTTCTCCTTGCGATCCAAACGGCACCGAGTTCCCATAGAAACGATGCTAATAAAACAACAATTTATTATTCTCATACGTAAATAAAATGTATACTCAATGCTACGAGTTGATATGTGTTTAGTACGAAAACTATCAAAAACGGATTATACGTACCTCAATGTAAACCTGCAAAGCGCCGAACTTGGGGGCGTTCTCGGGAAGGAACCCGACGGCTCCGACGTCGTTTCCCAGAGAAGCTTCGGCGCCAAGCTCCGCGAATATCGGGGCCCCGCTGCTGCCGCCGCGCCAGTGGTCGAAGTTGATGACGTAACGCTGCGGGAAAGTCGCGTAGCTCCCCGGGGTGAAGCTGAAGTGATCCAGCGTCTGGTTGTAGTAGTACGTCTGCAGCCCTATCGGCGAATGCGGCGTCGTTTCGGCCGCGGCGGCATCGACATTAACATTCTTGCTGTGAGTGATGCCGAGTACTCCTCTCGGAGCCGTGACTCCGAGCCGCGGGATGGACGACGAGGATGATCGGCTCCTGCCGGCGGAAACGAGTGGTGACGTGGCGGATAGGACGAGGAGGAGGAAGAAGAGGAAGACTGCCGGCGGTCGGCGGGTGGTCATGAGGAGAGGAGCTGTGGCGGCGCCGGTGGAGTCCATGGGTGATGGGTAGAGAGCTATGCCGAGAACTGCTCCGTACGTACTGAGTTATTATAACGAGTTGGTATTCTTCGGTAGTTTAGTATGTATCAAAATCAACTACCTATTATCGCTTCAATTATCTAGGGTTGTTTTTTTTTATATAATAATTTTTACCTGGAGGTTTATAGAATTATTATAGTTATCTTGAGATCGAATATTTCATTTTCTTATGAATATGATGATTATCTCAATTCTTTAAGAATTAAATACTATTTCTCTTCAACAGTTTTTGGAATGGTTGCCGATAACATAGTCACCGCGCGCATATAATAATCATACTCGCGCAAATGCTACCAGCTGACAAAAACCTGTACTCAGTAGGTGACGATTATAAATATTGAGAAATACCTACAGGGACGGCCACATTCCGTGTCACTAAATCCAAACAGTTTCTTAGTGGTACAACAATTGTGTTCTTTCGCTCTTGCCGGCCTAGGTTAAAAGACGGGCATTACCATGCGTTAATACCACTCAGGCATCAGAGTTTTCAAACAATCCAATCTTCAGAAATCAAAATTTCCCGATTCCACCAATGACCAGAATTTTTCTTCCGGCCGCACATACGGGAATATTCTCTTCTAGCTACCACCAAGGGCATAGTTAAACCGAATCCTCTATAAATTGAACCGTGTCGCACAGAACGCATAGAGAGACAAAGCGAGCGTGAGAGAGAGAGATCAATGGTTGTGATGGAGCGAGGAGCGGCATCGCCGTCATTAATAATAATGCTACTAGTGACCGCCGTCATCTTCATGTATCTGGCGGCGGACGGCGTCGTCATGGGCGACGGTTTCTGCGTAGGTGGCGAAATAAGCGACGACGGGACCCACTCGGCGTACGTGGCACACGTGCTGTCGGAGCTTGAGACGGTCACCCCCACCACATCTACGCTTACGGACACGACAAAGTTTCCTGGCAACGGCGCCAGTGGCTCCGTCGTGGGCATGGCGTCGTGTTCTGATCCTAATGATCCCGACCTCTGCGCAAGCTGCCTCTTGGGCCTGCAGCAGCTGCTTTCCGGTTCCTGCAGCACCCGGGCCGGCGGCTACGCTAACTCCGACGCTTGCGCCATGGCTTTCGGAACTCCCAGCACGTAGCTATATATCTAGCTATGATCAGTTCACAGCCCTGCAATAATAATAATAATAATTCCAATGAGTACTGAAAAAGATATTGTTGGAGTATGAGAATAAGATTTGGATATATGTCCATTTTATGAATAAGATTTGAAAAAGATCTGGATATATGTCCATTTTATGAAGGTGAAAGGGTACTGCATGGCGACTTTGTACTTGGTTGGTGTACAACCTTGTTATTTTTGTTTTTCTTTATACAACCTCGTTGATGACTTGAATGAGAAATGCTGAATAAAATCGTAATAATTATAGAAAGAGGTAAGACATTATCGGTTTTTCTATGTATTAAATTTATTACGAATTTTATATGTAACTAGTTCTATGGCCCGCGCTATGCGGCGGGTAGACACAAACCTCAAAAACTAAAAACTTCCAGTACTCTGCGTTAATCCGATAAATTACACTAGTTGTGTATGAATAATCACGTAAGTTAATTTCTAACAGATCCTCAAAATAGAACCCTCCAATTCTTCTACTCGAGAGTTGCTTGAAAGTAGCCAATGATGAAACATCATTTCCAAGGTTCCATTTTTTAGGGAAGAATTCAACTTCAGAAAACTTCTTTTGCTCATGAAGTTTAATTCACTGATTGATGCTATCGCGTAGCAAAGAAGGTAGAATCTCATCAATCATGAGCACTTAATCTCTTCTAAAATTGGTTATGTGACTTAATTCAACCCGAATTAGAATTCAATATCAATTGTGTCAAAGGCTCCTCAATTGAAGCAACTTCTTGTTCAACTTAAGCCACTAACGACTAACCAACCAACTTTTCTCATCGAGTACCTGCACTCCGAAACAACTTGTATGTAAGAAGAAAATGGAACATAAACTTCAATAAGTGAATCCATTGTCATACACACATACAGTAAATATGAAAATAAATTAAAATGGCGGTGGAGAAAAGTGGCATTACTAAAAGAGCTCATTGACTAAGTCGAACCAAATTTGTCCATCACACCTTGTCAAGCTACATTCAAACATGTCGAGTCTTGTTAAATTGGCAGAACCAATAGTCTTCATGCTCTTTATTGTACTAAAAACAAAACAACAATCATATGACTCCACTAAACACACAATCGATAAGCCATATCGATAGATATATTCCATAATAACTGCACTGGGCCTTAAACATAAAATGTCATAAACATAATACCTACTATTTTATTTTTTATTTCTTAATTGCCACATTACTAAGTTAACGGTCAACTTTGAGAGTTGACCGCCACATCAGCCAAAGTTAACGGAGTTGGACGGAGAGTGACCAAAACGTGAATGATTTCAGTAAATTGAAGTACTACCAATGGATTTAAATATTTCGAGTGACCAAACTTGAACTTTTTTGTAATCTCAGTGACCAACCATGCAATTAACGCCTTAAAAATGTTATAATTTTTTTCCTTCAAATAACGTATTAGACTCTAAGTGTTAGGCTGTTAGAGTGAATCGAACTGTCCCACCTCATATTCACGCGTATGCCAACTACCTAACAAAACCTATACTCAGTACGAGACGATCATAAATATTGAAATACCTATAGGGGCGGCCACACACCACAAGGAAACAGTGTATTCGTTGTATTCTTTCGCTAGCTCTTGCTGGCCTAGGTTAAATGCCGGGGTTTACAATACGTGTTAACATCACTCAGGCATCAGAGTCTTCAAAACAATCACATCTTCAGAAATCAATCACAACGGCCGATTCCACCAATGACCAGAATTGTTCCTTCCGGCCGCAAAACGGATCATCATGCCACGCAAACCGGAATATTCTCTTCTACCACCAAACGCATAATGAAAAATGTAGCCCTCTCTATAAATTGGGCTGCTGTTTCGCACAGGACGTCAAACCACAGACAGAAAGACAAAGCAAGACTAGTACTACCTGAGATCATGCAGCGACGACGAGCAATAACATCGCCGGCACGAATGATGCTACAGGTTGTGACCGTCATCATCTTCATGTTCCTGATGACGAGGGCCGCCGTCATGGACGACGGTTCATGCACAGGCGTCAAAGTCAGCGACGACGGGACTCACGCGGCGTACGTGGCGCACGTGCTGTCGGAGCTGGCGACGGTTACGCCCACCACACCTAGGCTTGAGGACATCACAACATTCCCCGGTAACGGCGTTAGTGGCTCCGTCATGGGCGTGGCCACGTGTTCCGATCCTAACGATCCCGACCTCTGCGCGAGCTGCCTCTCGGGGCTTCAGCAGTTGATTTTCGGTTCCTGCAGTAAACGGGCCGGCGGCTACGTTGACTCCGACGATTGCTCCATGGGTTTCGCAACGCCAATGGGTTAGGAGAGATGGAATAAAAAAGATTGCTCATCGTAAAGATTTCAAAATTGTTGATCCCCTCCAGCTATTTTGTAATCCTGGAAATTTGGCGAGCTTCAAATAAATCAAATTTTAGTTTTCTTCTCAAAAGAAGGAATTGAGCGAAATCCAGGATAATAAGAGATTTGTGTGAAATCCCTCGTAAAAACCGCTCATCCAAATCCCTTAACGAAATTATAAAATTTTGTTTATTTTCAGTTGTAAATATTTTCTTGAAATTATATATAAAAAAGATTGTTTTCTTGGAGCAACCTTTCCAAAATTACACTCTAAATATCAATTAAATCTTAATAGTCCTCAATCGGTAATATAAAAATGAGATTAGAAGTACACTATTATTTCATCCATTTCTACTCTTAAATTTGTCCTTCTTTCCCTGACGCGGAGCTCGAGCTATGAGATCTTGTATTTATATTAAAAAAAAATCAGAAGTTCTTTAACTCTGCAATCAACATTAGCGCATCGTCTTCCAAATTCTTTAAATACGCAATCCCAACATAGGCAATTTCCAACTGGGTCTGAGAACTAACTTACACATCATATGTTTGGAAATGAATATTACTCGTACGTAGTAGCGTGGGGGCGAAATAAAAGTACTATATGCGTCCTTTCATGCCCCATTATCAACTTGCTCTATTTCGATTTGTTTCGCAAGTGTATGTATTTCTCGCCTCTTTTGACTTCTATTGAATCATATTTTCATGTCAGTTACTCAATTGAACTTTGAAATAAATGCAAAAAACTATTTTTAACTAATTAGAGTTAAAAAGTAATCATTTTTTTTTTCTAATGCAACAAGTGTTCCCCTTCGTTTCCTCCTAAAAGAATTAAATTTTTTTTCCTTCAAACAATGTATTAGAATGGATCGACCCAAGTCATGAAGTACTTTTTAACTAATTAAATTATTTTGTAATACAATAAGTGTTACCTGACATGACTTGTACTTAGTGCATGTGGGACAAATATGAATTATTAAAAAAAATTCAGTCATGAATACATACCGAATAAATATATTACAATCACCCAAGTAAATAACTATTACAAATAACGAAAAAACTAATAAAATGTAGATAGGAAATTCCTACAATACCTTGAAGTTATGGTAACTTGATGTTTTTGACCTGCTATAACAGGTTTCACAAGTCGCATTACGTAAAATACAATAGGCATTATGTAATGGTTACGTAATGTGTGTTTATCTTACGTAATAGTTGAAAAATGTCATTACGGAAACCTTACGTAATAGAGACTCATTTTACGTAATGAATATTAACCTTTCGTTACGTAATCTGTTGAATCATTACGGAAGGCTTACGTAACACTTCTAATTTAACTGTTACGTAAGAAATAACTATCGTTACGTAACCTTTACGTAATAGATGCATACTTTACGTAACAGTTGTAAAGTGGCACTACGGAAGCCTTACGTAATGGATGGTCCTTTTACGTAATGATATTAATCAAGTTACGTAATGTGATAAGTCATTACGGAAGTCTTACGTAACACTTCTAATTTAACTGTTACGTAAGAAATAACCTTCGTTACGTAACCTTTACGTAATGAGCGTGTATTTTTATGTAACAGTTGTAAAATGTCATTACGGAAGCCTTATGTAATAGACGATGCTTTTACGTAATGAATATTAACCTAGCGTTACGTAAAATGATAAGTCGTTACGGAAACCTTCCGTAACGCTTCTAGTTTAACTGTTACGTAAGACTAACAAGCATTACGTAATTGTTAAGTAATAAACATTAGTTTTACGTAACGCGACCTATAAAATCTGCTATAGCATGTCAAAAACGTCAAGTTATAAACATTAGTTTTACGTAACGCGACCTATAAAATCTGCTATAGCAGGTCAAAAACGTCAAGTTATAGTAACTTCAAAGCATGGTAGGAGGTCCAAATGTAGATAATTAACAAAATAAAATAAATAAAATTTGATACCCGAGCATTCAAAATGCTATTAATTCTTCTTCTCCTTCTGGTAAATCGAAAGACAATCTCCCACATTCCGCTAGTGAAGAGATTCCCGCTCGCCTCCCAAATCACCTTTCACTAAATCCCAGACCACAAGGAGACAGTTTATATAATTAGAGTTGTATTCTTCCGCTCTCGCTGGCCTAGATTAAACGGCGGGCATTACAATACTTCAATATCAATTAGGCATCAGTATTTTCAAACCATCCATCTCAGAGTCGCCATATACATGGTCGATTCTACCAATGACAGAATTGTTCTAGCTACCGGCCGCAAAATGGAACATCATGCCACAAACAAACAAGAATATTCTCTTTAGGGTACGACGCAGCCTAAATGTCGAAATTACATACAGCAAACACTCTATAAATTGAGCTGTTTAATTAATTCGCACAGGAGGACGTCAAAACAACATAGAGCGAGACAAAGCAAGCGAGAGAGAGAGAGAGAACAGTTGTGATGGAGCGTCGACGGGCAACATCGCCGGCATTAATAATGCTACAGCTAGTTGTGACCGTCGTCATTTTCATGTTCCTGACAACGAGGGTCGTCGTCATGGGCGACAGTTCATCATGCACAGGTGGCGAAATCAGCGACGACGGGACCCACTCGTCGTACGTGGCGCACGTGCTGTCGGAGCTGACGGCGGTTACGCCCACCAACCCTACGCTTGATGACGGCACGGTGTTCCCAGGCAACGGCGTCACTGGCTCCGTCGTGGGGATGGCGTCCTGCTCCGATCCTAACGACCGCGACCTCTGCGCACGCTGCCTTTTGGGCCTCCACCAGTTGGTTTTCGGTTCCTGCAGCACCCGGGCCGGCGGCTACGCTAACTCCGACGCTTGCGCCATCGGTTTCGGGACGCCTTAACTACATAGCACGTAGCTCTATATGAGTTGGTCACAGCCCTGCAATATAATCATGGAATAATGAATGGTGTATAACTATATATATGGTTTGCGTGATTGGAAGAAGTAAGCAAATAATAATTCCAATTAATGAGTACTGTAAAATATATTGGAATACAAGAATAAGATTTGTATTGGGTAGAGGTGGAAATTAGGATTCAAATCCATGAATCCAATCCAATCTATCCACTTAATCCAATTCATTTAAATCCAATTCATTTGATCCAAATCCAATTGGATTGGTGGATTCATAGATCAATCCATGGATCAAAATGACAAATTACGATTTGGTACCTATATTTTTTATATTTTACATTTTGGTACCTAAAATTTATATTTTTACAGGAAACAATCATTGGAAAATTACATTTTGGTACCTAAAAATTTTCATTACGACATTTTAGTACCTAAACTTTTCAAAATTTACATTTTGGTCCAAGCCTTGGATGTTATTTGGATTCATGGATCAATCCACCAATCCATTTGATTCAATCCATGAATCCACCAATCCATTAGATCCAATCCATTTGATCCACGAATCCACCAATCCAATCCATGAATCCGATCCAATTGTCACCTCTAGTATTAGGTGATCAGTATGTCCATTTCAGTAAAAGCAGTTGGAATTTGCCGCAAACACGACCTAGGACTCCTTAAATAGAGTTTTGCTGTTGTGGTTGCAATATTTTTGTGACAATAGAAATACAATGACAACACGATGAGGCCGATGATTGTTTTAATGACGAGGTCCTTACTTCAATGATGACCAACAACCGTAGATGAAAACAAGGATGAGTTCTAAATACACCCCATATCATAATATACTAGCTTATTACCCGGCCCGTTGGCCGGATTACTGTATGTTACCCACTTGTGGAATGGGAGAGAAAGCAAGTGAGAGTGAAGGGATTGTGATTCCACTTGATTAGGACCGGCCCACTAATCCGATTCTTCCCGACCCGCCCCAACCTAAAGGGTCAGAAAGAGTTAATAAGAAAATACGAACGGAGAGGATTAGTCATATATCTTGACTCTTCAGAAGTGGGTCAAACAGGATCAAGGTTGGGTGAGGGAAATTTTTAGCGCTAAGCAGAGTTCTGAGTTGAATAACTTTACTTATGCCTAGAAATTGGTGCTGATGCAGAGTGCAGTTTTTATTATACCATCATCAATCATCATTGAATTAGTCCTGGGCATCCCTCCCCGTTGTCGGTCTGAATTCTAATGATGGTTTCATTCCTTGCACCAGCCATATCAGCGAGTTGTCATCTCGAGCATGATTTGCCTATGTACAAATGATACAATTAGAGTATGAAACTGAATTCAAAGAAAAGGAAAAGAGAATTCTATCACATGCCAATAAATACACACATAATAGTTGAAGCTAAGTGAAAGTCATTACTCGCACATCAATTCTCAAAAATTACAGACTAAACAATGGCTAGAATGGTACTGAAACTACCAAGAATCATGGACGAAACAACTTGTCAAATTAAATAATCCTTATACTGAAACTACCTTCTAACTTGAAATAAGACATGATCATAGTTCATAGCACTCTTATCACTATGAATTGGTTGCAGCTCGTCCTTATCACTGCCTCCCAAGCTCAATTCACAAAGAATAGAGACCGTTATGTAAGATAACCATATCCTTACTGATCATAATTCCTTTCTTCGCTCCATTTTTGTCGGAGAAAAGAGTTATCCCCCTCTCCTGCATTTCCCTTTCCCCCTCTCTTCTCCCTCTTCTTCACAAACCGATCCCTAAACCAGCAACAACAACACAAAAATAGCCTTCGCCTCTGCCATCTACTGAACGCGTTGGTGGCAAGACAGGACCGCAGAAGCAAAATTTTCTAAAATCAAACTAAATTTTTTGAAGGAGACTCAACCACGAAAAAAGAGTAAAGCAACAATGCTAATAGTTCAGATGGTTGGTTTTGATGTTATATGTTGCTTTTGTTATGGTCTCCAGTATATCAACTGCAACATAGATGTTTCCTCCAATCATCTTTAGTGCACGATTTAGAAGTGAGTCCTCTTGTTTGTGTCAAACGGAAACATTCATGGGTTCTTAACTCCCATGTTAGTGTAAATGCAGCAGCACAGCAAAGACAACACAACAAGCACTCAGGCAAAATGATACAATGCAGTAGGTGATATGTGTCTCGAAGGTTTTGAGTTACTAAAGTTCATGTTAAAAATAAACATGAGTTAAAATAGATTATTCTATTAAGCAAACATCCCCTCTAATCATACAAAGATCAGATATCCAATTCACAAACAATTAAACCATAAAAAATCATCACACATCCACCACCTTTGATTGCCTAAATTTGGTTTTTCGCAAAGTTATGGACTCTTAAGGGTAACGTTCATGGGTAGTCTGTTTCATAACTCTAGAGAGCACAGTAAGCAGCCACCAGCCAGACACAGTGCGGTAGGCGAATATGATTCTCAATTCACAATTTCTCACCACCGGAAGTAAGAACAGACCATAATAAGCATAGCGTTCATGGGTGGTCTGTTTCATAGCACTACTACACAATTTGTTAAAAAGGAAAGAAAGGTATTTAGCATCACGACGGAATAACTTTTAGAGGCCAACAACGACAACATGCTGCAACCACCAGAACTGGTATCACAACTCATAGGGAATATCAAAATCAAAGTAGTTACAACATCGAGCAATCTTCAAGCACATACACCATCACAAAAGTCACGGAACCTGATTCACAAAGCATTCAAACATTTGAAGACATTTCTGTAAAGGTACAACTTATATGTCTTTTTCCAAGCCATTTCCATCAACATGCTAATAAATTTGCAAAGCATAAAACAAACAGGCCAAAACTTGAAATTCAGCCTGTTTGACCAACCCATGCCAAATTCTAATTATTCTTTACTTTTAAACTTTCTATTTGAAAATAAAAAATAGTGAAAGAAAAGAGACGACTACAATTCGCCATTTGCACATCACTTATTTGGGAATAAAACCATAGAAATTCAAAAGGAACTGAAAAGGTTTAGAATCGTTTTAATATTTAAAATAACCAAATAGATCTTTATGTTTAATTTTTTACTAACAAATACCAAACGATTCCCTATAAAATACACTATAATATGATCATTATGATGTCAAATAATTATTAAATATATATTTGAAATGATCAAACTTGGACTAATTGGGTTGGTCGAGGTTGAACCATTGAATAACTTTAAAATACATTATATTTTAGCCACTAAGATATAAAATAATAGCATAATATATATTATGCCAGAGAAAATATCTTATTTTAGAAGGGCAAACCAATGATGTTCATTTGTTTTACTTGATGGCCAAATCCCATGTAGGTCAGGCCCATTCAACTCTTTTATTTTATGGTTAGCGGTTAGCCCATTAGATACCATGCATTAGTTTATTGTTAATTTTTTTATTTTTGACAATAAAAAATGAGTATTATTTTTGCCTTTTCATATATATTTTATCACCACGGAGAAATAAAAGGGTATAAAGAAAAAAAATTGACACTCCTGGACCCGTTTAAATCCGCATGTGTACGGTAAGTTGGCCCGTTCCACAGAGGAAAGAGAAAAAAAATTGACACTCTCTATTCTACCCTTCCTACAAACGCTCATGGAGCAGGGAATTTGAAATGGGGGAAGAGTTTTTTCCACCCTGCTATTATATGTTTTAAATTTAAAAGGATACAATAAATGTACTTAGTGTGATTGGTTATGATCCTTGACTTTCTTTAAAATGATCATGGTTCAAATCCCAGTACGTATCTTTTTAATGAATAAAAAAAAATAATTGTGAAGACCAAAATGTCCTTCCTACTTTCACTCTCGTTGCAGGGAATTTGAAATGGGGCTCCCGTTTTTCCCTTCGGTGTATTATATTATGTGTAGATAGCGTTCATGGGTGGTCTGTTTCATAGCACTACTACACAATTTGTTAAAAAGGAAAGAAAGGTATTTAGCATCACGACGGAATAACTTTTAGAGGCCAACAACGACAACATGCTGCAACCACCAGAACTGGTATCACAACTCATAGGGAATATCAAAATCAAAGTAGTTACAACATCGAGCAATCTTCAAGCACATACACCATCACAAAAGTCACGGAACCTGATTCACAAAGCATTCAAACATTTGAAGACATTTCTGTAAAGGTACAACTTATATGTCTTTTTCCAAGCCATTTCCATCAACATGCTAATAAATTTGCAAAGCATAAAACAAACAGGCCAAAACTTGAAATTCAGCCTGTTTGACCAACCCATGCCAAATTCTAATTATTCTTTACTTTTAAACTTTCTATTTGAAAATAAAAAATAGTGAAAGAAAAGAGACGACTACAATTCGCCATTTGCACATCACTTATTTGGGAATAAAACCATAGAAATTCAAAAGGAACTGAAAAGGTTTAGGATCGTTTTAATATTTAAAATAACCAAATAGATCTTTATGTTTAATTTTTTACTAACAAATACCAAACGATTCCCTATAAAATACACTATAATATGATCATTATGATGTCAAATAATTATTAAATATATATTTGAAATGATCAAACTTGGACTAATTGGGTTGGTCGAGGTTGAACCATTGAATAACTTTAAAATACATTATATTTTAGCCACTAAGATATAAAATAATAGCATAATATATATTATGCCAGAGAAAATATCTTATTTTAGAAGGGCAAACCAATGATGTTCATTTGTTTTACTTGATGGCCAAATCCCATGTAGGTCAGGCCCATTCAACTCTTTTATTTTATGGTTAGCGGTTAGCCCATTAGATACCATGCATTAGTTTATTGTTAATTTTTTTATTTTTGACAATAAAAAATGAGTATTATTTTTGCCTTTTCATATATATTTTATCACCACGGAGAAATAAAAGGGTATAAAGAAAAAAAATTGACACTCCTGGACCCGTTTAAATCCGCATGTGTACGGTAAGTTGGCCCGTTCCACAGAGGAAAGAGAAAAAAAATTGACACTCTCTATTCTACCCTTCCTACAAACGCTCATGGAGCAGGGAATTTGAAATGGGGGAAGAGTTTTTTCCACCCTGCTATTATATGTTTTAAATTTAAAAGGATACAATAAATGTACTTAGTGTGATTGGTTATGATCCTTGACTTTCTTTAAAATGATCATGGTTCAAATCCCAGTACGTATCTTTTTAATGAATAAAAAAAAAGTAATTGTGAAGACCAAAATGTCCTTCCTACTTTCACTCTCGTTGCAGGGAATTTGAAATGGGGCTCCCGTTTTTCCCTTCGGTGTATTATATTATGTGTAGATTTTCAAATTAAAAGAAACACATTATAGACTATATTTCATCCGGATTTTAAAAGTGCTTTTCTGTTTCAAATGTTAAAGTAGAGCCAAACTTTTTTAAAATCTCGGATTTTGAAAAGCTGAAAATTACTTTTCTATAACATTAAATCATAAGCTTTGATTGGGAGGTTCTGCGAAAAACTGTTTTGAAAAATACAAGATTATTCTACCATATTTTAATTTTATTTCAAAAAATCTACTTTCACTTTCATTTCTATCATTTAAAACATAAAAATAAAAATTAGAAAAACAATATTATTCAATATAAAAAAATATAAAAATATACATTTTGACTAATTTTAAATTTTTTGAATTTATTCATATTTTATATCAAAAATCTTTTTTAGTAATTTAACATGACCTCTTTTATCAAAAAACACTTCTATTGGTTTTTCAGCCAAACATTAAATTGATTTTTTTGAAAAGTACTTCTCTAAATGTTCAAGCCATAAGCTACTTGTGCAAAACCTACAGTGGAGCCATACTAGCCCATAAATTGACCAGAGAAAGCCAAAAAGTGTTCCGATATTTTCCCAATATTATTTAGATTTTTTACATCGTAGTAATTACCTGCTAATGTGAAAGATCCCGTTTAGCAAAGTTATATGATATGTCGCCCGCTATAGGGCTGGAGATCGGGTCGGGTCCTAGTATCCGGACCGAAATAAGCGGGTACTCGGACCCAAAAAACCCCAGTTTGAGGAACCAGACCCGACCCAGACTCGGTTCTTGGGTACCCGAGACCCGAAGTCACGGTTCTCGGGTATGGTTCGGTCCCCCGAATACCCATCAGCCACCGAAGACAACTTGTTACAGCAGCTTTATTCAAGAAAAAAATGGAGGGTTGCTTTCGCTGGCTGCTGGAGTGGGAAGTGGAGAGTGGAGATTTAGGGTTAGGGGTCTAAGGGGGTCCGAACTTCGGCTTGGCTTGGGGCCTGAAGGCTGGGTTGGCCCGTATGTGTGGCTATGGGCCATGTGATATTTGGCCCTGTGGGCTGGGGATCGGTTCCACTTCGGGTCCTTTTATTTTCGGGTCTGGGTTCGGTTTACCCAAAGCCCAAAAAATAGCCACATGTGATACCGAGACCCATTTTTCACTATGATATTTTGGTTCTCGGGTACCCAAAACCCAGAAATTTCGGTCCGATTCCGGGTTACCCATAAAACCGAACCCGAACGTCTAGCCCTAGCCTGCTGGCTAAGATCGGAATGACCTATAATACCTAATAAGTTCAACTGAAGCCGAAACGACCAGCCATGAGTTGTTCCTCGGACTGGTTCAAGGGATGATCGTTTTGATTTGTAGTGATTCCTACTGGTTCACTGTGTAATCTACCAGACCAGTATTTGGATTGTTGGACACTCCCGCGAGCGAACGGTGTAAAATTTGTGTATTTTGATTTTTTTATTGTGGTGGTCGTATATTGTAATTTTTTTTAGTAGATCTTGCATTTTGGGGGAGGGAAATCCTCAATTATAGGTTTCCCCCCACTTTTTAGTTTTTACCTTAAGCTTCATAGTCATCCTGAGAATGTACTTTCACTAAATCCCAGACCGCAAGAAAACAGTTTTCTAGAGTTGTACTCTTTGCGTTCTTGCTGGCCTAAGGTTAAACGGCGGGCATTACAAAACTTCAAAAACTCACTTAGGCATCATAATTTTCAAACAATCCATCTCAGAATTGCCATAAATGGCCGATTCCACCAATGACAGAGCTGTTCTACCGGCCGCAAAATGGACCATCATATCATGCCACACAAACGGGAATATTCCCTTATGGTCACGACGCAGCCTAAATGTCGAAATTGTACAATAACACTCTATCCCAATCCTACCTGACCTTACAGGTAGCCGAAAGGTCTAATGAAACGAAACCCTCCTCTATAGCTATAAATTCTGCTGCTATTTCCCACAGGACGTCCATCGAAACATAGAGAGACAGATAATACAACGCGAGATTCAAAACGTAGAGAGAGAGCAGTTAATTGTGATGGAGCGACGGGCAGCATCGCCGGCGTTAATACTACTAGTGAACGCCGTCATCTTCATGTTCCTGACGAGGGAAGTCGTCGTGGGGGACGGTTCATGCACAGGTGGCCAAATCAGCGACGGCGGGACTCACGCGGCCTACGTGGCACACGTGTTGTCGGAGCTGGCGACGGTTACGCCCACCACACCTAAGCTTTCGGACATCACAGTTTTCCCCGGAAACGGCGTCAGTGGTTCCGTCCTGGGCGCGGCGACGTGTTTCGCTCCCAGTGACGCTGGCGTTTGCGCAAGCTGCCTCCTGGAGCTTCAACCGCTGCTTTTCGGCTCCTGCAGTACTTGGTCCGTCGGCTACATTGAAAAAGACTCCGTTTGCGCCATGGGTTTCAGATCGGGTTAACAGTACGCAGCTATACGAGTTACTGAAAACATATTTGGAGCGTAAGAATAAGATTTTGTATTGGACTATTTATGAAGGTGAAATGGTACTGTCCACTTTTGTAATCGGTTGGGGTACAACCTTGTGTGTTTTTTTTTTTTTTTTTTTTTTTACAGTCTGGGAACAACCTTGTTGATAGCGCTTTCGATCCGTTTTATCGGGTGGATGAATAATATAATCATACCTATTGCAGTGGTAGAGGGCATTTAAAATTATTACCGTCGACCCAAAATTTCTCTCATTCGGCAGGTGGTCTCGTGTTAAGGGATACTTTAGGTGTAGTGGTTATGCTGAAAGGTATGATTTTTGATGGCCTTGTGGACCCTAGGTTATATTAGCCGAGCTGGTGACGCTACGAGAAGCAATCCTATGGTGTGGGGACATGAGAATCCAACCGTCAAAATCGAGTGGATGCAAAAGGGAATAATTGACAAGATTAATGCATATACATTTTGGGATTGTAATGGAGGAGTGGTTTATCAGGAGATTCATCCATTGCTAGAAGTCTTCCCCAGTTTGGTTCTTCGATTTGGTAGGCAAAACAATAGAATTGTTCATGTAGTGACAATCTTTATTTGCTCTTGGATGTGTTGGATTTGATTTTTGTGTTTTGACTCCTGGCGGAGTCATTGTAAGTTGTAACTGGTTGTTTCGTATTATTGTAAGTCATCATTGTTTTGTAACAATTTCTATAAGAATCCAAGAAATCACGCGAAAATGAAATTGAGCGTCTCCAATTGGTGCGTCGTCGTTTCAGCAGAAAGAAACTAGGAAATAAACAAGGGTTAATACCTTAGTTTGGCCTGAACTATACTCATACTTTCTACTTTGGCCCGTGATATTGAAAATTGCTATTCTGGCATGAACTATGTAGCAAACTTCCTCATTTGGCCCGGAGGCTGGTTTGACCGTCAAATTAGACGGTCAAACATGTTGACCGTTAGTCAATGTCCACCTCACCTGCCACGTCAGCATTGAGGACATACAAAATTATTTTTTTATGTCTGAATTTTATTTTCTTTCGATTAATAAAAATAATAAATCAAAAAAATTATTTAAAAGAGCGAAAAAGGGCCCATTTTAGCAAATGGCAAGAAAACAAAATAAAATAAAAAAATAATTATGTCCTCAAAGCTGACGTGGCAGGTGAGGTGGACATTGACTAACGGTCAACAAGTTTGACCGTCTAATTTAACGGTCAAACTCGCCTCTAGGCCAAATGTGGAAGTTTGCTACATAGTTCAGGCTAGAATAGCAATTTTCAATACCACGGACCAAAATAGAAAGTATGTGTATAGTTCGGGCCAAACTAATGTATTAACCCAATAAACAATAAACAAACGTGAAAAGTAACATTAGAAAAATCAAAATCAAATCACAGAAAGAGGAAACTCTTCTTCGCTCTTTCTCTGTCTACCACCACTCCCACAAATACACACACGGCTCCGAAAATGCTAACTATCACACCACCACTCCCCCGCTAACACGCAAATTTGTCCGTCCCTACGTTTTCCCCGGCGACAAAATCCCCCGGTTTCCATCTCCCGTCCCCCATGTTCCGATACTCTCAGCCTCCTGAAGTCGACGAAACTGCCATCCCCACCACCGCATCCACAGGCGCCGACGACGCCGTCACCGCCACCACCGGCGGCAGCGATCAAACTTCTCACTCGATCCGGGACCGCCTCCGCTTCAAGCGCAATCCTAACCAGGCCACCTCCCCGACCGCCAGCACTTCCGGCCGGGGCACCAAATCTAGAGAAGATCGCGCTCCTTCGTCGCGGAGCAGATGGCATCACCACCACGGGACGGGAGGGCGCCGGAAGAGCTGGTTCGCCTTCCGCGGGGTTTATTTATTCTACTTCGTCATAGTTTTCTCGGTCTTAGCGTTCGCCATCGCGTCAGTGCTGTTGCAGAGCTCCGTGACCTCGGTGATGTTTAGCACTGGCTGGAGCGAGCATAGGAGATCGGTGGGGGAAGGGCTGAGGTTGGGGACGACGTTGAAATTCGTGCCCGGGATAAGATCGCGGCCGCTGGTGGAGGGGCAGGGGCTCGATCAAATCAGAATGCAGCAGGTTGCTCGAGTGGGCCTCCGGGCCCCTAGGCTTGCCATTGTAAGCCTCCCTCCCTCCCTCTTCCATTCCTGACTTTTTCCAATTTTCGGTTATGGAACACCTTGACTTATAGCCGTGCAATGGAGCTTTTCTCACTGCAACAAGAACATGAGTATGTGAGACTTGTTATGCTTGTGATTGGGGCAATTACAATTGCATTTGTGTGCAAATGACTAGTGAGGTTAGTTTAGGGTGAACCAGCGAGCGAGATAATGCTATTGCGTTGGTGTGCTTGCTTTAATGCTTTGTCAGTAAGAGCTTACAGTTCTCCATGGAGAATCTGCTATGATTTTGGATAAGATAGTCCTATTCATAGGGGAACACGGCTTGAACTGCCATACATGCTAATTCTTGTTAGTAATGAATCATTGTGGTGGATCGAGTGAGCTGCACATTATTATGTTTGAGTGTTAGAGGAAGTGCTTTATAAGAAAAAAATAGCTGCAGCAATTTGTTGTGGAAAGACTTTACTGGTTCTTGCGGGACAAGACCACTTCTCTTCAAGTCTAACTTCTTTTGGATTCAAGTTTTATCTGTTGAGTGGTTAATCTGCTGATACACGTTACCTCGAAGAATACTACCTGACCAGTTGATAACTTTTAACCAATTTCCATTAGATTACTTTTGCACTGTTATAACTTAAAATGGAATGTGGTATCTAGCCGGTACCTTAATTTCCTTATTACGACTTATTCAATAAACACCATGCTCAAATTATTTTCTGTTAAAATAATGCATTCACCATCTGTCGAGATCCATTTTAGGTTCTAGGCAGTTGAGAGTCGTGTGGACACTATATCTGAGACAAGCAACAGCATGTGATCATATTTGAAGCCCTGACCAAATTTTCCCTGTTGCATTATCAACTATCAGCTTGGGATTCTGCCATACATATCATTAGGATGTCCTAAATAATGTTCCAGAATTGTTTAACATGAGAGAGAATTTAAAACAGTTCTTATTTGCTTGTCTTGGATTTTCTTCAATTAATTGCTGCTTGTTCTGATTAATGTCAGATTTTAGGAAATGTGAAAAAAAATCCACAGTTGTTGATGTTGATTACAATAATGAAGCATCTAAGAATTCTTGGCTATTCGCTTCAGGTGAATCCCCCTTCCCCTTTCCTTTTATGTTATGCTATTGATTTAGTTGTTATATACTCTGTTTCATTTGAGTTAAGTCATGCCATCATCTCTTCAAACTTGGATAATAATAAAAAATTATCCTTGACGTAGTTGCATGAATTTATGTAATCAATTTGGTGGAGGGCCAATAGTCTGTGTTGGCATGTTGAACTTTTACTTCACAACAGCTAATGCATGCCACGATTGCCTATTTGACAGATTTATGCATCAAAGAATAGCAGAGCACAATCAGTCTTGGAGCAAGCAGGCGGTCAGATATCAATACTACCAACTGACAACTATAGCCATATCGACTGGTCCATGTATATTTCCTTCATGATATTTCTCATGACCTATCATTATAGCCTTTTCTTGCTTTCTTTCCTTCACAACATGAATTTTATGCGGTTGTGGAGCTAGTAAACATTTCTTATGCATATTCTAATTGAGAACAATTTCTAATTTAATGGTCTTTTTGTAGGTTTGATGGTATAATTGTTGACTCCCTTCAAGGAAGAGAATCTATGTCAAGGTCAGCTTATTTTGTTCTCCGTTGATTGCTTTGATCTTCATGAATCCATGTTCCATTGATTGCTTGGTTTAAGATTTGGATGCTTATGGCTCTTGTCTCTACTTTAAAGAGATATTCCTGATTCCTATTTGTTTGTAGTGTTGAAAGTCTCGTGTGTGCTTCTGCAGTGTCTTTAATCAAATGGCCATGGATTCTTGTGTTGTGTTTTGTTATTTTGTACATGGAGTGTTGCATACTCCAATGAGTGGTACCAATTCAATATGGAGCTATGCTGTTTCTAAGTTTGGTTGTTAACTCAAGGAATTGTTACCAAGTAATAACAGACACTGTCAGTGTTCTTGTATCATGCAAGTATATAGTGAAGGTTTGTACAAACATGGGATTATGTGTATATGAGGGGCACAATTTGTTAAAGTAATTTCAATGAACTCTAAGTAGATGGAATAGAATGTATATGCTTAAGGTCATAATCTATTTCCATAGGAGTTTTCTTTGTCGACGCGTATGTGTGAAGATGATTATTGACTGTTTGCTTTAGTTTGATGTGCTCTGGATAGTGAGTTTTATATTTGTGCAGCCTTATGCAGGAGCCTTTCTGTTCAATACCGGTTATCTGGATAATACAGGAAGATGCACTTGCTAATCGCCTTCCAGTGTATGAGGAAATGGGCTGGACTCATCTCATGACTTACTGGAGGAGTGCGTTTAGCAGAGCCAGCGTGGTCGTTTTTCCAGATTTCACGCTGCCGGTAAATATGCGCCATATTATATTTTTCTGTCTTATCTGGAATCAGCCGTATAATAAATACTCTTCTTGTATCAGATGTTGTATAGTGTGGTTGACCCTGGAAACTTCTTTGTGATTCCTGGATCACCGGTAGATGTCTGGGCTGCGGATATTTATAGAAAGACTCATGACAAGCATCAGCTAAGGATGAACAATGGATTTGATAAAGAAGATATTGTAGTTTTAGTTGTTGGCAGTTCCTTCTTCTACAATGAACTGTCATGGGACTATGCTGTTGCAATGCATACCCTGGGTCCCTTGCTTGCCAAATATGCCAGAAGAAACGACGCTGAAGGATCATTCAAATTTGTCTTTCTATGCGGTAATTCAACTGATGGTGATGCTATACAGGTAACCACTCATTGGTTTAAAATGATGTTGCATTTTCAGTTGAAGCACTATCTTCTAATGTTTTTGGCCAGACCTTATTCTACCAGGGCGTATCTCTGTCGGTATGTGATGCATATTTTACAGTTAGCACATGTATAATTCGATAAGCTGCAAAATGAATGCTTGTTTTTTGGGATGACACACTAGGTTTAACTTGGAAGTTCCTGGAAGTTGAAGTTTTCTCATTTCTTATCAACTCTCTGTGGATAAGGACGCATGAGATCTTGGAGTCTAGAAATTTGAACAAAATCATGGGAAAAGTTGCCATTGTGTTTTATTTTGTTTGCGGAGGAGGTTTCTATCATTGCTCTCTTTCTCGTGATCGTAAGCTTATTTGATCCCAATTTATTATTTCCCTGTAGGAAGTTGCTTCTCGTTTGGGACTTATTCATGGTTCTGTAAGGCATTATGGTTTGAATGGTGATGTCAGCAGTGTGTTGTTAATGGCAGACATAGTTCTTTATGGTTCTTCTCAGGATGAGCAGGGTTTTCCTCCTTTGATCATCCGAGCCATGACCTTTGGAATCCCTGTCCTGACACCCGAGATTCCCATAATGAAAAAATATGTGAGTCACTGGCAGGTCCAATCTTAATGTCCTTATAATCTGCTTTTCATATTTATTTTCATTTTAGTTCTTTCTTCTTTCTCATACATGATGTGTTTCAACAACTGCAGGTTTCTGATGAATCCCATGTGCTATTTTTCCCCAAGTATGACCCTGAAGCTTTGATGAGGACTTTCTCTCTTTTGATATCTGATGGAAGTCTTTCCAAACTTGCTAGAACTCTTTCTCTCTCTGGAAGACTATATGCTAAGGATATGCTTGCCTCTGAATGTGTATCTGGTTATGCAAAGCTTTTAGAGAACATTCTTTCCTACCCCTCAGACACTTTGCTACCAGCTTCCGTGGATCGGCTTCAACAGATCACATGGGAATGGTCGTTGTTTGGTGAGGAGATAGATGGGGAAGCTGCTGACTCTAACATCAGAGTTTTGAGTGTTGTTCAGAATCTTGAAACAGAGGTTCAGGATCTTGTCACATCTACAAATACCTCTGGGATCTCAACAGAGATATCAGAGCCTGATGGTTTGACCAAGTTAGATTGGGACGTATTAGACGAAATAGAAAGTTCTGAAGAATTTGAGAACGTGGAGCTGGAACAGGTATGTTGCGATCTTCTTGGCAAATAAAATTTGAATCATCACCCTTCACACGTAAAGTTGAACTACAACCTTAAAGCCCTCTTTGGTTAAAGTTACACAATGAGCATGACACCTGAGTGCAGGGTTGGTCCTTGTCAGTCCAACACAAATGTTATTTCTTTCCTCTTTTTTTGTGCTGTTTACAATTTTGACCTAGGTATTTATCTTTAGTTTGAAGAGAGGATGGACAAACACCCAGGCATTTGGGATGAGATATACCGCAATGCACGAAAAGCTGAAAAGCTAAAGTTTGAAGCAAATGAAAGGGACGAGGGAGAGCTAGAACGGACAGGACAGCCAGTTTGTATTTATGAGATATACTCTGGAGCTGGTGCTTGGCCGTTTTTGCACCATGGTTCCTTGTACCGCGGATTAAGCCTTGTAAGTTCATAGCCATGGCTCTTTTTTCCTAGTTTCGATTTGCTTGTTTCATTATGTACTCCTTTGTACTATCTGTTTCTCTTTTCTTGTTTCAGAGGTCAAGTTGTTATTTATTTGATTAAGTTTATGGTTTGCGAGTTCTCATTGTACCTCTTTCGGTAATTATTGCTAACTTGCTTCTTTCAGTCAACAAAAGCTCGAAGATCAAGATCAGATGACGTGGATGCAGTGGCCCGCCTCCCTCTATTGAATGATACATATTATCGAGATATATTGTGCGAGTTGGGTGGAATGTTTTCAATTGCCAATAAGGTGGACGAGATTCACAAGAGACCTTGGATTGGGTTCCAGTCTTGGCGTGCCACGGGTAGGAAGGTATCTTCAGTTATGCTGTGGACATTCTATTTGTTTTCCTTGGCACTTGTTGCCATAGCCAAATTGTGTGATGTGGTATCGACTGCTCTCAGAATCTAGTTAGCTGGAGATTTGATATCTTGTTTGTGTCCTAATCACTCAGCCTTGTTTATTGGAACAGGTTTCATTATCTCCGAAAGCTGAGAAAGTTCTGGAAGAGAAAATACAGAGAGAGACTGTAGGGGATGTAGTATACTTTTGGACGCGGTTGGACAAGGATTATGAAGCTACAGCAAGCAGTGCCAAACTAGGGTTCTGGTCCATCTGCGACTTATTAAATGCAGGGCACTGCAGGTATCTCATTGGAAATTCCTTGCATGTGTGTTCTTCTCGTATTGAGCGAAAAAAGAAGTTCATGTTCTTTTGGGGGCAGTAACAAGGGAAAATGGGAAACACGACTTGCATTCTTGAATATAACTGCCGGTGTCCACGTGCAGAACGACTTTTGAAAATGCATTTCGTCAGATGTATTCCCTGCCATCACATCTAGAAGGTCTTCCACCAATGCCAGAAGATGGAGGTCACTGGTCCGCCTTGCATAGCTGGGTGATGCCAACCCCTTCATTTTTGGAGTTCACTATGTTTTCAAGGTAAGCATAAGAAAGGGAACCCCCCATCTAACCAAAATGCAGCGCTAATTGACATTTACAAATAACTGCACCTGCAGAATGTTCGTTGATTCCCTCGACTCGTTGCAAGCCAATTCTGGTGTAGCATGCATGTTTAGTTCCTCAGAAGTTGAGGTGGGAGATGCTTCCTTACCTCTTGATTTGATCTAAAGCGAGTACACTTCAGAATTAATTTTGAGTTAACTATCTATGTGGGGTCTCGCATGTTATACATCAACAGGAAAAGCACTGCTATTGTCGAATAATGGAGCTTCTGGTGAATGTCTGGGCTTACCACAGCGGAAGAAAAATGGTCTACATAGACCCTGAAACCGGCAGTTTCGAAGAGCAGCACTCAATTGAAGAACGCAAGGGAGGAGTTATGTGGGCAAAGTATATGAACCTAACATTGCTCAAGAGCATGGATGAAGACCTCGCTGAGGCGGCTGATGACGGCGACCTGCTGAGGGAAAGATGGCTGTGGCCACTGACAGGGGAAGTGCATTGGCAAGGGATTTACGAGAGGGAGAGGGTGGAAAGGTACCGCCAGAAAATGGACAAGAAGAGGAAGAATAGGGAGAAACTGGTTGAGAGAAATAGGATAGGATACAAGCAGAAACCTCTCGGACGACGCCGTCAGCTGCTTTGACGGGGAAGATTGATCGTGTACAATGTCGAGAAAGACGAATCAATAGTTGATTTTAACCCTTCCTCAACGTCCTGGTGGCGGCAGCAAGCGGCTTCAGGAACACAAGTCTGACTCCTAACATGGATAACCAGCCTCCAACTCTTTCATCTTAATCAATACATCAGAGCTCAGGTAAGGAAAGTGCATCTATTCAAACACCATTCTACTATTTCACGCGGATTTCCGTTACACAAGGGGATTGTGAAGAAGGTAGAAACAGGAAGAAGAAGAAGAAGAAGAAGAAGAGGAGGAGAAGCGCTTTCCTGCAGTTGCAGTCATGGAATGAGAGCATCGGTTGGCTGGTGCCATTTTTAGTGGGAGGTTAGTAGCACCATGGATTGATATTCTTTTTGTTATTTATTTTGTTGTTCTGTTGTTATAGACATTTTTACGACCCATTTAGTTGGAGATTGGTGTAATTCTTTATTTGTATATACTTGGCCACCACAGCATAGATGAAAATTTTGATCGCAACAGGGAACTCCTACATTTGGTCTGTTCCATACACGCTGCTGCTCTGCAACACAACTTTGTGTTAAAACTATGCTTTGGTTATTAGCTTTTCCCTTGGATATCTTAGAAAATACAGAGCAACCATGCACATATTGGTTGTTGTAAAGCAGGATAGTCTTCGTCCGGCGAACCAACTCTTTCTAAGAAAAGCTCCTTTATGTCCAGTTCACCCGGTATCACGCTGGTGAAGAATCCTTGCAACAGTGTGACAACCGGTCTGGGTTTCATGGAACTGCACAACGTGGATCGGCTGAGAGCTACTCGAATAATTTGCATCGAAAAATATGATGAACAAAGATTATTTTGTTTGAAAGTCGAAAATTGATTATCTCGAACCTATCTATTGTATATGCACAAGTTTCATGACCGAAACCGATTGAATTCAACCGGTGGACATTACCGGGACGAAAGACACATATATAAAGAGAGCGAAATTTCTTGTGCCGTTTAGCTGTGCGCGCGCCCCGCGCTGCCTCTAGCACCCGCGTAGGGTTTTAGAGGGAAACAAAACAACCCAAAACCCCTCATCGTCGCCACCACCCAGACTCTGAAAATCAAAATCTCACCTCTGTCTCGTAGCGATCCTCTTTTCCTTCCCACAAGTCACTCACTGCTTTCTCCGCTACCAGGTTCCTTCCCTCGCTCTCATCTCCATCCATTACTACCGGCTCCCAGTCTGCTCGTCATTTTTTCTGCTTCTTTCACTCCGATCGTCTCCTTTACTTCCACGGCGGCATGAAAAATGACTGTCAATGTCGTTTGGGAAGCGGTGTCTGTGAGATCAGCTTTTTGCCTGGAAATTTCCGCTGAGATGTGGTAAATTTGCAGGTGGTCTCTATGCGCCAAGAAACAAGGGTAGACCAATGCGCTATATGAATGGTGGCGGTGAGTTTAGCCGGACGCTTGCCCGAGCCTGGTCCAGTCAATCTCGGCGGAGGAGGGTACCAGGCATTCGACTTCCAAGGGAGGAGAGGAAGGCCATGGTTGAATCGTTTGTGAAGCAGTAATTCGCCCTATCCCGCTTGATTTCATTTGTGAATGATCTAGTTGTGTGTATCTGTACATGATTTCGAATTTTGAACTAGAATTGATTTGACTTCCTGGCGGCTGGTTCCTAGTTGCTTATGGCTTATGGGGGGTTTCCACATTTGTGAGAAAGGGTAGAACGAACCTATAGGAGTGCCCAGTGATATTTTCTCGAATTTATGTTTCCTTGTTGCAGGTATCAGCAGTCAAACAATGGGAAGTTTTCTTCCCTCACGGTAACACGGCAAGAAGTAGGTGGTTCACCCCTGGTTCTGCGCCACATTCTTCAAGATGTCAAAGTTGTTTGGAGCAGAGATCAGGCACAGAAACCGGGTCTTGCCGAACCATCCCCTCAAGGTACAATATCCACAGAATCTCAATCAACTTCTGTGACTTTGTCACTGAATGGGACTGTATCAATGGCTGATGAGCAGCACTCCAAATTGGACAGGGCACATCGTCCGGTTTCTGATGTGCTTGGTGCAGAATCTAAAAGGGTCCAATGCAGTTAAAAGCGCGATTCTACCTAGAAGCGGAAAAGGGGTAAAATCGTAAAGCGTAGAATCAAAACGTAAAAGCGTAAGTTTTTTACGCATACTGGAAAATAACTAAAAATCTGTTGAGTACGATATATACTATGTAAAATATGAGTGCACAAAATTTGGATCAGTTAATAAATACTTGTAATTCACGTCTAAAGTAGAGCAACTCATAGTATCTTAACAACAAGTTCATAAACATAGATCTTAACAATAAGCCACCTTCCTGTCCATGTTAATAAATTTAGGGAAGGCCTAGCTAGTGAATTAGATTACTCTACTGAAGTTGAGAATGCATCCAAGTACCTAATATGTATCTTTTAATATAAAATCTATCATATTGTTGGTGTTTTACCTTTACAATATACTTTTTATAATTAATTTCATGAAAAGAATATTTATTTAGTGAACTAAAAACGTAAAAGCGTAAAGCGTTTTGGTGAAATAGAAGCGTAAAAGCGTAAGATTTTAAGCTTTAAAACACAATTTAGTTCGATTTTATGCACTTAAGATTTTACATGGAAACGAAAGCGTTTTAGTGACCTAGAAGCGTAAAACCGTAAGATTTTAAGTTTTAAAGCGCGATTTTGACTGCATTGAAAGGGTCCATATTGAAAACCTGCGGAAAGTTGATGGCGATCAGGTAACTGACGAGAAATTGAATTCTGATGGGGCAGAAGTTGCTGGGGTTCAAGCAAGTGGGAGCGAGGTTAAGCAACCGGCAGGCATTGTATTAGAGGCATATCATTTACAAGGAGATGTGGATTCTGATAGAGTGAATGCTGCCGGGGTTCACACGAGTGGATCACTAGAACACAATGAACAAGCCACAGCGGTGCCTGATGTGGTTGTGAATACAACTGCATTGGAAATGAATGAATCCGCAAAACAAAGTCTTGTAAAAGGTCAGGCGAGTGAAGGATCAATGAGAGTAGGGAAAACTGTTGAAGTGATGAGATCTGAGGTCAAAGTAACTGAGGAAGAGAACGTAGCTCTAGAGGTATCTCATTCACAGCCGGCGCAAACTGGTGAAAGGGAGGAATTAGACACAAGAAATCAAGGTTCCAGCTCAGAGAACGATCGCACTTTAGAGCAATCCTATATCAGGAGTGAGAAGGTATTTGTGCGAAATGATTTAATTGTTCTGTATTGCTTATTGGTTTTCTTCCCTTGTTTGCTAAGTTGAATGTATTCGAGCAGCAACGGAATCTCTAAGCATAAACTCCAATCTAAGACTCTCTGTTTCTTGTCAATCATGGCCCTCTCCCTGTTAGTTACTCTGTGCTCTCCGTTCCTTGACATTTGAAGTTTTTTTTTTTTATAACTGCTGTCTTGTGATGTTAGTAATGACTTATTCTTGGGATTAGCTTTTGTTTAAACTTCTCATTCAGAACGAAGTCTGGACTATAAAAACTCATTGGCCTGCAAGTTACCTAGACTAGACTGAGTTTAAGAGGCCATCTCAAAATGTTGCTTTTGCAGGTTGAGACCATTACCGATGACACTTCAGTAAGTGCTGGCCGTGTCCATCAGTCAGACCTCCGAGCAGACGTCCCAGACAATGTTGAGCACAGTAGAGATAGGTCGGTAAAGACAAACTACCAACTTCAACATGTTTGTCACTTTCCTTCCAACCACTGTGCAGTTAACTAAAAGCACAGATTTAAAGGTCCTCGCTGACTTCCATTTTATGGGTGGCAGGTCGAACGATGAAAGAGCACTGCAAGTACCTCCGGAGCGGGGAAACCAAGACGATTGCAGCTGCTTTGAAATCATTCGTAGTAACTGCCTTTAGGAAATTTTGGCCAGGATAATTCATCCCATGCGTTGTGTAGAGAGAGTGCATTCGATGTTTTGATGTTCACAGTGCAGAGTGAGTAGGTTATAGGTTATCTTGTTGGTAACTGCGGATTAGGGAAGAATCAGGTTATTACTTACATGTAGTGAGAATGACAAGGGTTGATCTACTTGGTATAGGTGCGGTAAAGACTGGAAGGGTGGTAGAGATGTAGGCCTAATGATTTTTTGATGGTCGATAACTACATTAAGATTCAGCATTTCTTCGGTGTTTTCTTAGGTGCCCTTGTGAAAGCTGTCATAAACCAGTTGGTCCCAATAACTCGAGTTGTTGGGAGAAGGTTATGCTGGATCTTATAGCACTCTCTAACACGCCCCCTCAAACGAAAGCCAACTCACGGGCTTGAAGTTTGCACAGGCCCACCATACCATGTGCTTGAAGACAACGATTAATATTGGGGGTCGTGGAGATTCGAACACACGACCACTTGGCCAAACCAGCTCTGATACCATGTCATAAACCAGTTGGTCCACGAACTAAGGTTTTCAGCTTCCTATCATGGTATCAGAGCCCCTGCTTAACAGCTCATTGATCCAGCAACCCTAAAAGCTTCCATTTTTGTTTCCGCCGGCAGGATGAGTTCCCATTCTCCAGGCTTACAAGCCTTTACTCATCATCCACGCAAATAAATCCATCTTTCTGCTAGTTGTCCACATAATTCCCTCTTGCTTTAGCTTCCATACATCCCTCTGATTACTCCTTCCTCTTTCTTCTCTCCCAATTCCCTTCTCTCTTATGATCATCAATCCTATTATATTTTATTTTATCTTATGATCATCAATTCCCTTCACCTTCATCCCGAAAACCCAATCCCAACCCTAAACAATTCCATTGTTCTTCCTTATTTGTTTTAGATTGATAGGTTTCCTTTTCCTCCACAAAAGAGATAATAGATGGCCTAATCACTCGTCGTTCCTTACCCATCTACTGTTCACCTTGACTGCTTCTTGCCGCCGATCGCTATAGCTGGTCTCTTCATTTGAGCCAGCATCTTTGGAGGTCAACCGGGACGGTTCAATCGCTACTTCGTTCCAAAGTCTTTCTCCTTCTTCTTCTTCCTCTGCCTTCACTTCTCCTTCTTCTTACTGTCGAAGTCATGTCCGAATCCCTCTCCCAATCCCTTCCTCGAGTGCAATTCCGATGGAGATTTCTTCCTCAGCCATCTCCTCCACCTTCTTCTTCTCCGCTGGATTGGTTTCCCCCAACTGGTTTCTTCCAATCTCGCGTCTTTCTCACCTCCACACTCATATCAGTTGCCTTTTCTGTTCAAAGCTCCGGAGAGAATCTTATTCCCATTTCGTCTCCGCTTCTCTACTTCTCCCTCCCAGTAGCACCACTGCCGCCGTCGGCACCGGCACACACTGAGTCATACTCGCTGTCCTCTCCCTTTCCGTCGCTCTCCTCTTCCTTCTTTCTTTTCTCAGAAACAAACTCAAACTCCTACGCGGCTTTCCTTCAGCTTGTCTCCAGCACAATCAATCAAATCTCTCCTCATCTCTGAATCTTTCTTCTCATCAAATCCCAGCTTTCCCCGCTTCAATTCAACCCCTGCCGACATATTTCTTCTCCTCCGCTTCTTCCTTCACTGGCTGATCCATAATTTTGATAAGCTATCTGCAGCAGCTGGATATTAACTTGGTACCTGCATAAGCAAGGGCGGGCCATCCCCAATCCTCGCTCCGCCGAGCCCCAAGCCGGCTGGAAGACCCGACACCAACCTCGGGCAGGCCTACGAGGACGTCAAGCTCCACTACACCATCAGGAAAGAACTGGGTTGGGGCCAATTCAGGGTTCCTTCCCTCTGCATCGAGAATTCCACCGGGAAGCAGTACGTCTGCCAGTCAATTTCCAAGAGGCAGCTGATCGCCAAGAAGCACCTTCAAGTTCATTACCCATCGGCTGCCGTTCCATCTTTTCAGCTCCAAGTTTCACCTCTTCGAGGCTTCACTTGCGGGGGCGTGATAAGGAGTAATGGCATTGTTAGCCACACTCTCTTTCTGTTAAACGTGCATCATATATTTCTCATATTCTGTTATGTTTGTTCCTACTTTCTAGCTACACTACTTGTAACAGCAGCTATATAAGAACAGTCAATCAATAATACGAACTAAGGTTTTCAGCTTCCTATCAAAAGCAAGGTGGTGTGAATGTTGACCTTGAGTCAACTTCAACGAAAATTATTTTCGGAAATAAACTTGATTTTCTGTCGCCATCATACATAACTCATAAGTCATAACTTTTTAAAACAACCATCAATAGTGTACCTAACAAATTAGTAAAAAAATAAAAATTAATCTCATTATAAAAATAATATAATATCTAACTTTGTACCTATAATAAATATACACATCAATCATCATAACTTTCAAAAAGTAATTTATACACGTGATAACCTACTTTGCAAACCTACTCATTTCTTCATTAAAAAAAATTATCCTCATGTTAATTATTCTGTATTTCTAAGAAATAAAAAAAGTTTTTATTTTTATGAGCTTAACAAACGCCTGCCAATTACAGGCCTGCCGGCAGGCCGGGCCCAAATTAAAGGCAAGTGGTAAATTCCGTAGGATTGATCCCAAGACCCGACCCAGTTTGACCCGAGTCACCATGGAAGATACTGTAAGTTTAGAACTACCAGTCTACCACTACACCAGCACTTCACTCGCTCCTGCAAGAATTTAAGGAGACTCTCTCTTGTTCTGGGTATACTCACTGTAGGGTTTTAGAGCAGACGGAGAGAGAGTGAGGGAAGGAGAGTAATGAAAAATGACTGCAAAACCCCAAACCTAATCTACTGCTCTGCATCTCTGCGCCAATCGAGGCCGGGCACCAGGTAAACCCACTCAAATCCCTTTTCTCCATTTCATCTCGTCTGTTATCATTCCCTTCTCCTCTTCTTGTGCTTCTCCTCCTCCTGCTTTCATGGCGTGGGTTGTGTTCTCTTGTTTGCTTTAGGTTCCGCTGCGGAATTTTGCTGTTTCTTGTTTTCGAGCCTATAACTCATTCCTGCTGCAGGTTTGAAGTCCGAAAGCCTGGATGTTAATTCGCTTTTTAAGCCGATTGTTCTTCCAGTTCCATCTTTAGTCCTTCAAATATATTTCGTATGGGGTTTTGTTGTGTTCTAACTTCTACCTCAGTTGATTAGGAGGCAACTGAAGTTGACGAGCACCGTGGGAAGTTTGTCCATTGGATTGGAGTTAAGGAACCCCTCGAAGGGTGTTTTAGGCAAATTTTAGCCCTCAATCGTCATAGTTATGTAATTATGATTACTTGAATTGAAGGAAGAAGACTGGGTCCGCAATAGGCATTGCTATTCAGTTGACGACGATCGAAAAATCATTTGCATTAGCATGCGAAAAGAATTCATGTGCATCCCGGGGAATGTTCTTTCTGTTTGGAAATGATGAACTAGAGTGGAGAGTGGGAAAATATGGAGTTTCTGGCATCTGGTCACCTATATGGAAGTGTCTTCTTTTATCTTTTCGAAGTTGGTTTCTCTAGCATAATTAAGAGGAATTTCTGGTATCTGTTTTTGTAACTCTTTGTTTCAATGTTCACCGAAGAAGCTATGGCTCACTTCGATATGCCAATAAATTTATGACTTATGTATGTCTTTCTATCTTCTTTGTATAGCTAGTTTGCCCATAATATTGCTCTGACTTAATATGGTGCTTTGTAGGGGTATGTACTGAAGACCTTGGACTGTCACTCTAGTATCATGCATGCTATAAAGGGTGGTTGGGTTGGCCAGACGTTTGCCCTATCCAAGTCCAATGAGTCTGGAGGGAGGAAGTCTCGCATCCGGCGTTCAAAGGAAGAAAGGAAGGGCATGGTTGAATTGTTTATAAAGAAGTAATTCCTTGTTCCTTATCAACAAGTTTACTTGGTTTTCTTCTATTGATGTCTTACATTGAAGACCTTGTGGTAGATTGTGAAAAAAAAATATATTCATCTTGTGACAGGGATCTGGAAGTCTTTGTCCTCCATTTTTCGCATGTTTACTGTCTTCCCAGTCCAACTTTTTCACTCTGAATTGCAGATGTGGTACTTGATTGTGTTGTTAACATGATGGTTCTCCTTGTAGGTATCAGAGTTTAAACAATGGGAACTTTCCTTCTCTTAACCTCACCCACAAGGAAGTTGGTGGGTCATTCTACACTGTTCGTGAAATTGTTCGAGAAATAATCCAGGAAAATCGTGTATTGGGTCCTGCTAAGTTTTTGCCTGAGGAGCAAGACTTTTATGAGTGGTCAGAGCAGTATCCCTTGGGCACAATATCCACAGAACCTCAGCCTTCTTCAGCTTGGTCGCCTAACGGAACTACAGTACCAACTGATCAACGCCCTAGTTCACTTGAAGAATTTTCTTTCAGTTGTCGTGGGCGTGCTGAAATTCATGACGACACTGCTGAAACTGGGCAAATAATTAATGCAAATTTTGAAGTTGTCGGGAGTGCAGAATCTGATCAACAGATGGTCAACGAGTTGCACGTAACCGACAATGAAGTGGCTTCAATTGAAAGCATATTGGTACCTACTGATGCTTCAATAGACAATCACGGTGTTAAAACAGTTTCAGCTGAGGTCCAAGCAGGTGGATTATTAGAAAACAAGTCAATTTCCAACGTAGTAGGGTATGCACTCCAGGACGATCTACTGTTGGAAGTTGGAGAATCATATGAACAAATGAACGCTGCAGTAGAAATTCAAGCAATAGGAACAGAGAAAAATGCCAGTGTGGCGGATGCAGTGACAGATGTCCCTGCTTTAGAAGTTGAAGAATCTGACCAAGGGGTGCCAAGAGAAGTTCAAGCATTGGAAACAGAGAAAAGTGTTGAAGAAGTGCCTGATACAGTTTTACTCAGCCCTTCCTTGGAAGTGGAAGAATTTAAGGAACAAATCCATGCTGAACTCCAGGTGAAGGTACCAGGGAAAAGTGCCAAAGAAGAAGTGGGACCATCTAGGGCAAAAGTCTTTGAAATAGAAGATGTCGTGGTGGAAACATTTCCTTTACCCACTGTTTCAAGAATTGATGGTAGAACATCGAAAGAAAATGATGTTGGAGATGATAAAGATGACTATCAAAACAGTTCTTTGTTGGAAAGGAAATCCACTGGAGCAAACGAACAAGAGAGCAAAAGTCCAGTTGGCGCATCAGTGGTTGGATCCGAACTAAATACCATCAAGGAAGGCATCGTGCATGATAGGAAACTTGGTGTTAATGTGAAACCAAAGTTATCAAATGGACAGGTAAAGTTCTCAAGCTTTGTATTCCCTTGTAGGAGCTCTTTGCTCTCTCCATACTTTTCCACCTTGGTCTTCTATTCTAGTTCATCTTCCCAATGCGAGCTTTCACAATTTATGTATCTCAAGCAAAACAACCATAGAAAGATAATTGAACCTCAAGGCTGCTTTCTTTCTTCCCACAGTGCTCTTTGAGTTAGGTGATTGTCAATTCATTTTCACATAAATCTCGATTTCTTGTTCTCACTGCTCAATTAAATACTACAATTGGGCTCTGTTTTCTCAAAGCTTAGTTCTTAAGGAGATCGAGCATTTACTCGGAATAGGAGGAGGAAAGGTCTAATTACAATCTTTCTAAACATTTTTGTTGAATGAGGTGGGTTATATAGGCTGCTGCAATTTAGAACGAGCCAGAACGAGATCCAAATGCTCTAGTGTATGCAGTGCTTTTCTATTGCAAGTCCCTAGTGTGGGGTATCAGTTAATAACATACGTAGTTTTTTCAGGCATCAACTGTCATGAACCGAGGCAAAAACGCAGCTCCAAATGCAACTTCCGCCAGTGCTGGTGGCCACCAGGAGTCAGATATCCAGGCCAGCGTTTCAGGCAACAAAGCAAATGTTGGGAGAAGCAAAAACTCCCAAAAGAGAGGAGATCCAGCACTAGATAGAATCAACATGTAAGTAAAGAATTTGAGATTCAGAAACTCGGGTGGACTATTGAATGTTGCTGTTAAGGGTACTCACTAACTGATCACCTTCGTCTTCTGGCTGGGTTGTGTGCTTGTGGACAGCAGGTCATGGCAACGGTCATCTAGGGTTCCTCCACAGTCGGAAACCAACCCGCTTTGGGCTGCTTTTCAAGCGTTCGTCACCGCCTTTGTTAAATTCTGGTCAGAATAACAATGGCGTCCTCCTGTGGCTGAGCTTTAGATGCTAGAGTTGGGTTTTGCCCCTTATAGAGTCTCCTACTTTTTTTTGGTAGAAGGGTTTGGTTTTTCTTTGAGGTTGTTAATTAAGGTAGAAGACTAGATAGAATTGTGGTTTCTGGTTCTGCTCCTGATGTGAAAGAATGTGATTGTCTGCTCTGCATGCCTGTCTAGTGATCTGGTCCGCTATCCTGATGACGATGATGATGATGATGAACACTGCCTATTTTTCGTTTCGATCTTAGCCACTGGTTTTGGTAGTTTTATGAGTATTATGGTCCATGAGAAACTTACATGATCCGAAACGGATTTGCGGACAGGAAATGAGAAAAGAAAACAGGCCCAAGCATTACTGTTTGTAAAGCAACATGGTTTAACGTCTGGCCCTTTGGACGAAAGCAAAGTTCTCTTAAAACTATGCATACATAGAACTTTGCTGGTACCATGAGCTTGCCTGGTAGAGAAGCTAATGTGAGCTTATGGGAGTTTGAAGAACACTTATAAACGCCATCGAATGGCCATGGTTATGGTAGCTGGAGATTTATGACATCAACATCAGCCAACATCTTCAACAAGTCGGGCAGCAGGAAAAACACATCAATCTTGAAAGCAAGCATGACCACCAACGTTTGACAAGAGGTTACTTCAAGCCAAATTCAACATACAATGATTGAATGTTCAAAGAAATGTTTTATGATACCATCGAGATTATTCAGTAGCATTATGACTCGGGTTGTTGACATGTCTTACTTCATATTAAAAAGATGCATTTTGAGAAAAATGTCCCTCTTAGCACACCAAATGTTTATGATTTTCATCGTATGCTTGTAAATAAACGCTCGTTGATTTGCTTAACGACTATTATCCGATGGGAAAGAGACCACAACCTTGGCATGCACTGAATGAGGAAAAAATTTCCACGGCCTACTTGATAAGACTTGTACTCGCAAATTGGTATGCATGGGGAATGGAGGAATATTTGTCCAACCTCTTCAGTTGACCTGCGAATTGACATTATTTCAGTGGCAAGCTAAATTGGGTTGTAATGTAAGCATGTGCTCCCAAATTGGGATGAATGTGGGAGGGGAAAACTTCATGTGGCAAAGTATAATGTAACATGACTACATGACCCAGTGTTTTTGCACTGAAACAAGAACTTTATTTAAAAAAAAAGAAAGAAATGGGTGGCAAGCAATAATAATAGACTTTTTTTTTTTTTTTTTTGTTGGCAAGCAATAATAATAGACTAGAATAAATTTACAGTAACTGAAAAAGGGTAAGGCGGGAAAGTAAATAAATCGGTTTAGAAATGCGTGATGAGAACTTGGTACCTGACTGACTTTGGGATTGATTAGATCTGAACTCTGATGTCTTGTTTTGGCCTCCAGGGACCCTTTCCTTTATTATTATTAATAGTATTATTATTATTATCGTCATCATTATGATTTAACTATCATATTAAGCAGCTTCAGGAAAAGGGAGAAAAAAAGCAGCTCGTCAAAATGAAATATATTAATAATAAGATAGCACCCACCGCCACCGGTGGTACCCATAGCTGAGCTTAAAAGCTGAAAACCCCCAGCTCAGCAACAGAGCAGTGTACCCCTCACCGCCATGCTCCGAATTGTATGTGTTAATTGCGTTTACCTTTTAATTGATGTTATTTACACCGTTTAACTCCATTTTCTAACTAAAAATATTGATTAACGAAAATAATTTTCTGTACAAAAGAAATAGTAAAACTCCAACAACCCTTCCCTCCATTTTGATTTTTCTTCCCTCTCACACCTCACTTGATTACCTTCCCATACACGCCTTCGTACCATAATACACAACACCACCGTTTCTCTTCCCTCCCTTCCTTTTCTCACATAAATACCCAATTCTCCATTTCCCCCGCCTGACTCTTCACATTTCTTCCGCCTCGCTCGTTTACTTTTTCTCTCCAACCAAAACTACGCAATGTCCGCCGATCTCGATTCCCGGCCCAGCCTCCCCAAAATTCGGATCGGAATCAATCTCATCGACACTCCCCAGCCTTGCAGCAGCGGCGGCTGTGCGGTAACTGTCGACTATAATTCAGATCGGATCGAGAAAGAGATCACCGTCAATTCCAGCAGCGATGACGACGGCGAGGACTGCCGGACTCCGAAATCGGCGGAATCCAAGATCCCGGCGATTCTGAGCTGCCCGCCGGCGCCGAGGAAACCGAATAGGCGGCCGATCTCCTGCAAGAGGAAGCTCGGGTCGCAATTCGAATTCTTCGACGTCGTCCACCGGGAGGAAGTCGAATCGTTCTTCCGATCCGCCGGTTTCCAGCTGGCCAAGCGGATCCGGTGCCCCGATCTCATCATTCCCTTGTAAATCCAATCACCAAGAAAACGGTGTCGTACCGAGGGAGCTCGCTCGATTCTCCCTTTTCATTCTCTTACACGAATTTCTTCTTCCCCTTCTTTCTTTCCTTTTTCATCTTCAGAATTACACCGTTACTACTACACCTTTTTTTTCCCCATCTTTTGTCCAAATTATTTAATTGTTCTTTGTTGCCTGTATATGTTATATTATTATTTTTATAAGCAAAATTGAACCAATGCAACAGTGTATTTCCGGCGACCGAATTCCGGCCGGGGGTATTTTACTGTTTCACTTATACAGTTGTTATGATTATTACTGCTACTACGTTTAATTCCCTTTTGTCTTTAATTTATTGTGTATATTTTAATTATTAATTTTCCGATTCGTAAAATTTAGGTGCCACGACTTTGTTAGCAATAGCAATTACGTGCAAGCAAGCTCTACTTAGACTAAGAGCCAAGAGATTACAGGGTGTACTGTCTACATTACAAGCTAAGATAGATGCCGTTTCGGATTTAATTAACCTTTTGTTTGTTTTGGTATTACGTGAAATTGTGTCTGATTGGCCCATGACAATAATAATAGTAATAATTATTATTATTATTACAGTTGTATATTACCTACCAATGTTAATTAAGCAGGAGACACTGAAAGGGAGGTGACGAGAGTAATCAATATGGGCAACCATTCCAACTATAGCCTACATATTTGACAATTTAGATATCGATCGACTAATAGATCAGATTGATGTACGATCTCATTATGTCGAAAATAATTTCAATATTTTTGAAACTTTTATTAGCGAAAAATAATAAAAGGAATTGAATTAGAAATTGGGGGAGAGCTAAATTATCTTTCTTTCTTCTAATACTTTAATATTTGTTTTGTCTGTAGAGTTAGTTGGAGTTAATTAGTTGCTTAATGGAGTCAGATCTGGGTTTGATCTTATTCCCTTTGTTTTTGTGTTTTCTAAGTTTGTCAGAATGAGATGTTTGAGTGATCGACAAGACTTTGGGATTGATAAACTTTCATTTCGCTTTTCCACTTCATTTTTGTTTTATGTTATCACGTATTTCATATATTTTCCAGAATATTAGAAAGAGATAGAGAGGAGAGGAATTTGTACATATCAATGAGCCCAAAAATTAGGCAATGTGCATGGTATTGGTACATGTTCTGCTACAATTCAATGTGATGTTTCTTTTGTCTTTTTCCCCTCTAATAAATTTCACATAATTCTACTTCATGTATGTTTATATTCCTTTTATCTTTCTTTTTTTTTTCCTCCTAAAATAAATGTAGTATTTCCACTCAAATATTACTCATAAGGGAGCAAAACTCAATTAGCAATAAATGTAACGAAAACTACTAGTCAATTTCACACTGTTACGGTTGTGAACATTTCAAAGAGTTGTACACTAACTAGGGGTGGGCATTGGGTGGGTCGGGTGGATTTTGACCATAAAATGCACCCACCCGCGCTTAAACGGATTGATAATTTTTAACCCACCACCCACCCACATTTAGTCTCGGGTTGGGTCGGGCGGATGGTGGATGATGCGGGTGGGTTTGTGGGTTCACCCACATCACAATGTATATAATATAAAGGAGTCAACTTGACATGATAATAGGTGAAGAGAATCATCGAGGGAAACAAGAAGTTGAAATAGGACGAAAAATGTCGAATTAGTTCTTAAATTGGATAGAAATTCTATTATGAAAGAGTTTTCTACAGATTGAGACGATTATTAGGTGCAAGGAACTAAGGAAAATAATTCAACAAATGAAAGAGCGGTGATCTAGGCACAAGAATTAGAGGAAAAAGTAAAGGGAAGAAGAGGGGATCTCTATTTGGAAGGTTGGCTTTGAGGTTCAAACTCCAGGAGTAGTCCGAATTTATATCTAACGTCTCCACTCTCCTCTCTCTAGCGCCAACGACTTTGATCTTTTTTTCTGTTGGGTTGAGCGGGTCACCCGCACACTCACCCACAACCCACCCACCACCCGGCGGATGGCTCCCAGCGCAACCCGTCACCCACCCACAGACCCATCCACTTAACAAAATTCGGGTCAAATGCGGGTGGGTCGGCCCAAACCCGCGGATGATCCGCCCGCATGCCCAGCCCTAACACTAACCAAAGATAAGATAGTCTAACGGTAAAACTGTCGCGACATTAAAGGTCTTGGGAGGTGCAGATCCCGGGTTCGAATCCAACCGAGACCCGTTGGTGTTCCCGGAGGTACAAGGTTGCTAGAATGAAGTTGTTGGTGTCATCTTTGGTCCATGAAACACAAACTAAGTTTGCTTATCAGGTCGCCACATCAAGAATAACATGTGCATCGTGTTAGAAGTTCTCCACTCTATGAGGGTGAAGAAGGGTATGAAGGATTGAATGGTTATGAAAGTCGATCTAATTATAGCTTAATTATTACCGAAGTGAGTGGATTTTGTGTGACATACCATCCACGACAATACAAGATCTCGAAAAAATTCATTGAACTCATGACAGAGGCTATCGCATGACTCGCATCATCAACCAACATCATGTAGATAAGGAGGAATGAATTCATAATGCAAATGAGTAGTGGTCTAGCACTATTTGTACAAAGTACATCCGTCAGAGCAAGGTAGATAATGAGCTAAGAACTGAACGAGCTTGTTGCTCCAACCATATCGTGCAAAAAGTTGAAAACTCGAATTTTTTATAAAAAAAAATTATCGCACAAAAGACTCCTATCAACGAAACAATTTTACATGGAGGAACCAATTTTGTATATCCTGATTTATAGTATATAAATAAATTATAATAAACAAAATTAGTTAGGAAGGGCAAGATAGAAACAGCATAGTACCCAAAAGTAAATGGAGGACAATAAATCTTATGGGCCACGCAACATTTATAAAGAGATAAGCCCATGTGCCAATTATTATTATTATTATTATTATTATATATATATATATATATATATATGTATATATATATGGCTCCACAAATATAATATACACATTTCATATTTAGTGTGGATGCAGCAGCATCGACATCGATCATCAATTCATTTCGCCTTCAACTCAACCAAATTATCAGAACTACTATATATACATATTATTATTTGATTAATTCACAACCTATATTTCTATGTGTGGACTGGAAGGACGAGCATGCAAAGCGTTGCTTCGAAGCAAAAAATATTAATGGGGGAATGGGCCATTTAATTTGTGGCTTCAGCACCTTTAGTTTTTGTACATATATATTGTTCAGTAATCTAGTATAAATATTGTTGCTTGTATGGTACACTTTCAAAGATAATGCATACTATATATCCAACTCAAAAATTAGATTTAAGACATCAAATTTTAAATTTTAATCTGTAATATTAATCTAATATAATAACATAAAATAAGATCTCAACTAATCTATACATTACTCTTAAGTTCTAAAACTTAAATTATGAATCCTAGCCCTAAAACACTAACTAATTATAAAACTCTACCTTAGCCATAAATGCATAAACCCTACAATACCCTTCAAATCAAAATAAATCTTGGATGATTTTTTGTGCAATTTCATGCATTTTTTTCCGGTTATCATGTAACAAGTGTCCATTGATATCCGATTAGTTGTCACATGTTTGGTTTGCAATTTTGTGCCCATATTACTTTAATTAACCCTGATAGACACAAAAGGAGGAGAAAGGGAATGAATATTCGTGCATTAACTGGCAAGAAAATACACACTATAAGTAGATCCGGAGGATAACATACATGAGGAAAATATAATATTTGTATTTGACGAACTACCTTTGACGAAGGAGGAAACAGTTCATATCAAACAAACATCTCCTCTTTCCAACCCCTTAAGGGGTTAGCATGCTAATTCTACATATAACCTCCTCAACAACGTAACGTACGCTTCAGCCAATTCAACAAGCGGATCACAATCACACTCATATTTAAGCTGCATCAATATTAATTATAACCATTCAATTGCCTGTTCTTATCAATATTTTGGATGAGGATGATTTTAATTACAACCGATTTCGTTTTCCCATCCAAAAGCAGTTTGGCTGGGCATGCTAGCTAAAGGCATAAAGCACTCTGTACCAAACAACGTGTTTAGTTAAAAACTTTATCTGTTCCTTCCTTGCTAGAAACGTCATGCATACAAGAAACGAGTGGTCAGCTGGCAACAATGTGTTTTATATTCTGCCGAAAGATCGATGATGGGATATGATATGATGATGAGAAATCATGGACCGACCAGGCAGCGTAAAGTGAAACAAAGCTCTCATAAGTAAGTAACGATGACAAATCAATAACCAGACCAGTTAGCAAGGCAGTTACTAAAAGGAAATCTGGGAAAAGTAGTACTTAAAGAAAAGAGAGAGAGCTGGCCTACAAGTAATCGGGTACGGTAGTTAATTGGGGAATAAGATGAGGTTGAGGAAGAGATTAGAAGCATCAAGGAAGAAGAGAAGGGACGACGATGGAACAGAGTGCCGATGGAGAAGAGAATGTTAAGGAGATTAGAGGAGGTAATTATTGTTAGCGAGTCTCACGGTTGTGCGCGTTTCAGTTCTCACGATTGGGTTCTGAATCTCCTCTTTGCATATCACGATTACCGTGTGAGATCCTAACCTTGAGAACTGATAATCACAAACTATGAGACCCTCTTTCTAATAATCACATGAATGTTCATAATGAAGAAAATTAAATTATATGTACATAATAGGACTCACCGAAACTCTATCATCCTAATTAACTGATGAGAATTACCGTCGTGGTAGTTTTACTTCATCAATTTTGCTCCTTTTATGTAGTTATATGTGTTGAATGTGTGTTCAAGCACTCCTATCAAGACTTTCCTCTCTGTCAATGTAAAGTCACATTGGCCGAACCAGACTAATATGATGAATCATGCCAAGTAAGAATGAAATTGTTTAGTCTTTCGAAGGTTAATCTCAAATAGGTTTTTGAAACAAGTCAAACAACACTCGAGGTTGGTTTTTATTTTTATTTTTATTTTTATTTTTATTTTTTAACAATCAATCACTCTTATTCAAAGGAAACAACTAGATCCAATACACATCAAGCTAAAATAGTAATCTATCTTGTGATCATAACCAACCACACAAGATAGTCGAACTTCTCAACACTCGAGGTTGGTCCGTAAACGAAAATTTAAACGTGTGGCCGGGCTTTGAATTCTATTAGCGGACAAAAACGTTGAGAGGATCGCGCATTACTAATTCTGTTAGCCCATTAAGTATCAAAACCGCCCGATCGAAGCTTAACGAGCCGGATAAGTTAATTGCAAACTAGTGTCCATTGGGCTGGGCCATGCGAAACGTGGAAAGAAGTGCTGGACGGGAGGGTCAAGGGTAAGCCCATTCATGGACGGGGTCATATATTGGGCGTGGCAGGCTTAACAAACAAGCCCTAAATTCTCCCTCCCTCCACCCAACCCATCCAATTTTGGGCTTCTACGTTTGTGCGTGGCCTGAGTCTGTTCACTTTTCTTTTTCCATAGGCCTTTCTCGGTTCACTTTCCCTCCCCTTTTCGGCTGTTTTTAATTTTTAATTCTTTATTTTTAAATTTTCTTGACTGTTTTGTTACATAGTTGGAGGGTTTTGTTTTTGAATGAAAAAATAAGGAAATTCTAATTATCAGATTTATATACTTGTTGTTTATTTTTTATTGTCAAAACCTATTTTATTTAATAAAAAATTAACAAAACATTATCCAAAATAAAAGAAAACTTCGTTCAACCAATTGAAAAAGTTCAGCGATGCAACTTGCAACTCTTTTTTTTTATATAATGGTTTGCCGTTGCAATTCTTTAACCTCTCCTTTTCCCCGTCCCGAAACAAACACCAAAGGATGGAGTCCCTTTGACCATTGCTATTAATTATTTTTTTTTTAATAATCCATTACCATTAAATTAACAAACGCCAAATTATTGTTATAAGTTTACACAACACTCAGAAAAGCAACACATACTATGATAGTTCAAACTTTATCACCACTGCGTCTTTAGCTCCATCCCCGGGTTTGATACTCGACTTCAACAGCAGCTGCTAGGCCGTAACATTGTTTAACACTAATGACATAATTCGATCGTACCCCTGCTAAACCCGTACTTATTTACTCGATCGATTCATAAATTACTTCTTTATTTCTAGTATGCGGACTGCATGCAATCTAGCCATAGCTAACTGATCTTGACCACAACCTTGATGCAATCCGGTTCCTTCATCATCTCGAACGCTTTGTTTATGTCGCACAGTGGCACTTCGTGAGTCAACAGTGCATCAATCTCGAATTCCTGCGCGCATATATAATAAGAACGTTGAATACAACATGGAGTTGTATATTAATAAATATAAAAAAAGGACAAAATAAATAATTACTATAAGAAGAGGAAAAATATAATTAAGAAACCTTATTTTGGCATTTGTGCAGGAGATGGGGGAGGTCGGACTTGATCTTAACTCCGCCGAAAATGGAGCCCGTTATGCTTCCGCCGAACAGAAGGTCAACGAAGTCAAGCTGAATACTGTCGTACTTCCCTGCTCCTAGTACCACTGCCTTCCCTTTCCCCTATATACAAATCCATTCCGTTTGGCACCAGCAGTTAGTTCATCCCAATAATTTACTCAAATAGTTTCTAAATATATAATAATTATGGGTCCTACATTATTATTAATAAATTATATGAATAAAGTCATCATCCATTATATTAGGTAAAGTTAATCTGCTAACTTGATATCCAAAATACAAGAAATAATATCCAGGTATTAAAGTATCTAGAGAGCACATACTAGTATTCAAAGTTTGCTAACTTATATCCACCATGAATCAGCTATTATCTCAATTCACAAACTAATATCTAGACAACATTGAATAGTATCCAAACAGCACATAATTAGTATTCCAATAACACATAAGAGTATCCAGATAACCCATAAGAGTATCCATATTGAATACTAGTTGGTTGATTGTGGATGTTAGTTGGTATCTGCTATCTGGATATTAGTTTGTGATGTTTTGAATACTAGTCTATGTTATATAAATACTTAGCAGACTTGGATATTAGTTCATACATTTTTTATATTAATTAATTAGTATATACTAACGAATCTTCAAATTAACAGAATAACTAGGCTGCATTATATTCCACCATCTATGCATCATCGACCCATATCCATGTTAAGGGCTGACACCTTGTCTGCTTCATATCATGCACGTGAACGCCATTTCCACCCTTTTCCTTTTTTTCACGATAAGAAAATGGACGTACGAATTAAAGTAGATAATGACTTTACAGCAGCAACTTTTCTGCAGCAGCATGATTGTACGGGTACTGACCTGTACCACAGCTTTCATGGCTTGATTCATGAAAGGCGCGTAGCCGGAGCACTCGAAGCAAGCATCCACTCCTTTCCCGTCGGTGAGCTCCTTCACCACCTCCGACACCGGCTTCTCCAGACCTTCCGAGTTGATGAAATGAGTCACTCCCAACTCGCTCGCTATCTTCCTCCTCCTCTCGTTCTTGTCCACCCCGATTATCTTCGCCGCTCCATGCATCCGCGCTCCTTGCACCGCCTGCTCATTCCGTTATTATTTATAACGGATTAAGAAATCGACAATATGTACGTAAGCAAACGAAAGAAGACTAATAATACGATGTGTGTTAGCTAACAGGATAGAGACAAAGTTAAAGTGGGATGCAATGATCGAAGAGCGAGGGAGCGAGCGAGCTTACCGAGAGGCCGACGGGGCCGAGGCCGAAAACGGCGACGGACGAGCCAACGGTCACCGGCGCGGCCTTCCACGTGGCGCCGTAGCCGCTGGTGAAGGCGCAGGAGATGATGGAGGCCTGCGGCGGAGGGATGGAGCCTGCGTCGATTTTCACGGCGTAGTTGGCGTCGACCACCATGTACTCGCACCACGTGGCGCAGGAGAGGAACTGGTACGCCGGAGTCCTCTTGTTCCCTTCCCGGACGGTGAACCGGGAGGTCCCGTCCGGCATCAGACCCGTGGCTCCGATCGGGTACTTCTGGCAGAAGTTGGTCCGACCCGACTCGCAGCTCCCGCATTCCCCGCACTCCCCCAGCGTCGTAGGGATCACCGTGTCTCCGACTTGCAGATCTTTCACTTCTTCTCCCAAGCTCTCTACCACACTGTTTTTTTTTAACTCTCTCGACAAAACAGTAAAAAAAATTAGTACATAATGAAGCTGGAGCTTAATTACATAATCCATGAACGTACGTCGTGAAAAATTATTAGTTTATTGTCCTTGACGACAATTGGCATCACTTGGACATATATGTGGAATGGATGGAGACCACAAGAGATCGATAAGACATGTCTCTATCTGTTTCACTGTTTGCCTTGGTCCATTTTAGGGTTTTGTTTTTTTTAATGAATGGCACCATTTTGAACTGGTGTTAGATAAGTGTGGTCAAGACTCAACAAGGTTGCTATCTGCCAGCACCCACCAGTACTCTTCAATTTGCTGTCGTTTTGCTTGTTGTTTGAGGGAACAGTTCCATTGTCACCTCTAGAAACACCTAATGGACCCCCTAAGTTTTTTCTTCCCTCTAAAGGTTTGTATGGGCTATCATTGATGGAGTTAAATTTGGATTTTCAATTTTCTTATAATGAGCTGAGTTTGCATATTTGAAAATTTTAAATTCTAAGCATTGTGTCTCAAACACTACAACGATGTGAATATACAACGGGTAACTAAATACTACTAATGCGTGAATAATGATTATCATTTGCTTGAATAACTACTACCTACGGTTCCATGAATAAGCATCAAATTGCATGAATAAGCATCAATTTACATGAATGGACGTCAAATTGCATGGATTAATTAAGGGCTAGTAGCACGTCTACAAGACAACAAACCTTTCTCTGCAGTAGACGCATGCGCGAGTAGGACTGTCTTCAAAATTATATTAGGGTACGCCCAACCATATGTACAATTTGTTTTGATTCACTTAATTTGCGAATGCATCTTTCTCTATAGTAAGGCAAAAGAGACTCATAATTTGGGCATTACCAAATTTCAATTTATTATGGGTCACATCAAGTTTGGATAATATCACTTTTGGGCATACTCATATACCCAACTTTTTAGTGTGGGTCTAAATAGACCCATTACATTGAGGACCCAAAACAAAATGAATACCCAACTCTCATGCTATTGATGCCTTTTTTCTTTGTTAATTTTAAAACAAACATAAATGTGTGAACACCAATATTTGAAAGTGTGAATTAGTTGAAGAAGAATGGTGAGATGCTCGATATTGCTTTCTCGTGTCTATAATTATATAGACCCATCTGGATCCGACCCAAACTGGACTCAATCCAAACCCAACTCAAACCCAAAATGATTAATTGTATATTAGAATCCATTTAAGTCCAACCCAATACTACAATCAAATCCAATTACCCACTGGGTCGACCCATTGTCATCCCTATCTCTACCCTATAAATATATAGCCTTAATTAATTAGTAGATATGCTGGGAAAATTATAAATAACATGATGCATGCAGATAGCAGAGGTGAATTGAGTTTGATTGGCTTACCCAACACCTTCATGGCCCAGCACTCTAGGGTAAAGTCCCTGCGTACGTACGGATCACCACAACACCAGAGGTAGAAAAAAATCTAGCCAATTAGGAATCAGCAACAAGAATTAAGACAGTCAGACAGACAGAGAAGTTGGAAACCGATCGACGTACAGTTGGGAAGCCGTTGATGCACAAGATGTCGGTGCGGCAAATGCTGGCGCAGAGCATCTTCACTCGGATTTCTGACGGTCTCGGCGGCTCCACCTCCACCTCTTCTATCTTCACCGGCCCTCCCACGCCCCAACACACCGCCGCTGTAAGTAACACATGAGATCATCAAATTACCGAAACAATTGACTTCAGATGAGTTGCAGCCGCTATACATTTGATTCGATCGGGTTTTTTGTTTACCTTTGCAAGTGATGACTTGAGGTGCCTTCGCCATGGTTGCTAGATGCGCATACAGCTCTGTAATTTGGGCCTTCTGTGTAAAGAAATGTCGATTTTGATCCAAGTCCCGATGTATCTATATAAAGGAAAGTCGTCCGGGCGAGCGAGAGACAGTGAGGAAGAGATTCGTTTTCCTTCTTTTGCACGTAAGTGGTCACTGCACACACACAAAAAAAAGTTAAGCACTGCGTTTATCTAATGACTATAATAACCCCGCAAGTTTTGGAGTTTTACTGGAAGCGAGAGGGATAGAATTGGAAAATGACGATATAGTAATAAAGTCGAGTGGGTTGCACGTCGCCTTCAAATCAGATGGGTTGTTTTGTTTGGTAGTTACATTGGAAGATTTGCGGTTTAGGTTTAGCTTCCTACTTACGAGAGAATTGAACGTAAAACATGAGAATTTTTGAAAAAAAAAAGACGGAGGCTGGTGCGTGGTGAGAGTTGTTTTTATTCACAAGTTAATTATATTCTTAATTACCCAACACATTAATTATAAACCTCCAACTTCTAAACTAATCCCTAATATAAAAGATATCTCCTTTCTGCTACATTTTGTTCTAACTACTACTTCTAAATTCTGGGGTTTATCTGATCTCCAACAATTAGGTCACCCCGTTATTATTGCATGCCTTTACTCCCTCAACATGTGTCAAATCGACTAAGTGCTAGCAATTAATTAATGCATTTGGTGAACATTTTTGGGTGGCTACTACCGTGTGATATATTATTGAATTTCTCTTATTAATTCGAGTTATTGAAAGTACTTATCATTATCTATAATTCATTCACGAACTGAAATCAAAAGTATTTCCAATTACTACTACCTACACGTTTTTCTCTGACGGAGGGCAAGCATGATGATAGATAGCGCGCATATGGTACCTGTTGTGGCGGACCCAAACATTTCATCAATGGTAAACCAAAATATTTTAAGAATTGTGATATAGTTTCGAGTTCATATATTAGCATCATTAAAATAAAATTTGAGCAAACTTTTTGTCAAAAAATTTGAATTGACAACTCAGTCATGCATTTGGGTCCGCCACGTACGGATTGCCTCGCTTAAAATGGATGGTAAAGTTTTTTGTAATGTAGTACAGAGCACGTTTGTGATCTCAAGTTCTCATTTCTCAACCACCAATAATGTGGTTGGGCACGTTTTTTAAATAGTGGGTAGAAGAAATCTATTCTTGACGAAAGCTATCTGTCTCAAATCTCAGCCGTCTACTCAAATGCATGCAGGCTTTTTGTGGTTCATACTAATTAAGCCATGAATTCTTGGTCGTAGCTAGCGTGCTTGTACAATTTTTGAGACTACTGTTCTGTTGGATCATTTTATCATATATAAATTTCTATTCTTTCGGTTGGGATTTACATGGAAAAGATAGTAAAATCATACCCCCCAGTGTTATTATGGTTCGAAAACGGATAAAAATAATGAAAATTAACCTTGTGTATCGTAAAGTATTAAGTAATTATGAACGCGTTCACTAAAAATTAAAACTAATCTTATCATCACAAATGACAAAACTCGAGCTTAATTTGAGGCTTCCATCAAGATATCCCAACGCGGACAATTATTAGTTTGTCCTTGACGACAATTGTCATCACTTGGACTTATATATGGATGGATATATATTCATATGGAAGACAAGAGGTCGATCAGAACTGCCTGTCTGGCTTTGGACCTGTAAGGACTTAGGTTTTTTTTTTTTTTTTTTGGGAGTGTGTGGCTATTTGAAGTGCCGTTAGACAAGTGTGGCAATACTCAATTCAGTTGCATTTGGTCAGTTGTAGTTTGATTAATTTGACTATTTGGTTGGATTGCATAAAAATTCTTCATAAATTTGGTGTAAGTAGTTTGATTTTGTCGTACTCTCTACGAATTATAGTAACTAACCAACATACTAAATTTTTATTTATGATGGAGGAGAACATGATCAATTATAATCTGCCTCCTCACATGTGTAATAGTCTATAAAAAAAATTTGTTTAGCCAACTGAGAACAATGTACGTGTTCGACTCGATGCACTGAACCGAATTAACTCAATTAATCATGTGATTGTTCTTTGATAACAATATCTCAATGCAATATGGAATGTATCTAGCTACCACTCTTTTACGGCGCAAGATATTGTTTGCTTTTGGGCTTCGACCCTTACGGTTTTCGATTTGGAGTGCAATTCAAGGTGACTTCCCATAAGGTCACTCATCCTTGTTGTACTCCACACTGAACACGTTTAACTTCGATGAAAACTCCTTCATTTCACCGCAAAACGCGTCTTGTCAGTTAAGGTCGGTTTAGTACTTATGAACCATAAATCTCTCACGTACTTTGTCGACGTGGGATTCGCCTAAAGTGTTACTATTACTTCATTGCCTTTCTTTAGAAAAACAAATTTTTGTTATAATTTTTTTATTCTAACAAACGCAACCCCACCGTTCAGCGCGTTACAAGCGTCGTTTTTTGAAAAAGACAAGTCGTGATAATTAAGTTGTGGCTTCTTCAATATTGTAAGAACTCAGTCATGGTGTGGCACTTGTGCACCACAATATAAAAAATTCATACATCGATCAACAGATAATAGCTAGAAGAAAACGACAAAGTTGGGGGAGGCTGTATCTATTCTGCCATAAATGCAGCTGGGTCCCTCGCTATAAGATTGATCATCAGATTCAGGGACCATCACCACCACCATACTCTTCTCCTTCCTTCCTTCATCATTATCATCTTGAGCGATCGATCCGATCGAGTCACAAACAATTAAGGCAGATCATCATAGTTCATAGAGATCCGACAGAGACGACAGATATATATAGTAATAATTAATGGCTGCTGGGTTCACAGAGAGGCAAGAAGCTTTGGTAAAGGAGTCATGGCAAGTACTGCAAAACGACATCCCACGCTACAGCCTTCTCTTCTTCACCACGTACCATCCATATATCAATCTCTAGTTTTTTTTTTTTTTTTTTTTTTGAATTGGTAACTTAATTAAAGGGCGGGTTTGGGTGCAGGATTCTGGAGATAGCTCCGATCCAGCGGCTAAACAGATGTTTTCGTTCTTGAGAGACTCTGATGAGATCCCACAAAACAATCCCAAGCTCAAAGCCCATGCCGTCAAGGTCTTTAAGATGGTAACTTAATTAATTAATTAATTAATTAGCTTCCTCATAATTAGTCACTTGATGCAATTAAGCAAAAGTGCTGATGATCTGATGCAATTAATTGTGACTTGATATTTGGGCATGCAGACTTGCGAGTCGGCGGTTCAACTGCGGGAGAAAGGAGAGGTGGTGGTGAAGGAGACGAGTCTTAAATATTTGGGGTCCGTCCACCTCAAGAATGGAGTCGTAGACCCGCACTTCCAGGTAGTCAAAGAAGCGCTGGTGACAACTCTGAAAGCGGCGATCGGAGATGAGAAATGGAGCCACGAGCTGGAGGGTGCATGGGCCCACGCTTATGATCAACTCGCTGCTGCCATTCAACTTGAGATCAAACAAGAAGCTGCCGCCGCCGTCGCTGCTTGATATAATTCAGAAAAAGAAAATCCAAACTTTCAAAACAATGTGTTCAGTATGGCATAATTTTTATATGATTTTGTATATATTATGATATAATTTTATATCTGTTCCATAATTTTATCCGGTCTAAATTGACAAGAACAGAGTAACAAATGCGAGGGGGAAATGGGGCAAAAGATCCAAGATTTGGGCTGACGTTGTGGAGGCCGGCCTAATACCATCCAAGCTCCATTTGAGGCCAACGAAAACTCGGCCCATCTAAATACCCATAGCCCTGCCCAAGAAGGGAGGTGAAATGGGCCGGGAAGCATGGAGGCGATTCGGCAACTCTTGATCCAGCCCACGTCCAAGCTTCTTGAACTTCCTGTTTGTTTCTCGACCTTGCAGTACAGCAGTAGAATTTGATACGATATTCTTTTAGTATACTCACGAGTCATAAAGAGAATTACGCAGAAGTTCTTGTTTCTCGACATTGCAGTTGAATTGGGGATCTTTTATAATGCTCACGAGTCTCCATTCATAAAGAGATCTTGTTTATGTAGCTTAATGTGACATACATTAATTTGATCTACCGCGCGATACTAGATTAGATTACAAAAATATGTAATAAAAAAACTAATCTACGAAGAAGGTAAATCATAACTACCATGTATCGAGCTTCAATTTTAGATTTTGGGTAAGCTTTTGCTTTTAATATCCAGTATTTTGTGTCTGATTCATTCGGATCGAAACAGAAATGTTGGAATGAGTTTTTACTCTAAAACACAAACATCGACAAAAACTTATTTGATTCAAGATGAACTGTGGATTTGGGCAACAACAAATGTTTGGCTCTCTTTGCCATTCCTGTCCGAAATGAGCTTGCATGTATGTTCCCCTTTGTTAAATTTTGGAATAATAGAAGGAGATCGATTTGGTGAGTATTTCTGTACGGTTGCTTGTTGGCTGTTAGCATCCAAATGTAGCAGTTGGGAAGAGGAAAAAAGAGAAAAAGAAAGAAGGTCAGCTCTGGTCACATCTTCAACTGCAATGCGCCAACTGGTACTTGCTTTATCTTCCAGCAACATAATACTACTTCCTTCCAACAAAACCAAACAAAATACTACTACCCTCCAATCATTTCCTTATCGCCAATATAGGTTTCGATAGAGTGGTTGCTTACACAGATCACAATTTGAATGCATAAACTCCTAGTTTCAAGACTCGTAATGTACAGTCTTTTTGTTCTTCTTCCACCCGTGGAGGCATCCATAAGAAGAAGAAAAATAAGTTGTTCTTCATCAATAAGAAGTTCGCTTAGCTCCTCGAGCAATTGTGTTTTTCTATATCTTGTAATGCAAAACCCAAGATGACCAATCTAATCCGCGTAAGTGTTTCGCAAGCAAGGAGAGAGTTCTTTGAGTTGTTCGACGATGAAACTATTTAAACGTGTCTTGTTTGCAGTACCGTGGAGTTTAGGTATGGATTCAATACGTTCCGAAAAGGCAAGGACTTAAGGGAAATGAAGAAAAAGAAAAGGTAGTAAAATGTGAAAAAAGTGCTACCAAATAAAACCGCTACTAGGAATAAATTAGAGCAAAAACAAATGCAAGTTTCGGGTGGGAAAGGACAAAGTAAGTAACAGCTAACGCTCGCTGAGCTAGCTATCCCTCTCGTGACTCTGTCCTCTCTGTTACTTCATACTCAATCTTGTTTTCTTCTCCTTCTCCTCCCGTCTTCGTCTTCTTCGATCATTTCACTCTCAATACCCGCTCTTCTCTCCCAATTCGCTTTGTTGCAGCTTCTCCATCTCTGTCCGTCTTCTTACGGAAGATGACCGGCGGAAGAGTTATGCGTGACTCCGTCGTATTGGCAGCAGCCATTGTTCTCCTGTATTCGTGCCGGTGGTGAAGAGCACGAGCACCGACGGAGACGATATTCTGATCTGCCGGCGAACGATCTAATTCCTGAAGAAAAGGAAGGGGGAAATGTTCAGATTGCAGAAGAAACGATTTGACTTCAGGTTCTCCAACCTCCAAGCTCTTCAGGTCCGTCAGTCAATTTTGGTTCATTCCTTCTCTCTGCTTCTTCTTCTCCTTCTCATTTCTTGCCGAATTTGGTGTGATGGTGTTCGTCTTCTTCATTACGCTGCTCCATTGACGAGAATTGACTTCGATCGCCTGTTATCTTTTCCTTTTTTTTAGCGGTTTCAAGGTTTTCTCTCTGCTTTCGTTTCCTTTTGTTCTCGAGGTTCTTTCCGTGGATCGATCAGAATCTCTCGTATGAAATTCAGCTTCGTCTTTGATAATGTGAAGTAAATTAAAGTCTCATGTAGCGACATTGTTGAGAAATTTTAATTTTAGTGAGAATTTTGAAAAGACTTTGGACATGGTCTTCACTCTTCAATGCTTAGGTGAAGTTAGATAAGAAATGTTGAGAATGGGTAAAATTAGTTTGGAGAATGGTCAAGGATTCATTATGTAAAACTCTCTTGTGTAGCTCCTTCATTGACTGGAGTCACTGCCCTAATCTGGGTTTTTTAATTATTGGCTTCTACTTGCAGGTACCCAAGGGATGGGACAAGCTCTTACTGTCTATGGTTTCAGTAGAAACAGGCAAGACTGTTGCGAAGTCGAGCCGAGCTATGGTGAGGAATGGAGGTTGTAGATGGACAGAGACGTTCTCGGAGTCGGTCACGATTTCCCAGTCTGATGCTTCTAAAGACAATCAGGAATGCATCTTTAAGTTCGTCGTTGCCATGGTATGTGTGACACAGTTTGTTGGGAACTAAATTATCCTTGCTGACAAGAAAAATTATTGAGCAACTTCAACATAATATCTATATTTCCAGGGAGCTAGAAATGGCATTCTTGGAGAGGCTACAGTTAATCTGGCTAATTACAAGAGTTCCAAGACTGCTGTTTCTGTATCATTTCCACTGAGAAAGTGCACTCACGGAACAATCTTACAGGTGAGTTAGCTTGCACTTTATTGCTCCTTAGCCGAGACCCCGTGTAGTATGCTCATCAAGGAATCCTTAACCTCTCTTTCGGAATTATTGCCTCTTTCGATTTTGCTGTCTACTGATGGTCCATTAAATCTTGTCTTCTCTGCATAATGCCTTTGCAATGAACATTTTATATGAAAACTTAAATGGATTTGAATGTGTTCTTGCTCAGTTACTTGTAATCTTCATTTCAGCTATCTGCAAAGATGCAAATTCAGAGAAACATGATCCACCAGTGTTAGTGGCAATCTTGTCCTCTAAAAGTGTGGAATGTTATATCAAGTACCCATATCCCATTTGAAACCACTGCTCAAATTTCATTTCCATAGACTCAGCATTAGCCATCATACAGTGTTCTGATAGTTCAATTCTGGTTTTATTATCTGCTTGGCAAGTGCATAGTTAGCTTTTCAGGCAAGAAATCATGGCTATTATCCTAAACCTGTGCTAAATACGTGCTGGCTTTTCAGGTCAAACTTCAGTGCTCAGCAACACAAGAAAGACTCAGGTTTTTGTCTCAATAACTCTCACCAGTCATAGAGTGTTTCTTTGTAACTTCATGTTTTCTGATAGTCGAGTAATCTCTTAAAGGGAGGAGCAGCTGGAAGATACAGGTTCAGATGCAGACCATATTAACCTCGACTACACTGATGTCGAAAACAAATCAGATGCTGCTTCTGTTAATCATCCCGATAGTGCATCTGACGCGGGAGAGTCACCAAATAGGGTATTTAACTCGGCCTCACCCACACACCTTCCCTCACTGTTGCATACAGTTCAGTGATTCCTTGTGGAGCTTGGGTGATTAGTCATTTGACATCCTTTTTTGAAATTTAACTAGTCCATTTGTCTTGATGTGTGATAATATCTATCATACTTGAGCATGTGCTATGACGATTGTGGGAACATCTACTTTTGTACATTTTACATTGAACTTCTTGTCCCAAAGATGTGAAGTGGTTATGTTCCCTAGTGTTTCTGTTTCCAATGTCTTTGGGCTTACTCATAGAAAGGAAACTGGTTTCTTAAGCGACAAGGCAATACATCCATAATCATTTTGGCAAATTTTGGGCCGCCACATGGAAAGATTATCTGGGAACTTTTAGTCTTCAATTGTTTTCCCTTTCCCGCTACCTTTGCCACACAACATTCTCTCAGACTGCTATTTTTTTAATTGGCTTGCTTCTTGTGACAGGATTTGAAATTCTCAGCCTCAGGTTCACATTATAACTTTGACTCACCTAGATCGATGGACAGTAGCTTGAGCAGAGAAAATTCCTCGAATGAAAATTTCTTGAACAGGAGTTCAAGCAATCCGATTGTAAGAGAAGATTTGACCAGCTCTTTGCATGATCCATCTGGACTAAATCACTTCTCCTTCAGCTCAAAGTTCTCAACCGCCCCAAGACAACTACAGAGTAAGAGAGATGACTACAGTCGCATTCCCCGTAGTGTGCCATCATCGCCATCGTGGAATGGTAGTAGTTCATCCAAAGAACTTCTGGAAACTGGAGAAGATTCAACTGAGGTGCTTCGTGCACAAGCTAAGATGTGGGAACAAAATGCTAGAAAGTTGATGGCCGATGTAGAGAAGTTGCAGTCGGATATACTGGATCACTCAACACAGCAGGCTGGCCTTGAAATGGACCTCTCGGAATCCAGAAAGGAATGTGATGGACTGAAGAAGGAACTTGATCAACTGAAGATCTTGTTGGAGGAATCACCATTGAACCAATTGGCTAGTGACAAGGTGAATTTTCAATCATCCGAATTGGAAGATGAAATCAAGTTTCACAAAGAATCAAATGCTGACTTGGCATTACAACTGAAGAAAACTCAGGAATCAAACATTGAGCTGGTTTCTCTCCTTCAGGAACTTGAAGATATTGTTGAGAAACAGAAAATGGAAATTGCTAGCTTTTCGCAGCTCCAACCTGTACACACAGATTGCAGATCATTTCTGTACGAGGAGGAAGATGAAAGCAAGCACGTGTTCGGGAAGGATTCGAGAAATGTCATCTGTAATAATTGGGATATGGAAGGTCTTTCTGTTGATGAACCAGGAGATGCACCACCTTTCTTTTCCGAACCAGAGGCCAACAACCCAATGCTAGAGCTGGAAGGCTCAGTGTCGCATGAATCACGAAAGCACTTGGAAAATACCATCCGTTTGTTGGAAAGATCTCTGGAAGAGAAAGTTGAAGAGCTTCAATTTGAACGAACTTTCCATATTCAATCCATGGAAAACGAAGAATCAGAGTGGAAAGCTACACTAGCCCTGAAGGAGGAAGAAATCATCAAGTTAGAAGCAAAGTTGTCTGAAGCTCTGGATCCTCCTGATTTTGGACATGGTGGTGATTGCAATCATGTTAATGAGATCAAAGTTCTCAAACTGAAGATGGAAGAACTTGAGAAAGACTGCAATGAGCTCACTAATGAAAATCTGGAACTACTTCTGAAACTCAAAGAATCCTCACAGAGTGATCCTCCAACATTTGGTGACTCTCCACACTCAGTCTCTAATGATTCTTTTGAGAAGAGTTCTTATTATGCCGCTGAATCTGAAGTTAGCCAACTAAAATCACAAATATACACCCTAGAAGAGGAGCTGAACAAGAAGGACATCCTCATCACACAAATTTCCAGAAATAATCTGATGAAGGATCATGAGGTTGAAGCTCTGAATCTTGAGAAGAGGAAGATGGATTCTCGGATTTCTAACCTTCTGACAGAGAAACAGCAATTGGAGGAAAAGGTGGATTCAATGTTCATCGAGGACTCAGCTACGTCCAGATGCTTTGATGATTCCGGAGATGAAATGATGATGTTCGGCAGCAGCATGAGCTCCCAAGCTTCAGCGAGGCAGTCACCAGGGATGGAAAGGTGTAGAAGTGACCTGGAAGGTCACTTGAACGAAATGGAGAAAGAGAACGTGCAGCTGTATGAAAGGATATGTGGATTGGAAGCACAGTTAAGATACTTGACAGATGAAAGTCAGTTGAACCGTTTAGAAGTAGAAATTTCTCAGTCTGAAGCTGCCTCTCTCAGGGAAGAGATTGGCAGACTGAAAGGCGAACTGGAAGTGCAAAAAGCCGGTTTGAGGCAGAAGACTCAGGGCGTGCATAAGCAGTGGTTGGAAATGCAAGAAGAGTGTGAGTTCCTCAAGATGGAAAACCTGAAACTACAAAGCTCTTCTGAAAGTCTTATGGAAGAGTGCAGTGTGCTTCAGAAGTCAAATGCGGAGCTAAAGAAGCAAAAGATGTTGCTACATGAACAGTGTTCTGTTTTGGAGGCCGAACTTAAGGATTCAGAAAAGGTTGTTGTGAGTATGTTCAAGGAAGTTGAAGCACTTGAAGGAAAGTATGAATGTATGCTGCAAGAAATTTCCTCAAAAGAGAGAGCCTTTATCCTGGAACTTGATACACTTGTCCACGACAATGAAACACAGAAAGAGAAACTAGCTTCGGAAGTGAGCCAGCTGAATCATCTTTACCAAGAGAGAACAGTTCTAGCAGAGAATCTGCAATCAGAGGTAGCTCTTCTTACTGCAAAGATATCTGAAACTCATGATGAACAAGAGATTAGAGGTTCTGAATCTATACTTGAGGTGTCTCGTTTGCGGGCAGATAAAGCTCTGCTGGAGGCCAGTCTACAAGACGTCCGAGAGAAATTAAGATTGTCAGAGATTAACTTCAGTACTCTTAAGAAGGAAACTGAACTAAACCTACAAGGACTTAGAGAGGAACTGGAAGCTTCGGAGCAAAATCAGGAAGTTCTGGCTGCTGACAACGAGAAGTTACTAGAATTGGTGGAAGAAGCAAACTCCAGCAAAGAGAAGCAGAGAGGCAGCATAAGGTGGCTTGAGTTGAAGCTTAAAGCTGCTGAATATGACAAGCTTCAAGTAGCAGAGGAAATGTCCAGCCTGGAATCCCAAGTGCACAAAACAGCACTACTTCAAGAAGAAGTTCTGGCTCTTAAGAAGTCGCTAAATGAAGTGAAATTCGAGAACCAAAGGCTACAAGCATCACTGGAGATCTTATCTGAAGATTTTGAAGGGGTGAAGACCGAGAACGTTACAGCAGTCGAGAAGATCTCTGACATGGAGAAGGCATTGGCTGAATTAGAGGATTGCAAGCGTAGCAAAGCTTCGCTTGAGGAAAAAGTTTTCCGCCTTGAACTGGATATAACTGCTAAAGAAGCACAAGGCGGCCAGGATGCTGAACTGAAGAACGAGCTAGCACGGGTTAAGATAACGAACAGTGGACTTCATAGGAAGATGAAACACCTTGAGGAGGAGAAGCAAGAGTACCTGAAGAGGGCTCAAGCACTCGAGAAGGACTTAAGACGGATGAAAGAAGCAAAACTTGACGATCCTCACCATTCCAGTGATGTGTGCAATAATGGACATGAAGACACAGAGGTTAGAACATGGGATTCTTCGAGCCCCATTTTTATTATTAAAAACTAGGAGCAATCCTGACTAGCATCTAAGCGTCCCCTTGCTTGTTTCTATGTCTCAGGTTCCAACAAAACCAACTTCTAATAAAGGGAACGTGGCTATAGTGACGGATCCGTGGTCAAAGATCCAGCAACTTGAGAACGAACTAGCTGAAGCATCGGAGGCAAATGACATGTACAAATCCCAGCTTAAGAGGTGCGTCCAAGTCTACCGATTGAATATTTCGCGATTTATCGTCCTAATTAATCCGAATCCTTTTGTTTCCAGGAAACCATATTTACCCAGTACTGCACTGACTCGGCAACTTTTTTCTGCCTCTTGCTTGAGTTGCAGGTTATTGTCTGGACAAAGAAAGGATCATCCAAAATCCATGAGGCAGCGATTAGAGGAGGAGGAGGAAGAAGGGATAGGAGCAGTAGGAAGTGGCGGCGTCGATGACGTGGAAGCGGAATTGAAAGATCTACAAGAACGCTTCTCCCATATGAGCCTGAAATATGCAGAGGTTGAAGCTGAACGAGCACAGCTCGTGCTGAAGCTCAGGGCTGAAAGTAGTGGGAAAAGGTGGTCATCCTAAACAGTGTTTGGTGTTTTGAAGAGGGTAATATGGTAATCCTATTCTATGGTAAAATGAATATGGCAATCCTATTCCTAATATCTACAAATTACTACTAAAATTCTTTATTATTGTCATTTTAGTATATAGTAATTTTGAAGATATCTATGTAACACTATTCTCTTGTAGTTCTGGAAAATTCACAACACAGAACATAAAGGGTAGATTCTGCCAACAGCAAACACAATATAAGCCATGTATTAATGTAATTTTAGAACAGCTATATTGGAAATTGTCCACTTTCTATCCAAAAAAGAAAAAACAAAACTATCCATTTCTTTTCATTTTTCCTTTCTACATAATATAATGATCGAATTGGTTTAGCTTGAACATGTAACAAAAATCATTATATTATGTATATAACTTCTTCCTTCCATGATATTTGTTCGTTCGACCTCTGACATCTTAACGTGTTTTCAGCTTAATTACTTCAAAATTAAATTGAATTTGAAGAATAATTTGGTGTACAATCACACCAACGATCATACCTGCTCCAGATCTCTCGTTTGATGTTTCGTGATGCACATTAGAAACCTAATAGTATATTTCTGCAGACGTCTAGTCGTTTTCATGAAGGCACAACAAACACACCCAATATCTCCAACTTCAGAGTCAAATCATTGAATCAAAATTCAATGCTCTCCAGTGATAAACCCAGACAGAGACTGATGAAAAGACAGGACAAGACTATAAATCATCATAACAAGAACAGTTCTTTTATTTACGCACGAATGAAGAAATGAGGTCCAATTAGTGTTCAGCATATTAAACTCCCAGAATTATACAACGGAATAGGAAGAGCCATCCCCACATATAAACAGCAGCTGAATGATCAACTGCATGGCCAAAAAGGAGGAAACAACTCTTTCCCAACAAAAAGAGACACAGGGAGGGAGCCACAGTGTGGATGAGAAGCCTTTCCTATTCTTCAAAGGAAGTCTGACTGACACCAGTGGCTCCATAAACATCTATACATCTCACCTATGCCAAGAATTCTAACTTCATCGGTTTGCTTACCTTCAATGTTTCCTTTTATACATAATAATTATAGTATGGAGTATGCTCTGATGACTTCAACGATCGGTGCTCGACACAGTGGGCACTTACCACCGCCCCGAACCAGTTCGTTGGCACACTTCGAGCACGTGCACATGTGCCCACATCTGCAAAATATGGCCATCAAGTTAGAAGGGTTTAGAAATCTATGGACTCCTTATTCAAGAGATGATCAAGAGTTGTATCCTGTTCAGATCTCAAAGTAGAAATTACCTGTACAACAAAGAATCTATGTGGCTATCACAACACACGCAGCATGTCCCCTTCTTCACATGACCCCATTTAGACCCGTCCTCGGATGTCTCTGCAGCCATTCCTGTAGACACAGGTACAGTATTGCACCGAAACAAATCTAAGAGCCAAAGAAAAGCGAACCCTACACCAAGAAAATTACCAGCGAACTTTTATCGATAGTAAAATGGTAGTTCTTTTACAGAAAATATTAAAGCAAAACCTTTTTCCCCAGATGATCGATTCAGAGCGGCAGAAACTTCCTGTCTAACAGAGCGCTGCAACTCTAGCTGCATATCCATGCAAGCTTCCACCATTCTCTGCATGTTACTCATTCCTTGCTGAAGCCTCGCCATATCTGCTCTCAAATCATTCATCATTTCCCATTCCTGTTGTAAAATCAACACTGTGCAATCAGACACGGAACCATGCTTCACTGACAGAATCAACCTAAACTAGTCAATCCAATAGTGCACAGCTAGATTACTCACAAGCTCAGATCGATGCATGCTATGACGGGACCAGCCAGTGTGATGTAAATCCTGGTGCCAAAGAGGCTGGGGTGGAGGCACTGGTGGGGACGGAAGTACCAGTGAAGGTCTGTTTATTGCCTCACGCTGATCCTCACGATGTTCATCCCTCTGCTGCTCTTCATCCTGCCCCGGTGAAGCAGAAGTTTGTATTGGCAAGTTTCTGTGAACATCCCAGTCAATGGGAGCACGGCCTTGTCTTTCCACGTATGAATGTATTAATTGATCCAGACTTTCACGGAACCCACTCCGAAGCAGATTAGATACACTTCGCCTGAAAAACAAAAAGAGATCTTAGTTTCTCCACAAGTCAATGCACCTAGGGTTGAGCATGGTCCGGTCCAATCTATAAACACTGGTCTCAGTCCACAAGAATAGCATTCAGGGAATGAACACTTACCTGCTCAATAATTCCCTAAGCTCCATACTATAAACATTTTCATCATCTGGAGGGTGAAATCTATTCAACCTTCTCAATGGAACAGAACGACGAGCTCTTGGTGGATCAGAAGGACCCTCCATCCACGTTTCAACAGCCTCCCGAGAGCCATCTTCATGCCAAGCTCCCTGGGCTTCCTGTGGACGACCTGGTTCATTATGTACATTACCAGGTGTTTCCTGGGGCCAAGATTCAACGTTATTCTGCTGCCAATTCTGATCCACAGGTTCAGCATTGTCATCTCTCCATTCATTGAAAGGACCATAATCTGTCTGTTGCCAGTTTCCTCCCCCACTATCTGTAATTTCCTCCTGCCAACCCCTAGCTTGATTAACATTTTCCTGCCAATTCATGTTATCAGTGCCTGCATTACTTTCTGAGGCATCGGTCTGATCAGGTAATGGACGGGCATCATCTTCTTGCGTCCTAGGTTCGGATTGAACATTATCCTCATGCTGAACATCCAGTGAAGTATCTGTTTCAGTCCGATCATTGTTAATATCACTAGGATTATCAGATTGGCTGCTTACTTGACCCAGGACAATATTTTCCAATCTTGAACGAAATCCTTCCCTAAACAAGAGCAAATTATTTTAGGATGGTCAGTTAATAACAAAGAATATTCTGCGATGGAATTATGGAAAGACGAAAACGAACATTGCAATCCATAATGTTGAATTTTTGTCTTTCACATGGACTTCAAAGAGATACAAGATGAGAGTCAATGGATGGATGTGCTGATATTGAAGATGCATTCATACTAATTCTTACTTCTTGGTCGTGTATCAATCATCCTCTTTGGGATTCCCTTTAGATGAACTTTAGGAGTATCACGTATATAACATGCCCATTTGTTAACTACATACAAACTATCTGTTAATAACCGTCAGATAATTTTCTAAAGGTCATTTACTATTCGATAGGGGGTCGCCTAATGCCGCACACACAGGATTCAGAAAAAAAACATCAGTGCCTATAACCAAAGACACAAAGTTCTGACAGACAATTACCAATTCTGCAACTATCTGTAAGCTTCTTGCCAAATCTTTGATATTCAGTGCTTTCATAAACGAAAACTAAATGGGTAGGGGAACAAACTCCAACAGAAGTGTCTGGCTATAATGATCTGAGTGATTGATGTTTATATCCTCCTATCAAGCATTGACACTACTTTAAGCCCTTATAGGATGAAATCAGTAAGGGGGCCAACTCTCCAAAGGATAAAAAGTTCGCCCATAACAAATATCTTTCCTCCACTAAGTGGTACCATCACCAAGTCTCAACCTAGGAGTTGCCACCGATGGTGGTATCACAAAAAATAGGCCATGATATGAACAAACTGAGACAAGTTCTCTAAATGCTAATACCATGAATCTAGTCTAGTAATGAATACCTTATACCGGAAACGGTGTGCCGCTGTCTTAATTGAACTAATTCACTTGAAGCCACTGAAGGTGGTCTTTCGTCTTCAACAGTTGTTTCATTTCGGAGGAATCTACCCCTCAATAATGACTGAAATCACAGAAAAATGAGATAAAATGTAATCATACATGCTTCCAAAGAAATATAAGCAAGATAGAAAGAAAGTTACTTAAGCTGAAAATTTAAAAGTATCTAGAACAATCAAAACTTAACAATGCCCTTTTTCAGCAATTTCATAAGGAAATTAATAACGGGAAAAAAAACTAATACTAATCACTATAAAGGAAAACCGAAAAAGAACAGTTTCCACCCAAGAAAGGGGAGAAAGAACAGTATCTCAGTAAACTTAGAATCAGAAACAACAAATGCCCAACAGAGCAAACTTGACTGAAGTGATCAACCACAACCATGGACCGACAACAGCCTCATCAGACAAGATAAACTTGAATGGGCATGAGATAGAAGGCCAGAGAAAGAAAGACAGGAAACCAAGGGAAGCCTGACTGACCGAGAGAATGTTACTGCCAAGATGATAAATGAAACACCTAGATAAAGACATGCAAGTTCACCCTGATGCTAAGTTGGATTTCCTTTGATTTTTATGGCTATAGTGGTTCCCTGTTGAGCTGATATTGTGATCTTTGTTGAGGTCATCTGGATCTCACTTTCCTTTTCTTTCTTGTGATCCATATATTTATAAGTCAATTTAATAAAATGATATCACCATTATAAAAAATAAAAATAAAAAAGACATGCAAGTTCACAGTTGGAAAGAAAAGACCACATACAGTGATCACATAACTGAAGCCACTGCAATGAGCTCTGGACCCAGAGAATTACAAGAATTGCTAATCTTGTAAAGAGCTTCAGTGCCAGATACAATTAAAGCTTATGTCTACTAATAATATAATACAAGGCGCTGGAGGGGGGAAAAGACGAGTGAAAACTAACCTGAATGCGATTGCGGTGAGCAAATTCAGAAACAGCTCTATGTTCCAACAATCCCTGAAGCTCCCGCTGCCTTTCCCTCTCAATCCTCATAAGCAAATCAATAACAGCTTGTCTGCCACGCAGCCTAAGTACGTCCCGACGAATATGTTCTGGTTGCCCTTCATCAACTGACCTTTCCCGGTTTCTAGTAGTAACTTGAGCACCACCACGTCCACTAGCTTGATCATCCCTTCGTGCCCCTCGAGATCCTCGTTGCTGCTGGCTAGTCATTTGCACCCACTCCCTCACAATTCTCACCCTTTCACGTTCCGTTTCACCAAGCCATTCTCCTCTAGTACCGCCGCCATTTCGTTGGGATAGATTGGATGTACGATCACTCATACCGCTGTCCATCCATCCACGAACAATCTGCCTCACCCTCTCCCTCTCAACTTCTCCAAGATCAGGAGAATGCTCCCGACTCGAGCCAGCATTATTATCTTCGCCACGCTCAGTCCGGGAAACCACTTGCTCAGGCGACCAAGGTCCAAACTCAGTGTCACTCTCACCCACACTTCCCTGATTCTCACTTTCTCCTCGAGCCTCGGACATGTTTGTAGTTGAAGCATCATTTGTGGTAGTAGAATCCACACTCCTTTGCTGCCTCAACCTTTCACGGGCCCTGTTCAAAACATGCTCATCCTCCAACTCCCGCCACATTTGCAAAATTGCTGACGCCCGAGTGCTTGGTCGTTCAGCTGTCCCGCCCTGCCTTCTGGAAGTGGGCGGTGAGGGTGATTGTGGCTCCCTTAAAAACGAGGAATCAAGCATTGAGACTGTATGGAGACCTGCAAGCGCCATCAACTCCGACTCACGATTCCTCCTCTCAATAGTGGTGATCATCATCTCCTGAGCCTGCCGGGCAGCCCACCTGCTGAGAATGCGGGAATGGCGTCTCCTGGCAGCTGAAGACTCGGCCAAATCATCCCCTTCAAGGTCAGACCTCCGTCTCCTGCGAACAAGCTGATCCCCCTCGTCATCCTCATCATCCGGAGTACGAGGAGAGCTGCAGGAGGCAAATGACATACAATCATCTAAGGGCCCTCGCATCAAGTCCTCCCATCCCCTTTCAAATTCTGCACGAGTATCATTTGTGGTGGTGGACTCAGGCTTTTGCTGTACAGGTTGAAAGTCTGTCATCCTCACAACTCCCACAGAAACAACAAAGGCTTCCTTCCTTGCCCTTCCTTTCAAATCAACGACCCTTGTTCAATCAACACCCCCTCCCCAATTCCCATTCATTGCAATCGCATAACCAGACATCTCTTCAACGAAGGCTTTTGAAACCAAAGTAAGAAACGAAAATAGAATGGAAATAGCTGTATGGGAAGGGGGGAAATCAACCTTCCATCGTCCACTGTTCAGGTTGCAGCTAGTGTCTCAAAAAGAAAAGGAGGAACACCAAAAAAGAAAATCTAATCCCTAATCGGATTCTGATGCAAAGAGCTCCAATTCACCTCGACCTGAACAACATTCCACACAAGTAGGAATTTTTATTCAAATCAATAAAATCTTCTAACAAGATAATGGGAAAAGAGGTAGTGGACATTTTTAAGAAATACCCATAATTCAGATACAGAACCAGATCAACTATTGGAATCACTGTAAGAAATTGGAGATGATGGATTTGATTGAACGAACGTACCTTGGAAGCTGGGGAGAATTCTTTCCACAGGGGTAAAAATGAATGCCGGTTCCTAGTTATTGTCAAAGTGATGGGACGAGGAGAGGAGCGATAGGAAACCCTAACTTTCAGTATGGAGAAAGGAAAACTCTAATGAAAATGTTGCAGAGGGGAAATTTGTTGAGGAAGAAGAAGAAGAAAGAAAGGAAAGAGAGACAGAATTGGGTAATGAAATCAGGAATTTATAATCACTATTTTACAACAAAGAGAGAATTTATGAGCGGAAAGAAAGAATGAGACCCTCTCTCCCTCTCTCACTCAGAAATTAGAGAGAGAATGAAACAAAAGTACGGAAGGAAGGGGAGAGAGACAGGTGCTGACTCCTTTTCTCCACTAATCTTTCTATTATGCGCAAATCAGCTCCCTGAATTAATTTATATTGCCATTTTAGCTCAGAACCTTCTTAATAATTTAGTGTTTATTATGCATCAAAGAATGTGGAGCTTTAGACCAGGAAAAACCATTCTACCAAGTCAGGTACTTTTATTAATTTTCACTAATTCCAAGCCTTTTTTCCTAAATAATTAGCAAATTTATATCATGAAAAACGGACTGCACAAAAAACTATGAGGATCAATATTCAATATGTTTAACAATAGTTTCTCTCTAAAAACATATTGAATTTGGATTCTCTAGAATAAAAGAAGAGCCATATGTCTACTATTTGAACAAATGCATCAATAACCCTCATTCCAAATGACTCGAGGAAAACCGTTGATCTTCGTTGTAGGGGAGTTCGCAAATGAGTGAATAGCTCAATCAAGTTTAATCTTCGTTCGTGGAACTACGGCGATAACAATGAACTAAAACAATATGATTATGGGTCTTGTGTTGTAGTTCGATTCTTGCTTACAAAGCATTAAGCACACACCATCAAACTAAGTTCTCTTGTGTTGTAGTTCGATTCAGAGTCGTTTGCTTGTGGATTTTGTTCATGGATTAAGGATCCCAATCCCACACATTAAGTAATTATTCAAGTCCATCGTTTATTTGTTAAAAATAAGATGTACGATATTCATCAAACTCACTTGAAACTTTTTTTTATTTATTTCAAATTCATGAATCCCACGAATTTGTAAATCCAATGTCAATAGATTGAATGAAGGGATGCAAACCCTTGATGCAAATTGGCCTTCCTGTATGCTTTGCAAGTTCATCATGCTCTCATACGGCGGCAACGGCAAACCACACGAGTACAAAGTCCAAGCTTTGATAATTGAGAATTTTGCCCAAGGAGGCCATCCCAAAGAACTTCATCGTTCCTATCACCCATGTGTATCGACAATGAACAGCCATCGCCATAATTTACAGTGTCAGATAAATCTACTACTTCTGCTCAGACAAAATGACAGATAAAAAAACCTGAAAGTTCTGCAGTAAATATACTGTTTCTACTCTGCATAATAATAACAGTGGTGTGGCACCAACCACAAGACTCTGGAAACTATTGAGTGATTTCGCTCTCCAGAAACTGTTGGAAGATCTCATATCTCACCGGTTCCAAGTGCCTGTCTCGAGGTATCACCAGAGGCCCAAGCTTGATAGTCCTTCACAAGCTGCATCACACCATCATAGATCATACAGAGCAATCAGACAATCCACCTTTTACTACTAACAACTGCAGTCGGATTTACAGCTGGAGAAATGCAGTGCGAAAACTCAACCAACCTGCTGCATGAAGCGGGGAAGCATGATGCCCAATATCTGTTGCAGGACGCCTGTCCCGGCTGATTCAATTGCTGCGACGGGAAGTAGTCTAAATGCGAAAGGGACTTCGATGGACACCTACGATTTTATATGGAAAAGTTTTAAGAGGAATATGAATACTGTGATTTCCTCCATAATAGAAGAAAAGGATGGATGAAAAAAGGAATACCTCTATGACAGCATCAGATGAAAGTTGCTGTACCAATGAGTTGCTTTGGTTGGTATCACATGAGATCCGATTCACCATAGAAGCTGCATTCCCATTACCAAATCAGTGTCAAAGCAGAGTCCTGAAAGAAATCATATGTACAAACTTAATGGCATTATGATTCATGGTTCTACAGCATGAAGCCAGCATCTCTATTGTGTCAGATGAAACTGCCTAGGTTGCTCTTTACTCATTCACGTGCCTGATTACTAAGGATCAAATGCATATAAGTATCGCCAAAGTAAAGGCATACCCATACAGTACTATTGGGAAAGAAAATGTCAAGAGAGATAAACTAACCATCAAATTTGTCATTCTGTGCAACAACAACGGGTGAACCCTCAAGCTGTCGTCAAAGGTCACAGGACAAGCAGGTAAATATCAGAAGCAGCATTCAGAAGTGACCGAACTATACATCAGGTAGGGGGTCTGAAATCAGGATTCCCCATTTCCATCCACAACTAAGAGGTTTGCTTAAGTGAAGAATTGAGAAGAAGAAATGGAAGAGAAAGTACCTTACAGGACAAGAGCTTGATGCAGCAGCCATAAGGCTGCTCCTCAACCTTAACCAGCAAAACAGGGCAGACTTCAAAATTGAAGAACTTGAACCTGTAGACATAACACCTGAACGTGTTGTCATCGACCCTCTCTATCCTCTCCGCATCAAGCACCGAGTACTGACTCGCCGGCAAGCTCATATACTCCGCTACAAGTTACCAACCAAGCAAGAAAAACCCCTCAATCAGAAGAAAGCAAACCCAGATCCCTGAAAACGAATTGCAAATAAGAGACGCTTATCCCAACATTACTTAGAGGGCGCCCAAGTTGGCGAACGGAGATAGATTCCTTCCGCCGCGCCACGAACCGGGCTTTGGGAGCCGAATCCGCAGAAGCTCGCAACGAAGCGCAAGTGGTGGAAGAGTAGTCATTGCTACTGAGGCCGAGAGAAGAGAAGTTGAGAGTGAACAGGCTGTGGTCCTTCCCGGCCCCGGATCGGAGAGAAATTGATGAGGGTATGCCACCGGCTCCGGCGGGAGTGGCAGTGGAACTGTAGTAGATAGCCATTTGAAGAAGATAAGAAGAACAGTCAACAGAGCAGGTTGAAGATAGTAAGAAGATCGAGCGTCGGGACTTCCTTTCTCTTTTTTTGCTTTTTTTTCCCCCAAATTTTCTTTGTAAATTTGTTCACCTGTGGGCTGTGGCATTACTTGGCCGTGGAGGCGCATTGTAGACCCAGCCTGTATTTACTAATCTAACATGCACCGAAAGTGACGAGGGCGGGAATTCTCACCACCAATCCAAACCAGCCTTTTTTCTTTACCTTCAAAGATCTCTGAAACTGTAACAATCTGTGCCGTAAATTTAATGTAAAAACAATCCAACAGCACTGGAAGCAAGAGTTCCAGTCTGGAGCACTTGCTTGGCTGCAAGCAAAGCAGTGCACCAAGTGAGCCTGCAAGGTCAAAAGTTATGAATCGGAGTATATTCATACCATAACACTGCCACCACACATCCACTTTAGCATCTTCATTTCCTCACGGGAATCATATCATCATCAGATATATGCTTTCTCACACGATCAATATACAGTGCAAAATGAAAACTAAAGAGGATTACCCAGAGAATTTTGTGCATTCCTCGCGTCTCAGACTGAGTACAACACCATCCGAGGATTTCCATTACTGAGCTATTCTCAAGATAAACTTCAAATTCCTTGTTTCGTTCATTTTAGTAGTTCACATTCTGGGTCATGAACAAAATCGCCAAAAACGTCCTAAACAGGGTTTTATACAGCATACAAAAACTCATATGCACACACCATACTATATAACTAGATCAGACCACAAATACCTCAGGAGTACTATGTAATTCAAAACTATGCAAATGCTCTGCAAGACTAAGGAAAAGGCCTACCAAGATCTGCTGCTATCCCTTCCCCTGTCATGGAAGTAGCAGGTTATGACGAACTATTTTGAATAATGCATCTACACTCTGATCTGCCTGCCATGGTTTCGCTTATATCGTTCTTGCCAGAGATATCCAACTAGTAAAACTTAAAATTTCTGAAGAGCAAAGGAATAGCACCACATCTAAGTTGACTCTTACCTTTGTAAGCACATATAGATTGCTGCAATATTGCCCTCTGAAGTGACAACTAGTGTTGTTAACACTCAAAAGGCATAAATAAACTACTTGGTTTTGTTAACAGTTGTCCTCCTGAGCATCATATCCTGCCACCTCAAAGTTTCACTTACACCGGTTGATGTTCTGGACTCTTCAGCAGGAGGACAGAAAGAATACATCTTGCTGGAAAGCCAACTAGCAATCATTCAATCAACTACATTCTTAACCCCAGGAGTTCAACTACTCAGTTAAGCAAATTCAGTAACTCGAGTCTTGATAAGTAAAAAAAAACACGGGAACATCTCAATGCAGATATACTGATTCTGCTACTCAAAAGTGTAATAGAAGAAACTGTCTGTGCATGATAATGGGTCCAAACATCAGGATGGGTTGATACTTGATAGGCAATTCGAAACACAAGAAACCAAAGCAAATACAACACAACATTCATAAATAACAATAGCTCATAGAGGATTAGAATAGCATTGGCAAAAATTCAGTGTCTCTGCCCAAGCCGACAGATCGAAATGCAGAGTTCTACTTCAATAAAACCCAGTAATTAACTTCACAAACTGTCAGCACCTAAAACTCTTGACTACCACAGGCACAATATCAATAATCAGGCTACTAGCATTTGGTATCGAAACAAGGCAGGAATCCGAAGACGAAATTACATTGTTGGCACTAACCGAAGGGCAAGGGTACCCAGCAGGGCTAGGTAAAAACCTATTAAAGATTCAAGATTTCAACTTGTGGATGCGCGAACCAAAAAGGAAAGGAAAGGACAATCAACAAGATACAGCAAAGAAATCCAACTATCAATGTGCGCTTGCCAAGGAAATTCGATATACTGCTACGAAACCAAATTCAATTACCACCAATTTTGGAACGAAAATTTACAATCCTTCAAATCCCTAATCTGAACAAACCACAAAATCCCTAATTCGACTCACCGTAAAACCTAACGAACCACAACAACAGATCTGGGGAAGAACCCTAACCCTAAGAGCTGGTAAACTTGGTGACAGCCTTGGTGCCTTCGGAGACCGCATGCTTGGCGAGCTCACCGGGGAGAACAAGCCTGACGGCGGTCTGGATCTCCCTGGACGTTATGGTCGGCTTCTTGTTGTACCTAGCGAGCCTGGAGGACTCCTGAGCGAGCTTCTCGAAGATATCGTTGATGAAGCTGTTCATGATCCCCATCGCCTTGCTTGAGATCCCGATGTCGGGGTGGACCTGCTTCAACACCTTGAAGATGTAAATCTTGTACGTCTCCACGCTCTTCTTGGCCTTCTTCTTCTTCTTGTCGGCGGATGCGCCATCCTTGGGCAGCTTCTTCTCGGCGCGGGGCTTCTTCTCCGCTGGGGCCTTCTCAGCCGGCTTCTTCTCCGCTGGCTTCTTCTCTGCTGGCTTTGGAGCCATTGCCAATCGCGAGCTAAATGCTAGAGAGGAAGGAGAAGGACTGTATTCTACTTTCAGGACCTTTGAAGTTTGATCGAGAGTTTTGAGTAATGCGGCGGAGACGGAGGGATGAGGTTTTCTTTATATAGGACTACTGGGGTGAACGTGATTGGTCAGTTCGTTAGGCACGCGGATAGATGTTGTGGACGGCTGGATTCGGAGTTCGACAGAATGTAATGGACGGTGCAGATTTCTGGCGCTTCGGTTCGTTCGATGCCTCATTTTCTGCTGGGAAATTAAAAAAAAAAAAAAACAGCTTTCTATGGGCTGACCCGCATGGGCCTTCTGCAATGGCTGAGACACAGCCCGCCCAATCCATCGAAGAACAGCCCAATTCTCTCACCCAGACCAAAATAATTCATCATCGTGGGTATCCAATCGAATCTGCATTGATTTTGTCGGAGTAAACCGGCCAATATGATTTTAGGGTGGGTTTTCACTTTTCTCCAAGGTTGTCAACCCGCGGGTTGACCCACGGGTCGACCCAATTTGACCCTGACCCGGCGAGAAAAACGGGCCGCACGCACCCGCCGGGCCGACCGCTATTAGGTACCGGGTTGGAGGTCAAATTGTGTCATTTTTTTCTTTAGTTTGCGAAATGCACCTATTTTCCAATTTTTCTTTTCGCCTAACTCAATCTTTGGAATACTAAGTTGAACATTTGAATATTTATGTTATATAAGTGTGTGTGAATTTTCACTATATGTTGGATCTAAGTACAATATGTTATTTTGGTGTAATATTATATGTTATAACTCATATGTTAGATAAGATTTGATATAATTTATGAGGATAAGTACAATATAATGACTCTTTCTATATTTCCGGGCCAAACCGGGCTAAAACGGTTGACCCATTAACCCTTGACCCACTAGCTCGACCGGGTCCGGGTCAACCCGCGAGTTGACAACCTTGCTTTTCTCCAAATCTGACAAGGAGTGTAATGAGTTTGGCAAGGTTTTTGTATTTTAAATATCTGCACTGAACTCATCGATCATGTTTTATAATTATGACTCTCGTAAACATTTTCTTCATTCATATCTGTCAAACATTTAATTATCTCATATACCTCAAATCTTTCTCATTTTCTCTCACGTTTACAAATAATGACACAAATAAATTTAAATTAACATTGACATTCTAAGAAGAAAAATTAGATTGCATCAACTCAATATATGATTCTCACCAAAAAAAACTTCATATAGGATTGTTGTGAGTGCAGGTTGACTTTGGTATGTCATATTAGTATATTACATCTATTCATAGTTTTAGTGGTGGAGTCATAAATTCGAAAAAGGGAGGTTGACTTGATATGTCATATTACATCTATTCATAGTTTTAGTGGTTGAGTCATAAATTCGAAAAAGGGAGGTTGACTCGAATTGTTGTAATTAAGAGAAGAGGACTAAAACCTTACATTTACATGTAATTTTATTTATCTATATTCAACCTATATTTACTTATATTTCATAAATTTCTCTTATCTTTAACGTACCTTCACCACTGATAATTTTATTTATGACCTAGTTACGTTTTTAAAACGGGAATTTACCTATATTTCATAAATCTCTCTTATCTTCCACCTACCTTCACCACTTATAATTTTATTTATGACCTAGTTATGATTTTAAAACGAGATGGTATTTAGCAGTGTTATTAAGACCGAACCGAGTTGGCCGGCCGGGTGGACCGCTAAAGCAGCCACCCGGATGCAAAACAGGCTCGGGCCAATCATTTAGCCGCTACGGTTATATGGGGCGGCCGAGGCGGTTAACCGCTCGACCCGCTTGAACCGGTTGCTCGGTTCCCCCCCTCTCCCCTTTCTGTTTAACAAAAAAATTGAAAAAGAAAATCGGAAATTGAAAACGAAAGGCAAAATCGTGTGGCTAGAAAAGAAATCCTAACTCTAATTCAGTTTTCGTCTTCAACTCTTCATGAACAGAGGCAGAAGAGCGGTGCCAAACCCTGTCACCGTCAACACTTCCCGTCGGCATCTTCGCCATCCCCAGTCAGCGTAGCAGCTCCCAGCTCGCCATCGCCAGTCCCCGTCCCCTCTTCCCGTAGCAACTCCTCCACTCCCATCCCGTCGCTTCCCGGCGCCATCGTCACCATCCCCAGTCCTTGTAGCCGCTCCCCGCTCGCATGTTTTGGAATTGTTCAGAGTTAAGAGTGTAATTTACTAATTTAGTCATGGTTTACCGTGATTAAGAAGTGTCCACTATTTATACTGATTGTTTAATTATTAGGTACCGGTTTTCTAACAACTTTTAAACGATTAATACCGGTTAGACCGCTAAATACCGAGCCGTTCACATTATCGAGTAATACTCCGGTGCGTTTTTTACAACATTTGTATTTAGCAAAATCGATTGAAGCTCCAAAGCCCACACGCATCCACTAGATACGTAGCATGCTGCTAGCTAGCTAGGTTGTTGAAGAGATCATCGTTTCCGCATCTGCAATGTCCTCACACAAATACCTCCCTCTTCATACTGCCCTAAACCTAGAGGTCTCTACTTCTTCTTCTTCTTCCTATAAATACCATCCAATCACTCCCCTTTGCCCAATCATCCTTCGCCAACTCACACAAACCCACAACGAAGCCAGAAAAGGGAATCAAAATGGAGAGCAAGAGAAGCTGTAGGAGGAGGATGGTGGCGGTGGTGGTGCTCTCTCTGGTGGCCGCCGCCACGGCGTCGGCTGGTCCGTCGACGGGTGATCAAGGCGGATCTGGGTGGGCATGGGCTGGCCATGGAGTAGCATTAACAAGGCCGAGTGCGGCATGCACGGGATGTTACCGAGGATGTTTCAGCGAGTGCATGGCGGACAAAGGTGACCAGCTCAATACTATCGACCCTTTTGTTTGCTCCGCGGAGTGCTTTGTCCACTGCATCTTCTCCTTCTACATGCCTCCTCTCAGCGCGCACTCACTTTGCACCGCCGGCTGCTCCGTCTCCAGATGCTCCAAGTTCAGCTACATCGGTCACCCCAGTAAGAAAGGCCATTCCATCATTATATATATTGCACCGTCGTCCGTCGAACTATCTAAACGTACTGATGATTGATTAGTTCTCTTCCTGCTTGTTTTCTACGTTGGATGTGCAGATACAGGTGAAGTTGGGAGCTGCATGGATGCTTGCTCCATCGGCTGCACTAAGAAACATGATCAGTTTCCCTAATTTTCGTTTGCAAGATGGAAAGCGGATCAATGTCGTTGGAGGGTGCATGCTTTATTTATGTACTCGTAGCAAGAATAAAAGTTTGTTTGGGGTAGTTGAGATTTATAAATAATCACAAAGAAATCATGTTTATAATAAGGAATAATTGGAGCATTAAATATTGTTTATTTATTCGGATGGGATTTTTAGGTATTCATATGTATACATAAAAAAGTTGAAATAGTAACCGAACGAGAGTACAAATGTTTATATATTTCTCTGCTCACAATACGTGATTAATTAATGTTCAATTCTCCACATGTAAACTCGTATTATTGAGTAAAAGAAGATCGAACAATTAGTACAACGACTTTAGTTAATATGTAAAATCAACACCCCCAATTCGATCTGCTCTCAGAGCCTTCGAGCGACATAAAAATGAAAGAAAAGGGTTTTCAATGTATCATCACTCTCCCATAGACATGACATGACTGAGTGCCACCCCCACAACCCCCTAATTGACAAAGCCTCCCCGTGGGTAGAACTCGATGGAGAAGATGGCTGAGCAAGAAACGCATTCCATTAGGGCGGAATAGGGAAAGCCTAAACTGTAGCCATAACCCCTTATTCATCAAGGACACCGACACCGACACCTTTAAACGTAGCTCACAAGCTCTGAGTAATTTCGTCGTCAAATGATACCCAAACCTAGTTGAATACCTCACCATGCCACACCAAACGATTTTCAAGGCAAGATTTTGTGGAAAAGGGTAAAAAATTAGTGACTTGATATCCGAATGAAAGGGAACCACGTATGCTTTATTTATTAAAAATTTAATTTATGATGTACATTTGTTGTCCGGTAAAAAATGCTAGCTAATACGAACTATTTGAAATTATTATAATGTTCACAAAATACATGTTTGGTAGTGGACAAAATACTGAAATCACTTGTATAGTGTATTTGGTTCGATACATTTATAAATTTGTGTTATTTGTCTCAACCATATTATACTATCATGCGGTATGAATTTGCAAAACATTGTTCGATAAAAGTATCAAGGGTTAATATTTTCGTATGGCCTGAACTTTGACCAAAATAAACATTCTGACCAATCTTTTCGATCTATAACATCCTGGCCCGAACTATACACCAAAGTAAACAATTTGGCCAAACCCGATGTTTGACCGTTAACTTGGACGGTCAAACGCGTTGACTAACGGTCAACTCGCCACATCACTGCCTCGTCACTGCCAAGTCAGAAGATCTGATAAATATTTTATTTTTTTCATTTTTTATTTTTGGTTTAACTAAAGTATTAGATGATTTTTTTAATTTATAATAATTTAAAATTAGGAAATGTGTGGAAATTGTGAATTATTTTAAATATTTTATGTTGACTTGGCAGTGACATAGCGCTTTGACTAACGGTCAACGCGTTTGACCGTCCAAGTTAACGGTCAAAAGTCGGATCTGGCCAAATGGTTTATTTTGGTGTATAGTTCGGGCCAGTATATTATAGATCAAAAAGATTGGTCAGGATGTTTATTTTGATCAAAGTTCAGGTCATACGAAAATATTAACCCAAGTATCAAAGAAAAGATATGTGAAATCATTTTTATAGGATGAATTGCCAAATACCCCTCACCTCAACTATTTGAGATTTTGCATTACTTAATCACAATACTTCTTGACACTTTTGAGATTGCATACAATTGTAAATAAACTTCATCCAAAGCATCAACGAGAAAACCAAAAACTCAGTTAATTGCACGCCATTACGAACTTCCCTATCAATTACACCCAGCTGCTTGGAGAGGCGGAGATGCATTTCTCTACTCAGTACTCACAACCAACTGCATTCCCATTCCCCATTCCCCATCCCCATGGCTTTCGAGCACATACAAACATCATGTTCTCGAAGTAAAGGAACAAACAGCCACGAAACACCAGTCCTTACTGATCTCAAATCACACGACACCACCAAAGCAAGCCTGCCTATATATATATAGTGACCACAATCATGCCTGCCCGCAACACACAAACCTGCTCAATCTGTAGAAAAACTGAAACAACATTTTAAAGGCAAGAGGGAACACTACCAATACCAAATATGGAGACCAAAAGGCTGATCATTGTACTGGCAATGATGCTGCTGCTCACCGCCGGCCACTGCCACTCGTCTCCCTCCGACGGCTACTACAAACGGCACAAGAAGTCCAAGTGCAGCCCACTCTGCTTCGGGGCGTGCGCCATCGGCGGCAAGGGATTCAAGTGCTACGGCCGCTGCATACTGAAGTGCCTCTTCCCACCCGGAGGCGAGCCAGACCACAACAATCCCCAGGCCATGTGCTTGGCCAACTGTGTTGTTCCCGCTTGCGCCGAGCTCGTCACCGCAGATGACCCATGTATGTATACACATTCAGCAAACTCTGTCATTGTCATTCTGCTGCTACTTATGACTAGTTTCTCGTACACTTTGCACGATCCAACTGATCACTCTGCTTTGCTGTTGTGTTGTGTTTTGCTTAATTAGTCTCCGATGAAGTGGAGAATTGCCTGGATTCTTGCAAAGACAACTGTGCAGAAAAGAGGTTTGATGAGCCGCACCACCACCAGCTCAATCATTCGCCATGAAGAAGATCATGGTTGGTTGGGCGGGCGACGAAGAAGCAACTATGCATGTGGACATGCCTCTTTCAAGTATTTGAATCATATAATAATGTAAGAATAAGGTTCAGGCTCCCATCAGCTTTCACTGTCGTAAGATAAAAGATGAAATAAAATGGTTCATGCAACCACTGACAGAATAATATAAGTAAATGCATATTCCAAGAGAGTGATCAACACTTAAGAAGTTCATGTCTGCAGTCTGCTAGTCACACATTTCTGTACCATTGATAAAAGGGGAGCAGCTGCATTAAATATTCAAGCATTCCATGTTCTAATTGCTATCCATGACTACTGCTGTTCCAGAACCAAGTAGAGTGAAGACATAAAATGACACGAAAGGATGTTGTCCCTATGACTCTGTCTCTGACTACATTGAAAACGAACCACGAAAATGGGGGGACTCTCTCCACTGTATAGGGTTTATGCGATTCGGGCGAACACAAAACCATAACACAGCTAATACAAACAGACCACTGCATGATCGGGCAGGCAGGAACCATATAAAAACATAATGAGGGGGGAGGTGGATCATTTCCACTCGCCTAGGGTGAGTTCTCTGGTGTCTTCAGAACTGCCGAGGGGTCGTTGTGATCTTTGTGTTGTGTGACAGCTGCACGAAAATCTTCAACAATAGAACCGTCCTTGAACTTCAGGGCAAAGGTTGAAAGCGCCTCCTTACCTTCCCCAATGCTATTGATGCAAGCAAAAGTGATGCCTCGCTTTTCCATGTTCGCGAGCTTCATATCAGAGAAAAGATTAGCATTCAAGATCAGCCTCAAGTTACCCTTAGACCTCATCAGAAGCCTAGCTTTCTCTGTTCCACTGGTAGGGACATTCACCTTCACTTCTCCTTTCCCCCGCTCCTTCCAAGAACCATCAAGGAACTCAAACAACACAGAATCGGCAGAGAAAACTGCCCTTTCGTTCTCTTCTCCAGTCTCGACTGGAACCTCCGGCATAGATGGGAAGCTGCTTCCTTCACTCTTGGTGGCAACAGAAGAAGAGCCTGAAGAGTTAAAGACTGATGAATTTCCATTTGTAGGGAGGCCAAACCCAAAAGAAGGCTGGTCACTTTTCTGCCCAAATAAGGAACCAGCACCACTAGCAAATGGAGACCCGTCTTTTGGGATTGAGCCAAAGGAGAACGACGACGAGCTGGAAAATCCTGTTCCAGCTAGGCCAGTGAAAGCGTTTTTGCTACTTGAAAGCTGCTGAAATGAACTCAGGGCGGTACCTTCACCACTAGGGTCTGCACTTTCACTACTCTTGTCATTCTTTTCATCATTCTCAGCTTTACTATCCCTTGATGTTTCCTTCCCTTCAACATCTTCAGCTTTATCAGTCTCGGTGACATCCTTGCCTTTGTCTTGAGTTCCACCACCCCCTTCAGCCTTTTCTTCTGCAGATTTAATGGCTTCGCCCATCTTATCACTCTCAGTTTTATCTTCTAATGGTTTCTCAGCCACTTCACCAACAGTCTCAGTTGTAATATTATTGTCAGTGCTCTCCTTGTCACCTGCAGACTCAACCACCGACACACTTGCACTGCTTTCTACTTGCTTCCCATTAGAAGCATCTTTCTCTTCCTTGGTTACATCACAAGCACCATGTTTAATGTCATTCTCAACTTTCTCATTGGAAGTTACTTCCACAGTTGCTACTGATTGAGGGGCTGGAGTTGGATCACTTGGTGGAACCAAACGAATTCCAGCAAATGGATTAGATGCGGGGAGTTTTGGGGCTACCGTCGATTGACTGCGGCGAACTTTCACGATTCTTCTGGTGGCCAGCACCTCATCACTTGCCTTCTTGAAAGTTCCAGCCTCCATTTCAGACAAATCTTCATCATCATCAAGGCCAGGGTCTTCCTTCGATATCTCTCTACCTGCAGCTCTCTTCTTTGAAGGTGGAAGGACATTCTCAGAATCCCCCATTCTTAAACCAAAACAACTAAGCTTGATGTTTTTGCCTCTGAAATAGTCAAGAATCTGCAGGCAGAAAAAAGAACCCGCTCATTACCACACTTTAGCAAAAGAGACGAAGACCGCCAATTTTCTCATCAGGAGCAGAATGACTGCTTAATGAAGCACGGGTTATCATCCAACAAGGGAAACCAGACATATAAACTACAAAGTTGAATAGCAAATTTCTACATGTTATCAAACCACTTCATAGGACAACCGACATTGTATACCATTAATGCTAAGTTAGTTCACCAAACACATAGCATAGTCCGTCAGAGAGAATTGAAGGATTCATCAATTTGAACCTTCATTGCAAAGATAGATCACTTTGAATCGATTCAAGTTCAAAAGAAAAAGAAACAGGTGACCAGGTGATGAATTAAACAAGCAGATAGCACTTGCTTGGTTCCAATGAAAAACAAGAAGATTCCTAAATGAATGAGTTGCAGTTTGTTCACAAAAGGCCACTGAAGAAACTCAGCTACTGAAACACTGAAAGAGGATACATGGAATACGAACACTATATCATATAACTAAGCCTTTGGTTCATTGAAAAGGCAATCACTTTACCTTTGAACAAACAAAACCCAAAGATTCAACCAAACAGAAATCTGACAACAAAACAGAACAATTTCTGGAAAACAAAACAAAATCCATCAGAGCCCAAAACCAAAGAGAAATATTGGTTGCATTCTAGTCAATAAACTTCTGATTAGATTTAATAGTGACGCAATCAAGGAAATTATGTACCTAGTAACAGAGACAGTGAAAGGAACCCTATCAACCGATTAGGGTTTCGAGGGGTATCTGATTTCCAAGGGATTGAAGCAATAAAGCAGCAGCTGGCCTCAGCCTGACAGAGGAACGAAAGCAAACATTTCTACACGTCCTGCGCCTTCCGTCGCCGATGGAATAGGGAGAAACGGGGCAGGGATCGTTATAGCACCCTAGAGCAAATGTCGAAACGCCTTCAAATATATATCAGAAGAAATGGGGAAAATGGTTTCTTTAGCTATCTATCCTTCAATGGCGATAGTGATGCCAATGAAGTGAGAGGAGGAAGGACGATTATGAGCGGCAGGCCGGAGTGGAGCCGCCGCTTTCGTTTGTATTGGAACAGGAAGCAGCGGGGGGAAAGTCGACCGTCCAGAAGGTGCGCTTTTCATTAGCGTAGGGTTTTTTGCTTGCGGCTGCGGGCAGATCAGATGGCTAAACCTAAAGTGTGCAAATTGTTCGGTCCAGTTTCGAACTCGACCGTACCAAGATAGGAATTAGAAAGTACGGGCCAAATGTCAGTTCATAAAATTTGCGAAATCGATAATAGTTTTTTTGTGAGGTGAAATACTGATTTGAGATCTAATTTAGTTTCACACTTAAACAGTAAAATTACACTATAATTATTTTACATTTTTACTTCATCTCTAACAGACCGTTTGGTACCAAATGAATCGATAATTCATTTCATTGTAAAATGAATTACCGTGTAGAATTCATTGTCAAATGAAATCCTATATTTGGTATGTTATATTCAAATCGTTGAAGTGTCGTGTAAAATTCATTGTCAAATGAATTTATGTGTTTGGTATGTCATATGTATAAGTAATTTAGTTAATAAAAAATGATAATCATGTTATTCTATTATAATTAGTAAATCTTGTGGAATTCATTTGGAAATTCTATCTCAATTTCTCGGAATTGCTATAAGTAGTTCCAATTTCGTAGAATTCAAAATTTAGAATTGAAAATGAATTCTTTCTAATACCAAACACAAAAATATTTCATTTCAAAATGAATTCCTCAAAACTTATGGAATTCATTTTTACAAAACGGTATGTAAGTTAATATTACGTTTAATAGTACGTTAATAGTCATAAATATATATATATAATAGTAAAGTTAATAATTTAATTCATTAAGTACGAATATTAAACGTGTTATACGGGTTTTATACGTGTTTGGTACGGGAGCCGTCAAATGAACGGAAACAAATGAAACGACTTAATAATAATACGGATATGGAAGTTTTAAACGGATAAAGTACGTACGGGTACATATATGTGTATTAAACTGAGTATTTACTAACTACGCTTAAAACTGCCTAAATAGAAAGTTGTTGCGTTGAAATTATTTGTGTAGATCCAGATAATTTGTGGTTCAATTTGAATTATACTAATGAGTTTGTACAGCCGTTCGTATTGTCATAAATTGTTTGGCTCTAATAATTTGAGTTGTTGGGAGAAAGTTTATTTGGATCTTACATAACTTTCTTACATGCTCCATCGAATGAAAGTTAACTTATCGACTTGAAGCTAACACATACTCATCGTACCACATGCTCCATCGAAAAAAAGGTTACGGTTTTACCTAGGTGTCCGATTTGTTGGGGTGGGCCTGAAATTATGGAGCATATGTTCCTTAATTGCCTAGTTGCTCGTGCCATATGGGATCACTCTGGGCTGGCTCACCTTGGGGGAGGGTCGCCTAGACATACCTTCCCGCTCTTTTTGAAAACACTGTTGGCTTTGGTTAATCAACAACCTTTGTTCATGGCGGTGGTTGCTATCATGTGGAGAATCTGGCGTTCTCGCAACTGGGTTGTATTTGAAGACAAGCAGTTTGGGATCACTTCCTTGATGCGATAGTATAACCAGCAGGTCCAGAAGTGGGTTTGCCTGCCGAGGGACTCCGTTTTCCCAATACTCACATTCCATTGGATCATGTGGACTCTGCTATGGTGGTATGTATGTGGCATGGGGCGGTTAGGACTGGTTCTCATTCGGTAGGGGGATGGTCATCATGTCTCCGACTCACGAGATCCTCCTTGTTAAGGGGGTGTAGTTCCCATTGATTGATGACCCATTGGTGGTGGAATTGCTGGTTCTTCAGATAGTCGGGTGGGGCCCATTATTGAAGAGGTCATCCAGTCTTTTGCGGTGCATACGGGTTTTAGTGTTCGATTTGTAGGTCGGAGTAACAATAGGGTAGCTCATTTGGTAGCTCGCAAGACCCTTTCTTTGTATCCGTCTATTCGTCTTTTTTTTGATTTCCAGGCTTGGCTGACTTTCAAGACATAATTATCTATGTTTCAATCAATATATGATTATCTTTTGTAAATAAAAAAAAAAACAAATTCAAGTGTTACCAACCTACCATCGAATATCAAGACTACGATTTGGTCTAGTGACTAGGGATCGCCAAGACGCGTGATAGGGCTTATAGCTTACCGTTCTCCACCCGGCCACGGCCCACGAGGCTTCGCGGCAACGGGACTGGTCGTGCCATAACGTGTTCGAGATTAGTAAGGGGAAAACCGAAACGGGAATTCAAAAAAATAAAAGTCAGTGTCCAACTGTCCATTAAAAAAAGTAAAGAATAGTCAGTCAAATAAATAACACTTTTAGCGAAGTGAAAAATGCAAGTTGGAAAATTATTAAAAGGGATAAAAATGGTATATTAAAAAAAGTGGACAGAGAAAGAGGCGGTCTTTACGCTAAAACAAACAGGCCCTAGAAGCTCCTCAAAACAAATCCAAAACCCAACCCAAACGAGCCTTGGAGTGGAAGAAGAAGAAGGATTTATGAGAGAGAGGAGAGGCAGATAGATACGCAGCAAAGCAAGTTGCCAATTCGCCAATTCCGCAAGCAACGCCAAAGCAAGCTCTCACCGTCTCCACCACCACCACCACCACACCGCCTTCGCAACCGTCACCGCCGCCTCCTCCTCACCGCTTCACCGTTCGCGCCACCTCCGCTGCTGAAATTCGGCCAAACTAGACCGCAACAGTGAGTGTAATTACTAATTTACACTGACGAGTAGTACGCGACTTCACGAGCATGGTTCCGCCAATGCATTTTGCTGAGTTTGCTCGATTTCCTTTTGTGTTTCGTTTTGTTTTTTTTTTTGACATCGTGCTGTTTGTGTGTGCGAAGGTGGAGAGTGTGGGAAAGGAGAAGAAGGAAATGGAATCTAACGAGTCCTCTTATGTGTCCTCGCCGGAGGCTCCAGGGAAGAAATCTCCTCCGCCGCCCAAATCTCCCACTTCAGGTTCCTGATCTGATCTGATTTCTCTCCCCCCTCTCTCTTGAGTTTCCTGTTTGCCGTTTGTGTTATCATCAACGGAGGATACGTATTGCTGCCTCATTTCTATGTTGAATTTCGCCCGTTTTGACTCCATCCTTAACCCTAAGGTTACAGTTACCACTTAGTCGACGAGATAAATTCATTTGGGGTCGCATTTGGTTCTGTTCGCTTTTTTTTAAGAGAAATGAAGGTGAAATATGGAGTATAATGAGACTATTTTGTCCTTGGAAGTGGAAGATTTACTCAATGCACCAGATTAAGCTACTATATCTGACAGTAATGCCTACTGCATGATGTGCTTCCCACTGTACCATACACTTCTGCGAACTTGAGCCAGTTACTTCTAGCTTTTTAGGTACAGTTTCTAATGGTGCTGTTTGAGTGTTTTCCATGAATGTATTGAGAGCTTTCGCTCGTTTTGTTTTGTGATTCCTGATTGAGCGTTGAAAATTTATGCGCGAGTAAGCATCTTAGTGGCTTGTGTTGGCTCCAAACAACTATCTGCTGGCTGAGGATTTGAATGGGATTTTAAGTATGAATTGTTTTTTTTTTGTTCCCGATGTTGTCACTAATCTGCATGTCCTGTGACGGATTGTACTAAATTGCTTGGTAGACATGCAGACACTTATGCACTGGGTGTTTCAATTTGGCCTCGATATTCACTTGTGTAAATTCTTGGCATCTGTAGTGAATTGATGCCTGCCTGGATGGAAAATATGACTCTAGATTGGGGTTTCCTCCATTAATAAGTGCTTCTCAGTGTTTGGTAGACGCTGCTTTTAGTTTATTTTAGCAATTGGTTTCTTGTGTCCTTGTTTAAATTGGAATCCTTAATGATTCAAGTTAGGCGTATTATCTGTACTTTCCTTGTCTAAATAGGAGTCTTTATTAGTTGTATTGGGACTTATTACCAATGCGGGATTAGTTTTCTTGCTTTCTAAGCATATATTTGAATAAAGTGGACTATAGAGTTTTTTTAACTTGTTTCTTTGAGTGTATTCTCAAACCCTTCTTCTGGAATGGAGAGGCAACCCTTAAATCTCTCCCCTGAATTTCCAGCTACAATGTGGGAAAAATCCCTTAAATCTTTCTTCCCAACGCTCTCTAGTAAAACCTGGGCACATCAGCAATGCTACTTTGTTGCATAAATGCTTGGCTTTGTTTTCAACTTCTCATTTCAGATGTTGAATATCTGTATTGAATTGCTGAAGGAAGATATAACAGGATTTGCTTTTTCTGGCCTAATTTGTTTTCGTGGCAGATACCACGGAGAAGGCAGCATATATTAGATTTCTTGTGTCAAATGCTGCAGCGGGTTCAGTGATTGGGAAGGGTGGTGCCACAATTACCGACTTCCAGTCTGAATCGGGAGCAAGGATTCAGTTATCACGCAACTATGAGTTTTTCCCAGGGACATCTGATAGAATAATTATGATTTCTGGAAACATTGATGAGATTTTAAGGGCTGTGGAACTTGTTCTTAATAAATTGCTAAGTGAGGTACTGCTTCCTCCCCTCTAACAAGAATGTTCATAAGGTTCCCATGTGTTTTCTGCCTTCTAATATAACTTTTGTGTTTCTCTTTCTATGATCAGCTTCATACTGAAGATGGTGGTGATGCTGAACCACGAATGAAACTGAGACTAATTGTCCCAAATGGCTCTTGTGGTAGCATTATTGGGAAAGGAGGAGCTATCATCAAGTATGAACAGCTTTTTCTTTTGTGATCAATATATTTTGTTGATTGAAGCATATACTTATGTACTAGATGATCCATCTTCGAGCTATTTTCTGACATTTAGTACTTGTGGTGAGGATTAACATTCCTGAGAAAATTTTTCCATACCATCGAAGTATGTGCCTCTTTCTGTTTTTATTCCAGTGGTTATAGAGGTTTGTTCTTCTCTGTCCTTCATCACTATTCATCTTTGGTAGTTTGATTAGCAAAGCTTGCATTTCATGATGTGTTTGAATTTGTAGTGGAATGCTTCTTGAGATTTTTTCTCTCTCTGTCAGCATTTCACTCTTTTCTGTTCGTGTTTGTAATAGATTTCGCTCTTTTATTCATGTTCGCTTTTGACATATCTCTAGAACAGAGTCGCTGTTTTCTATATACTATGTCACAGCATGATGTCTTAGTTTTTGAAACTTTCTCAGCCATGTTTCTATGATGCTAGTTACAAGCTGAATGATCGGTCTGTAACCAATGAAATAGAGAATGGAAAATCTGATGATTGTTCACTTCTTTTAGGTCATTCATTGAAGACTCCCAAGCTGGCATCAAGATTTCCCCACTGGACCATAACTTTTATGGATTGAATGATAGGCTGGTGACGTTAACTGGTACTTTGAATGAGCAGATGCGTGCAGTTGACCTCATTTTGTCAAAGCTAGTCGAAGATCCTCACTACTCACAGAGCATGCATACCCCATTGTCGTACGCAGGTATAAAATCATCTTTGTTTTATCCCCGATTCTCTCTTCGAGTCTTTCCTACTTTTATCGCTTGATTGAGGAAAGATTGTCCTGTCCTGTTACTCTTGGTTGGATTTTTATGCCAAGCGCATGCTCTTGCTTGGTTTTTGGACGTTCTTTCTGTCCTTATCTTAGCTTGATTCACGTCTCATGTGCTAACTTACTGTGGTTTTTATTGTTTTCTATTTGCATACGTGTCTCCTTATGAAGCAACTGCAGCGTACAATGTGGTGAACTATGCTGGGCAAAATGGTGGCGGAGGAAAGTTCCAGAATAACAAGGTTCCTTTTCACCCAATAATCTTTGTTCTAGATAAAACATGCTTACCACTGTAAATAATGATGGATAGAATAGGTGTATCTGATGACAATGTCAACTGATAATGTTTTCCCAGGAGGAGCGAACCAACTCGGTAACAATTGGTGTCGCTGATGAGCACATTGGCTTGGTTGTTGGTCGCGGTGGTAGGAACATATTGGAAATCAGCCAGGTAAGCGGAGTCTTGATATTTCCTCTCCTGTCTTAATGAATTAAGTCAAATTGTTCTCAAGGCACTAAATTTCCATGTTTTTGTTGTTGTTGTTGTTTAACAGGTCAGCGGGGCAAAGATAAAAATATCAGACAGAGGCGATTTTATGACCGGGACAAATGACAGGTACGAATTCCGACCAACTCTTTGTCTTGGCTCTCCTTCTCCTACTGCGCTAATCGGTGCAACTCTGAAACTTACTTTCTGTCACGGTGTTACTGTGTTTGGCAGGAAAGTAACAATCACAGGGACACAAAGGGCCATCCGTGCAGCTGAGGGCATGATAACTCAGAAGGTGTCTTATGCTTCGGAGAGAGTTGCCGATCAGCTCTGAGTTTCGGGTGCTTCGAGCTCCAGTGTAGTTGGTGATAGCGGATTTTGTTCTGTTAATCTCGTTAGTTCCTTGATTTCGTTGGGACAGAAAGCTTTGCAATTTCTTCTGTTGTTATAATTGGGTGACTTTGGAGTTTGGTTCACATGCCTTACTTAGAGATGAGTGGTGAATGGATTTGGGTCGGCAGATCTCAGGCGCATATTTTATTTGTTTTAGGGAGAGAGAGGGGCACGAAAGTTCTCCTGTAGGCGCGGTTGATAGATGAGTTCGTTGGAGCTAAGGAAGAGTTTGGAGTTTCTTGGGCCGGAGGGGGACATGGATTATCTTTAGGTTGGAACTTGGAAGTAGCTTCAGAGACTGTATGTTTAAGCAGGAGCTTATTTGATATAGTTGCTAGATTACATTTGTCTACCTGCATCTCTCTCTGCCAGTCTGCTGTTTGGGCCAAGCCCACCTGCATATCTCTCCCCAAGTTTGCTGCCTGGGCCAAGCCCAAATCAAAGCCTGAAGATGCCTTTCTAATCTATTCTTTACTGGATACGGCTAGCGTCATCTGAAACTCTTTAGGACAAGGCAATGGGTTACGGTATTCGGTCAACCTTATCGATAACTGCTGGAGTTATCTCCTTCCATTTCGATGCTGCATGTTTTATTTCGCACGTTCTTCGGCAGGCCTACTCGGTTCCTAGTGAGATGGTAACGCGTGCTTAAAGAGTTACGGGTCTCCTGCAGCCTACAAGCAAGAGACTATGGTCAACAGCTACACCTGCACTTCATCTTTTACAGGCATACGTTGCCCCCATTTATTGTGTACGGCAAGAAGGATGGAACATGGCGAACGAGTCAAAATTTGCTTACCAGCACAAATTATTTAGGAGAGGTTTTTGGTCATCTTTTCATTAATACTTGTCACTTGTCATTGCTTCGTATGATTATTTACAATAATTTGATTAGTTATTACTATCGGCAACCGAACATTTTGTGAAGAGTCAAAAGTTTGTTCCATAATCTATTTCTCATCTATATATACATACGCCATGATCAAGGAAACAAGGTTGAATCTCGCAGCATCATATCATGCGAAAATAGTTACGAAACTTATTGACCAAAACAAAAACCGTGCAATACATAATGACCGTAATTTATTATTCTCGCAAAAAATAATAGTAATAATACATATAAAAGTGAATACAACATACCATGTAACGTTACATCATACCACAACATAAAAAATTATGGGCATCCCATCTCCACTTCACTTATACCTATGGAAGTGAAGCAACATATAGGGTTGCAACTTTATTTTTCTAGATTAATACCCCCCACAATTGTGTCTAATAAAATTCATGAATCCATCGAAATCCTCATATAGGCTTGCAACTTAATTCATTCATGGGGAGTTGTCATCATCTCCTCCTCCTCCTCCATAGCCCGACCCATAACCTTCCCCCGACCCACTACCATACCCGGAACCACCATTTCTCCCCCCTCCTCCACCGCCGCCACCTCCACCGCCGCCGCCTCCACCTCCACCACCACCGCCACCTTTCCCGCCTCCACTCCCACTCCCATACCCGGACCCACTCCCACTCCCGTACCCCGACCCCGACCCGCCATTGCCACCGCCGCCACCACCTCCTCCACCACTACCACCACCGCCACCTCCCCCGCCTCCTTTCCCACCCCCAGACCCATACCCCGACCCGCTCCCAGACCCGGACCCATAACCCGACCCGCTCCCCGACATGGAGCCACCACCTCCTCCTCCACCCCCACTGCCGCCTCCACCACCACCACCTCCCCCTGCATTCCCAGACCCCGACCCGTACCCGGACCCACTACCCGACCCGTACCCCGAACCCGACCCAACTCCAGCCATCCCGCCCCCACCACCACCTCCTCCACCACGTCCCCCGCCTCCGCCGCCACCGCCTCCTTTAGTACCTAGAGTCCTGGCAGCGAAAGCAACATCGACAATGAGCAGGACAAGGAGTGCAACCCCCATCACCTGCTGATTCCTCATCGACGCACTCGCCATTTTGACTCGCATGCAGCTACAGTAATAAAAATTTTCAATGGACGATCGATCAACTTTGTGTGAGTGAATTATGAGGAGAGAAACAGAAAGAGATCGAAGAGATGATGTTGTGGGAGAAACCAAGGCTGCCCTGCAGGCTATTTATAGGCACTGCCATATAACGTAGTGGGATACAAATGTTGGTACGAGTTCAGCTCACTGTTGAGAGACTTAAAAAAGTGACTTTAGGACTTAAGCTTGTTGGTTTTTCTAGTACATTCGATTCGTTGGTGATGGATGGAACAAGAGTGGGAAAGGGGAGGCCTTAGTGGGTTTTGGTGGTGGTGGAGGGTATGTTTGCCCTACAGTGGTGGGGCTGTTTCTTTTGTGGACCAGTTGGCCTTTTCTCTAAGGCCGATGATTCGTTCGTTTGTGCAGAAGCATGCTTGTTGGTTTTGTACCTCTTCTTCGTTTGATCAATGGTGGGAATGAGATGGAATGTTCCCTCCTGTTTTTTTTTGGCTTTTTCCTCCCATGCTAGTTCTTTGACGTGTCAGAACAAGAATGAGAGAGAGAGGAGAAGTGACCAAATTGCTTTTCCCTATTGGTAGTACGAGGGCTAATAGTAATAGCTCATTATACATGAGTTCACAAACTCCATTATCTTAGCACCAAATTGTTTTTTTTAATTCAGTGGTAGTGGGTTTGCTATACGTGGTGGGATGCGATTACACTTGTTTTTATGAGAGTTTGAAGTGAAATGCCACCTAACAATTTTAGTCCTATCACATGCATTTAAATACTGTTCTATATATATTAGTGTTCAAATTAACAATTATAGGTCCGACCTAGGTGCATGTTTGGGTAATGTCAATGAGATTTCATCCTATGTACTAAGTTGTTTTCTTTCCTCATTAATTTGACATGATGTTTTCTTTGAATAAGGTTGATGCTATTGAGTTACTACACTAAGTTCACTTTAATGGTATGTGTGTGTCTAAAATCAATAATAAAAATGAAAAAAAAATAAACAAATTATTTATATGTTTTGTTTGACCATTTTGCCTATAACCTTTGAAATATGTTCCAGGGCTAGCGGGGGAAGGAGTAAGAACTACGAAGCGATGGATGTTTCGTGCGTAGTGGAGCTTTTGGCACTATGTGATGCTATGAGGTGGTTGGTGACGCGCGCGGTGGTTTTTGGTTACGTTGGTGATGTCAAGAGTGTGTTGTATAATAAGGTGAACATATGCGACATTATGGATGCTAAGGACGAGGTTATCTTTTAAAAGATGGTTGATGTTCGTTTGCAGTTAGTCCACATTCGTTTCTGAGTTTTAATTTGTGAATCGAGTTCATGAGAGGGGCGTGTAATTAGTAGGTTAATTTGATTGTGTTTCTTTCATTACGCGTTGAGTTGGACATGGTCATTGCATGTGTACCTTTTTCTTAGTTAGACGATGCATGGCTCTACCTAATCAATCGCGTTAGATGCAAAATGTATACTATCTGCTGCTCATTGGAGGATTGCATTTTAGATACATAACCTAACTAGCTAGCTAGCTTGCTGAAACTGTGGCCCGGATGCCATTCTTTAATTTCTTCTTCTTCTTCTTTTTGGTGAATGGCGGCAGGTGGGAGTATTTTGGTTGCCAATTCATGTAATTTGCAGATCCACCGCCCGCGTGAGTGTAAAGATAAGCCCACTCTTGACTTTGGCGTCACCGACTTCTTCTTACAGTGCGTGACTGATCATTTTACTGTTCAAAGTCTGTTATGGTTGCAATTTTCTATAGGAGGAGAGGAGAGTGCTAGCTGTTGTTGGTGCATGTGAACGTGTATGGCTAAGGCTGCGAAAGAGGTTCCTTGCTACACATTGAAGATTTAAGGATGATGGATATAATTAAGTACGTGTGATCAGATTATTGCAAGCTGCCCAAGCCCACAAATATGGCGACCAGCTCACCAACCCAAATTCCTTTCCCACCTAGGAATGGAATAGGATACGATAGTGGAAGTGTGCATGTCTTGTTTGTCTTCTACCTTCTTCCAGTATCCAGACTTGATGTACACGCCAGCTTAGAGTACTAGACTAGACTAGCTTGGCTCACTTTTCCTCTTCACTTTCGGGCATGGAGATTGGACATTCACATAACATAGTTGCACTCCACCTTGGCCTTTCCCCATTCGCTTTGGGTAGGTGGTCTCGACATTACACCATTGTGATTAACAAAACAGATGGCGATTAAGAAGATTCCGAACATGAGATATTTTGATCGCACAAAACTCTGATATTTTGTCAAGAATTATTTGGTCCCCCAATACCTCGAGGTGTTTGGAGAGTTCAATTATGAATTATATATCATTTACTAACAACATCCTGCTTAGTATCATTTTTGCTTCCAACTATTGTTTTCATTGCAAACACACAAAACTATGTTTTCTTCTATTGTTCTGGTCACACGAGTTGGCTACACGAGATAATTTAGCCAAAAGCAGTGAAACAATTTCAAATAGCTTTCCGTATTGTTTTCCAAAAGTCGTTTCTTGTGGAAACTTATTAAGCTGTTGTAATAATTTCATTCACAAATCCATATATAGAGTTTACATCAAATTTCAACAAACTCATTTTTTTTTACATATTTTTTCATCTCTATTTTTTCGCATAACTCAAAACCCAAAACCTATTGCCAATATTATTATTATATCTTTTTCTCTCTCAATTTTCTCATAACTTGTCATATTCCTCCCATTTACTTTCCTATCTTTGTCTTAGCCTCAATATTAATACTCAACATAGCCTAACGAAGTAAGCAACGTAGAAAATTGTTACAGCTTCCATAATTTCTCAGAATTACCAACTCAATGTGTTTCTGTTTTCCATTTTCATGGTGTTGTGGTTTACTAAACGCAAGCATAAGTTGTGTAAATCAGCTATGGTTATGGAATGTCATTCGTGCGGTGGCCTTGAAACTCACCGTTTCAACCTACACCAACAAGGATTGGATTGTATTGTAGCTCGTGTACGTGACTAAGGCATTGAACAGTTGAACTTATCGAAGGGGAGTATCATGTCCAAATCCACCAAAAATCTTCCCCAACAAGTTGAACGTAATTGATTTAGTATACCATTTAGCTTTTGGACAAATAATTTTTTTTTGTTAACTGTAAAATATTTATGGCACTAGCAAACACAAATGTCAAATAAAATTATGACAGTGACTTCCCAGAATCCCATTTATGACACTCCCAAGTAAAGCCCAATAAACAGGCCTCGAGTGTCTCAACTCTCGGCCCAAAGGAGTAATGTTGAGCCTACTGTACTATGCCAGCCCTTGGGCCTCACCAAGCCGGCGCTTTGAGCTTGAGAGCCAGGTTCAGCCTGTTATACCTCCAAAGTTTTCTCAAAACGGGAAGAGCGTGCGTGGTCGTCCTGCTGCTAACGCCTGCCAGCCAGTGCCAGACAATAATAATATAATATTTTGTTTCTATAAAATAAAATAAAGGCAAAGAAGAGGAATATTCAGATCCTTTACGTGCTGACCTGGCAACTGCCACCGGCTGCCATCCTCACTGTCCTCCTTCCGATCCCAATAATCTCAACAACGCCTTCCCTCTCCCTCCCTCCCTCCCGCGGCTGCTCTTCCGCCGTTACCATCGCCCCAACACCACCGCCGCCCTTCTAATTGTAGCCGTCAAACTCCGCTCCGCAGTCACGCCCGCGCCACTGTCATTTCCGTTTCCCGCTCACTATCCCCGCCTTCCGCTACTTTCCCTCCCTCTCAGATCCCGATTCCCCTCTACCCCGGCTCCGATTCAGGTACATGCATTCCCTGCCGCCAATTTGCAGTGTATTGGGAATTGGTTTAGAATTTTGCGGTTATGTTCTGATCAGCGGGAGTTGTTCGAATGAAAGGACGGTGAAATTGATGTGCATTTGGGGAATTTTGGTGGATCTGCTTGCGAATTGTCTGCCTAGCAAGGATTTTTCTGTCCGAAGTGGCTCATCCAAGTCCCTTAGCTGTGTTTTGCATTGTTCAATAGTCTCCAATTCATTCATGAATCATGATGATTTTTCACTTGGGTCTTCTTGGGTTGTAGTTGCATTTGTATCTTGAGAAACAATAGCAGCAAAAAATGGTTAATTTGTTTGAGATTCTGATCTGAATTTTACACAAATTTTATGCGTGCTTGTAGTTACTCGTAGTTTTAAACATTGATTGGTTTTAGGTTGCCCAGAAACTCTGCTATGGGAACTGAGGAGATTAAGGGAGAAGTGGGCGATTGGTTTTCACAATTGGCATATGAACAATGGGTGCCAATTCCTGTTTCTAGCACAAGACCATCAGCTCGCTACAAGGCATGCCTTTCTTCTAGTGGTTTTATGTTATGTCCATTGGCTTTGAAACCTCTCACCTCTTTATGAATGCTGTGATGTTTGCAACTAATTAATAGTAGTCTTTGCTTTGTTGCTTTTTCCTTTTGTCTCCTACTTGGTAGAATGTCAGGTTTCACCATTTTATTCTCTAGCAGTTCTGACGGATTTTCATTTTTCATCCCATTGCAGCATGCCGCTGCCATTGGTGATGATAAGTTATATATATTTGGCGGGAGTCGTAATGGTCGGTACCTATCTGATATACAGGTGCGGAATTTGATCATTTAAGCACGTAAAACTTTCATTCCTAATCATTTATTTATCAGAATCGTCACATTTTTTTCATTCTTCGTAGGTTTTTGATTTCGGAAGTTTCGTTTGGTCTAGCATTAAACCAAAAATTGAACTGAATGGTCATAGAGTTGAGGAAGCGGGATCACAGGATGCTCTTCCTGCCACGTCAGACCACAGCATGGTAGGAACTTTGCTATTAGAATTTAGAAATGAATGTTGAGGAGATCCTTTAGAACCAAGTGTGACCTATGAAAAATGAACACACTTGTTGTCTTTTTATTTTGATTTAACTGATAATGTTTCTCAACTTTCGCAGGTCAAGTGGGAAAACAAGCTGCTGCTACTCAGTGGGCACTCCAAAAACTCTTCTGATAGCATGATAGGTTAGTTTTTGTTAACACAAATGAAGTACCCAAAAACAACTACTGGCTCATGAGTAGCTTTTTAGACTCGTCATACAAATCATCTGGTGCAGTGCATTTCATTGATCTACAAACACAACAATGTGGTATCCTCGAGACCTCAGGAAATTCTCCTGTAAGTGCCAACCACTTTTGATTTCCGGTCTGTTCCTTTTATGTTCTCCACTCACAATTTAGTTTCAATTGACTTTTCTTCTCTGGAAAGCAATGCTAAAATGGTTGTATACATAAAAAGTTTGTATTAAACATGCTGTACTGTGTTTCAGTCCACTCGAGGGGGATACTCTGCTACAATTGTTGGTTCTAGACTTGTGATATTTGGCGGAGAAGATCGGAGTAGGAAGCTGCTGAATGACATACACACCCTTAATCTTGAAACCCTGATTTGGGAATTGGTGGAATCATTGTAAGCAATTTTTCTTTCTTTCTTTTGTATAAACTATTTTCATGTCAGGGAAACCTTCTGCAACACTTTCTCATGTTTCATAGGCAGACACCTCCAGCTCCGCGATTTGACCACACTGCAGCAGTAAATGCAGGGCGCTACCTTTTGGTATTTGGTGGTTGTTCTCATTCGATCTTCTTCAACGATTTTCATGTGCTTGACCTACAAACAGTAAGTGTATTAGCTTATTTACTTGATGCTCTTCTTTTTTAGTTCTTGACGAGAAGCTGAAGAGTGTGAACAATGATGCTGGGAGACAGTTATCTTTAGTGCAGGAAGTTTTAGTTGCTTAAATTCTTTTGGAAAACATATTGGTGTTGATGAGTGCCATGAACTTTTATAGTGGAGTCGGATGTATGATATACCTTTTTCTTCTCTCCTAACATCCTGAAATTACAACCCAACTACCCAAAGGATGAGATTCATATTTATTGGGCTTGGTTCTGGGATATGACTTTATTTCTGGTTTAATGCAAAGTTAGGATTTCACTTTTCCCCAGCAACAAGAGAAGTGAACTTTGTTTGGTGTTTTAGTATTTAGGTGTTCCACAGATAATGTTAGACAAGTATGTGCTGAACTTTGCCTATTGATTCGATGTGGTTTCTGGTATTTCAGATGGAGTGGACCCAACCAGAGATTCAAGGTGATTTGGTGACTCCTAGGGCTGGTCACGCTGGTGTAACCATTGATGAGAACTGGTACATCGTTGGTGGGGGAGATAATAAAAATGGTATTAACATTTTGGCCTTCGTCCTCGTTCATATGATTGCATAGGCTACTGTGCACGACTTTCTGAAACCCCCTATGTTGTTTATTTGATTTTTCTCCCTGAATTAAGATGGTTAAACTTACATAATTCTAGTTCTTAAACACGAAGAAAGTAAATGCTAGTAGGTTCCAGTTACATCACTCCTTACAATTGGTTGCAGTTCCTCTTTCTCCAATGTTCATTACTTATTTACTTTTGGTTTGGCCTTTCAGATAGTTGGTCCAGGCCTACTAATATAAATGTTGCCAGTAGAATCCTGACCATACACAATTTAAAAGAAGGAATATACAGGGTCTTATGATTCTGAATTTAGTTGTTCTACTTGATTAATGTTGATCATAAATAATGATTTAATTGCTAATTTTACAGGTTGTTTAGAGACCCTTGCATTGAACATGCCCAAGCTTTCCTGGTCAACATTGACCAGCGTAAAGGAAAGGCATCCACTTGCCAGTGAGGTCTGTACTTTTCCCTTTGGAGGTATTCTTTTCTGTTTAAGGGCTGTCCCTTTGGACCTTGATATCGCTTGAATGTCACTCTGCCTCATACTTGATGACATGTAATTGATGAATAACACCACCGGCTTGATTGTAAATTGGTACAGAACTTCTAGTTGTACTCTGATATGCTGGATTGTGTTAAACTGGTTCCCCGTCTTTTTTTGTTGCCACGAGAAGCAGTTTTGTCTAGATATTTCTTGTTTAGTTTTTTACATTGGAAGTTTGTATCTAATGTTTTGTTCCCTCGGTGAAAAACAGGGGCTAAGGGTTTGCTCAGCATTGATCAATGGGGAGAAGTACTTGGCTGCTTTTGGTGGTTATAATGGGAAATATACTAATGAGGTATAATCCATTACAAGAGTTGTCATTGTCCTCATATCTCTTCCTTTGCGTATTCTGTCTGATCTCAGTTAGTTTTGTAGGTCTTTGTTATGCGACTGAAACCCAGAGACACTTTACGGCCCAAAATTTATCAGTCACCAGCAGCTGCAGCAGCAGCCGCTTCTGTTACAGCTGCATATGCCTGGTCCAAATCTGAGAAGTTGGATGCTTCCCGCCTAGAAGCAAACTGGAGAGAACAAGGTAAAAAGAAACCTTCTGAAGAAGACCTCACTATTGAAATTGATACAATAAAGGAAGACAAAAAGATACTGGAAGTATCCCTAGCAGATGTCAGAGCTGAGAATTCTAGGCTCAGGGAAAAGATCGATGAAGTTAACAGTACTCATGCTGATTTATCCAAGGTTTGCTTCTCATTCAATTGTTTATTTACGCATGGTTGTTAAAATGCTTTTGGATTTTATCTTCATTCTAATATTCCTCCTGCAGGAACTCCATTCTGTGCAGGGTCAATTGGTGACTGAGAGATCGAGATGCTTTAAACTCGAGGTTCTTCTGTTTCCTCTCGTCTTCACCTTCCTGTCTTTTTCTTTTTTGTCAACATCAGTCAGAATGTTTGATTTTGGGGGGAAACCATGATTTACAGGCACAAATTGCAGAGCTGCAGAAGGCACTTGAATCATTGGAGTCAATAGAGAATGAAGTCCAACTACTCCGGAGACAGAAATCTGTTCTGGAACAGGAGATTGAGATGAATGATGCCGCTCAAAAGCAGGGTTCTGGCGTCTGGCGTTGGATAGCTGGGTGAAAACACTACTACTGCAGGCAATGCATCGAGCTTTTGGTTCCTACCATTTTTGTGAAGATACCGTTGGCTGACATCGCTGGAACTGGATTCCAGAGGATCTGAAGCTGCAAAACATTTGATACATCTACTTTTCTCTCGGAGATGCTCTGGTATCAGGAACTACAGATACAATCGAAGATCACCTCTTGTATGAATTCCGAAGATCCATATCATTACCTGCCATGACGAACTGATGTTGTTGCTGTTATAATCTTAAGTTATTGGTTTGTTTGCTCTTCTCCTTGCCCAAAATGAGGAATTGTATCACTTTTGCTAGTGAGATTCATCTTCTCTTACAAACTTATACACACAGAGCGCTACTTTCTTTTCTTTGTTTACGTTGTTAATTCAATGGGAAGTCCCAAGATAATAGCAGCACGCTACAGATAAGTTTATGTAGCCAATTACTGAATCTGTAAACTAAACTTTTTGCAGTTTCGTCCATTTCTAGTGAAAGCTTTCGTGATGGATAAGCTTCTAAGTTCCATTCATATTGGTTGAAATAGAAGACATTTTCGCACACTAAAAAGTAGCAGACATAATTACAATACCTTTCCGAAATCGACCTGAAAGTAAGTAGAGGCAGGGGTGTACATGGGTCGGGTGGTTCGGGTTTAGTCATTTTAATCACCCGACCCATGCACTACGGTTTGGAAAATATCAAACCCAAACCCACCCAAAAAACTTTAAACCCTACGGTTTATTTCTAATTGGGTTGGGTCGGATTGGCGATATTTTTAAGTAAAAACCCAACCCAACATAAAATATATAACTATTCTACATCATAAAAATATTTTATAACTAATTAAAATTTCAAATGAATGAACCAAGGTTAAAGGTATCAAAATTCACAAATGTTGTTTAAATTTTAATAAAATGTGATTTACTTCAACATATGTCTTGTTTTTTTCACGATATTTGTTGAAATAGGCTAAAAATGTTATAAACAAATGCATCCATCATATGTTATTCTATTAAAATTGTACACAAGAAAAAGGATTACGTGAATCATAACTATATTCAATTTATGTCTAAACTTTAAGTCGAAGAATGCATTAGATTAGGGAGACCATGAGAGAAAAACATGGCGAATATCTTAATTTTCTCATAAGTATATGACTATATACGACATAAATATTTTTTAGATCTGAACTTATACTAATAGTTGGAACACGGGTTGGGTCGGGTTCTACGGGTTGTGTAATCCAAAATCCAAACCCAGCCCAAAAGAGGCGGGTTGTACAAAAGAAAACCCTCACCCAACCCAAAACCTTCGTTTTAGCGATAAATACGGGTGGGTTGGGTCGGGTTGGACGGGTGGGTCGGTTTGCGGGTTTGTTTGTTCACCCCTAAGTAGAGGCAGACAAACTACACTCCCCTCGGCTACCTATTGAACCTATAACTGGACAATCACATATCAGTATCACTGATACCAAGTGAACATATACCGGACTTCTTTACGCTCTACAAGGGAAAAGAACACGTCTTCTGAAATCTCCATCATCCCGGCACTAGTCCCATAAACACCATTCATTATCTTCACATCTTTCAGTTGATGCCGCCAACAGGTACCATTGCCACAACAGTTGCTGGGATTGACGTTCATAAGCTTCCCGCAGATGTACTGTTTTGATAGGAGTAAGAGAGTCACTAATAATGAACTCATAACATGGAAGAAACAAGCAATTATGAACTGACTACTCTGATGGAACGGTGTTCTCATACCTCTGAAAATAAGAAGCTGTACTTTAGTTGTTTCGGAAGGCGTTGAGTTATACCCACGAACTGAGGACGGCATGCCCAGAACAGACCATCAAGAAGGTTAGCACACGCCTTCAAAGTATCCTGGTACGAGGAATTCTCCCCAAATTGTAAATGTTGAACAACCGGAGGAGGGGAAGTGCAATCAGCTTGGCTCAAGTCGAATGACACCTTTCAATTGGCACATACACAGACAAACAAGAATGGTTTAGTCGATTAAAAGTTAAAACACATTTCTGTACACGCATATTGTAAACATTCATCGAGAGAGTCAGAAAGGTCCATATACCTGCTTAAAGAATCCTGCTCCATCCAACTTCAATGCCGTGTGGAGTTTACTTAACCCTGTAAGGAACTGCCTCAATCCAAGAAACCATTCGTACGTTATGGGTAGACGAAAATCAATGTCACACACTTCAACTACGCATTGGCAATTCGATGCCACACTAAGGACATTGGTTTTGCCAAGCAACCCAGAGCCACGTCTGGAGTAGTAGAGATTAACCAGATTGGGAGCATCAATCTCAAGCTCCTTCAATGCCTCCATTGGGCGGAAATCGTCGATCCTGAAATGCTGAAGCTTATCACTCGAAATCCTTATTCTACTGTTGCTGCAGGACTCCTTGATCACAAAATGAAGAGACTCCAAAGATGGCAACTTGGAAATCAAATCATCAAGATCAGACTCTGTAAACCCCTTGGAGTCACTAAATTCTAGCACTCTGAGACTGGGGGCTGAAGATGAAGATACCACTTTCAGCTTACATTGCCCTGTGTGTTTAATGTCCAGACTCTCCAGTAGTGGGGCTGCAGCTAGCTGAAGTTCAATCAGGGAATGCGGCTGCTCAATTTTTAGGGTTTTCAAGTTTGGAAGATTACCATCGACGGAGATCTCCAGCCTCTCCAATTCAACGAGCGATTCCAAACGCAGTGACTCCAGACGTGGGGCATTATCAATGAAGCTGCGGACGACGCTTTCCTCGACCCTGACATTTTGGAGATGAAGAACCCTAAGACTGTCGAGGGAAACTGAGCGGTTTCGGAATCCATCGTCACCAAATCTGCAACCTCTCAGCTTCAGAACCTCGGTGCGACTGCAATTGGAGAGCATCCCCTCGGGGAAACCATGGAACCCGCCGGTTTCGACTACTATCTCAATCGGCGATAGGGTATGACTGACGGCCAACGCCGCTGCCGCTGCCAGCAACGCGGTGAGTTCCTCACCAGCGAAATCGCGATTGGGCGGCGACGAGATCCTGAAAACGTCCAACGGCACCCCGTAATTGTCATGAATCAAGAGTCTCCTTGACCAGGAGGCGGCGAAGCTGCGGAACTTTTGGCCCAAATCACACCGACGATCGGCGAAGTCCTCGTGGCGAAATTCCAGCACCGGGTACGAGCGCCAGAATTGGAGCCAACTTCTGGACAAGGCGCTGGTTCTCGCTACCTGAACTGGAGAGTTCAGGCGGTCCAGAATATTGTGAATGATTTTGATGGGAAGCGCTGAAATTCGATCGGTGCCGCCGGCTGCGTCGATCATCGGCTGCTTTTTCATAGCTCTGTCTCGGGGTTTCTACTACTCTTTCCGGTCCTCCTACTAATATATGTTTGGACAAGGGGTAAGCTATAATAAAATTTTTAATCCAAAATTACAAATTCATCACTAAATGGCACAACGTTTCATATACATCCAAAATAAGTGTATGGGAAACATTACAATTATGAGAATTTCTAAAAACACAGACCAATTGAGAGAATAGAGCAAGACAAAGTAATTGATATCTTCCATTGAGGGCATAGACAAAAACATATATTACAAGTTAGTAATTATCATAGACTAAAAGATCATGTCAAAAAATCTTGATGACACATTCATCGTTCGAATCGAAGTCAATGAAATTTATGTAATGATCATCTATCTTTACTAAGAAATTATGGAATGTCATAAGTCGAACAACCATCCGACATTAGCTAAGAATTGGTTACGGGTCGAGAATGCTAGATTACATCAGTATTGTAGAGGTATTGAATTTGAGTATTTGGTTCAAAAATCTTAATATATGATTATAGGTAGAGATTTTTAGCATATGTTATAATAGGATTAATCAAGAGTATGTATTAATCGATTAATAGTTTAATTTTACAACTTAGGAGTATGTACTGCTTTCAAAAATAACTTAAGTGTTGAGTGGTTAGTTAATAAATTAATCTATAGCTTTACTGGGAAGACAGGTTTGGAATCTATTACAGAACCCTAGTACCCTGGTGGCTCGTGTTTTAAAAGCAAAGTACCATCCTCATTGTGATATTTTAGAGGCTGAGATGGGTACAAACCCAAGTTACATCTGGAGAAGCTTACTGAAAGCTCAAAGCTTGGTAAGGGAGGGCACGAGATGGAGGATAGGAGATGGTGAAAGTGTGAGGATTTGGTGGGACAGATGGATCCCAGCAGCTGAGGACTACAAAGTGCAAACACAGGTGAATGGCCTGGGAATGATGGAGAGGGTGTCGAGTTTGATTGATCATGAGAGCCGATCGTGGAAAAGCAACATTTTGCAAGCAAATTTCCAGCCAGAAGATCGAGATCGGATCAAACAAATTCCACTACCCTTTAGATCAAGACCAGATGTTCGAATTTGGGGAAAGGAGAAATCAGGAAAGTATTCGGTGCGATCGGGGTACAAAGAGTGGAGGAGAAGGCATTTGAGCGGCCAGGAAGAGCACTATGTCCCGATCGACTGGAAACAGCTCTGGATGTTGAAACTACCGCCAAAGGTACGAGTTTTTGTTTGGAGATGGGGTAGTAATATTCTTCCAACGGGTGCAAATTTGAGTAGAAGAATCCCGGAGGCAAATGATGAATGCCCATTTTGTGGGCTAGTGGAGACGCAAGAACACATTACGCGGGATTGTGATTGGGTTGGCCGAGTCTGGAGACCAAGTTATTTGGCGAAGTTCTTTGAAATGGGAGAAGGAAAGAATTGCGAGGAATGGCTTTGTAATCTAATTGAAGGAACGAAAGAGGAGGAACTCACTATGGTTCTGATTACCCTATGGTTTCTCTGGAAAGAGAGAAACAACCATCTATTCAACAATCACAAGATGGAGGAGTGGGAAGTAGTGATGAGAGCACAGAATTACCTGGAAGAGTACCAACAATTGCAGAAGGGTCCTGATCGGAAACCTAAGATGCCGGCGGTTAGGGTTGTCTGGGAGCCGCCGCCTCAGGGGTGGTTCAAGATGAATACTGACGCGGCCGTGCTGGGGGAGGATGGAACGGGCTATGGGATGGTGATCAGAGACGGGTGGGGGACTTTTCAAATGGCAGCGGTACATCGGACAAGGACGAAATGGTCACCGGAGACGGCAGAGGCTCTTGCCCTGCTTTGGGGATTGAAGCTAGCAAAAAGACATGATTTTGGGCCGCTGATTATGGAAACTGACTGCAAATCGGTGGTGCTGAAGTTGGATAGAAGGGATTTAACTGCATGGGAGGTTGGGGGAATCTGTGATGAGATTCGGGAGGTGGCGGAGGAAGCTGGAAATGTGCAATGGAGATTTTGGGGAAGAAATGCGAATGAGTGTGCTCATTTGCTGGCCCGTACCCAATGTCGACCGGACGAAACCGAAGTGTGGTTCAACCGAGCTCCTCCCTTCATCATACCTTTGTTAGCAAAAGATGGCATTGTAGTACCTGAATTTTCTTAATCTCTCAATACAGGTTTCTTGTCAAAAAAAAAAAAAAAAAGAATTCATAAATTATATTGCACTCGCATGCCAAAGCTCTGAATTACTTATTAAAAAAGATAAATCTAATTTCCAATTTTATCCTGTTAAAAAACAATTTTTTTACAAAGTTATACTGTTATTAGTGACCGTTGTCTTTATATCGCTCAATTGAATAAGATTTTTTTTTTGGTAAAAAATTGAATAAGATTTCAACGACTGTAAAATTCTACATAACCAACATTATGCAGTGGCGTCACTGCCTTATTGCTATTAACATTGACCAAACCCAATTTCCTCACAGGTTACACCATTAGAACTAAGACAATTTGGAACCAACTCTTATAGCAATTTGCGACCAATTTTGTGGTCGCGAAATAGTTTTTTTTTTTTTTTTTAGTGAAGCCAATCAAATCTTTGCTGTAAGTCGTTGCTGGTTGTGCAAAATGAGCTCCTTCCTCAAAATCTTCCCCGCCGCCGACTTAGGAATCGCGCCGATGAAGGCAACCCTTCTCACTTTCTTGTAGGGAGCAACCTGTACGATCAACGACGCCATTAAAGACCACGTCAAACCCCAAACCAAAAAAATACACGAAAACTGATAAAAACAGAGGTAGTTCATCCATGGTTGGCCGACCTGATCAGCTACAAACGTAATAACTTGGTCTTCAGTGAGCACAGAACCGGAAGCTCTCACCACATACGCCATCGGTATTTCCCCCGACGCCGCATCTTTAACTCTGCAATCACGTGACCACATCTTAGTTCTCGACCATTTTCATTCCGATGAAAGAACTCTCGGAGTTGTTTGGATGATGAATTGTAATCGATCAATGCAATATCTCGTTTTGAATCAATTGTATAAAATTGACTCGTTTGCCAGCAAAAAATTGGATGGGTCTATTTGCTTGAGTTATTTTGAATCGATTCGTTTTGAACCAATTTCAATTGTCTGAAGTGGGGTCAAGTAATTCGAATGGTCGGAACTCACGGTATTACAGCTGCGTCCATCACTTGAGGATGAGTCAAAAGTATGGCTTCCAGTTCCGCCGGTGCCACCTGGAAATAAAAGATCAATTGTTCACCACTTAGAGGGAAAAAGAGTCGTTCGGATTAAATATTCTAATGAATAAATTGTCTCGTTTTTAAATAATTGGTTCAAATTGATTCATTTGATACTAAAATTTTTGGATGAAACAATTTGGTTTGAAAAATTTTCAAATTGACCTTTTTTAGACAATTATAATTGTTTTAATTTTTAAGTAACTCATTTTGTAAATGTGATAATTTTCATGGAGGAAAGAAAACCTGATAGCCGTTATGCTTGATGAGCTCCTTGATCCTGTCAACAACGAAAAGCACCCCATCACCGTCAAAGTAACAAAGATCCCCTGTTCGGAGCCACCCGTCGGAATCAATCGTCGCCGATGTAGCCTCCTCGTTCTTCAGGTATCCTTTCATCACCGCCGGACTCTTCACCCACAGCTCCCCTCTTCCGTACGGAGGCAGAGCATCCCCTGTTTCCGCATCCACGATTTTCGCACAAAATCTCGGCAAAAGCCCCCCGCACCCTTCCGGCCGCCGCTTGGCCACCTCGTCGCTCGCAAACATCGTCGTGGCTCCGCAGCTCTCCGTCAAACCATACCCCGGCCGCAATTCCACCCACGGAAACCTCCGCCGGAACTCCACCCCCAATTCCCCGCTCAACGGCGCCGCCCCCGTCCCCACCCGCCGCAACGAGCTCAAATCGAACCCCGACGCCGTCGCGAACTTCACCATCGCGAGAATCACCGGAGGGACCGCGGGGATGTTGTTGACCCGGTGGGTTTCGATCGATTGGAGCATCAGGTTGAAGTCGAATTTGGGGATTAAGACGGTCTTGATCCCCAATGTGAACAACCCTAGGGCGAAGAAGGCCAGGCCGTAGATGTGGAACATCGGGAGGAAACAGAGGAACGTGTCGTCCTCCGCCGACATCGCACGAACCGACCATTTCATCATCGTCATCACCGCAATAAAATTCGAGTGCGTGAGGATCACGCCCTTGTTCGCTCCCGTCGTCCCCGACGAGTACAGAATCGCTGCGGTGTCTGATTGCGAAATTGAAACCTGCGGCTCTGTGGAACCATCGCCGCCGCCGCAGCAGTCGATTAGTTCCTCGCAGGACACGTAATCGAGAGCTCTCGTCGTGGTGAGGACGGGGATTCCGATTGATTCGAGCTTCTGGAGCTGTTCGGGAGCCGCGACGACGAATTTGGCACCGGAATCGTTGGCCTGTTTGGCGATTTCGGAGGTGGTGTTGACGGGATTGGCAGGGGTGAGAATCGCGCCGACGGACATGATGGCGAGGCAGATGGTTGGGTAGAGGATCGAGTTCGGGGAGAGGAGGAGCACGACGTCTCCCTTTCGGACGCCGATTGCGGACCGGAGGCCGGCGGCGAGGGATGTGATTGAGCGGCGGAGTTGGGCGTAGGTCAGCTGCTGGCCGGTTGAGGAGTCGATTAGGGCGATCTTGGATTCCGAAATGTCGGGGTGGGGGAATTGTGAGATGACGTATTTTGCGGTGTCTAAATTGTGGGCGGTGGGGATTTGGCCGTCTTCCGGTAAGTGGACGAGGGAACGGTAGATTCCGGTGTGGGGATCGTAGCCGGAGTTGTTCGCCGGCGGCGGGTGTGTGTTAGTGTTGCGTTGCTCTCCGGTTGGAACGGCGGCGGTCCATGGTTCTGGATCGAGGGACATTTTTTGGCGTTCTTGTGTTTTCAAGGATGGGCGAGCTCGGTGGAAGAAGGTAGTGCTTTGTAAGTTTCGTAGGTGTGTTTAGGAGTATATAAGTAGCTTTCAGTTTGAGCATATAGTTAATGACGGCAGGAGGGTGATTAGCGGCCGGCCGGGGAGAATTAGGAGGTTAAAGTAGGGATTAAATCGTAGAATATGCTGAGAAGGGATATGCCTCATGGAAGAGGAGATGGATGGAGAAACCAAAGGAAGAAGAGGGAAATGTTGATTGTTTGTTAGTGGTGCTCTGCCTGTGCTGCCGTCCGAGGCAAGGGCAAAGGAACAATATAACATTCGTGACCAAAGATATTGAGATCAATTGTTTTTCGATACTATATTGGACTTTTCGATACTTGGGAGGTATTGTACGATTCTCTTTTATGAAGCACATAATATTTGGATATGTACAAACTTTGAATTCATGTGAGTTAAGTTTTAGTGCGAGAATATGTGTTAATACACAATATAAAATTCATAATCGAACTTCTTCTAACAACTCGAATTAATGTAGCGAACTAGTTATTTCTTCTCTCGATCCCTATACACCATTAGGTGTTTATGAGAAATCATTTGAATACAAACGGTTGGAATGAAGGCGATGGCCAAGCTTTTGGACATTAGTTGTTGGCCTAATGACAACCTTTCAACTTCTCATTTTGTTCTTTTGGATGAAAATGATGGGAGGTTGGGACTTGGGACCAAAGACGAAATTTGGATCCTAGTGCAATGTTGATTTGGCCAATAGAAATGACATTCTGGTGATTATTATAGAGGGGTGTACTTAGTATGATTTTTTTTTTCATAGTTAGTGTTGAAAAGATAGTCAGGAAGAAAGAAAAGCGCAGGAGTCGACCAATAATCGAACTACCGATGAGAGGGGTTTTTGTGCCACATGATCGGCAGTCCTATTGAATTGACGAGAAACAAAACATTAAGAAACTTCGCTAAACGAGGAAGCTAAACTCCGAGCGTCTTTCAATATAGCTCCTCCCCGATCATGATGCATATCACTTCCAACCATCCGTCGGATCAATAGTTGAGAGTCCCCATGAAATTTAACAGCAAGAATGGAATGGGTTAGACACCACCACTATAAGGCTTCACGTAAAGTTAAACATTCCATGATAAACAAATCCTTGATCCCATCATAATATTTTCCAGAGGCAAATAGAACATTACCTATCACTTGGAAGCCTACAATGCCGATAATTCCTCCTTGACCAAGCTTGACCGCACCATCAAACCATACATTGATTATGCCTGAGGGAGAAATTTTCCGTTTATATTTTTCCAAGTGAAAAAACCGATATCGAAAATATGTTTGATTTTGTTACGGTAACACTATAGAATTAGCAAGAATTAGATATTAGTGAAGCCATTTTAAGTATTTTCTTTTATTGTTTTCAAACATTGTTTTCGGTGGGGTAGTACCGTAGTAGTAGCAGCTGTGAGCCTGTGAGAATAATTTTCTCTAAATTTTTACACAAGGCATTCCCAAAAAATCTCATCTTTATATAATTTTAAAGTTTTGTACTTCGTCAATTTTCTGATAACTCTTTCTGTCACACTGTTTTCTCCAATTCTTTTCCATACTTGTATCTTGTCAACATTGATTTGTATTGACTGGAATTTTTTTTATTTTTTATGAATTGACTGGAAATTGTTGAGATTTCTATTAGTCACATAAATATATATTATCAAAAAATAATGTTGATTAGAAAAGGCTAAAATTGGTAATCCATCACTAAATAAGTAGCTAATTGACTTTATATTATTGATTTTTAATTTTCCTGGATTTTATAGCATTGTAAACAAAATAATTTTATTTATTTATTTCAGATTTAGTGTGTGTTTTTTTTTTTTGCCATTCAACCGATCTCAAACGAGATGGAGATAAGATCCACACACCGTCAATTACAAACTACGTAACCAAGACACATAGTCGAACCTCGACAGGACCCGAGGCGACAAACTCAGGGACTTTTTGGCCACTAAATGAGCCTCCCTGTTCCTATGACGACCTACGAAACGTAGATCACAATACCTCCCAAAACCAGCCAACAAGGCTTGGATCTCACGCAAAATTGCGCCAACTTTAGAATCATTGAAATCCCCTGCCAAACATTTATCCAGGATAACCTTCGCGTCGCCCGTAATAAGAAGCGATGTGAGCTGTCTTGTGCTGCATTCCTTGAGACAATCCCGAAGAGCTAGGGTCTCCAAAACATGAGCATCTTTGATCCCTGCATAAATGGTTGCCGCTGCTGCAATTGGAAACATCATCCCTGCATCAGACGAACCGTCCCCAATCACATACGCTGCCGCACCTGCATCCCCCCTCCCAGTGGCGCCGTCGAAAGAAGCATGGAATTGATGACCATCATGCGGAAACGCTGATCCAGTAGGAACAGAAGATCGAAGCGGGATGGCCGGGGAAAGAGATGCGGACAAGAAAGCAGACTCAATTTCATTCACCTGATGACGCCACTCCGCCGCCCTTGACTCCAAGCAGACCTGTTGCTGATCAAAAACAACCATACACCTGTTCTTCCAAATACGCCAAAACATGGCTATAACTTGCAGGATAAAATAAGAATTATCCACCCTCCCGCTCTTATGAAAAAGCACCTCCCGAACCATACTTGCAAATGAACGCTTATCCCAACCTGCAAGCTGAGAACGAAAACCAACCAAGCTCCACAATTTTCGGGCAAAAGAACAATTAAAAAACAGATGTTCTAGCGACTCCACCTTCCGACCACAAACCGCAATAAAAACGAAAACAGCATGACAACAATATAAAACGGCGTTAAGCTCGTTGGATTAAGGCCTACCGCAAGTCGGATAGGGCCGGCTGGCCGAGAGGAAACCATTCTTGGGCTTGGGCTTGCTGGCTGATAGACTACTGTCGCGCGAAAACTGGGCATGAAAATCCATTTTTATCTGGTTTTGGGTAGATTTTCAGGATCACATGTAAACGCCACGTGTCGAATGGGTGGCCTTACACTGAATTTTCCCTCCCGCTTTTCCTATCATCCAAAACGAACTCAATACTCTGTTCCACTTCCTCCTTTCCCTCTCCCTCTCACTGAACCCAGGTTGCAGCAGCTGCTATAAACCCCACTCAGTTTCTCATCGTCTTCTCTTTTGCCACTCTCCCTCCTAGACTCTACCACCTTGACTTTTGTCCTTCTTTCTATCTTCCTTCCACCGTTGAGCTTTCTATCTTCTGGCCATGGCGGTGGCAGAGCTTACCTCCCGTGCTGCTGCTGCTGCTTCATTTGCCCGCAACAACGCCAACAGTCTCCACGCTTCACAAATCTATGTCCCTTCTTCCTCATCTCTTTCCTCCGACCATTTCCGAACCAGATATCGATCCACGGTCCTCCCCAAAATCACCTGCTCTGTAAAGTGCGTTTCTTTCTTCTCTAACCGTTTCTCTATTCTCTTCTCGTTTTGTTTGATGTTACAAGCTTCTAACTTCTTTTTTGTTATTTTCCTTCTGGGTTTCAGTCAAGTTCAAAATTCGGCTCCGGTTCAGGTCGAAATACCGAAGGACAAGGCTGACTGTTATGGTGTTTTCTGCCTAACCTACGATCTCAAGGCTGTAAGTTGCTCTGTTTCCTCTGCTTGGTAGTCCGTGTGATCCAGCACTTTAGTTTCATGAGGTTAAGATTTTGTCTTTGTTTTACCGGGTGCATGCTAGGTGTTTGTTGATAGTCTTGTGATAGTAATGCTGTGTGATGAACCAATCATCCTATACTTGTACGAGTGTGCAAGTTTGGGAATTTAGTAACTATAAGTGGGACATTCTGTTTAGGCGTTTACGTTCTTCTTTTGAAGCCTTTCTCCTGCTTTTCGCAGACTGACTTGAATTCTGTCTCCATGGCTGCTGAAACTGATGTTGTGGGTTTTTATTATTGTGCAGGAAGAAGAGACTAAATCATGGAAAAAGATGATCAACATAGCTGTATCTGGTGCGGCTGGGATGATATCCAATCATCTTCTCTTCAAAGTAAGTAGTAATAGCCTTCTACAACATGTTCATGAACGGCTTCTAGGTTCTTTAATCCAGATTAATGTGGCTTCCCAAGATGATGTTGCTTTTAGCCTGGTAAAACTTGTCCCTTGGATGGTCTTGTTATTCGAATTGGCAGTTTTGTTTCTAATGATTGGTATCTCTTTCATAGAGCAAGATTCTTTGCTAGTCTTAATCAGATGCACTAATTGTGAACACTTTCTCGTTCTGTACTACTTGCTTACAAGAAAGTTGAATCTTTGGTTATGCCTTGATTTTCTACTCTCCCATTGTGTTCATCTTGGTCACTGTGCTGTCCTATTGCAGCTTGCATCTGGTGAGGTATTTGGACCCGATCAACCAATCGCATTGCGACTCTTGGGCTCTGAAAGGTCAATCCAAGCTCTTGAAGGTATTAGTTCTTTGCATTCACGAAGGGAAATAATTTGACCTCATCACAAGAGAGCTATGTACTTGAAACATGTGTCTGTCCCGCATAACACAATAGGGAATGGGACTGTGCTGATTCATTGATCTATTGTTGTAATGACTCGGGCGATTTCTCTTTCACTCCAAAATTTCACTTGTGTGGTGGGGCAGGAGTCGCAATGGAGCTTGAGGACTCCTTGTTTCCTTTGTTGAGGGAGGTCAATATCGGAATAGACCCATATGAGGTGTTCCAAGATGCCGAGTGGGCTCTACTGATTGGAGCAAAGCCCCGAGGACCCGGGATGGAACGAGCTGACTTGCTAGATATCAATGGCCAGATATTTGCTGAGCAGGTGCCAATTGTTGCAAGATTTTCTCTTCTCATCTGTCCTTTTGATGCACTCATCGAAGCTTAAAGTCTTCACTCAAACTTGATAGGGAAAGGCTCTAAATGCCGTTGCCTCTCCGAACGTGAAGGTGATAGTAGTTGGAAACCCTTGTAATACCAAGTAAGTCTATCAATCAGGTTACTTGACATGTTTTCCCTTGGTTAGTTAAGGTCTGCTGTACATTTTAACGCTTCAATTGTTTGTGTATTATTCCCTTTGGTTGCAGTGCTCTGATTTGTATGAAAAATGCTCCAAAAATACCAGCGAAAAATTTCCATGCTTTGACTAGGTTGGATGAGAACAGGGCGAAATGCCAGGTATCCTTGAGTTCTTCAAACTTGTTGTATTAAAAACGATGGTGAAGAAAACATTAACTTGTTGTGGTATCTTGCAGCTTGCCCTAAAAGCAGGTGTCTTCTATGACAAAGTGTCAAATGTGACGATATGGGGAAACCATTCCACAACTCAGGTATTCCATGTTCTTCTGTTGACAGAATGTGCATATATTCGGTGCTGCTTTGGAACTTACACTGCAAGAAACATTTATCTTGTCTGCATATACAGGTTCCAGATTTTTTAAACGCTAAAATAAACGGGTTGCCTGTCAAGGAAGTTATCAAAGATCACAAATGGCTAGAACAGGAATTCACTGAGAAGGTGCAGAAGGTGAGAGATGTTTTAGATAGACCTGAATCCTGATATTGTAACAATTTTACAGGTCCTTTGGGTTTCATATTCCTTCACTTTAGATTCTCCAGACTGAAAAGCTGTTACAGCTGAGCAAAAGTTGAGCAGCGGGGAAAAAATTGACTTACTAAATGGCCCTTGTGTCTTGGAACTTTGCAGAGAGGTGGAGCACTGATTCAGAAATGGGGGCGGTCTTCAGCTGCATCAACGGCTGTTTCAATTGTCGACGCCATAAAATCTCTCGTGACTCCTACTCCTGAGGGTGATTGGTTTTCTTCTGGCGTAAGTTTCGTCTGCTTGGTTGCTGCCAATCGAAACAACTGTCACTCTTTCCTCAATTGGCTCGGCTTGGTGTGGTAAAATGGTTGGTTCACCATTTCAGATGTACATTGCAGGTTTACACAACTGGAAATCCTTATGGCATAGCAGAAGATATAGTTTTCAGCATGCCATGCAGATCAAATGTCAGCTCTCTTTCTCCTTCCCTAATTTCACATTCAAAATGTTAACAAATGCCCTCTCTGAATAAAACCCTACTTTCTGCCAGGGAGATGGTGATTATGAACTTGTCAAGGAAATACAATTCGATGACTACCTGCGCAGTCGAATAGCTAAGGTATATATATACTCTCTCCACATTCACTTGTGCGACCTCAGAAGTCGCAAAAAGATAAAGGTCCCAACTTTTGAACTTCGGTATTTAACTTTGCGAATTTGCAGACGGAGGCTGAACTGCTAGCTGAGAAGAGGTGTGTTGCACACCTGACAGGAGAGGTATGGTTCATTCACCATTGAATCAAAAAGGAAAAAAAATCCTTCTTCCATAACAGCTCCAGTTTTGTGAGCTTATCTGAAGTAGAATAAGAATCACCCATGGTTTGGTTTCTTTTTCAGGGAATTGCTTACTGTGACCTGCCAGAGGACACGATGCTTCCTGGAGAGATGTAAAATGGCACCACAGAGCTGCTTACCAGTAGAATTTCTTACGATGCCACAATGAGACTGCTGCTGCATTGTCGTGGTTGATAGTGTAATTAGTTTACACGGTAGAAAAAAAAAAATATTATCAGTTGTGTGGAGGAGGATGAACTTGGCTGAGTAGGCAGCAAAGGGGTCCTTCAAATTTCCAGAAGTTCGATAAATAGCTCAGAGATTGGGAGTCTCTTGTTTGGTTTATTGCCTTATTGGATTACACATTAAACGTTCCAATGATGAGATTTCATGAGAATAAAATAATAAGAGTGTTGACTGTCACTGGTTAGGATTTTTGTCTTATTGGAACTTTATCACGAACAAACAACTTGGAGGAAGGAGGAGGCCGGCCATCAACCTTGCTCAAATGGGCCAAGTAGGATTGGGGCCGCAATCATCCCCACTAATTCACACAGCTAACAGGCCCAAATATGAACTGAAGCAAACTTGGGCTTAGCTCGATTAACAAAAGATAAAGCCCAAGCCCATAGACAGCCAAATTTTTTACATTGGGAAAAAGGATCTAGATTCTTCTTTTGAGGTTTACTTCATAGTTCATACTTCATACGGACGCACTCCTTTGATCCTTTTTTCTTAAGAGAATTTTCTTCCTAATTTTAAAGGCTAAATTACAAGTTTGATCACTCAAATTATACAAATCTTTTACGTTTGCCATCCGAATTACTTTTCTTTCTTATTCGCCACTAATTTTTCGAATCGTTTCACAATTGGTCACCGGCCATTACACTCCGTTAAGTTTGTCATACGTGGCAGTCAACTATAAAACTTGACCGTTAATTAGATGACAAACATAGAAATTGACTAGCGGAGACAAAATGGTAATTTCAGTTCTCCTCCACCTGTTTTTCCCTTACAGATGTACTTGCCTCACCTCGTCGCATTAAAAATACGCCCTCCTACCAGCACCATGCAGCCTAGACTCCCCCACGTGGCGGTCCAGCTAGGCCCCACGTCGGCAATAGCCCAAGACTTACTAGTAAAGCACCCTCGTGGGCCCGGTCCTGAGGTCCAGGTCCAGCAACCAAGCCCACAGCCGGTGATCGAAGGACAAGTATGACCCTGCGGTGACGCTGATCTAACGATGCTGTTTCGCCCCGTGACGTTAGCTTTCCCCTGTTCCTTCCCCTTCCCAACATCGGGAATTCAGCCTATAAAAAATTCTCACTTCCTTCATACTGGTGGCTTTTTCCCATCTGTTAAAAAAAGCTTCACAATGGCTGCTTCTCTCTCATCCTCGTTCACGCTTCCGCCACCGACAGCCACCGCCGCAGACGTTTGATATAACCGCTTTCCGGTCGATTCCCCTTGCCCTAATTTGGTCCGCGGGTCAATTTCTGTTTCTTTTCTCGACGACCGCCGTGATCGATTCAGTTTTCTTCTCAAGACGCACGCTTTTCGTCGCTGATTTCGCTCCTGGTCAGCTCCAATTGCTTCGACTCGGTAGATGGCTCGTGGCGACTCGGCAAGTTTTCTCGGTCCTGGTTTCCGGTTCCACCCCACTGATGAGGAACTGCTCCGGTACTACCTGAAGCGAAAGGTCACTAACAAGCCCGTCCGATTTGACCCGATTTCCGTCGTTGACGTCTACCGGACGGAGCCCTGGGATCTCCCTGGTCTGTTTTCTTTCAACTTCCCCTCGTCTTTGTTTTTTTCTTGATTGGGGTTGCTCTATGAGTTGGAGTAGGTCTCTGCGAATTAGTATCTGCCAGGATGTGCTTTAATTTAGCTGCATATTTTGATTGATATGAGGAGAGAACAGCCTAGAAAGTGAGCCAAATCTTCCACGTTGTATACTCGATTGGTTCGTTTTCGTAGTGCTGAGATCTTAACTAGGAAGTGAAATGTTTCCCGCACTATAGTAGGTTGCTCGTCAGTGACGGTGGTTCTGAGTTCGCTTGAAATTGAAATTCTTTGATTAGATAGATTCTGAAATTGAAATTCTTTATAACTTTGGTGTACATTTGTGAATTTCCGCTGGGACTAGATCGATCAAAGTTGAAGAGCAGGGATTTGGAGTGGTACTTCTTTAGTTTATTGGATAGAAAGTATAGTAATGGGTCAAAGACAAACCGGGCTACTGAGAAAGGCTACTGGAAAACAACTGGGAAAGATAGGCCTATACTCTCCAACTCTGTAACCGTGGGGATGAAGAAAACTCTTGTTTTCCACATTGGGCGGGCTCCACATGGCGAGCGTACCAATTGGGTGATGCATGAGTACCGCCTTTCTGACGAGGAATTGGGGAAATTCGGAATTGGTCAAGTGAGTTGGAACTCTATATATCTAAACTCTCGATTCATATATGGTCATCTACTTTCTTTGATGCTGTTGCTGATGGTATCCTTCACTTTGTGCTCGGTTCGTGGCAAAAGGATACTTATGTCCTTTGTAGGATTTTCAGAAAGAGTGGAACTGGACCGAAAAATGGGGAACAGTATGGAGCGCCTTTTGTTGAGGAGGAATGGGAAGATGATGATGTCCCTGTTCTAACTGGCGAAGAGTTCGTTTCTGCTGATGGGGTGGTTGAGATTGACAATGAGTATGTGGATGCTGAAGACTTTGATCAGGTAGGTCTCTTTCATTGTTTGCTTCTTTGATTCGAACAGTTTATCATCCAAAGTTTACTTGGTATAGTGCATTGTTTGATAGGGTTGAGTTTAGTACAAATCTCATGCACACCTAATGTTCTACCATTTTATTCAGTCGCTTATCAAATTATTGCCACAAGAGTTGTGACATAGATGCAGGATAACATTAGCCTTTTTACTATACTGTATTTACGATTTATATTTACCTCCGTTCAAGTGCATATTACTTAACCAGAGTTGATTCAGAAAATGTATTCTTCTATTGGCTGGCTATTTATTTCTTACTGTCTTCTGCCTTTTTCGTTGAAACATCTGTAGAAAGTTGATGTTGGTATTGAACCCGAGAATGTTAATGTTCCGCCGACCTTCTACTATGAAGAGACGAGCAACAAAATAGAGGATGTCGGAGGCTCTGGTGAAGATGGGCCTAAACCCCTTACGGCCGAGCCACTAAACACCTTGGCAGTGCCAGTTCAACCACAGTTACCTTACATATCTGGGCAAAATGAGATGGGTGACAACTGTGTAGATGCACAGTATATTGCAAGTTCAAGCAAGGACTCGAATCCTCTTGATAACAAGGATGCTGCTAACAGTGAATACGCCGAGGGGCTTTTCTTGGAAGCATCTGAATTGTCGAATCCTCTGGAGCCAGGTTCAGACCCCGCCGATTTTAACTTGGAAGACTTCCTTGATTTTGATCAGTTGGACTTTGATCTTTCTGAAGCATTGAGAGGTGATGGTTTCACTTCTGATCAGTCACTTGAATCCAACAAGGTACTGAAGCTGTCTTGAAATGTTTATTGCTACTCCAGTTTGGTCTGTTTTTTAAGAATGGACTGGGAAACTGAACTTTGGTTGTGTTACAGGTTTCGAATGAGGTGGTTGATGATCTTCACTCTAGGAGCGAAAACATGCTAAGCATGCAGGGTGGTGCATCTTCCTCAGAGCAGATGCCTGATTCTACCATGCTGAAACCATATAGCATGAAATCTGAATCCGGTAATTTCCAATTTATTGCTGTAGTTTTGTTGCATGCCGAGCAGATTCCATTCTGTGATACAATCGCACCGTTTTCAAGGCAGGACCGTTTTCTTTTTCCTTTCCCCCTCCTGTTCCTGCTGATGATGGAAACTCAATTTCTGTGTTATGTTCTAAATACGCAGATGTCAACTATCCATTCATTAGCAAAGCGAGCCGGATGCTGGGCAATATACATGCACCTCCTGCGCTGGCTGCAGAGTTCCCAGTCAAGGGAGCAGCAGCTCTGCGGTTTGCTTCATCTCAACCTTCCAGCTCATCCATTCACGTCACTGCCGGTATGATAACAATAGAGAACATGGCACCGAGAGGCAACGGGATGGATGGGAATACTTTGGGGAAGAACATGGGGGTCAATGTGGTCATGTCTATTACCTGGCCGCAAGGACTTGGTGGTACGAGTGTGAAATCAGGATCCATGTTTACTAGGGTCTGGGTGTGCCTAATGTTCTTCTGGGTCCTCATTCTTTCCGTGAGCTACAAGATTGGAACTCGTATCTGCGCTAAATAAGAGGGTCTAAGGTGGAAGCTGAACGCCGGTTTGGGTGACGGGAAGCAGTTGAAGCCTTGTTTTAGTTTGTTGCGCGGAGGAGATCTCCATTAATATACGATCATAGGAGTCTATATGGGGATAGCGTTCTGCTATCGGACACAGGTTTATTATTGGTAGGAGTGAGTGAGGGACTAACCATCAGACTGACTAATTTCTTTCACTTTTCTCTGTGACTGTGTTCTGTTTTTATGAGATCTGTGGAACACTCATCTCTGTTATATACTAGACACTGGCGTACTCTTTTGAACACGAAGTTGCATTACCATGTCAGAGGGCTGCTCTGATCAGACTCATAGCTGCTGTTAAAAACGCTGTGTTCGAAGTCCGGTATGGTGATCCTTTCTTCTCCGTCCTCTTTCCGTTGTGGATGTTGTCTTTCTTTCTTGTTGGACAAAATCAGGGAGGCGCGGGACATACCTCGAGTTTTAGCATGGATTTGGTCATTGGGGTGGACGAAGGAGCTACGGCAACACCCCTGCCTCTTTGTATGCAGAATAGGTGTTTGGTGGCATGTATTTGGAGAATGGGTTAAGAACTTAATATCATGCAATTGATCATCATATGCAATATTGTTTTCCCTTGATACTTATAGCGTAACTACGTGCAATCTCAATTGTATATGCAGTTTCAATTGGTCGTGGGTGAGAACTGAGAAGTACTTGAACAGCATTTTAGTAAAACTTTCCTCCTCTTCATTCAATTTTTTACACAACTACACCGAACCAAACAATACTTATTCCGACACATGTTGCAAGATACCATGTAAACTGAACATCAAGCTCTAGCCCGATCATTGAGCACAGTATAACACCAGTCAAAGCAAACAAGTTCCCAATCAGAAACAGAACATCGTCAGCCTCCTCTTGCAAATAACGCGAACTAATCAATTAGACAGTAAAAAAAAAAACGTTATTCCTGACAGAGCAAGAGCTTATGACTATAACCAAGTAAAAAAACAACAAAAAAAATCCCCAGTCTAATCCCTCTCCACCTAGCTAGTTGGTCTTCCTGGGCGTCGCCCACTCGAGACGAAGAATAAGGTTGTCATACCCATACCCATTCAGCTTCCTGATGGCCCTCTCCCCATCTTCTCTACTCACGAAATTCACAAACCCAAATCCCCTGCTCACCCCTGTCTTCTGGTCCATCGCCACGTAGACCCGGCTCACCGGTCCGAACGGGTTGAACAGCTCGCGCAGGTCTTCCTCCCGCGTGTCCTCCGACAGGTTGGTGACCCGGACCGAGTTCTCCTCGTTCCTCCGCCGCATGTCCGACCCCACCACGCTGCTCCTGTCCGCGTTCGCCCTCATGCTCGGCGGCACGTAGGCGGCCTTGGCAGCAGCAGCAGCCGCTTCTTTCCCGGCGGCCTCGGATGCTGCAGGCTTCACGCTGTCAGGAAACGATGATTCTGCCTGGGTGGCGAGGTCCTTGTACGGGCAGCGTGACGTCCAGTGGTCCCCTTTCTTCCCGCAGGTTCTGCACAGCATCAGGAACGTGTTCTTGTTCAGCTGGGACAAGGTGTCGCCGGCCGTCTTGCTCTCTTCCTCTTTGCTGCCTGTTTGGTGAAAACGAAAAAAAACCACATTAGAATTCCACGTCTAGCACAAACAACAAAAAAAAAAAAAAAAAAAACAGGATGTGGCAGAACTGCAGAAGTATTGTCACCGATTGGAAAATCGGCAGAAAGTAAGAGAGCACACGGATTTATGTATTGTGTTACTCAATATACAAACGGAGGAAGATATCAATTTCGCTATATTTGAAGAAATACAGATTAAAGAGGTTAATTAAAAGGGTTTATATAGTACAATCACATCAATCTCATCAAACAATCATGTCATCTGACTTAGCTTTCATGAGATTGGCAGGGGAAACAAACCTGGAGCCTTGGGACGTTCGAGGCGGATCTCCTCCGTAGAGACCATGGTCAGGCGAGCGCCGACGTCTTCGTGAACGCCGTCGCCGAACTTGGCCCAGCTCCTCCGCTCCACCGCCTTTCGGCTCAAGCGCGCATTGGCGAGCTTCCTGACGCGGCTCGTGGTCGTGATCTTGACCTTGTTGCCGTCCTCGTTGAATTTATACTCAATTACCCGTTTGACCCCGCTCTCGTCGGGCCCAATTACCTGCTTCGGCGGCAGGAGGAAGTCCAGGTCTTCGCCGTCCTCCTCTTCCAGCTCCCCCCACCGGAGCTTGCTTGGAGCCGATTTCTCCACCATCGCCATTGTTTCAGTAACGATCACTAGACGGAAAACGGAGGCGGCAGCGGTACGTAGAGAGACTGAATGTCGTTCCTGACGATCTTTAGGGTTTGAGCGATTTTGATTTAATTGTTGCAGTTTGTAGAGAACCGGGTTTGCGTCTTATATAGGGTTTGGTTTACTAAGCAGGAATAGAATTTTCTTTTTCTCACAAGGAGAAGGAAAAGTTCTTTATTACTCGCACAATTATTTTTTATCCATAATAATAATAATAAAATATATTATAGGGTTTCTCAAAAACACCTTCTTCGTTTCAAATTCCCTATCATATCGTGAGACCACGTCAGCATATAGTTTTTTTTTTCTTCCGCCTCATTTTCCCCGCTATGTTAACTGCTTAATAATTCTATTTCTATTCGTTTAAGCGAAGACTGAAGAGAGGCGTGAGGGAGAGGAAAGAGAAAGAGAGGCGTGAGGGAGTAGGAAGAGGGTTAGAGAGAGATAATCTGTTAGAATTTTTATGGTCGAATTAAATTCGTAATATTTCAATTTCGTTTTAAAACTAACTTATTCTTACGTGAAGAGAGAAGTGAGGGTAGGAAAGAGGAAGAGAGGCGTTAGGTAGGAGGAAGAGGGCTAGAGAGAGAGAAAATTTGTTAGTATTTTTATTGTGAAATGTAAATTTTAATTGACTTAATTTTTAAATTTCAAAACTATCGCTAATAATATATACCGTTGGATATGAAATTAAAATATGAGGTTAGTATTGTGCTAACCCAATTCTCATTGGCGTTCTCTTTTCTATTTCCAAGCTAGAAAATATGAATATATAATATGAACAACTATATGTGTCCTTTCCGGTAAAAAAAAAAAACTATGGGTCCATAAATTATTAAAATCGCTCTGAAGTAAAATGATTTACCAAGCCATCCTTTATAGTTTTCCCAAACCATACCATGAGGTACGTGTTTCAATTTTTTTGTAAATTACGGGTGGAAATAAAAAAAATGGTAGAAATATAAACATATCGACTAAAAATCTTCACATCTGATTGAGGAACTATAGAAAGTTCAAATCATTTTTAATACTAATAATTGGCTTGATAGAAGAGGCTTATGAGAGAAGTCACAAGCAAATTATGCAATTAATGTCTAACTTCGAGAAGAACCATTTGAAAATGGGCAAAAGAACAATGCCCTCCTTGAACGGTGGATAAAATTATTAAAAATTTATTATTAAATGTACTAATTTATATAAAAATATGAAATAATTTGTTGAAATACAATGTATAATAGTTCATACTACAAAATTCTAACATGAAAGTGGATAATAGCTTGGTCTAGAAGTCTTCCACTGATTTGAAGTTTTTAATTTCGAGTCTATTAAATAACATGTAAGAATAAAAATAAACCTATTCTTATAAATAAATTCTTACTTATTGAGTTTTTTCGATAATGATAAAAAAAAATATTTTGAATTTTAATAAACGGTTTATGGAAAAGAATTTAAAAAATCCCGGCCAAAGGCCGGGTAAAAAGCTAGTTTTTAATTAAGATTTATTATATTCGGTTTTGGTTTTCGGGCCGGGGACGGACAAAGACGGAGGGCGGTGGCCGGGAATCAAATCGACGGTGGTTGAGGAGTGGCAACGGCCAACGAGCCAAGTTAATATAAGGGTTAATAACATAATGCCTCCCTTTACTATCATTTTTTTACCGAAATTGTCCTTTATATTATGTTCTATAAAGATTTTGGTATATTGTTAATAGCCGTATAAGTTATAGTTGCGGAAACTAAAACAAATCTCTATAGGAGGTCAATTAAAATAAATTGGATGTCACCGATATCAATTAATTGTGCAAAGAGGTGCGCAGTGCAACAACTTTTACCTTTGTTCATAAAATCAGTGACCCATTGACTCACAACTTCTCATAACAAACATAACAATAATAAATGTTTGATAAAATATATATAGTACCATCTACCAACTCGATCATTGGAAATTTAGCATTCTATTCAACTGATACAACCTGTCGATACAATGAGATAGCTAGGGTTGAAATTCAATAACAAAATCATACAACTAGAAAATGGAGCCTTCGTTATTTTTCTTATTCATAGTATTTTTACACCATGAGATAGCTAGGGCTGAAATTCATTAACAAATAAACGAAAAAACATACAAACCTGCAAGAATCATAGTGATTAAACCTCAGTTATGGAGGGTGGGAACAACAACAAGAGGCATTTTCCTGCGAATGACCATATCATAGTTATCAGTCATATCCATATCCTGGCCTCGAGCTCCCCCCGGCAGTCTCCAATCGAACAAGTAGAGTAGATTGGCGACCACGTACTCGACCTCCCTCAGCGCATAAGAAATTCCAGGACATATCCTCCTTCCTGTACCGAACGGAAGGTACTCCTTGTGTTGTCCTCTGAAATCCAGCTCACTCCCCACAAATCTCTCCGGATCGAACTCCTCGGGCCTCTCCCACTGCTTCGGATCCCTCTGGATCGCCCATGTGTTGATGAACACCCTCGTGTTTGCCGGAATATCGTACCCGTCGATCTTTACATCGCTCGTGGTCTGTCGTGGGATGATCCCCGACACATGAAGCCTCAACGTCTCCTTGATCACACATCTCAGGTAGCTCATTTGGTCCAGGTCGCTCTCTTCCACTTTAGGTTTCTTCCCCACCACCTTTCTTACCTCTTCCTGAGCTTTCTTTAAGATGGTCGGGTTCTTTATCATCTCCGCCATTGCCCAGTCCATGGAAGACGCGGTTGTGTCAGTTCCACCTATGAACATATCCTAAAAAAAAAACGGCGGTGTTAGGTCATGAAATGCCATCGAATTATTAGAACAAACTGGTTCTTGATAGATGCGGGGCTAGTTACCATGACAACGGCTTTCATGTTCTCCCGAGTGAGATTGATCCCTAGCTTCCCTTCCCTTTCCAACTGGAGAAGAATGTCGATGATGTCCTTCCGATCAGCCGACCCGACGTTACTCTTGTTCCCCTGCAGGTTCGCCTTCTCATGCTCTTCAATCACTCTGTCCAAGAAATCATGAAGCGCCTTCGAAGCTTTCCTCACTCTTGCATTGAACCCTCTCAATGTATCCACAAACCCTAGAAAGGGGAAGAAATCCTTGAAACAGAATCCTCCCACCAGCGCCAGAGAAGTCCTCACCAAATCCCCTGAACTCAATTCCCCGTCCTCGCTCTTCGTATAAGTCCTACCCAGCGCCGATCTCGACACGATGTTGTTCGAGATCGAGACCAGGGACTCGCTGAGGTCCACCGCCTCGCCTTTCCGGCCGGCGGCGGAGATCTCGGCGATCAATTTGTCGGTCTCTTCCTCCCTGACGAAGTCGAACCCCTGAACCCGCTTCTGGCTGAGGAGCTCGAGGACGCAGATCTTCTTGACCTGGCGCCAGTACTCGCCGTAGGGGCAGAAGGCCAGGTCGCTCCAGCCGAAGAAGAAGACGTTGGCGACGGTGAGCCGGGGTCGGTCGGCGAAAACGACGTCGTGGTCGCGGGTGATCTCCTCTGCCGCCTGGGCAGAGGAGACGACGAGGGTCGGGACGGCGCCGAAGCGGAGGAGCATGAGGGAGCCGTACTTGTCGGCGAGATGTTTCAGGTTGCGGTACGGTACGGCGCCGACCTGGTGGAGGTTTCCGATCAGTGGGAGCGCCGGCGGGGCTGGTGGGAGGTTGAGCTTCTTGTTGGGTTGCCTTCGAATTTTGAGAAGGAAAAACAGGGGAATTGTGATTAAGAGGACGGAAAGGATGATGGGATTGTGTAGCAAATGATTCAGGTCCATGGTTTCCGATCTATTGGGTTTCTTTACACTTGAATTCTGCTTTTGAAAAACTGGGAATGAATGATCTTGCAGAGAATGCTGCGTTATTTATACCGAAACAGAGCAGAGTGTGCAGTTCTCGTTCCGAAAATGAAATTACTGGTGGTATTGGTTTGGTGGCCGCCATGTTTGATTTAAGCTTAGGTTTTGCTAGCTACTGGCGAGAGGCGGCGTTGGTTTTATATGATTCGAAATGGAAGAACAGAGTCAATTGGCTGCTTGAGATGTCAAATATGCTTTGGAGAGACAAAAGAAAGAAGTGCTTGGGACAAAACGACGAGCAAAGATAGTCTTTTTCTAAGGAGACGCTGAAAAATTAATATTAAGATGAAGGAAAAATAGGGGCGGATATGGCGGTCGTTCAAACATTTTGATTTCTGAAAAATCTCAGCTCGCCTGCTTTGCCTTTTTAACTCTTTTGGTTCAAGAAAGCCAACCACGGCGGCCGGACACCGGCTGCGAAATGCTATGGCCCCCCTGCAAATCAATATTTATCCTTGGATTAATATCAGACCACTGATCCGACGGTTCAGATCATCTGGATAAGTAAGATATTAATTAGGAATTTTACCCTAGCCTCGTTCTGCCACATGGCCACTTGCTTGCTTGGTTCTCCCTTGCTTTGTTTTCCGTTTCCCTGTGTTATATGGTTATCATAGTTTAATTAGGAATTTTGAATCATTGTCAACCGTCAATCACTCAATCTTTGAAGATTCACTCACAGAAAACCATTCAAATATGAAAATTTTGAATATAAAATTTCATTTTGGAATTCCTGGCCTCGTTAGCTATCAAGCCCATTTTGATTTCATTACTGATAAGTGTAGAATTTTAATAGGAGTTCGATTCAAAAGTTTCAGTCAAATATTATATATGACTAAACACACTCTTTTTTCGACTAATTTTAAGTTACATTGTTTCCTTATAAATTTACGCTCTTTGACCATTTCGTTAACCTTTATTCATGAGGTTCGAATCCTTATCGATTAACAATCTTTGTGAGTTTTATGATAATTTTATTCAAAATAGATTTGTGTATGGAATACTATTTAAGAATCTAAGACCTTATTGATCATCGAATCCAATTTATTCTTATAGCTCATGAGTATAGTGTTTTAATATGAGTTTACCGAATTTCAAATTGGTCTTAAAGGTAACCAACACACTCTCTTGGACCGGTTAACCGCTTACATTGTTTCCACATCAACTGATGCTCTTTGGTTATCTTGTTGGCCTTTTTCACGAGTTTCAATCTTTTTTATAATGATGAAATATATTATTAATTAAGAAAAAAAGATCAGGGGTGGGAATAGTGGAATTGTGAATAGTGATAATGTGAAATTGTGAATAGTGGAAATATACTAGGTGTGGTTTTGGACAAAATTGATTTATTATTAATTTCATGACGTTATATAAATATTTTAATTAATATTTTGTATATTTAGTAATATTTAATTAAGACGAATATTTCAATTTAATATTTCAATTTTGATGCAACTAGGTAACATTTAATGATTGTATTAGTGTTTTTAATATGGACAATATGTCTACTCATTGAGTTCTTCATTTGTCGATTATGAATTTATGATTCATGAGACATTCACTGCTTTGGCCAAAGAAGGTGGGGAAAGCAACGTAATGCTAAAAATGTTAAAGCTTAAACTGAAAAAGGGCACAATATTGAAAAACACATTGATGGTGATAAATACATGATGACCATCACCAATGATTTCTCTCATAAATTTTGGATTTATTTCTCACAACATAGAAATCAAGCTTTGTTCTTATAAAAAAAAAATCAAGCTTTCTTTGCATCTAGAATTATTGAAAAACGTTGATTGAAATTACAATTAAGGTTTTATAAAAAAAATAAATTTTATTCATAAATTTCACCAATTTCATTATTTTATATAGTGAACGACGAGTTTTCATATTCTGAAAAGTTTCTTAATTACATTTTTCCATTAGGTTGCAAATCAAATATTTTTTATGTACAAAATTAAACAATTATTCATAAACAAATATGGAAAATGTCATTTTGTAGCTTGCAGTTGCAAGAGGTAAAATCACTACTAATTTAAGATGAGAAATTTGGTATGATAAGCTCGAAGGGTGGCCACATGTGTCAACGTGGAAATTTGAATGAGCACGAGGATGTTGTTGGCTCGACGCTGATAATTGAAGGGTGGGCACTGGCGTCAACGTGGAAAGCAAATTGAAAATTAACTTAAAGAAAATCTATGGAAGAATTTACGGGGAAAGACGAAATGAAATTTACTATCTAATTATCTTACTCAACCAGCTTATTAATCAATATAATTCTCATTCAAATTATCGATGTTGTCTCTAAGGTGATAGCTATATTTTTAAATACTCACTACGTACTAGGTAGTCAATTAATTGTTTACTCTTGTGCAACCAACTAATTAACTACCTAATCTACGGTAACTCCTATATTTACATATTTTAATAACATTATGAAACCAATTTTTTTGTAATATAATAAGGTGTGTCAGTTACAATTATTGGAGGTGTGTCGGAGGTCCTATATTCGATTTTTTTACACCGAAAAAATTGTGAGTTCTTCACAAAAATTTCGGACCAAGGTGTGTCGGGTGACACACCTTGCTCAAAGGTGGGTCCGCCCCTATTTAGTAACTTATAAAGGACAAAAGATATATAAAATTAATAGCATGAATTTGACAACCGAAACGAGAAAACTTGTTTACTTTTCACTCTGTTTTCTATTGGTTTCCAACTATGAAAACAGAAAATGGCAACTCTCTGCTGTTTTCAGAAACGACAAAATGTTATTTTCACCTGTTTTCATCATCTATTTCCTAAAAAACAGGAAACAGAAATGAAAATAAACAGGCAATTTCATATTGGTAGATTTGCCAACAACAATCTAGCGCAACAAAGAAAAAAATATTTTGACGAGAAAAATTGGTCGTTATTAATTCTCCAAAGCTCAATACACTATATAAGGCAGTTAATGTTTTCTAATTAAAGTGACAATTTTTTTTTTCAAAAAAGAAAATGTTTAGAAGGCTGGATATTTATATAATAGAGTATATATTAGATGCAGCATCTTCATATATTAATGGAGATATATTGTTGCTTATTAATTTTGGAAAGATCATTAATATTTGTATGAGGGAAAACAATTTTGAGGAAATACAATCTGAAATCATGTACATCTTTCCATAAAAAAAATATAAAAAAATCAGCCCGTAATATTGCAGACTACCTATCCTCGTTCTCTTCCTATATAAATCAACAACTTCATGTGTTTCATATCTCACTCATTGCAAATTTCATATATATAAAAAAGAGAAGACCAAACACCTCACTGATCAAGTGACAAAACATATCTCAGCATGATGGATATGACTCAGTTGAAGTTGTTGTTTTGTCTTGTGTTTTTGGTTTGCACGGTTTCTGGTACGTATATTATCTATGATTATACACGGGTTGTATATTTTGATATTTTTCCTAAAAAACATAAAAATGATTGATTTACTACATTAAATCAAATTTTGTGCTGCAGATGCAAAGAAGATTAGTATTGATGCTGAAGGCGGATGTCCGAGCGTACATTGCAAACGTGATGCCGATTGCAATCCCCCGCATTATATTTGTGCCGTGGTGATAGGTCTCTGCGTCTGTGCAGAGAAAGCCGTAGATACAGGCTTCCCCATTCAAAATTTTAGGAGAATTCAAAAAGGGAACTAAAAATATGAATATCCATGGAAAAGAAGAAAAAAATAAGATAAAGAGCAAAGTGTGACCCCTTTAAAATGTACAATTTTCTTAAACACAAAATCGACTATATCCAAAGTTTGTAGCTGTCTATTTTTAGTGGTATGAATAATGAATTTCAGCATGTGTTTATTTTTTCGCTCATAATTTTTCTCCAAATTTGATGGGCGTAAGAAAAGCAAGGTTATCAACCCGCGGGTTGACCCGGACCCGGTCGAGCTAGTGGGTCAAGGGTTAATGGGTCAACCGTTTTAGCCCGGTTTGGCCCGGAAATATAGAAAGAGTCATTATATTGTACTTATCCTCATAAATTATATCAAATCTTATCTAACATATGAGTTATAGCATATAATATTACACCAAAATAACATATCGTACTTAGATCCAACATATAGTGAAAATTCACACACACTTATATAACATAAATATTCAAATGTTCAACTTAGTATTCCAAAGATTGAGTTAGGCGAAAAGAAAAATTGGAAAATAGGCGCATTTCACAAACTAAAGAAAAAAGACACAATTTGACCTCCAACTCGGTACTTTATAGCGGTCGGCCCGGTGGGTGTGTACGACCCGTTTTTCTCACCGGGTCAGGGTCAAATTGGGTCGACCCGTGGGTCAACCCGCGGGTTGACAACCTTGAAGAAAAGTATAAATCAATGGGGATTGGGCCCAGTCAGAAGAAGGCCCAATCTGAACACTTTCCAACGCGTTTCACTTTCCGGGGTTTCAATTCTTGCCCTAACCGCCTCCTTGACGAACAGTCGAACAGAGAAACAAAATTGTCCGTGACAGTCGAGTCACCTATCGAACAAATTACTCCGTCTGAAAGTTGGAAACAAAGAGCAGAAACCCTAATCCAAGGTACCTCTCCTTCTGTTCCACCTGTTGTGTTCTTGCGTCTTTCAGCTAGCAGCGTCACGCAACCAATTACATCCTAAATCCCAGTTCCGGAATCACTCTGTGTTCTATCTTCCCGCGCCTTCTCTGTTCTGCTATTCTACTATGTTGTTCTTCTTTGTATGTAGCTTCTTTCAAGTTTCTTCCGCCGTTTGTGATTGATAGTTATGGAAATGTGTGTTTTCTTCTTCTTCTTCTGCAGCTTGAGATATATCGACGTGCTTGCAGTTGCAGGTTCTGAATCCCCGGCTGCTCGTCATGGCAACCAGTAAGTGTCCTAATCAATGATCGTTGTGATGGTTGGGTATAAACTGGAAGAAATTTTCATTTATGTATGGCTTAAGGAGTTGAGATTTCTGTTCTCAGGGCTTCAATTCGAGAACAATTGTGAAGTTGGTGTTTTCTCCAAGCTGACAAATGCATATTGCTTGGTTGCGATTGGAGGTTCTGAAAGCTTCTACAGGTACCCTTTCTTCCAGCTGCCAAGAAAGTTTGAAACTTTGCTGCAACAGTCATTAGATTGAATATTTTTTTTTTTGGTAATGATTGCACTGCTTGCGTGTGTTGCAGTATCTTTGAGACAGAGTTGGCAGATGTCATTCCAGTGGTTAAGACCTCGATTGGGGGAACTAGAATAATTGGGAGGCTATGTGCTGGTAAGAACTATGTTTATCTGTTGTTTTGTATTGTTGTCATCGTTTGCCATGTTCTGTGCTCATTGCTCTACGCTTGCTTTGGCAGGAAACAAGAATGGACTTCTAGTGCCACACACAACCACTGATCAGGGTGAGTTTGACGAGTTTATTCAACATTTCTGCTTCTGAGCAATCGGTGCATTTGTTGGACGGACTCTAATCATCCACGCTCTCCCTCTCTTAGAACTTCAGCACTTGAGGAACAGTCTACCTGATTCAGTTGTTGTCCAGAGGATAGAGGAGAGATTGTCTGCTCTTGGAAATTGCATTGCTTGTAATGACCATGTTGCTCTTGCACATACTGATCTGGACAGGGTAAGTGTTTGTAAATGTTGCTCATACTGGGTTTAAGCAAATTGCTTGAGTTGCAAAACTGTAGTCCGAACATGTTTGCTATCATTGCTCTGCTCGGATGTCTTTGGTGGCTTCGCCATCCATATTATCAAAGTAGGCCAAAGCACCTTATGCTCTCAAGTTATTTGACCTTTCATATCAAAGTCCGTTGCTGGAAGTATCTCGGTTTGTAGCAGTGGTTGAGCGTTAATTTACTATGATCAGGAAACTGAAGAACTGATAGCTGATGTTCTTGGAGTTGAAGTATTCAGGCAGACGATTGCTGGTAATATTCTTGTAGGAAGCTACTGCGCTCTCACAAACAGAGGCGGTTTGGTAAGGGCACAATGACCCTCTTCTTCTCTTTGTCTCGTGCGGTGTTTACACAATATCAGATATGATCTCATTTCCACACAAAAAACTACAGGTGCACCCCCACACTTCCATTGAAGACCTGGACGAGCTTTCCACCCTTCTCCAGGTCCCCTTGGTTGCCGGAACAGTTAACCGCGGCAGTGAAGTCATCGCTGCAGGAATGACAGTTAACGATTGGACAGCATTCTGTGGGTCAGACACCACAGCAACCGAATTGTCTGTTATCGAGAGCGTTTTCAAGCTGAGGGAAGCGCAACCTAGTGCCATTGTCGACAAGATGAGGAAGTCCTTAATCGACAGTTACGTCTGAGAATTGTTGTAATATCAGTTGGGAGTGTGGCGCATCTTTGTATTCGTACACTCTCATGTTTTCCCCCTTTTCATCTCAATTGTAAGGTAAAATTTTGAAACTTGATGCAGTTGGTATATCTTCTATATTGGTGGTGTTATCTACTTGTCAATGCAGAGTAGATATTTAACAAAACACATATTGGAGGTATGGTTTTCTCTGTCTCTCTCTGCAACACGTCCACAACAGGTACAAACACAAGCCAGCAGTTGACCCGATCAAAAATGGTGCTTGGCTGTTTGTATTTTGTATTCTAAGAGCTGAGCTGTCAATACATTAACGTCGCGTCTTGTCAGTATTTGTCTGATGTGTTGTTTAATCTTTTCTTCCGAGGTCTGTAAACAATATAACTGCAATTTCGCTATCATGGATTTTTCATTTCTCAGCGGAGAACCCGAAACCCTATCGTTTCTATTGCGGTCATATAATACGTTTCATTCATCTTCCTGTCGGCATTCCTCCTCCGCCATTGTTCCATCCGATGCCTTCCCAGTCAACGCCGCCGCAGACCCGCCGGAAGTCGACCGCCTGGCCGTCCTCCTTCTTCATCTACTTCCTATCCCCTGTTTTAGTAGCCACTCTGCTCGTCTACCATCTGGACTCGTTCGACCCAGTCCACCTCCCTCTCCACGAGTTGACCCAGCCTCCCCTCAAAGCTCCCTTCACCAACCACGCCATCCTCAAAAGCTCCGAGCTTGTCGGTCAGGGCCAGCTCAACGCACCCGAGGACATCCTCTACGACGCCGTCTCCGGCGTCTTCTACACCAGCTGCGCTGACGGGTGGATCAAGCGAGTCACGGTCAACGACTCGGTTGCTGATATGGCGGTGTCAAACTTGGTCAACACCGGCGGCCGGCCGCTTGGACTCGCCCTCGACCGAACCAGCAATGCTTTGATTGTAGCTGACGCTTACAAGGTTAGGTTTTGGTTGGTCCACCCTTTCTTCTTCTTGCACTTAATGAACATCGATCTGGTACTAGGTGTTTACCCAGAATAAAAATCCTGCTACTATGAAAAACAGAGCACATTTAAATTCCTGAAACAGAGCATGTTCATAAAATTCATGGAGTACTCGTAAAAAAGAGGAATTGGGTGTGAACAGGGGTTGCTTAGAGTGAGCGGGGATGGAGGAATCGAAGTTCTGACGGTGGAGGCAGAAGGGGTGAAATTCAAGCTGACGGACGAGGTCACCGTAGCAGAAGATGGGACAATCTATTTCACGGATGCTTCTTATGACTACACTGTGGCGGAATCCAGCTTTGACATTTTGGAAGGGAAGCCCCGTGGTCGGTTGCTGAGATACGATCCTGACACTAAACAGACCGACGTTCTGCTCCATGACCTCTACTTCGCTAATGGAGTCGAGATTTCACCTGATCAACAGTCCCTCGTCTTCTGTGAAACACCCATGTAATCAAAATCCCTTGTAGTCTTGTTGAATTCCCTGGTTTCTCACTTGCTTGCCAACCAAAACCTTCTGCAACTCTAAAACTCTGTTTTGGTTCTGTGTGTTGTATGAAATGGCAGGAGAAGGTGCAGAAAATACTACATAGATGGGGAGAAGAAGGGGAAGGTGGAGAAATTTGCTGATAATCTGCCTGGATTCCCAGATAACATCCACTATGATGGTGAAGGCCACTATTGGATTGCGATGCCAGGGGTAAACTGCTAACTGGTTTTGATGGTTCAAAAGGGTTTGAATACTGGATTTGATGCTGTTTCTTCGTTCTTTTTCGGTTTTGGTGACAAACTGCAACTGTTTGATGATGACAGGGAGCTAATGCCCTGCTGGACTATACATTCAAACAACCCATTCTCCGGAAGACTGTGGCAATCCTCACAAAGCACCTGGGGCCACTACACTCGGAGAAGAACAGTGGGGTATTCGTAGTGGATTTGGAGGGGAAACCTGTGGCACATTACAGCGATCCGCAACTCGCCATGCTCACCAGTGGAGTCAAGATTGGAACTCACTTGTATTGCGGCTCCATCGTACAAAACCACATCCTTCGCCTTGATCTGGCTAAGCATCCAGCACAGCCCACCACATGAACATAATAGCAAACAAGCAAATGATCGAGAAACATTAACCTCAAACGTAGTTGCTGCTCCTGCTGCGGCACTTGTAATGATAGAATAAGAACATTGCTGTATTGTAGCTTCTAAGCAAGATCCCCATGGCTCGAATTTATGACAGGGCAACCACACAGCCAGCTTGACAGACAAGGCATACAACTCATAATATAATAAGCATCCAGACCTAGAATTACTGCTCCAAGTTACAGAACGACCAGTCACAAGGGCAGAACGCAGAAACAAAGTTCTCAGCTTTTCCCGAGCCTACGATTGTCCCAATCCAGCACTTCAGACGTCTCTTCTACCGGCAAAATTATTGAACCGAATCAGGAAAAGCCCCTAGCTATGACACACTAAATGTTACAAGCTAACATGTCCGCCTACTTCCCCCCACTGAGCCTACCGTCGTTCAGGAAGGGGAGTAGGCGACTCATGCGAAGACACTACTAATTAAAACACAATGGGACTCACTGCCGCTCATTGAGGCAAGGCAGCTCACAGGCGACAAGTGCTAAGAGAGACAGCTACTTTAAATTAGAAAGTACTCCACTCACTTTCCCTTATGAAGGCTCCTCTTCAGATCCTCATTCTCTTTGCTGAGAACGTCAATCCTCGACTGGAGTATGTTAATCATGGCTTGAGTGCTCATCAAATCCAGCTTCAGCGTCTCCCTCTCAACTGAGACTTTGTGGACCTCACGCTGCAGGTCGTTGATAAACTTCATGCACCCAGAAGGGACCATCGACTCGAGGCTAGCAGCAGTCAATGTGGGTTCCTTTGGGGGAGAAGGCGGGGGAGGTGTGCGTTCCTTGGGCTCCATAAGGGAGAATTCTAGCAGTGCAGATATAGCTGTAGTAGTTGCAGCAGTTGTCGTCATTGTCGTATCAGTAGTAGCAGTCGTAGCACCTGTTGTTGTGGTAGATGAGGAAAGGTCCTGTGTTGTTCTGGTCGACTTTTCTGAACCATGAGAATCATAGTCGTTGTGCTTCCTTCTTTTGTACTGGATCAGCGGGAAAGGAGCTTCTGTGTTGAGGACACACATGGGAGTTTCCTCCTCCATCTCCACACTTTCATTCTTGCACAAGGACAGAAGGTCTCGAGTCTGCTTTGGGACTTCATTGAAATCAAAGGATTCTTTGCTCAGGCGGTACTTATCCTGTAACCAAATAAAGGGAAGTCAAAATCTCTAAATAAGTCTGATATTCACGACAAAACAAACAGAACTGTAGCCTTGAGAAAATTTCACAACTGTGACTGAGACAAATAGAAGAAGATTCTCATCTCAAAGCAACACAAATCTGCTTGTACCGAATTCTGCCTAAATATTTTAAAGCAATCCTTGAGAGTCAGTACCAACTGGCTAAACTAGGAGCAGAACCTTTCGCCAGATTTAGGTGTCTCATCTGCTACAGAAGAGACTGAACTGATTCAAATGGGGCCACTAAAATTGTCATCCATGGACGCATACACTGAGACTTTTGATGACTATGTAAATACCCAACAATAAAATAGAAAAGATCATCCCAAAACTTCACTGAGCAGCATACACAAACTTGGAGGTTAATTTGCATGGACATAGAACAAATAACCAACAGCAGTAAAGCTGAAATTGTCATCGCAGAACCCAATTCAGGGGTGCATGCACAAACTTGGGATGATAAATCCTTTGAACCTTCTGATCAGCGGAAAAATATGTAAATATCATCAGTCTGAAACAGTGAATAAAAACAGATGGACATAAGCAAACTCCAACAAGACATTTGATATGCTACACTTACTGCCTCCATCTACCAGTCATCAACTCCTCAAAGACCAACTTGTGTCGATTAGTTACTACCTAAATTCTTTAGTTTTAAGGAATCAAGTCCTTCCAGTTACTCTGACGTGTGGACTCTAGTGCACGACTCTTAATCGTCCCGGCGCACTCTTCAATCAGTCAAACAATAGTTCACACAAATGATGAAAATGGAACTTGTGGATGACTTAAAAATCAAGTTTGCTAACACTGCAGACACATCTGCTTAAATTATACAAGTGAGATGCACATTTTACAAGGAATCTGAGACTCCTGGAGAAACATTGGAAAACAGAAGTTAAGGAGTTATCACTCATCTATGGTCAATTTGATACTTTGGAGGTTCTCTCTAGTTGGCTGCTTATTTCAGTCAATGGAAACCTTGGGGTGAACAGGAAGCACTACCATCTACGGAATAATATGTAATGTTCTAAGAAAATGCTCCCTGACAACAACCATGTCTTCTTCCACACTTTTGTCTTGCTACAAAACTTCCACCACTCTATTGTTATTTTCCAGGACGTCGTAACAAATAATCATCTTGCTAATGCCTAGAGACACCTTCCTTTCACCATAAATGCATCGTTTGCAATGATAGCTCTAACCCAACAGAAGATCATTACCTGTCACCCAAGAGTCATTCTACCTTGTTGTAGTATTACTGTTACTAAACAGGATCGCTCAACTACCCAAAAATAATCTCAAATGTCCTTTCATCACAGACAGGAAAGGTGAATAGACATGCTTATGTAGTATACACAGCTAATATGGGGGGCAGTACCACAAGAGGACATTTAGGTTGCCCTCATAACAAAATGGTACAAGTTAGTTTCAATTAACACGTGAAAGCGCAAAAGAATGCTTCAGCAGAGGTTCCCTTGTCATAAAAAGATACGAGATAGCAAAAAAGGTTCAGTGAATTAATTTCAAAGAGTCAAAGTCCACAGCTTATGGTTGACCTAGTTAACATATATTGCTGCCAAAGACTTCTTTTCAACCCAGAAAAAATCTAGATCCAACTCATGGTCTGTCAACGAAACTTACTAGTTACTCTCTGAAACATATGCCTGCTATGATAGGAAGAATATTTTCTTGCTCAACATATCAAAATTCATATAAAAATTTAAAGCATAAAAGATAGATACTATAAATATGTCATAAAGCTGAAGTTTAATGCACCTGCTCGACATGATTCGCCTGAGCATAAGCTCCATTGCAAGCAACAACTTCATCTGCTGTATCTTCTCCCGGGACAAGAGCAGTTTGACCATCATCCCACTCTTCCTCCATGAAAGGAGCATAGCGGTTTCCGCTTGGTGGTCCTATATTATTCTTGTGAAACACTCTACAGAGAACATATGAATCGCCCTTCATCCAAACAAAACAAAAGAGAAAGGTATTAACAAGCATCATTTGTGCAATTATAGAGATTGAAAATCCGGCCAGGCAAATCAGATAAACCACAATTAAACTTCTAAATCCCACAGAAGGAATGGACTTGCAAGTATAAGGTCCTCCATGCAGTGACACCCTTGTTAACTTGACTACCACTTCAATATGGTGGCTAGCTATCCCCATTAACATCATTCAATACAGAATCTCAAGACTCTCCATATTCTCAAACCAGAATGGCTGAAATCTCTGTTCGTATCTTCAATCATGTCAAACACTTGTTCCCAAGAGAACTTGCATTCTCCAGGGTGAAAGCAGTTCTCACCTGCAAATTGCCAAGTCTCTCCAACTCCTCCTCAACTAAACGGTACTCATGCATAACCCAATTGGTACGCTGGCCACCAGGGGCTCGTCCACTATGGAACACAAGAGTCTTCTTCATCGCTATGAGTTGGTCGTCTCGACGAATTTCCCGGTCTTTCCCGGTTGCTTTCCAGTAACCTCTGCCGGTAGCTCTGTTCATTCTTGCACCATTGCCATATTTCTTGTCCAGTGCACTAAAAAAGTACCACTCTTGGTCTCTGCTTTTCAACCTTGACTTGTCTGAAACTCCAGGGAAGATAAAACCCAGTGAGAAAAGACAACAAAAACCAAGTTAGACCAACATGCGAAATGGGCAAATAACCACACATCGAACAGTTCAATGCCGGGAAGAAAACACAATTCTATCGCACTCACAAGGGTAAGAAATGAAAATAATTTATCAAAGAGAGATACATATAGCTGTGAAACGTACTAGATTCTAGCAATGTACTAGACATTAGAACTTAAGCGTCGGGTAAACAGTAGTACAAGCCTTGAACTGAAGCAACTACAGACCTAATCCAAAACACGGAAAATCTAAGAAACCCCAAAAAACCCAAAACAGTCTGGAAAAAGAGAAAAAAACCCAGAAAGATTTCAGTAAGAGAAAGCCCGAGAACGAGAAAACGTACCGGCAAGTTCCCATGGCTCATTTTTGTAGATATCGACTTCAGCGATGGCGTTGAAGCGAACGGGCTTGTTCCCAACCTTCCTCCTCAAGTAATAGCTGACGAGCTCTTCATCCGTCGGGTGGAATCGAAAACCAGGGGCCAAGGCAGTGGTGCTGGGCGCACCACCACCGGGCACAACAGCAGCCGCCGCCGGTTTTGGCGTAGGCGGTGTGGCCGGAACCAGCGCCAGAGCGGTACACGTATCTCGAGGCATGATGATAGGGAGAGAGAAGCGAGGGGGGGAGGAGGGATTAGGGTTTGGTGGAGGCGTGGGCGAGGGGAAATGGAGAGAAGGCGGAGAATTGATTGAAGGGAAAGGAAAGGTACCTTCAATTGCAAGCAATTTTGGTTGGTTCGTTCTTTTTTGAAAGGCCCGAAGCCTGCAAACAAAAAAATCCAATGGGAAAGGAAAGGCAACTATTGTGAGCGTTACAGTCATTAACGATAGAGACGATAATATTTTAATTCCCAGTTTTCTCCTTTTTCTTTTGACCTTATTCCCAATCCCTCCCCGATTTTTTATTTCTTATCATTGTTTATTAATTTGCGACCTTGTCGTCTCTTTTCTATTCACGGGGTTTTTATTTCCCTCTATATATTTTTTCCATATTGCCAAATTTTAGAAGTTTGAGGGTTTTATTCACCACAAGAAAAGGTTCCCGTACTATCAACAACAAACCAAAAATATTTTGAGCCTAATTGATAAATTTGAAAAATTATTTCATCGCACGTGCGAAATATTTTAAGTTCATCGATCTAAAAGATAATTATCGAGATCACATTATTAGTACTTTTTGGTAACCCGTTCAATCATTATCTCATATTAGCGGTTCAAATTTAAGTTTGATATTCATTGACGAAAATAAGCTGCACTTTACAAAATTTAATCTGATCACCTTTGCACCTAGATCATTTTTATGTCTCTTTCTTTACACAGAAGCCAATAAATAAGGTCGAGTTCGGATTAAAAACTAGATGTAAGCCAATTTGTCTTCTCTATCGATGCGAAAGGATTTGCATTGCTCAATCTCATTAAAACGTCGTGAAAACTATAAGATGAGAGAGACGGACATGCTAACGACTAGACTCGTAGTTGATGAAAGAATCCAACAGTGTATAATCAAACCGTAGTTCTACCTTATGATATTCGAGGCTTTCGTATTTAGAGATACACTTCAAAGGCTTGGCATTTTGTTCATATGGTTTCCGAAGATGCACGGAAAGTTCACTGGACTCCCAACTTCTATCCCCCTAGCTGGCTCAAGTTAGGGTGCATAACCATGGGTTATGCACCCATCAATAACCAAATCTGAACCCTTTATTTAGAAAATCCAGATCTAAGGATGGAGAATTAAAAACCATTTTTATTTTCACTAGCTTTCTTAATTGACTCATATCTTTTTCGTTTTAACTCGGATTTTTTTTTTTTTTTTGCACAGATGGAATGAGTTCATCGTGCTCTACAAAATGAGATCAATTTTCAATATTTTTTGAGGAAAAAAAAATTCTGGCCTCTCGGTCCCAACTGCATACCATATGGTATCTTCTTCGTTTTTAATTCGTTTTTGAAAACGTTTGCACAGCAGGGACGAGTTCATCATGATCTATTGGATCTACAAATTTCTAGGTGAACAAATTACAAGACAAAAAAATACCACACAATACCATACAATACCACCCTGGTACGGGGTGGTATCTTATGGTATACAATGTTAAAAGTCGTAAATGACAATTAATATACTTCTACTATCATGTATTCAACCATCCTACAGTTTTGGTTTGTGTCATACCACCATGGTACGCTTTTCAAACCATAGGTATGCTCTTAGTTCAATACCAGTCAATACCATATGGTATAGACTGGTATAAAATCGCTCAATTTTTTTTGTTTCAAAAATATATCAAAGTGGATATCATTTTGAAGAGCACAATTAATCTGATCTAACTGTACAAAAAAATTAAATTTCGACTTAAAACGAGTGAGAAATCGTCCGTCAAAGATTAAGGAGGGGAAAATTAAATGCTTTCCATGAGAGAGAGGATGCTGATGTCATGCTGATGTGGCAGGTTACTCATAGTTACTCACCATAAGGTTACTGACCTAATCCATTCCCCCTAGCTAGGAAGTACGATTAAAAGACAATTCCTTGGCTTCTGCAGCAAGAAAACGGGAAGAAAGAGGCAACATCAGCAACCTTTCGCTGCCCGTCAGACCTGAAAGGCAAGTGTTAATATGACAATCTAGTGCCTATTACAAAAGATTACAAAAGTCTTGATATGGTTTGAACTGTTCCTGCCATTGTATCAACTTTCTCTTCAACAAATTGTATGCCTTGGCTTCCTCCTGGCTGAAGTTGCCAAGATCTTTGTCGAACCTCAAGTCGATGGGACATAGATCTTCAAAGATGTGTCTGTGAGGATCTTGAATGTCACCAGCACCGGCTTCTTTGCTTTGCAGTTTTGTAATCAAGGTACTAAAGCTGTGATCTTTAGAATAACTGCTGTTGCCGTTACTAGTTCCCTGAACGGCTGCTGCTGGACGATATAGCATGAAAGATTTTGGCTGCTGAGAATTAGCCCAGATTTCATCAGTGTCACTGGCAAGGGATACAGCATTCTCATCACCAAAAATAGTGGTGGAATCTGTTCCAGCAACTTCCTTCGCCATTCGCATTACTTCATCGCATTGGTTATTGAGTTCAGCCTCTGCGGAAAATTCAACAGTTTCCTCCTGGGTGCTCGCTGGACAGCCACCATTTTTCAGTTCGTGGACTGTAATCAAAACTGGCAGAGGAAGAATTGGGCCCACAAGAGTACTGTCGTCACGCGACTCTTTTTGCGACCATTTGTTGCTACGATGTGAGGGCTTCCTCAAGAAAAATGGAGGCAACTGGGGAAGATCGGGGACTGGTAAGAACTCCAGGGAAACCTTCTTCTGGTCTAATAGCACATCAAGAAGTTCCGAGTAGCTAGAAAAGCTAAGCTGTAGGAGTTCCATCGGCAGGCCAGCCCACGTCTTCCTCAAAGCAACTTCACGTATGCTTGTTGGCAAGTTCACATCATTAAGAACAAGGCTGACAATTGGAGATTCTCTAAACCGATTCAGCCCACTAATCTTCAACTTCTCACACAATGCTTCATGACAGTCCAGGCTAAGAGATTCTTTGTTCAAAGGACCCACCTCGGAAGCATTCCTCAAATTTAAATCCAAGATCTTAGAGAGATCACCATTCAAGTACGCTGAGAGATAATCCAGTTCCAAATATTTATATCTTCTAGGAAATTTGTACCGCTCATCCTCCAAAGATAAGTATAAGTTATTTGCATGACTAAGTAATGGGTCAGTGTGATGGTTTGATGTTCTGACCAAATCCCATGAAGCAGAGTATCGCTGCAGCTCAAGCTTTCCAGATGACATCAACCTAATCAAACTAAATCCACCAAATTCATCAGGCTCGTGTAGCAAAGAGCACAGGTCTTCACTAAGAATGCCAAACCCTAGGACAATATCTCTCTTCTGCTTCCAGTCGAGCCATTCATGAAGAGCATCTTTTGAAAACTCTTCTTTCAGAAGACAGCTCCCACAGATGCAATCAGCATTTGGCAGATTGAGACTAGAAGGGAGGTCCCATGCATAAAAGGATTTGGAAACTTCAGAGATCTTCGATGCAATCGACTTATAAGGAGCAGGCAGAGGGGGTCCATAAGGAAAGAGACTAAACTCAGAACTGAAGAATGATCCAAGTAGAATGCCGAAACCAGATTCAGTTGCCCATTTATGTGCATTACTATCCCTCAGATTTGACCTTAAGTCGGATATTCTAAAGGTATCAACATAGCATGGCTTGTCAAGACCATGCGCCCATTGCAACACCGGTGAAAATGGTCTACGAACGTCACATAGAACTAACAGGCTACCAGATACCAGAATGAAGTGGAAATGACTGGAAATGGCCTTGGAGAAAGCTCTGAATCGAGTCATTCCAGAAGGAGCATAAGGGCCAAACATATCAACTTTAGCTAAACAAGTCACCTTATACTGATCAAACCTCAAATCAACCAAGAAAGCAGCATCAGAACGTGCAACAATCAAAACTCTAGGATGCCAACTTAGCTCACACCCCAGCCACTTGCAGTTCCCAGAATCAGGAGATTCATCATCCCATGACACTTTCAACCGTGTCCCTCTAAAACACGAGCTAGAACTATCTGACTCCAAATCAAACAAAAACAATGAACCATTCTCCAGCAGAACCACACTCTCTTCAGGCAAATGCGGACTCCAACAAGCACTCACAACGGCAGAGCTTTTGAACATTCTGGAACCCATATATACCACTGCAGGCTTTTTACTACCTCCACCAATTCTAACGCAGAACCAATGCACTGAATAAATACAATAAACCAACAAATACCCAATAACAGCATCAGAAGAAGCAGCAGAAGACCCACCTCCAAGCCAGCCTGAACCTGCAACTGGGTTAACCAAAACCCCTCTAATCCGCTGACTCAATTGCTTATTGGCGCTGAAAACGCCGCCAGTGGCATTCCCACATGCATTCAAGCTACCCTCTTTCGCTTCCAACACCAGAAACCCAATTTGGTCAAAATTGGAGCCGGAGGGGAAGAAGACGATAACGGAGTTCCCCTGAGGAGACCTAAGGAGTTGAATTCGATTGCGAGCAAGCCAGGAAGCTGCGTTGTCGCTGTCATCACCGGAAGATTGAGGGCGGAAGGAGGAGTTGATGCAGGAGACGGTGGAGAGAGGAACGTAAGAATCGTGGTGGGCGGAAGCTGAGGTAGCGAGGAAACGAGAGAACGAGAGGTGGGAAGGAGGATTGATAATAGGAGGAGAAAGAGCCGGGGAATCGAAGAGCAGGGTTGAGGAATCGGGGTCTGGGTTGAAACAGAGAGGACCCAGGACGTCCCTGGTTGCGCGGCTCGAGAGGAGGAGAGGCGCCCCGAAGACGCTGCCGATTGGGAAGAAGGACTTCCATTCCTCCGAGAAATCCATTGATGAGGGTCCCGAAGGTCGGTTGAGTTTCAACGCGGGAAGAGCACCACAGGTTTCGAGCAGTGAAACGGGATCTTCTTCCGCCAACTCGCCGCCATGGACATTGGACAACACTCAGCATCCGAGTTTTCGCCTGCAGCTAAACCCCGAGCAAGTTTCGAGAGTTACTGTGTATTTTCTCGCCGTCTCTGAGTTTCGGGGTTTTCAATTTTCTTTTCAGTAGGACTTCACAGCATAGTCAGTAAAATATGATATGAGAATGTTACATATACAGGTATTTTATTTTGTTTCTAAACTAATTTTATTACGTTAATAATTATAAATATATAATATTAATTATTTTAAAAATAATATAAATATATGGTGGTTTATATAGTTCACATGATGAAATTCGAGGTCCCGCATACTTTGAGTATGAAAACGCGATCTAGACCTCGAATTAGTAAATTTTTTGGATCTAATACATACTATACCTTAACCCTTAATGATTGAAGCCTAGGTTCTAATTATATAAATCATAAATTAGAACCCTAAAATGGTGCATTCATTTGTTTGCCTATATATGGACGAATCATAACCGTCGATTAGTGTTTCTAACTAAATTGATCTTGCGGTATAATATTTAGAGAATTAAGACCTAGATTTTGATATTTAAGGGTTAGAGTATAGTATCATGTTTGAAAGATCAGTCAATTCAAGTTGTGGATAGCGTTTTCGTACTCAAGGTATGTGGTACCCCGGATTTCACCTTGGATACCGTAGAACTCACCATAAATATACAAATGTTAGTAAAGTTAACAATTTAATTCATTAAATATGGATATTAAACGTGTTATATGGATTTATTTAGTATGGGAGACATCAAATGAACGGAAAAATTGAAACGACTTGACAAATAATACAGATACAAAAGTTTTAAACGGATAAAATTCGTATAGATACATATACGTGTATTAAACATATTATTTATTAGAGTTTCTACATCATTTGACGACGCTGGAGGAGGAATCATAAAGTTCATCCTCGGACCAATACATAAACATTAAGAGAGCCAGAGTGGACGTTCCTGCTGTAAACACGAACAACATCCAAAAACTATCTGCCCCGAGGCTAGGGTTGGAGCTCCCATAGCCAGCTTCAGATGAAGAATCGCCTAGCAGTTCATCATTCCCAACACATTTCTGAGAAGCAATCATGTCTATCTCCAAATCCCTCAGCTGCCCGCTTTCAGTCACCTTCACCAGAGCCTCTGTCACGTATGGAAGCCATGGAGATCCCTTGGCAAACGCCTGGAGTTCATCAAATAAAAATTGCTCGGTAAAGTACCACTTGTTTGTCAGAAACACATTCAATACCAAAATTGGGTTTAAGTGCAGGAAAGAGGAAATTTGAAGACTTACAAACCCGAAGCCTCCAACTTTGAAGGACTGTTTAGCAATGGTGAAGCCGGTGCAGTATCTAGCGAGCAGAATTTTGGCCCAAGGTCTCTCCATGAATACCGCTGCAATCACTCCTTCATGTAAGTCTCTCATGGAATCCTCAGGGGAGGTGTACTCCTTCACCTTTTTAGGGCTGAAATGCAACACTTCTTCCAGGTACTTGGCCACATACGTCACTTTCAGGTACCCAATGTTAGCACGCCTCATCTGTATCGATTCAACGTTGTCGATTGCTGGTTCGAGTTTTGGCACTGTGAGGATGCTTGATAGGTTCGCCGTGTAAGTTTGTGTGATTGCTAGTGCCATGAACAACCAAACCACCAACGCCATTCTTGACAAGTTGCTATGGAGCTTCAATCCTTTCAGGTAATTAGTTATGCATTCATGTTAGCAATGTAGTTAACCCACATTGATATAATAGGAATGCTTCAATTGAAATCATGAATGTAGTTAGTTGGTTTGTTAGTTACCTTGGAACGTGAAGAGTGTGGTGAAGGATAAGGAGAGCATAACTCCAACCTGGTTGCCAATCGAGCCTCTGAGCTTCAAGCAATGGTCTCTTTCAATCATCCATACGACGAATCCGTTGTAGATGTTGAGGATAAAGATCAGAAGCCACAGTGAACCAGTGAAAGGCTTGGTGAAAAGCCAAGCTCTATTGACTTTCTTTGATTGGAGTGGTACTATCATAACAAGTTCTGATTCCGTGTATGGATGAGTGAAATCTGCATAAGGAAGTCTATTGGTGACTATTGCTATATCCCCTACTGCTGCATCGAAGTTCTGCTCCAAGTCCAAATGGTATCCACTCTCAGGTAGTTAGAATGCAGCTGCTTTGATGCTAAGAAAGCAAGGAAGATATAAGTACAATAGTATGCAACAAGTTTGAGTTTTGTTGGTTACCTTCAGGTAAATTTGCTGTACCAAGGCATTGTACGTTCCATTGAAGGCACGAAATTCGTAAGGCAAATAGAATGGCAGTTGTTCCACAGCCTTTTCAAAGAGATCAATGGCATACCCTTTTGCAGAGATGGTGTTTTGGACGGGATCGAGTTCAATGTCAACAAATTGCTTAAATATGGACTCAGTTGGGATACCAATAATTATTGGCTCAGAAATAGGTGATGGAGTCCATCCCTTAGGACTGTACCTAGGCCTTCCTGGCCAAATCACATGCCCCATGATGTCTCTCATGGATGAGAAATACGTAGCAGTTTCTTCTTCGCCAACTGTATTCTCTGAGAAGCCATGACCATCTGTCCACAATCCCAAACCATTATAGCTCTTTCCTATCACATTGATGACCTCAAATGTGTTCAAAGAGCCTGCTTTCTGCACGGTGAACTGCACATTCCCAACCAAGCCATTGAAGTTGCAGAGAAGCAACTTGTTCAGTAAGTCCTCTTGGCCTCCTGTTACGTTGCTTGGTCTCAAGAGTGAGAGAGCCAATGCCCATACTGCATCGTAAGCCTCGACTGCAAAGATCGAAGGCTCATGATTGCTCTCATCTGGATGTGCAGAGCTGAACCTTCTTCGAAACCTCTTGCTGAATGATTGATACCTTGGTTTGGTCTCTCTGAAATGCCCCTTCACTCCTATAACCCCTTGCATTGCTGAAATGGTGGAAGGGTGGAAGGTGTGAAGAAGGCTTGTGAAGGCATGGGTGGTTATCCAAACATAGTCCCTTTCTAGCATTTTCATGTCCATGGCCGTTCTGAATAATTGCTCAGCTAATGCAGTACTAGAGGAGAGATGAACCACAAAGACTCTACAAGGGCGGACCTTGAGGCTTTCAAGTTGGTGAGAAAGCAACGAGGGATTAGAGGAAGGAGGGAGAGTGATGACATCAACAAGCTGCACATTCACTTGTCTGAGAGCTGTAGAGAGCTGAAGCACTGCCTTTGTTGAAGACTCTACATCTTCAGTGATCACAGAGACTTGATGCCAGTTCCATGATTGTATGATCGCGGCTATGGCTTTCATTTGAGCTGACTTGCTTGACGACGCTTGAATCAGAAAGGGCCATCTCTCCCTTGCCCACCTTGGAGTTGAATCGGCGAAGGACAGAAGTGGGATTTGGTTTTTGGTGGCGATTTGAGCAACTAGAGATGTCTCCTCCCATGAACATGGTCCAACTATGGCTTTTACTTGTGATGAGTTCACAAGCTCCTGAGCTGCATTTTCATATTTGTAGATTTAAGAAGTCTATAGTCATGGAAGCTCGTATAAGTTGAAGAATTGCAGACTTTACCTGAAAGAGCAGCTTGGAGTGGTTCCCCTTTAGAATCTGTAATGTACATATCAAGAACCAAGCTTTGATTTGCAGGATCTTGGAAGTCTTTTGCTGCCATCTGCATAGCGAGAATCTGCTCTTTCCCGATTCGTGAAGTTTCATCCACAATGGCACCAATCCTGAAGGTAGAAGGATTTGTGACGGCAGCTTCGGTAGAGGTGATCATTGTCACCAGTAAAACTACAAGCCAATAGCAAATTAGGCATTTTAATAATGTAAAAGCTGAAGTTTGTTTTGCTTGGTTTGTTGTATGAACAGAGTTTGAACTTTTCACCAAAAAGATTAGATTTGGCAAATTGTGACTTGATATGCTGACCCAAACAGAACTCGTATGAGAATTGAGAAATCATAATTGGCAGAAGTTTTTATAATCCAAATTTAATGATCCAAACCTGAGTAACCCACACCTTCTTAGGTTGGATTGGGTAAATCCACTAGTCTATCAACTCCAAATTCTGTTCGCCTTCAAAATGACAAAATTACTCTTAAAATAGTATTCTTTTTTCTTTTTTTTAATTGATAGGATTTGAAAAACAAGTTTTGATATGTAGTAGTAGACAAATACTATGTCCTCTTGTAGTATTATTACTCTCATGTTATTTCTTCGACACTTTGTACAATTTGTATTTACTTTCATTAATATATAAAAATATGCCCATTGACATGTTTTACATAGATTCTTATCATACATATATGATAACTTGTATACTTTTTTGAATTTTTTTGCATATTAATCCCTTTTTTTTTTTGCATATTGATATTTTTTGAAATTTTAAACATGGGTGTTCTTATTTCCAAGAATGCCCGTAAACCGAATTAACCTAGGTCAATATTTGACCCAAAGCAGATCAACCCGACATGATTTGATCCGCTACGATTCGTAACCCAAGATTATCCATGTTTACAAAAGATTGATAAGCTAGCTAACAAATGAAATATGTGATTTGTAACTCCATAGAGAGAAGACAACAATGGCTGAAATTTGAATTCGGATTTTGAGTTCAATAATCATCTATAAATTATAATGTTTCATTTTTAGTAAAATAGTGAAGCATATTCCATTAGTAATGAAAAATGGGTGGAGGGGTCGGGAAAAACAAGTTGACTTGCTAGCATTATATTGTATTATATTGGGAGAAGGTACTGAGCCAAGCAACTTGTTCAGTCACAAAAGCTGAGCTCAATGGAGCAATCAGAACTTTTTAAATAAAAGAAAACCATAAAAAAAAATCCAAAATAACCGTATGGTTCTTGACATGAATTTTCTCCTGACGAAACTAATTATTTTTAATCTGAAAAATATTTAACAAATAAATTAAATAACACCTTTTGTATTGGTTGACTAGACCCCACTGTGATACTGATAACATTCATAAAAATACGAATTTGGCACATCAGTGATCAATTAATATAATTCGAACACTTATCCAGTAGAAGAGATATATATGAACGAAGAAAGGCAGTTGTAGTAGCAGGTAGCTCTGACTGAAAGAAAGTCGTACCGGCGGCGAGCAAGTGAAATAACAATCCTGGCCGCCGACGAAATTGGAATAAGAAGCTGGTGCATGCTGGTCGGGAGTTAACAAATATGTATTGTTCTCCATGGCTGATTCTACCAGCTCCACGTGTGAGACTGGGATTACCACTACTCTTCCTTGATGGAGGATTTTTGTTATTAAAGAAGAAGAAGAAGAAGAAGAAGAAGAGAGATTCCTCCTCCATATATGGCGGCTAACCTGAAAAGAGAAGGTTTGGAAACTGAAAATCTAGCTAGCTAGGAATCTGTATAACAATATATATGCAACCTACCTACCAAGCTGTCCCATTTTATTAAAAAAATAATATATATGTACTAGTTAGTAGTTAGAAGCCATATATGGGAATGGGGTTGACTTTCCATGCAGCCCCAAAGTCAAGCAGACAGATCCCTTTTTTCTTCCTAGAAATTTCCATATACGTGCGTGACTTTGAGCGAGTTTTCAAGTAGTGATAGACAATTTCCACAGGGTCGACATAGGAGAGGAGCTTGGTGAACGGTGCGGAGAGCGTTAGATGAGAATCAGGGATTATGTTTTTATTTAAGTATGATAATTTTTACGGATTACATGGAATTTAGAAATTTTTTAAGTTTATTTGTACTGATTGGGGCTAAGATCAGGTGACTAAGGGGGGGTCCCTTAGCCACATGACTAAGCCAATCTCAACCATTGAACCTCATTAAAATCTAATGGTTCAGATCTATCTAGTTTAATGAAGGGTAATGTAGTAATTACATAATTAATTTATTTAACAATTTAAAAAAACCTAATTCTATTCTTCCCTGTCGGCGCGGCCGTTTCGTTTTCTGAGAATTCACCCGGCGGATCCCCAACCCACGCCGCCGTTCCCAGGGGAATTCTTCTTCTGGCTGATGGGAAGTATAGCGGCGGAGGAAGCTTCTGAAGGCGCCATGGATGATGGGAATTATTTGTTGGCAGAGAGAGAGAGGCCATGGATGATTGGAATTATTTGTTGGCGGAGAGAGAGAGAGAGAGAGAGAGAGAGAGAGAGAGAGAGAGAGAGAGAGAGAGAGAGAGAGAGAGAGAGAGAGAGAGAGAGAGAGAGAGAGAGAGAGAGAGAGAGAGAGAGAGAGAGAGAGAGTCAACTTTTCCGGCGACGGCGGAGCAGTTTTCCGGCGACCAAAGACGGTGGTGGATGATTTTCCGGCAACAGTATTGAGTTCGTAATGTTTATATTACTATTTTGTATACATTGTAATGTTTGTTTGTCATGTTTGTTATTTTGTAATGTTTGTATACTTTTATGTTATGATTTGTATACTTTGTATTCATTTGTTTGTTTGTAATGTTTGTAATGTTTGTATACTTTTATGTTATGATTTGTATACTTTGTATTCATTTGTTTGTAATACAAGTTTACCAATCTGTATTGTAAGTAGTGATATTCTGTACGTGTACTATGCTTTGTACTGTTTGTAATGTTTGTTTGCAATGTTTGTAATGTTTGTTATTTTGTAATGTTTGTAATGTTTGTTGGTTTCTTTTGTATTTGTTTGTAATGTTTGTTATTTTTGTCCACATGTTTGTCATTTTTGTCAACCATGTTTGTAATGTTTTTTGCATCACAAATCAATACATATAAAGTATACAAATTATTAGTACTTACAATACAAAGCGAAACATACTAAGAATACAAGCAAAACATACTAAGAATACAAACTGTCAAAGAAAAACATACTAAGAGTACAAACTGTCAAAGAAAAACATACTAAGAGTACAAACTGTCAAAGAAAAACATACAAACCATACTGTCAAAGAAAAACATACTAAGAGTACAAACTGTCAAAGAAAAACATACTAAGAGTACAAACTGTCAAAGAAAAACATACTAAGAGTACAAACTGTCAAAGAAAAACATACAAACCATACTGACATTTTGTACAAAAATACTAACAATACAAACTAATGTTACAAAACATACAAACTATACAAATCACTGTTCTTCCTTCAGACGACTCTCTCTCCACCGCTGCCGCCGCCGTCGACTCTCTCTCCACCGCTGCCGCCGCTGATTCAATCTACTACCATCGCAACCTCTCTCTCTCTCTCCATCGTCGCGCCGCCTCTCTCTCCTCCATCGTCGCGCCGCCTCTCTCTCCTCCATTGTCGCCGGCGCTCTCTCTCCGCCATTGCCTCTCTCTCCTATGTTTTCCGATGATGAAGACCAGATCTATTTTCTCTCTCTTCAACGCCTTCGCCTCCGTCGCGATCTCCTTTCCCTCTTTCCATCGTCGCCGTCGCCGTCGCTGTCGCCGTCGTGGTCGAGGTCTCCTTTCTCTCTCTCCATCGTCGCCGCCGGTCGCCTCTTTTCCATCGTCGCCTTCATCCCGTGGCTGGCAGCGCAGAAGAGAAGGTGGAGAAATTTTTTTTTTTTGAATTTTTTCTAATTCCAGAATTGCCCTTCTTATTAATAAAATAGTCCTTCCATTATCTACACCACTAGATTGATCCAAGGGCTGAGGGGGGGCTTAGCCAAGTGACTAAGCACCCCCCCTTAGTCACCAGATCCGGACTCGTACTGATTGGCCAGTAACGTGACGGGTTGATCGTTAGTCAATCGTCTTAATCGTTAGTCAACGACCTTGACCATCAAACTAACAGTCAACTTTCGAATTTGGTCAAATTAATAAATTATAGAGTTAATTCGAGATAAATACAAAAAGAATGAGAAATGTTCAGACCAGACAAATATATGCCTACGGTGACATGCATGTCACGGTGACTTGCACTTTCCGGTCGACCTCAGTTAGGATTAGGTCGACCTCATTTAGAATTCGGTCGACCTCATATAGGATCTGGTCGACCTCATTTAGGATTCGGTCGATCTCATATAGGATCAGGTCGACCTAATCTGTTGTTTCAGTGTAAAAACAGTTCATGGTGCCTACTTTGGATATTCATATCATACAATTGGCTAGATGGAAATTAAAGACTAATGACTTGTTTTGAAGCTGGAGTGTCCCTCTACATATTGAAGTGATTGAGAGCTCGATAGGAAGTCCAGAAGACCATTTTTGAACCTCATCAAAAGGCTATGCCAAAACTGGGAAACTGCCTGGAAATGGCTAAGTCTGGAAACGTGTTTGTGAAGCTTATTTTGGAGCTCAATTCGAGAAGCATGAATGCGAGTCGAGTCCAGGAGCCTCTACCACGTTAAATTAGGTACGTTTTTATACAAATTCAAGGCATTGGATGAAAGATTGGATATCTGTAAGGCTTCAAACAAAAAGGTGGAAGTTGCTACGAAGGCTGTTTTTCTGGCAGACTTCGAGCACAAGCAAGCTGCCAGAAAAACAACTTTCGTAGCAACTTCGAGCCTTTTGTTTGAAGCCTTAAAGATATTCAATCTTTCATTCAATGCCTTGCCTTTGTATAAAAAAATACGTAATTTAACGTGGTAGAGGCCCCTGGACTTGACTCGCATCCATGTTTCTCTGAGCTCCAAAGTAGGCTTGACAAACACGTTGCCAGACTTAGCCATTTTCAGGCAGTTTCCCAGTTTTGGCATAACCTTTTGGTCAGGTTCAAAAATGGTCTTCTAGACTTTCTATTAAGCTCCCAAGTACTTTAATGTGTAGAGGGACACTTCAGCTTCAAAACAAGCCTTTAATCTCCAATTTCCATCTAGCCAATTGTAAGATATGAATCTCCAAAGTAGGCACCATGAAACTGTTTTTACACTGAAACAACATATTAGGTCGACCTGATCTTATATGAGGTCGAACGAAAAGTGCATGTCACCGTGACATGCATGTCACCGTAGCAAAGTCCTAACAGTTAATGTAAACGTAAACGGTAAACCTAATGATTATTGGCATTAATAAGAAGGCAAATCTAAATGGTCATTCATACAAAAAAAAAAATACAAATGGTCACTATTAATTCAGGTGAGTTGGGCTTATTGGTCCAATTTAATAACGGGCCTGAGTAACCTATGTGGCTATGTCCTCCACAGTCCACACCCATGGTACCGAGAAATGTTCAAACGGCTCCAAAACCCCCCCTTAAAACACACACGAGTTGTTTGGATGAAAATTTTGAAAAATAAAGTTTTGCATCAAATCTTGGATGAAAAGTGAATTTGATCTATTTGAAAGTTGAGAAAATAATTGTTTAGATGTTATATTTTATTATTGATGTTGAATATGATTTACGAGTTTAAAATATAATTTTTCTGTCCACTTCTAAAGTCTTTTGTTATTTTCAAGTTATTTATTTTCCCCATTCATCTTCAACTTATCTCGTAAACCTGCTAATTCCACATCGCCAACAGAAACACTTGAAAACAGATCCCTCTCTATCAACTATACTCCCATGAATTACGAAAACCAATCTTTTATTATAATCACCCTTTGCAATTTTTCACCTGCTGAGCCTTTTATTTCCCTCGAAAAATACACATGGTTAGTGAATTCGATGGATCCACAATAATCCCCCACTATTTACATTCCTGAAATTCCTAACTCTATATATGTCAAATCAAATTCGATGAGAAAGGGAGTGAGGATGGAGTTTGTAAAGAAATGAACGAACAAGTGGCTTTTTTCAGAGTCTAGGCGAGAAGGAACAATGATTAATGAGAGCAAATATTAAATAAATAAGATTTATGAGAATATGAAAGTCATTTAACATCAAAGATTTGGTTTATTCTTCCAAATCTCGCTAATTTATGCCGTCCAAATCCACCCACTTTTCCCCCTTGCAAAATCAAATATTGAATTTGATAAATTTCCATTAATATTATATTTGGATCCAAATCTATAATTCAAATTATTAATAGAAAACGGCTCTACATATACAAAAAAATGATAGAGCATGCAATGAACTTCCTCCTCGCACAAATAAAGGGAACCGAGTAAGCATATATACATAACACATGCGAATAAGAATGGTGACACAACCTTTACAACCTAAATAAACAAACACAAACATGACTAAACCATCAGACGGAATAACAACAGCAAACTGAACATAGACATAGACGGACGTCGACCTAGCTAGAGACAAGACATTGGACAGCCAAGGACGAAGCCGGCATCTAACCACATGATCCGGCTACCTTGTTCCCGATAACACAAACAATTGCATTTGCAGGAGACTGTGTCCTAGTCTAGCCAGTTACTGCATCATTGCAATCACCGAGCTGTACAAGAACTATGATCAAGTAAGCAGACGGATCATCAGCCGAATGGTTCTGCATATAACGCGGAAAAAACAGAGTTCTTTCCTAGGCAAGAAAGAAAGCCAAGTCCAAGACCGTTCAAGAATCAGAACCCCAAAAACCGTCCAACCAAACAAAGAAAACTCCCGACATTTGTCCTCATCTGTCAAATGAAATGGTTTTTTTTTAAACATTTCATATATTGTTTTTTTCGAAACACCTGTCAGCAGCTGCAGAAGGGGAAGAACACTACCCGCCAAGGCGCCAACGCCACTTCCTTCCTTCCGACCCTGCCCTGGAAATACTCTCCCCACAATCCAATTTCGCCCAACAACAAATAATTTCCCCCGATTCGCTCGGCCCCTTCCTTCTCTTCCAACCCCTTCAAATTCCGCCAAAGTTTCCTGCTTTGTACCGTGCCCATCGTTCACAAGGAAGGAGGGAAGGAACACACAAAAGGGTTCTTCTTTTTTGCGGAGGGAGAAGAGAGAAAGATGGCAGCAGCTGCCGCCTCTTCTTTCAATTTCTCTTCTGCTTCTCCTCCTTCCACTCCTTCCTCTTCCCGAGGCTCCCCTGCCCACGATTACTCCTTCAAGATTCTCATGATCGGGGATTCCGCCGTCGGCAAGAGCAGTATCCTCCTCAAATTCATCTCCGACTCCGATCACGAGCCCTCTCCCACTATTGGTACCCCTTCTTCCCTTCCCTGGATTTTTTTTCTTTCTGTCGTCACGAGGGTTTTCTCTCTGTTTTCTCCATTCTCCACCCAATTTTTCGCGTCGCTGGGGAATCCGGGGTGTAAAATTGGCAGCTTTCTGTTCTTGTCAGCATGAACTAATGATCTCCTCGGCGATGATTTCATGGAGAAATGAAAATGGTCTTGAATGGAACCTATGATTGATTTCTGGGTGACGCACAATTCGTGCTCCCCTGATGCCATCTGCCTTCTTCTTTCTGCAATCAAATTATGCCTGCAATTTGTTTCATAAATTTCTTCTGTGAATTTTTCTGTCAGCAGTAGATGGTAGATATGAGGGAGCTCTTATGATCCTTGAGTTTAGCGGCATCATGGTAGCGAAGTCAACATCTCTTCCTGCTTGCATTGCATGTGTCGGTTTCCATTGTGGGTTTCCCCTGATTTGCACCGAAGGCGACATGGTGCAAGTTATGGAATTCCTGAAAGTTTCCAATTTGGGTTTACACGAGACAAAACTGGATTGGGGTTTATTGTGCTTGATGATTTTCTAGTCTGTTTCTTTGGAACTTCCATCTGGGGAAGTTCCCTATTAGATACTAGATTGGAATTTCAGAGCAAAAATTGGTGCTGATTTGCTTGTGTGTAACTATTGTGTGGGCTTTACATTACTGGTATACCTGTACATCATATTCTGCTTGGAATAATGCAGGTGTGGACTTCAAAATGAAGACCGTCGTGGCCAATGATAAACGATTGAAGCTTACGATATGGGATACAGGTAATTTGGTTTTCTACTAGTTGTGTAACTTTACTCACAACTTCAAGTGTAATTAAGTGAAGGAATTATCCTGGGCATTCTGCCCTCTTTGGGTGTTCTTGGCCTTTCTGTCTTTATTTGGAAAGGTTATCTGTTATTTTCTAGTTGATTGAGTACTCTGATTGTTCTGAGCTTGATGCTGTGGTTAATGCTGTCATGAGAATGTTATCTTTTTGTTGTGGGAATTAATGGGACCATAGAGGTGCCCCCCCTTTACTTTAAGCTTCTCTCAGTAGTGAAATGGCTCTACATCTTGGTTCAGCTGCTTAGTTTACATTTTGGATTTTATTCTCTTGATCTGGTAAGGTTATAAATTATAATATTCGGAAGCCACAAGTATCACTGACCTTCTCTGGAGAGAGAAAATTACAGCAATTTAATGACAATTTGCTTCAGCTCAATCAGAAAATTGGTTGCATCTTCTCTGGACCCTTTTGAACTCGGTGTTTTACTGTTGTTGTAGCTGGACAGGAGAGATTTGGAACTTTGACAACATCTTATTACAGAGGAGCACATGGGATCGTTCTTGGTAAGCTTTTGCAATAGCATGACCTGTTTAGGTGTCTGTCTTTCTTAGTTATCTACCAAATAGATGTTCTTTGACAAATTAACAGTAACTAGATGCTTTTGCTTGTTTCTATGAATGAAATGACTTCAATTTGTTTAATTTTGTAACGTATCACGTGATTTGCAACTCTAATTCTTGACATTTTTTCTATAAGTATGCTGTTGTGCATCGATACTTCAATTATTCTATCATTCATAGGGACTTAATTGTATCATGGAGACATACTAAGCCACTTACTAATTGAAAGATGATTCATGTTTTGTTTTATTTGATGAGAAAACTGTAAGCTCAATGTCTGATCAGTTTGTTCTTTGATTTCCTCTTAGTTTATGACGTCACAAAAAGAGATACATTCACAAACCTGTCGGAGATATGGGCTAGAGACGTGGAACATTATTCTACCAATCATGAGTGTGTCAAGCTTCTAGTTGGGAACAAAGTTGACAAGGTAAGTTCAGCAGTTAAATTTAGATCTGCTGTATCCACCATGTATGCCCACAAGCCACTATGTGCACAAAGACCCAATGCACTATACCATTTTCACTCAAATGTGCTGTGATCAAGCTTTGAGATATTGGAGGCTTGGAGATAGTATGAACATTTGTAGATATGGTTTATTGTGAGAGAAGTTGCTGTTGAATTAACTGTATAATTATCTTCAGGACAGTGATCGCGCTGTAAGCAGAGAAGAAGGGATGGCTCTAGCACAAGGGCTTAAGTGTTCGTTTGTCGAATGCACTGCTAAATCTAGAGAAAGCGTGGAGCAACTATTCAGAGAGCTTATATTAAAGGTAAACCGCAGGAGATGAAATGATTTCATAGCAGTTGCTTTCACTTTCCTGTTGTCTTTGTTTGTGTCCTGGTGGCATTTCCATTATCCAAGATGCTGTTTCTCTTAAACCAATATGATATCATCAATCTCGTATCAGCAAAAATAACACAGCTCTCAGTGCCTTTTTCAGATATTTGAAGTACCTGCCCTGTTGGAAAAGGGATCTGGAGTACCGAAGACAACCACGATTCGAGCAGACAGACAAGCGTCCCAACAAGGTCGAAGAAATGGCTGCTGTTCTTGATCGGAGTGTCCTACAAGCATCGGCATTGCAGAGATTGGAACATATATTCAAATATGATTGAATGTTAGTTGCCAACTAAAAGGTGCTTAACTGGAAGGTTCAAAAGTCTACTACTGTACATTGTTCATGCAACCAACAGTGCTCTTGATGGTGTCTCCTCCGGATCCAACCAAATCAAATATACCTCAAAACTCTTCCTAGGAGTTGGGGGTCTTAACTAAAGATCCCTATACAATGAGTAGGGAGTCTTCGAAAAATTTGGCCATCAACCGCTTGCTCGAGGGGCTAGTCGCTGAGGAAGAGTTTAGTGGGGTACTCTAGAGCTTAATGTCAAATCTGTATACCGTTGTTGTTCGCTCGGTGTCAAAAAGAGTTTTATCAGTTTTATCATCTGTGTTCATACAATGGTAGAAGAGAGTGTGTATTGTTGTTGCTTGTAATTGAGAGATGAAAGAAAAGTCACAAACATACAGCAGGTTCTCTGTCCTTGTACCAGTAGAAGCCACAGCACTTTCAGCAGATTCATTATCACTTAATTTTTTTATTTTGATTGCTGGATTACTCCCAAAGCAAAACACGCCCTTTACTACTCAGTACTCACTCTAAGAAATCCATGTCAGAAAGCACTAACCTGACTAACTGAAACATTTCAGTAGCCAGAGGAAGTACCAATTCCTGATGAACATGCCAAAAATTCAAACTGCCAAAATGGTTCCTTTTCTGATTGCTTAAGCCCTGAGGGAACTAGTACCATTCTGAAGACAGAGATGAAACATCTGCATTTCTGTATCAATCGCATGGTTACACAATGGCCTGATTGTTTCACTCAAACAAAAGTCAGCAGTACAGAGTTTTACAGGAAATCTGTCCGAGATGCTAAAAGCTAAGTTGTCAAGATGGGTTCTTCTTTGCCTTCCCGACCTCCTCTTCCGCCGCCGCGTAAGGGCCACCGGCTCGCCGATGGTTTCTCTTCATCCGCGGCGAGACGTGAACAGTTTCTTCCGCCGCCGGGGCAGGGGTTTCCGGTAGGAAGTGGTGCGCGAGGAAGTCAAGGGGCGGGAACAGAGTGGGGAAATCACAGGAGGTGGAATTTTCATCATGGTCCAGCAGATCTTCAGCGGGCGAGGGCGGGGATGGGAGGGACACGGTGCCGCGGAAGTTCTGGTAGAAGCCGACGAAGTAGAAGCCGGTGCAGAGGACCGCCGTCAGGATGAGGCGGAAGAGATTGGGAACTGGGGTCGCCACCGCCATGGGAATCGGAGATCGGAGAAACAGAGAAAGGAGGGGAATGGGTAGATGATTGCAGGGGCGCAGGCGTGCATGGATTGGGTTTGAGTTCTCGTCAACTTATTAACTAGGGGAAATTGGGGAAAACCCAATTTTCCCGATCCGTGAAATTCGATGATTAGGGATTGGCGAGAATCGGGAGGGACGAGTTTCAATTCTGCATTATCCGCATCTCGATTTCTCAGGACAGGGCTGGGAATTTTGCGAGAATTTGTGACAAGGGAAAATCATAAATATATGTACACTTGTACAGGGTGTTTCTGTCTTGTTGTATGAAGAACAAAGTGTCAGAATAGCAGTTTGGGTTGGGATTTTGCCATTTTGGTCTGGCTCTGGCTGGATTAGTGATTATCAGAGTAAAAATGGCAGCAGCATCCAGCCTCTGCTTGGAAGAATCCAACAAATATGGATACAAGGACAAGAAAGAAAGCTTAAACAAATGGGTTGAAATGAAATTAAGATTAATAGTTAATTGTAGAGGTCAACATTCAATCGGTCGTGTCAAAAATCAAATTGAATCAATAAACGCGCATCATACCTCCAATCGATTATGCGATAGTGTGGGACTTGTTTGACAGTTATGCAGCGGTCATGTCAACACAATTTGTTGAGTCATTGACGACGGAAAAGAGGTTAACCGGTAATATTAACAATCAACTTGAAAAATTGGGTCCTCTCCGGTCATGCCACCGTAATAAATTGGGTCCTCTTTTTTTGGCGGATTTGGAAAGGGCGGAATAATGTTTTCTTTCCACCCTATGCACAATTTACCACTGCTGCCTTGTACCGTCACCTATTATCTCATCATGCCACTCATCAAATTGCCATCCTACCCAATCAGTCACCGCCACCCAGACCTCAGCCTTATCCTCGTTCGATGTTGCATTCTACTTTTCGCATTGCAGTTGATGGGGCGACAAGTGCTCCGACTCATGGCGCAATTGGCGTGGTGGGTTTGGATCAGAATGTGCCAGTTTTTGCAATGGGTGGTTTCTTTCCAGGCATTTTTCATCCCAAGATCATGGAGGTGTTGGCAATTAGAGAAGCTATCTTACTACTTCGACAATGGCAGTGGCAGGATCGACCGATTGTGATTACAAGTGATGCTCTTGCGGTTGTACAACATTTGAAGGCTTCTGATGCCAATGATGCCCTTGTGGGGGCTATCTTACGAGAGGTCATCTTTATGTTGCAAGAATTGCCACTGGTTTCTGTTGCTTTTACTCCTAGAGAAGCAAATCAGGCTGCCCATGTTGTGGCACGTAATGCCTTATGCTACTCTGGATCTTGTAATGTTCGTTTTGATTGTTCTTATTTGCTTTGGCTATCATTTCACGAAGAAGCCGTTGTATTGTGGCTATCTCGTGCTTACCTAGTTAATCCGCAAGGGTTTCTATGACAAAAAAAAAAACTTGAAAAATTGGGTCATTTATTGAAATTTACATGTTCGTATTATTTGAGAGTTTGAGGTGAAAGTTGTATTTCGATGCAGAGTTCGGGGCAAATCATGGTAACAGCCTTTTATTACACAATAAAAGGATCAAAACTTGTCTGCTAAATAACAACTTTATGATATCAGAGTCGATCAAACTATGATGTGTTAATTTTTTTTTTCCTTTGTAATTTGGATAGGACTTAGGAGCATTGGGTGAGGACAATTTACTATTTGGTGAAGCCTAACACGATAGGATTGTGAGGTATTTCATTTGCTCTGATTGAAAACTGAGATCATGGGAGATTGAAGCTGCCTGCTTTGCACAAGTAGTGCACCAAAGTTTGATGTAGTATGAACATTGGAGTATGCTAATGGAAAATCTCCTTAAATTCATTGGACTCTGGTATATGAAGGTGTTCAATGGTTAATGCAAACCTGAGGAAATGCATAACTTTTCGAGATTTTTCAAACTCTTGTTTCCACTGCTGTCGCAGATTCGAATCGAATAATCGGAGACAAAACAAACAAATCGATGTAATTTCTGATAATATTTGCCTTACATATGATTTTTTTTTTAAAAAAAATCATATATTGATTGAAATATAGGTAGTTTCATCCTGGATTATAACCACTGAACCACACCTATCAAAGAAACAACTCGTAGTCGGTAGGGATGGCAATTACCCACCCATGGGTAATTTTACCCAAATCCAAATAGATCCATTTAGTATGGGTAGGGTTTGGATGAAGTGTATATGGGTTTGGGGGTTTGTAGATGGATTTGGGTTAAGTAAGGATATTGCTTTCATAATGTAAATGGGTATGGGTTGGATATGGATATCCATTTACTTGAGGGTGTTTTAACTACACACACAAAAATTGGACCTATTTGTAAAACTTGAAAAGTTTAGGTACCAAAATGTAAGACCAAAAAAATTTAGGTACCAAAACGTAATTTTCCATCGATATTTTGAGGACTTATATGCAAAAAAAATTAAATTTAGGTACTAAATATGCATATCTATTAAGTTTAGGTACCAAACTGTAATTTGCCTTTGGGCATGGGTACAAACCCAAATCCATGTGTTAAAAACCCAACCCAACCCAAGTAAATGGGTATGGGTACAAATCCATCAAACTCTACCCATCTACCATTTATTTGGAATCCATACCCGACCCAATTGGGTTGGATAGTAAAATACCCATGGGTATGGGCAAAATTGCCATCCCTAGTAGTCGGGTACAAAGAAGACCTTTCATATGATTAGAATTAGATACGATAAATATAATCCAACCCTTGTTCTTGCTGCCGGCGTTCATTTGTTTGTGTCCTTTGTAGTCTATCAGGGCTTCGTCCGACCAGGCACGTCGATGATCCCAAAGTTTTCCAATTGGCCTTCCTTACTGAGTTTTTCTTCCAAACTTGCGACAACATTGCAGCGATAGGATAGGAGGAATTACTACCAGAACTTTTGAGTTTTACTGTTACTATTAGCAAGGCAAGGAAAAGGGGGTTGGTGGGAGACAGACACTAGAAAGAAGAGGGAAAGCAAAGGAAGTGAGGGGTAGAGAAAGATGAGCAAGATCGGAAGAAGATTCGAGGGAAAGGTAGCTATCGTCACCGCTTCCACTCAGGGTATTGGGTTCGCCATCGCTCAACGTCTTGGCTTAGAAGGCGCCTCCATTGTTATCTCCTCTCGCAAGCAGGTTCCTTTTTTCTTCTTCCCCTCGATTCCGCCTTGAGAAATCGTCAAGTTTTCGACTGACTGCATAATTCCTCTCCTGGGATTCTGTCCATTTAGCTTCTTTTTCTTCTTCTTGGGTTGTCGGTGTTACTCTGTTAATGTCGCTTCCATGGAAGTTGGTGTGTTGATCATCTGCAGGCGCTTTGCTTTCCCATCCAAAAAGTTGGGGCCTTTTTTGTTGGTTTATTTGCTTATTCTCTATGCGAAGCACTTGGTTATGCTTGCAGTGCCACTGATTTAAGTGAATTCAATTATTTCGTTTTCCCTAGAATGAACCCAGAAAATTGAAAGAGAATGAATTGATTGATCCCTTGGCAGCAAAACGTAGATGAGGCAGTTGAGAAGCTCCGAGCACAGGGCATCCAAAACGTGATCGGTGTAGTTTGCCATGTCTCAAATGCACAACAGAGGAAGAATCTCATTGAGAAAACTGTCGAGGTTAGTTAGATAAGAGACGAGTAAGCAAAGCCATTTCATTTCAATCCATGCCACTTCTAGAACTAGTATAGCATAAGCAATAGTGTGATTCTTGCTTAGCTCATCTGTCTATCTGGTGTGCAATTGCCTTGTTTCAGAAATATGGGAAAGTAGATGTGGTTGTATCCAATGCTGCTGTCAACCCCTCCACTGAACCCATTTTAAATACAAAGGATTCCGTCCTCGATAAGCTCTGGGAGATTAATGTCAAAGCTTCTATCCTTCTCTTGAGGGTACACAACAAAATCAACCCACCCAAAAATTTCCGCTTGCTTGCTGCTGGCGCTTGATCAAGCAGTTGCTAAATATATAGGCTCTTGCTCTTTGTTCTGCAGGATGCAGCTCCGCACATGCCAAAGGGTTCCTCAGTTGTTCTAGTGTCCTCTATTACTGGCTACCACCCACCATCATCAATGGCTATGTATGGAGTCACTAAGACCGCCCTTCTCGGCCTTACCAAGGTATGGGCATGGTGAATATTCCATGTTGTTCTGTGGTGCCCTTCCTTGATAGTGAAACGATTTGAAATTTTCGTTGGGATCCATCCAAGTTTGTTTCCAAGCATGATATGATTGCTTCTCTCTTTCTAAGATGTTCACTTGGTTTACTGTTTCAAACATTATATCAAGTAGGCGCTTGCAGCTGAGATGGCACCTGATATTCGAGTGAACTGCATAGCTCCTGGTTTCGTGCCAACACACTTTGCTTCTTTCATAACGGAGAATGATGAAATGGTAAGAAAGTGCTACTACATTTGCATGATCGAGCAGAAAGTCCAGATTGATGCTTAACGAATAAATGTTCTTCTGCATGGTGGAATTTGCTGAGTTTTTTCATTTTCCCTTATTGATGTGTTGATGTAGAGAAAAGAACTTGAGGCGCAGACGTTATTGAATAGGCTGGGCACGACAGAAGACATGGGTGCTGCAGTAGCGTTTTTGGCGTCAGATGATGCTTCATACATAACTGGTGAAACTCTAGTGGTGGCTGGGGGAATGCCATCTCGGCTTTAAGATGGAGTTAGTGTGTTGTTTATCTTGTAATCAATCCCCGAGTCAAGGTGCCCTTTTATCCATCTCTTGAGAAACCAATAATAGAGAAAAACGATTTCTTCATACGGGTGTGTACTGTGTTGTGTAATGCATCTCTGTGGCTGAGACCAGTCTGTAGTCTGCCATTTGGATGGACAATTCTTGTGTGGTAAACTGCATCCGAAAGAAAAATTGCAACTCCATATGGCCTTTTCTTCCTCCTAGCTATAGGTCAATACCAGCTCATATGACTAGGATTGTTGGAGAGTCAAACTCTTGTTCCATTTCATCTCATGTGCCCAAATCCATGCCAAAGCCAAACTAGACCTCAAGATCCTCTTGCCAAAGCCAAACTTGAACCAAATCTCGTTGTTCGGAGACCACGACCCAAGACTCCAGAGAACCAGATCAGGAACATGCCTCACTAGAATGAGCAGTTGTTCTCTCCCTAAACTTATGCCAACATCTGCTCTGAACGACAGGACAGAGAGGCCACGAGAATTTGATTGGTTAACAATATCTCCAAGAGCCAAATGAAGTAAATTCAGGATGAGAAATCATGATCATGGTAGCCGCTCTGCGTAAAGGGAAGACATGCAGGAAGATGAAGCGAGTAGCTAGCTGACAGACAACATAGTTCAGCAGCCGGCTCTCTCCATCTGTTGTGCCATTGACAAAGCTCCCTTCTCTCGAACAATTTGGCAACTTCCCCAAGGATAAACTCAATATGTCGTTTCTTAGAGAGATATATCCAAGAATACATTATATACTGTTTAAGATAAGTGATTGGTCTATACAATGTTGATGACTTAGTTTATACAGAGTATCCCCCCCAGCTGTACGAATAATTCCCAGTGCTCGATATTTCGAGGTGCCAAAACCTGGCCAAATGTCAGGAGAAAACCCATTAGTTATCGATTATCACGTTGGAATACTCTTTAGATAATAAGCATAACAGTTTCTTGAGATTTTCGTTATTTGTTTGCTGGCTGAAGCCTGCATTTTGCTACTGATTTGTCCTGTTACAGAACCGGAAATACATGTGTGGTGCTGCAAGGAGTTTAAGCAGATCCTGACTAAGTCCAACGATTACTCCAAGCAAATGTTTGCTAGTGTTAAGCAGTCATTGTTCTAGCACATCACTTTCTTAAGCACCTTCACATCAGCTGAGAAAACTACTTATATAAGCAAGGCTTGCTTGAATAGTTCATTCAGTCCTCAATCAGGATTCTTAGTTCTCAGTTCTGTTTCTGACAATTAATGGCTTCCCTGAGCTGCCACCAGAAGAGCATAATAATCGTTCTGACAATCCTCGTAGCAGGAGCCAATGCTGCAGACATCTTTCTGACATGGAATGTTTCACTTGACACCACCCTCAATCCCATTTCCGTCCAGCAACCTGTGAGACACACACAGAAACATATATGCTTTACATACATAGGATCTCTTCTTTACCTGAGTGGTGTCATTTTTCTGATTGAGCAGGTTATTACCATCAATGGGAGGTTCCCTGGACCGACAATCAATGCGACTACCAATGACTTCGTCCATATCAATGTCTTCAACGACTTGGACGAGCCATTACTGTTTACATGGTAATTCAGTTTAGACGGATTTCCCCTGATTCTCCCTTTCTTTCTTCAGGTTGCTTAGTTTGTTTCATATCAGGAATGAAATGAGAAAATTCCTGACGACAATGTGTGTGGTTGCAGGAACGGGATACAGCAGAGGCTAAACTCATGGCAAGATGGAGTTTCAGGAACAAACTGTCCCATTCAGCCTGGTCAAAACTGGACTTACAAGTTCCAGACAAAGGATCAGATTGGCAGCTTCTTCTACTTCCCATCGATCAACTTCCAGAAGGCTGGTGGTGGGTTCGGAGCGATTCGGGTCAATAACCGGGCAGTCATAGCTGTTCCATTCCCAAAGCCTGAGGACGAATTCGACCTTCTCATTGGTGACTGGTACTATGACAGCTACCAGGTAAGAAAAAAGGAAGATTTTACCGCTTGACCTTTGTGCTAGAAATGAAAAGTTTTGAGTACTGATTAGAACTTTGTTTCCTTCACATCAGATGATAAGATCAGTAATGGACACAGAGGTTGTAGCCTATCAGACCATTCCTGACATTATGCTAATGAACGGGAAAGTCCCATTCGGTCACGAGCTAACCAAAAACCATGAATCCTTTACTGTGACATCAGGTCAGTAAAACCTAACCTGACAACTTCCTTCCTGTTAAATTCATTACCCTACTAGCTAGGAAACATCTGAATTATCTTCCTGAATTTGTCACACTTTCCAGGAAAAACTTACAGGTTCAGGATATCAAATGTTGGAACTGCACTCAGCTTCAATTTCAGGATTCAGAACCACAAATTGGTGCTGGTGGAGACAGAAGGTTCATATACCAACCAAATCACCCTGGATTCGCTGGATGTCCACGTGGGCCAGTCCTACTCCGTCCTGGTGACGATGAACCAGGTCGAATCGGACTATTACATCGTGGCAAGTCCCAAGCTGATCAACGCCAGCGCAAACAGCAGCAGCCTTGTGGGTGTTGGAGTGCTACATTACTCCAATTCCATAGCAAAACTCTCCAGTCCCCTGCCGTCAGGGCCAGATCCATTCGACTTAGACTTCTCAATAGATCAAGCCAAATCCATTAGGTATAGTTATAGCAACACCACGACATCCTGAAACTCCTCAATGAAACAATGTCAAGTTTAAGTCAAACATCTTTGAGAAATGATGATGATCTTATGTCTGAATTCGACCAGGTGGAACCTGACGACAGGTGCTGCCAGGCCTAACCCACAGGGGACATTCAATGTGAACAATGTCACAATATCTCAAACCTTCATCCTCGAATCCTCGACTTCCCAAATCAGAGGCGATCCTCGCTACTCGATCAACAATGTCTCCTACAGAGTACCCGACACGCCCCTGAAGCTAGCTGATCATTTCGACAACGGGTCAGGAGTGTACCAACTGGACTGGTTCCCGACCAACTCTGCGAACGACGAAGCTGCATACGGAGTGTCTGTTGTTACAGGAAACCACAAAGGGTGGATCGAGCTCGTGTTCCTCAACACGTTGGGCGGATTCATGGACACCTGGCACTTGGATGGTTTCGGTTTCCACGTCGTCGGGTAAGGTCCTGTTGCTACTGCATTCCTACTCCAGAGAGTATACAGAGCAGAATACTGATCACTAGGGAAGTTTGTGTTGAAATTACAGGATTGGGAAAGGGAAATGGGGAGCTGAAGCGAGGAGCAGCTACAACCTGATTGATCCAGTGGTGAGATCGACGGTGCAGGTTTATCCTGGAGGATGGACGGCGGTTTATGCTTTCCTGGACAATCCTGGGATGTGGAATCTGAGGTCGCAGAACCTGAAGAACTGGTTTTTGGGTCAGGAAATGTACATTCGAGTTCACAATGATGATCCTAATCCTGCCAAGGAGCGTCCACCGCCTTCCAATTTACTCCTCTGTGGTCAGTCTTTCATTTCCTTTTCTTTTTTTCTTTTAGACAGTCAAGATGGAAGCTGGAAAATGATTCAAATGGGTTTTGGTCACTGTTCACAGGTAAATATGGAAATGGTGGCGATGGGTCTCAGGATCCGGTTGGGGCTCCAGCTCGTGCTCCATCTCCGTGGTGGACATAGACGAAGAAGAACAAGAGGGTTTTCTTCTCAATGCTTACAGAAGTTACCCTTTAAAGTTTAATTTTTTATGATTATTTAGATTGTTACCCTTTTATATTAGAAAATTCAATTTATCAAGTTACTAAATGATGCCTGATGGCTAAAACAAAAATCCTAAACAGAGTTTGAGTTCATTGACTAGAACGGAGGGTGCGATGCTGAACTGGCTTTTATTTCTATTAAGGTGATGAGAACCATTGTTTATTTTCAATTTGATTTGACGACTGAGAGTGGTACGTGGATGCCAAGTTAAAATTTGAATGACTGACCTTAGATAATGGTTATCAAAACTGGTTTTCTTTTAAGCGGATGGGAAGGTCTCTTAATAGTGCTCGGTAATTTCATCTCGAATGCCAGTTCAAAATAATTTTTTTGGTTGGTTAAAGGAATAAGGGATACGTTGTTGGCGGTATCGAAACTCGAAAGGGTTTTGCTTGACTCATCAAGATTTGTCAATAATTGATTGACTCACTTGATTGTTGTTTGAAAGTCATGATTTGATGTAATCACGACTTAAATCAGTGGTGGGTTAGAGTTTAGTGATTTATCGAACAACTTACTCCATCAGAATCAACGAATTGTCAGTCTCACCAGCATAATAGATAGCTTTACAAGTTACAACCACTAACTTCGCTGTTGAAAAGCGGATGACGACCGAAGACAAATTTAAAGAATAAGAGCATAGACAACACAAATTGCAATCTACGATAAAATGTCAAACATGTTCTTAGTGGGATTTAAATGCAAAGAGGAACTTTCCTTCCAAGAATCAACGAATGTCGTCGTTAACTTTGAATCTCCCTTATGGGGTTGTGTACTACCCGAAACACAACATTAGCAATGATAAGTTAATAACCTATTGTTGGGCCTATCTGGACCAAGTCCAGCCATCAAGATTGATCACAAGGGAAAACCCAAAAGTCGGGCCCAATCCCGTAAACAGGAGCCCAGCTCCTTCGATGGCTTGTCACTGGAAGCTCATAGTGACAAGCACACTAGTGTCTAGAAGAGTACTGGGCCCCAACAAAATATTATGTCATGTGCTCGAAAAGATCTCTCTCCGCAGGGCGCGGTCGAGACACATGACCATAGGAAGGTACAAAGCATTAAATGTGGTGCTGACATAGGGTAGATGAAGGATATCATTATCAGAATGAACCTTTGTATAAATAGGGAGAAGGTAACAACATTTATGGGGGTGAACCCTCTCAGTAAAACTGTCGACACATTAACTTTTTCTTTATAAACTGTACTAAGTTGATTGTTAGACAAATAATGGATGAATGTGTTTCATTGTGCGGGTCTAGGCGTTACGAGAATTTGAAGTGCAATCCTGGTGTTCCTCTTCACAAACGATACAAGTATAATTAGCCCAGCGTTTTACTGAGAGGGTTTGGTCGACGACGATAATGTTCGCAGGTTGCTCTACAGTAGAAGGAAAAGATGAAGGGATTAACAGCGTAATCGCTTTCTAATTCAAACGGGATTTCTTTTAGTTTATTAATTTGTCTGTAATCACTTTCTAATTAAAACTGGATTTATTAATTAGTCAGGGGTGGTTAGGTAATTTCTGATCCTAGTTAACGGTGAGAAAACGGAATTTTCAGCAGAAGGGTAATTTCGTTACATTGTAATATTAGAAGGGCATGTTCGTGTAAAATAATAGTACAGGAGCACGTTTGTTCATTCACAATAGTATAGGGGCACAAAATGCTATTAACCCTTTTTTTATTATCATTATCATACTTTAATCAGCATAAAGTCATTTTTGTGTGACGGGTACATAGATGAATGAAAATTCGATTAGATTGTGACTAGAGGCTGAAAAGCTTGCAATAACATCATCAGTTTTGCAACGTTGTTTCTTCCAGTATCATCCACCATTCCACCGTTGTCAATTCCTAATTAAATAAGAATTAACGATTGTGACTGGAAGACACAAGGACAAACGAATCATAGCTTGGCATGAACGATAATCTGTCAGCTTTGGAGGATTAACTGCTTACCCGTCTCAATTGGTCCCAGAACAACAACCTGCTGAGAAACCAATGCCATACAATAACTTAAAACATTGTTCAGAGTTCTGTCAACTTTGATGCTTTTCAATTTGGAAATTTCCCTCGTTATCAACTATGTGGAGTAGACACAAAGTATCATTCTTTCCCTATATATTTCGGTTTTCATCTTCTTCCACTCCCCTGTCTTCACTCACTCATTGCAACACTTAAAAAAGCCCTCAATCCGCTGCAGGATGAGCAGAAACAGAGCAATGAAGTTCTGTGTACCTCAATCCAGCCTGCTCGCCGCTGCTCTTCTTTTGCTCATCGCAACAACAATCGTTGATGGCGATCGAATCTTCCTTGAATGGCACGTTGCTCTCGACACAAGCATCAGACCGGCCTCTGTCGATCAACCTGTAAGTGAAACCAAAACCAATCTCCACAGGTAGAAATTCCCCTGAAGTAGTATCAGTAGGAGTGACAGTGTGACACAAAAAAAAAAATCCTCCTTTTACACAGGTTATTACAATCAACGGCAAGTTCCCAGGACCGTTGATCAATGCGACGACGAATGACAACATCCAGGTCAATGTGTTCAACGACATTGATGAGCCCCTTCTCTTCACCTGGTATTTCCATATCCATTTCTTTCACTTGCAACTAACTAGCTATGCCATTTTTCTTACTGAAGAAGTTTGAATTATTGGAACTCTATCAGGAATGGGATACAACAGAGGCTGAATTCCTGGCAGGATGGAGTGTCAGGAACAAACTGTCCCATTCAGCCTGGCAGGAACTGGACATTCGAGTTCGTGGTGAAGGATCAAATCGGATCCTTCTTCTACTTCCCATCACTGCACTTCCAGAAAGCCGGCGGAGGATTCGGTCCCATCCGCGTCAACAATCGCGTCGTGATCCCCGTACCTTTCCCTCAACCCGAGGACGATTTCGACTTGCTCATTGGTGATTGGTACAACTTCAATTACAAGGTACCCCCAAATTCAATCGGATGCCGTAAGGCACAAGATTCTATAAACCTGAACATACCTGAAACTGATATTTTTAGAGCCCTCTGTTTCCAACTAGGACGTCAGGCGGATGCTGACCAACGGCCCAGCCCAACCCAACCTCCCATCTTTGACGATGCTCATGAATGGGAAAGGCCCATATGTGAACTCGTCGACCCAAGTATACGAATCCTTCACCGTCTCCCAAGGTAACCGAGCCTCAGGCCCAATGGACTCTGCTGATACCCCCCAGGCCCAGCCCACTCTAACCTCCTTTGTTCTGTTCCCTCTTCTAGGGAAGACGTACAGGTTCAGGGTATCGAACGTGGGATTGCGGAGTAGCTTCAACTTCAGGATCCAAAACCATCGGCTGCTAGTCGTCGAAACGGAAGGATCGTACACGAATCAGATGGTGGTGGACTCTCTCGACGTCCACGTAGGACAGTCCTACTCTGTTCTCGTCACAGCGGATCAGGACCTCGCGGACTATTACATCGTCGCTTCCCCCAAACTGTCCAATGTCAGTAACGACCCAAACAGCGGGCTTCTGGGTGTTGGGCTTCTCCGTTACAACGGCTCCTCGACGAACGTCAGTGGGCCGGTACCGAGCGGGCCCAGCCCATTCGATATGCGATTCTCCATCGAGCAGGCCCGGTCCATTAGGTGGAATCTAACAGCAGGGGCGGCAAGGCCCAACCCACAAGGGAGCTTCAATGTCTCCAACGTGACAGTGTCACAGACATTTGTGCTTAGTGGATCAAATGCACAAAATGGTAACGGTGGTGTGGTGTACTCCACAGTCAATAACGTGTCGTATATGACGCCGGACACACCATTGAAGCTGGCGGATTTCTACAGCAATGGCTCCGGCGTTTACACCCTCGACCAGTTCTCGACGAACTCTTCGAACGGCGAGCTCCGGCAAGGGGTTTTCGTGGCCGCCGGGAGGCACAAAGGGTGGTTGGAACTTGTCCTCACCAACGACCTTGGAAGTATAGACTCGTGGCATTTGGATGGGTATGGCTTCTTCGTGGTCGGGTATGGATTTGGAGACTGGACGGCGGCGTCTCGCTTCTCGTACAATCTGTTCGATCCGGTTGTTCGTTCAACTGTTCAGGTATTTCCATTTCTAGTCATAAATCAAAATTATGCGTATATTCAATAGTTTAGCATTGTGTTACGGTACGAACATTTTAGTCACTATTTTCGCGTGGTAGACGTGTCTGTAATTATGATGCTGCTGTTGCACAGGTGTATCCAAAAGGATGGACTGCGGTTTATGCATTTTTGGACAATCCAGGAATGTGGAACCTGAGATCACAGAAGCTGAGGAATTGGTATATGGGACAGGAGCTGTATCTGAGAGTGTATGATCCTGACCCCAACCCTGCCAAGGAGTTTTCCCCTCCAGCCAACCTTCTCCTTTGTGGTATATTACATAACAAGCACCAAATTCACTGCCACTGAAGTTTTTTTTTTCTTTCTAATCAACCACAATGTAAATTTTTGTGGGTGTATAATTACTGGTTGCAGGAATTTACAGCAACTCAACTCCACCACCTCCTAATTCTCCCAACTCAACCCCTCCGCCGCCGTCTCCTTCTCAGGCATCTTTTCACCACTTCCCATGGTAATTAATTAATTCTTGCACTCATTGACGACTGTATACATCCAAATAGTTAGGTATTTCTCTGGATAAGTTAGTTAGTTAGTTAATAACTAACAATGACATTGTTTTTGTTGCTCTTGTTGTTGTTCTCTAAAAGGTTCCAAAGCTTCGTGGTGACCGTGGTGGCAACTCTATATATCTGCATGAAGCAATAAATAGTAGGGAGAGCTGCGTTTGACATCATGCAATATATATATATACTACAGTACTGTGGCATTGCCCAGCTAGTGTACTAAGACTCAAAATTAAGTTCCTACATTTTTTTACTCATTTATTGGTGGTGGTCTAGATGTAACATTGATGCCACAAAAAACACTGTTGGTCAAGATAATAAAACTGATGAAAAATGGTTGAGTGGAGAAGAAACAGATAGTCTTCACTTTTTTTTTCCTGATAGTCTTTGTAACATCCCAAACCTTTTTCCGAGCAAAATATTGTCTATTTTGGGTCTCGACTCTCACGGTTTTTTATTTGGGCTGCAATTCAAGGTGATTTCCATAAGGTGATCACTCATCCTTGTTGTACTTCACACTGAACACGTTTAACTTCGGAGTTCTCACAAGAACTCCACCCCAAAACACGTCTTGTCAGTTAAAATCGTTTTCCTACTTATGAATTATGGATCTCTCCCGTACTTTGTCGATGTGTGTGATTTGACTAAAGTGTTACCTTGTTCACTTCACTTGAATATCATTTTTTTTTTGTGAAGGATTGAAATTTGAGACATGTTAATTTCCCCGATCTCAAATCCCCACGTGCACTTTTGGGCAATCTTTCTATCTATATGCGCATGTTACACATTTCCTCTTCTCTACTAAAATTAGCAAGTACTTGCTACAAGCTACAACCAAGAAATGGAAAAGAGAAACAGAAAGTAGAAAATAATTTAACAAAGGGTTTTGATGATTGCAAGCGTCATTGCCAATCACGAATTTCTCATGAACTTCATTATTATTATTAATCACCCCAAAAAAAAGTAAAGAACAAAATTGAATATCACTTTTACACATATGGTAGTGATTATCAGAAAATTGGTATTATAAATGTCATCAAAGCCCCCATCATGAATTACAATTGCATGGGTGAATAAGATGAATCGATATAATTACAATAACAACAAAAATCATTACTAGCAAATTACTCATGTAAATTTCGTCCAAATCGACAAAAACGTGAAAATTACAAACAAAATAAACTAAAAGGAATAAAATTTTTTTGTATGATGAGTGTCAATTTCATCTCCGTATTTTGATGAGTAATCAAATCAAAGAATTGTACGTGCATGAACACGAACAATCCATCCCTCCGCTAGATCGGTGTCAAAAAATTTATGTGAGATTGAAAAAATATTTTTTTTCAATTGTATGCTGATGATGAAGAAGACGACGACGTGGTTAGTAATGGCAATCCACCAAAGCAGGGCTGGGAAACACCAGAGTGGGTTTCTTCTGCGGCGGCTGCTGCTGCTGGGAAGCAAATGGCATCAATTGCAGCTGCGGCTGCTTTTCCTCCGGCGCCGGCAGATTGAGATCCAAGTCCAACGACATACTCAAACTGCTCCCATCCCTCCCTCTCTTCCCCGTCACCGTTGTTTCCCCCACGTTCTTCTTGCTGCCGCTATTGTTATTGTAATTGTAATTGTAATTGTTGTTCCCCAACGACAAACTCGTCGCCGCACTTGCCGCGGCGGCTGCAGGGGAAGAAGAAGCGCCGACAACAGGGGCCCGGTGCCTCCTCATGTGTCCACCCAGCGCCTGGCCGGAATTGAACTCCGCCCCGCAAATCCCGCACTCGTGCACCTTGCTGCTGTTCCCCTTGTGATTATTTCCGAACATCGACGATGTGCTGGCGGCGGCGTTGCTGCTGTTGGTGTTGTAATAGCCGCTTCCCCTGTTTCCGCCGCTGTTCAATTGAAGGTTGAGAGAAGAATTCATGTCCCTGAGGTTGTCTTCCTCGTCGGAGGACATGTTCGTCCTCGTCAGCATCATGTTGTTGACGTTGTTCTTGGGCTTCTTGTGGCTGGCCCGGTGCCCGCCGAGCGCCTGGAAAGACGGGAACGTCCTGCTGCACGTCCGGCATTCGTACACGTAGTACCCTGCCCTCCCGCCGCCGCCTCCGCCAGCAGGGGACGTCTCCATGAACCTCCTGCTGGTGAATTTCCCTCCTCCTCCGCCGTTGGTGGCGGTGGTGGGGGAGGAAGAAATGACGGTGATGTTGTTTTTGGAAATGACGGAATGGCCCTGCGCCAGGAGGATCAGGCAGTTCGCCATGTCCTCCTCCTCCTTGGTGTTCCCGGCCGCCGCCGGCGGCGGTGGGACGAATGTCGACGTTCTTGAATTCTCGACCACCATAATCTCCTCGTCGTCGTCGTCGTCGTCTTCCACGTCTTCATCGTCGAAATTGTAATCCTCGTCGTCGTCGGCGGCGGCGTCCTCGAAATCGTCCTCCCCGATGGAGGAATTGGCACTGGCGGCAGGGGCGGTGGCGACGGCGAAGCTGTTGGCGACCGGAGATTGAACTCGCTGCCGCTTGGTCCTCTTTCCCTTGGCGATTTGGGAAATGGGGACGGCTGCAACTGGGGCTTCCTTGTTGCTGCTGTCGCCGTTACCGGTTTTGTCAGGCGGCGGCGGTGCCTCCTCCTTGGAGGTGGCCTCTGCCTCCGCCTCTGCCTCTGGCGACGGCTTCATCACCTCCGCCTGTTCAACGGCAGCCACCGGAAGCTCCTCCGTCGCTACGACAGCTGCGGCCGTCGGCAGAACATCGTTGGTAGTACCTGTGATCTCCATCGCTCTCCGAACCGAATTTACGAAAGGAGAAACAGAGAGACAATGGAAGGTGTACGTAGGAGGAAGAGTGGAGGGTTACGAATTGAAATCTTCAGTATTTCTCTCAGATACAATGAAATCACATTAACAGAACAATCTTGGTTGTGTATAGATTTTCCTTTTTCTTTATTCCTTTTCTCTCTTACAATGCAATGGAGAAAGAGTTAACTGTTTGATGATAATATAGTGGTATTGGCGATGTGGTATTTTAGACGAGTATGATCTGCGTCCGCTCCCTTCTTCGCCTATATCTTCTGAGGCTCTGATAAATATTTGTGTGAATCTAACACTACACACTAAAAACAGACAAACGGATCTAATGTAACCGAAAACAAAAAAAATGGGTGGAGGGAAAATAAGTCGAATGGCACTGTGATTAGCGTTGAGAAATTTTTTCTACTTCACACGAGATGACAAGAGCGAGAAGCAAAAACGATTAAGTCCATGTTAATTGTTTTCCACCGTTGCTTTACTAGGCTGCCAAATTAATCGCTTCTCCGCTCGTGTCTCCAGCTGCCTCGTCGCGTTGCATGCATGGAAGTCATGCATGCATTATTATCTGTTTTAATTTCCCATTTACTTTTCTAATCCTAGTATATAGGGGAGAAGTTAAATTGAATTTCTATTCCTAGTATATAGCAATGCCAATGGATTCATTTCGATTTCCCACATTCCTCCTAGTATATAGCGAGGAAAAAGCATGTTAATTAGCATTTCTACCGAAGACTAAACTTGAATTTTTAGTGTCTACTTATATACTTTATCGAGTCTATGGTCTTTAATTCACTGTCTATCCATAGAGTGGTCAACCAATTTGCTTACGGTATAATCGAACAGGTTACCCAATTAACCGGTACTAGTAATCAGTTGGAATCGACAACCAAAATCGATTGCCTTACAATTACCTATAACTGACAACCGATAACATTCATTCGGTTGGACCTGATTATGGCCAGAATTTCCTAATTTTTTCTTCTGAATTTGAACCAAAACCGGTAACTGGTGGAGTTATGGTCCTGGGCCATCAGCTCAACCTACATACACCAACTACACATTGTACCCAAACCAAAACACAAAATTCTTATTCATTACTCCACTCAATTGAGTATGACAGATCATTGTTACATAACAAATCCGGCTTCGTGACAACTTTCATTATGAAATAATACTAATACATGTCATGCTGCAACGAAGTACATTTGTGACCTTCAAGCATAGAGTTTGTCTGAAACCTCTGGCTTCCATTCATCAGTATGCAACTGGACAATCATCCTCCTAGATTGGGTAGCATTATTGATAAACTTCCACAGGAATACCAACCAAATGGACATTGTCAAAAGGAAAAATCAGAGAAAGTGAAAAGAGGCTCCTACATTGGGAGCATTACATTCTAAATTGATGATGTCTCCCAATTTACTAGCTCATCAACACTGTTGGGTTCATGGCTTTCTTTTACCGACATTCGACAAACACAGATGTTGTCCTTGGAGGTATAGTGAAGCATCCCGAGGATGCATCGTATGATGATCTCTTCACAACTTCATCAGTTGTCTTGACCTGCATAAGGATTTTAAAGGGGAGAAAGAAGGATACATTGACAAAACATTCAAAAAAAACCCCAATTTTCCAGTTCGATCAAGGCCAAAAGAGAAGCCGACTTGTGGATAATATACTCAAGCAAGTTCACAGTTCTAGATGGCAGAGTATGTTGAGTGTTCTCAAGCTACCTGAACAGGATGCAGCTGAAAGGACTTGCTGGACAGCGCTGGATCAGTAATTGATACCTCTGACGGTTGAGCATTGAAGATTACTACAATGTGGGAGTAGCTGCATATCCAAGGGATATAATCAGGGAAATAATGAACCGTTGTCTGGACATCATAAAGAACCTAACTATGTACACACATCCACTCACGTTTGATCAAGCTGAGGTAACTCAGGGTTGCCATGATGACCGTCTTCAATGCTCATCATTATAACAGCAGGGACTGAAGAAGGACCAGTATTGTGGAATCGCACACGATCCTGGGTTCATGTAAGCAGCAGAGATAAGTTCAAGCTCTTATTGAACAATATAAAATATGGTCATCATTTCTCTAATTGCCATCGCTGATAATGTTTGAAGTTTAAAGTAGAAGAGTGGGCTGAGAATGATGGAAGCCAGAAGTTAGAAACCATTCAGAATCTTGATGAACAGCCATTTGAATTCATGGGAAGGAATTTGCAATTCAAGGAATTAGCATACTTGCCTGGATGGCTTTGGCTGTTGGTAAACGAAAAAGTGGTGAAGAATACCGAATCTGTAGTACATCAACAAAATTCTGAACCGCAGCAAGGATGTGGTCTCTGTCAGGCTTAAATGATGGATCTGCCAATCTAGGTTTTATCCTACGGAAGAGGAAAAGAGTGGCTGGGATCAATGGCCCATACTGCAGTAGAGCCATATCAAGATAACAGGGAGATGAATACTTACAAAGGCCAGCTCTTTTCATTTTTCTCCTTAGGAGGAAGGCCAACAGCCCAATTGTTCGAATTATAAGTGAAGTCCAGCCTGAAAGGAATTGCACAACCAAATAGCAATTCTAAGTACATTAGGAGCCAGATGCAGACTACAAAGCAGCTTGAAGAACTAACACAGCTTCTAGACCTACAAATGACTTATGTTCCACCCAGTTACCACTACAGGAGTTAATTTCAAAAGTTGCCCAATAATTCACATTGAGTTATGCAAAAAAAAAAAAAAAAAAAAAAACTTGATTAGTAGATAGATAAACCTGTTAAACCAATCGCCGGAATTGTATGAATCACGGTCAAGCGATTTAGAACGCAGCATCTCATCGCCAGCATGGAAAAATGGAATTCCCTGCAACATAACATTGATATTGTCATGTGAAAACTTAAGAAGAAAAACAACTAACTGGTAAGATATAAAACTCGGAGATGGGATACTTGAAATACCTGTGACAACGCTATCATACTTGTAGCCAAATGATTTAATCGACATCGGTCATCTACAGAAATCTCCATCCTAGTCTACAAGCAATGCGGCTGTTAGATGGAAGATAACTGATGGATGCATAAAGTAGAACTCAGGGTGAAAGTGTCAAACAGCGTACTTTCAAGCTCACAATGTCGAACAATGTTTCATTGTCATGAGCAGAAACATAATTAATCTGGAGGAAAGAAAACACAAAAGAGAGAAGTCAATAGACAGGGTTTTCATATGCCTTACTGGATGAAAAATATAAAAGCCAAACCCTTCGCTGATCTGGCAGAATTTTGCATGAATTTTTCTCAAGAGTATGACATAGTTGTACAATGTACATTAGTGGCTTTCAAACGCAATTCAAAGGTAAGGCCACTGACCACAGAATAACAAGATTTTTTTCAGTAGGTCTTGAAAATAATTTTACCACGAAATACTTATATCAACACATCTCCTCATGATCGGATATAATTTTCAAGGTTTTCTCCACAAGACATGAAAATAGCTAAATGAAAGATGGTAGGTCAGCACATAATATAAGCATAAAAGAAAGTTCTCACCGTTTCAACAGGGGACAGAGCATATGCAACCGGTGTGCCCCCATAAGTTAAAACTTCAGATCCTGTTACCTGAACACGCCAAATGCGATGCCAATACATATGCTTAAGCACTTATACATCTTTCGACAGTCTCATATAACATATAACAGGTTGGTTTCAACAGTAAAAACAAATAGTATCAGAAATCAATGCTCATATATATGCTATACATTAACACACCCATTAAAAACAACTGTGTATGGATTATTTATCGAGGCAATCACAAAGTTGCACTGGCTTCATGGATGTAATATCAGAAAATACTCAAGAAACAGACAAACAGTGTCGAGCTGCATATCGATGTATTATCTACCTTCTTCCCCGTGCGATCAGCTATTTCAAAATCCCTCAAGTTCGCAGCCATGCCAACCTGAACCATGAGAAAAACACAGATTAGGTGAGAGTCAGGGAATCATTATCGGTTAGGACTTTGTCTGTATCCAAATTGAAACTTCAGAAAGAATTCAATGATCCCTGCACAAAGTGCCATACTCAATCTGATATATATACTAAGGATCTCAAGAAGATAATGGTTCATGATAAAATCTAGCTTTTTAGGAACTGACACTAATTCTGTAGAGAAGGTATAAAAATTATAACACGGATCATATTACTATGTCCTGCCAATGTAGAAACTCTGTTCCCTGTATCAAGCGGCAAATTAACTGACCTGAATGTGATCCTTTGCTGTAGCAAGCATGACCTCTTCATTATCTCTGCCACCATTGTCATGACCATTAGACTGCAGAAAATGGTTCTAGACAATATGAGCACAACCGCGACCACACAAATATTGCTCTGACCATGGGTATCCAGGAAGGTAGGGCATAAAAGGAAAAAGTTGCTCCATGTAAAACCGCACTTGAAAGATCAACACCGAAACAATTTTACATTCAGAAAAGGAATGCTCAATAACAAATTCCCAAAATGTGATGTCAGCCATCACTTACTTCAACAGTGTCAGGAGACAGATGTTACAATAAGCAAGAAAACAAAGCAGATTCTGAAATAATTATGGCCACATTATCAGTTTGAGGAAAAGTTCCACAGAAGTGAAAAACTTAAAGAGATACTAAAAAGTCGAAGAACAATGCAGAGATCGGAGATGGCCCAGTAGTTAAGTTCTTTCAAACACACATTTACCTGCAGCATAAGGCCAGTCAAAAATCCCTGCTGAAGAGGATGGCCAAAAGGAGATCCACCAAGCACAGCATCCCGTATCCGGTCATTGAAACTGAAACCTATTCGTTAGCAATTCATAGAACAATATCTCGGGCACATAATAGAGGAATAAATGAAGTAGAATAAAGATTTTATTTTCTTAATCGAACATATTACAAGCTTTTGCGCGAACCAGTCCAGTGAATAATTCAACGTTTTGGACAACCAGGTCAAATCAGTTACTTACAGCATTGGAACCATTCACGGCATTTAAGAAAATATAGTTGGCACGAATGGATGGCAATACGAGGCACTTTGAAAGAGGGTAATAGGAGAAAGCACGAGACAATGAAACACAGTAAACATAGTGGTACCTTCCAATTCCTGACCCAGAAATATTGAATTGTGATGCATTTATTCCACGTCCATTTTGAGACACTTCACCAAAATCCCAGCCTTCACCATATCTATTGAGGGAAAGGCAAGTCAGTTTATTTAATGTCAAGCTGGATTCATTGGAGCATACAGGTCAGTTCAAGGCAGCAAACATACAGATAGATACTCGATCCGTTGATACCATCCTTTTCCATAGTTAGGCTGCACAGAGCATCTTTTGCCTTGTCCTGTGTGCATAAATATTGAGCTTTCAGCTTTGTTATCGGCGAAATGCATAGACAACCAAAATCCTATGATATTTTTTTCCTTCTCGGGAAAAACATGGGAGACGAAGGAACCCCTTATTCGTTTATAAAAACCAGGATGAGATGCCCCAATTGAGTTTTGCTAAAGCAAACATTAATTGTTCTAGATTAACTCTTAGCCATGCCCTTGAAAGCAGACTCAAGCAACGAGAATACTATACAAAAGTGAACAGACGAAACTATGAAGGAGATACAGAGAGAGGGAGAGCTTAAATACCATGGTACGTTTCATTATATGACCCATAAGGTCAAAGCGGAAGCCGTCAACCTGGAGACAGAAAATATTGATAATGAACACTATCGGAAAGTGTCTTTTAAGATTCCCAAAAAAACAGACAGAAGTTGCTGGTAAGAAATAAAAACCCAATTTAGGATAGTTATCTTAAATTCTTAATTCAGCAATCCATAGACAGATATCTGAAACAAGAATATATGGGGCGAACAATGTTCAGACTGTAGGAGATGACCCTCTGGTGCACTAAATTAACAACCTTATAGTTGACTACCCAGTTCACAAGGTCATCAACGATCAAGCGCTCGACCATATAATGCTCACTGGCTGTGTTATTCATACATGTACTGTGCTCAACATGTCCAGAAGCATTCCTTCGCAGATAATAACCTGGCACGATCTACAGAGAAACCTTTGTGTCAAAAAAGAGAGGATGAACCTGAAAAATAAAGCCAAGCAAGGAATATCTATACTAGAAAAATGACCTTATCAAGAACAGAATCCTTGTCAAATGGGCCACTCCCCTGCAAATGGTTGTAGACAACATCCAAGATGACACGAAGGCCAATATGATTAAGTGCCTGCAGAGTATGACAACAGGTCACAAGAAAAAGTTACTCGCAATTGGAAAGAACACTAGCTCAAATGAAATGGGGGGAAAGAAGAAAGGAAAAAGGCTAATTCATAATGTCAGTTAGAATAAACAAGATTTAATGATCATTAGATCGACTACAAAAAGATCAAAGTATGCAATTACTTATGAGATCAGGGGGGAAATAACATACCTGAACCATCTTTCTGAACTCTGTTACACGGGCTGGACCATTGGGATTAGTTGCATAACTTCCCTTTGGCACGCCCCAGAGTACAGGATTGTACCTAACAAAGGAATAAGAAAAGAAATTAGTTACTGACATATAACGTACTTGAAATAGCATTTATGATTGTCAAGATGACTTACCCCCAATTGTACCCATCATCGTTTTGGATGGCAGTGATATGAGCCTGTTGCTCATCTGAATCTGGAGGCAAAGTTTCCAGCATTTTGTTATCTGCACAAACCTTGATGTCATTGTAGGCTACACGACAGTGGAGTCAATATCAAAAGCAACACTAGTACACTCCCAATGAGCAGCTTCTGAACAAAAAGCATAATTACCAATGCCCTTCCAGTTCCCTTTTACATCATCAACACCAGCAAAATGGAAGGTTGGCAAGAGATGCACATGAGTCAGTCCAGCACGTGATAATTTCTTTAGATGATGTACACCTGCAGAGTCCTTCAATCAAAATCGATTAAAACACTTCCCTAGTATATGAGCATCCCAAATAATTTATGCATTAAGAATTGTGTTATACCAATTTGATCATTTTTAAAGGTGCTAAAACTGTGGTTTTCTGTTCAGATACTCCACTTTCATTGACACGGTCGGACACTTATCTAGACTTCATGTAGCAGAAAGAGAAAGCTTTTACTATATGAATATCAATCTGCCTACAAGGTTATAACTATTTCAGACTGCCTCTCAGGTTGCACAAAAGGAAAAATTAGGCCAGTGTATAAAATAGCGCAACTGTACCAAACTATTGCTTGAACCAAGAAATACAACCAAGAGCTTAAAAGAAACTTGAGACTAATAAAAGCCACAGAATTCAGGAACTCCATATATAAGTAACACTTGGCATAAACTGCAGACAAAAAATTCAATCTGTGCAATGACAACTGTAGGCTCTAGAAACAAGGATCAGAAGAGCAGAGATACCTCCATAGTGAAAGCTAGATAGCCACCTCGGATGTCAGGATCCACAGTTTGATCATAAGCACTGTACAGCAGAAAGGATAGTACTGTATATGAGCAGAAATATGGAACTAAACCGTTAGCAGAACTAACCAAGAAGGGCTTCTTACCTAAAATCCCTTATGTGCAACTCATATATACTTATGTCCGAGAAGGAGAGGACACTAGGCTTTTCATCGGTTAATCTATCCCATCCTTCAGGCTTCACATCATTTGAGGCAAGATCTACCAAGAATGTTCTCTGGCCATCCGATGAAAGCCTGTTCTGGAACAACCAGTCCAAAATATAAGAGGACTTCTAGCTTGCCAATATGAGGGGCGGATCATTTAAAAATGTTATCAAGTTCATTTTATCAAAACAACTTAAACTATCTTCAGAAACTTGTTTGCAAACTTGTTTGCAAACTGAAACAAATGGCATACCCTCTTGCATATGGATCATTAGCATAGCACTTTTCAATGCTCAGGGTAGTAGGATGATATACACAAACTTCATAAGTGTAATAACACCCTTCCCAACTTTTAGACCCTTCAACGCTCCAAACACCATTCAACTCTCTCAGCTCAACAATTTCCTGAGGTTCTGCACTGGCCGCGTCACGGTATATGCAAGCACGCACTGTCTACTTTGATGCAGGAACAGAAAGTCGATACGACCACACACAGAAACAGAAGAAGATAGTTAACTTAGTTGAGAAGGATATGTTAAGAATAGCAAGAATGGACCATGAATCTGGTATCCGTACTTGAGCGGTTGGAGCCCATAGGTAGAGTGTGACAGCATCTGCTGAGTAGCATGCACCAAGAGGACCATCATACGAAAACAGCTCATCTAAGATGCCAGGTAACTGCAAACCCGTGGCATCCCTGCATCTCCCATCAGCTGCATAAGAAGGGAAGAAATTGATAGTGAATTGAAAGCAGTTCTCTTTAACTTGATGTCTATTATCAGGACGACGGTACATAATATCAACTGATAAACAGGTACAATAAAAGGATAGGGGAAACATGACCCGAAAACGAATTGCTTACAGCTAAAAGCCGCAACAGCCAACTGGCATTTGAGCATAGATTTGACAGCAACACCAATAGGAACTTTGAATGCCTTGTAATCTCGAATATGAGGGAACTTTTCAACCACCTACCACCATTTTTGTTAAGTTGAGATCAACCAAAATCCACTTCAACTCTATACAATGATCGGCAGATAATGTAAAAACTAAGGCTTACATTGGCGGGAAGGCCTTCGCTATCTTCCTTTATCTCAATTCTCACATCATGGCCTAATGAAAAAACAAAAAGAATCATCATTAAACCATCGAACCGAGCAGGGAATGACAGAGCCAAATAAAATTCCAAAACCTTGAATTCCGCCGTCCGTAACAGACAGAGAAGCGGTCTGGCTAGCATACAAACAGCAACACCCATCTCCAACGTCCACATTCCAGGCAATCACCGATTCGCTCACCCAAAACGCCCTCGAGTACGACAAGCAATTCTCCCACTGCCCCAAACACCAAACCAAACAATTCATGGGGAAAAAAATTGGAAAATTTAAAGAAGCAAGAGCAATCACATTTCTAATTCAGCATTTTCACCTGAGCTTGGGACTCGGCGGTGGAGACGTGTGCGGGCATGGAAGACGAACAACGGAGCGGCGGAGGATATCGGAAGGAAGTCAAAAGGCGGCGAGTCGGAGGAGGAGAAGAGACAATGAGACCACGGCGAGGAAGCGACGACGAAGAAGGATTTGATGAGAGAAGAAGAGGAAACGGAGTAGGAGTCGTTGTTCTAGATGAGGAGAGTCCCGGAAGGAATGGCCGGGAGGATCGGGCGACTGGCATTTGTATAATTGTTGCGTGTATTCTGAGAATGAGGGAAATTGCCAGAAGAAGGAGCAGAGAGCTCTAGCAGTAGTGTGGCAGTGAGAGCTGCGTGCTGAGATGGCTTCTTTTCCAAGAAGATCTTCTTTATAATTTCTTTCATTTATTTTTTATTTTTTTGGTAGAAATCAAGATCTTTTTCTCGGTGCTCCGAGTTTACGCAGGAAAAGCGCCTCGCCTTTTTCTGCTCTGTTGTACCGAACTACGGCCACGAGTGGAGTTGACAAGTTCAAAAGGGTTTTGGATCGGACTTTAGAGTAGAGCGTAGACCAACAACGGACAGCACAGCGATTGGGCTCAAGCCCGATCCAACTTTAGCAAGTCATTGTCGTTACTTGATTTGGCCATTAACCTGGATTTGTTATCAAAGCCCAAATTGACCGAACTATCTTACTTTGGTCTTCGGTCCTTTAACTATGAGAAGCAAATAGAGATCCCTCAGCGCTCAGCCCAATAGGAGTAGCACATAGGCGGCAGGCCACTTTTTTTATAAATTCATCCCACGCAGTTGTACGGAAAAAATCAGGGTGTAACATTATGGTGAGTAACTATGAGTAACTCGTTCATATCAGCATGATATAAGCATCTCTCTTTCTCTTGGAAAGCTTTTAATTTCCCTCTCTCTAATCTTTGACAGACGATTTCTCACTCGTTTTAAGTCAATATTTAATTTTTTTTGCACAGTTAGATCAAATTAGTTGTGCTCTTCAAAATGATATCCACTTTGATATATTTTTCGAACAAAAAAAATTGAGTCGTTTTTTACCAGTTTATACCATATGGTATTGACTAGTATTGAAATAAGAACATACCTATGGTTTGAAAATACGTATCATGGTGGTATGAATAAACCAAGACTGTAGGATGGTCTAAAAAAATATTGAAAATGTATCTCATTTTGTAAAGCACAACGAACACGTTCCATCTGTGCAACAAAAATTAAAATCCGAGTTAAAACAAAAAAGATATGAGCCGATTAAGATAGGTAGGAAAAATAAAAATGATCTTTAATTCTCCATCATTAGATCTGAATTTTCTAAATGAAGGGTCCAAATTTAGTTATTGATGGGTGCATAACCATAGGGGTTATACACCCTATCTTGAGCCCCAGTTGTACAACTATGTTCAGATGTGATGTTTACAAAATTACTATCTTAATCTCAACTATTTCTGCAATTATACTCAAGCTAATTTTATTATATTTAAATCAATACAATTTTTTTTTTTTTTTTTGAATTTTTTGATGACCCAACTGAATTTTATAAGAGCATTCTTATCGATGCAATCAATTTTGCAATGGCATATTTGGTCGTTGCGTCCACTTTAACAAATTCAGTAATTATATATATTTTTAACTACATCAATGCAATTCACTTTTGATCACATATTGAATGTCATTGTAGGATTTACAAATTGCCAAACAAGTGAAACAACACTAATGTGGATGATATAAGTACATATGATAGTAATAGTTTTTCATTTCTTATTTTCCGACTTTAAATCATTTAAATTTACATGTTCAAAATACATTTACTTATTAAGACTAGAGTTTTATTGTGTATATAATTCCAAACATACACAGGAATTCACTAAAAAAATTAAACTGTACATACTAATTCAATTTCAAATCAATTTTTGATCCCTTTGATCCCCAAACGATACTCCTTTAAACGACCACTTTAAAACATGCATGGCGACCAATGAAAATCCTCTCTTCATGGGCTTTTGGGTGGACGATTTATGCATGGTGATTGGGTGCTTCAAACTTGTGCACGAAGGGAGAAGGAGAGATCACTCACCTAACTCAAAAGGAGTCAGAATCTAGCTTAAGATCAACCTGGTCTAGTATTTCCCAGACATTACCACGTAATTAACCACTTCAAAATAAATATGTAAATCCGCCCATTACATCTCCATTAGCTGTCAATAACTACCAATAAAGAAAGAATAAAAAAGAGGAGACAGACGCAGAGCATTGGAGAAGAAAAAGCCAAGTTGGAATCTGATGGGAGGGAAGGGGGTAGGCTAATGGGCTGCTTATCCACTAACAACATGGATGCATGAGATGATGGACCAAACCGCGTGGGCCCGCCCAAGAGAATCGGTGGATCTTATTTCCCCAGATCTCAATCACTGCCATGTGCTCTGCATAATTGTGTGGTTAGTTGATAATTATACTCTTTTTATTCATTTTTGAAAGTGAAAACTACCCTCACTAATCAAACCTGTCTTATTTTTCCAATTCCATTATTATTGCGAATAAGACACCACGTCACCACCTCACATCACTCTCAAATTTTAAGAAATATGAAGCGGTATTACTAGTGATGAGAACTGTTGATTCGTCAAGATGCTCCACGTCAATGTCAGAAGGTGGAGACGTTGTCACCAGAGCTGAACTAATGGAGACCCGACACATTATCAAACTGGTTTGAGAGTTGGAATTTCGGGAAGATAGTTTTTTGACAGACAGATTTCATAACTTTATCTCCGCCTCATTGAACCAGCAGCAAACCCACGTGCCCCCTCCCCCCAACTTATGTATGCACAACCATCACTTGCCAGATAGAACAATTTTACGTCAGACACTCAGACTGCGTACCTCAACTGTGAATGACATGACTCGTCGATCGTTTGGTTGTCATATTACTCAAATATATATGTGAAATTCTTGTCGACACTTATATGGCGTTGATGAAAGCTTGCTTCGATTAGCATATCATATTAAGATCTCATTTCACACTCTGCTTTAAAAAATTATAAACAACAAAGAGTGAACACACTACATTGCACCCAATTAAATTAGTTTTAAGTCCTAATGGTATCCTAATCTCCAAAATGGATGAAGATTTCTTGACCGGCGATCCAGTGAGAGAAAGGAACATATCACCGGCGGCGGATGAATGTGGACCGAGAGTAAGGGGCTTTTCCCCTTCTCGTGGTTCTCAGGGCAAATGAGGTGTAATTTGTTTTTTAATTTTTAATTTATTTTAAAATTGACATGTCACTTAGTTAACAATCCAGTCAGATTTAATCAACCATTGAAAAATACAGTCGCATCCGCATTTGTTGCCCGCGGCAATCGACCAGCAACTCGAGAATCTTCAGACCGATAGAGAGGCTCAGGACGGAGATGCTCCTTCTGCTCAGTATCCACTTTACAAAAGCGTCGCCCTCTGGTTCTCTCCCGTAGCAGCGAGGACGGCATCGACGGCGGCAAGAGGAAAGGATTCAGAATTAAGGATCGAGGTTTTAGCGATGGATCGAGGTTTTGGTCGCCACTTTCTGCGCAGACCCTGATCTGTCTAAAGTTGCTTTCGCTTTTTAAAGAACGAAAAGAGGTTTCCTACTACAGATCGATTCTGGAAGGAGAACCTGCATTGCTCTTTCTCTCGCCATCGTGCGCTCGAGCATTTTGCTGCCTACGCCATCGTGCGTCGCCGAACATGTCCTTTCCTCCACCCATCAAATTCTTTTCCAGTGGATTTTTCCTTCTTTTGCAGGGGCTTCAAAAGGGTTGTGATCTGGATTCCTGCAGCGAGTAGTTCCGGCTGGCGGCGAGTCCTTTCGGCGGCAACAAGAATTTTGGGCGGCGGTTCCATTTTTCTCTACAGTTACATTCCCACGATTCTATTCGTGGTCAGGCACGTTTCCCACCTCCCAAAATCCCATTTGTTTTTACTTATTTATCTATTTATTTCTTTTAATTTTAATCTCTTCTTCTTAAAATATTTTTTCACCGAACAACCTCCTCGTTGAATTGTATTGCTACTTGCTAGGGACTAGGGAGCAAGTGGAAGTACGGCAGCTTGGTATTGTGTTTTGTCGAGTTGTGTAGTCTAACCTATGAATTTGTGGGAGGTAGCGTTGGTTTCATTGGTTTTACAGGTTACCGGATCTTGGTTTGCAAGACAAATGATGTCAATCATGATCACGAACGGTGGCGCGGTGTTTGAAGAAGTGCAATTGCTCAAGATCTCTTTTGCATTTGCATATTTTGTGTTTGCTTTTTGTAGTACTAACAGGGCTGCCCATCGCGTGGCATAAACGGCCCTTGCATCGGTAGCAATCCATATGGTTGACTACCGCTTTTTCATTTCCACCGCATTGTAATACTCTATCTATTACGATCTATCTATGACAAAAAAAAACAATCCAGTCAGATTTCCGTTTGCCACGTCATCAAATATTTAACGGAGTTAACGGAGACAGGCGGTCGGTGACCAACCATGAAACATTTCGCAAAGTTAATGGCGAATAAGAAAGAAAAGTGATTCGAGTGGCAAACGTGAAAGATTTATGTAATTTGAGTGACCAAAAGTGTAATTTAGCCAAGATTTCTCATTGACTTGTGTAGTTCCACTTGAGTGACCCAAAAGGCAAGCCGCTGAAAATGACCCGCCCGGTCCATCTCTCTCTCCGGTCTCCATGTGAAACAGAACCGTCGTTTTTTGAGGAATTCCTTCATTCATTACCCTCCTCGGTCCTCTCCCTCCCTCACCTCCACTTTACGACCCAACCAAACCGAAAAGAAGAAGCAGAGCGAAAAAGCTCCAAGGCGGGATCGCTTTTATGGTTGCAATCTGAAGAAGATCCACATCTTTTGGATAGTTTGGCCCAAGTTGTGGCTCCAAGTCCTTGTAGCTGATGAGAACAAAAGAGATGCAGTTTTAATGGCAGACAAACACCATAGATGGTAGGTGTGCTCCATGGATGACCCAACTAAAGGGCAAGAAGCAAAAGGAAAAGACTTGTTCAAGTAATAAAAATCTCTCAACTTGGCCAGTTTTCTTCCATGATTGTTCTCCATGGTCATACTTACCATCATTTCATACAACAACAACATCTTTTGCTTTAACATTTAGCAAGAAAAAAATGAAAGCAGCTAGCACACTTAGCTTTTGGCTACACCATCCCAACCTCCCTCCCACCTACTCCTAACTACTTGTCTGGAAAATTCAAGAACCCGAAAATTACACTCGAACGATTGAAACACGCGCTCTCAGTTCCCCGCGAATTGAGAGAGTGTGGAACGAGTTAACGATTCTCGCTCGTGATATATATATATAACTTAAAGTAAAATCAGAGACTGGACTAGACTTAGTGTTACAAATAATGTGTTCTAATGTTACACTTGGGACTATCAATTGATTGGATTTGGGTCAATGGAGAAGATCGAGCTTGTGACACTTCTTGTTAGGGGAAGCAGGGGAATCGCAGAGTTCAAGGCTCCTCTTGACGCCGAAACAAGCATTAGAAGGAGGACTACTCGAGCTGCTGAAAGATTCCTGGTGGATCAACCTGCCTACCGCCGCCGCCGCCGCCGCCGGAGAAGACAAAGAAGAAGAAGGAATGGTAACGGGCGGGATCTCAATAGCGTCGAGTTGAGGCGGGGGATGCTGCCACTGAGGCAGAGGACCAGCCAGCAGAAGCGTCTGCAGCAACGGCCCTGCATCCTTCACCGCCTGCAGCAGCTTCCCTTTCTCCGGCAATGTCCTGTCCGCCGCCAATTTCTCCACCACGTCATCGACCTCGGCGCCACAGCGTTGTTGGGTTTCCGCCGGGGAGCCCTCAATCGCCGCAGGCGCTGCCAATTGCTCATCCGGAGTAATAGACGCGCCAGAGGAAACAGAGGCAGGGGCGGTGGCTTCCTCCTCTGCCTCTTTGTGTTTGAGCTTGAGGTGGTGGAGGAGGAGGAGCTGCTGCTGCTGCTGCTGCTGGAGCGTGGACTTGTCAAGAATTAGCTTCTGACATTGCAGCCGGGCTTCGTTCCTCTCCTTGGTAGTGTTGCTCAGGAGCTCCTTGAGGTGGAGGATTTCGAGGTCTCTGTTGGCGATCTCTTCTCTTGCTGACACAATTGTGGTCTCCAGCTCTGATGTGTACAGAACATACTGTTTGAACTCCTCTATGACCTGCTAATCAAGCAATTGAGTCAATTAACCCGCATTAACCGAATCCAAAAGAGTAGTTAGTTGAGTAAGTGAATTAGAATTACCTCGTCCTGGTAGAAGGATCCCCAACCTATGGCAGAATGAGGGCTGCAATTGTCCTCCATTTGGGTGGGATTAAAGGGTTTGAATGAGGAGAAAAGATGGAAACTTTTGATGATGAGAAGGTGAGGGAGATAGAGATGGGAGGAGGGGGAGCTTTGCATTGGGCTTTCTGGGCTTCTTATAGAGAAGAAGAATGAATGATCGGTTGCCTTTGAGGGTAGGGTACTATTCATCTAGCAGCTTCTTTTTCTGCTTGCTTTTTGTGATCAGTTGTTCCTATTTTCCTACTATGAATGGAAGAAAAAGAATGGCATGCAGTGTGTGTAAGGAAGTGGTTAAGCACCATACACGGGCCTGTATAAGATCCAGCATAACCTTCTCCCAACAACTCGAGTTATTGGGACCAACTGGTTAATGACATGGTATCAGAGCTGGTTTGTCCTTGAGGTCACATGTTCAAGTCCTCGCGACCCCCAATATTAACCGTTGTCTTTCAAGCACATGGTATGGCGGGCCTGTGCAAACTTCAAGCCCATGAGTCGGCTTTCGTTTGAGGGGGCGTGTAAGGAAGTGGTTAAGCACCATACACGGGCCTGTATAAGATCCAGCATAACCTTCTCCCAACAACTCGAGTTATTGGGACCAACTGGTTAATGACAGTGTGCGACGGAGTTGGACAAAGTGCACAAAAGGCCAAAACTATCAAGGGCGGAGAGCCACGCACGGCCTAAGGCAGGGGGAAAAGGAGGGGAGGGAAATAGGAAAAAGGCAGCAGAATCTTTGGGCTTTGGCAGCCGATAGATTTTTTGGTGGGTATAAGGACAGGCCGACGGGAGGGAGAGAGGGCCCTTATTTCCTCTACAGACGTATTATCACTTGCCAAGTGAAAAAACTCATGTCGAGTGAAAGACATTTTACAATGAAAAAATCGATCATCATTGTATTCGACTGGTTTGTATGATCCAAATGTCAATTCAATATTTTTTCTTTTTAATATTATAAAATTATTTGGATTAAAGACTAAATCACATTATATGTTAAGTGAATAAGTGAGATATGGTCTGGTGCGTCCGATTCATACCTAACCGTTGCACACCTCTACATTACCGTGTTCACTTCAAACTAATGTTGTAATGGTTGAAACGAAATATGTTTTTAGACGTTTTCTAATTTTGATGGCTCGGTCAACATTTTTATGATGATAAGGCATATCTTCGTTTTATGGCATTGCATTACCGTGTCCGTCTAAGACAGGTTTATGTGGTTTGTCATATCGTATGGATGACACTCAACCCATGATCGGGGGTACCCAACCACTTTCAACCCAATCAGCTTAGGAAATCTTTGCATTGATTGGGTATGGAACGGGTATAGATACCCAAAAAAAATTTGATGGGATAAGGAAGGTATGGTTTTAAGTTCTACCTTCAGCCCAAATCATAAATCTCGGACTCTAATCCTCTCAAAGATGGGTAATAATCAATCCAATTTGAGTACTTGAAGCCATTTTAGCTAGCTCTCCCAATCGTGGAAGCAGGCTTTCCCCTTCATTTCGAATTGCTGTCCAGGGACCAATTATAGGCCCAGCCCACTCACGAAGAAGACACTTGGGTTCGGAAAATAAAAAACGACTCTCTGGGCCATCATACGCCCATCCTACTTGATTGGGCTTCTAGTTAGTGTGGGTTTGGACTCTAACATGAATCGTGGTGTCACGTACACTGTTCCAAATAACAGCGAACTGGGAATACTTCTTGCTCCAACCAGACCCAAAAACTGACAAACATGAATGTGAGTCGAAAGAACAAAAGCCACTAGCTACTAGCTAGCCCATATATGTTAAAAAGCTTTTTTTTTTTTTTTTTGACAAAAGATAATCATGTATTGATACCACAAAAGATAGTTACATTCTGGAGAACAGCCAGGCCTGATAATTGAAAGCACGACTCATGGTCGGGTACAAGGAGAGGGCTTTCCTAGCCACCAAATGGGCTACCCTATTGTTACACCGACCTATAAAGCGAATATTAAACCCAGGGGTGCTGTCTAAAAGATCTAACACTTCCTCCAAAACCGCCCCCATCCTTCGATCACGAGTGTCCCGATGCTTGATTTTGTCAATGACCACTTTCGCATCTCCTTCAAATCGGACAGCAGAGCACCCTTGTCCCAAACACCAACGGATAGCCTCACGTAACGTTAAGAGTTCCACAGTCGCCGGGTCATCTTGGTCCTGGAAGTGAACCCCATTAACCCGGTGGACAGCACCAGAGGGAGTCATAAGAACCATTCCCCCTGCCGCATGCGACCCCCTCCTCGTCGCTCCATCCCACCTACAAACCAACCCACCAGAGTCCTCCTGCCTAGAACCAAGATCTTCCCTGACCGGGAGTGAATGATGGTCATCCACCGGGAGACGCAGCCACTCCTCCACCTGCTGCGTAAATTGACGCATAAGTGCCGATATGCTGAACTGCTTTCCCTCGAAAACCACCCAGTTACGGGATTTCCAAATACGCCACAGGACTGCAATAATGGCCATCCCCTGCGAAGGCTGAGGTACTAGACCCAATACTCTTTTAAGGAACAGGGGAAAATTATCACGGGGCAAACCCTCCCCTAAGTGTTCCAACCCTGCCGCCCCCCAAATAGCACGAGCCACCGGACACTCCAAAAAAAGGTGCTCCAAAGATTCAGGACCTTCCCAACAGACCGGGCACCGAGACAACACTGGGATATGACGGCTAATGAGAGCGTCAGTCGTCGGTAGAATCCGATTGAAAATCTGCCACGTAAAAACTTTCAACTTTGGCGGTATCTTAGCCTCCCACAGCCGAATCCAACTCGCCCTATCCATCCAATCCACTGTTGGCCTCCATTGCCCCCTTCTCTTTTCCAGGATTAGAGCCAGGTGATACGCCGACTTAACCGAAAACTCCCCATCCGCCGTATCATACCAAATAAGTTTATCCTCCACATTGCCCCGCGGGAGAGGGATGGCTTTAATGAACCGACACGTCATAGGATTAAACCACTGCCTAAGTTTTTGGTCACACCATCGTCCCTCCCCGTGACAAATCAAATCTGCCACTGCCGGGTCACCACCAGCCGGCAACACCTGAGGGTTATACTGTATGGGCTCAAACTGAAATTCTGGGACCCAGGTAGAGCGCAACATTGAAACCGAGCGTCCATTTCCTACCTGCCAGCGTAGTCCCATTTCCAGTAGCTTACGCCCAAACAGAATACTCTGCCACCCCCAAGATGGCCTAGACCGCGCTTTAGCCGACAAGAAATGTCCATTCGGGAAATATTTACCACGATAGACCTGGGCCAGCAAAGAATTGGGCTCATTTAGAATACGCCAGCCAAGCTTAGCTAGCAGGGCTTGATTAAACTGTTCAAATCTGCGGAACCCCATTCCCCCATCATGTTTACTCCTGCACATCTCCCGCCAAGACTTCCAGTGCACCTTTGGATGGCCTTCATTCTCACCCCACCAAAACCGGGCGACATGCCTATCTAAAAGGCGGCATAAAGTCAGCGGAAGCTTGAAACAGGACATCACATGCAAAGGCAAAGCCAGGGCAATAGACTTAATGAGCGTTTCCTTGGCAGCCCATGATAAAGTTCTCTGTTTCCATCCCTGAAGCCGTTCCAGCAATTTGGCTTCCAAATACCGAAAAGTCTCCATCTTAGATCGAGCAATTAAGGATGGCAGACCCAGATACTTATCATGGACTCCTACTGCTCCTACTCCCAGGACTGCCGCCAAGAACTCTTGGTCTTGTGGGACTATATTCCTACTGAAGCAGACCGCCGATTTAGCAAGGTTAACCTTCTGACCACTCAATTCCTCATACTCGTTGAGGACCTCAATAAGGTTTTCACATTCCTGGAGGGTTCCTCTAAGGAATAAATATGAGTCATCAGCAAAAAACAGGTGTGTTAATCTGGGAGCCCGAGGAGCCACTCTGATTCCTGCTAACTTCTTTTCAGATATAGCCTTCCGGAGAAGCGCTGCAAACCCCTCAGTGCAAAGCACAAAGAGAAGAGGCGACAACGGATCCCCTTGACGGAGTCCCCGAGAAGGAGCGAAGAAACCTGAGGGCGTGCCATTCATCATGACTGAGAAAGAAGCAGAGCTGAGGCATTCCTTAATCCACCCCACCCAAGTGGGATTAAACCCCATTTTTACCAAAACCGCAAGAAGAAAGGGCCATTCGACTCTATCATAGGCCTTTTCCATGTCAACCTTCAGGGCCATGAACCCTTTCTTCCCCCGCGTTTTAGTTTTTAGGTAATGCATAAGCTCATGTCCCAGTAAAATATTATCCACTATTTGACGCTCCTTAATGAATCCATTTTGACCTTCAGAAACCACTTTCGGGAGGACCACGGACAAACGCTCCGCCAGAATCTTGGCTATAATCTTATAAACAAACTGGCACAAACTTATAGGGCGCAACTGCTTCATTGTCTCCACATTATCCACTTTAGGAATTAACGTGAGCCAAGTGTGATTGAAACTACGGAGTAATCGCCCAGATGTAAAGAAAGAAGCGACCGCATCAATAACCGATGGGCCCACAATATCCCAGAAGGCCTTAAAGAATTTCCCAGTGAAACCGTCAGACCCAGGGGCTTGTTTCGAGCCCATGGCAAACACGGTCCTGCGAATCTCCTCCGGAAGCACTGCCGCCGTTAAGGCTTCATTCATGCTTGGTGTTATACTCTGGGCAATTGGTAAATTGTGAACTCGGTTATGTATGTCTTGGACCTGATTTTCCGAGGTGAAGAGGGTACTATAGAAGCTAGTAGCAATATCCGCTTTGCCCTTCTCTTCTGTAACCCACGCACCATCCTCAGCCCGAAGCCCACTCACAAAATTCTTTTTCCTCCGTGTTCTCGTCACCGTGTGAAAATATGAAGAATTTTGATCCCCCTTCTTTAGCCACCGAACCCTGGATTTTTGTTGCCAGTATTCCTCCTCTGCTTCCCATTGTCTACTCAACTCCAACTCAATATGAATGCAAATAGAGTCAAAATCGTGATAGCATTTTTATGATTTAGAAGGATAAAAAAGTAAGTTTTAAATTTTTAAGCGATAAATTTAACTACAATTGTAAATGAAAAGATTGATTTGGTGTAGAATCATTTTGATGACCTATAAATTAATCATCAACTAACGAACTTAGTTCTTACACTATGATTTGTTCTCAGAGATTGATCGTTAGCTTATGCACTCAGTTCATACACTCTAGTTTTTTTTTATAGATAGACAAGGAATTGAGGTTACTTATGTATATAGGTGAATTTTATTTTCTTGATTGATTTGACAAATAAAGTCATCTTCGTACCTTAGACACAAACATTTATTTAGAATGTATGATCATATTAGAGTGATAATATCCCCCAAGTATCAAGTTGAAAATAGTCAAATACTAGTGTTTTGCATCCATTAGTCCATTTATCATGAGATTGTGTCCTAGGCACACTCAATTGCCTTCTATTCGGGGTGGAAAAATCAATCACTTTACAATTAACACACTCCATTCGCTATATGACCACCGGTAATTCAACTTGGAATTCATTTCTTTGCCAAATTACGCTACTTTGATCGTGCCAATAATTGTGTCCATGACAGGCAATAGTTGAAATTTTACGGTTAGTTAAGAAGCCATCATTTCCACAAGGAACTATCAGTCCACCCGCCCATATTCCATCATATCCTTAAGGGGGGAAAATCAGGAGGTCAAATTTTATTCCAAAATTGAATGACTATTTGAGTATTAAGCAAAAGGCTCAACTAAATAATGTGTTTTCCTAGGGTTTGCTCATGGAATGAAGGGTTACATGTCGTTGGATTTATATGATTTTGTAAGTGACTGTGTCACGAGATGTGAAAGTTCTATGTCAATTTTACATAATATAATTGTCGATAGTGTTCGAAATTACGTTAGTTAGGTTTCTTCTTGGATTATCCTTGACTGGGTGCAAGTAGGGTTTCAATTGATGTAACTTTACCTTTGAATCTCGATAAAAGTAGTACAGTTTATTCCGAACTCATTTCTCAATACGAGAACGGTATTTAACACAGTTTTATCAAGTTATCAGACGTTACTTATCCAGGGACCTCCTACAGTAACTTGAGTATAATTTCAAGTTAGGTAACTTGTATAGATCTAGACCATTAAAATCAGTTAAATTCATCCTAAGCCGTTGATTAAGAAAAAAAATTAAAAAGAAATAGCCGAAACACCGGCACTGCCGGTTATTACTTTCCCCGTTTCCATTACCTTTTTTTATTTCTTTTCTTTTTTAACTTGCCAGCTCCTTTTCATTTTTAAGTTCGCTGCTCCAGCTTGATTTTTTTTTTCCAAAATGCTCCAGCTTGATCTTATCATTGCATATATTTTATTTTTTTATTTTATCTTTTCATAATTTTGGATGAGATTTATTAAAAAAATATTGCGTAAGACTTTCCTAATTATTTAAATAATTTACGATGTTAATATTCATTTCGTAAAATAAAATTTCATTACGTAAAATATACGTAATAATATTTTACAACTGTTATGTAAAATAAAATTCATTATATGAGGCTTATTGACATTTTACAACTGTTACGTAAAAAACACATCCATTACGTAAGACTTTCGTAATGACAGTTATTTCTGACCTAACAGTTAAATCAAAAGCGTTACGTAAGGCTTCCGTAACGACTTCACACTTTACGTAACGCAAGGTTAATATTCATTACGTAAAAGCACCCTCAATTACGTAAGGCTTCCGTAATTAATATTAATATTCACACTTTACGTAACACAAGATTAATATTCATTACGTAAAAGAAGACTCAATTACGTAAGGCTTCCGTAATGACAGTTTTTTCTTACGTAACAGTTAAATCAAAAGCGTTACGTAAGGCTTCCGTAATGACTTCACCATTTACGTAACACAAGGTTAATATTCATTACGTAAAAGCACCCTCAATTACGTAAGGCTTCCGTAATGACTTCACACTTTACGTAACGCAAGGTTAATATTCATTACGTAAAAGAAGCCTCAATTACGTAAGGCTTCCGTAATGACATGTTACAACTGTTACGTAAAATACACATCTATTACGTAAGGCTTTCGTAATGCCTTAACACTTTACGTAATGCAAGGTTAATATCCATTACGTAAAAGAAGCCTCAATTACGTAAGGCTTTCGTAATGAAAGTTATTTCTTACGTAACAGTTAAATTAGAAGCATTACGTAAGACTTCCGTAATGACTTATTACTTTACGTAACGCGAGGTAAATATTCATTACGTAAAAGAACCCTCAATTACGTAAGGCTTCCATAATGAGATTTTACAACTGTTACGTAAGATATACATACGTTACGTAATTGTTCCGTAATGCCTATTGTGTTTTACGTAATGCAACCTGTGAAACCTGCTATAGCAGGTAAAAAAAATCAAGTTACCTTACTTCAAGGCATTGTAGGAATTTCCTACTTATCCATAACTTCGGCACATTTCGACGACGTCATTTCTATTCGGCTTGTGTTAACAAAGGAGACAATCGACCTTTCACCGCCGATGATCTGATCTATTTATGATAACTTAAACTTGTTCAATGTTTGAAAAAAGTAATACGATTATTAACTCGATTTCGTATACCGATTTGTATAAGTATGATAAATCAGTATCTCAATACCTATACGGCAAGGTGTGAACTCCTACAACTGTATCATACGTTGCTGCAACTCAGTCCGCAAAGAATCTCCCAATTCTTGAACCGTTCAGCAGTGTTTAGGATTTGGATAAGCCCCGGCCCGCCTCCCTTTATATTATGCGTCTCGATTTATTTTCCGAGAAAAAAAATCTCACTTTGCTGGGTGAAAACTGAAAAGTCTCAACGAAATTTAGATATTATTAAGCTTTCAACTTTCCAATTATTATTTTCTTCATCGGCCGGAATAATTGAGCTTGAAGGTAAGAATGTGGGTCGTGAGAGAGTTGCTGCCGTAGCTACTAGCCCTCTCCCAACGGCAGAGAACAGAATTATACTCGGAGGGAAGATGAGAGAGATCCGTTTTCTCTCACTCTGTCTCTCTGTTTTCTTTGCCTCCTTCCATGGCTAAACGGCTTGTCCGTTTCGCCGCCGCACTTCCTCTTCTTCTTCCTTTCTTCCGGTTGAAATAAACCCAACAAAAACCCAGGAAAAACCCTGCTCAGAAAGTTAACTCCATTCCTATAGAAACTAGTTTCCTCCCATACCTTTACCTTTTTGTCATCGTAAACCGTCATCCAATCCTTTTTCATTATTCTAATGGCGCGCTTTTGTTTTATTATATAAACCCACCATCACATTTCCCCAAATTTTGCAGCTTTTCTTTCCCCCAGATTTGTTGTCATCTGGGCAAGGGCAACCTTAAGTGCATTACTACAGACATCCTCCTTCCTTCCCTCCTTTCATTTTTCGATTTCTATTCAGAAGCAGAGCAGCATACAGCCAGGAAGGGAAAAGGGGGAGAAAGCAACAAAACCTTCTTCTCCTCCCCTTTCTTACCACTTCCATGGCGGCTGCAAGTATGATGCTTCCTGTTAGCTTTTGCATTCTCTTGTTCTGCTTCTTCTCTTCCTGTTGTCTCCTTGTCAATGCCGCCGGTTCCCAGTTCTTCAATCTCACTCTGAAGCACCAGCACCCCTACCCTGATTCCATCGCTCAAGATGTGCAAAGGTAACCCTGGATTTCATCTCTTACGGATTTGCATTATTGGTAATGGGTTTTGGAGTTTTGGTATTGATTAGTTTGCAGTTGAGGTTGAGAAGCTCAGTTGTTTTGTTTTGAGAGGTGGAGGTTTTGGAGCTCAAAATCGATTCTTGCTAGAAATGTGTTTAGCAAAATATCTTCTTTTGGATGAGTTCACCATTCTTAGTCCTCTCATTTATGGATTGGAACCATTTTGATTCTAGGGATAGAGATATCAGATCGCATTTTCTCACTCACTGTCCGCCATTGCTAAAACAGCAGTCAAAATCCATATCTGGGTCCCTGCTCTGCTCTGCTAACCTGTCCCTTCCTCCCCTCCTCACATGGGTTCTTCTTCCTCCTTCTCAGCAGACATGTTAATTCATACCAAAGAAAAAACACAGCTTTAACTACCATTTTCACATCTCTCCCTTTTCCCCTGCTCTCCTCTCGTCCCTTTCCTTTCCCTACCCAGAGGAAAGACTTCCCCCCCTTTTTTGTTTTAATCCCAAACGCAGCTGTTTCCCACTACATTGTCCATCCTCAGATTGCAACTTGCAAGTTGCAATACTTACTCTGCAGATTCTTACTTTCCTTGTTTGCATCCCAAATTCCTTTTCCCCTCCGCTCCATCTCCATTTCCTTTTCCAATAATTATTTTATTGCTATAATAATTGGTAACTTTGCAGGCAGGTCAATGAGTCGCTATCCAGAAGGAGGCTACTCTTGTCCACACAAGAAAAGGACCTTTGTCAAACGGGCAACCCGATCGACGACTGCTGGCGGTGCGACCCGAACTGGGCCCAAAACCGGGAGCGCCTGGCCGACTGCGGAATCGGGTTCGGCCGGGGAGCCCTCGGCGGACGCGGCGGCCAGATCTACGTCGTCACCGACTCCTCCGACCACGACCCGGCCAACCCGACCCCGGGAACGCTCCGGTACGGCGTGATCCAGGACGTCCCCCTGTGGATCGTCTTCGCCTCCAGCATGGTGATCAAGCTGAAGCACGAGCTCATCTTCAACAGCTACAAGACCGTCGACGGCAGGGGAGCCAGCGTCCACATCACCGGCAACGGCTGCCTCACGCTCCAGTACGTCAACCACGTCATCATACACAACATTCGGATCTACAATTGCAAGCCGTCGGGGAACACCAACGTGGCTTCGTCGCCCACCCACGTCGGATTCAGGGGGCGGTCGGACGGCGACGGGATTTCTCTGTTCGGAGCGCAGAACATCTGGATCGACCACTGCACGCTCTCGTCGTGCACCGACGGCCTGATCGACGCCATCATGGGGTCCACGGGAATCACGATTTCAAACAATTACTTCTCCCACCACAACGAGGTGATGCTGATGGGGCACGACGACAGGTAGAGATTGAGTCAGGAATTTGAATTCAGAAACCCTAATTTGAATCGTGATAATTTGGGGAAGAGGGTTAAGACCTAATTGACTGCTGTATTTCCTAAATTTTATATGTAATTTTATGTATGTCTCAGATACGTGCTGGATACCGGGATGCAGGTCACCATTGCGTTCAACCGGTTCGGCGAGGCGCTGGTGCAGCGTATGCCCCGGTGCAGGCGCGGGTACATACACGTGGTCAACAATGATTTCACTTACTGGCAGATGTATGCAATCGGCGGCAGCGCCAGGCCGACGATCAACAGTCAGGGGAATCGTTATAATGCTCCGGCCGATGCCGACGCGAAGGAGGTAGGGGCTTTCTCGGTATTTCGTTTAATTAACAATTTAAGTTTTTCCTTTTTCTTTTTTAATTTTGGTTTCTAGATTAGGGGCGGGATTATGATTGATTAATGATGTTTGGGGTGGCGGTTTGTTTCTGTGCGACTTTTTGGTTGGGGGGAAAGGAGATTTTGTGGCGGTGGCGCGTGTGGGGTGTTGTCAGAGTGGGGCCGTAGTAGGGTTAAAATGGGGAATTTGTGCAGTAACGCTTTTCCGTTAAGATATTTGTTTTCTGTTTGGGATTTGCACCAGGTGACGAAGCGCGTGGATACAGACGAGAAGGATTGGACACAGTGGAACTGGAGGACGGACGGGGACATAATGGTAAATGGCGCGTTCTTCGTGCCGTCGGGAGCAGGGATGAGCGTCCAGTATGAAAAGGCTTCCAGCTTGGATCCAAAATCCGCTGGGCTTGTTGACCAGCTCACCTTGAACGCCGGCGTGCTAAGTGGGCCCAGGTAAAAAAATCCACTCTACATCCCTTAACTTTTGCAGTTTGGTTAGTCTGGTTCCTATGCTTTTCTGTTTTACTCAATTTAGTCAGTAGTTGTTTATTCGGCCATGGTTGGAATAAGCTTCTCGCTTTCGATTGGGTGAATGAAGGTTCGAATTGACACGGTTAGAGGTGTTAGAGCACACGATTAAGTGATTGACGAAAAGTTTAGGAATATAATAGTAGTCAGTAGATGAATTGGTCTAATTGGCATGGCCTTGTACATGAATTGATTGATTTGTTTGTTGCTAAAAGTACAAATCTTTGAAATGTTTAGTAAAATGTTGAGCCCTGTTTACTTAAAACAAAAGGGAAGAAGGGGAAAGCTGATGAGCTCAGCTAAGCTGTATGTTCTGTAGAATAAGATCAGAGCTTTTTGGGTACCAACAAAATTGAGGTGGGAAATGGAGGTGTAGTATATAGTTTTAGTAGTGAAACGATAAAGAGAAATGGAGGGAGTGGTGGGGCTCTTCACGTGAGGTGATCAAGCTCATATGTAGCTGTTAGTGGGAATCTTAACTGTTAAAGCCTCCAAACAACTTGTTCTCTTTCCCACTAACCACAGACACCAGTATACATAAGCTCATTTGACTCTAGCTATTCCCGTTAGCATAAACAATTAAACATGTATATACCACTTGGGTTTGGAGTGGGGTGGGGTGGGCTAATTAGGAAGGGTAATCCCTTCCATTTTGGGACCTACTGCCTTCCCTTCCCCAGCTCTGGTTCAGTGGTTTGCCTTTGACAATTCGGGTGCCATGTTGGTTTCACCCAGCCTGTTGTTCTTCCCTTGTACATTGATTCCCTAGCTACCTGCTTTCTGACCACCACCACCCCCTCCTTCAATAAACAGCAGTATTAAAAAGCAAAAATAAGCAGAGGGTATCATTTTGTTTCTTCTTCTGATTCTCGACAACCACCATCCATATACCTTTGGAAATCTTCCTTTCTGTCAATACATTATTGTTGTTGTTGCGATTAAAAGGTGGTTATGTCCCTTCTAAATCAGAACTTTTAAGCGCTAATCCCCATATAAGCAGCTAGATTACTCCTTTTCATTGATATCATCAAGCTGTTTCATCCATTTTTGTTTTCCTTCCTGTCTCTCGCATCCAATATGCACATGTTGCAACCCTCTCTGGAATGGTTGGCCAAGTAGTTTTCCTGGCAAGTAGCTTTAGTATCTTCCTTTTGGTCCTGTATTTGCATGTGGATTTGGGTCACCTTGTCTTAGTTAAGGACCAACAGATAGGAAAGTTTAAGATGGATTCCAAATCAGGGGAAAAGAAAGAAATGGAGCTACCTCCAAAAGGGTTTGCCTTTTTCTCTTTATAGGGTTCTTTAGATGTGTATCTAGTTTTAGGAGATGTAAAGGTAGAGGAGAGTAGGAGACCCACAATCTATCTAGGTCTTGTACCAGTGGCATGTTGGTATATGGGAAGATGACTCAGTTTATATTCCCCTCCCTTTTCTGCTTTCCAGCCATTAACTAGCAAGTTGGTTGGAGGTCCCCAATTACATGTTGTCCATCCAATTGTGGGGAAGGTGGGACCTCGTTTTCTGATCTGAAGTTAACTAGACACTAGACAGTAATACCAAATAGCGCCAATGCTGCAATATCAACATTTCAATAACTGAAAACACTAGAGCTCATTCTTTCTTTCCTCGTTCTGTATTTGTGTTTTTGGTTAATTCTTTGGCTGGATACACTAAATGCCTAGGCTAGTTCATTAGTGTGGAGTAGAAAAAGCAAAAGAAGCCATCTTTTCCCACTCTGCTAGCTAGCTAATGTTCTTTTCCAGTTTGCAAGCACTTTTTAAACTTTTATGCCTAAAGATCTGATTCCTTATCCTTCCCAGTGCTAAAGATCTGAACGCCTTTTGCTGTATGTAGCTCTGTTTAACTCTTTTACCCTGAATGGTAGCTCTGCCTCTTTTATTATCAAACCACCAGGTCTAATTCTGACTAGTATGTCTATAAGCAGGCTGTTTACAATGCAGTAAAAAACAAACATAACTTATGTGTGGTATGTAGATCAGAAACGATCGTCTTTGTGGTATCCAACTGGAGCTTTCCATCATTTACAGTAGTTATTCCATCTCCACATGGTCCAGTGTCCTTTGTGTTCCCAACCCCTCCCCCACTGTCAAACCGGAGGGTATTTTGCAGGCATATCGATACACTAACTAATCTAGGAAAACGACTCTTGGAACTGTGTTACCCCACATTGCCATGTGATACCCACTGAAACGACTTTGTTTCCATGAAACCAAGAGTTACAGTTTATGATATAGGCATATAGCAAGACTGAAAGTTTTGACCTTTTTAACAAAAAGTTCTGGTCTTGTGATACTATAGCACCATTAGTAACATGCAGAGCCCTGTTCATACCAAGTAGGAACTTTTCTGTAAAATGGTGGTGTATGAATCTTACAGCATCGACCCTTTAATCACGGTGGAAAGAAAGTTAACTCGAGATTTCAGGGGATCTTGTATATTTTTTTCTTCTTCTTTCGTTGATGATAATTCTCACCAGCAGCAGCATCAGCATCATCATGAATTTCAGCATGTGAAGTCATTATCGACTGTGTTTGTCGAATTAGGAGAATGTGGCTATTATTAGGGTTGTTGATTTGGAATATATATGACCAAAAGAGATGATGGATGATTTATTGGCAGGAACACAGGGGAGATGACGGTGAACCCAGGATTCAACGGTGGCGGGCCCGGGACGACAACCTACACCGGGTCCCCCAGCGCCGGAAGCATCAGCAGCAGCGGCGGGGACGGTGATGGCGATGTGTTTGGGATGATCTTCGGGAGCGGGGCGGCGCCACCCACTACTGCTTCTGCCTCTGCCTCATTATTTTTGTCCATTTCAATTATTTTAATTCTGTATACTGCTACTACGACCAACTATTGGGGGCCTTCATTCTCCTCCCTCCCATTATTATCTTCATTGTTGTAGAGACTGCATAATTTGGACTCTACAAATGGGGGGAAAGGAAGAAGAAAAAGTATACGAGAAAAAAAAATACAAGGAACAAGAGAAAATTCATCTTCTTGAATATGTACATAAAACAAGATGACACAAAAAAAAAAAGATTTAAGATTACAAGATTAATTGTTTTGGGTCGTTTTGAGAATGTGATTTGGATTGTTGATTCGTAGAATTTATAGCCATAAAGAAAGTAATGTTCTTTTTATAAAACCAAAAGTAGAGGTTTTGAGCGCCAAATCAGAGGCCAGCTTATATGGTAGATAGGGGTGTTCAAATTGTTACCATGGTTATTACCAAACCAAATAAGGCTAAATTCTATTAACCATGGAATACAATATCATAACCAAACCGTCCAAACTAATACAACAACAAAATTAACCAAACTAAAGTTTAATCGGTTTGGTTAATTGGTTAACCAGATTAACCAATATAAAATCACATTATCATTAAGTAAGAAAATTTTCCCGTTAATGTATCAATTCGCGATTTATATAATGGATAAAACATAACAATCAACACATAGTTATAGTTGACCCTTAACATAAATACATGCAACTAAGATAATTATCTTACGATTAGTATATAAGTATTCACCTAACAAAATTTTATGACAATGGTATGGGTTAATGAATTGTTGTGTTTGTGTGAATTGACTTAGTCTCTTAGCAATTATCATAGGCTAGAAATGACCTTCCTTTCAAGTTTTCATCCATCATAATGTATGAGATTTATCTAAATTAGGGGTCCATATGTTGAGATTTTTCCAGAAATAGCACTGTTTAAAAAAAAAATTCCAAAAATAGCACTCAACTCCGAAAAATTCCAAAAATAGCACCATATTTGTAAAACCGCAACCCGGAGGTGCGTTTTTCGATGAAAACGCCACCCGAGGGCGCGTTTTTCGATGCAAACCGCACTGGTAGGGAGCGGTTTTGCAAACCGCACCCCCAGGGTGCGATCTGCCTTTTTTTTTTTTTTTTTTTTTGCAAAACGCACCCCCAGGGTGCGATCTGCTTTTTTTTTTTTTTTTTTTTTTTGAAAAATCCTAACTTAGGTGGAAACTTCAAACGAACGTATCTTTATGTTCGGGTATCCGATCGTCGCGATTTTTTTTTTGATTCCGCATAATTTTTCGAGATCTTGCAAGCCGCAAAATGCCGAAGGCGGTTTGGTCCCGCCTTCGTCCCGAAAAAACGTCGTTTGCTACCCCGAACGAGCCTTTTTTCGATTTCGTCAAACTTTGAACGACCATAACTTTGTGCTCCACAATCCGAAAATCATGAACTTTTTTTTGATTTTGCATAACTTTTTGAGGACTACAATTTTTTCTAGGAGAGAATTTTCAAAAAATGAATTATTTTGGATATACGGGGTTTTGGGAATAAGTTTACCTTTCTTTTTAGGAATCCAAGTACATTCCGAAATTATGTCTATGATAAAAAAATTTAGTCCTCAAAAAGTTATGCAAAATAAAAAAAAAATCATGATTTTCGGATTGTGGAGCACAAAGTTATGATCGTTCAAAGTTTGACGAAATCGAAAAAATGCTCGTTCGGGGTAGCAAACGACGTTTTTTGGTTCGAAGGCGAGACCAAACCACCTTTGGCAGTCTTCGGCTTGCAAGATCTCAAAAAGTTATGCGGAATCAAAAGAAAAATCGCGGCGATCGGATACCCGAACATAAAGATACGTTTGCTTGAAGTTTCCACCTAAGTTAGGATTTTTCAAAAAAAAAAAAAAAAAAAAAGCAGATCGCACCCTGGGGGTGCGGTTTGCAAAAAAAAAAAAAAAAAAAAAAGGCAGATCGCACCCTGGGGGTGCGGTTTGCAAAACCGCTCCCTACCAGTGCGGTTTTCATCGAAAAACGCGCCCTCGGGTGGCGTTTTCATCGAAAAACGCACCTCCGGGTTGCGGTTTAAAAAAAATGGTGCTATTTTTGGAATTTTTCGGAGTTGGGTGCTATTTTTGGAATTTTTTTTTTAAACAGTGCTATTTCTGGAAAAATCTCCCATATGTTGTGGTCTACACTTTACATATACAAATATACATTATATGAGCAATATTGAGCTTTATATTTTATGAGTCTAAAAGGGATGAACGTTTAACTCTTGAGTGGTTATGCAAAGTATTAAGTATGTGTATATAATATATATTAGATATATGACTAATTACTTAACTGGTTAATTTGGTTTGACTGGTTAGGAGTGTCTGAAACCAAACCAAACTACTTAAACCAAACAAGCTAAAAACTTTAACCAAATCAAATCAATTATCTAAATTAATCAAGGGTAAAAACAATTTAATATCCAAACCTTTCATTTTAAACAATATAATAGCCAAACCATTTCGAAAACAATCTAATATCCAAATCGTCAACTTTCCGTCCGTTTGACTGTTAGTTGACACTTCAAAAAAGTTCGAATTACGACACTTCATCAATATCCATCGATATCTTCTCTGAAAAACCACCAACATATCGTGGTTCCAAACCCGAGAAGTCCATGACTCCACCAGGATGGTATAGAATATCTAAATATTCAGTCATCTGCAATGGCAAAACAAGAAAACAAAGTTGTATTGTGACAATTTCCCCTAAACAAAGCTTTTTTGAAGTGTCAACTAAAGGTCAAACGAACGGAAAGTTGACGATTTGGATATTAGATTGTTTTAGAAAAGATTTGGATATTATATTGTTTAAAATGAAAGGTTTGGATATTAAATTGTATTTACCCATTAATCAAACCAAACTATCCAAATAGTATCGGTTAAAACGGTTACCACAGTAACCACACCGTTTGAACACCCCTAATGGTAGATGTGGCCCAAACAACCCTTGAAATGGAGCACTAGGACTTGATTTTGATGTGATCTGTTGAGTCGTTGTATTTGTAGTCTGATAATTGTTAGTCTAGAACGAGCCAACACCCAATTAAGATGTGGTTTAATGACCTTTTCTTCTTGTACAGTGTTTTTTTTTACAACGTTGAATGTGTGACTTTAGATACGATTCTCAATGATATGACGAAAGTTGTTACAATGGTTGGGATTAGGAAGCTATCGTTGTCCATTTTTAATAAGATTCTTGCTGGAAGCATACAAATACTGTAATGCGCTTCTTCATGGGTGTGTCGTAACTGTGTATGAAAGGGTAATGATCGGCAATTAATTGTCCAACTATATTCACCATCTTCCTACTGTTCTGTCTCTCTTTTTTTTATTTTTTATACATATAGGATCTTCCTATAAAAAATTGGATCTGGGCCGGAGACTTCACAAAGAGGCCTCTCGAAAATGGACTAATCATTCAATTGAACCGTACAAACAGACTCGGGCTTAGCTATGAGTCAATTCTTATCCAACAAGGTTGAAAGTTGAAACTAAACTGGACTAGAGCCCATATCAAACTCAGCCCAACCAAATTTAGATAATTCCAGCCAGATGGCTAAGATCCTTTCAAGGTTGTCAAACCAATTTAAGGCATTGAGTCGGTCAAACCAAGGGGTTTGAAGTTGGTCTGATCGAGATCCGGTCGGTTTGATCCATTTTAAATGTTTTCTAAATATATATAGCTAAGGTAGTAAAGAAAGATTTAATAACTGAAATGAAATTTATCTTACATGTATTTATTAAAAACTTATTTTCCACAAAATAAATTTACCTAACCTCCATAACCCATCACCATCTTTCTTCCTTCGTTCCTCTTCCAGTCTTCCCCTTCCCCCCCCCCCTTTTCTTCTCTCTCTTTAGGAGTCAGACCGGTGGGCTTTCTGGAGGCCGTTTTGAAGCTTGAATTAGGTCGGGCGGAATCCAATCGGGAGCCCGATAGGCAGGGGTGGACCCAGGTGGAATGGTGGAATGTCCCGGGACACCCCTAAAATTGAGGGGGGGGGGGAATTAATCAATCCTTGGTAGAGTTTGAGTATGGAAAAAAGAAGAAAAAATAAAATAAAATGATAGTATATGTGATTTGAATCTATAATATAGTAATTATTAGTGAACAACTTTTCTGTTTGGGTACACTTCATTTGTTGTTGTGATTTTTTCATATATCCTCAAAATTTCCAGTCTAAAATTAAATCCACAAACTATCCCTTATCCCACCAAACTCTAACACACGATTTTATCATGAAGAGTTTCGTTACCTCTCTAATTATTTACTTCGACATGATTCTGAGAGTTACTGTCATTGTGTCAAAAATAATAAGTCATTACTGGTAAATTAGTTGTGTTAATGGCGGAGACAAAATTGAATCTATCTTTTTCATTGGTCTATTTGCTCCTCAAAGTTGTATTGATTTTCTCGATTGCAATTCCAAGTGTTGAGAGAATTTTTTCAGCATTGGTTACATAAAAAACAAGTTTCGAAATCGAATAAACAATCAGTTCCTGAATTATTGTCTAGTAAGATATATTGAAATATATTTGTTGAGCACAGTAAACCGAGAGTAACACGTCATTGAATTTTGTTGTAATTTGTATTAGTCTGATAGTTTCTTCGTACTAGTTAATAATAGACAGCAACTAGGGATAGGATCAGGTGACTCACATGACTAAGTTTAATCCGCACATGACTAAGTTTCCACACCGAATGCATAAAACCGTACCGAGATTTATTGTGCTAAGCCTAAAACGGTAAAACCCTTATTTAATGGTAGGTTAACACTTCCAACCCAAAAAAAAAAACAACTTATACGGACTTAAACATCAATATAACGTTTTTTTTACCACATTACCGATTTAGCAAATATGCAATTACGGTTAATTTGAGACTTTGCTAAACGATTTGAAGATAAAATAGCTAGGACCGGCCATTTGCAGCCGCTGCGCAACGAAGGTTTTGTACTTGGCTTGGCCATGGCGGTTGGAGCAAGTTATGTAGAGGCGAAAGTGAGCTTCATCGGGCATGAACGGGTAGTTATAACCCTTGTCCACGCTCACGAGCTTCAACCACTCGGATTCCGGACGACCCTTGTTATGCTCTCTGACTGCAAATTCCGCCATTTCTCTGTAAAAAGGACTCGTTATGTCCGTTAATGGCTCGGAGTGGGGTATTCTTGGAATCGGCGTTGATGCTACTGCTAATCCAGAACACAAGATAAGGAAGAAGGCTGCGACCATCAGTGAAGATGACGACGCTCTCGCCATTTCTAATTGTGTGCAGTGATTCTGTCCAAAAATGAGATCTATTCCCTTTCTTTGGCTTCTTTTTTATAGGAGTTTTGAGAAAGATAACAGTAGTTTGCAGTAATTTCCCTTGGTAAACGGTTACATTTTCATGCTGAGATAAAACCACAGTTAGAAGACTAGAAAAGATAACAGCAGCAAAATCAATGATCTTAACTGCTGCTGCATCACTTGGCAATCAACTTAAACACTAGTTGGGTTTTGTAAGCGACACAGTACTACGCACGCACCGATCGACCAGAAAAATGGTCCATGATCCATTGAAAGGCATCCCACATGTCTCCATAGACGATTCGAGTGCCGGGAAACTCGTCTCTTAGCCTTCGAAGCTCTTCCTTGAGGAGTTGGTTGTGAAGTGTGGCCAAGGAATTGAAGCTGCTGTTATTGCAATGAAACTTGGTGCCCCCATGGAAATCAAATCTCACCCCGCACCCAATTTGAAAAGCTCCCACCACCACCACCTTGGTGCCACCATGGTTAATTATGAGCTGCAGATCAGAAATGACGATACTTTTAAGCTTGGCTAGCTCCTTTGCCAAGTAATCCAGCACCACTAAACACAACCACTAATAAGATAGATAGATTGATTCATATAAACCTTAATGTAAGTCTTAACTGCTGCAATTACATCAGGCACCATGTCTTTCATCCGCTGGAGGCTGGAGTTCACATTTATGCTCAAGTAGTCGTTGGCCGATGCACCGGTGAGTAGGAACAACGACGACTCCACGTGCTTCCGACGAGCTGGGCAGGAAAAAGAAGGGGGAAAAAAAGACAAGAGTTGAGTTGAGTGAGTTAATGTTACGCTAAGTTGACCACCTATCATTTCCATCGCAAAACCATTGGAATAATTAACCAAGGAAAGCCTTATATATTAGACCTTTGTCATCTTTGAAAGCTTGCTGTAGGTGCTGTTCCAACCATTTGACTTGGATATCAGCACTGCTCTGAGAAAACCGCAACTTCACGTTCCACTTCTCTCGAGCTTCCTTGGACAACAGACCCACGCCGCCGACCGCAAAATTAGCGCCCTTGGAATGGTCCACATTGTGCTTCAGATAAGGGTTGAGATGGGGAAGCCCGGCCGCCTCGGCTGTCAACAAACAAATATGGTAATTCATTGACATCAGAAAGAAAAGAAACAGGGGGGGAAGAGTTGAAGGTTAAGGAAACAGAGTGAAGGCTGATATATACCAATGTGATCAATGATTAAGTAGCCATCGCTGAATCTCCCCGTCGCCTGGTGGATTGACATGCCATAGGGAAATTTGCCCATGTACCCCCCACCATGAGATTCAACCAGGGCATTCCCGGTATCGGAATATGAGTCGCCAAAGTTGAAAATCGCCTGGATCCCACAATTTGACAGGACTCGGCCTCTAGGGGCGGCAGTAACGTTGGCTTGGCAGAACGGAAGCAGAAAAAGAGCAAGGGAAGAAGAAAAGATCAAACTGAAAAGAATGATCTGCATGGTTTGCTTTGATGATTGCATATGTTCTGGTTGTGGGTGTTTGCAAAGAGAAGAGAGAGTTGGTTGAAGAAGAGAATGTCCTTTAGCTTGGCTATATAATGTCAAGAAACTTAAGAGATCTTAATGAATGAAGGGAAGCTTGGTGGATTGAAACGAATTGCATTTCCAAGGTAAGGCTATCATTTGTGAAGAAACATAGTGAAAGGAAATTCAAAGTTGAGTAAGTTGTTTGTGTATTTTGGTGAAAGAAAAGGAGAGATAGAAAGGGAAAAAGTTGGTCTGATGGAAAAGAAAGAAGAGAAACAGGGAGAGAGAGCTAGCATAGGTAAGAGATTAGAGCGGGCCATGTGAGGCAAGTAAATTGGGGAGCCAAAGTAGATGAGCAATGGGAAGGAAGAAATGGAAAAGCCTGGTAACCCAAAAAAACCAAAACAACCTCCAATTGGTAATCCAAAAAATTAGGCAAAACACGTTTTTTCATATAAGCTTACTAAAAGGGTTAAAAATCAGTAACAGAACATCCCAATACATAATCAGCCTGGAAAGACGGAGGGCATCTTAAAGTAATAGCTTAACAGACCTGTGAAAAGTTTACTTTTACTGCACAGGTGGGTCGGCTCATCATCATCATCATCATAACACGAATTGAGTTCTATTTTGAGCTCAAAATCAGTCAGTCAAAAGAGTGCAGTGCTGCTATTCGGACATTAGAGATAGATAACCTGCTACTGCTAGAGAATTTATTTACAAAATAGCGGTGGAGGAGAGCATTAGAACCAAACTGAACCTTCCTTTCCTTACCACCCTCCTCCTTTACTTCCCGCTTCCTTGTTTCCCCACGAGCTGCCAGTTGATGGCTTTTTCCCCCATGCGCCATCTCCACCTTCAGTTGCTGCTGCTTCTTTGTTGGCGCCCCAACCTGACGACGAATTCCCGCCAGATGCTTGCCCACCCCACCCACTGGATTGACCATTTCCACCTCCTCCTGATTTCCAGCCACCACCACCATTATCAGCTTCAGCCTTTCCTGGCTGGCCCCACGCAGAACCAGAACCTCCTCCTCCTTGTCCACTCCCACCACCAGTTGTTTCGTTTCCAGAACCCCAACTGCTCTTCCATTCCTTCTTATCCTCACCCCCACTATTGTTCCAACCTCCGCCGCCGCTGCCACCACCTCCTTCATTGTTACTTTTCCATCCTCCACCGCCAGAATTGTTGCCATCATTCCAGCTGCCTCTACCACCATACCCTCCACCTCTCCCACCTCTGCCTCGGAAACCTCCTCTTTCCGAGTCACCATTACCACCTCGACTCTCAAAATCTCCTTCATTCTTACTTTTCCATCCTCCACCGCCGCCACCAGAATTGTTGCCATCATTCCAGCTGCTGTTACTGCCTCCCTGATCACCCCAACTTCCCCTCCCTCTACCACGATACCCTCCACCTCTCCCACGGAAACCCCCTCTCTCCGAGTCACCATTACCACCTCCACTCTCAAACTCGCCGTCATTCTTACTTTTCCATCCTCCACCACCACCACCAGAATTGTTGCCATCGTTCCAGCTGCTGTTACTGCCTCCCTGATCCCCCCACCTTCCCCTCCCTCTACCACCGTAACCTCCACCTCTCGCACCTCTGCCCCCAAAGCCTCCTCTCTCTGAGTCACCATTGCCACCTCCATTCTCAAACTCTCGTTCATTCTTACTTTTCCATCCTCCTCCACCACCACCAGAATTGTTGCCATCGTTCCAGCTGCTGCCGCTGCCTCCTTGATCCCCCCATCTTCCCCTCCCTCTACCACCATACCCTCCACCTCTCTCTGAGTCACCATTACCACCTCCACTCTCAAACTCTCCTCTCCCAGATCTGCCTCCTCTACCTCCAAACCCACCGCCATCTCTTTCCCCTCCTCTACCACCCCTGAAACCTCCTCTGTCCCCTCTACCCCTGAAACCTCCTCTCTCCCCTCTACCTCTAAAGCCGCCACCTCGATCTGAATCACCTCTACCTCCAAAACCACCCCTCCAGTTCCCACGGTTATCATTGCCATCTTCCTGGTTTGTCTCTCCCCCAGCAGCTCCCAAATTCCAGCTTCCCCCCTTTCTGCCACCCCATCCAGAAGAATCCTGGTTGTTGGCATCATCAATTGAACCAGAATTCCAGTCACTCTTTTTATTTCCCCAAGTAGAGTCTGCACCTCCGGCTGCATCACCAGCACTAGAGTTCCAGTTGCTCTTCTGTCCCCAACTGGAACCCCCTTGGCTGGCATTGCCATTAGAACCAGATCCCCAGTTAGCCTTTTTAACCCATGAAGAAGACCCTGCATTTCCACCACCTGCCTCAGTGGACCCAGAGTTCCAATCAGTCTTTTTATCCAATGGTGAGTCTCCACTGCCAGGTGCAGCATCTACAGGCTTCGTTCCCCAACTGGCATGCCCCTGGTCGTTGGCATCATTAGAATTAGAATTCCAGTTAGCTTTCTTACCCCAGTCTGAGTCTTCTGCACTCCCACCAGCACCAGCAGACCCAGAATTCAAGTTTTTATTTCCCCAGCTGGAACCCCCTTGATTGTTAGCATCATTAGAACCAGAATTCCAGTCACCTATCTTACTCCCACTAGCATCAGCAGAGACCGAGTTCAAATTGCTCTTTCCCCAACTGGAACCTTGGTTGGCATCATTAGAACCAGAGCCAGAGTTCCACTCGGCTTTCTTACCCCATTTAGAGTCTTCTGCATTCCCAGCAGCAGCAGACCCAGAATTCAAATCACCCTTCTTTCCCCAGCTTGAGGAGCCATCACCAGATTTGGAGTTCCAATTGCTTTTCTGATTAAAATCAGAACTGTTCAAATCATTTCTTTGCTCCGCCACATCTTTCTTCTCCTCAGGATAAGAGGATTTCTGGTTCCAACCAGCACTATCTTGAGCAGATTGAGGATTGCCCTGCCATTTTTTGCTGCCCCAACCAGAGGGCTGGGAGTCACTTAAGGTGACTGCTTTGTTGTCCCAGCTTGCCGATACACCCCCACTTTTCCAAGCTTCTCTGTGCTCCCTAATGTCCTTCTCTTTACTAACTTCAGACGTTTTCTGGTTCCAATTAGGAGCATTACCCCAACTGCTTTGGTTGCCCCAACCAGAGGGCTGGCTGTCATCTGCAGCAACTTTATTGTTCCAGCCACCCTCACCTCCATCCGAGCTCTTGTTCTTCTCAAATGATCCTCCATTACCAGTGTCCGCTTTTGCTTTACCCCAGGAATTCCCACCACCCCAACTGCTGGTCGGGTTTGCATCAACACTCTTCCCTTTGTCCCAGGTGGAAGCGGCATCAATTGGATCTTGACTGGATTTAAGAGCTTTACCCCAGTCATCTGATGCTCCACTGCTAGGACCTATTTCAGCAGTAGAGTTTTTTAAGCCATCTCCACTGCTTCCCCAACCAGAAGTTTGTTCGGTCTTGTCAATGATTTTTTCATCAAGTGCCGCTGCTCCCCATGAATTCTGATCCGCAGTCACTTTCTTTTCAAGTGATTTACCCCAGCTGCCAGACGCTCCACTGCTACCGGCATCAGTTGAGGCTTTGACCCAAGCATCATCACTGGTTCCCCATCCACTCGCTTGATCTGCGTTTGGAATGGCTTTGTCATCAGGAGTTGCTGCACCCCAGGAATTCTGATCCGCGGTCACTTTCTTTTCAAGTGATTTACCCCAGCTGTCAGACGCTCCACTGCTAACGGCATCAGTTGAGGCTTTGACCCAAGCATCACCATTGGTTCCCCAGCCACTTGCTTGATCTGCGTTTGGAATGGCTTTGTCATCAGGAGTTGCTGCACCCCAGGAGGAAGTCTGATTACCCGTCGGTTTCTTCTCCCATGCAGCATCTTCTGTACCTAGACAATTGTATAGAAGCTCATTATACTAGTTCCAAAAGTCTACTGCAAAATGAAAGCCAAAGGAAATACCTTGCTCTTTAGAATTTGATGGACCAGCAAGATCAGACTCTGTTGGAGGCTGCAACAACGAACTTTTAAATTACCCCACTTCGCTCACAGTTACAAAAAGACGAGAAAAGGAAACAAAGAGAGGGGAGTGGTAAACAGGAACATGGGAAAAGAAGCCAGGATTGGAGGAGGTCCAGAGGGCTAACCTTCGGAGAAGAGAAGCTGGGCCAAGCACTCCTGAAAAACCGGACAAATGTAAGATAGGAGCATCTTCATCATTGCATAAAAAGCATTTCTGAAGAGAAATTAAAGAGGGGAGAAGGCAGAATAGAGCAATGCTGATGCAGTAAAGGTCCCCATACAAAGGAATGCATAATGAAGCTGCCTTCTGTGTGATGATGTTATTAAGGGAATGTAAGATGAATATGAGAATTTATATGACTTATGAGGGCCATTTTCAATTTTCCGAGTTAAGTAACGAAGTAAACGTATAGAGTTCTATCATCTAGTTCGAGCAAGACAGGTTAAAGTTCCAAGAAAGATCCACACAGCCATAGAGACTAGAGAGTACAGAACATAATATATGCAGATCCTTGCCCCACCCAAACTCAAAGGTGACTAGGAGAGTGCGAGCTTGGTGGACAACAAACAAGAAAAGGCCAGGCAGAGGAAGACCATATGTGTTAATAAAGTGCTAAGACGTCGAGCTTGGTTCTTCAAACAGACACATAGTTCCAAAGAAGCTACTAGTCATTGATGAAGCCCTTTCATAAATAAATAGCATAATGGATTGAAGTATCTTACTAGGAATAATGTTATTTAATGATAACTAGATTTTGTGACCAATCTTCTAAACAGGCTTCCCAACAAAAAATCCGATAAGTCCTTTCAGTCCGCATCAGTAATCCGCATACTCAAGAAAATTCCACCCAGTCAGCAAGACACAACACAAAGCCAAAGCATTCCTTACCCAAATATCATGAACATATATTTACCTCTCTGCAGATAGACCCCCAAGACTCCACCCATCAGCATCGCCCGATGTTCCAGCCCCACTTGTCCAACCTGCGAGAATAACTAAATTATTCAGTAATAGTCATCTCAAATCTCTATAACAAGAGATCTATGGTCAACAATTCTATCTAATTAAGCAACATGTTCAGAGCAATGTAGTAAGATAGGTAATGCAACTTCCAGGACGTGTATTTGGGGCATAAAATGTCTTTTTTACTTTTCACTAATTCATCAAACTGGCAAGAGTACAAATGAGAACCTTATGTTGCTTAACAGGGTCATGCTATCTTGGTTCATTTACACAGCAAGCAGATAAAAAGCAAACACAGACAGGCTAATTTCAAAGTCCTTAAAACACATTCTCACTGCAGGGACATCCTCACCTCCAGAACCACCATCAGCCCCAATTGGATCAAAAGGTTTCAAAGAATCAGCACCTGCATCCTCACTATTGCAAAACAATTGACAACCACAGACGATTATGAAAATGAAACCAAAATATAAATTATGTAAAACAAACCAGTTGGGAGGCTAAAGAAGAGCAGTACCTGCCAGAAACAGCATAACTCCTCCCACGGACCTCCGCAAGATTTTCAGATTTAACTGAGGAAATAAATGATCATCAACGTTTACAGAATATTTTCTGCTTTATTAACAAATCAGTACAAGGTTTCAATGTTACCTGAAAGAACTTTCTGCTTTGAATCTAGTTTCACTGTAACATCAAAGCGACGTACAGCCAATACACGGCAAATGTAGCCCTTCAGAGGTCCTACCTTGATCCTCAAGATCTGACCAATGGAGAATGTACCTTCCCTCTCTCCTCGGTTGACTACAAAAGAATGCAAAAGTTAGACATCACAGAAATAGTTGAAAACAAAGCATAGACTTACTAGAACTTCGAGACTTGCAGACATACAATTGCTTTCCCTTGCTTGAAATGATGATTTAGGTGACGATGGAGATTTTGGAGATGATGGGGCATCATCAAAACCTCCAAAGACTCCAAAGTTGGATTCACCACCCTAAATGACCAACAAGACCAGTTAGAGAAACAGAATCATAACATTAAACAAAGGATAAGGACATCAGACTTACAGCCTTGTCCTCGAATTTGTCTGACTGAATCTTGACTTTTTCACATATTTGAGCTCTTGAGCAAAAATAACCGCCATTTTCAGTCTCATTCTGATCATATATAAAGACAATTCCTCGATAGATTTGTCTAACAATTCCTTCTCTGTCCTGCAAAATTTAAAAAATCATTTATGATACCATATTTGCTATATGAAATCTAACAACTAAAGGAAAAGGAAATATTAGTCACTCAACCTTCAATGGACCCTCCAAGACCCTGACAGTATCATTGTTTGAGATGACCTTCTTGTGCTGATCAAAAGCTGTAAATTTCATTTCTGAGGGGCCAATCTTTGCTTCCTTCTGTTCAACAATCACCACACTTGGTCCTTCTGTTCCCTCTTTTAGAATCTAGACGAAAACAGAGACAAGAAGCGAATAAGAAAACCACCAATCAGCTGCATATTCTACATATAGTGGAAAATTAGATTGCAAACTTTCAATAGGTAAATGAAAACAGAAAACAAACCTTGCAATTACCATCCTTCTCCATTCCAACAACAATGCCAAAGTCTTTGCGTCTGCAATACAAAATTGTAATTAAGGAGAGAATTTGCATGCCGACTGTCAAACTTAGGGTAAAGAACTTACCTAAAGCACACAAAATCATATAGCTCAAAGTTTGCTTGACTTCCAGTCCCAGACGAACTTTCTCCCTTTTCCCCACCTTTATCATTCCGAATTACCTGTTTTTTCTTTTTAGCTCCGTAAATCTGCGTAAGCCATTCTAAGTTACCAGAATCATTTTTCTCGGAGGATTCAAACTTCAATAACTCCTGTTTCGTTGGCATCACACTCCAACAGTTTAAGGAATCCACAGGTACTTTCTTGTATAAGAATCCATCCTTGAGCATCAACCCATCAAGAACCTCAAACATAATGCCGGTGTCACGGTCACGTCTGTACTGGATAAGAGGCCGGAACTCCCTATCACAGATAAACACAGATAGATTAGGCCACAGTCGTGAAATCAGAGCAACATTGACACTTATGAGTACAAGGAGAAGGATGTTACTCCAGTTCGTTAGAATTTATCAGCCTTGGAGCTGGTACATCAGTTCGCTTGGCCACCTTTCCACCACCCTATATAATTAAATAGCACCACTTGAGGATCACATGACGGAGAGTTTCTCCATAATTGGAAAGTGGGAGAAATGCCTCAACTCAGCCAGCAAAAAGGATACTGCAGCATACGCTCATATTATATACAATAGAGATGACAGACCCCTTCTGTTAATGCAACAGAACTAACTAGCAACCAGCCTTTCCCACTTTACAGTGCAAGTACCAAATATCTCTTCACTAGATTATTTCTTACAAACCAGAGTCCCCCTTCAATATCATATATTGAAAAAGGACAAGTCTTTCATGCTCATTTTAGCATCGCGGAACTTTGAAGAATAATTCGGGTAAGCCTAAAAAAATAACAAGTTTATCAAGTTAAATTGTAGAGTTAAAAGTAAAGCAGAAGTGAAAAAGAAACAAGCCGAGTGATGCACATTAGCAATTGAAAGGATGGTCTCGAAAAGGTGAAGGTGAACCTTTACTTGGCCACCCAGCAAATCAACGACAATCCAAATAAATAAAACTTACATATTTTTCAGCCAGAGCATGCACATCAATCCTAGGTATAATCTTCACCACGGCCCTTTTGCGTTCATCGTTCACCCCAACAATCTTCAAGAAGACAAACGGCCAAATGAAAAATAGTAGAAAGGCATTCCAGAAAGGAGTTCAAGCAAATAATAAATAAAAACCTGCGCCAGGTCTCCTTTGTAATTCCCAGACTTGACTCGGGCCCACATGCCCTTGGTTACTTGACTCTTTTTGCACCGAACAGATATCAAATGTGAAACTTCATTCGCTGGAACTGTCGTCACCCTGGAAGTGTATATTCCTGAAAGCCCGCTGCATGCCTGTGTTATGAACAGGTGGAAACATGCATGATTAAAGGGGAAGTGAAGGAGAAAGGAACCAAGGACAAATTTTATGAAAAGATAGCACATGAACTACCTCAACAAGATCACATTGCCGTTCAGCTTCGATGTAAATATAACCCTTCACATGGTCAACAGAAAATGCAGATATTATCTCTAGTTTGTTACCCAGAGACTTCAAGTCCACGAACTTTTGCATGAGACAGAAAGCAGATTGTCTTTCACGCCCAATCTACAATAACATTCAAGGTGAACATTAACAGAGATAAGAACGATGGAATGAGCTTCACATACAGCAAAAATGCAAGAGCTATTACAGATGTCGTGTACCATGCATTTCACTTTCCAGATGGTTGCATCTGTAGCTAAGGCCAAAAGAGAATCTCTTTCCACCAATTTAGCCTCAAAAGGATCATCAGCATATCTGACAAAGCCGGCACCATCCTTGTACCGTTCCTCCATCATCTTATCAAATTCATCCTCATCCATCTGCTCCTCTTTTGGAAAGAAAGGGATGCTCTGTGCTTTTCCTGGCTCCTTCTTTACTTTCAACTCTACATCGAATTCTTCAAAACCAAAACCAGAAGGATTTTGGTGTCAAGAAAAGTTCCATGGACTGAATGCAGGGTAATGAACCTAACCTACACTATTTAATACCACATGATGGAAACAAACCAGTAACAGCACCATTGAGGAACAGACACAGCAACATAATATAAATTAAGTTGTACCATACAACTTGAGGCAAGCATTATCAAGTGGTGTATGCAATCACCCTGACAAATACAAGCAAGTTGAAGCAGATCCAAACGCAAACAAAATGCTTAGATAGGTTACATGTCAACAATAGCCACCATTAGTATCACAAGTAAGCAACCCCTAACATTGAGCATTTCTTACATGAGATGTAAAATCCGAAACCGCAGTAGTCTAGCGCCCATTCGAGCATAATACTAGCACCTTGTGAGGCTAACAGAGATCATCAGGATAGAGCCAAGGAGGCATCCAGGACGCTGCTCGGCATTATCTAATAAACAAAAAGAATTCGAAACAAACCCCTAGAAAAGCCCAAATAAAAGAACAACTCTCCTAGCCTAGGTCAGTTCCCCTGAATCTGATTCTTCCAGCACCCAAAGACCGCATTGCATAGAACAGAGCTCCAAAATGCGTTCACAACACACAGCAAGCTCAATCAGGAAGCGGAAACCCATCCTATCCTACGTATTTCCATTTCCGCTAAGACGGTAACGCTGAGAACCCTAAAATATAACTACAGAGGAAAAGAAAAGGAAGCGCAGACCACTGGCCAACAAACCCTAGATAGTGAAGAACTGCATTTCCGGAAGAACGAAAAAACCCACAGCGTAACACACATTTAATCAAAATCAAAGAGAAAAACAGAAGTTAGTTCACCTTCCTCATCAAAATCGCTCAACTCATTCAAATCGCTCAAGTCGGAATCGTCGTCGTCGTCGTCAACATCGGCTGCGTCCTCGAAGAACTGAAGGACCTGGCGGTTCCTCTTCTTCCTGATCCCACTGCCGGTCTTGTCATCGTCGTCGCCTCCTTTCTTCCGCTTGCCGGAGGAGGCGATTCCCTTTCCCTTGTCCATTTCCACGGACAGTCAGGCCAGGTAGAGAGAAAGAGAGAGAGAAAGGTTTAGCGAGACGTTTTCAACCGAAGAGCGGATTCATGCAAATGGAGTGAGAGAATCAGGGCGCAGTGGAGGACGCTCTGAGACTGTGCAGGCTGGCACACTGTGACGAGTCATTTTTATCCTGGCCAACGTTGAATTGTTGAAACCGTTGCTGAAGCAGACGGGGAAGGAGGAACTTTACAAAGTTACCCTCGTGCCCTCTTTTTTTATCGTATGGCTTTCTTGCAGTGTGAAGGGTAAAATCGTCTTTTTCTTGGCCTGTGAAAAGAATCTTACTATCCTGCCCTGTACGGATCGTTTGCCTTAAATTCCCATCAATTTTCATTTTCTTTTGTTCAAGCCTTTTAACTGGCCCAGTGATGGTGGGTCTCCCCAAATAAGAGTAGAGCCCAACCGGTTTTCATATGGGCCAATCAGGTGATACAAGCCCATTGGGCAACCCGGATCCACCATTTCGACCCGGGTTCCGGGTTTCTTTAACCTATGCAGAAAGTAATAAGATTATGCACAAAATCTCTGATGTTAGAGAGCATCAATGGCCAAGGCCAACAAAACAATCTGCAACATGATGAACAAAAGAATCATTGAATGCAAAAAAAACAAATTGATAAACTCATTCATAACCTTACATCCCTGCTTGATAGAAATTACTAACAGTTATAACGAACCAACGGCAAAAGAGAATGAAAATGACAACAATTCTAGAGAACAAATGTTCCAAATTAGCGGAAACAAGAAATCAAAGAACCAAGTATCATGGCTGGGAAAAACTCATGGAAGTACAATGAACCCCCCAACAGATCTCTGCAAAAGTCCACAGATATACATACAAGGAGACCCAGAACCCAGAACCGATGGCTGTCGTTGGAGTCAACTCGCTACTCATTTCCACCCCCTCTGCAAACTTCTACCTAATAGTAACAAACTTGTTGGTACCATGCTTCGCCCAATGAAGCTTCAAATCAATTGCGTTGCTGAAGTTATAACCTTCAGCAGCGAGTTTCTCCAACACCTTCTTAAAGGCGCCCTGGCTCATCTTCCTCCCAGCAATCCTTGCACCTCGTCTCTTGGTGCTCATTGGCAAAGGATACACTGATACATTAGTAGTACAACAAGCAGACTGCCATCCACCGCACCCCCATCTATAGCACTGCTGAGGACTCCCTGTGCATGAACAAACCGGAATAGGAATCCCAGATATGTCCATATCGATCCCATTTATCACCATATCCATACTCTTCTTGACAGGCTTTGCGCGCTGAGCAGGGTTACTGTTGGGGTCCTTTGGCTTCCTTGGTTTCTTTGCCTTGGGGGGTTTTGGGGCACCACTTCCCTGCCTCTTCTTTGTCGGCTGCTCTGGTTCTTTGAGCATAACCGGCTCTTCCATTCTACACAGCTTGTCATCTCTCGGTGGGGGTAATGCTTGCAGAGAATGAGCAGCTGAAGTCTCCGGAAGAACAGGGTAACTATTATTAGGGTTGTGAGGCATCAAACTTGGGAACTTATTATCCCTCTGGTTCATCCAAGTGTCCCTCATGTAGTTCATGGGGATATGGGAATCGGAAACCATGAACTCGCGATGATGGTAGCCTCCTCCACCAGCATTCACATTGAGCATGATGTTGTTTGGATCTCGGCCGGGCAGGAAATGCTTGGTGTCTCGCTCTGCTGCCATGCTCGTAGTGAGCTGCAGACTGAGATGCCCTCTGAATGAGGGTTCATAGTAACCACCCCAATTCCGCATGTTGAGTGCATCGTCATCCATCATTCACAGCTGCACACATACAATGGCAACAAAATCAGCATAAATGAACCTTCAGATCAATAAATCAACTGCAATACGAGAAACGAACTAATGCAGCCCCAAACACATAAGATTCAACCCGCAAGAAACCAGATTTCCCGATATTACTCACGACCCATCCCAGATCCCGTCGATTCTTGGCAACCCATAGCCACATCGAAGCTGTCAGCACAAATGCCTAATCCCAAACCCCCACATATCGTACTACATTTCGCTCAGATCCGAACGGAAAACTTCAGAGCAGTAGCCATTGGAGAGATTCGCAGAGAAAACACCCATTACACGAAAATAAAATCACCAGTAATCAAAAACAAAAAAACCTAATCACTAGATTCAATTCCATCTTTTGAGATCCAGACAGCAACCAAACAAAAGAAAAACTTCGCAACCCCTCAAATGGAAACCCTATCACCAGATCTACATCACATTCACATTCCCGGAGAGCATATCTAAGAGCCGCCTCCTCGCAATCTAGGGTTTCGAAATCAGGTACAGATCCAGGCGGAAAACGAAACGAGAAGGCCAAAAATGAAACTCCATTTTTTTCCTGAATCAGATTGTTACACAAAGCGCTGAATATAAAAGGCAGGTTGTTCAATAGAACGCAGGACCCATGTATTCAAAAAACAATTTAAGAAAGAGAAAGAGAGACGGAAAGAGAAAGAAGAGAGACGATAGGTAAGGTGAGAGAAACTTACTGCTGGATGGGTGCAAACGGCTCTTTAGGGTTTTTTTGCCCTTTCTGCTGGAGAGAGAAAGAAGAGAGAGGAGAGAGAATGGAACTCCGCAGAGAAAAAAATATGAGAGAGATAGAGATTGGGAGAGAGACGATAGGGAGAAAGAGAAAGAATATGAGAGAGACCTAAAATTGTGTATGGAAAGGAGATATATATATTATAATTTTTCTTTTTCTTTATTTTCACTCCGAAATATAAATTTGAACTTTCCGGTTTTTAAATAATTTAGAACCCAAATCTTAGGGTAAAAAAGCTGACGGGGGGAGAGGCATGTTTGTGGCGGCCAGGTCCAAACCGAACCAAACTTATGAGAATCACGGTTTATAAGTGAAAGATGTTTTAGAATCAAGGATTGGATTATCATTATATTTGTTTCGGTTCGGTTCATCATTCTTCGGGAATTGTAAAATTCATGTGGATCAAGTACTGGACCGCATTATACTCGGTTCAGTGCGATCCGATTATGATCAAACCATTGCACACCCCTAACTATGACGGTTAGTCGTACATGAATTACCAGATATAAAACCCAAATCTATATGCAGTTTTATTGATAGAAAACCATCAAGCCATGGTTCTTGTACAACTACAAACTATCTTATTACTGATTTTTTCGATATAACTTTTGGTATGATTTTACAATCATTAGTATGTGTACGCGCGTAGAAAATTACTTCCTCCTTTTTCTCCTTCATTTCATTCATATAAATAATAAATTCATAAAAAAATCTTGAAAAAACAACACAAGTTTTCCCACTCTAGGATCACTCTTATTATTAAGAAAACAATTAAGTACAAGAAATTCACGTGGTCGAAAACAACCAAGAAACAAAATCAAAGTCGACCAAATAAGACAACAAAGAAAGAGTTTTCATGCCACAAAATGGACAACCCTAATACAATTACTATCAATAAAGGCGAGTTTAAAACGCTCAAAATGACGACGCATAGCCACCCCTCGCAAGCATCAACAACCTCTCCCTCCATAATCTTATCAAACATCATGTTTACATCACTCGCAAAGATCACGGACCTTATATACCCTAGCCACACATCACCAAAGTACATCAAGATGAGCAAGAAACTCGAGTAGGAAAGAGTATGAGATGTCCACATACAAAGCCACAGAATCTACCACCACCATGCTCGAAGGATCCTGCAAAACCCAACTATATGTAGGATCCACTATATGTTGGATCCATGAACATTACTAATTCCCTTGGAGAGGAAAGATGTAGCAATGTTATCCCCCGAATCCTAAACATGTTGGGACGACTCAATCGACATAGAATCCCACTCCGCAACCTACAAAAGTAACACATGTATTGTGAACTGAGTGAGGTCAAAGTCCTTAGTTCTGAACATACCATATTTGTCAAAATACCGATAATCCTATATATATGATCCAAATCTCCCATATCAAGCAACCTAAAAAAAATCCCCATATGTTTAAGGGGTGAATATCATTGAAATCCATCAAATTAATCAGCCCCTCTCAGCCCACAAGCCAGATGACAACGAATAAGAGGTGCTCCAATAATTTTTCCTCCTTCTTGCAAACCAAGCACCAATTCATCCCCACCTCTACTAGAAACAGAACCTCGCCGGTTGGTAAGAACAAAAGCTTTCATAACTCATAAGAAGTTCAACTGATTAGGGAGGATCGGCGCACCCCAAAGCAATCATAACTCATAAGAGCCCCTTATTTCACCCCCAATTCCCTATGCTTCCGCAACACCACCTTCTACATGGTACTATGACTTAACCTAATTCACCCTTGAGGTATCTCCAATTCAAAGCAAATGTTCAGGGATAAGCTTACTTGACAAAGGAACATTCATGATTTCACACACCGTTTCATCATAAAATAATGTTGCAAACAATCAACACGTCAGACCCCCAGTCGGGATGAATCAAAGAGCCAAAACCCTTGCACCCCAGACGATCCTTCGACATGGGTACTGAGGATGAGGATGAACGACATGCACCCAATTATCAGTTAACACCTCCACAATTGTACTCAACCCAATTTGTCAATAACCCATTGTACAACAAATCACGATCATGCAAGATCCAATATGACCCCAATATGAAAAAGAGTTTATCCTCTCCTCTAAAAAGGGAGGATTTGGAAGATAACTCCCCATGTATAAACAGACTAACATAGACTCCGCCTCCCTAGATTCACCAGACCAACTTAGGCAGAAGAGTATATGTTGTGCTTTGTTACCTCTCCTTAGTCCCTACATAAACAACATGTTGTATTTTGGGCTTTGATGCCTCTCTATACATATCTCGACCAATATATTAGAAAAATTTATCCAATTAAAACTTGTCGACAAAAACATCTTCGACCTATTATGTCTGGTATTGAAGTTACATAAAATTTACAAACGAGTTCATAAATGTCAATGAATGGAGTCGCATATTCTTTAATAGGGTCACGAATATCAATGAATATCTGACATAAAGCATGTTAAGAATACATATTTGGATTGCAAGAACAATGCATGTATGAATACGGTAAGGCTGGTTCAACCATGACAAACGAATTAGCTTTAATTAGACCAATTATATGAGTGTGATATCAAGTTGGATCGAACTATCGAAATCTAGCTATAGATCCTCTTTTTTTTTTTTTTTTTTTGTCTAGTTATCACTTGATTTGCTGAAATCAATATTTTTGTAGACTAGGAACCTTAAGAACAATATCGATTTTCAGGTTTCCCTTACTGGTAAAATGACAAAATGGTCCTTTGAAAATTCTCCAATCCAAATATGTACTGACTATGCATCCCTTTTAATAGCTGGGGGGAGTGAGAAATATTGTGGTGTCAAACTCAAATATATTTGTAGGCCACTTTTCATTGTTGGGACAGGGGCAGGTGAAAAAGAAAAGGAGCCCAGCAGTGCATAATGAAAACTCCTACATACATTCCAGTCTTCGTTCTTCAGGCTTGCTTTTATAGTTCAGCGGATTGCTGATAATATTGTCGCTTGGCTTCTCTCCCCTATTCTATTTTGAGGAACCCCACCTCCCTCCAACCCTTTTCACTTTCATTGTGCATTCTTTCTTGGGTTAATTGCAAGGATGGTCACTGGTTTTACTAAAACCGTTCATGTTTGGTCACTGCAAATATTTAATTCCATTCATGGTCACTAAGATTAGTTCAATAGTTCAAGTTTGGTCACTCTCCGTTAGTCTCCGTTAGTTTTTGCTGATGTGGCAGTCAACTATTATAGTTGACCGTTAAATGAATGACGTGGCCATTAAAAAAATAATAAAATCATAAAATATAAATATTTACAATTTCCACCTCATTTTACAACTATTAAAAAATAAAAATAAAAATTACCTTCACAGCGCCGCCGCTTCCCGCCGGCCGAACGAGAATGTCCGCAACCAAATCACCGCCATGGACCCCGGCCCAACCACGAGCTCGAGGACCTGGAATTCGCGCCTCGCCGTGCAAAATTATCACGGCGCCTCTTCCTTTCAATCTCCTCCCCCTCGAAGAGCTTAATTAACCTTAATTATTCCTCAACAATCCCCCCAAATTAAGATTAACAGAGGAAAGACATGTCATTGAGAAGTTCGTGGGAGAGGGGGGAAATCAAAACCCGCGATTTCCCGGGGACATCAGCCTTTGCCAGTCTCCCGCCGGCGTGTTGTTCAACGGTCAGGGAGGTGAAATTGGGGGACATTCGTCGGCGTCCGTTCGGTGGGTTGGGAGATGGTGGATCTGTAGTCACCACCTCCTCTCGCCGACATGCCATTCAGTGGGTTCAGGGAGATGAGAGAGAGGGTAAATCGGGCGTCGTTTGTCGGCTTCCAGGTTCTCTGTCGCCATCGTCTCCCGCCGGCGTCCGTTCAGTGGTTTCGGAGAGGGAAGAGCAATCGAGAGGCCGGGCAAGAACCAGTATACTACTTAAAAGAAAGAAAGAAACCATATTCACAGTTTTTCCTACCCGGTGAATTAAAAGAAAGAAAGAAACCATATTCACAGTCTTTCCTCTGTTAATCTTAATTTGGGGGGATTGTTGAGGAATAATTAAGGTTAATTAAGCTCTTCGTAAACCTTGGACAAAACACCGCCTTCTTCCCCATCTCCGCATCCGAGGAATCGCCTCCGTTGAACCACAGAGCTTCCGCTGTACGAACTCCCCAATAACGCCGAGCTGAAATCCCCCCGGAAATCAATCACACTCGACGGCGCCGAGACTCTTCTTGAGCACCGAATTTGATTGTGCTTAGCTGGGGCGAAGATATAGGAACCCTAGGAGGTGCGAATCGAGGGGGAGGAGATTGAAAGGAAGAGGCGCCGTAATAATTTTGCACGGCAAGGCGCGAATTCCAGGTCCTCGAGCTCGTGGTTGGGCCGGGGTCCATGGCGGTGATTTGGTTGCGGACATTCTCGTTCGGCCGGCGGGAAGCGGCGGCGCTGTGAAGGTAATTTTTATTTTTATTTTTTAATAGTTGTAAAATGAGGTGGAAATTGTAAATATTTATATTTTATTATTTTTTTAATGGCCACGTCACTCATTTAACGGTCAACTATAATAGTTGACTGCCACATCAGCAAAAACTAACGGAGACTAACGGAGAGTGACCAAACTTGAACTATTGAACTAATCTTAGTGACCATGAATGGAATTAAATATTTGCAGTGACCAAACATGAACGGTTTTAGTAAACCCAGTGACCATCCTTGCAATTAACCCTTCTTTCTTTGTCCAAATTTCCTATAAAAAACTAAAAAAAGTGCTGATTGTTAGTTTGGCTTGTCTCACTGTCTACCTATCCCTTTTCACCATTTATTTAATTTGCTTTCTCTGTTTATGCCTTCTGTTTTGCAGTAGATAACAAGAGGGGAATAAAAATCTAGGCTTGACATCCAATCTATTTATTTATATAGTTAAACTTATGGTTGGACTTGGACCCGTTGGCAAGCACAAATTGACTCCTAATTTGGTGCCCTCTTCCTCACTTTTTTTTTTGTTTCATCCAACCGTCTTGGCTGACCAAAATGGACAAATTTGGCAAGAGTCATTATTGCTGAGATTTACGATCCCCAGCATCAACAGCTAAATTGTTCGGGGCCTGCTTCCATACATTGGTCATGTTCAACGACTGCTTCGGAGTAAAACCGAATACAGAACCGAACCATAGACGGTCATGCAGTTACAAGGTCGCGAAAATCGCCAAAGAGCCAACACCCCACCTGCGTAGAAGCGTGTGCTGCTTTGCACCTTACTCTTTCCTTTTCTACTCTTACCAAACCATGCCTGCTTGTAGCTGCTGCATTCAACAAGCAGCAGAACCACTGCACCAGACGGCTTCTGGCTTTGGCAGGCAAACAAGAAGAATAAAAATCGTTAACAAACATACTCCTTTCATCTTTAGCATATGAGATCAACCCACTGGAGTGGTGCCTCACTCAAGTATTCATTGTTTACAATCCATATAGTCATAATATAACCTAAAATAATCCGAAAAGACAGTCCTCTCAAACCCATAACAGACGCAGTCCTCAAGTATATACTGCTTGCACCACAAGTAATAGAAAAAATATATATCTTAATAAATAGATTGAAGCAAAAACAATACTAATAATCTAACACCAACCTTATAGAGCAGTGGCCAGTGAGAGAACAGCAAGGGACATTCCGGTGCAACCCCACATTGGCTCAAAACAATGAATTCAGGGCACCTCTCCAGCTTGCTGTCAAGACACTCCCTCTCCGCGCTCTCACTGATCACTAGATTGTCTATCATAATCTGCACCAGATGAGCTGTATGCGAAAAGGGATCACTAACCATCCATCCATCGATCGACGACCATTCCTCCTCCTCGTATCTACGCTGTGCAATATGCAGCGATAGCCGTGCATTGGTACACACAACAGTAGCAGCTGCTGCAGACTACACTTTGATAAGGAATGCTGCACCGATCGATCCATCCCGCCCAATCTGACACTAGTTTAGTCAGATAGGCCAGCCTTCCTTCGGAGGTGCTCCTTGAAGCCCATGATGTCACCCTCCCACCGTGTAACGGCCTGATTCTCGCACACCCATATCTCCTGGGCCACCTGGTTTATGAGCCTGAAATCGTGGCTAACGAGAACCAAACCACCGTCCCACTCGCTCAATGCCTCGGCCAGAGAGTCTATGGTTTCGATATCCAAGTGATTCGTCGGTTCGTCCAGAAGCAGCATGTGCGGCTGCCTATAAGCCAGCCAAGCAAAAATCACCCTTGCCTTTTGTCCATCAGACAGGTGATTCATCGGCATGACTTGGGCCTTTCCGGTCAGCCCGAATTTCCCAATTGCGGCCCTCATTTTCTCCTCCTCGTTCCCTGGATACTCTCTCATCATGTACTGGAGTGCAGACATGTCCAAGTTGAGTTTCTCAGCCAAGTGCTGATGGAACTGAGCTATCCTCAGGTGGTTGTGCCTACGAACCATGCCATCAGTAGGGTGCAAGTCTCCGGTCATGAGCTTCAACAATGTACTCTTGCCAGCGCCATTGGGACCCACCAACGCAACTCTAGAATCCAGGTCAACACCAAAGTCGATATTCTTGTAGATGAGATTTTCAGGGGTGTAGCCAAATGACACCTCGACAAACTGGAGTACAGGCGGCGGGAGCTTGCCCACATCGACAAAGCGGAATATGAGGACTTTGTCTCTAACCACCTTTTCAGTGAGCCCACCCCGCTCCATCTTAGCAAGGGTCTTTTCTTTGCTCTGTGCCTGCCGAGCCAACTTGGCCGATCCATGCCCAAATCGAGCAATGTACTCCTTCATATTAGCAATCTGCTCTTGCTCCCATTTGTACTGCTTCATCTGATTCTCTTCCAGCTCAGAACGAGTTTGGACATACTGATCGTAGTTGCCAGAGTAAATCTTCAAACTCTTGTTCTGCATGTGAATTATGTTTGTGCAAACACCATTCAAGAAATCCTGGGAGTGGGAAATCACCACTAGGATTCTGGTGAATTTCTTCAGCATTTCCTCCAACCAAACACAAGCTTCTAAATCTGTAACCAAACAGAACCAACGTGCATATCAGTTTGTCTGGCTAGAGTTTAAAGCTAGACAAATGAGGGCTCCTTCAATGTACAGGGGAATCAGATTTTCAGAAACAAGAGGAATCAGTTAAGTTGGCAAAAGGGTCATTATAATTATTATAATATTAAGCATTCAAGGCCGACTGTGTAGCAGAAATTATGTTCAGGCCACTTACCAAGATGATTAGTAGGCTCATCAAGTAAGAGAATAGTGGGGTTCATGAACAGAGCTCTAGCCAGAGCAATCCTCATTCTCCAGCCACCAGAGAAATCTCTGGTCTTCTTTGCCTGCATTTGCTTATCAAAACCAAGACCAAACAATATTTCAGCAGCACGCTTTTCAGCTGTAGCTGCATCCAGAGCATCCAAACGCTCATAAATTCGCTCAAGTGTTTCGCCACCACCATCATCCTAAGCCACATCAAAAAGATAAAAGGACGAAAAAACACCAAACGATAAGTATAGGCTTCAAGAAGGATCAATATCAGAGACAATTCATTTACATTATTCAATTAGTCTAAATACCTGGCTTGCCAACACCTCAGCTTCTTTCTCCAGTTTGATCCTCTCCTCATCACAGCTGATAACAGCCTGGAGTGAAGACATGTCAGAGGCTTCAATCTCTCTAGTAAGGTGATATATATCCATGTGTTCAGGAATTGGAAGCTCTCGACGGCCTAATGCAGTAAGCAGCGTCGATTTCCCACATCCATTTAATCCGAGCAAACCATAACGCCTGAAACAGAAAAATAAAGCCACAATGGTATCCAATCACTGTCTCAGCATACATGCTCATTGGAAAAAGAAAAAAAAAATGGATCATATTACCAACCTGCCGTAGTTGAGCTCCAGCATGGAATCTACAATGAGATCATGTCCATGAAACGTCACTGACAAAGACTCGATCTGCCATAAAGAAGTTAAGTTAATATACAGTAATTTTAGTTATCCATGCATTCAGAATTGCTATTTCTATATCGGGAAAGATATCCACAAAGCATCCTCTTCCTTGACAAAGGCAAAATGTACACAGAAATGAGGAATCTTATGGCAGAACAAACAGAACCAGTTTCCCAACAATTTGGAACCAAGAATCCTAACACAACACAAAAAGCTCCCTATTTCAGACGAAACAAATCACCTCAAATAGCCGAAGGTCATCAAGAACACCGTTTCATCAACAAAAAATCTCCGAAACATCAATAGCCCTCAACAACCAAATATCAAAAGTGGCAAGAACATCTCATCCAGGGCATAAATTACAGAGCGAGTGCAACAAAATTACTCCACCGTCTCAACCCTACACACTATTTTCACGCTTAGAGAGAGCAGATAATAAAACCACTCACCCGAATATCCCTGGATAGAGGATGGGAACAGAGGACGCCGGTACAATTACGATCGGAAATCTCCATCGTTCCGATTCCGTTAGACAACTTGTCGACGGCGTTCCCGTTCTGCGAGGAAACAGCGGCCTTCGAGGATGCGGCGGCGGCAGCTGCCTTTCCGCCTCTCTTGGCCGCGGCCGCTGCCTTCTTCTGCGCCGCCTTCTTCTTGCTCGCGTCTGACACCATCTTTACGAACTCTGCAGGAAGAAAACATTGCATCAGAATCAGAATCCAGCAATAAAGTACGTGAAAGGAAAATCGGAAAATTCGGAGGGATCGGAGAGAGTAAATTACCTGAAAGACAACAGAGAAATCTGGAGAGAGTGTTAGTGGCAGCTGGATCTAGGGTTTGAACAGTATGGCGAACAGGGGACAGAGCGGTGGTATAACGATACGGCGGTAGAAGCGGTGGTGGTGGTGGTGGCGACGATGGAGAACGGTAGGAGTTGGGGGAATTTTGGTATTTATAGACGGTTGAGGGACGAGGAAGCGACACGTGTACGGGGACAGGTCCCAGACGATTTTTTGGTATTTATTTAATTTCTTAAAGTTTGGACAAAGGTTAGTGCGAGTTTGGGTTGCGTAGGTTAGTGAAATTGTGAGTCGAGTTTTGGTTGTTTTCTGGGTTTGGTAGTGGTCTCGTTTCAGAGTTCGGTTTTCGCTTCCTGACTTTTCACATTTGCTCGCACGTGTTTGTTTATGAATGTGCCTTTACCTGTGATGTTATTAATAACTTAAATTATAGATCATTTTGGGCCATTAGGTCTGATAATAAATTGGATGCAATGGTTGACTAAACTATCATATTAGCTTCCATGACAGTTTGGGATCCTATATTGTTGATGTCAAGCTCCGAGGAGTCTGTTTCAATGTGTTTGAGGTCCGGTGAGCGCCGATCTTCCTGGCCAACGTCCGTCACCAGCCTCCGAGATGGACAACTGCAAAACAAAAGGACCCGTCGGCGGTGTGTCGGTGGGGATGTTAGCGAACTAACCACTTGGTCCCAATAACTCGAGTTGTTGGGAAAGGGATAGTTAAGCCTTTTAACCTCTTATACGCCCCCTCAAACGAAAGCCGATGCCGAATTGTGAATTTTTACGGTTTGCATAGGTTGAATCCTTGTGCTGCCAAACCACGAGGCTTTAGTTTGCACAGGTTGGACATACCATTCCTTGTGCTAAACGAATTGGCATGAAATGGGGGTCGTTATGAGGATTCGATACCATGACCTTTTGGTTCTAGGCTCTGATACCATGTTAGCGAACTAACCACTTGGTCCCAATAACTCGAGTTGTTGGGAAAGGGATAGTTAAGCCTTTTAACCTCTTATAGGGGACCTGCTCCGAAGCTCAAGTCAGTATTTGAGAGGAGACTAACCGGGAGCGGCATAGTAAGCCGGCTCTAGAGAGAGATTCCGAGTTTTTCTCTGAAATGAACTGCCGAAAAAGCATAAATGAGCGTCCTATTTATAGGTGCCTCCTGCTTCTGACATAAATAGCGTGTGAAGAATATAAAAATATATTTATCTCACCACCAACCTAATGTGCAATGGATGGCGGGTAAAGAAACAAACACACATTTACCTATCTTGTGCCTTTCACGTCCAGGTGTAAGAGTGAAGTGGATGATGGTAAATAAAGACATTTCCATCTTTCATGTAAATATGAGTTGGCCATTTGGGTGAGTTGTATGCAGGGGCGGAGCTAGGATTTAAAGTTTGGGGGGGGAGGGGCCGGAGTAACTTAGCACATTATCGCCAAAATACTGAAAAATAAAGATATATATAAGTATATAACGTATAACATTAATTAAAATAATCAAAAGAACTCAAAATAGAATTAATTTAAAGTTTTTCTACTATGCTATGCTCAAAGTAAATGATTATACTACGAAAAAAGTATCATGTAAGTTTTTCCATATTATTGGTAATTATTCCGATAGAAGTGACGTATTGTGCGATGTCGGTGAATACTGGGTCCATCATATCATATACCTAGCCCCGGTAGAGCATAGGTAAATGCTTTTATTCAAAATGATCCGTGGACAAGTAAATAAAATATTTTCATCCGGTGAAATTATTTACCGCTTCTTTTATTTTTCTGGCATTGTTAAAGACTTTGAAACATCATTTATGAACTATATTTTGATGGAGAATAAGTTTACTTGATAAAAATGTATTATCCTCTCTTGTCGTCAAGAAAATGAGTGATCTGGTGTGCTCGTTTTGGACGATCAAAATGGATGCTTATTGCCTTATTTTTGTGTAATTACACCTCCCAAGAAACACGATATAGTTTGGTTGCCCGTTATCCAAATTATTTTTTTTTTGCCATTCAACCAAATTATTGTTCTTTACGGAGATGTAAAAGTTACTGGGGCCAATTTAGCGGGTTAACCCAATAAAAACTGTAAACTGTAAAATGAATCCTGTATTCATCCCAAACTGGAACCCTTCTGGGCTAGGCGTTGAACGACCATGGGCCCTAAGCCCATGCAACATCCACTTCTCCAGTTTGAAGTTGTATCAAAGGATCCGTTCCGACCAAAAATGAAAAGTGGTTGGATATTGGGGCCCAACTCGCTCAAGTTGCTTTCTTCTCTGCTGCACTGGGCCACAGCAGCGCATCCAGCCGTGCATGCGGGTCCATCTTTTCTTCTTCTTCTTCTTTCTTTCTTTCTCATGGGCCAATAACTAAAATCCCGGCATGAAAGTTAACCAGAGAAATATCTACGTAAAATTGAAATTTCCCGTAAGAAAAAACAAAAACCCCTTAGCAAAATCGGGGAATTTTATATTTCGCTGGATATATATGTTGGTGGTTAATCACATTTTACTATTGTTATTTCATTTTTATAAATGTTCAAATGTCATAAACTGAAAGAGAGTAATAATATATTTTATTAACATAGCTACAAATCCATTAAGTAATCAAAATCATAAAGCCATATAATTCAGTAACGTTGATAAGTAATCAAAATATTGATGTGAGAGTATTTACTACCACTATATAGATAGTCTTGTTAAATCAACAAGGCATAAAAGACTACAAGAACGTATTAAAAAGAGGGAACAACATCCTCCAACAGAGCTCCTCCGCTAACATCATCAGCCACCTCCTTCGAATTACTCATCGGATCACCAATTGCGCATCCCCACATAAATTACAAGCAAAGGATCATGTGTTAGGACACCAAATCATCCATTGGACCATTGTTGTAGTATAAGCAACATAGAAAGAAAATAAGCAACAACATGAAAATCATATAAATTATTTCGTCGATAAATTCTCACATTCTGCTATCATCCTTATATCGAGGGTCACGACTAGTCAACTACCCACCCACACTACTCACTAGTCACTACTACTAGAGACCTGCCAACTATTGGCGGCAGATTGACAATTCTTATTGCAAAATATTTATCGTATAAAGTTAATTTTATTGTTGATTATTTTATCTTGTTCAGACACTCGTTATATTTTCAAAAATATTTTTATCCATGTAACCAACTCCAATACTATTGTTTATTTTAATCAAATTGAGATGGAGACTTCCAAATTCAATAATAAATAGAGATTTGTGTGTTGTGCCATTTAAACATCACAATTTCTATAATAATAATAAAAAGCGACTCATTTGGATCATATTTTCCGGGAATCCAAACAAATATTTCTGTCGGTATATATGTTAGTGATGCCAATGCCCCTTCGTTCTCACATGAATTTGATATGTTAAGGTCAAAGATCAATATCCCCCCGGACAATTTCTGGGGAACAGTGGCTGAGGAGAGTGACCACCACCAACTAGGGCTGCAAATGAGCCAAGCCGCTCGCGAGCAACTCGGTGTTCGAATCGGAAAAAACTCGTTCGATACTCGAGTCGTTATTTAACAAGCCGGCTCGCGAGCCAACTCGTTAGTTAACGAGCCAAGCCTGAGCTAGACCATGCTCAGCTTGATAAGCTCGCGAGCTAGCTTGATTCGGTGGCTTGTCGAGCTAAGCTCGCGAGCTGCCTTGTTTTGAGCTTGTGAAAGGATGAATTACTCTTTTAAACATGAACATTGTCTTCTAATATAGATGTGTATGAAATTTAGATGTTATTTATAGTTTCTAGTGTTCTTTCTATCATTTAAATTCTTATGTTTATACATTTTTCCAGCAAAAATGATTATAAATCGAGCTCATCTTGAGCCGAGCTTGTACTCAGCTTGACAAGCTATGTTAATGAGCCTTTATCGAGCTCTACCGAGTTGAGCTCGAGCTAGATTATTTTTATTCAAGCCGAGCTCGAGCTCGAGCTGGATTATCAAAATTCGAGTTCGAGCCGAGCTCGAGCTGAAAAATTAATAAACGAGCCGAGCTCAAGCTAAGCAAAAACTCGACTCGACTCGGCTTGTTTGCATCCCTACCACCAACCCAAGTCTTAAATGATTCAATTGTCATCAATCAGAGTTTGCGGTCGCAATTGACTGCAATAATTAATTTTAAATAAATGTGCATATCCCACTTGCGTGTACACATAATAATACGTCCAAACTCCAAACTGTACGCCAAAACATTGACAGCTTCGCCATGAGCGAACGATACAATCGTACACATACAATCCAGTAAAGATTAAACTCTAAAAAATAGTTAAATTTCAGTAGTACTGGGATATCTCTCATTTAGTTTGATTTCTGTAAACACCCACTAATCAATCATTTTAATCGATCACTCTCAAATACCGAAAACGAATAACTCGTACGTGGATTAATCTGAGACACACAATATATCATAACTCGCAGTCCGTGAGTCAAATCAACGATTTATCACCATAAAACCGGCATCCGATGGAACATACTTACATAGACGGAGCCAGCCCAGTTGGGCCTTGTCACGGGTCAGGGGTAAATTTTGGGAGGAAAAAAATACTCTATATATGTTTATGCTTGTTAAGGATGGAACACGACACCTAGTACAACGTATTTTGTCACTATATCACAATTCATTACTTGATCATAAATTGACATTAAATTAATTTATTATATTATAAACCAAATCTCAATTGGAATATATCTCTTTTCTTCATATGTCTATTCGATTATTTTCCCAACAATCTTGAAGTAGTCAAGTGGTAGCGTAGATTCCACTAGTTTTGACGACAAGTGTAGATAAAATATTTTCAGCTTTGAGTTATATCAAGAACAAACTCTGAAATCGAATTCACAACCAGTTTGCTAATGATTGTGTAGTGGGATCCATTGGAAAGGACCTACTTAAGAGTATATTTTATGTTTCTTTAAGAATATGAAAATTCATCATGGTTGTTTATGAATATACCGATTGTATTAGTCGTTATTTTTATATATGAAAATTAATTATTCAGATATTATTAATTTAATTATATTTAATAAATATTTATATATTTAGAATACGAAAGAAAAGGACAGGGGTAGTTTCAGGCTATTCTGTCGAAGAGAGTTAGGGAGGCTTGTGATGAATGCCCTTTTTGTGGGTTGCGTGAAACACAGGAACATATTCTTAGAGACTGTGATTGGGTAGGGAGAATCTAGCGACCTAGTTCGCTGGGAACCCTATTCTCAGATGGAGAGGAGAAGTCTAGTGAAGAATGGTTGTGTGACCTAATTGGGAAAGTGTCGGATGACGAACTATGCTCGATGGTAATGGCACTCTGGTTTCTATGGAAGGAACGGAATAATCAGCTTTTCAACAACCCAAAGCTGGTGGAAAGTGAAATTATGGCAAGGGCAGAAGCTTACCTGGAGGAATTCCGGTCGGGTGTGGCGGTGGAAGGTCCGACGAGAGCTCCCCGTCAAGAAGTGCGATGGGAGAAGCCCGAGAAGGATTTGCTGAAGGCGAATGTCGACGCGGCAAAGTTGAAGGAGGGAGGTACAGGGTTGGGGCTGGTCGTGCGCGATGACGAAGGCAGAGTGCTGGTGGCAGCAGTGCGGCGAACGCGGGTTGATTGGGAACCGGAGATGGCGGAAGCTCAGGCTATTCTCTGGGCTCTCGATCTGTTGCATTCCTATGCCCGCCGGCCAACCCTAATTGAATCGGATTGCTTAACCTTGATTCAGAAGATGAACCGCCAAGGAGAAATTGAGACAGAGCTGGGGGTGGTTGTGAATGAAATCAAAGAGAAATGTTTGATAAGAGGAGATGTGCGATGGCGATTTTGGGGAAGAGGAGGAAATGGGGCTGCGCATGAAATGGCCAGGGTAGACTGCAGATGGGAAGAGGATGAAGTCTGGGTGGGGAGACCCCCTATTTTTCTTCTTCGTACTCTAAAAAGGGACTGTCATAATGCCTTACTGGTTTAATTAATAATATTCAGGTTACTATTCAAAAAAAAAAAAAAAACCTGCCTCCGTCACTGCTTACTTAGCTCTGACTAATCTCAAATCGCTAAAATCACCCTATACACACGACACGTTTTAGGGAAGATCGTCATCGTCACCATGGATATACACATGAAAACCAATTACCAGAGAGAAAACGAGACAATCTCTATCGAGTTTGACAACTTCCCACAATTCTTCTCCTTCTTCTTCGATCACTCCGACGTCAATCTCTATCTAATTAAAAAAAAAAAACAACAACTGCATCAACCATCATGTATCCGTTTCTTTAACAATTAATCGTTCTGTTTATCTTTCACTTTCCCGTCCACTTCCTCCGTCGTCGTCGTACACTTCCCATTCCCTCCCGCCACCGGCATTTCCCGCTCCTCCACCGCCGCCGCCGCCTCCTCCCTGAACCGCTTGTAAATATCGCCCCGGTAAAACTCCCTCGTCCGGATCACCAAAATCAACGACACAAACGTCCCGAACAGAGTCGCCGCCGTGATTATAACAAACGCCAGCTTAAAACACCGGGTCCCGACGCAATTCAGGTCCTGACCCGGCTGCCTGACCCGACCCATCGCCGCCAGCTGCTTCCTCGCCTCCTCGTCGTACAAATGCCCCGCGACCCGGACGTTGAGCAGGTACGACCCGGACGTTGACGCCTGACCCGAAGTTGTAGAGCGTGGAGTAGTACTTGAGCCCGAAGATCTCCGATATGATCGCGAAAAGGAGCGGCCATTGGGCTCCGAAGCAGAACCCGATCACGATCGACGCAGCGTACAGCCCGCCGGGGACGTTGAACGCGATCAGGAGGTGGCCGACGCAGGAGAAGAGGAGGATCATCGTGAACATCAACGGCCGGGGGAACTTGTACCGGGTGAGGACAATCTCCGACAGGAAACCCGACCCGACCCGACCCAGGTAGTTCCATATGCTCACCAGCGAGACGAACGTGCTGATGGATTTCTTCGGGTACCCGAGCGAGGTCCCAATCTGGCCCAGATTGTCGATCGCCGTCAGCGTCCCGCCGACGCCGCAGATCGTCGCGACGAACAGGATCAGCATGTCGAGGCTGAACAGCGCCTGGAGGATCGTGAAGTCGTCCCCCCTGTTCGGCGGCCGGAACACCGTCCTCCAGCACGACGGCGATTTTGCCTCCCCTCCGTCGTCGGAAACAGAGGAGGAAGCGGTTTTGACCGGGTCGGGTGCGGGTTTCAGGTCGGGCGAGTGGGAATTGGATCTGGGAATGACGGTTTTGTCCTTCCAGATCTTGTACTCCTCGGCGACGGAGACGGCGAGCGGGAGGAAGAGGAGGACGAGGACCATGGCGGCGCTGCCGCCGTACTCGGTCCGATTGAAGCGGTACTGCTTCTCGAGGACGATGATGGCCATGAGGAATCCGGCGAGGCCGAGGGAGATGTAGAGGAAGTTGTAGAAGACCTTCATCTCGTTCGGGTGCCGGACCACCTTCATGATCCGGATCGTGCGGAGGAAGGCGAAGGAGATGGCGGCGGGGAGCCAGGCGATGAGGAGAATTAGGGATTTGGAATCGTCGCCGTAGACGCCGTGGTAGAGCTGGGTGATGATCGCGCCGCTGAGGCCCACGTAGCCTTTTAAAATCCCCAAAACGACGCCGCGGCTCTCCGGGAAGTTCTTGACGCACGTGACCAGCGCCCCGGTGTTGGCGAACGACTGGGAGTTCGCGCCGATGCAGATGTAGAGGCACATTTGCCACACCTAATTAAAAAAAAAAAAGAGATTTAATAATTAATATAGAATGTTTGTGCAACCATATCGTATTAGTTGTTCAATTGAGGAACGAAATTTCCAAGTGTCTAAATTACCAAAGTGTTTTCCGTGGTTTGAAATGAACTGCGATTTCGGCACAAAATACTTTTTTCTGGTACAACTTTCGGTACGAGTTTACTGACCTTGACGTTGGTGAGCTTGCCGGTGACGGCGAGCCAGATCATGAAGTAGCCGAAGAAGTTGAGGACGGCGCCCATGGAGAGGACGACCCAGGGAGGGGTGACCTCGTTGATGAGGCCGGAGAGGACGCCGACGTTGCCGCCGAGGTCCTTGAAGAAGCTGAGGAGGTTGAGGGTGGTCTGGTCGTAGCCGAGGGAGGATTTGATGTCGGCGGAGTAGAGGCCGAACATGTAGGTGGCACCGGCGGCGGACATGATGAGGAAGCAGGCGAAGACCATGAACCACCGTCCGGTGACGATGTGGACGGTGAGGCTCTTCATGTCGCCGGCGGCCACCATGGTTTTTCCCGTTTGTGTGTGTTTGAATTGCTGGTTGAAGGCTAGGGAGTTGAGAGAGTGTGGGGGGGATTTTATAGGGACAAGAAGACAGGGAGTGTGCGGTTTAAAAAATGGATATTAGCTGGAGGAGGGAAGATATTAATGTTAGCTGATGGGCCCCATGACTCTACAGACACTCGGACGCTTGGTATTGAGGAGGATATATATGTAGGTTTAATAGTACGTCAATAGTGTTTAATAATATTGGGTCTGTTTAATAGTATTTAAATTATTAATCGAATTAGCTATAATACGATGTCTAGCCACTAAATACGATGTTTATACTTTATAGTACATATTGCTTCACCATTTACAGTCACTTAGGTTCTGGTAGTCGTTTGGTTTGGTTTGGTTTGGCCACTGTGCATGAACATTTCAAGCATGTGATTCGTTCCAAAGAAAAAAAGAGACAGAAGAATTTTTCTGTTATTTACGGTTAAACCTTTTTCATTTTGGATGCTCTCTTTTATAACACGAGTTTAACATTAGAATAAGTTGCTTTTTTTTTCTTCCTGTTATTTATTATTGTAGACCTCAAGGTGTGAAACCATAATATTTTGTTAATTTGAACTGAAAGGAACTTAGATTTTAACTCTCACCATAAACTACAGAAATTACTCGTTTTCAGGTGTATCGTAATATATATGATCCTTTTCTCAAATATTGGACCCAGTATTTAATTTTTATACAAATATAACGTCAACGAAGATTTTTGTAAACTAGTTCACGTTTTGTATCGGCATTTGTTTTTCTGGTTGAAAGTTGAGTTGAAATAAGTAAGGGCCAAACCACATGTGTGGGGCTGGTCTATTTGTCGTCGGTAGGGAGTGGGAAGTGAGAGAGAAGTGTAAATAGGGGACCGGCGACGGCGACGGCGACGGGTAAGGGTATGGTGGGGAAGGCTGCACCAGAATACCATACTACTGCAGAATCGCCAACGGGCAATTGCTACACAATCCTAAAAATACAATAATGTATGATCAATTGTCATCATCGTAGAACCCAAGTTCCTGTCCAATCTTGACCCACACTCCACTTGCTTGCCTTGTTAATCCCTTACGCCTGCATGAAAAGACGGGCAACGAGTACAGACTACAGAGAGAGAGAGAGAAAGAAACCAATCCAATATGGTCACCGGTTCCGGACATCATGTGCTCAACAGAAATAGATGGGGTGATCGGGATCCAAACAGGACACCTCACGGCTACAGAAGTCTCTGATGATGTCATGTCATGGACCAGTTGATCCAATAACTCGAGTTGTTGGGAGATATTCAATTGTGGATCACATACCGTTTAACAAAAGTCTTCATTGACGTTATTAGTTATATGCCTTAATGTATAATTAAAAACAACAAGAACCCTAATTAAATTGCAAGTGTGGTCCATACAGTATCTTCTGGAAATCAATCGGCTGGTATTTTGCTCTCTCGATGGATAGGATCTGTTATAGTAGTTGACAGTTGACTACTGAAGTAACGTAATGCTGGTGCCAAAACTATATAATATAATAAAACAACGCAAGAGAACTCGGACCAGTCAAAACCTAATACGCGGCAATGGCGGTGGGCTTTACTATTTTCTTACCAAAAGATTAGAATTACCTAGGAGTTTTCGGTGCACTCACTTTTTTCAATACATTCAATGCACTTGCCTTATATCCGTCGTTTTAAACATGCAATTCATATCAAAATGATGTCAATCATCACTTATGATGTGATGAACAATAGAGCACATGAATTCTCACAAAAATCATTCAAGATTTACTTTAATTTGAAGAGTACTTTAGAGTTTAGAGATTTAGAGTTAGGGTGTACAATTTGGGGTTTAGGGATAGAATTCAAAACTGGAGGTCTAGAGCTTAGGGTAATCTATTAATTAGTTGTTATGTCATCGTATTACACTAATTCAACAAATAAAATTCATAATTTGACACCTTAAAGCTAGTTTTTAGATGCATTGAACGCACTCATTTATGTGAGTGCACCGAAATAATCACCTTAGAAATATATATACTATTGTTATCTCTATTTGGCTTATCTCAATGAGCTGGTAATATCGGCGTTATCGATCGAAGCATATACTTTTAGTAGCGGCCGTGGATTTGTTATTCACTAATGCCTGTCTGCCCTTATTGATATCGATGGAGTTCAATTATTAGGGGACTCTTGTTTTGGGCTTGTGGCCGACCTAGAACCACAGATCCATTTTTGTAATTTTTTTTCCTTCTTTTCTCGTTGTTGTTTTTATTCATTAGATTACTTGATAGTTAAAAAAAAAGCCAAGTATTTATAATACTAAAAAAAGGAAAAATTAATTCACATTTTCAAATGAAAAAGAAAATTGTGAAATAATTTTTTCTTTTTTTCTCCGTGGTTCAAAATGGAAAAGAAAAACGGGTCAGTTTCATAACTTTGACGTATAGTTTGGGTCATGATGTTATAGATCGAAAAGATTGATCAGGATATTTATTATGTGAAAAGTTGAGACCAATGTAAATATATCAACCCTATATTATAATGTTTTCATGAAGGTGATATAAATTCATAATTTTAGTGTGAGGTGCTGCTTACTCAAGAGAATTGAATCTGAATTGTCTCTGGGTTGAAGATTAGAGGTAGAACCACTATAGAAAGCTTGGTCGTTAATATAATATAATACAATATAAACAATTGGTAACCTTATTTTTTACCTAGGCAATATGTAACACAACGATATTTTATGGATATAAGATATTGTCTGCTTTGGATACGTCTACTCATACATGGTTTTGCATTTGCGATTTGCTTAAGTTGTCGAAGTGAGATTTACTTAAACGCGTTACACAATATATACTTCGCATTGTAAGTGGAGGAAAAACAAGAGAATGAAATGATGACTATATGTTGTAAAATATTGTGCGTTCCCAAAACATCATATGTGTCTATTTATGGGTCGCGTCGGGTCGTGGTTTGTAATGCATTGTCAATCTTCTGAACTAGAATGATCTTCTAGAAAGTGAAAGTTCTTTGTGTGAATTCGAAACCTTAATTATTATCTATTTAGCATCACTTCTTCTGCCGCCTTAGGTATAATAGTCCGATCGAATACGCATCGCAAGATGCTTCTCCACCACTAAGCTGGAGCAAGTTTGAATCAAATACTTTATATCATATATAAGTTTCTGATTATCAGCATCACTCTATTAATTATCCTATTCCTTTACATAGATAAGTCCGAAGAGAATATATATAATATAATAATACGGCACATGCATGCAAGCAGTAGCAGTACTGTACCAGTCAACGCCGGGAGCTCCATGGCATCAAATAAATTTCTACATTTGCAGCTGCAGAAAGTAAAAGCAAATTAAACAACGGAAAAACGAGACAATAACAAGGCCGATACGCCATGGCAAGCATTTCTTGAGCATGATTTGTGCTCTGACTTTTCAGACGACGACTCATTCGTATGCGTAGGACCCATATATAACTTGAAAAGGAAATCTCAACTAAGCAGTTTCACACAAAAAAAGAAAAAGTCATTGCAAGAAGATAGGAACACAGATGATTAGTGTTAGGCTCTTATCCCTATATCCTATAGTCTGATCCAGTTTTGCAAGGAAGAACAAACAACACTTCACTGAAAGAGACCCAATGTGTTTTAGTATCTTCTACTAGTCAACTATTTCTTACTAGAGATTGATTATTCGAGTTGAATCATCTTCTGGGTCGCCGTGTTTACACTTGTCGCTCCCAATTGGCATCCCCGTACGCACAGATGTCCAACCGCCACTGCGTATTCATATCGTCTTAGTTCCCTCTTCCGTTTATGCTTTTCGTATTAAATAAAACACGAGTATCACATAAAAATGCTCGAGTTTGATGAACAAATTTTCTGCGTATTATGAGTATTACACAATCATCAAATTTCCTACATTTCCGGTATTACCGATTCGTCGTCAAATATGCGTATTACCTGCTCGTTCGTCGTTGCATCCATCAAACATCAAAACAAGCAGGTTGCCACTGCTAAGAAGAGAAAAACAAATGGGCAAGACCTGAACCGAATCGCAATATCTCGAACCTCTTCCATGTAAACTGCAGACAGAGCAGCCAATAACTAAGACATCTAACAAAGTTGAACCCCAAAACACACTACAACACGACAGTCATGTCGTGTAACTTCCCCATATGGAAAACCTTTCGTCCAATCTCATCAAGAATCACGTACAACAGTTCCAAGGGATAATAAGCCTACAATATTCTGACCCGATTAACACCTACTACGGCAAAGGAAAGCATCTCTCATAGCATCGCTTCAGTAGCGGTCAAAGGATCGCCCTCCCCGACTACTGGGACGGTCGAAGGGTCCTGGTCTATCCCTGTAGCTCCTCTCGCTGCGTGCTGGTCCTCCACTTGCATACCTATCACCGCCTCCTCGTGGCCCTGCATCCCTCTCGTACGCACTGTCTTTGCCATACCCATTTTGACCAAAACGATCTGAACCACCAGCGTACCTGTCGCCTAGAAAGCGGTCACCAGCAGGAGGATACCTGCATAGTTTACAAGTCAAAAGATCTCAGTTTTTTTTACTGAATCAGTTAGCACCAGTTCATCTGCGCATCCAGTTGATCATATAATCAAAACTTCCAGATCAAATAGACTTACGCATCATCGAAATTACACACCATTAGCTACAGTCAACCCCAAAAGCAAACAATGTTTAGATGGTGAAATAAGTACATGCTACTTCCAGACTATAGGAAGTGCACTGAACCAAAAAAACACATCAGATTTATTATTTATCTAATGCATATTGATAGAGACATGCAGGTACCTGTCACTGGCGAAGCGGTCACGGGTACCGTATTTGTCTCTGCTCTCAAAGCGGTCCCTATCAGCATAGCGCCCACCGTCATAGCGGTCATCCATGTACCGGTCACGTTCCCCACCAAAGCGATCCTCACGATCTGCAGGAGGGCCACCAAACCTAGAGCGCGAAGGGAATGCACTGCCACCACCTCCTCGGCCACCTGATGATGGACAGTCCCGAGCCCAATGCCCGGCCCGGCCACATTTAAAGCACTCATCTTGTCCAACAGGCCTATCTCCTCCCCCATAGCGTCCCCCCCTTCCACCACCAGATGGGTAGCCTCCTCCCTTATAGCGATTGTCAGAGTAGCCTCCTCCCCTGTAACCCGGTTCAACATCTTCTCCCATCTTAGGTTGGGCCTTGTTCACAGAAATGGGCCGATCCCCAAGTTCCCGCCCATGCATCTCACGGATGGCATCTTCCATTCCCCGACGATCAGCAAAGGTTATAAATCCAAACCCCCTGGGACGTCCTGTATCTCTTTCCACCATGATCTACACACATGATACAAAGTTAGTTGGAGAAAACTTCACACAAGTGCATGAAAGCAGTAATAACTCAACTGAGACATTATTAGATGGTGATGTACAAACAACAAACTTCAAAAGAACATTCTATTTCACATGTACGAAAGAGTTCCATGCATATAGAAACTATGTACATGACACAACAAGAATCTTGGCCATCTACATTAGAGACAGAAAGAGGGGAGACTCGCTGGCCATGCATATAGAAACTGGCACTTGCACACGATCTATCAACTATATGGGACTGTCTGCTACTTGCTTGCATCCGAGTGAATCTCGTTCACAGGAAAATTGCTACTAATAGCAATAACAAAACACCAGAAAACCTAGAACCACATCACCAAGCTTTCCAAAATGTGTAAGCACTTATACTTTCTACTTGTAGGCTCCATAACACACAGGCATATCAAATATTTTAGACTCTACTCCCAATGTTTCAGAAGAACTTTATCATAAAGAAAATAAAGTACCTGCTTCAAATGCAATCACAATAGAAGAAACCAGAAGTAGCAATCAGATGGGTTACCCTGACTGCATTATTATAGATTTGAGAATGCATCTTAAACAGAAAACTTAAGATCCTGCAAACCATGTCTGTTATCTAAGTTCGGCAGCCACTGGCATCTGTTTCCCACAGAAATCCGTGTGCAAGTTCCATAACAATGTTACAGTCAAAAGAAACATCCCAGCTAACCAGTGAAATTCCCAAGTAACTATTGTGCTCTTTAATGTCATCATATATCACAGGCACCATAAACAATAACATAATCTCTCCTTTAGATATCTTAAATCAACCCCATCCACATGTAATATATGCAACCTCAAACTCTTAACCACTCAGAATTGTTCACAGCAAGGCACTTGTACAGCTTTCTTCAACATGCAACTCTGCAGATATGTATTCATTTTTCCTCCCTTGCACCTTATGATTATTAAGATCACATCCTAATCAAGCAACTCGTAAAGGAACTGGATTGAGAACAGAGTTGCTCCCTGTGCGCTTTTGAAGTTCCAGCAGGCAAACGAAGAGCTTCTTGATCGAGCAAACATGTAAACCAAACAGAAAACTAACAAAACACGAACACTTCAACTCAAAACTGAACATCTAACAAGTAAAAGATCCCACAACTGTCTGCAGTTCCGACAAGTGAGAGTTTGATAACATCTGAAAACCCAATTACTCCAAAACAACTAACAGATACTTCAGTGCCAAATAATAACCAAGAATCTCCAGAGGTTTCTATCCACCGGGTAGGGGCACCTGCAGTCCATATCCTTATACTGTCTCCAAGAGGCTACAACGACATCAAGGCCCCTAAACTATTCAGCAAAATTTGAATCCCCAGTGTGTCTATAAGAGTTTTGACTAGGTGTGCAACATGAGGACATTATGACGAGACAGCTCCACGGTTTCCATTATCAGCAGGCCACATTTGTTTAGTTGGTAGAAATCAAAGGTTTATGCAGGATGAGTTTCAGATGAGGACAACAACAACCGCCCCACGATTCTAGAGCTTGAGACTGACAAATCGCCACCTACTACTTGATATCAGTTTTTGGGCCGACTGCCCAACTTGCACTAGTCTATCAACCATACAATTCTCTTATGCTGACACATCCCGGAATCAGTTGACTATAATGCAGGAGCAGCTCCAGAGGGCAGCAACAAACCAGAGCGAAATAAAGAGCATCTAGTGTCTGAAGCTGGCCTCAGTGTATCTCCCTGCACTAGAGCATCTGACTTCAAGTCTTCAACAAATGGCAGGCACATGTGGCTCCCTTGCATCAGAGTCAGTGCAAACTCACTTAATTGGCACGCAAAATCCAACCAAACTTTGTGAAAAGGCGGGAATTACTTCATGGTGTATGCAGTAGCTGAACAGAATGCATGAGAGGTGATGGTTCGGAGATGGCTGTTGCAGAAAGAGGCTAAAACCAATGAAGTGACAGTATTAAGCAGTCCTAAAGAGGGGAGGGATAGGGAACACTACACTGTAACTGAATGGAAACAATCAAGGATTTTTTTTGACCAAATCAGCAATTAGCTTGACGCAACTCTCGAGCTTGAGAAAGTCCAGCACAACCTACGTGAGAACTCACAACAATTTGGTCCAACTAACAAGAAACAGAGAACAAAACCATTTCCGTAAGATGAAGATGTGCAGTCACAAACACTGAACTTTCCGTTATCAAAGGACAACCAAATCAAATTTCTCGCTGCCTTGTAAGTCATTCAAGGGTGGCACAAACCATATGACACCAGCAAACCTCATCTGGAGTACTCAGAATCAAGCTGTTCCGGCATCAAACCACATTTCTTCTTCTAACAGAAACAGCACACGTGATTCTCAAACACGTTAAACGACGCTATACAATTGCAACTGGCTTCTCTGACTCGTAGAATCTCGAAACACTATATAACACCCTTCACTTAACCTCGTACAAAGTACTTCAGCAGCTTGATTCTGCCAACTTTCCCCCCAAATAACTTCTCTTATTATACATCCGCCTCAATTCTCAAAACATCATCACGAGGAAGTCCAGATGAAACAACAAAAACAACAAGATGATGAGAAAAGAAAGGGAAAAAAGTTCAAACAACCATACACGCTGAGTTGCAAAAAGCAATGGGCTAGTCAGCAGCATCATTCAAAGAAACTCAACGGAAGTATCATGTGCGTTTCAAACAATCAGAAACTAAATGGAATTGCCAATAAATGGATGCTTTTTTTATAAGGGTGATGTAGGTTTAGTTTTTTTTTTAATCAGGTGCCAATACATGAATGTTTTCAGAAACACCCTTAGCACAACAACACTCCAGTCACTACCCAATATGGCCATCAAAGCCATTCCCCAGAAATGTCAAGGATCTATATAATCCCACAGTAATCGACAAATGCAGTAGCATTACGACAACTGGGGAGAAAAAGTAAAGAGATGAACGATTGGCGATAGCTATTTCTCGGTATAAGTAACCAACACATCTCCTAACATGCCTAATTCGGTTAACCACCATGCGATGAGAGTACAGAAACTGTAAACTGTTCCGCTTTTGTTTATCCTCACTCCCCCAATAACCAAACACAAACGTAGGAATTAGGCAAGGCAAGAGCACCGAGATCAACAAAAAAGGGGGGAAACGGCACCTGAGAGTCGATAATTTTGCCGAAACGGCTAAAGGCGGTCTCAAGCTGACGTTCAGACATGTCCCAGCCCAGACCTCCCACGAAAATCCGATAGTCTTCCTTGGCTGCCATCTCGCTCCGCTCTGTCACATAAACCGGCAACAATCCGTCGCAATCAGAGGAGGCCAACGATGGTGGAAGCGGAAACCCTAGAAAAAGAAAGAGGAAACGAACGAGAGAGAGATGGTCATTTACCTAGCTAGTATTCCGCCAAAGTTCCAACAGTTGGTTACGTGCGTCGGTCGGTGCCTGCTTTTCAAGGTTGTCAACCCGCGGGTTGACCCGGACCCGGTTGAGCTAGTGGGTCAAGGGTTAATGGGTCACCCGTTTTAGTCCGGTTTAGCCCGGAAATATGGAAAGCGTCATTATATTGTACTTATCCTGATAAATTATATCAAATCTCATCTAACATATGAGTTATAACATATAATATTACACCAAAATAACATTTCGTACTTAGATTCAACATATAGTAAAAATTCACACACACTTATATAACATTAATATTCAAATGTTCAACTTAGGATTTCAAAGATTGAGTTAGGCGGAAAAAAAAATCGGAAAATAGGCGCATTTCGCAAAACAAAGAAAAAAATGACACAATTTGACCTCCAACCCGATACCTTGTAGCGGTCGACCCGACGGGTGCGTGCGACCCGTTTTTTTCACCGGGTCATGGTTAAACTGGATCGACCCGCGGGTCGACCCGCGGGTTAACAACCTTGCTGCTTTTCTTCCACTTCCAGGAAGCTTTGGATGCTTTGTAGTTTGTACCTTCTTCTCACAAGCCACAACCCCTTTAATTGATTGGGCCTATCCCACCGGCCCATCTACATCCAAGTTGAAACCCAAATAAGCAATCCTGTGACAGTCGGTTCTCTAATCTCTACGATCAGTACAATATTACGATTATAGTTCAGTGCCTCTAGTTCTTATAACATACTATTTAGTACCTTATCATTGATTTTCTAACAAAATATTCTTGATACAGACGTTATTGATGTTGAATCAATGCTGTGGAGGTGAAATAAGATGATTGTATCCGATAGCTGCTTTCTGCTTTTCTTGATCATTTTTCTCGATTGAACTCAGGCGCGGAGTCAGAGTACAATTGGGTGGGTACCCTGACCCACCTTGACTTGGGAAATGACAGTATATTTCTCTTATTTAGATATGAAAAATCGACAAATATACAAATAAGTATAGCTCCAAGACTTTCAAAATATAATCAAGAAATCAAAGTGGTTAATATGGTTAGTATATTTTTTAGTAAATGAGAGGTGTGAATATACAAATAAGTATGCAATTAACCACAAACCACCCGAACTTCACCAATATCACAAACCAGTCTCCCCCTGACTCATAGCCATAGTTCGCACTCAAATAATCAAATTCCACCAACATAATAAATAAATGGTACCGATGAAAACTTGTTTAAGGTGTGAATATGTACAGTGCTCAGCTTATAATGGCTTGAGCTTACATCCCTATATTGTTGTTACATTGGAGAAGATAAATGAGACAACCTACTTAGTACTTAAACAAACTTAACCGTAAAACTAAATACACTAACTACAGAAAATAACCAACGAGAACGAACCACGTCGTCATGCAGGGCTTCTTCAAGCAACGGCATAAGAGCTCGGTCTCCAGGTTAGACCTGTAAACCAATTCAACCGGTCAAAACGCAACATAAATGCATGGCCGAGTGGGATGGCCTGGGTTGGAATTAATATCCTCTTTTTTCAAATATAAAGCGGGTTGTTCGGACCCCAATAATGTCATGGTACAACCAATAAGAAAGAACAACGTTAGGTGTTGCAATAACATGGGAACATACAGACCACGAATGTCCTAAATTGGCGAGATAATCTGCAATAACATTCGCCTCCCTGTAAACATGAACGATGTGGACCTGCCAGTCTCTCGCGAGCCAGCGTCGAATTTCGGCGACGCTTGTGTAGTGGCGATGGTGTGGTGTGGCTGCTTCAATAAGATCCTTCGCTGTGGTGGAATCTGTTTGTAGAATCACCTTCCGAACACCTGCCTCCCAAGTGAGTTTCAATCCTTGCACAATCCCGACTAACTCTGCACTAGTGACTGAACCCTCCCCAAGGTTCATAGTAAAAGCAGTAATGAAACGACCGTCGTCTCCCCTCACGACGCTGCCAACCGCCGAGCTAGAAGGAGAGTGAGTCACTGATCCGTCTGTGTTGAGGCACACCCACCCCTGTTCTGGTGGCTGCCACCTGATATCTCTCGGTGTTCGGAGTCTCCCGTCTCTGATTATAGGACTCTCCTTCTATGAAGCTTGAATGATGTGTTGCTTCAGCTGTACAGATTTAGCCTGAATTTGTGCGAAAGACTGTAGCTCACCCTGAAAGCAGAAGTTGTTCCGGTTCTTCCATAGAAGCTAGCAAGTACCTGCAAAGAGGGTACTGTCAATCACTCGACCATGCCCTGCAGTGTAATGGAACATCCAGTCAGTTAAAGCTCGTCCGAAGAAGTCTTGGTCTGGCTCGTTTTGCAGCAATCCTGCCCATGTAGCTCGCTCAAACGGACAGTCTCGGAGTACATGAATGGTGGTTTCTGGTCCTGATCCACAAATTTTACAGTTGTCCTCCCCTGTAAGGTGGCGTCTCTTGCGTTCAGCATTGGTGAGAAGACGTTGGTGCGTTGCAAGCCAAAGAAAAGTTCTTGTTCTTTGAATCGTCGGGGTTTGCCAGATCGCTCTCCATCTCGGGTGGCGGTGAAGGTTTGCTGGCTCGTCCCATCAGGTGATCTCGTATGCTGAACTGAATGAGAAGTTTCCATCCGCCGATAATCGCCAACACCTCACATCATCAATTCGCTCCGTAGGCACCGGATGCAGTAGTACCTGCGAAGACAGTTTAGGTGGTAAGTAATGGGATATATAGTCACTATTCCACTTACCATTAAACACAAACTCGGCCACCGGAATATCGAGGGCTTCCACAGGGACATTTGGAGCAAAAGTCATAAGAGGTTCGCCGTCAGTCAACCATCTGTCTCTCCAAAACCGCGTGTGCCTTCCATTTTGGATGTTCCAGACTGTGGCTTCCTCTACCTTGTGCCAGATACGGAGGACCCCACGCCACAAGTTAGAGAGACGTCCGCTTCTGCGCGGTAGAAAACTCTCCTCCGAAACATTCATGTTATTTGTGCATAATCACCTGTGCCCATAGCTCATCTGTTTTTTATCAATCGCCATGCAATTTTCTGCATGTATGCCTCATTGGATCGAGTAGCTGTCCTCAACCCCAGTCCTCCTTCCTCTTTTGGCCGACAAATTGTTTCCCAATCGATCAAATGGACCTTTCGTCCGCCTTCCGTGCTCCCCCACATAAATGATCGGATCTTTTTGTCTATGTAATCCCGAACACTAGCAGGGAGAAAAGAAGTTTGCATCGTGTAGGATGGGAGAGACGATAGCACCGACTGCGCCAGAGTGACTCTAGCGGCCGTGCTCATCTTCTCTACCTTCCACCCAGCTAGACGGGAGTCCACTTTGTCTATCAGCTCAGTATATGTGGCCTTGGACACCCTGTCATGGATAACAGGAACTCCCAAGTAACGTCCGAGGTTGTTTGTCTGCGGAATCCCAAGCTTGGTGCTTAGTTCCAGTCTGCATGTTGTGCTGACATTCGGTGAGAAAAAAATCCTCGACTTTTGCTTGCTAACTCTCTGGCCTGAGGCAGCTCCAAACAAATCAAAACATTGAGTGATGGCGTGCGCCTGCTGCATCGAAGCTTCCCCGAACAGAATTAGATCATCTGCAAAAAAACAAATGGGACAGAGCTGGTCCGGAGTTGGTCAGCTTTATAGGCTGCCACTTTCCAGCCCTTATAGATTCATTAATCAAATGCCCAAGACGTTCCATACATAAGGTAAATATATAAGGAGATAAAGGACATCGGACATCCCTGTCTTAGGCCGCGAGAAGGAAGGAAAGGGCTGGTCAAACCCCCATTCCATTGGATCTGCATGCTCGCCGAAGTTATACAAGCCATGGTAACTTCAACAAAAGGTGTTGGGGCTCCCGTGGCTTCGAGAGTGTCACGCACAAACTTCCAACGAATATGGTCATAGGCCTTAGCCAAATCGACCTTCAGAACCATCCACCCACGTTTTCCTTTCTTCGCCCTCATGGAGTGCACCACCTCCTGCAAAATACATATATTATCCGTTATATGCCGTCCCGACACAAAACTCGTCTGAGTTTCATATACAAGGAGGGGCATCAGAGGCTTTTAGCGATCTGCCAGGCATTTTGTGAGAGCTTTATAGGCCACATTGCATAGGCTAATAGGCCGAAACTGCTCAATCAAAGTTGGTGTAGATATTTTAGGAATCAAAACCAAAATTGTGGCATTGATTCTCTTAATCCTGCTTGGAACCTCCCAACATTCAGTTGCTAGCTGAGCCAGCGACTCGCCAACTGTCGCCCAACACTTCTGGAAAAAAAGTGGGTTTAGTCCGTCGATTCCTGGAGCTTTGAGAGCTCCCATAGACTGAACTGCCCTCTGGATATCACTCGACGCTAGTGGGCTAGTAAATCCTTGCCATAGTGATTCGGCTATTGTAGGGAAGGATCGCGTCAGAGTTTGAGCAATCTCGTTTTCATCTGTATAGAGTTGCTGAAAGAACTGCATGACCATTTGCTTCAATTCCTCTTCCTCCTCTACCCAGTCACCCTGCTGATTTTTTAGCGCTGCAATTCTATTTCTCTTGCGTATTTGCAGTGTCCTCGAGTGGAAATAGGCAGTGTTCCTGTCCCCTGAGGCAATCCACTCCTGCCTCGATTTCTGACACCAGAGAAGCTCCTCTTGGAACAAGATCATTTCCAATTCCTCCCTAGTACTTTCAAGCTGCGGTGATGTCGTTAGATGACCATCTTTATGTTCCAGTGTCTCCAACCTCCTCAATAGTGCGTCCTTTTTCCTCTGAATATGACCGAACACATGACAGTTCCAATGGTTAGCATCTCGCTCGAAAGCCTCTGCCGAAGGGATGAAGGATGACCCTTTGGCCCAGGCTGTCTGCAGCATGGGTTGGAACTGATCATGTGTTAACCAGGCTGCAAGGAAGCGAAACGGCTTTGTCCCTGCAGGAGTGTGTGATGGTTGAGTAGAGACTAGGAGCGGCCTATGGTCCGACTTGATCCGGGGCAGGTGGCGCACAGCAGCATCTGGATATACCGTGAGCCAGTGGTTGTTGGCTAAAGCACGATCGAGTCTTTCTCGAACTCCATTTCGAAACAAGTGAAGGGTGGCCCATTGTATCCCAAATCAATCAGTCGGGAGTCATGCACACAGTCTTGGAAATCTCGAATGCGGCTTGCATCAAAAGCTGCACCACCCAACTTTTCAGACGAATGCAGCATGGAATTGAAATCTCCTGCAAGCAGCCACGGTTGATCTTGGTCTACCGACATCGTCCTGAGATCCTCCCATAGCTCTCGGCGTTGCATAGGAGCTGGGTTGGCGTATACTGCAGTCAAGAGCCACTTGTTCTCTCGGTTACATGGAGTTTCAACCTGCACATGAAGGAATTGAGATGGAATTCCATAGAATCCAAATCCCTCCCGAAAATCCGATGGCATCAACAACCAATTCCTTATCAAAACCCATTTTATGAATCACATCTCTCGCTGTATTCCCGCTAATACGTGGTTCAACTATAATTACTATGTGAGGTTTATATTTTCTCCTATATTCGTTGAACACACGAAGAAACTTTCTACTACCTGCACCTCTGCTGTTCCAAACAAAGATTTTGTAATTCATCAGAAATAGGGTAAGAGAAAAAACTCCATGAATTTAAACTTGGGATGATAGGCTGCCCTCTGTACCCCCAATGCCCATTGAAGTCTCCTTCATCTGCTCATCGGCTGTCTGTAGTTGCTCCGGTATCTCTCCCAAATTCGGCGGTCTCCCTTGAGGAGGTAAATATTTTAGCGAGTCGGATTGCTCCTTGCCAGCTGTAGCCTGTGGAATCGATTGGACCGTCATAACCTCATCTTTGGATTTCAGTGGAGGTTGAGTCTTGGATGAGCTTTTTGCAGAGGCCAGGGCGGTCCAGGCATCAATCTCCTGGAGGGAGAGAGAGCTTGATTTTTCTCGGCCTTTGCTTCTCTTATCTAGCTTCGGTGTCCAAACTTGTGTCATCTTAGATGGCGAGGCAATGTGGATTCCGACCTGGCTTTTGTTGTTGATAGCTTTGGTTTTCTTCGTTCTGGCCGCTACCGAGGGGTACAATGAAGTTGGATGGCTTGAAAGCTCCAACGGCTTGAGTTGGACTAGCTGTAATGACATGCCATTGGAGCTTGTGATGTTGACAATAGGCGGTGGTGATAGATCAGGCACTCCTGGTAGAAGAAGAGGATTTGAGGGTCTAGCCTTAGGTAACCAGTTCGCGGAGCGAGAGCGGGAGCGAAAGCGAGAGCGGGAGCGTGAGAGCGTACATTTTTAAAGAATTTGATATTAAGAGCGCATAAAGAGCGTTATTATTATATTATTATTTATATTTTAATATAAAAATAATAATTTAGTACAATAAATATATAAAAAAAACAATGAGAAAGACTAAAAGAAGGAAACTTTAAAAAAAGACATGTCATTTCACATATTTGCTTTGTTGGCACTTGGCATCCACGTTATCCTACACCTACCCAACACATTAATTGAGGACCAAACCCAACTGAAAAACAAATAAAAATTAGACCTTATCAAACAAACATACAAAGAACTAATCACAATCTCCACCACCCATTTACCAAATTTCATTTCCCTTTCGATTTTTGTGCCCTCGTCAATCGGCAGCCAGCAGTTAAATTATGATGGTGGGTTTTAGATGGAAGGCATTAGACAGTAGTGGGTTGGATACGTGAGGCGATAGTAGCGGTGCAGAAAGGCAAAGGGAAATCATCAGCAAAAAAAAAAAAAAAAAAAAAGGGTGGAGCGGTCGAAGATGGCGCAGGGCGGTGTCTATCTTAAGGTTAAGGAGGCTTAGGCGTCAAGCCGGCAATGGATTACCTTCCATGGCGCAACGGTGGAGAAGATTTGTAGGTTGTGGATGTCGTAAGGACGGTGGGAAGGCTTTAATCGCGATTCAAATGCTGAAGGGTTCTCGAATTGGAAAATCAGGAATCGGTGGGGTCAGGCGATGAAGACGATGCCTTGTTGCCTTGTTGGAGGTTCGACGATGAGTCGACGACCATCTGAAATGACGATGAGCTGTGTTAAGGACTTGGTAAATGGGGCAACTAGGAAAACTTTACCCTTTCTTTATTCCTTTCCACCCATTCTTTTTTATCGCTTTCCCATCTTTATCCTGGTATTCATCTGGGGAGTTTAAGCGTACGTTCCAAAAGCCGCGCTCTTCCAAAAATAGTTCGAGCTCCCAAAAATTATAGTACGCGAATTAATAGCGATTTACTCAGGATCCGCGTTTTCACCCGCTAGAGCGGGAACGTGAAGGCCAACCCCACGAATTGGGTGACCTAAGTCTAGCCTTGTCGGAGAGTGAGGAAGAAAGTGAAGTTGTAATATTAGGCTGAAGGGTCAATGGTGGAGGTCCTGGGAGGATTTTTCCTATAGTAGCAGTGGTATACATGTGGTTTAAAGGAGTGGGGAAAGGAACATGTGGTGGGATTAAAATAGGTTTTGGTTGGGGAGTAGAAATCTCGTTGGTGGTAAGTAAATTAAATGGAATATTGGGTTGTTCTGGGCTTGACAAATCAGATGGGTGAATTGTAGGGTTAAGTGGGCTTAGATTTGTGGCCTGTAAAAATGAAGGGCTGGAGATAGAAGAGGTGAGAGGTGGCCCAATTAGGCCTGCTTGTTTATTACTGTCGAGAGATGGCATAAGGGTTTCGACTATCTTCCCTTTCGGCGCCGCTTTTGGTGCTTTTCCTCTGTTCTTTTCTTCTACTGCAGCAATCGATGAGGCTGAGGGCTTGATCATCTTTAATTTTTATTTTGCTACAGTTTCTTCCTTGGTGAGGTCGCCCATTCCTGTTTTAATGCTCTGCTCTTCCTCCATGTTGATGTCGTTGTCATTGCCAGAAGGAGAGCTTTGTTTATTGTTGTTGTCCTGGGTAGTTGGGCCTCTTCTGACAATATTGATATTACCTTGTCGGTGCAGATTCAGAGATGTTGTTTTGCCGGCGTTTTTCTGAGTTCTTTCCCGGTGAGTGTGGTCGGTGGCACCTGGGTTACCTTGTTTCGGATTTCTCCAATTGCGTCTCTGGACTTGCATCCAAGGGCCGTAAGTGGCTTTTGGTTCATGGTGATGCTGAGTGCTATTCGTCTGTGGCGAAGAGATTGGGTTGGTGGTTGGTTCATGAAGTCTCCTGGTGGGACAAAGCTCTTCTTGATGACCGATTCTGCCGCAGGTGAAGCACAACTGAGGTAAATTTTCATATTCCACTGCTTGCCAGTGCCCATCTAGCCAAAATCTTGTGCGTAGGGGTTTGGATACGTCAATTTCGATAGCCATTCTAGCAAACTTCCCTCTTTGAACGGTGAGAGTGTTTAGATCAATGCGGATTGTTTTCCCGAAAAGATTGCCTATCACCGTCAAAATCTGATTGTGGTAGTACTGGATGGGTAGAGCCGGAAATCTTACCCATGCCGTGATGCTTGGTGGGAGCTTCTCTTTGAGTCGGAAATCCTGGGACCATGGCTGAACCACCAGGTAATGTTCGAGGATCATCCACGGGCCGTCTGATAGGGAAGTCAGGTAGTCAGCCCTGTTGGTGAATTTGACCATGAAACAATCATGATCCAGATCGAGCACATCCATGTGGCCTGAAGGTTTCCACATTTTGTGTAGCCGTGCAACAAGGTAAGGATACCGAACTTTCCTTCCAGCAATGACTTGGCTGTGTAATTGCAGTAGTCACCATGGTTGATCGAGCGAGCTCTGAGAGAAACAGAGCGATAGAGTGTTAGGAAGAATGGAACTCCCTTGAGAAGTTAGAACTAGCTAGGTGGTAATGGTACCTATTTATAATAGATTGGAAAGGGTTAATGTTCTTTTTGAATAATGGAATTCTGCAGTCAGCGGGGATGAATAATGATAAAGAGTACTGCAATAAATACATACTGCTGGCTTGTTTGAATGTTGATTAATGGAGAGGACACTTTCAATGTTCTTCTTAATGAGCTTATGAATGTGTTTGATGGTGGGTCTTTATAATTGGGGGGAGAGACAGTGGCGGGAAACCAGCTGCCAACAGCAAACTTCTCCACTGGCTCAACAGTCAGAAGTTGCATTGCATGTTCTGGTTAGGGCTGCAAATGAGCCGAGCTGCTCGCGAGCGGCTCGACGTTCGACTCGAGAAAAGCTCGTTCGAAACTCGACTCGTTAATAAACGAGCCGAACACGAGCTCACCTTTGTTCAGCTCGTGAAGCTCGCGAGCTAGCTCGACTCGGTGGCTTGTTGAGCTAAACTCGTGAGCTGGCTCGTTTCGAGCTCATGATATATCTTGACATGTGGCTAGAGAGCCAACTCGATTACCAACTTATGGACGAATCAATCTATATCTTATGATTTTAATTCATATGGTTGTTAAATTATATATCTCACCATATATAAAGTTTAACACGTTGAGTTTGTGAGCAATATATCTTATTTTCTACTTTAAAAAGAAATTATGCATCATAAATTGCTTCGATACTATGAAATAACATGATTTGGAGTAGTTAAAATTTATTAACTAAATGATATATGATACCAACAAAGTATAATATGAGATTAGCTAACAAAAAAAAATCTTATGTATTATGATATACAAAATGAAGTATCAAATAAAAGTTAAGATTTTAATAAACAAGTTAGCTCGAACTTGACTCGACTCGGCTCGTTAATAAATTAGCTGAGCTCGAGCTCGACTCGTTTATTAACGAGCCGAGCTCAAACTAGGGTAAAATTCGACTCGACTCGGCTCATTTGCAGCCCTAGTTCTGGTTGCCAGTATGGAAAGTGTGTTTGGTAGTTGTTGCTTCGAAGTCCACAATCCGAATGATAAAATAGTCTCTTTCCGAGATGCGAAATGGGCAGCAAATCGAGGAAGCTTTGGCCCATTATTACTTTGGGTTGTAATAATAGCGAACCCGGCCCTGCAGCATCTTCATTTAAGTGACTTGAGAACTCTGTGCTGCCTGCTGGCCAGTGATAATGCAAGTGGAGTGTTGTACAGTTGTTTGTCTTCGAATACAATTTCATAACAAATAGAAATGGAATTTAATTTTTTTTGTTTCTTATTTTTATAGGTTTTTCTTTTCAATTTTATATTTGACATAATTGCTGTATTTATGAAAATAAATCCTTACAATAGATTCATAATTAGATCTATTGTTTTTATCATAAAAATATGAATAAACGCAAAACCAAGCAAGAAAAATAGTGATGTTCTAAAACAACAACGGTCCTTTTATGGGACTTACTAATTTCGAAAATGAAATTTCATCTCCTAATTTCTCCTTGTTCAAACACAGTCCAACAGGCCCCTGCACCATGTTTACGCTAGCCCTCTAATTAACAAGGACTTGGGTTGATTGTCTTTTCATTGTTGAGATAGGAATTGCTGTGTGCTAATTCTATAAGTGTTTACCACTAAAAAATCACTCAATACCACATTGATTATTTTCAAGTAGTGGTAGTGATTTATAAGGCCAGCTCAACACTAATAATTAAAAGAGCTAGCTAGGCCTTGTTGGTTTGGGTTTTTGGGCCTAAGTGGCCAAACCCCTTCTTCTCTATACAGTAGCCGACCCATCTCCGTGGCCCCCATAGCCGGACGATGCCTTCACCCCTTGGTAGGAAATTTGGCCTCCAAAAACTAAGTCTTGGAAACAAGACGACACAACGGGGTGCCAAACGGTCGGGTATCAAAGTCTTGGAAACAAGACGACACAACGGGGTGCCAAACGGCCGGGTACCCAGCCGGGCACCAAATAGGAGGCCATCCAAAAACTAAGTCTTGGAAACAGGGCGACACAACGGGGTGCCAAACGGCCGGGTACCCAGCCGGGCACCAAATAGGAGGCCATCCAAAAACTAAGTCTTGGAAACAGGGCGACACAACGGGGTGCCAAACGCTTGGTACCAAATAGGAGACCATATGAAGCCAATGGGGGCGGCAAGACAGGGCTTGGTACTTTGACATAGAAGCAAAAAGGGGTATCAAGCCTACAAAGCAGGCTTGATACCAAGACATGGAATTTGGCTAAGTATGGAGGTAAGGGGGTACCAGGCGGGAAAGACAACCTTGGTACCAAGACCCCTGCCAAGCCGGCAAGTAAGGCTTGGCAGCCAAGCAAGGCGACAGGGTACCATGACCCCAAGGGGGTATCAAGCCGGCGAGACTGACTTGATGGCCAGGCAACAAGGGGCCAAGCAAGACGGACTTGATAGCAAGACATCAGGTATCAAGCCAACAATGGTATCAAACAAAGCCCCTTGGGGCCATATGGAGACTAAGTCCCAAGATGGGCATGATGGCCCCTAACGGGGTACCAAGCTGGCCGAGTGCAAGATACCAAGATGAGATTCCAAAAACTAAGTATGGAGACCAGGCCGACAGGGTCGGCTTGGTAGCAAGGGTCTCAAGCCGACAAGATTGGCTTGATACCAAGATGACATGTTAGTGCCATGACAGTCACTCTAAGACTAAGTGTGGAGACCTGGGGGTAAAGGGGCCAAATTCTCGTCCTGCCTAGGAGGGTAATATGGCCTAGCTATCAAGACGGTTCATCGAGGTGGCTATCAAGACGAGGAGCATGGAGCCATCAGGGATGTCGAGGATGTGATCAAGACTTCATCATGGAGGCTAAGGCAAATAACCTCAACCCCATCCAGTCATGACAGGGCGACAAGGCTTAACACCAACCAGGCCCAACATCGAGGCCATCAAGTACCCACCAACCCCAAGATGGGACAAGGGCCTCCAAGGCGATGGATACCAACCAGTCAACAAGACGGGTCAAGAAGCTCCAAGGCAATGGAGGTGAAGACCAAGACAACGGTTACCAATTGGCAATCAAGGCAACAAAAAGGGGTCTCTAAGGCGGTTGGAGCAACAAGCCGGCTAGCAGTTACCAATGCGGTTACCAAGGCAGTTACTCCTAGTGGCTATAAATAGAAGAAACGAAGACGGGAAAAGGGTTCCACAACCAATCATTTGACACACTATGTCAAAATTTATCTTTTCTCTGCAACTTGCCTTTTAGTTTTTTCAGAGCTCTCACTGAACCTCCATAGGAGTAGAGTAACGTAGCTTGTTCCCAAAAAACCATAAAAACATCAACACCCTCGTTCGAACATTGTTCGGAGAGGAGTGAACCGTGTAATTAATCGTTGTTCGAGAAGTCAAAGGTGCATTGATTGTGTTCAAACACCAGTTTTTCCTCGCCGGAAAACAATAAGGCTAGCATTACACTAATCCCGAGTTGTAGTAGCCTGCATTGAATTTGTAACGATGACTATAACTGTAATTGTATCAAAATTGAAAATTGTAATCCTACAACTAAAAACAATAACTACATGATGTTAAAGTGAAATTCTATTTGACGCTCTAAATATTTGAATTCCAAGCAAACCATATCCTTTCCTGACACCTTCAATTCCAACACAGATTTTCCATATGCGGAAGCTCTGCCCACTACCCACATGCATCGCAGTGAAACCATTCCTCTTTTGTGCATCTGTGTCATATTCTGCATCTATGCTTCTCAGATATCAATATATAGCTGAATTCCAATTCAAAATCACACAACAACCTCCAATTACAAATGAAGTTGAATCCGTGGATTACTCAAAATCATACCGTTCTTATCTGGTTAACCACATCAAAATATGGGAATTCATACTTTTTTGTGTGTGCATAACTGCATATAGATACTATATATTGCATTGAATCACATATTATTTGGTTAACTGCAATCATATTTTAACGTATGTGATTTAGTGATCTGATTGTGGCTACTAAACCCATGTATTTTAGTCATTAATCAATTCAATAAGTAAGAGATTGACACTTTGTTTTGTGCTATTCTAAATGTACGTTGGATTTTAGAACATGTGTTTGTTTGTTTGTTGAATTTTAAAATGAATTTTCATAGATTGTATTTATGAGCTAGAAGAGGAATTCACTTTTCCTCTTCTTGATGAAGAATTCTTATTTTTTTCTTAGGGAGTATACTTGATTTACTGTTAAGTAGCGGTGAAATTTTATAATCGATAGGTCCATAAAAAGACTTTTTTTTTTCTTTCCACAGGAAACCTCTTTTCTTCCATTAAAAAGGCTGTTGTCTGCATAGTGTATATGTGCGGCTATTATAATTATTAGTTATAAGAATCAATTTGAATTAACAATTGGACAAATAGAACCATCAAATCAGTTATAATAGCAATCTACTTTTTTTTGTTTGTACAGTTTGTGATGTATCGAATGATTTTTTATGGTTAGACATGAAACTAGGGGGTCGTTTGCTTGTGGGATTTGGGTGATGGATTTGGAACCCAAATCCCAAGCATCATGGAGTTGACACAAATCCTTTATTTGTTGAGGGACACAAATCCGTGGGGTCCACGGATTTGGACCCATTTTTTAGATCCAAATCCGTGGACCCCACGGATTTGTAAATCCCACATTTCATTTGGGATTTGACAATGGAAGGAAAAAATGTGAGACAAATCCATCACAAATCCATGATAAAAAATCAACTAAACAAACAATGTACTCTTCCAAATCCATGATGCAACAAATCCATCATAAATCCAAAGGTTTTTGAAACTCAAAACCTTCATTTTCAAATCCAACAAGCAAACGAGCCCTAGATGAACCACTACGGTTTTACTGGTCCACTATTTTAACAACAGAAAATTAAGAGAAAAAAAAAGACCATCCAACCTGAATTGTCAATTTTATTTATTATTCATTTCTTCCTTTTCCAGCCTCTTGTCGGCTTTAATTTAATAATAAACTATATGATTTCTTTTGTGACATAATTTGAATGATTTGTTAGAATATTTAGTGATAGATGTGAATTTGAAATGATTTCTGGTTAGAGTGATAAAATTCAATTTTAAATTACTAAATTTGATATATCTTTTATGTTATAGTGCACTAACAGTTGTATCAACCGGTAATTAATGATTGATCGTTGAACTACGAATCATTAAATTTTTTGATTCAGCATCCGGCCGTGTCCTGAAAATAAAGATTATTATCGAACCATGGATATTTGATAATTTTCATCGAGGAAAAAAAAAAACTGATAAGTCGATTGTCTATATAAGTAGCCGAAGAAGGTCATCACTAATTCACCAGCACTCATCAGACATTTCCTATTGTTGCACTCAGACGGAAAGAAATCCAAGCCTGCTGATCCAGCGACAAAAATGGAGGTAAAAATGATTTCCAGGGAGCTAGTGAAGCCATCATCCCCTGAAATCATAAGAACAAAGCCTCCCCAGAAGCTCTGCCTCTTCGACCAGCTCACTCCCTTAACCTTCTCTCCCCTCATCATCTTCTACCACAATCCTCACCGCAGCAATCCCAACCTCGCCGCCGCCGCCACCACTTCCTTCATCCACCGCCTGAAAAACTCCCTGGCGGAGACTCTCAACATCTACTACCCTTTCTCCGGCCGGACAAACCCAGGCAACCTGGTCGTCGACAGGTTCGAAGAAGGCGTCCCTTTCCTCCACGCCCAATCCGACTGCCGCCTCTCCGACTTCCTCAAACGCCGGCAGCCGGACCTCCTCAACCGCCTCCTCCCTCGACCGCCGTACCTCAAGGAACCCGCCGACGTGGACGCCCCTCTTCTCGAGATTCAGGTAAATGCAGATTAACATTTTGATAATCATTTTTGGTATCTGATTTACTAATATGATTCAATTTCCGGCGACTCTGCATAGGTCTCTGTTTTCACCTGCGGCGGAATCGCCTTAGGTTGGGCAGCTTCTCACAAATTGATCGACGGATTCACAATGCGATCCCTAATCCACGTCTACTCATCCATCTCCCTCGGCGGCCGCGCCAGAGACAAGATCCTCGCCGCTCCCCGTCCGAATTTCGGCAGAGCGGCGGAACTGTTTCCGGCGAGGGAAGACATCCCGGAGAGCTACCGAACCGTAATGGAGAAGATCTGGTTCACTGAGGGAAACTACGTCACGAGGCGATTCGTGTTCGATTCCAAATCGATCTCGAAACTGAGAGCCCTGGCGTCGTCGGGCGGCGGAGGCGGAGGAAAAACAGAGCAAGAACAGGGGAGAAAACCAATCAAGCTGTCGAGAGTGGAGGCGGTGTCCTGCTTCATATGGAAATCGAACATGTCCGCGGCCAAATTGGTGTCCGGCGGGACGCCGAGGACCTCGGTCCTCGTCGAGGCGGTGAATTTGCGTGGGATGACGGATCCGCCGCTGTACGGCGACTCGATTGGGAACGTGGTCTGGTGGGCGACGGCGTGGGCGGATGAATCGAGCGCAGGGGAGCTGCCGGAGCTGGCGGAGCTGCTGAGCGGAGCGATTGAGCTGTACAAGAGCGATTACGTGAGATCGCTTCAAGGGGAAGAAGGGTTTGAGGCGATGTCGAACTATTTTGACCAGCTGGAGGGTTTGCTGCTGGAAGGGGAGGTGAGGCCGGACATTCTGGCGTTCACGAGCTGGAACTCGTTCGGGGAGACGAACCAGGATTTCGGGTGGGGCGGACCGGTTTGGGTGGCGGCTATGGGGAGGCCGAGCCCCGGGTTCAGGAATTTTACGGTTCTGGTTGATTCGGTTGAAGGAGGTGGGAAGATGGAGGCTTGGATTACGCTGGAGGAGAAGAGGATGGCGGTTTTCGAGAGGGATCCTGAGTTCTTGGCATTTGCTAGCCCTAATCCTATCATCTCGAACCTGTAATTTGGTAGAATCGGTTGTTGTTGGGTTACCGACACGAGTTGGTTCGTTCGGTTAGGTGTCGTTTTTTACTGTTTTCTTTAATGAAGGAGATTGTTGGGCCTAGGCCTTTGCTGTCTTGTCTTCCTCGCTCCGAAGTCCAAATCCAAACCTAGCCCCGCTTCTCAACGCCCACAAGACAAAATCTCTAATCATGAATATTTTTATTTTGGATACTCCAATCCAAAGGAAGAATTTTCATTTGAATTATTGTGTGGATAATTCATTTTTCCAATTTAAAATGTACATGATCTAAAAAAGGAGAGGATGACACGAAGTTTATCTGAAATGAAAATCAAGTAGATATCGAGATGACCATTTAATTGTCTCATCCCAAATAACAAAGTCAGATCATACAGTTGGAAAAAAGGTTCATGAGAATTGGCTCGACATTTTAGAATCATGTATTTGATTCCAAATGTCTCATTTTTCAATGGCACCATCTAAAGATACCTTGGTGTTGTATGAATTGGAAATCACTTAGGAGCACATGTATTGCTTATTTTAGTTTGTCTCATTCGAATTCATGGGTAATCTTTTTTTTTAAAAGGCAAATCCAATGACATTGATATAACAACTTGATTATAAGATTAACTCCGATCAGACTCTCATGAACAAACACACACGACTCAGGACACAAATGCAACAACTTAAAATATAAGAACTCAAAGCGACAAACGATGAAGTATTAATTTAAATCGACCGATTCTTGTTTTCGCACTCCTTCGTCTACATTCGAGCAACCAGAGTTCGATTCTTAACATCGATTCCAACCGTTTAAATCACAAGTGAGAATGAAGTTGTGGCCATGTAGTATTGAACATCCCTTTGAATCTCTCCATCGTGACGACCTCTAAGTTAATGGAGAGCGACACACCATCGTCCCCATCGTTGGGGTTCGACAATATGAAACGCGATCCTTCAGAATTTGGTGCACGAGTGAAAATCGGGTCGCCCCAACCGAAGTTCAGCACGAAGTGGCACGTCTGAGCCGGTGGAGATCTTGATCGGAGAATTGTCCGGTCGAGGAAAGGCAGCAGGTTCGCCGTCACGGGTAGGCGGTCACGAGCTAGGCTAGCCCATTTGGTGAATAAATTATAGCACTCTGTACCGTCGGAGAGGCCATGGTGATACCCAATCCCCAGGCAAACTCCACCGCATCGGAATCTTGTCAGCTGAGCATCACGATGAAGAAAATCCATTTAATTTTACGAAGTTTAATGAATCTTAAACCACATATATACATACTAACACAACTTTTTAAGTCAAAACTACTCATATGGGTTTGAAATTTGCACAGGTCCGAATTTCATGTGTTTAAAACTAAAAGTGTCGTCAGAATTTTGAACAAAACCCCTCTAAACCGCAGAAGGCTCTGAAATATCATGTCCAAAATCAGTTGCTTCCAATAACTCAAGTTATTGAAAAAGATTTCATAATGAATCTTACCGTATATACTAACACCTGCATGCCCTAACAACAAAATTTCGTGACTTCCAGTTGATGACAAATAGTACGTCACCTGTACGAGAAGCAAGGGAAAGGAGGAAATGCCTTTGGAGAAGTCAACTTGTGGGACTAACTGCAACAACTCAGAACCAGGCTGGAAATCGCCCATGTCTGAAATGGTGGCATCAGTTTCAGCTTCCACGAAAAGGACGCCTTGGCCACCGCAGTCGATTTCAAATTCGCCGGACTCATCTCGGGCCAATCTCCCCGCCGCCGGGAAGAAGGTGACGAGGGCCTGGCTCAGGGACTCCTTCAGCACCCTGCCGTCGAAGAAATTGCGAGAGCGGCGCCCGTCAGGCCTGTAAGGTTGCAGCATCGTCATCATGCGAGCATTACTTTTAACGACCAACTGGTCCAAGTTGGAGAGCCACAGGCGCTGCCGCGGGGTTTCCTTGGCTGGCCTGACCATGCAACTTTCCTTCACTGCAACTTTCATCTTTTTCAGTTAGCCAGTTTCAGCAGTCGGTCTGGCTAGCTAGGTGTTTGGGTTAACTTTCACCAAATCCGAGTTGCAGTTTTTATAGGCGCAACGTTACACCGGGGGAAAAAATTTGATGATCCCATGATGGTTTTCTTTCATATTTGACTGAACCTTAGTTTTTCAACAAAGACAGGTTTCCTTTTATTCCATTCTAGTCAAGGAAAAGACCAATAGTCCATTGGAAGGAACTGTGGAACAATGATATAGAAGTAGAGTGAAACCGTTCGTTACAACAATAAAGCAATGATATCAGGTAACGACAACATCCGCCCACTGATAAGCCACCCAATTTGACTAGACATATGTTGGATGGTTGTTCGTTTTTCTTTTTATTATTTTTATTATTACTATTTTTAGAGGTTTGTACCACTATACCGTTGAGATTGAAAAAATTACTAATTTTTAGTAGTTGTTAATTAATTGTTAAATTGATAATTTATTAAGTTAATTTTTTATAATATATATGGTTAACACTTTAATATAAACAATTTTACTGTCTTAAAATCATATTCATACATTTGATTTATTATAAAACAATTTCTAAGATTTTTTTATAAAATTAACTTAATCGTCCAAATTCATACATAATTATCGGATTCTACATATTCATTGTACTAAAACTTAATAGATGAAATGATGAATGTATTGAGGCGCAAAGTTCATAAGAGATTGTGACCAATGTCATTGGTGGCACGATTGGGGATGAAAGAGATGATAATTCAACGCCTTCGGAATCAGTTACTTTAAAGGAAGCGCCTAAAGCAGCATCGACTCTTCAAAAGTACTTGTTGCATTCAGAAAAGACAACACCCGAGATTTTGAGTATAATAAGGAAAGTTAAAGATGTACTTCTACTAGTCTTTAATTTCACACACAACTTCATATTCATATTTTTCTACATTATCGTAATTATCTTGTAAATTTCTTGATGAATTTTATTTTTATAGTTTTAAAATTATTAATTTGTAGAATTTAAAATTATTAATTATGTAGGCTAGTTCTAAAAATTTATTATCTTATTCACATTTTTTACATTGATCCAAATCGACACCGAATAAATTATTAATTTATTGTGTATTTTTACATAGATTTTACTGTACTTATTTTCTCACTTAATGTTAAAATTAATAGAGAGTTCATGCCTATAAATTGCAAGAATGTAAAACTCTACGTTAATTGAATTGGATTATCATTTATAGATTTTTTGAAACAAGTGAAAAGCTCGCACTTGTCGATAACCTACCATATAATATAAATGGTATGCGTACATCATGTAGCCTGCCTGCCAGCCAAGACTAGCTTCCTCGTCGTATCCATATTTTTAGTCACGAAGTCATTTGCGACGGGCGACGGCAGGAATGTCCAGCCGGCTTCCGCATGAAACGACGTCCATTTTCGCCATGCATTTACTCTTTTGACTTTTCTTTTCAATTCACGCGTGCTCAGCCCATGCTCAATGGCTTATTTCCTTGCGATTTTCATACTTCATTTTTTCTTATTATGACGATGGGGAAAACATAACTGTCACTAGTTACTTAATTACTTTCACAACTTTAATTAAGGAACACACTACCTCGATTTAAATTTACTTAATTCACTTGTTCTTCTTCGTCAAAACTTCATGTTTTATCATTGTATTCTGCGTGAACGAAAAATCTGTTTTAAAATGAGATATTTATTTCCTAATCAAGCTACATGTGCTCAACCAAAAATATTCGTAAAAGATGACTCAAGAAAGAAAAAGAAAACTCCATCTTGCGAGAAAAGAATTATTTCCTTCTTACGAAGTACGTTTGAGCATCATTGTCAGGTTCGAAGCGGTTTCTAAGTGTAAGGGTTGACCTTGTAAGCTTCTCGCTCCACTTTCTAAGATCGGAAATCACACGTGTCATCGTGGTGATCTAGTGAGGAGAGGAACGTCGAGCTTAGATTTGCTTGGAGACAAGCAAATTTCAAGTGTGGGATTATTTGATGACACGTGAAAGTGTATATTCTAAACCTCCGCATTGTAACCAAAAGTGCGTACCATTCCTATCATATCGTCATAATGCATTGGATTATTATTGTGATTGCTTCAAGTGTATTTTAGCAGCCATATGATTGTTCTTATACATTTGATGTTCTTATGCATTTAGTCTGATTCTCTAGCTACTTCTTCAAAGGCTTTTTATTGGCCGAATGACGCAGTAGGGGCGGTTTTCTCTCCTTGTAATGCCTAATGGAAAAGCTATAAATAGGGCTCTAATTAGTTTGAAAGGGAAGGGAGGGGGGGGGGGGGGGGGAAGACACGAGAGGTCAATGAAGAGTCGTTACTCTCCCTACGGAGCAACCTTCCTGACTTAGAGTGAAATCACTTTGAAGGGGAAATCGACGGTGAACTCGGCCCCACTGGGACCGTTTTCTCTGTTATGACCCCCAATTTCTATGGTGCTCTCGAGTCTTCATTTTTTACGATAAACGTCAGGACACCCTCCCCATGGTTAGCTAATTAAGTTTCTTAGTTACGTAGGTACGTGAACCCTAATTGGTTCTAGCTATGTAAACTTGATGTTTGGTTTAATATGATTGTTCTTATTCTTATGCGGTGATGTTTGATTTTCTCTATTTCGTTATTTGTTGATTCGAACGACGGCTTAGTCTATCTTGCAAGACTCGAAATTCTAGTTGTTTAGAATTGAATTAGAAATAGCAGTCCTACTCGATCGAACGCCATTCAACCAAACGACGCATTGTCTCAATGACAAAATTTAGAGAGACCTTGTCACATTAGTTCGGATAAATATTTCAACACAAGAGGGGATATCTAATAAAGTAAGAAATCGACAGCTCGTACACTCAATATTGAGCAAATTGACAAGTATTTTTATTACAAATTAACAGAGAAATATTAATACATGACATTGATCACATATCTCGGTCTTTATCAACAACCCTATCCCCCATGCAACAGCTTAAAACTTCAAGCTCTCAACAACTAAAACACCCGACTCGAATCAGAACACAAATGCAACAACTTAAAAGTTAAAACTGAAGTACTCAAACATATGCTTTGGCAAACTACACAATATGGACTTATTTTCAAGCTCATTCGAGCAACCAGAGTTCGATTCCTAACAATGGTTTCCGGCCGTTTGAATCACATATGACAAAGCAGTTGCGGCCACGTAGAATTCAACAACCCTTTGAATCTCTCCATCGCGGCGGCATCCAAGCAAATGGAGAACGACACGCCGTCGTCTCCGTCGTTGGGTTTCGACAGTATGAAACACGATCCTTCAAAATTCGGGGCCCGGATGAAAATCGGGTCGCCCCACCCGAAGTTGAGCGCGAAGTGCAGTTGGGCCCAACTCACGACCTTGAGGTGGGGCGACCCGGAACTCCCCGGGATCCGGGCCCCGGCCCGGTCCAAATAGTCGATGGCCGATCTCATGTACACGTCATCAATCCTCTTTATCGCCCTCCGGATTCTCTTGGCCGTCTGCTGCAGCGGCTCCGACCCCAGCTCCGCCGGCGTAGCCTCCACCATGGCGTAGAACAGGCAGTTGCCGAAGTAGCCACGTGGCAGCGGCGGGTCGAACCTCCTCCGACCGTCGACGGTGACGTGCAGAGGGACGGTCTGGTCTTGGTCGGCGAACCTGCGGGCGAGTGTCACGCACCGCCAGATGTGCGCCGCCACCACCTCGTAGGTGGTGTAGTTGTTGCTGCAGGCTTCGTCTTTCAGGCGCGTGATTTGGTCAACGGATAGGTTTAGGTTCCTTGTGGAGGTCAACGTCCGAGGTGGTCGTGGGGTTTGCTGCTGGTCGTCGTCGTACTCGGGGTGCTGGCACGTCGGAGCCGGTGGAGATCTTGATCGGAGGATTGTCCGGTCGAGGAGAGGCGGCGGCAGGTTCGTCGCCGCGGGTAGGCCACGCGCCAGGAGAGACCACGTGGTGAACAAATTGTAGGATCCTGTACCGTCGGAGAGGCCATGGTGATACCCAATCCCGAGGCAAACTCCACCGCATCGGAATCTTGTCACCTGATCCATCATGAACACGAAAATTCATTTAATAAGATAGAAACGAATTTACGTGGTTTATTGACATGTGTTAGCTATTCATGTAGCAGGAGATATCAGTTTCACTTATATTTTGACGAGATGCATATTATCGAGATCGAGAAGGTATACATTATATAATGTTAAGAACCAACCCCCAACTAGTTCTAAAGCCGAAATTTAATAATGAATCTCAAATCACTTACGTACTAACACGCCTCCTCAAATCAAAGTAACTCATATGAGGATAAAATTTTCACAGATCTGAATACCATGTACTTAACTAATAGTTTTGTCAGGTTTCGAACAAAAGTCATTCAAGAGCCGGTTGCTTTCTATAACCTCGAGTTATTGGAAGATATTTCATAATGAACCTTAATCATATACCAACATGCATTTAGCGTCTTCTCCAGGCGAACTAATCGTAATCCAATCTAAAATGGAAGAAAAGGTCACAGACCTACAGACTCAAAACAACAAGATCACGTGACTTTCAGTTAACGACATATAATTTGTGTTCGAATGATAGTGTGCATATATAGGTTGGTTATGTTATGGTGGTAAAAATTCACATCACCTGTAGATGAAGCAGTGGGATGGAGGAGATTGCTTTGGAGAAGTCAACTTGTGGGATTAACTGCAACAGCTCAGGAGCAGGGTGGAATTCGCCCATGTCGGAAATGGTGGCATTAGTTTCGGCCTCCACGAAAAGGACGCCTTGGCTACCGCAGTCGATTTCGAATCTGCCGGATTCATCTCGGACCAATCTCCCCGCCGCCGGGAAGAAGGCGACGAGGGCCTGGCTCAGGGACTCCTTCATCACCCTGCCGTCGAAGAAATTGTGAGAGCCGTCGTGCCTGTAAGGTTGCAGCATCGTCATGTGAGCATTATTTTGGACGAACAACTGGTCCAAGTTGGAGAGCCACAGGCGCTGCCTCGGTGTTTCCTTGGCAGGTTTGACCATGCAACTTTCCTTCACTGCAACCTTCATCTTTTCAGTCAGTCTTGCTAGCTATATAAGTGTTTTGGGCTAACTTTTACCAAAGAGCTAGAGAGGTTAACGAGGTCGAGATGGCTAGAAATGTGCAATCGTTGCAGTTTATATAGTCACAATATGTTACACCAAAAAAAAAAAAAAAAAAATGATGAGCCCGCCATGATATTCTTTCATAGTATAATAATGAGTTTTCATGTTGATATTTTGACTAGACCAAAGACTAGGTTTCCTTTTATTCCACCCGAGTCAAGGAAAAAGATCAATGTTACAGCAATGGAGCAAATAGCAATGATGTAGTAGAACTAGCAGTTGGTCACAACAATGAAGCAATGATATTAAGAACTAACATTAATCAGTTCCCAGGCAACGACAACATTTTGCGCTTTAAAGGCCATCCCATTTTGACTAGACTTATGTTGTATTGTTGGCCGCTTTATTTTTATTATTACTACTATTTTGAGAGAGGGTTGTCACATCCTATATTATAGTAAAAACCACTATACCGTCGATTGTAAAAATTACTAATTGATAATAGTTATTAATTAATTTATAAATGTATAAAAAATAAATATACTTTTATAAATGAGAATTAATGCATTTTATATGTGCAATTTAGAATCAGATTCGAAACAAAAACAATTATCAAGTATACGTAAGTAGGATGGGAAATAATATAGTTAAGCATAACCATTTGACTTATTTCATAGATGAGAATAATGAGATGGTGCATGTGATGAGGCGTGGATTTTTTTTTTTTAAAAAAATTCTTGTTTTTGGTAAATAAATTTTATTAAAAAAATCAAAATAATGAGATATCCATTTTCTTTCTTATACCCAATACTACGACGAGAACGCCTGCGAACTTGCGTCATTCTTACCACCCGCAATAATTGGTATGCGTACATCATGTAGCCTGCCTGCTTCACAGACAGCTGCAGATTTCTCCTGCCTGCCAGCCAAGACTAGCTTCCTCGTCGTTATCCATATTTTTAGTCACGAAGTCATTTGCGACGGGCGATGGGCGACGGCAGGCATGCACAGCACAGACGGCTTCCGCGTTAAACGACGCCCCTTTCCGCCATGCCATTTCCTTCAATTCCCGTGTGCTCATGCTCAATGGTTTTTTTCCTTTCAATTTTCGGAGTGATTGTTGGGCCTGGGCCTGGGCCTTTGCTGTCTTATTGGCTCCAAAGTCCAAACCCAGCTGTAATTCTCGAAACAAGGTTTCAAGGAATCAAGATCAAAGGCCCACAAAAATCTCCAGCAAAGATTTTTAAAATCGTATGATCTAACAATATACTAGACTCCGCCGATGTTTCAACTCTGGACGAAGCTCAAAAAGGTCCGGCATTTGCTGTACGATTGGTCGCGGGCGGGGACGTCGAATTCGGCTAGGAATATTTGCTCGCTGCAAGGGGAAATAGAGGCGCTCAGGGGGGGAAATCCGGTGGATTGGGAGAGGATTAGGGAGCTGGAGGTGGAGTTAGGGAGACAATGGGCCTCGGAGGAGGTTTTTTGGAAACAAAAATCTAGGGTCCGGTGGCTGAAAGAGGGTGATCGCAATTCATCGTATTTCCATATGGTGACGCGTACTCGCCGAAGGAAGAATTTTATTGAGAAGCTCCGAAATGAGGAGGGGGGTGGGTTGAAGAGGAGGCGGAGAAGGGCCAAATGGCGGTGGACTTTTTTGAGAAGCTGTTTACGACGGAACACCAGGTTGAGAACCTGGAGGCTAGGGTGGCGGATTTGCCTATTGAGAGGCTTGTAACGGCGGAAATGAATCAGGCTCTGGTTGCCCCCGTTACGCCCGAGGAGATACGTCGTACGATATTCTCCATAGGTCCTACGCAGGCGCCGGGGTCTGATGGGTTCACGGCTAAGTTTTTTCGGTCATACTGGGATATTGTGGGCCAGTTGGTCGTGGAGGCAGTGGAGTTTTTTTTTGTGAATGGTAAGCTCCTTCGGAGCTTTAATCACACCTGGGTGACGCTGATTCCGAAGGTGGAGGAAGTTGAATCGATGCGGCAGTTGCGGCCAATCAGTCTTTGTCAGGTCATCTACAAGATTATTTCGAAAATCTTGGCTAATAGGTTGGCGCTGATTTTACCAACGGTGGTCTCGCCTGAGCAAAATGCTTTTATCAAGGAGAGACAAATTGTTGATAATGTTCTGATTGGTCATGAAATCATGCATTATTTAAAGATTAAGACGAAAGGGAAGAAGGGTTATATGGCCTTGAAGGTTGACATGGAAAAGGCCTATGACAGGGTTGAATGGCCCTTCTTACTTTCGCTCATGAAGAAAATGGGATTTGGTGATCAGTGGGTCAAATGGATCCAGGAGTGTGTTTCGTCCTCCTCCTTCTCGATTATGATGAATGGGATGCCAGCAGGGTACTTTCGTCCGACCAGGGGACTCAGGCAGGGGGATCCGTTGTCACCCCTCTTGTTTGTTCTCTGCACGGAAGGTTTGACGGCATTGATAAAAAAAGCGGTAGCGGAACGGCGGTTGGTGGGGGTTCGGGTTAGCCCGAAAGCGCCCAGGGTGTCCAACTTGTTCTTTGCAGATGATTCATATCTGTTCGTGCAAGCATCGATGCCGCATTGTGAGAACCTGCTGCAAGTTTTGGGGGAGTATGAGGAGTTGAGTGGGCAACGAGTGAATCTGGGAAAGTCGGCGGTTTGCTTTAGCCGGAATGTGACGGAGGAGGACTGTGACGCCATGGCCGGAAAGTTGGGGGTGGGGGCGGTGGGAGTCCAGGATAAGTATCTGGGGCTGCCCACCTTAATTGCTCGATCTAAGTCGGAGACATTCCGATTTCTAGAGGAGACGATGTTGCAGAAGTTAAAAGGTTGGAAGCAGCGTCACCTGTCTTGGGCTGCTAAAGAGACTCTGCTAAAATCGGTGGCGGCTGCTTTGCCGGTATATGTTATGGCGTGTTTTAAGCTTCCCGTGACGTTGTGCAGGCGTCTAGATAAATATATGGCGCGGTTTTGGTGGGGGGGTTCGGCAGAGAGGATTCACTGGAGATCATGGCGAAAATTGTGCCAGCCTAAGAATGAAGGGGGTCTGGGCTTTCGACGGTTTGAGCAGTTTAATCAAGCTCTGCTGGCCAAAGTGGGATGGCGGATGATACAGGAGCCTGACTCTCTGCTCGCTCGAATCTACAAGGGGAAATATTTCCCGAATGGTTCCCTGTTGACGGCCACCGCTCGATCTAGGCCGTCTTGGGGGTGGCAGAGCGTTCTGCATGGTGTTATTCTTTTAAAGGCGGGACTTCGCTGGCAGGTGGGTACGGGAGAGGAGGTGGAGATTGCAACAACCAATTGGGTGCCGGAGTGTCACCCGAATCCTCCGGTGGTGCGGGCGTCAGCTCATCTATGGGAGGGTGCCACAGTATCGGGGTTGATGGGTGAGGAGCCAGGGACGTGGTGTGATGAGTGCTTGGCAAATTGCTTCAGTCCGGAGGTGGGTCAGGCAATCAAAGCGATCATCCTCCCGCGATTGCCTATTCGGGATAAGCTTGTCTGGCATGAGGACCGGTCCGGGCAGTACACGGTTAAGTCAGGGTATCGTTTAGCGATGAGGTTGAACAAGGGCCAGTGGAGGGGCAAGTGTGAGGTTTCTTGGATGGACCCAGGGCTGTGGGGGAAGTTGTGGAATCTCAGAATTCCGCCGAAGCTTAAGTTCTTCATGTGGCAGGTCATGAACAGGATTTTGCCGACTGTGGAGGCATTTCTTGTGCGAGACATTGAGGTGGAGGAGCGGTGTCCGGTGTGTTGGCATGAGTTGGAGGATTTGGAGCATTTGTTCCTCCATTGCCCGGTGGCGAGGGATTTGTGGGCGGATTCGGGGTTGGAGGATGTTCGGGCGAGGTTGCCAGTGGAGAATGTGGGCTTGATGGTGCGTAGGCTGCTGGATGAGGTGTCCGATGAGGGAATCCTGATGCGGGTCATCTCTATGCTCTGGAGGGTGTGGAAGTCTCGCAACTGGGTTGTTTTCGATGGATGCCAATATCAGAGGGTGGTCTTGCGTAACCAATGGTGTATCCAGGTCGACGAATGGCGGCATGCGAATGGTGCGGGGGAAGGGAGCCGCAGGGATCACAGGCAGGGGGCGGTACGTAGGCAGGATCTGTGGCCGCAGGATGTGTCTTGGGTGTGCTCCTTTGATGGGGCAGTGCGTGAGGGATCTCATTCTGCGGTGGGGGTGGTGCTGCAAGGGCCGGATGGGGTGGTGGTCAGGGGGTTGGCTGGCCTTACTGACCCTATGCTTGTGGAGTTGATGGCGCTTCGGGAAGCGATCTTGTGGTGTCGGGCGATGGGGATCCAGGAGGTCTGCTACCAGGGGGATGCGAAGGTCGTGATTGACAAAGTGGTGGCGGGGTGTACGTGGGATTCCAGGGGGGGTGCTGTGTTACAGGAGGTTCAAGGAATGCTGGCGGATGGTTTAGGAGAGAAGCTTCGATTTGTAGGCAGGGATAACAATAGGGTAGCCCATAGGGTGGCTAGGAAAGCCCTTTCTTTGTTCCCCGCTCTTATTGAGGGGTTCGATTTTTGCGCTTGGCTCCATTCGGAGATGTAATCGTTTGTGATCTTTAGTTCTTGGTAATGCAAGCTATCTTTTGTTAAAAAAAAAAAACAATATACTAGACTCACCTGAAGATGAAGAGGTCATTTCTCCCTGCTGCCCAGTTTGCTGGGCGCCGGTGGAGACCCTTGAGCATTTGTTCTTGTCTTGTAGAGTTGCGACGGCACTTTGGAATTGCTCGGGGGTGGCGGGTGTGGAAGGGATGGCGGAGGTATCTAATTTTGCTTTGTTCTTCCGTCAGATGGTTGAGCAAGATGCTGGGGCGGAGCGGATTGTGCGCGTGGTGGCCTTGCTGTGGAGAGTTTGGAAGAGCCGGAATTGGGTGGTTTTTGATCATGTGCAGTATGATATTCCGTGCTTAGTTCGCCAGTACGAGGCACATGTGAAGGAATGGTTGGCGTTCATCCAGCCGGGGCAAGTCCAGACGATGCAGCAGCAGCATCGAGTTTTGGGCGGGGGTAGGGGGCAAGGTCAGTCGCAGCAGATGGTGATGTCGTTTTCCTGTCATGTGGATGGGGCGGTTGCGCCGGGATCTCATGGTGCGGGGGGCTTGGTTGTCCGCGATGGTATGGGGCGTGTGTGTATGGTTAAGGGATTTCATTATGCAGGTATCGTTGATCCTTTCCTAGTAGAGTTGGTTTCATTTCGGGATGCAATCCAGTGGTGCTCAGGGAAGAGACTAGATGAAGTGTGGTTTTATGGGGATGCCAAGGGAGTTATTGAGAAGATTCAGCGCCGGGATGCTCGGGATTTGAAGGGTGGGCGAATTCTTGAGGAGATTGAAGGGTTGCGGCGGCAGTATCGTGCTTTTGGTGTTTCGTTCGTTGGCAGGAGTGGCAATCGGGTGGCTCATGACGTAGCCAGGAAGACCCTTTCTTTGTTACCTGCTGTTGTTGCGAGTTTTGATTTTGATCGTTGGTTTCGTTTTGGGTTGTAGACTTTGTTTGTAAGACATTGATATCTTTGATTTGGTAATGCCATTGTCTATTGCTAAAAAAAAGGGCTAATACCACTGGGAAACCCGAACTATTAACTTTGTGTCATTTGTGTCCTAAAGTATTCGATATGACAATTGTGTCCCAAACTATTTTTCCGTTAGAGTTGACCGGTGTTGACAGTTAATTTTTAACAGAAAGTCTAGTCAGCGCTTAGGTGACATCTGAAGTGGAATTTATAATTATTTTTATATAAAAAATAAAATAAAAAATTACAAAAATAAAAAACATAAACATAAACTAATTGATTTGGGGATTTACCCTTCCCTCTCCCGTCTCCCAACCTCTATCGTCGATTGTAAATCGATTTGGAGATTTACCCTTCACTGGCAGAGAGGCGGCCACTCTGGTTTGGGCCGCGGACTCTGATGACGGCGGTGGTGGGCTTCGAGAGTTGGAGACGGAGACGGATCAGGCAGCCTCCTTAAAGCCAGATCTGTCAATCCAACATCGCTGGCGGAGTAGCACCAGTGGCGTAGCGGTAGGGTCGAGATCTGGAGAGAAGCATGAAGGATGGATTGGAGCTGGAGAGAGAAAATGGAATGCTAGCGGCACCTTCCTCTTCCTTAACCTCACCAATTCTCCGCGCAGAGAGGTCGACAACCACCATCTCACCCGCATGCCTTCCCTGCTCAAATCTACGAACCAGAACGAGAAACCCAAAACGCCGACCCTCCTCATATCTCCGAAGAAAATGTGCCTTCAATCCAACGTCGCTAGCAAGGAGATCCGCTGCGAGAGGGAGGGAGAGATAAGGAAGGGACATCGGATCCACATATGATAGTTGTGGGATTAGATTCCCTGGGTATCGACATTTGGGATTTCGGTTTGGGAAGTAGCGCAATGGAATAGAAGAAGCCAATTTGTAGCTAATTCAAGAGTGTGGGATTTTTGCTCCCATGGCTACCCTTACCCTCTGCAATAGACATTTGAGAGTCAGAAGCCAACGGCGGCGGGGTGAAGAAGATGGAGGGGAAGGAGGGACAAGTTTTGGAGAGAGAGAGCGGCAGTTATGAGAGAGGGTGTTGCGGCGACCGGCGATAGGGGTTTAGAAAATAGAATTTTTAATTTTATTATTTTATATTTAAAAAATAATTCAAAAATATTATGTGTTAATGAGCTGATGTGGCAGCTGACGTGGTGTATACGTGGCTGCCACATATGTGCCATGTAACCAACAGTCAACATTTTATGGTTGACCGTTTGGTCAACCGTTATCTATAACGGTCAACAAAATTGTTAGGACGTAAATGACACAAAAATACCAAACGTTGGGACACAATTGTCATATCGGATACTTTAGGACACAAATGACACAAAGTTATTAGTTCGGGTTTCCCAATGGTATTAGCCCAAAAAAAAAAATATATACTATACACTTTCCGCTAGGTTGGACCGTTGGAGGGTGACTGAGGTCTCCAATTAATTTGTTAGTTTGGATATAGGAAGCTGCCCAGGATGATGATGATAATAATAATAATAATAATAATAATAATAATAATAATAATAATAATAATAATAATAATAATAATAATAATAATAATAATAATAATAATAATAATTATTATTATTATTATTATTATTATTATTATTATTATAATAAACAACTTAGCTACGTAGAAATATTCAAAATAATAAAAGGGGCTTCCATGCTATTTGCTTAATTTCCTCTAATTTCAACCCACTAAAAAAACGATAATAATAATAAGAACCCCCTAACAGCCGATTATCTTCCCTAATTAATTAATAATTAGCAAAGCTCAAAGTGAAACCCTAGTCTCGTACTCAGCACCAGGCGTCCAATGCTGCGGAATATGCACCAAATGAAACACGCCCTTCTCCTTTCCTTCACCCTTGAACTCCAACAGCAGCGTCACGGGGCTCGCCGTCGGCGGATCAGCCAAAGCGAAAACGGCGCCGTACGAATGGGGCACGCCGATCCACTGATTAGCCGTGCGGTCCAACACTTTGACCTCCAGCAAGTCGTACTCGCCCGCCTGGTACAGCAGCACTACCGACAAATAGTCCGGGAACCTGCTCTCGTCCGTCACTTTCACGGCCAGCTTCCGGCTCCCGCCGGCGCCGGGATACACGCACGGAACCCTGTGGTAGTTGATACCGACGGGGCCCATTTGCGTCAGCTGCAAGGCCATGGCCGGCACGGCCATGCCTTGCAACGCGCGCTGGCTGAGGACGAAGGCCGTCCTGTTGCTTCCGTCGCCGTTGCCGGCGTCGGTTACCACCACGCGCACTCCTTCGCTGTTGCACACGCCCGACACGTTGCACGTTACCTTGCGACATCAAGAAAGGCGTTACTTTTTTTTTTTTTACCTCCATTAGATAGTAAGTTTAAAAATAGTATAGTCAAAAAGATACTACGAAATTGACCCGATGGTCACTAGACAAGTAGTCGAAATGTCGATGAAAGAGTTTTTTTTTTGGACGTTAATTACCTGGTAGCAAGAGCCGCAAGCGAGGCCGTTGTTCCACATCGGATCGGAGACGGCGGCGACGTAGCCCATGTTGTAAGTTAACCCGATTTCTCCGTACCCACAAGCTCCGGTGGGCCCTCCTATCCCGTCAAGGGAAGCGTAGTACATCGCCGTGGCTTCCTCCGCCGCAACGCCGCCGCGGGAAGTGGTAACACCGGCTAGCAGCGCAAGCACATATACCACCGCGGTCATCTTCATGATTTTTTTTCTTCTTTCTTTTGATTGGTGAATAATAGTGTTGTGTTTCTAGATGGAATTAATCATCAGTAATACAGGGTATTTATAGTACTCTTAATTTGGTTGTTAGTTCACGGGAAAGATATGCAGGCAGGATTCTCTTCTGATTATCTGTTAGAGGTGGATTATGGTTGTTAATTGTTGATCCGATAGTTCACAAGAAAGAGCGGCAATTTTGTCAGTTTAAAAATTTGAATGGTAGAGTAACGGCGGGGACCAGAGTATCGGTGATTAGTTGGGTAGAATCAGGATAAAGAGTTTTACTGACACTTGGTAATTAAGGAAAAAACATTCTGTTCAGTGTTCACGGAGATCAGATAAAAGATCTGGTGGGGATTGCGTTTAGAGTTACCCTTGATTATCTACACCAAAATTATTTCACGTGAAACACTAGGGTAACTATCCGGAATGAAACAATTAATACAGAAAGAATACCTGCAATAACCACCTTTTGCAATATATAGGCCGGGCTTCATGAAACGAGATAGGGAAGCTATCAACCCGGGATTCAGCCTAAGCAACAACCTGTTGTGATCTCCCTCGTAATTAGTTTTGTTTCTTTCTTTGTTTGGTTGATCTAATTGATCACACTTAAACGTCAACCATCTCGTCTGACTAGATAGCTAGTAGATCGTGTCCGAGAGTAGTAGTAGACCTAAAGCTCCCGAGAAATATGAACTCGGTCACTACTATACTATTTCGCCGATATATGATGTACTTGTTTAGAATTGGAGTAGCCAGTATTGTTGACGGACCCCACAATAAATTTTAAGAGATCGATGAGGAGTTGAGGACCGCATCGAATTTATCTTATTATCCACGAAGCCACCTGTTTGCTCCAACTTCGAAGTTGAGCTACTGGCCTAAGTCTAATGTAAGATTGCTGTGGTCGCAGTCACTAGATGTCAAGCTTCAAAATAATGCAGCTAGCTGGATTCATAAGCATCGGAGTTTTTTTTAGGTCTTCTTTCCTTTTCCCGCCAATATTAAAAACCACCCCTTTCAATTCCAAGGTAAACATGAGATAAGTAAAATTGAGTTACAGCTCCCTTCTTACACAGCTGCAGATTTCTTGCCAAAACCCTGCTGCCTGCCACATCTCATTCAAGTAGTCTCTGTAACAGTGCCCTTGCTGCTGTAAACATGAGAAGGGAGATGCTCGTATATATATACATACAGTTAAGATACATAAAAGCTAGCATGTGTTTACTACATAGGGAGATTGTGGTGTGCAGTAGATAACATTGGTTGGAGGAAAGAGTATGGTGACTAAATGGGTTTGTCTCCTCCCGCCAGCAATTTAATCGAGTGGTAGCAGCACATGGAGAGGCAGAGGGTGCATTAGCAGTGGCGAATTCAGGGGTGACCACCCCGGGCCACGGCCCAGCCCTTCTCTGGATCCGGAACTAGTATAGCCCTTATGCGTTTATCGGTTTTAGTAATTTGGCCGAGTGTTATATTATAATAAAGTTGTGTGTAATTAGGAAAATGAGTAAGATGAACATATTCAAATCATAACTCTAAATTTAGTCTAGAAATTCTAGCTCAAATGAGTCTCGTCTAAAGAAAAACAAATAATGAAACCTAAAAGTCTAAAACGTAAAAGGCTAAAAGAAGTATGAGATTTGTTCACTTGAAAAATCACTAGAGCAGGTGGTGGAAATAGGGATGGATAAATACAAATGGATTAGTCGATTGATTTGTCTAGTGTTGACATTGTCCGTTTCAACAGATACTATGCAGAAAACCTTTTCAACAATAGAACATATGAAAAATGATTTGCGTAACAAAATGAGCGATGAATTTCTCGTAGATTGGTAAACTATTTTATTTGAAAAAGAGTAGTATGCGATTAGTATGGATGTAGACTCCTTTATTGATGATTTCACTATATTAAAAGATCGACGTGTACAATTGATATTCTAAAAAAATTATAATTTTTTGTGGTATCTAGTTTTCTAATGAAATGCGGCCTAGTGCTCTACTATTAGGGGTGGCAGTTCGGTTGTCGGTTAGCGGCTAACCGGTCGGTTTGACCGATAACCGCCGGTTAGCGGCTAACCGAAAACCGCCCTTTACTTGTAGCGGTCGGTTGCCGGAAGGGCTGAGGGGTGCTTCGGTTAGCCGATTAACCGGAAACCGGTTACGCGGCTAACCGAAGGTAACCGACCTCCGCGCCTGCTGCTCCAAACGACCCCGCTTCCATTACCATTTACCAGAACCCCTCCCCCAACACAAACGAAAACCTAATTCCCAAAAGTCAAAAACAAAAATCTCTCCTTCCTTTCTCCCCGCACCGCGCCGCCTCTCCGGATCTCCCCGCGCCGCGCCTCTTTGGATCTCCCGCGTCGCGCCGCTTCCGACACCAGATTGTCGGCCATTCTCCCCGCCTCTGCTTCCTTCATCTCTGCCATCGTCGTCGAGAGTAGGCTGGCTGGCACTCCGAGCCGTTTCCTTCTCCTTCTCCTCGTTCGCCACCACCATCGTCGGCGGCGCTCAAACCTCTCTTCCTCCTTCTCCTCTGTTCTCTCTACGAAACTAACCAGAGACCCAAAAACCATTCCTTCCCTCTCCGCCATGCCTTCTGAAATCAGAAACCCTCCTCCCTCGATTTACTTTCTTCTTCTTTCCGAGAAACAGGAGGGGAATCAGACAAGATCCCAGCCTATAATACACCGTTGGAGGGCCGGCCAGCCTCCAAATCGATGGTAAGTGGCAAATTATTGTTTTGCATGTTTGATTTTCTGGGTTTTTGCTGGGATTTTGACCCCTTTTCTGGGTTTTGGTTTTTGTTTTCGGGCGACGAGAGAAGGAAATGGCTCGGCGGCGGTCGTGACCAGATCGGGGGAGACGCAGGCGAGGGAGGGAGAGCAGAGCCAGAGAGGGGTAGAGTCTGGTTTAGGGGTCGAAGGAAAGGGAAATGGACATGGCTGTCTGGAGGATTGAATTGAGAGGAGAAAGTGTGCAGATTTTGCAGTTCTTTCTTTCTTTCTCTCTCGGCAGAGAGATAAAACGAAGGAGAGAGAATGAAGGAGAAAGTGGGCAGGCATAAAAAGTGGAGAAAGTGGGCAGGTTTTCGATTGGCCGGCTAACCGAGTCTTAAACCAAAACCGATCGGTCGGTTGGCCGGCTAACCGTGACTGCCTCACGGTCGGTGGTCGGTAGCCATAGGGGGTGGCCCGTTTAACCGATAACCGAGAATTCGGTTTTCGGTTAAACCGAAACCGACCGACTCACACCCCTATTTACTATGTCCTAGATCCGCTAGGCAGTCATGTTGTGCATCTCAATACGTTCAGTGTGCCATTATTGTGAGTTGCGAACCCAGTATAAGTACACAACGAAGTTGATCAAACTGAACTCATCAACAATCACATTCCGAACTCCAGGCATACCCTTCTGCTTTGGAGAAGAAACCGGCGGGGGGAGGGGAAAAAATGGAAGTCAGAATCGTTTCCAGAGAGCTACTGAAGCCATCTTCCCCTGAAACCATACAAACAAAACCTCCACACAGTTTCTGCCTCTTCGACCAGCTCACTCCCTTGACCTTCTGCCCAATCATTCTCTTCTACGCGAATCCTGACCACAGCAACCCCAATCTCGATCCCTTCATCCGCCGCCTGAAGCGCTCCCTAGCGGAGACTCTCACCATTTACTACCCTTTCTCCGGCAGGACCGGCCCACGCAACTTGGCCATCGACAGCTTCGACGCCGGCATCCCTTTCACTCTTACCCAAGTGGTCGATTGCCGCCTCTCCCAGTTCCTGAAACGCAAGGAAACAGAGCTCCTCAACCTTCTCCTCTCTCGACAGCCGTTTCAGAAGGAACGTTCTGATGTGGACGCCCCTGTTTTGGAGCTTCAGGTCTCTGTTTTCTCCTGCGGCGGAATCGCCTTCGGCTGGTCTCTTTCTCATAAGTTGATCGACCAATCCACCATTACATCCTTCCTCTCTACATTCAGTGCCCTACTCCGGGGCCAACCGAACGATGTCGTTTCCCCTGATTTCGCCCAGGCCTCCACTCTGTTCCCGCCGAGGGACCCTTCCCCTGAAAATTTCCTCAATCTGATGGAAACCCTCTGGTTCACTGGAGAATTACATAACCAGGCGATTCGTGTTTGATTCCAAGACAATTGATCAGCTGCGAGCCTTGGCGATCGGAGGAGGAACTGCTCTGCAGGGGGAATCGATTAAGAAGCTTTCGAGAGTGGAGGCACTGTCCTGTTTCGTATGGAAATGCTGTATGGCGGCGTCCAAGGCGGTTTCTTCCGCATCCAAGACTTCGATTCTAGTGGAGGCGGTGAATCTGAGGAAGCTAATGAACCCGCCGCTGCCGGCGGCGGCAATTGGGAACTTGTTCTGGTGGGCGACGGCCGCGGCGGATCCGTGCGACGAGTCTAATACGGAGATGTCGGCGCTGGGGAATCTGGTGAGCGAAGCGATCGGGCTGTACAGGACCGATTACCTGGAGTCGCTGCAAGGGCAGGACGGGTTCGAGGCGATGTCGGCTTACTTCGAGCAGCTGGAAGCGATGTTCGAGACGGAGAAGCCGGATATATTCGCGTTTACGAGCTGGTACAGGTCCGGGTTGACGGGTCAGGATTTCGGGTGGGGGAAACCGGCTTGGGTGACGGTGATGGGGAAAGTGGGCCGGGCTTTCCGTAACCTTACCGTGCTGGTGGACTCGACGGACGGGAGTGACGGCATTGAGGCTTGGGTCACTTTGGACGAGAAGCGAATGGATGTTCTTGAGCGTGATCCAAACTTTCTTGCGTTTGCTTGTCCTAATCCTAGGATTTCTAATATGTGAATGAACGAATGGTGGGGTCTCTTCGATATCAGTTTTCTTTTAGGGGTTGTTTGGATGAGGGATTGTGTTGCAGGATTTGTCCACAATCCTTCACCTTCACGGATTTGGTCACAACCCTAAGTTTTCACCTTCACGGATTTGGTCACAACCCTACGTTTGGAAAGGCTAAAAAAATGAAAGATTTTAATCATGAGAGATTTCGAAAACCTGCAAATGTAGGATTTGAAAATAGTTGGTGGGGATAAGCTATTTCGAAATCCCTCACTATTCTATTTTTTCTTCCAACTATTACCCCTTCCTACCTGCTTCTTCTTCTATCGTCACCACACCACCGCCGACCTTCTTCCTCAACTCCTCCGGCCACAACTCTTCTTGTTAGAGTAGTCAAAGAGTAAAGGAAATACTACATTGGTGGGAAAAGGAAAGTGCAAGTTGTTTTTAAGTTTGCTTTCCACTTTAGTTATTGGATAAAGTGGTTAGTGGGCTTTTGGAAAAAGTGTGAACTATTTAATTTGACATATTAAATCGCACTACGCACTTAATCTGTTGTTTACTGCAAACTTGCCTAGGTAAGGATCTTAATCTGTTAGCTGGAATGCCATTGATAAGAAGTCTACAAATTTCCTTTCAATTTTGACATGCTTATGTGTTTAGTTCTCATGAAAAATTGAATTCTAGAAAATACCTAGTATAGCAGACAGATTGTCACAATCAAGCAAGAGCTAGATGGTGGTCTGGATCGGGAGCCAACCTCATAAATGTGGAATAAAATGTGGCTACAAAAAGCGGTGAGTTAGTTTGTCAGTTTAGTCCCAATAACTTGAAATCAACTCGAGGGTTGAAATTTACACAAACACAATAATAATTTATGCTTATATTATTGTTAATATTGAGAGCAGTGCCGACTGTCGCGGACGTCTTAAAGAAAGCGACCTAGTCCGCGACTCAGCTCCAGATTCGGTAACCTCGTTCTTGTTGTTGTCCCGTTCCTAACAATGCACTGCTTTTAATTTAAGGGTAATTAGCATAAACGGTCACAAACCTATTCACTTTGTACGAAACGGTCACAAACCTTTAATTTTGCACGTTTTAGTAACATACGTTTAAGAGAATAACAAAATGATCATTCCATCCATCTCCATCCACAAAAACCGTTAATTTTGTCCAGTCAGCATGCCACGTCACTTAAAATATTAATAACAAATTTGATGACCAAACCCAATTGAACCGGACTGTGCAACCGAAAGCCATAACTCGATACCACCCAACAGAGCGAATCATCGAAGGGACACCTCCCAGGTCGCGCCGCCGATAGCCGAAAACCATTGAAGGGTTGCCGATAGCTTCTCCGGGTCGCGTCGCCGGCCGAAACCAACGAAGGGTCGGGGCCTCTTTCCCCTGCTCAAATCGAATCTCCCAGCTGAATTGTCTATTGCTTTCGCTAATGGTTTCCCGGATGAGCGATGTAGATAATTTCGGGGTTTTTGTATTAGATGGGTGTTTTCTCGATCATTGGTAATAGGTCTGGGAAAACAGATACGGTGGGCTTGAATGAGATTGTGCTAGAATGGCTTGCTTCATGATAAGCTGGGAATTTTGTTAGCTTCAGAGCTTTAGGTTTCATAAAGGGAGAACTGTTAATTGTTGTTAATTTATGTTGCAGTGAAAGTAGGGATTTCGGAGTTCTTGAATGGAATAGGGAAAGGTGTTGAGAACCATTCGGCCAAGATTGAAAATGAGATCGGAGACTTTCAGAAACTTCTCGTTAGCAACGCAACCAGGGCGGCAACCCTTCGTTGGTTTCGGCCTGAGACGCGATCCGGAGAAGCTATCGACGACGGGAGACTGTTCCGTGGGTGCGATTCTGGGGACGACGGGAGAAGCTATCGGCGACCCTTTGTTGGATTTTGGCTATCGGCGACGCGTCCTGGGCGGGCAACCCTCCAACATTTTTTTTTAAGTAACTCCAAGATTTTTTTTTGGGTGGTACAGAGTTAGGGTTTTTGGTTGGGCAGTTCGGTTCAATTGGATTTGGTTATTAAACTTTTTTATTAATATTTTAAGTGATGTGGCGTGCTGACTGGACAAAACTAACGGTTTTTTGGACGGGGATGGACGGAATGACCATTTCGTTATTCTCTCAAACGTATGTTACTAAAACGTGCAAAATTAAAGGTTTGTGACCATTTTGTACAAAGTGAATAGGTTTGTGACCTTTTATGCTAACTACCCTTTAATTTAATGAATCTTATAACACTCTCCTTGCATAGCTCGATCTAATTATTTTTGTTAAGCAAAACTATTTAACTAAAAGAATGGTAACTCCATAGGTTATGAAAACCAGACTACTATATTGTTGTGCTTGATACTTGGACCCAATCGTGCTTATAGTTTGAACTCTAAATTGAAGAACTCTAGATAGTAGATTGAATAGTGTGCGAGGATAGAACAACTTTCCATTGAATAAATTAGGGACAAGTTGCAGGGGAAGCGATGGAGATGTAGGATGAACAGTGTAATTTTGTCGTCGGTGCAAGCGGTGGTGGGGAGATTGAGCCAGTTGGGCTTTAGAGATGGGAGAGACAGGGTGTTGATGAGACTGAGAGTGTTCGTTGGAAGTAGAATGCGGTTGATTTACAGCTGCCAATCCACCGCCTCTTAAATGTTGTCTTGATTTAACCATTTCCAAGGATTTATGGGTATTAATCAACAATCAAACTCCGAAATCCGAATCCCATTCTGCAGCAAGAAACCGCCGGAAGAAAAAAATGGAGTTCAGAATCGTTTCCAGGGAGCTAGTGAAACCATCTTCCCCTGAAATCATACAGACGAAGCCTCCGCACAGACTCTGCCTCTTCGACCAGCTCACTCCCCTGACCTTCGTTCCCGTCATTCTCTTCTACGCTAATCCCGACCACAAAAACTCTGTTCTCGCCGCCTCCACCGATCCCTTCATCCGCCGCCTGAAGCGCTCCCTGGCGGAGACTCTCGACATCTACTACCCTTTCTCCGGCCGGACAAATCCAGGCAGCTTGTTCGTCGACAGCTTCAACGCCGGCCTCCCTTTCACTCTAGCCCAAGCGGTGGATTGCCGCCTCTCCCAGTTCTTGAAACGCAGGGAAACAGAGCACCTGAACCTTCTCCTCTCCCGACAGCCATTCCAGAAGGAACCTTCCGACGTGGACGCCCCTGTTTTGGAGCTTCAGGTCTCTGTTTTCCCCTGCGGCGGAATCGTCTTAACCTGGGCTTGTTCTCACAAGCTGATCGACGCGTCCTCCATTACATCCTTCCTCGCTACATTCTGTGCCCTGTTCCGCGGCCAACGGAACGGCGTCGTTCCCCCTGATTTCGCGCAGGCGTCGCAGCTCCTCCCGCCGAGGGACCCTTCCCCTGAAAATTACATCAATCTGATGGAAACAATCTGGTTCACCGAAGAAAATTACATGACCAGGCGATTCGTGTTCGATTCCAATTCAATCGGTCAGCTGCGAGCCATGGCGGCGGGAGGAGGGGAATCGATTAAGAAGCTGTCCAGAGTGGAGGCACTGTCCTGTTTCATCTGGAAATGCAGCATGGCGGCGTCCAAGGCGGTTTCTTCCGCATCCAAGACCTCGATTCTGGTGGAGGCGGTGAATCTCCGGAGGTTTATCAACCCGCCGCTGCCGGACGCGGCGATTGGGAACTTGTTCTGGTGGGCGACGGCTGCGGCGGACCCGTACGACGAGTCTAACACGGAGATGTCGGAGCTGGGGAATCTGGTGAGCGAAGGGATCGGGCTGTACAGGACCGATTACGTGGAGTCGCTCCAAGGGGAAGATGGGTTCGAGGCGATGTCCGGTTACTTCGAGCAGCTGGAAGCGATGTTCGAGGCGGAGAAGCCGGATATATTCGGGTTTACGAGCTGGTGCGGGTTTGGTTTCACGGGTCAGGATTTCGGGTGGGGGAAACCGGTTTGGGTGACACCGGCGGGGAAAGTGGGCCGGGCTTTTCGAAACATGACTGTGCTTGTGGACTCGACGGACGGGAGAGGGAGCATTGAAGCCTGGGTCACTTTAGACGAGAAGCGAATGGCTGTTCTTGAGCGCGATCCGAACTTTCTTGCGTTTGTTTGTCCTAACCCTGGGATTTCTAATATGTGAGTGAACGAATGGTCGGTCTTGTTACTATTCGTGTTTAAGTTGCTCTTTCAAAGGTTGAACTGTTTTGAGTGACTACTTAGAATTAGTCAGGAGAGTACTTGATATGTATGATGTGGTACCCATAAATACAAGATTATATTATATATGTTTGGTCCAATATTAAGTTACAAAATTGATTACGCGTACCGATTATCAATTTTTATGAATAAAATATCGAAGGTTTTCGAAACTTTCAAATATAGTATCAGACGTTATTGTTTTATATTCGATGTAGTAAATTGTTTATTATTGCTTTGACTTACGAGGAATTTTACAATGCTATATAGCATTGGTGCTATAGGTTTTTACCTTTATGGTACAACTTGAAATTTTACTTTTAATGTTATGATACAACTTCAGATTGTACCTATACTTTTTGTACAAATTCTTTTATGGTACAACTTAAACTTGTACCTTATGTGATGGTACAACTTAAAGTTGTAAAGTTGTACCATAACATAATTATACAAATTCCTTTATGGTACAACCTAAACTTATACATTTAATGTTATGGTACAACTTTAAGTTGTACATTAAAGCACCAATACTATATATAGCATAGTAGAAGTGCTCTTAAATTACATCCATGGATGATCTAAATGTGAACAACGCAATATGTCAATTTTTTATATGATGATATCCAAACTAAGGTTGAATGCACGGGGAGGTCCTCTTCGAATATTAGAGAAGCTCCCACTGGTTCTATTAAAGGTTGTATCATGTGGTACTTTCCCAGGAATACAGGATTGTAATATGTTTCGTCTAGGTAAAAAAAAAAATCATGGTGTATCCAGTTATTGATTTTTGTGAATAAATTAGTTTAATTTTTGTCGATTTTATCAAACATAACACGAGTCGAGCCGAGTTTTGATCTAACCAGAGCTCAGTCGTAATAAACGTGTCAAGCTCGATCTTGATTTGAGCGCAAAACGAGTCAACTCACGGAGTTGAGCTCAACAAGTCACCGAGTCGGACTCGCTCACAAATCTTGCGAACCGAACCAGGCATAGCTCAAACTTAACTTATTTACTTAGAAGTCGAATCTCAAAGGAGATTTTTTTTTCCAAATCGAATACTGATCCGATCGTAAATCCCTCGACTCATTTACAGCCCACCCTAGTGGTCTGGTCTCCATCCAAACGCCTACACTGAACTACTGATGCTTCCATCCATCCAACGGTCGATTTATTCTCCATCGGCAGCAGGCAGGTAGCCAACCTCATAAATGTACAGTTAATGCCGAGAGCCGGCCTTTCGCAATTTCGTCAAAAAGCTCGGGCATGCCTCCTCCCCGTAGCAGCTACAGAGGTTACAGAACTGCGTGCAAAGATGCCGGCTCAAGGGTCTTGCTTTACGTAATGGCCGGCGATACCCTAAAGTCCGCGGCACAAAAGTCATCGGTCTTGGCGGAAAATTCCCCGACCGGTTAAAAGCTCAAATATCAAACGCATTGATTCCGTTCCACTTCCATCTCTCAAGCTGTTTGGTGCACACACTGCCATTTACTCTTCCCCAACGGCCCCAATCAAATCATGCACGTACTTTTTGACCTACTATAGTTCGTACTAGCCACGGCTCTCATCGCCATTTCTAATGGGTTTTTAGTAGTACGAGTAATACGACGTTTTATTAGCCTATAAGCGTATTGTTATGTAATTTGTCAGTGTTATATTTCTTATAAAAGTCGTATAACTTATTGTTTTTTTTTTTGTTAATGTTAAGATTATTATAGCAGTCCTATTATGATTTCCAAGATGCCCCATGATGATGCAGACTAAATGTGGCTTCAATATGGGGTCAACCAAGCGAGTTATAGACTTAATCCGGCATGCTACCGTACCAGAAACTTCGTACTGATTTTGTCATTAAATGAAAGAACTCTGGAGAGTCGAGAATACAATGAATCGTATATGAAGATATATAGTAATTCAATATGAACTATTTTTTTTTTTTGTATAGTTTGAAATTGATCGTACGAAACAATACCAAACATGTAACGAAAACAATATTAGCACTTAAACTACTGTACCGATTCTGATAGGTTGATACAATAAGCAACAAAATTAACCACTTTGTATTATCCAAAGCAAACCTCCCATCTACACCAATAATAGGAAATATAGGATGGTGGTGCTGGTCCTTGGTACTAACATAATTCATCGAACACAACAACTCTACAACAATGGCAATCGATTATCACTCTTTTGAATCCACAACAATCTGTCAATTTTGTACACAAACAGCGATTTCCGGTAAAGCCAACATTTATTGGAGAGGCAGAGTGGCAAATGAACTTCCCCAAAGAACCACCGGTCCACTCCACTCTGTTCAGTGTACCCTCATTGCTTGTGAACCCAGTAGTATAAGTACACGATGAAGTTAATCAAACTGAATTCATCAACAATCACTTTCTACACTCTCCCCACCACTGAAACCAACCTCCAGACAAAACCCATCTTGCTCCGGCGAAGTAACCCCACCGGAGAAAAATGGACGTCAGGATCGTTTCCCGGGAGCTAGTGAAGCCGTCTTCCCCTGAAACCATACAAACAAAACCTCCACACAGGTTCTGCCTCTTCGACCAGCTCACTCCCTTGACCTTTTCTCCCCTCATTCTCTTCTACACCAATCCTGAACACAACAATCTCAATCTCGCTTCCTTCCTCCACCGCCTGAAGCGCTCCCTGGCGGAGACTCTCAACATTTACTACCCTTTCTCCGGCCGGACCGGCCTACAGAATTTGGTCATTGACAGCTTCAACGCCGGCCTCCCTTTCACTCTAGCCCATGTCATCGATTGCCGCCTCTCCCAGTTCCTTAAACGCAAGGAGACAGAGCTCCTCAACCTCCTCCTCTCTCGACAGCCGTTTCAGAAGGAACCTTCCGACGTGGAATCCCCTGTTTTGGAGCTTCAGGTCTCTGTTTTCTCCTGCGGCGGAATCGCCTTGGGATGGGCTTGTTCCCACAAGCTGATCGACGGCTCCACCATGAGATCCTTCCTCACTACATTCACTGCCCTGTTCCGCGGCCAACCGAACGACGTCGTTTCCCCTGATTTCGCCCAGGCCTCCACTCTGTTCCCGCCGAGGGACCCTTCCCCTCAAAATTTCCTCAATCTGATGGAAACCCTCTGGTTTACTGAAGAGAATTACATAACCAGGCGGTTCGTGTTCGATTCCAAGGCAATCGGCCAGCTGCGAGCCATGGCGGCGGCCGGAGGCCGAGGAACTGATCTGCAGGGGAAATCGATTCGGAAGCTGTCCAGAGTGGAGGCATTGTCCTGTTTCATCTGGAAATGCTGCATGGCGGCGTCCAAGGCGGTTTCTTCCGCGTCCAAGACTTCGATTCTGGTGGAGGCGGTGAATCTGAGGAATCTGACGAACCCGCCGATGCCGGACGCGGCGATCGGGGACGCGTTCTGGTGGGCGACGGCGGCGGCGAACCCGTACGACGAGTCTAATACAGAGATGCCGGAGCTGGGGAATCTGCTGAGCGAAGGGATCGGGCTGTACAGGAGCGATTACGTGGAGTCGCTCCAAGGGGAAGACGGGTTCGAGGCGATTTCGAGCTACTTCGAGCAGCTGGAAGGGATGTTCGAGACGGAGAAGCCGGATATATTCGCGTTTACGAGCTGGTGCGGGTTCGGGTTCACGGGTCAGGATTTCGGGTGGGGGAAACCGGTTTGGGTGACGGTGATGGGGAAGGTGGGCCGGGCTTTTCGAAACCTGACGGTGTTTGTGGACTCAACGGAGGGGAGAGGGAGCATTGAGGCTTGGGTCACTTTGGACCAGAAGCGGATGGAGGTTCTTGAGCGCGATCCGAACTTCCTTGAGTTTGCGTGGGCTAACCCTAGGATTTCTAGCCTTTGAATTGAATGAATGGTTAGGTCTCTTTGTTATCTATTCCTTTTTTAAGCTATAAAGTATTTAAGTTTGGATCTGTTGTCGATCATCTACTTATTATTTGTGGTTGTTTCTAAGGTTTTGAGTGTACTGAGTCCATAGGATTATTGTGAGAGTTAATCCTAATGACTAAGTACTCGATATTTATTATCGACTTGTTTTACCAAGACGAACTAAAGAGCGAAAGTTTCGTATTCGATCTCCCAAGTCATTAAGATATACTCGGTCCAATAGTGGGTCAAATCACTATTTTGATAGCTCGAAACCCTAATATTCTTTATGGAGCTAGCATTCACTTACTATGTAGTCCTTTCCTACCATTGTCATGACTTGGGTGAGTTAGGTGAAAACTTTAATCTCTATGAATTGGGTTTGTCGATGAAATTTACCTAGATTCTCCTCTATCATTTCGCCTCTTGGTAGGAGGTTTATTTGGTTTAGGATTTTGAGTTTGGATTTAATAAAACTTTGTCCTTGCATGAATTTGATTCGAGCGAGGGGAAGTTAAAACTTTCTTTCGCTTTTTTACAAAATCTTTTTTATGTTTCATTTGGATCCTCTTCTTAATGCGTTCAAGAAGTTGCAACATCGATACTATTATAAATATTGGAGGAAGATGGGGAATCACATTATAGGTCTTGCCCATCCCAATTACATAAATTATGTATGTATTGTTTCTTGTGCAATTTCCTTTGCTCTTTCTTTCCAAGAACCTCCATTTGATGATTTCAACTTCAGCAAGTTCAATTCTTTATCTCTTCTAAAATCTGGTATATCATAACCCCATTTAGGCAACTATATATTTCGCCCTGCATTAAAGGTTAGTATCCTGCATCCTTATTATGCACCTTAGATTTCATGTTAGCATCAATAAGTTTGGCTATTTTTTGTCATTTCAATAGATTCTGTAAAAAAAAGACTAATTTGGCCTGATTCGTGGATTGACAGTCATGTTGGACGGTCAACGCCATTAACAAACTGTCAATGTGTCATGTCATCATAAAAATTTCTTGAAGCATCACAAATGCTGTTTTCATAACCGAACCAGGCATTGAACCGGAAAAGTTAGTGGTTTAGGGTTTAATGGTTAACCGTTACAAAACCGTTGGTTACCGTTGATAGAACCGTTCATAATATATAACATACAAGACTGGTATAATACACTAAGAGGTCGTTTGGAAGTTGTGATTGTTAGAGTTGTGTTTGTTAAATACATGTATTAAGCACAATACAATGTTTGGAAGTGTCAAGTTTACGTTAAAGTGTTTTTTTTTTTAACTTTTTTTGGTTAAAATAGTGAACCAGTTAAACCGTGATGGTTCATATGGGTTTATGTTGAACCTTGTAAAACCATTTGGTCCATCAATAACCGTCCAAATAATGAACCGAACAGCTATTGCAACTCATTTGGTGATTCTACTTGCCCAACCGTTAATCCTGTTAGATTCTTATAACAATATTCACAAACCCTCAGTGACATATTTATTTGTAATCATATGTTCTGGAACGAAGAGGGAGACCGGAGTTGGTATCAGACCAAAGCCAACATTTTATTTTTATGCAAATCAACACATTTTGTCGACCTAGCTCTGCTCTTCATAATACAGCACGAATAAGAAAAACATTTTTCTTCTGCTGTTCGTACTTCAGCGGATGCAATTTTGATGGAGGAGATCTTCCCTTCTTGGCCGAACAATAATCATGAGGATTGGGCTGACTATTACACATCGTTGGGCTTAAGTTTATTAGAAAGCCCCAAGTTGTAATTCCAAGGCCTGCTCACCGAAGCCCATACGAGCAGTAAGTAGCCTTTTTCATTTCTTTGTTGAATTTCCTAGTCGTCTTTGTCTGTCTGCTTATATATATTTGCTGAAATGAAATGAGAGACAACCAGAGAAGTCCAACGCTAACATGGCTGCTCAGCCGGCAAACAGTTCGCAAGTCGGCAACACCGGCCCATCAGTAAAAGCTGGCCGTACAGTAAAATCCCAAGAGGTGAACAGTAACGTAAGAATATCCTAAGGAATTGGGATTTTCACTTAGAACTCAATGAATATTTTACAAAGAATATCAAAAGGAATAGTGCTGATTTAGTTGCTCTTTTTTTTTTTTTTTTGTAAAGAAAATAACACAGTGGGGACAAAAGTGATCATAATCTAACAGCCGTCCAAGTTGATGAGCCTCTTAATGGGAAGAAAGAAATAAATGTGTTTCTGGTGGACCAATTTTTGGAAGGAAAAAAAAAAACTTTATAAAATAATGGAGAGTTGACATGGCCAAAGCCCACATCTAACTCTTCCATGCTCATCGAGATGCAATGCACAGCTGTGTGACCAACACATAAGAATTGAATGCTAGCACTCAAGTCACAGCCAAATTGGTTTTACATATATAGCAGCAGTAAATGCTGTCTTCTTAACACATTTCGCTGTTTTTTTTGGAAGGAGAAGGAGGAGGAGAGCCAGCTGTGGTGCCAGAAGTGAGAACCATTGCATTATATGAATGTTTGTGCAGGTAACAGTTAAGCCACCAAACATTGTACTTACTTACTTGATGTCCACTTAGTGTGTAATTAGCACTGAAAAGTGGTGGGCTTACGATGTTCTGTTATGTAGGGAATCAACGATTTATCAGTTGAGTTGTTGAGTAGTCAAACCGGCGGGTCAAACTGGTCAACTGGTTCCATTACTAATTTGACTAGTTCGACATAATCATTAGCTTCCTCTTCAACCTCAATCACCATAATTGGCTTTTTAGTGGATGCGATCTTTCATTTGCTATACCGAGTTTACTTGAGTTGATTCAGTCACCTCTACTGGATTTAATGGATGCAACGAAAGTTCCCCTGCGAACATTCCAGCTAACTTTGTTTCTCTCTTAGTCTGAATTTATTTGAGTTGACTTAGTTGCCTATACCAAGTTTAATGAGCTCGTATGAGCTCATCCATGTTCCGATGAGCTCCTTCCTATGGGTTTTATTAAGCTTTTAGATCTAATTGAGCTTCCCTCTATAGTCTATAGTGAGTTCATTATAACCAATTCTAAGTCATTTCAGTATTCACACCACAAAACCAAGTTCCCCTAGTGCTCCAAATATAGCTTATAAGCATTGGTCTTTATAAACCTCCAATACCATCTAATAAGTTAAAATCGACATATCGGAGCTTAAATACCCAGTCAACAATTTGCGAATTCTCATGTAATTTTCCTTAATCGGGAGGTCCTCGGTAGTTCAATTATGAGCATCACAGTTAGTCACTTTAATCCCTATAGCTATCTATCATTGTACGAGGGATGTTCTCCATGGCATTCCAACGAAAGAGACAATCAATCAATGTGCACTCTGTTATTAGCACTTAAAACTATAAAATTAGGGGGAAATCAAAGAAAAAATGACAAAGAAATATATTGCATTGATTCTATATCATATAACGTAGTGAATGTTCCTCTTATCGAAATAGAAAATGAGTTTACTTCATGAGGGATGGAGGAATGAAAATACAAAGAAGAGACTATATCTCGATTGTAGAAAGTGAGTTTACGACCATAAGTAACCCCACGACCATGGACATCTATAAAATTGAGTTGACTTCATGAAAATCAATACCTCTGCACCACCACGGTCCACGGATAGTAACAAAGTCATGCCCGACCATGAACACTCCCTGATCCATACAATGAGATGCGTCTATTTATGCAAACATGTTCAAATACAACCTATCAAAAGTCTCATCGTTGGTGACTAACTTCATATATGTGAGTTGGGTTTGATGGGTTTGAGAAGGTCCCTCCTAATCCTATACACTATTTCCCGCTTGATAAAACAACACACATGCTTGCTTGATGGTCCAACCTTTCATGGAGGTTTTCCATGGCAGAGAGCTTGCCCATTCGGATAGTTGGCTGTTGACTCTTCTTCTTGCTCACCATCTCTTAATTCCTTAGAGGCCCATCTCTGCTCAGAGTGTCGTTAATTCCACCACCAACTCCCATTCACCCGTAATAAACACCTTCCTTCCTTGCCTCCTCACTCCTCTCAGTCTTCTCCCACTATGAAGCTCAGACTTAAAAACCCCCCAACTTCCCTCCCGGCCCTGCCATGTCCCATTTCCACAGAAAACAGAGAGAAAACAGAGCACTGCAAACCAGAGCAGTGCCCTCTTAATTTCAGATCCCATTCTCCTTTCTTCCTGTTGTTGTTCTTCTTCCTCTTTCTTCTCAAGACAATGGCGAACGAATTTGAAGTGACAATCACTTCCAGAGAAATCGTCAAGCCATCTTCCCCTTCAATCCATCTCCAAGAACCCTACCTCCTCTCCTGCTTCGACCAGCTGGTTCCATCCACCTACATTCCCCTCATCATCTTCCATTCCTTAGCCAACGCCAATTTCGACATCTACCAAGTCCTCGACCACGCCAAATCATGCCTCGCCGACACATTAGCCGTCTTCTACCCTATCTCCGGCAGGATCCAGCAGAACTCAATCGTCCACCGCTTCGACGCAGGCGTGCCCTTCCTCGTCGCTCGAGTCACTTCCACTCTCTCCCGCTTCCTCGAATCCCACCAGCACAATGGCAGCAACCTCAACAAGCTCCTCCCCTGCCGCCCATTCTCTCAAGAGCCCTCTTCCCCTGAAGGAATCCCTCTCATGACATTTCAGATGAACATCTTCGCCTGCGGTGGGATCGCCCTGGGATGCGGACTCTGCCACAAGATCGGCGATTCGGCAACTGGGCTGGCCTTCGCCAGAACCTGGGCCGCTTTCTTCAGCGGCTCCAGAAGAAGAATTTCCCGCCCGGATTTCATCTCTGCCTCTTCTCTGTTCCCGCCCAGATCCCCAATGCCGCCGCAGTACGTCGCCGTGATCGAGAAAATGTGGTTCAGGGACTACAATTTCACCACCAGGAGGTTCTTCTTCAGCCCGGAATCCATCGCCTCGCTCAGGCACCTGGCTCGAGGCGGAACCGACGCCGCCTCGACGCTGCTGCCAACCAGCGTCGAGGCGGTGTCGGGTTTCCTCTGGAAATGCTTCATTTCCGCGTCGAGGGCGGTCTCGTCGACGACGAGACCGTCGATGCTGGGGCTGGAAGTGAACCTGAGGAAGCGGACGAGTTCCCGAACGCTCGAACGAGCGTTCGGGAACTTGTTCTGGCCCGCGACCGCGGTCGTGATGCCCGAACAGGGCACTCTGCCGCTAGAGGAGCTGGTGAAGCTGATTAGCGACGCGGTGGCGGGTTTCGACGAGGAATACGTGAAGAGCCTGCAAGGGGAAGAAGGGTTTCAGAACATTGCCAGGAGTTTGGATGCTTTGCAGGAGATGCTGGAGATGGAGCCCGATGTGCTGGAGATCGGGAGCGTCTGCAATCTGGGTCTGGATCAAATGGATTTCGGGGCAGGAGACCCCGGTATGGTCACCATTGGAGATGTTAGATCCAAGTTCAGCAATTTCGTGATCTTGGCTGAAGCCAGGCTCGGGAAAGGGATCGAGGCGTGGATGATTATAGAGGAGAAGAGGATGGGGTTCATGGAGCAGGATCGGGAGTTCTTGAAGTATGCTGTTCCAATCACTAGCCTCAAGATGTCCAAATTGTGATTTTGTTGTGGTTTGATTTGTGATTATTTGATTAAAAACCTTTTGGTTTCCTTTGCATGGTTCTGGCTTAATAATGTAAGATCTTACATTGATTATTGTTTGTTTGTGTTTCTGATTTTGATGGGAATTTAATTTATGGATCAATGAATGAAGGATTTCTCTTCACTTTCGTTTTCGTCGCACGAATTAATGTTTAGAACCGACAATGTCCATCTCAAGAACTTGGCTGGTAGGTTCAATTAAGTTGTTGCATGTGAAGACCATATGGGCACTTGAAATAGTTGATCCATGTAATAGTGTTGTATGGGTGGTGAGTAGTTAGGGAAGATATAAATCTCAGGATGCTTGTTCTTAAGACTCCCTGCAAGTTGTAGGCAAGGTGGCCCTACAACTTAGAACATAATAATAGCTCAAAATGGTGAAAGGGAAGTGACTTTGGGAGTGTTGTCATCAATGTGATCTTGTTATAGATGCACGAAACCCTAAGATTATACATGATTGATATTGTTCCATCGAAGAAATGGAGTAGCGCAAAAGGTGAAGACCTAATTTTTCGAAGACGAGAAACAAGACAGGATCTCTAAGACTGTGATTGTAAAGGATTAGTATTCACCCGGATTGTAACCCCCAACATGTCATATTTATATTGGGCATGTAATACCTTTGAATTTGAATTTAAGACGCCATCACGCCACAGAGGATGGCATATCCATGAGAAGTTTAGACACCTCTACCATACAGTTCACCTCAAGTTTCCCACCATCTATCTTCATATGGTTGCGCCATGTTGTCATATCCTCGAGAAGCCCTGAATCATTACCATATTGTGAACCCAAAGGTTCTCAGGCTCATGCTATATTTTTCAAAATGTTGTGAATTCATATCTTTGAGAAGATTCAACACCACTATCATATAGTGCACCCCATGTTTCCAAGTCTCAACTCAATCACTTATTCAACTTCCACATATGCATCAACCATATTGATTCCATGATTTGTTTTTAAAACATGAAACATTACTTAAATATTTTAACCATAGTCGAGAGTGAATTCGGTGTGTAAGATGTTATCGCCCATTATATTGGCACCTGATAGGTAACAAAATTTTATGCAAAAATCAAAATTCCTTTTAGGTTCCTTACTAAAAGGCATAGTACTTATGGAGTTAGGTGGGGACTTATATACAAAGGTCATTTTTCATGTATAACGATGTGAAACCTGGGTACCTTAAGCATCCTCTCCTTAAGACAACGACCATAAAGTCTGTGCCCTCACGCCAGGGATTATCTTGATCCATCACACACATTATATCGATATTCGATAGACTCTTCAACACAAGGATTTACCAAATACAAATCTTCGTTGATCTGTCATACATATGTGGATCTCACATATTGAGGTCATAGAATGAGGGTCGACCAATTTAACGTATACTACCCCAAAGTCGAATCAAGCTCTGCCACTTGTTGAGACCACATACTTCATTAGTACTATATTGTCCGATTTTTGCAGAATCCACCTGAATTTTTGGTTTCTTCTCCAAAGACCTCATAATAATGGAGTTTTGTGGAAATTTATATATAAGAATTTTTTCCACATTTCCGATGCATTACTTAGATTCTACATGTGTTTTTCTTTTCTTCTTCCAAATAAACGGCTTCAAGGCTAGGTTTTTATTTAGTTATTTATTTATTTCCTAACGAAGAAGACAAAACGTGAGGGTAAATGTGAAAGCCCGTAGGTTATATGGGTACCAAATTATACCAACAATCATAATGTTAATGTGAAAGCGTTGCCAATAGATTAAACCAAAGTAGGCCATTCCAAAACTTATGGGAAATTACGAAAAAGAGACGTGCAAACTTGTTTGTGGCTTCGGAATCACGTTCATATGCAAATGCAAAGAAAATAATCAAAATATGACAAATAATCCGGTGAATAAGCTTTAGGCCTAAAAGTTTGTTGATTTGTGTTCCAATTTTTTTGGACGGATTATGGTTGGAAAAGAGAATTTAGATCAGTGCAATTGCAAAATGAATTGAATATGTTGTTTCTAATCTTTATTGTCATCTTACAATTTATTCAACCCAACTCATGCTAATTTTATTCTGTATATATAAACCAATGCAATTCATTTGCAATTGCGTATATGGTGTGCTCAATCACTCAAGTGATTTATAATAAATAAATCATTGATTTTATTTTCTAATGTAGCTTGTATTTTGAATTTCAACATATGCAAATTTGCATCTTTGCAAATGCTCACTACATTAGTGCAATGTCCTTTACAATGGTTCTCAGATTCGTACTATAGAGGATAACTGGCTTCCTTCTACTCCTCCATCTTCCCCCGTTTTACTACCAGGTTTGAATATCTGCCCCCCTTTTGTATCGGAGCTTATTTGTCCTGTCTCTCATGCGTGGAAGAAGGATCTCTTAATTTCCTTGTTTACTCGAGAGAGTGTTGAGCTCATCCTGTCCATCCCTCTTCCTCTCTCTTTTGCGACTGATCGTTTGATATGGCATTACTCTTCCTCTGGCATTTACACTGTCAAGACAGGTTATCATCTTTTGTCTACTGAGTTCAACCTTCGGCATCCTCCGGTGGTGCTTCCTTTTGACACTCGTTTTTGGAAGTTTCTTTGGAGCATTCCTGTTCCTCCAAAGCTAAAGTTCTTTTTTTGGCGAGTTGTCCGCGGGTTCTTGCCCTTGCAGATAGTGTTGTTTACTAAAACGCTGGTATCAGACACAATCTGTCCTATATGCTCTGGGGAGCCTGAATCCTTTTCCCATTTTTATTCCTCCTGCAGGGTCGCGAGAGGGCTGTGGCGGTTGGCGGGACTTGAAGGCCTGAGCAATTCTCTTGGTGGAATGGTTCCTGATGAGGCCTGGCCACATCTTTCCTTCTCTATGACCTTTCGAAAATTGATATAGCTAATATTGTTTTCATTTTCTGGAGGATTTGGAAGGGGAGATGTTGGTCGGTTCACGAAGGCATTCAATACCTTCCATCGGCCTTGTATAGGCAGTACCATCGACAAGTGGATGAATGGAGGGCGGTTGGACAAAATCCCCCACCTCATCCTCCCGTCGGTAATGCTTCTTTGGTGGCTGCTCCGACACAGGTTACTAGGGACTCCCCTATGTCTTCAGGTTACTCGCCTGTCATCAACGTCTGGTTTGATGGTGCGGCCAAGCGTGGTCAGGGAGGTAGTATTGGTTTTGTCGGTTTTCACGCCACAGGTAATGTTTTGTTTGCATTTGGAAAATTTTATGATGGAATCCATGACCCGTTTATCATGGAATGTTTAGCTCTACGTGATGCCTTACAGTGGTGCCTAACTCATTCCTTTCTTGCTGTTCATTTTCATGGGGACTCTCAACTGTTGATTCGACGGATGATTGGAGGTGACATGCTTCATGCTCGGGGTGGCGCTATTTTGGAGGACGCTAGGAGCTTGGCTTCTTCTTTCAGCAGAGTTTCTTTCTGTTTTGTTTCTCGTCAACTCAATAGGGCTGCCCATCTTGTGGCACAAAAGGCCCTCTCATCGGGAGTTCGACTATTGGTCGACTCCCGCGCTTATCTTGGTTCCAATTTGTGACTCTTGCTTTTCCACTGACTTTGCGAAAAAAAAAAAAAAAGTTTGCAGTTGATCAATACAATGGATGTGAATGTTCTAACCTCTAACTATTGATAGAGTGATTGAAGATGGGGAACATTTTGTTCATGACCCTTCTTTCTTGGAGCTCATCAATCTTCTTCAACACAAGCCGAATTATCATTTGCCGTTTTTTTTAAATATCAAAATGAATATTATTTCATAGGACACAACTAATTTAATTTTTATACAAACATAAGTTTTAAGTTAATTTTTATCGGTTAGAGTTATATTCGGGGCTTATGCAAAAAGAGTCAAGCGGGTCCCGCCTTTCAAACTGTTTCTTGCTTTGCTGAAATCAACGGATAATCGATGAATTAAACACACCATCTCATCAGTCATCAAAGAAACAAACAAGTTGCGTACACACTTCTCAACGGTAGACCCATCCGCACGCCATCCTCGCTTCCCCTTCCCGCCTTTCCCACGTCACCGCCCGTCAGTCACCCGCACCACCGCCGCCCCTGCAAACCAACCACCAGTCTTCCTCTTAAATCCTCCGCAGCTCCGCCGATTCCTTCTTTCCCGTCCGCCCTATAAAATCCAACCGCCCGTCACCCTATCTTATCCCCCATCTTTCTCTCCCGTGTCGCACCACTCGACCTTCTTATAAGAAGTAACTGAACTTCCCCTTTCTTTTCCTCGTTACGGTCCTGCTGCTTGTCTTGGTATTGACGGAAAAATTCACCGGAGAAATCAGCAATGGCGAAAGCCAGTTCTTTTCCGATGAGGGTGTTCCTCGTTCTGTCGCTGGTCGTCTTGTCCCGGGCGGCTGTGGACTTCGCCTCCATGGTCGAGTCCAATTTCCCGTCAGTTCAGGCGGAGAAGTTCATTAGGGGTCTCAATCTCTCACCCAAGGAGGACGTTAATGTTGTCGAGGGCGGCGCAGCCCCACTTCTCAGCGAGGCTCCCACCGGGAAGAAGATTGTGGAGAAGCGGATCAGCTTCCCGAATCTGATTGGCGAGGGCGAGGTCGGATTTGCCGTCGAGGATTTGGGGCACCACGCTGGTTACTACAACATTGAGCACTCTTATGCCGCTAAGTCAGTCCCAATTTCCCTTCTTCATATTAGTTTTTTTTTGCTTTGTGGGTATTCTTAAGAGATTTTCAATTGATGGTATGGCTGCTTCCTGATTTGGAAGTTTGGTGAATTTGGAATTGAGAAAAGTGGTTTTCGTCTGCGAGGAATGCAGCTGCCCGATCAGTGAATTTTTTCAATGCTCGGAGTCGTCTTAGATCTGTTTAGGCTTTGCTTCGAGTGTTTCTTTGCAGAACTGGAGTCTGGAGGTATACGCGGGCTTGATCACGTATTCTTTCTGTGAAATGTTTAGGGTTCTATGAAATGTTTGGACTTTCTGTATCTCGGAGTTCATCTGCTATTTAAAGTCGTGAACTTTTAGTAAATTGTTTTGTAGTCTATTTTTGTCCTGTCCTGTTTTGATGATTGTATTCTTGAGCTGGCTACTGTTCATGGAGAAGTGGTTTACCACAGGAGAAGGCTAATACCATTTTGGATGTTGGTTTGTAGGATGTTTTATTTTTTCTTCGAATCTCGCAACAGTAAGAAGGACCCTGTGGTCATCTGGTTGACTGGGGGACCGGGCTGCAGCAGCGAGCTTGCCATATTTTATGAAAATGGCCCTTTCAGCATTGCAAACAACATGTCTCTTGTGTGGAACAAGTTTGGCTGGGACAAGGTAATCTTCTTCCTTTGCCTCCATCTTCAGCCGTCTTCATCTCCTTCTGCTTCTTCTAGCACGGCTTGATGCTATTAGAAGAAGCTACTTTTCCTTAGAGAACCAACTCTAAGCTCCTGGAGAAAGTCCTTTCCTCATGTCACAATCTCAATCCTGCAAGCAACTTTCTTTTCTTTATGCGTGGGGATCTTATGGGGGGATGCAGTGTAGGTTGAACATATAACTTGATATTGGTTATTGGCTATTAGTTAGACAACTATTTTGCTGCTATCAGCTAAATTTGTGATTCCAGCAGTAAATCAAAATTCTCCATGGGAAAAGGGAGATGGAACTCTGCGGCTGTTACATTCTGCTACTTCTGTTTTACAAGCTACCCATGGATTCATCAGTTAAATAACTGATTGTTGTCCGTTTTGCAGACATCAAATCTTATATATGTTGATCAGCCCACTGGGACTGGATTCAGCTACAGCACTGATAAGCGTGACATTCGCCATGATGAAGCTGGAGTTAGTAATGACCTATATGACTTCTTGCAGGTAAAATTCAATCTGACGGACTCAGACCTAGCATCTTTTTTGCCTTCTAAACAAATTTAAACATGAAAGCATGAGCTAAAATTTAGTTGCTGCAAGTATGCGCACCATTGATTTCCCTTGTTCTTTATGCTATTATTTTCATTGTTAGGTCAGATTGGTAATTGTTCTGCTTAACTCACTTTGCTGGCTACTGTCTCGTTAGGCCTTTTTCACAGAGCATCCTGAGCTCGCAGAGAATGACTTCTACATTACTGGTGAATCATATGCTGGGCACTACATTCCTGCTTTCGCTTCTCGAGTTCACAAAGGGAACAAGAATAAGGAAGGGATCCACATAAACTTTAAGGTTTGTTGTGTCAGTTTGTCTGGACTTGGAAATGGTTTCTGGTCTAGTCAACTTTACTAATCTCTTGGAGGATATATTGAACAGGGTTTTGCCATTGGCAATGGCCTGACAGATCCTGCATTGCAGTATAAGGCTTACCCTGATTATGCACTAGAGAATGGGATTATCACGAATGCTCAATTCAATAAAATTAGCAAGGCTGTCCCAGTTTGTGAAATGGCAATTAAGCTTTGTGGTAAGTAATTTTAAACGTCCTTCTGCTTAATGTTTTTCATTTTTGTGAAATTCATGCTGTGTTCTCTTCTCCCAACATATGAATCTAGTGCATTGGTAAATGGAACAGGTACTAACACTATTCCAGCACTTGAACTTACACTATTACTGATATCTTTTGTATATGCTTGCGTACAAATCTAATGAATTTGTGATCTTAGTTGATGTTGATTGTTGATATGATGCACCAGGAGTCTTCAAATTTAGTTCTTATTCTCGACTAAAATTTTTCGGTTAAGTCCAGTTACCCAATCTGATAATACATCTTTTCTTTCAGGAACTGACGGTACGGTGTCCTGTATGGCTTCCTATTATGTTTGCAATGGTATATTCAATTCCATCATGTCTGCGGCTGGTACTATAAATGTAAGGTTCTTAACTCATCTATGCATAAAGTGATATGTTTGCAGACTACTGTACATCGCTCTTCTCAGTGGCCATCGTATGCATACTAGAAGTTGTCCATAGAAATTATCTTTGAACTCCCATATCCACGAAGACTGTATTAGAAACATAATTAGCCAAATACATCATGAGACAATTGTTGATCACGGTGACTAGAAGATGATTTGGAATTCCCTTTTTCCCGCTAAGATTGATAGTTGTGTTAAAAATTTATGACTGCAGTCTGTAATTCACACACACACACACACACACACGCACATCACAACTGCACAAGTGCAGATGTAGGTCTTTTGTGAGAAGCTATGAAATGATTTTAGAGTTTGACCAACTAGAACTTGTGTTATCTCTGGCAGTATTACGACATCAGGAAGGAATGTGAAGGGAGCCTTTGCTATGACTTCTCCAACATGGAAAAATTTCTCAACATCAATGCTGTTAGGGAGTCACTTGGTGTTGGGAAAATAGACTTTGTGTCGTGCAGTCCTACCGTGTACCAGGCCATGTTGGTTGACTGGATGAGAAACCTTGAAGCTGGGATTCCTGCTCTCCTCGAGGATGGAATCCAAATGCTTATCTATGCTGGAGAATATGATCTCATCTGCAATTGGTTAGGTAAGGGTTGTGTAGGTCAAAAGAAACTGTTTTGATCTCGTGTTGTAGATCTGTGGGAGTAAGTGCTTTGAATCTCTTAATTTTTTTGTGAAACAATGTACAGGTAATTCTAGATGGGTTCATGCAATGGAGTGGTCTGGCCAGAAAGAGTTTGTATCGTCTCCAGAGATCGCCTTTGAAGTAGACGGTACAGAGGCTGGAGTACTGAAAACTCATGGACCCCTGTCCTTCCTCAAGGTACACTTCTCTGATCTCTCTGGATATTGCACCATCATTTAGCTGCCAAGCAGTTACCTTTTGTACATATGACTGATCAATGCCATGTTTCTGTGAATTAGGTCCATAATGCTGGGCACATGGTTCCAATGGACCAGCCGAAGGCTGCACTAGAGATGCTGAAGAGGTGGACTCAAGGCAAACTATCTGATGCCACTGCCGAGGAATCCAACCCGGAGAAGTTAGTTGCCGAGTTCTGATCTTTGCTTGGTGGGCAAACATTCAGATGACAGGCTGCATGCCTGGCTTCTGGTTTTCCTGATGTAACCTTGTAAATAAGTTTCCTTGTATGCAAGATCGTGTTGTTCGAGTCATAAATAATGTTCGTTACGATAAATGCGAGCATAGTTGTGTACCCTGTTGTAGCATCTGATGGACCAAACCTCTTTTATAAGTCTCTTCTTGTTTCTGCTAATTTACTGCTAAATGCCTCATCGGGAGTGAGAAGAACAGAAACAAAACAGATGCCTCATTAAAGTCAGAATCAAGAAATGAGGGATCCTAGTTCAGAGTTCACTTCAGAGTTCAGACGTACTAGATTGCTTAAAAATAAAGTAGTATGAGTGTTTATGTAATTTTCCGTTATCTTCTTTCCCAAAGGCGGAAGCGCGGAACATTTATTCCACCAATCTCTCTTGCTTTTTTACCTTCACGGAAGAGAGTTGAGAGAACTTGAGATCGATAGCTAGAAGGGAACAGTGAGATACGCAGCACTCTGTTGAGAAGAATGGAGTTGACACTGCCGGTTGGATTCACGGCCGTAGCCAAGGGTGGTTTCAACTCTCTGTCCCCGCCATCCCGACTGTTTCCGGTTCAATCCATTTCATCGATTACCTCCAGGAAGGATGGTAGCGTTACCCATTATCACTCTGACAAGCAGAAGATCAAGAACAAAAACTCGCCACCAAGAGCTTCATCTGCAGAAGGTACCCGCCTTCCGCTTCTTCCCCTCCTCTGTTTTTTTAATCTGAAATGGTTTTACTGGGTGAGTGATCTCAGAGCTTTAATTTCCGTCGCCGTGCTGCTGTATCTTGTGTGTAATTGAATGTAGCAGGAGGAATTCCGAATGAATTGGCTGAAGAAGAATCCAAGTTCGTCCCCTTAAACTCTGATGACCCTGTCTTTGGTCCTCCTGTAAGTTGTGGTTAGTTCTTGCTTAGGTTAGCTACCATATCCATCTTTAGTTTCAGTTCTTCATATGAAGAGGGAAATGATTCCTTCCCTTGGCCCCCTAATTCCCCAATTGTTCCTAGTTATGAAGAAACTGATAGATTTTGCTCTACTGTTTATCCTTTTCCACTTCTTCCTGGCAGGCTCTGTTATTGCTAGGCTTTGAAGTGGAGGAGGCTGCTAAGGTAATACACCTACTTCTTACGCTCCTTCCTAAGCCTTGGGATGGGTTACTCAACTTTCTGGAGAACAAAAATGGCTTCTCCAAGTCATGTTAACTCCATCTGTCCATTTATGACAGATACAACAGCTCTTGCAAGAGATGGGTGGTGAATTCTTGAAGGTCTGCTCGAGCATTTTTTTTGTTTTATGTTCATAAGCTGCAGGTTCCTTTAGTTTGGTCTAACAGTCGGCTTTTCCTCCGTTTATTTGCAGTTAGTTTTCTGTACGGAGGATATGATTTCCAGGTCACTTTGGGAAGCAATGAACACAGATCAACCAAACCTAGAAGTAGTCAAGGTCAGTGAAAATCTTAGAAACCCGGCAAAGCGTCGATGAAGCTCATCTGTTTCCCCGCCAACTTACTTTTTTACCAGCACAAACATGACCTTCAAAGGGATTCTTATGTTCAGGTAGCCAAGTCTCTGCCGCGGATTTGCTTCTTATCTGGCCTTAGCGGAGAGGAGATGATGATGTTCATCGACGCTTTCCCAGAAACCGGTAATTGCTACTAGACCTTAGACCTTAGTTACAATCAATATGCAAATTGGTGGCCCATATCCCATTTCTGGTTCTGCATTACACAATAGTTGGGAGACTTCATCAAGCAAATACCAAACGATCGTATCCTCACAAAAAAACCTTCCTTGTGGCAGGAGTTGAAGCAGAAGTATTTGCAGCTATGGTTCCCAACAGTGCTGATAAATCCCTGTATGAATTAGTGGAAGAAATCATGGGTGATCATGAAATGATGGTGGGTGAATGCCGATCTTGTTAAACTGCTTCCACTTACAAATCCACCAAGTGTCAACAATGTCTCCTTCCTTCTTACACCCTTTTGCTTGCCATGATTCTTCTTTGCAGACCAGAAGACAGTCTGAATCATTGGGAGCTCCAGGCGGCGTGGTGGACAACTGAAAGGCCTGCGCTTTGCTCTTCTATGATGAGATCTGTGTAATTAAGAGTTGTAGATCAAGAAAGTAATGCTGCGGAAAATCGAGAATGTAATGCAATCTTTGAAGCAATTCAAATGAGCATTAGGAATGTATAATCACTGCAAGTACATAGCCCAGGAATCAATCTTCCTGGTCACTCTCATCGCTAAAATAACTGGCCTTCTTCACTTTCTTCTTCCCCGAACCCTTTCCCTCTTCATCAGCTAACAACAGTCTCTCCTCTGCCCTGCCATCCACCGCGGAAGCCCAATTCTCCTCTTCAAACGCCTGCCCATCTCCCCAATTCCCTCCTCCTACTTCCTCATCGTCCGTCGCCTCCTCATCCCTCCTCCCAGCAACAACACCACCGCGGCCGGCGCCTTCTCTCCGCCCACGCTTCGGCGCCGGCGGCCTATCCCTCGGCCCGAGCTGATTCTTCGGGCACTCGTACGACAAATGACCGCCCTCCCCACACTCGTAACACTTGCTCTTGTCCTGATACACCCTCTTCTTAATGAACTCCGTCGCTCGGCCGTTGTCGTTGGCTATCGACGCCGATAGGGTTCTGCCGTTGAGGATCTTCTTGTCCATCTGGCGACCGGCGGAGGCGGCATCGTCGCGGGAGACGAACTGGACGAAGGCGACGCCGCGGGACTGGCGGGTGGTCCGGTCCTTGAGGACGGTGACGCGGGCGATCTTGCCGAAGGTGGAGAAGAGGGTGTGGAGGTCGGAGTTCGTGAGGGCGAAATCGAGGTTGGAGACGTAGAGGGTCGACTTCGACGGGGCTAATCCGCCTGAACCGCGGGATTTAGGGTTCCGATTAGCAGCGACTGTTGAGGAGGAGGAGGAGGACGATGACGGCGGACCTGCGGCGGAGACGGAGGAGTAACGGTAGTAGAAGGTGTCGTCTTCGTCGCTGTCGCTCCCGCCCCGGTGACCCATTGATGTTTGATCTATAACTCGCTGTGGATTCTTATTTGAGTGAAGTCGTCGAATGACAAAACACAAACTTTGGTCTTTGGATTATGTTGATTAGTCACACAATTAATACGGTTGAGTCACGCCACCTGATGTTTATTCATGTATATTGTTAATTATTCACGCCGTTGTAAAATAAAATTTTAAACTTTGAAATATATCAAAATGGATGTCATTCTATAGATTATGATCAATGCAACATATTTATACAGATTAAATGATAATCCAAATTTAATTCCATAAAATATAATCAATACAAATAATCATGGGGTAAAAGTAAGAATTTTCATTACGTGAAAAACTTACACTCTTACGTAAATCACTATAGTATTACGTGAATGAGCACTAAATGGCGCGAGTGAGCATAAAATGACGTGAATGAACTGGTATTAGGTGTTCTGTCACCTAACGTGACAAGAGATTTTTTCCTTCTTATTTAGCTCGTTGTGGACAAAGATAAAGGGTCGTTGGGATTTTGATGATTTACCCGAAATAACTCGTTTTGGCTTCCGAAAAGTGTAATGAGTTAATTGGTGATGACTGATGAGTTATTTAAAAATAACTAAAAAATGAGTTATTTTCATGGAAAACGTTTTCAGAACTATTTGAATAGGGAACACCCGAGAAAAAATGTCACCAACAATTTTTTTTATAACATAAACATTCATTAATCGAATTGTTTCATAAGAAAATAGTCAAAATGCCGATGAAAGGATCTTTTTAGTAATGCCAATAAATAAAAGAGTATTTTTTTTATCATTACTAGATGGACAACCTATTAAACGATGAGATGTAAAGATAAAGGTTGTCAATCAAATTTAACCTTTTAACCTGATAGAACAAATAGGCAAAGAGTTAATCGTCCAATCATTTTATCAAAATTTAGCTTGGATATATAAAAATGTTATTATATTGTTCTTACCCTCCACGAGCAGCATGAGCAGTCCTACCCTCACAGTTAGGGATGCAAATGAGCCAAGCTGCTCGCGAGCAACTCGGCGTTCGAATCGAAAAAAACTCGTTCGACACTCGACTCGTTATTTAACAAGCCAGCTCGCGAGCCAACTCGTTAGTTAACGAGCCAAGCCTGAGCTAGACCATGCTCAGCTTGATAAGCTCACGAGCTAGCTTGATTCGGTGGCTTGTCGAGCTAAGCTCACGAGCTGCATTGTTTTGAGCTTGTGGAAGGATGAATTACTATTTTAAACATGAACATTGTCTTCTAATACAGATGTGTATGAAATTTAGATGTTATTTTTCTTTCTCTCATTTAAATTCTTATTTTTATACATTTTTCCAGCAAAAATGATTTTAAATCGAGCTCATCTTGAGCCGAGTTTGTACTCAGCTTGACAAGCTATGTTAATGAGCATTTATCAAGCTTTACCGAGTCGAGCTCGAGCTAGATTATTTTTATTCAAGCCGAGCTCGAGCTCGAACTGGATTATCAAAATTCGAGTTCGAGCCGAGCTCGAGTTGAAAAATTAATAAACGAGCCGAGCTCAAACTAAGCAAAAACTCGACTCGACTCGTTTGCGGCCCTACTCAGAGCCGGCTCGAGCTCGAGTTGAAAAATTAATAAACGAGCCGAGCTCAAACTAAGCAAAAACTCGACTCGACTCGTTTGCGGCCCTACTCAGAGCCTCCCAATTACAATGAGCATGTCTGTTATCTTTTGGATAATACATTGGCATATGTAGTTATTAATCATTTAAAAAAAACAACCCAAAATCCTCGCTTGAAATGAAAAGAGATGCATGAAATTTTGCAATTTATTCCATCTCTACACAATTATTGCTTCTAACTCGTTTTTCACGCCAGGACGAACCGACGAACCAAAGGCCAAAACACGAAGGGTAAATTAGTCAAAGCCACTCGAAGGGAAATAGTTTTGGGTGGCGAACTGGCGATAATTTTGTCTCTTTTCTGCCGTGGAAGTGAACCTTCGTCCCCCGAACGAGCAAAGGGATAATGATTTGCTGATTACCTGGAGCTGGAAGAACCCGAGAGAAACATCAACGTCGGCACCTGAGCAAAATTTTATTGACCCTCGTTCCTCCCCCGCCGTCGATTATTGTGCGACTCGGATTCCCGGAGTAAGATTTCAGACACAAGGCTGAAGTAGAAACTGAATACCTGGATAAGAACGAATTCAGCTGCCGCAATCAGCAGTCGAAGGATTCTTGGTGACCTTCACCTGGGTGGTTCCTGTAAGTGAAAGCAATTCTCATGGTGACTTTCTTCTTCACAAATACTGCCAATTCCTGGCATGATTCCTCGTTTTAGGACCTGGGTGTTGTTCATTTTTCGTTTTTGGGATGTGGGGTTTCAGGAAATCGTGGGATTGGTCAGTGATTGAGAATTAGCGGAATAGATTTGTATTGCGATATAGAAAGATTGGTTCTTTTGTCCTCTTCTTGTTACTATCAAGCTTAGACGTTTAATAATGTGAGTACTGGAACTATCTGTGTGAATCGCTTTGTATTAATTTATCGTTGTATTGTTAGCAGACAAGTTAACTGCTTTATAATCAGCAGTTCTGGTACTTTCGCTTTGAACTCAAGCGTTTGGTGTGAGAAGCACAAGAGGATTGGTTTTGCGATTTAGTCAAGCAAGAAGAGTGGCACATTTTATCAAACCTAAGTTTTGCCTCTGTCCATTCACCACTTGCTTAGGTATTGGTTAATAAGAACTGACTGCCTTTGCCTGTCAGAATGTGCCGTGAAGAGCAAAAGGTTCTTCCAAGATGATATCTTTAAGAGATTTAACCAGAACATCTATGTGTAGTTCCAATTGCCGACCTGCTCCATGACAGAATCTACTATTCTGACCTGATCTGTGTATCTAGAAAGTTTAGCCCAGAGCATAGCTAACTGCAGCCTTTGTTTACCACATGTTCTACTAGAACTCGGTGAACACATTTAAATTTCAAGTGGAGTGGTGAGAAATATAAAAGTATACTGACATTGCTGTATCAAATGAAAGAACTGAAAGTGCTAAGTTACACCAATCTAGTATTCTGACTTTGTCTTTTTTTTTCCCATTCTTAATTGCCAATAGATTTCTATTTGACAGCCCAGGGATGTACTGTTATTTGGGCTGGACAAGATGCATGGATTCTCCACTGTAGATGGATTTGTGGAGATAACTGAATGCATGGCGGAGATGATCAAGTACGTGGCGAATGAACCCTCGGTAGGGCTTTTCTACGTTCAGCAGCATGTGCAAAATGCAGCTCCAAACGTCATTAACATCAGGAAAAGTGTGGTGGAGAGGTCTCGTGAGACAAGCTTGAACACTGAAGACTTGGAGGATTCAATCACAATGGTAAGGTCAATGAAAGAATGTGGTCTGCCCATTGCAAACGAGATGATCAAAGACATCCGGAAATCTCTCGTGATAATGTCCGAGAAACAAGAGAAGAGAGGATCGGTTCTGAGGTCATCATCCTCTGGCTTTCTGATGAGACGATCCAGCTCGACAGAAACACCGCCTGGTTGGAGTGATGCTGATGAAGCTGTTACCGTAAAAGATGTCAAGAAGTCAGGCTATTATTTCTCGACCATGTTTAAGACGGCAAAGGAGAAGGCCAGCGGTTTCAAGTGGCCTCAAATTGATCTGAAGGAAACCATACCAAGTTTCAGTTATCCATCACAGCTTGTAGCATCTTCCAGTGGGAGTTCTTCTGTGGTTGTTGCAGAAGCTGAGGAGTTGCCATTGTCAAGTGAGGCAGCTGATGATGCGGCAGAAGAGCACCAAACAGACGCAAAAGATGAGCCGGAGGGCACGAGCCCCCCACATTCAAATGCCATTTCAGTACCAGAAGATTATGATGTCTTTAAGGCAGACAAACAAGCCAAACTAGAAGAATGGCTGGTAGAAAGTGGCGGTAAGCGAGATAGATTGCCCCCCAGCAAGTGACATTAAAAAGAAAACCTTTTCTTCTTTTCGTGGTCAGGATGAGAATCGGTTGCTTGTATAATCTGCTGAATCCTGTTGTTTTGTAGCATATTGATCTATAGTTTATGATGACATCCAGTAGGTTTTGAAATAAAACTCGTGGCTTATCCATCTCCTGGGGTCCTCAATTATACGCAGCTCGAGTGAGATGCCAGCCACAGGTATAGCAGCCAAATCGTGCAACATTGCTGAGTGCTAGCTATGCAGAGGTGCAAGTTCAAATAGTTGTCAAACGCACTCTCCTGCGCATGCTTTCCCAAGCTCTGGACCCTTGAGGAGTTTGTGCCCCGAGTAGAGGATGGTGGAATTCATAGCTCCCTTCTTTTATAGAGAGGATATCATAATCGGTTTCCTCAACGAAGTTCTTGCTACGAAGCATCATTACCAGAAACAAATATGTTATTGCATTCACTAAGATACATTGAATCAGTTGTGCGAAAAGGCGCAGCACATGAAGATATGTAAACTCCTCGTCATTAGTCAACGTAATGACATGGAATGCATAAAGCAGTTTTCACATAGATCTTGTCCTAGTAAAAAAGGGCTAGGAGAAACAAGTTATTGGAACTACTCCGACGAGTAACATACTGATATAGCAGTAGCCAATCTAAACAAGCTTGACACCAGCTTCCCGCACCGAATCGACAATAGCTTTTACTTTTCCATGATACTTCTGTTCCCTCTTCAGCAAAACAGAAACAGCAGGTATGCCCTTCTGCAGCAGGCGCTCGCCAAGTAGCTTCCCAATCTTGGCAGCAGCAGCTACATCTCGAGTATTTTCCATGGCCGACCTAAGGGCCTTCTCTTGTGAGCTCGCCGAAGACGCTACTGTTGCAGTTGGTGAGTGCCTCACTGTTGCCGTCACAAACTTGTTGCTGAAATGCATCAGTAGCACGTAGGGCTTCAGATACTCTGTGATTCTAGGTGGCCTAACTGGAGGTAGAATAACCATCTTGGTCTGCAAAAGATCAGCACCCACAATAAGACCCCCACCAATCGACGAATGAAAGAGTGACTTTCACAGATGAGCATGCACGATTCCATTGTTCTAAATGAAGGAAATGTCAAGAGAATTTAAAGAAAGAATCCAGTGTCTCAAGCCCCACCTTTCCAGCTTGGAAAAGAAAGAAGCAACGAGTTCGCTCAAAAGATTGTCTATGATCAACCATTGAAGCATAACTTGGAAACTTAAATCTGGTCATTCTAATGGTTGACCACCCTCATTTTCGCAAAGTATAAGTAGTTTGATCTTCCTTTCCCAATTTCGTTAACCTCAACTCAATAATGATAAAAAAAGAATTCAACAGGCACAACCGTACATGAACATGCATCTTTTTGGATCAATCTCCAGTCGTGAATATTCCAATGCCAAAATATTTTTCATGATTATCAGAGTACACATGATTCAAATATTCTTGAGACGCTCAAGCAAATATAATCATTCAATGTCCCATTTGGGTCCATATTCTTTAAGCAATTGGAAACCCAACCTACGAAACCATATCTCATTTTATTACTCACTTGCATATCTAGCAAACTTGCAGGATCCACTGATCACTGCTTCCTTAAGACAGTATCCTAGATATCAAGATGTAGTTGTGACAAGCATCATCAAGGTAAGTAAATCAAATGAATCATATAATTTCAGTGAACTTCTAATCTTATGATGTAAATTGAACTTTGAACAGAAAGTACCCTTCTTAAGAGTTAAGAGGGCTTTCATACATATCTTACCCCGCCTGTGCATCATGAGCATAACCCTATGGCTTTACCTAGGTGTTTCTAATCCCCAACTAAAGCCAGCTACTCGATACGAGCCTAGATAAGTCGCAATTTCTGTTTCGATCATGTCTAAAAAACGTGCACATATCTAGAATCTGCAGCATAGGAAAGTGGCTACGTAGACAATTCATTTTTGCAAGTTAGGTTACAGTCTGGAAGTTTAGAAACAGAAGAGATACTTCTACTGCTTTCAAACATGTTAAAGCACGCCTGTGAAGCTTCTATATTGCTATTTGCTGTTTATACCAACTAGAGCGCACTGTGCATTTCAGCAATTGTAGAAGTGCCATGAACTCTTTTGTTTCTTGAACCCGCAGATGAGTCGAAATAGTACTGCCATATTGTTGCTTACAACCGCAAAACCACATCACTATTTCTCACACCAGGAATTACTGAGACTACTACCATCCATGAGTATCAAACTACCTCTAAATCAAAGACATGCGAAGCCCGAATCATTGACAGAAAGCCAAAATTTGGTGCACGGTTGGATTAAACTATGTAGAAACCACAGCCCTAATCCTTTGATGATGTGCGAAAGAAATTACCTCGAGATTTTGAGGAAGCAAGAGCGAGCCTTGTTATTTTCCGCGCTGGTCGAGGACAGAAAGCTCCTGTCGAAGAATAGAAGGGTTTTGAGAAAGATAAACCAGCGAAGGGGAAGGAAAATGAAACAAAAGGGGAGAAATGCAGAGGAGGGCCGACCTTGCGAGTCGAGTAACAATGGAAACTCTGGCTGAGAGATCAGGGTGGACGCCTTTGCAAGGAAACGACGGCGGGCTGCAGCCGGCAGGGGAAGGGTTCTTGAAAATAAAAGGAAGAGGGAGTAGAATGGCAAAACAAGAGAAAGAGTTAGTGGTCATTTACTCATTTTCACCCTAACTATAATAGTTTTACCATTCAAGTCCCTAAACTGTATTTTAAATGTTCATTGCAAGGAATCCTATAAATAAGTTAGTCCTCCTAGTCCTTGCTTCGATCTGTGCCGGTACACCAACTGGCATATTGTCAAGAACCAGTTGATCTCAATAACTCGAGTTGTTGGGAGAGGTTCAATCGTGGCTTGAAGTTTGCACAGGTCTGAAAACAAGAATACCATGTGCTTAACAAATGGGGTCACCAGAAATCGAACACAAGACCTCTCGGTCACAGAAGGCTCTGATACCATGTCAAGAAACAGTTGATCCCAATAACTCGAGTTGTTGGGAGAGGTTCAATCGTGGATCATATACCACAACACTAACACATATATCATGATCTGAACACTAGAATTACCCAGTTTCGTTACTGCTAATGCTTCACTAAATATACTTGGTAGCATCTTCCTTATTTTGATACGCAGCGTTCCATATCTAACCATTCTAATGATTGCGAATTGTTTGTTTCTTCAAATTCTTGAGGTCAGATAGATATGACAGCTTTTGAACGGAGGTGCAAGTTCAGCAAATACTTTCTGAAATCAACCCATATATTAATCATTGCAAGTACAAGTGTGAAGATAAATATTATGTGTATTATTAAGTAAGCCACACTTGAAAATTCCTGACTACACTAAAACTCATTTGAGCCGACTATGAAACAAAACTAGCCAGGTTGATATCTCTTTTATTGTTATTCAGAAATTGCTTCAATAGAGTTTTCGGCACGAGACAATGTGAATCACAACCAGTATCCTTCAACACCTGCAGATTTTGCAACCGGTCGTCTGACCATGATTCGCCAATGTTGGCCTCAATTTGCCATGAATGTAGATCCTTGGTGGAAGCCTGGTACCCAAAGTCACCATTTACCAAGTCTCTGGCTGCATCCACAATCTCCAATGCGAGCTCCGGCTGATCAAGGAGTGTCGATAGATGCTCAACTGTACATCATCAGTGTGCAATCTCCTCCATTCACCTGATTTAGTTTCTCTAGTAGCCTTGACAATAGATCACCCAGCTCACCAAGCTGCACTCTAGAGGGTTATAGGTAAAGGAACTTGAGCAGCTCAAAGTAGATAAGACGACCAAAAATTCCTTTTTCAACCATCTATCCCATCTACGTATTCCACAACTTCCTTCAATTGTTTTGAGTTCAGGGAAGATCTTGATTTCTGCTAGTTGACAGATTGAAGAAGAGGAGTTCGGATCTGTTGCAGTATGTTCAAGGAACAGGGTGACAGATCCACGGATAGGACCTGCACCATTATGAAAGACAAGAAACCTAGTAAAGTAATAATTCACACCTCAAAATGTAATGATAAACTTGTTGTGTAATCAACGACAGAACAAGTCGAGAGGCAAGGGGAGAAAGCAACGAAGCACCATTGCTCATTAGAGATCCTCAATCAGTAGTTAGCAGGTACCACAATGAGTTCTGTAAGACGAATGTTGGTAGCAGTGCAGGATTTCTTACCTCAGCGGTAAGGTGCCTTCAACATGCCACTTGGTCTTCTCCCATGCAATTCAGGTCTTACTATATCCCTCTGTGAGAAAACATGAAACAGAGATTAGTATAAGAAAGACACCAGTAAGGCATGAATTTGATATGGCCGGGTGAAAAAGTATAGCTATGCCAGCCAGAAATAATGTTCGTGTACAGACCTACACCTATCATTTCACGAGGAGCCTGATTCATTGCCTTGATTCCTTCAGACACTTTTACCATGTTCGAATTGAAGGGACGTGCCAACTTGCTGTTGCTCACTATTTTCGCCCTCCTGTGAGATTTTAGCCAAAATACCAAGCAAAAGTTACCGTGAATAAGTTTTATATAGGTTATGAGAAACAGCATTGCCGAAAATTTCAAATCCATACCTGATCAATTTTCGCTTTAAAGTACCCGTTTTCAGCTTAGAAATTCCTGCTAGAAACATAAAATGCCACCCTTAATTCTAACAGAACGAAAAAAGTTGGTGTATCTCAGAGACTGAAAAATAGAAAAGCCTCTAGTTGTTCTCACCTGATTTTAGAGCTATACAAGTAGAAGCTGCTTTGCGACTGCCCCTCTCAGCTTTGATGGAAGCAATGAGAGAATCAGCCGTAGGCCCCAAACCTTTTCTTCCAACTAGCTTTACCCCAAGTTTCTCATCTAGATAACTCAACCGCACATCATCACCTCCTCTGACCTCTCTCAGCTCAAGTGCCTGTTGTTTTGATAATAGAGTGTACACATGAAGCTCTTGTTGCTGGTTGAAGTGTGACTGCAGCTGCTTAAAGAGCAACTTATTGGAATGCAGTAGATCCGGCCTAGCACCTTCTTGACTCCTCTTCTGAGGGTCACTTAATGCAACCCTCAAAATTGCTGCTGACTTGGAATCCGAATCATTTCGAGCAAATATAACAGCAAAACTACCAAATTCGATATTAGGCTCCCTAAATAAATCTGCTAGAAGTGAAGCACAAGCATGAGCGTTCTTAAATGGAGTACGATTAAGCTTAATCCTCGAGGATCTAGCACTAGCGAAGTTTGCAATATTAGCAGCTTCCCTTAAGCCAGTAAGAAAAGCTCCATGCATAGTCGCGGGGTACCTCCTAGTGGTGGCTTCCCCAGCAAAGAAAAGTCTTCCATCTCCCACACTTTCTGCCAATATATCATAATCATCTCCGGATGCTCCAACAGCCACGTTGGAATAAGACCCCAGAGAGAAGGAATCACTACCCCATCTTGTACATACAGTTTGTATAGGCTCCGGGACATTGATTCCTCGTGGTTCATAAATACCTGTACGCATTCATGGCAATACCTCATAAATACATCATGATGCATATCCAAGATTGGACTACGATTCCCTTTTCTAGAAACTCATGGTAATGGAAATATTCTCTAAAGTGAATATGGGCAAAATTTCCAAACTAAATATTACTTTCATTGGCAGAACAAAAGCAGCCAATAGCAGCAATGGATCAGTCTGAACACGTTACCTTTAAGAATCTGAAGAACATGAGAGACAGCATCCACTGGAGGCATACTCTCAAACTTTAGGGCAGCTTCTCCAGCTACAAGTGCTAGCAAGAGTGGTCCACCAGAAACAGTGGCATAGCTGTAGAACAAGAAGAACTCCCCTCTTGCGCTTGAATGGCCAGTCAAATGGCCAAATGTATCAAGATCATTTTCCCAAAACACATAAGGGAAAAGCATTGCAACCTTGTTCAATAATCCGTATCCCAACCTCTTTATTCCATCAAGCTTCCTCTGTGGCAATTCTGGAACAAACTTTACTGACCCATTCTTCAGAACACCAAGAGGTACTGTACACAATACCATATCGCCCTCAAAAGTCTGACCCCCAGTAACAACCTGCACACCATCACTACCATACCTGATGGTGTGCACCGTCTTTTCATACAAGATAGGAACATTCTCGGCCAAAGCATGAACCAACCTTCCATTCCCCCCAGGCACAAAACAGTGATCCCCTCCCATATCATATGGATCATCCTGGTCCCAAAATGCTAGGGAAAGTTTTGACAGCAAACCTGCATTGGCATATTCCAAATTTGCACAGTGCCAATTGAACAGGCCCATCTCCTCCTCATTCACAGCATCTCCATATACCTGCCTGAAAGTCTCTAAGGCTGCTCCCAGCGATACATCAACAGAGACATCCCCCATCAACTGCCTCAGCCTGCTTGCCTGATCCAACAATCGATTAAATGCTGCCTCAACCTTCATGTCTGTATCTAGATCAACTGGCTTCCCATCAGGTGCATAAAGAGGACACTTATCAGTCACCTTGTGTAAAGTATGCCCCAATTGCCTTGCCAGAATTCCTAGAGGATTACCCAAAGTTCCAGTCAACACACTTCCTCCTAAATCTGCTGAAGCACTAACTCTATTCGCTCCACCCCCTTCCAATTCCATTTTCTTAGTGTAAACTCTCCCACCGGGCCGTTTCCTCCCTTCCAAAACCGTAACCCTAAACCCTAACCTCATTAACTGCCTGGCCGCAGCCAGCCCAGCCAACCCAGCACCAACGATGATCACCTTCGCCTTACCAAACTCTGAAGGAAACTTTTCTTTGATGGCTTGCGATACCCCAAAATTAATGTACCCGCGGGAAACCAAGTAGTCATAAGCAGAATCCAAGAGTCCATGACAATGTGCCGGCACCGAATTTAAGAACATCTCTTTCGTAATCCAGGCATTTATATTCTCTCGCCATTTCGCAATAATATGGTTTCTAATAAGCGTGTAATTTACCTGCTCGATCCCACCGATCACCGGAAGCACGCCAGCCTCAATTTCCTCCTCCGTCAAAGAATCGGCGGGGAACCCAGCAGAGAGCGCAGTTAACGCCTCCGCTGTGGCTTCTCTGTTTATAACGATGATCTCCTCAGCAATGTCGGTAACAGGCGGCCTTGACGAGCTGGAATTCGGATTAGGGCTAATAATGCTCTCCCCGTTGATGTTGTTCTTAGGCGGTAAAAAGGGAACCTGTGGAAGTCGAAAGGAAGTAGGAGCAGCTGACGCAGAACGAGTGGGCCGGCCACGGCGGCGTTTCTTGGGTACGGAGAAGGAGAGGAATCGGTTGGGGTTAGGAGATGCATCGGAGTCGACGCTTGAAGTTGGGTTCGGGGATGGGGTTGGAATGGCATTGGAGGAAAGGCTAGGAAGAGGAGGGAAATCGACGAATTCTAGCGGTAGGGAGGAAAAATCTTCCGTCGTCGGTGTCGCCGAATTCATCTTCCCGATACTTTTCCCTGCGGTGATCGCAGCGCCGGAGACGGTGGCCGAGCTATCAGTAGTGACGAGGCTGGCGGAGACTGGGCTTCTGTTCGCTGCTTGCTACGTCTTGTTGCCTCCTTGATAGAAAGACTGGGTAGATCCGTAAATGCCTGAACAGCTGAACTTGGTTCTAATTTGTTAATCAGTCCCTACACTTTATTCATTATCAATCCGAACCCTAGACTTTTCCAAATTAATTCAAAGCAAAACACCGAAAAAACACGGTGAAAAATAAAATTGGAGAAAAGAAAATAAAAGAGAGAAAAATCAAAGTTTCAATCCACGTTTCATATACCAGGCCGAGAGCTGGATCGCGCTCCACATTCAGTTCTCTCTGTGTCTGTCTCGGTTTCTCACCATTGTCGTCTTCTAATCTGCTTCTTCTTCCTCTTCGTCTCCTTCTCCTTGTTTCCGGCGAGATTGCTGAATTATTTCCAGTCCAGGGGGTGACGTGACAGCCGCCATCGTCGAAAAGGTGAGTTGCCTGGAACTGTAATCCTCCGAAATCCCTGCCGTCTCTTCCAATTTGTCTTCATTTTCTTCTCCTCACTTCCGCCAGTGAATTCGCGATTCGATAGCGTTTCCTCACCGCAATGAAGTTCGGTGGACAACGGTCGGCTCCTTGTTTTGCCGCCGTTGTCTTTCTCGGCTCCCATGTTGATCTGAATTGGAAGCCGTTTTTGAATTTTCCAATTATGATGCTGGTTGCAGCAATCCTGAAAACGTCATTTCTATCTGGCGGTTTCCGGCATAACAATTGTGGCTTTCGCTTCCAATCTATTAGTCCCTTTGTTCTCTCTAGGATGAGAATTAACTGGTGCTTGGTCATTGCGTACTGGATCTGGAGGCTGTTTCCTTTCTTTTTTTAGTTTTGGCAGCAGAAATTGGCGGCGAGGACAATGAAAATGAAAGACGTAGTTACTGTACTCCCGTCTAGTTTTTTAGAGAATGAATCAGGTTCTTCAATCTTGGTGTTATGAAGTAATGCACTTCTGATTAGTAACTACTCCCTTAGAGTTTGCGGTTGAAATGCTTTCCCTTTGCATACGCTCTTCCAGGTAGTATTTGGCTTAGTATGTACTTCTTAGTGTGTTCACTCTACTTGAACTGGTTTGAGAAGCAGTCTAGAAAAAGTAATCGAACTTGGATGACCAGCATATATGGAAACAAACATAATTATTCGGTTAACTGGTTTGAAGCAAATCGCTGGCTGTGTAAGGTCAATGGCTACGCAGGATGATGCAGATTCTGTGCATTAATGGCCTATCTACATGTTTCATTTCTGTGTTGCTACTTTGAAATGTGTCAAGTTATTAAGCCTTTGGTTTCTTTTTCTTCCAGGGGTAACTATTTGCTGGCAGAAGAAGAAATAGGATTTTCGCATGAATTGATTGCAACCAATCTGTTGATGCATAAGGACCAGGATGGGGATTTTTGATGGATTGCCAGTTCCACCTGATAAAGAGGTAAGTTGTAATTAAAATTTTCCCTTAGAATAATATAACTATCGGGAAATAAATCAAAAAGCATTAGACATTGATTCTTTCGTGTGCTAGCAACAAACAATGAGAAAGGAGTTGTATTGAGGTGATAATGTTGGAACTTTTATCATCTCTTGAAATATGATTCTTGTTCCAAAAGTGATCTGATTGAGTGGTTGATCTTATTGTGTTTCTGCAATCAATCATGAAGGTAATGTCATGTAATAAGTACTGATGCAGCATTATAATTGTGTCTACTTGTTTCTTGCTCATCATTTCTGGAAAAAAGCAATCATGAAGTGAGGAGCCAAGACTCTTACATATTCAGCTGCTTTCACTGATGTAATATTAAAATTTCAATTAGTTTTATCTTGCTCTTACTTCTCACCAAATTTTCTTTTGTCTTTGATGTAGTATTTAAGGGACGAGCTTTTGAAAATCGATGAGAGTTGGGCTGTTCCTCGTTTTGACACCTTGCCTCATGTGGTTCATATTCTAACATCAAGAGATCGTGAAAATGAGCTCCACTATTTGAAGGAGCAAAGAGATATAGTTGAGGAGGTTGTGGATGAAGTTGTGCATGCTTATCACAGTGGCTTCAATAAAGCCATCCAAAACTACTCTCAGGTGCATTTCATTCTGTTTCCTGCTCATTAACGATGCTGCTTATCTGCCAAGCTTCTCAGGAAATTCCACACCTTGCGTTTGTATATCCACATTGATAAATAAATGCTCAAAGATACTGCCTGCAACTGCTGTCTCCCCCCCCCCCCCCCCCCCCCCCCCCCCCCCCCCCCCCCCCCCCCCCCCCCCCCCCCCCCACCCCCCCCCCCCCCCCCCCCCCCCCCCCCCCCCCCCCCCCCCCCCCCCCCCCCCCCCCCCCCCCCCCCCCCCCCCCCCCCCCCCCCCCCCCCCCCCCCCCCCCCCCCCCCCCCTTCTCCCTTTGTACCTCTATCTTAGGTTGGATTGGTAACATTATTAGAATCTGATGGATGAAAATTTCTACTTAATAGCCTTTGGTTCCAAAGATGCAGCAGATATACCTTTTTCCTTTCCGGTGGATCATATTTATGGTGCCCTATTAATTGGCATGAGCCTCTACCTGGATGGAAAACAGTCAAAATATAAAATTTCTTCCTATGAGATACTGATTTTTCTTAAAGGCCTATTGCAATCTCTGGTCACCTGGATAGGATGTTACACCTATTTTGTTAGATCCTGTCATGCGGTATCCAATTTTTCTGTTTTGACAGCCCTTTGCTGCAGAAGGAATCGTCGCCCTTCTGAAACCAATCAAGTCATCTGATTGTTGTTTTTTTTTTTTTTGCTTTCGGCTGCGGACGATGAACTAGGCGATTGTCATATAATGCTTTTTTGCAATGCCATGGTTATTTCTGTTGTTAAACGATTGCTATTCCATACATAGCCATGATGTACACATTCCCCAAACCAAATAAATTATCTGACGGTTCATTATGCTTGAAATGTACTCTGAGCAGTCATAGTAATGTGAAATTGGTCATTCCTCTCTGGCTACAGAATATTATGGAAAATAACTCCATCGTGCCGTTTTCATCTCTCTTCAGATTTTGAAGTTGTTCAGTGATTCTGCTGAAAGTATTCGCACACTGAAAATTGATTTGGCTGAGTCAAAGAAGCGTCTTGGTGCTCGAAACAAGCAATTACATCAGCTATGGTCTCGATCTGTCACACTAAGGCACATTATTGCATTGTTAGATCAAATCGAGAGCATAGCTAAGGTAAATATGAATCTACCGTCAATTGACTAAGTTGTTACATATTTTTAAGCTGTCAATTTAGGGATACCCTTGCTTTTCTCTCTTCACTCTTCTGCGCCACTGGCGTATAAAACACCTCCTGTTTGTAAGGTGTGATTATTCAAGGATTGACTTTTGTTTTTGCATCATGAATAGGTTCCAGCACATATTGAGAAACTCATTGCTGAGAAACAGTTTTATGCAGCCATTCAATCACTTATTCAGTCATCCTTGATGCTTGAACGAGAAGGTCTTCAGACGGTAATGTTTTACAACTTCTGGAGTCTGTACTTTGTAGTTTGAGTAAAGAGTTTGTGTTGTACTTCTCGCATTGCTACCATGCAAAGTGTAGAAGAATTTATTGGAGTCCAATTCTTGTTAAGTGCTCGACTCGGAGTCCAAAATACAAGTGGAGAACTGCTCCTTGGTCTTTGAAGCGTATCCTTGAACATTATTCCGCTTTGATTGTGTTCACCCAATTTCAGTCAGGAAACTAAAGCCTGTCATTGTCACTTGATCTTGGCATCTAACTCAGGGTATATCATACTTCAACCATGTTAAGTGTAGATGACGTTATTCTAGTCGAACTCTTGTTAATTCAAGTGCTTGATGCCTATTCCACATTAAAAACAGAAAATTGATCCGTGGTCTCTGGTGCTTATCCTTGAATGTTGTTCTGCTTTGATTGTGTCTGCTCAACCTGAGTCTGATAAGTGTAGCCTGTCCACACCCATAACTTTTGTCAGTTGACTGTAGCAGCTAATCTGGGTATATCATACCAGATGACTAGTTTTTCTTCTAATATGCTATCATATAATATATCTGTCAACATACTTAGTTTCTCAAAATAATATGTTATGTTAGTGTTAGTGTCTGGAACCTCCTGAAATCAACGAGAACCTTGAAACGTTTCGAATGTAACTCAGGTTGGTGCTCTTCAAGATGTAAAATCTGAGTTGTCCAAGTTGAAAGGAGTTCTCTTTTTCAGAATTGTGGAGGATTTGCATGCACATCTTTACAATAAGGGAGAACATAGGTATAATATATTTTTTTCCTCCTACCATCTCATTTCCTTATTGCGAGAGTGGACATGTAAGGTGGAGGTGTACCATCTGGCACTTTTGTTGTAGCCTTCTTTCCTGATGCTCGTGTCCCTTTATGGGGTTTGAATGGTATGCTTACTTGTCTGACTAATGGTGACATAGTCTTGTCTCATATTTCCTTATAGTGATAGAAAAAACAGTTGTTCATTTGATTCTTCACCTCTGTTATATGCTTTTTTTTCCATTACGTAATGTATTGGTTTGCATTCTCAATTATTCAATGACTGCTCAGTGTATGTATTCTTGATTTTCTTCCCCTTGTTCTCTTCTCTCGCTACCTCTTGTACTGTTCAAGATACAATGGGCCTGAGACAAATAGACTCCTTTGAGGTTTTGGAAGGAAGAAAAGTTTGAAGTCTGGAAGAGTTATCTAGTTCCAGTTAAGTTTACCTATGGCTTATGACATTAGGGAGATGTCTTGCCGTGCTAGGAAGAATTCCATCAGCTTTTGGTTTTACTTCGCACTTCTTTTTCAACAATCTGTTGATGTCAAGCTGATTTGCTGATAGGGCGAGAGTCGTCTGCCTCATATTTGAGGGAAATGTTAAATTCTGCTGGGAAGTTGTTCATTGCTAGCTAATCAGATTTATTGGTACTTCTTTATTTTGATCCAGCTCATGCTGTACTACAGAATATTGTTGTCTTTAGCCTGATTTTTTTCTGCAGCTCAGTGGTGGCTACCATGGATGAAAGAGAGGATGACCTGCCAACCATTACTGCTGCTGCCTATACAATGAATGGCTCACAATCCTTGTCCCGAAGGACCAGAATGATCAAAGGAGAAAATCATGGACAGACAGATGGATCTCTTAGGTAAGGTGTAGGTGATGGTTAAGAATAGTGTTGGAGCTTGATTAGTGTTGGGTCTGCAGTTTTTTACTCTGTGCAAATGCCTATTGAAACGGTTTACAAGTTAAGTTCTGCCGTCAGTGTCTTGCTTTTGTGTCTTATATCTGCATAGCAGATCTCTTGATGATAACTCTTATGTGCTTTTCTCAAACCAGTTAAAATGTATGATTTTTAAATATACATGTTATTCAATATTTTCGTCCAATTCATTCAACCATTTAAATCTTCTTTTTGTTGTTTACTGCATGATGGTCTTTTATTTCAATGTGTTACTATAGTTTTGCTTACTTCATGTACTTTGATGGGCTTGCATTGCATTACTTACAATTGTTCCTTGCATGTCAGTTTTTGGTAAAATTCCTGCTTTAGTTGGATTGGCATATTAGACTCTGTATTCAGGTTCAGTACAAATATTGAATTTCTGACTTTCCAATGTTGACTTGTACTAGCCCAATCAATTTCCATGTGATAGCCCAGTTTTTGTTCATCTAGCTCTCTGTACTTACATCTGCTATTGTCCTCAGTTCTTCATTTGAGGCCATGATGAGGATGGTTCTATTGAATTGCATGATGAGGCAACTTCAGATGGACATGCTCGAGGAAATGGTGGTGAAGGGATCACGAAGGATGCTAAAGCTGGATTACGCCAGATACCCAGTTGGCTTTTACATTCCACACCTGATGAATTCATTGTATGAACCGAGTAGCTGAGTGGTTCATGACTTGTGTGACATTCCTTTACGGTTTCCTATTTTTGTGGCTGAACATTTTCGTTTTTCCTGCTGAATTAGGAAACCATCAGAAAGAGTGATGCTCCACTTCATGTAAAGTATTTGCAAACTCTGGTTGAGTGTCTCCGCATGCTGGGCAAAGTAGCAGCTTCGGGTGCAATGATATGGTTCGTTAACTGACTGTTCACTTACTTGAATGCATTTCCTTGTGCATACATGCACTTCACCACTTCCCATATGAAAAAAAGAATTCAACTCAATCCTGGCATTTTTCAATTTCAGCTAGTCATGTATACCACCCCTGTAGTGTTCGTTAGGCTTCAAACTTTGCACTTCTTGGTTCTGGTGTGTAACTTGACCATGATCTAATTCATAAAAAAAGAAACCATGATCTTAGCTTGAAAGTTTATATGCATGGCTAGAGTTCAGTTCACAGAAGACTGAAACTGTGTTTTATCAATCAAGTACATGCAGAGTAAACTGTACGGTTTATGGTATATTATGTGCAACTTGATCTGGTTTCTGTTGGATGCGTAAGTGAAGTATTTGGTTTTCTTTTCTGACAGCCAGAGACTGCGCCCCACTATTCACGATATTATCACTTCGAAAATCAAAGCTTATGCAGAACTAGCCAATGCTTCGAAGTCTGGCATTGGTGAGGCTGCTGAAACTGATGATACCGGCCTTCAGTTTATCAAAGTGCATGTAGAAAGCTACCAGTTAACGAAGAAGAAGCAGCAGAATGGGATATCACTGGCTGGGACTCTACTGCAAGTGAGCCCTGTATCTCCTGTTATGGCTCCCACTGGCAAAGCGCAGACTGCTGCAAAAGATCTCCTTGATTCGGTTTTGGACACTGTCGTCAGAATATTTGGTTAGATATTGAATGGCATTGATGTCGTGAAACTTTAAAACGTGAATCAAACTAACATCTTTGTCAATCCAGAAAATCATGTTATTGTTGGAGAGCTTCTGGAGTCAAAATCAGTTCATGGTGTTCATTCACACCCCCAGAGTTCATGGCAAACTAATGCGAATTTGAACCCGGGTGCCGGTCCTCAAGCTGGGGGATACAGCATGGGCTTTTCATTGACTGTTTTTCAGGTTCATATAGATATATTCTTGATATAGCCATACGCTCTTTTAAGATTCCATATCTAAGCTCTTGGCTAAATTATTTTCTTATATTTCTTTCCGGTTTCTTTACTGTTTGCCAAAGAGCGAATGTCAACAACTTATCTGTGAAATTCTGCGAGCAACTCCAGAAGCTGCATCAGCAGATGCTGCTACACAGACTCTGCGACTTGGAAGCAAGGCCCCTTCCAATGACAATAGGTGACACCCTTTTTGTGATACAATTTGGTGTCATTCTATCACTCTCTTTTTCTTGTGATCTGTCTGTATCTCTTTTATTATACTGTGGTTTCTGTACCAAATGGCGAGAACTATGAGATGTAGCCAGGAGGCCAGGGAGAGTGACTGCTTTAGCATGATTGTTAATGATTTTCAGGAATGGGTCAGAAGATGGTCTTACATTTGCCTTTCGATTTACAGATTCTACTATTCCTAATCAGGGTATGTTGAAGTTACCTCTGCCTTGCTATCTGAAGTTCTCGAACGCTACCATATTGCAATTTTGTATTCAAAGCTGTCTCAAAGACCTATTGTAATCCTATTCGAATAAACTTGAGCAAGGGTTTGCTATTGAGTCAGTCTCTAATATTATGATGAAGCACTGTCGTCCAAGCATCAAGATTCTAAATTACAGAAGGAAACTGCTCTGCTGGTGTGTTGAAATCCTTTTAATCTGTGTTATCTTGTTCAGGTGTTGATCTTGTTCGGCAGGGCTGGAATAGGAAGGGCCCGAATGTCCCGCAAGAAGGTTATGGCTCTGCCGCTGTCTTGCCTGAGCAAGGCATATATCTAGCCGCATCTATATATCGGCCTGTTGTGCAGGTTTGGGGATGTGAACTTTGTACTTGAGAGCCATGTAATATACTCTTCATCACCGTTTTATAAGTCAGATCCGTCTGTTCTGCAGTTTACAGATAAGATTGCTTCTATGATGCCACAAAAACATTCCCAGCTTGGGTAAGTATATTCCATTTATAACTTGCCATCATCATGTTTTGAGCTTATTTGTCAGTTGGCCAATTTCTCCTATCTTTATGTATGTTCATTTGGTATGAACATGTTCATAGGAATGATGGGCTGCTGGCTTTCATGGAGAATTTTATCAAGGACCATTTTCTACCAGCCATGTTCGTGGACTACCGTAAAGCCGTACAGCAAGCTATATCAAGTACGTTCTGTTCTGTAACATTGAGCCTGCTTCTCAAGGGTCTAATAGCCATTCATTAAGTTGGCTGCTGCATTTTGTGTTGCTTTGCTGAGGATTAGGAGAAGAGGTTATGATTGTATGGATGTTTTTTTGTCACTTATTTTTTAGAGAGACAATTGTACTGAATTCTATCCAGTTACCCAGCTACCTTAATCCAAATAGGACAGCTCGTGAAAACTGAAAACTGGATCAGTTGTTGGATAGTTAGATTTGCAGCCGAGTGGTCCATAAGCATTTTTCTTAAACGACTTTCCGTAGAGCACTCAAACTGTGGGGTCCGAAATGCATTATAATTCAAGGGACCAGTATAATTCAAGTCATTCTGCTGCTGCAAACAGTGTTATTTATGCTTGCCACAGTTGGTTTTCCTTTTAAAATTGAAGCATGAGAACCTTATTCACAAAGGTATAAAAACAAAGTAATCTTAAGATGTAGAAGTTGTATCGAGAGAACCAACGGAATGAAGTACAACTGACCCTTTTGAATGGCACTTCTGTTGTTCATAGTTCAAGTGTCAACAATTATGGATATCTAGAGAAAGCCTTCTCTCTTGTTTGTTTCTCTGTCTTATTTCATGTTCGTCACAGGCCCAGCTGCATTTCGCCCGCGGTCTGCAGCCGCAACTACTTACACCCCATCCGTTGAGAAAGGTCGGCCTGTCTTGCAGGGGCTCTTGGCAATTGATTTCCTGGCAAAAGAGGTAAGTACGCTATTGCTCTCTTTTCACCTCGGCCAGTGCTTAGCCAGTCCCTCGATTGATGGCTGAACCACGGCATATGCCGCTAAGAACTTGAAAGAAGATTAGTTTCCTGTGTGTTAGTTCCACCAGTATTGGCAAGATATGGATAGTGAAGCCTTCCTGTTATTGGCACAGTAGCATGTTGCAAGTTGATGACCCCTTCTTACTGCAGGTGCTTGGTTGGGCTCAAGCAATGCCTAAATTTGCAAGTGACCTCGTGAAGAATTTGCAAGCATACCTGGAACGAACATACGAAAGATGCCGCACATCCTACATGGAGGTATGGATTTATTCCTTTTGATTTGATATTTACTGATCCTCTTCTACTCCTATTCATGAATCTATATGAAGTTCTAAAACTGCAGCCTACTCTGTCATGTTCCATCATTCATTATTTTAGGAGGTTTGCTCTGTTATTTTGTGATCTGTTCCTATGCTAAAGGAATTTTGTATTCTTAAGATCTACTGTAATGGCCTCTTTCATTATAGACCCACGACATAACTGAAGAGCCTAGTAGTTTGAGAGCTTTATTTGTCCTCATATTGGAGAGGTTAGCTGAAACTAGTTGCTTCTTGCTGACATGTGCTTGCCACTTCTGAACACCTTTCTTCTTTGACTACCTGAACAACCCATGTCATTTTTCTTTTTTTTTTCTATGTAATGCATCAGGCAGTTCTTGAGAAGCAAAGCTACATGCTGATTGGGAGGTACGATATAGAGAAATTGATGCGACGTGATCCAGCAAGTTCATGCTTACCTCGTTCACTTGGCCATTCAGAGTCAACCATGGTAAACAATGCTTCAGATGCAGAGTCGGTTGAGATTGAGTCAGAACTGAGTAGCCTGCTATTGAATTTGCGCCCAATCAGACAGGTATTTTGTTGTTTGCGGGTCTATCAGTTAAAACACATTGCTATTCAGTATTCATGAGGTGCTACGGTTGACTTAATCACCAACTTTTTAACTGTTTATTTTGTAAGCAAGTATCATCTGAATTCTCATTTTACAGGACAATCTGATTCGCGACGATAACAAACTCATTTTGCTTGCATCTCTTAGTGATTCTTTGGAGTATGTTGCTGATTCAATTGAAAGGCAAGACTCTTTGATGTAGTCTTTGACATTCAATTTGTATTTCTATTGACTAGACTCCACTGAGAAAATGAAGAGCAGGGGTATATGTTCCTCCTATTTTTTGCACATGTTTTTTTAATGACCACCTTGCTGATCTGGACAAATTATTTGTTGGCACGTAGGCTTGGTCAGTCCAACATGCGTGCTGCAAAGCAAGTAGGAGAGAGAGGGAAGAATCTGGCTTCATTCGCGGATGACTATAGGAAACTAGCAATTGACTGTCTTAAGGTTTTACGCGTGGAGATGCAGTTGGAGACCGTATTCCATTTGCAGGTTTGTAATGGCAAACGTATCTGACTGTCATTTTTGGGCCAACTGAGATTGTGTTTCTGAGTTTTGTTTCACGCTTCATATGTTAAATCAAAACAGGAAATGACAAATAGAGAGTACTTGGAGGACCAGGATGCAGAAGAGCCAGATGATTTTATAATATCTCTCACTGCAAAGGTTAGGTTTACAGATGCCTATCCCGGTTATTATTAGCTGGAAGCTGTTGCCCTTCCCTATCTGTCTTTAATTTGTAGTATATTTGCCTTAGTTTTAACTGAATTGCATTTTTGTTGGAACTTGGACTTCTCGGGGTGAGTTGGGTTCAAGTAGATTTATTTTTCTAACCTGATCTCTCTTAGTGGACTATTACTTTTGGGCAAGAATTTTTAAGTGGACTTGGTGTTGAAGGATGTTGCCTTAGTCATTCAGGTTCTTTGTATTATAGTACATGATTACATGCAGGAGTGTCTGTTTTCCCTTCTATAGTTATAGCCTTCGAATATGAGATGTTTTGGTGATCGGACACGTGTGTATTTGATATATGTTCTAGAGGTAGACGTAATTCAGGTTTCACTAGCTAACCTACCTATCCGAACTTCTTGCCCGCTAAGTTAGTTGCAGTGGGTCCCAAATGCACCTGCAGGGCTGTTTCAGGCATTGTGATATACTTTTTCCCTTGAAATCTGATTTATAGTATCTATTGTTATGTGATTCAGATAACACGCCGGGATGAAGAAATGGCACCTTTTGTTGCACCAGTAAAGCGAAACTACATATTTGGTGGAATATGCAGTGTTGCTTCAAATGCGTCTATCAAGGTCTGGTTCCTTGCTCGTCCTGAAAATTGCATGGATTTTTGTGGGACTTCCAGTTTTTAGCTTCGGGCTTCTCAGTTCATTTTATTTCTCGCCACTGAAAGAGGATTGCAACGTTTCAACAGGTTCTTGCTGATCTGAGGTCTATCAACCTTTTCGGCGTTCAACAGATTTGCCGAAATTCAATAGCATTGGAGCAGGTGAAATCCCTCCCCTACTGCTGATTTGAGCCCATGTATACATTTGTCCAAGTTGATAAAAACGATTTTAGATTTACTCGCACAATTATCTGCAACTTATTGGTGCCAAATCTATTCCGAAAGTTGTGATTAGAAAAAGTTAGATGACATGAAATGGGTCTTTTCTTAATACCATGCTGTTATTTTGTATGTTAGGCCCTTGCAGTTATTCCATCAATCAACAGTGAATCTGTACAGCAGAAGCTGGACCGCGTCAGAACATATTACGAACTATTAAACATGCCCTTTGAGGTAAGCCAGCTAGTTTCCCTTTTTGCCTGTAGACATTTTTTCCTTACTTACCATACCTAATAACCTTGTGGGTAATCTGCATCTTCCAGGCTTTGCTTGCTTTCATTGCGGAGCACGAGCACTTGTTTACAGCTAAAGAGTCAGTTTGCTGCAACTTATAATAAAACTACCCATCACAAGCAGCTTTTTTTTCTTTGTAAATATTGCTAATGCCTGCACTTGTGCCTTGTCTCTGCAGATATGGTTATCTGTTGAAGGTTAAGGTCCCTGGAAGAGAGGTTCCCCCTGATGCACAACATCGTGTTTCAGCCATCCTATCTCGATAGCACTTCAGCCGATTGATCGATGGGGTTCCAAGTTCTCTGCTGCGCGATGTATAGAAAGGGGCCTATTTAACTTTCGAAGAACGGATTGAACCACCCCCATGGCAAGGTGCTGAAAGAGATGCGATAGATATATGATATATCTTACGGTGTGCTTGCCGGATTCTGCCGATTTTCACGTGCATGCTGGATATAGGGTTTTCTGGTCTGTCTTCTCAACTGTAATTTCTTCTGCTGTAAGCATGCACTTGGTAGTTGGTATGGTTTTATTTCCCTCTCTTTTGCTCGCTTGCTTAGGGTAAATCTGCTTAATTCATTACGGTTAGGAACAGTGGGATTTAATCAGTTGCTCGACGTTTCGTTTCTGTAATATCGTTGTTTGTAAGTATATCATCCATAAAACGTATCACTCGCCTGCTTCTGGTTTTCTAATTGGAAGCTACACCACCAGAAACTGCAATCTTCCCTTTCAAACAGTTCGGTTATTCTTCAACAGCGTGAAATGAATAGGTCGGAAATTCGGAATGTTAACTACAACTCTCCCAACTCCTGCACAGACTAATCTTCCTCCTAACGATATGAACGTTAAATGTCGCGTAGTTATGAAAATGAATTGGACGGAAAAAAATAGAAAGAGTAATGCAATGTTGATTTGATTAGTCACATGAATGTAATTTACTGTACTAAAACATCATCAGGAGAGCATAATCGTGTATTGTGTGGGCTTAAGCGTGCAAAAGCATGGCCTTGGAGTTAGTAATCGGTACCAAGATTGTCAAACTGGTTTAACCTGTTGAATCGGTGAACAAATGATTTGAGTTCATTGGTCGAATCGGGGTTTAACCGGTATAAGTCATATTATACATAATTATTATGTATATAATAATTTAAGATTTTAATAACCTGAATTATAATAATTTAACAATTATTATATTATCTTACCGTAAAAGTTGTATATATTTGCTTTGTTTTTCATAAATCATAATAATTAAAAAGGTTCGAGAGAGGATCAAAATTCAAACCGCATCATTCTATATAAGAATCCAAAACTAGGCAATCCGACTAGACCACTATTTTTTATTATTATTATTATTATTATTATTTTATTTTTTACCGGCTATTGGTTTAGATGAAAACCGACTTTCTGTAGGCCGTTTTCAGCACTGGCTCCAATTGGACCTGAGCCAACCGGTCGGCCTGCTTGACAAAAACTGGTCAGTACAACACATTTGTTCATTATTTACACGAGAAGCCCCGGCCGACGGCTCAAGATAGGGTGCATAACCATGGGTTATGCACCCATCAATAACCAAATCTGGACCCTTCATTTAGAAAATCCAGATCTAAGGATGGAGAATTAAAGACTATTTTTATTTTCACTAGCTTTCTTAATTGACTCATATCTTTTTCGTTTTAACTCGGATTTTAATTTTTTTTGCACAGATGGAACGAGTTCACCGTGCTCTACAAAATGAGATCAATTTTCAATATTTTTTTAGGAAAAAAAAATTCTGGCCTCTCGGTACCAACTGCATACCATATGGTATCTTCTTCGTTTTTAATTCGTTTTTGAAAACGTTTGCACAGCAGGGATGAGTTCATCATGATCTACTGGATCTACAAATTTCTGGGTGAACAAATTACAGGACAAAAAAATACCACACAATACCATACAATACCACCCTGGTACGGGGTGGTATTGTTTGGTATCTTCTTCGTTTTTAATTCGTTTTTTAAAACGTTTGCACAGAAGGGACGAGTTCATCATGATCTATTGGATCTACAAATTTCTGGGTGAACAAATTACAGGACCAAAAAATACCACACAATACCATACAATTCCACCCTGGTACGGGGTGGTATTGTGTGGTATACAATGTTAAAAGTCGTAAATTACAATTAATATACTTCTACTATCATGTATTCAACCATCCTACAGTATTGGTTTGTTCATACCACCATGGTACGTTTTTCAAAACATAGGTATGCTTTTATTTCAATACCAGTCAATACCATATGGTATGGGCTTGTAAAAAATGGCTCAATTTTTTTTGTTCGAAAAATATATTAAAGTGGATATCATTTTGAAGAGCACAATTAATCTGATCTAACTGTGTAAAAAAAATTAATTTTCGACTTAAAATGAGCGAGAAATCATCCGTCAAAGATTAAAGAGGGAAAAATTAAAGGTTTTCCATGAGAGAGAGGATGTTGATGTCATGCTGATGTGGACGGGTTACTCATGGTTACTCACCATAAAGTTACTGACCTGATCCATTCCCCCGGCCGACCGAGTCATCAACCGGTGGGCCCCACAAGATAATATGGCCTAGGGTTTTCTGTTGGGAATAAGCACCAACAAGGATAGAAAGGAGAAAACTGTAAAGTATAAACCCTAAATCTTGGCTGGTAAACCTCCCTCACTCTCGGAACTTCTCTGATTAGCTCCTCCACCCAGCCGGAAAAAAACCAACTTCGATCGTCGTGTGAACTTTTGAGGAGAGCCAGGACCTCGACACATCCTTGAGACGACATGGACAAGAATATGCTCGCTGGGCTTGAAGGTATGCCCGAAGAAGACAAGATGCGAATGGCCTCCATGATCGACCAGCTCCAAATCCGCGACAGGTCATTTCCCTCCCTCCCTTTCTGCTTTAGTTTTCTATCCGTAGTATTGAATTTCCAGTTCTAGAGAATGTAGATGGCCCTTCCCGTGGTTTCGCTAGAGTATCTGATTCGTACTTGTACTTGGGGCAAAATTCTGATTTGGTTGGATGAATTACGGTCTCGTACTGCTGCCTGCTTGAACGTCTCTCGCTCTTTGGTATTCTTACGAATTAACAGTTTGACCAGTATCACCTTTAGATTTTTCCATCAGCTTCACATGTAACAGATGTTTGGAGATGTCTCAGAGAGATGTTTCTCTGAATTGCTGGTGACATTTTCGGTGGTGTGAAGCCAGACTGATTCTGTATGTTCTCCTTTAAAACCAATGCAGCAATCTCTGTTGCACTTGGACGTTTTGGGAACAACATTTGCTACTGCGGTTTTACATACTTTTCTATTCTCGGTCTTTTCTTGGGTGTAAATGTAGGTGGAAATGTGGGTTGCAGAGAAGGTGATCTCTGTTAGGGATCAACCCCATCTAGGGTTAAAGGTTGATGTCTGTTAGATGCAGTAAGTCCCTGTGCTTCTTGATTTAGTGAAGCTTCACATCTCAGAGATGTTGGGAGATGTCGCGGAGAGATAATTCTCTAAATTTCTGGTGACATTTTTGGTGGAGTGAAGCCAGTGTGATTATGTATGTTCTCCTTTCAATACCAATGCAGCTATCTCTGTTGCACTTGGACGTTTTGGGAACAACATTCAATACTGCTGTTTACGTATTTTACTATTCTTGCCTGGTTCTGTGGGGTGTGAAATGTAGTTGAGAAGGTGGGTTGAGAAGATGGTAAAATCTGTTGGGAGTGAATCCATTTTGGAAAATGGTTCATCTCTATGAGATGCAAGCTAGTTTTCATGCTTCTTGATTTTCTAAAATTCAGTGCTGTGTTTCTCTTCTTAGTTGTCTACTGCTAAATCACCACCACCAATTTGCTTTAAGTTCTGTTCTCACCACCACCAAATCAATGTTTTGCTTCCTGCAGTTTGAAGATGTACAACTCGCTTGTGGAGAGGTGCTTTACCGACTGCGTGGATGACTTCACCCGCAAATCTCTCAAGAAGCAAGAGGAAAGTTGTGTGGCAAGATGTGCCGAGAAGTTCTTGAAGCATTCAATGCGTGTTGGGATGAGGTTTGCGGAGCTCAACCAAGGAGCTGCCACTCCAGATAACTAACCATGGGTTGCCCATTGCCTTGAATCTGTTTCTGTAGCTCCATTGAATAGATCTTAGTTCTTTGATTACTGTATTTTTCAAGTTTTCCCAAGCGAGAACCAGAACACAGTACGTGAGCTTTATGTCTCCATTCCTTAGCTTTCATATACTTCGACAGAACTTCGATCATCATAATGTCACAATGCTGGTAAAGTTTCGTGGTCATCGGATTCATATACGATGAAATCTTCTTTCAAACATTCCTGCAGGGTGCTGGACCCATATTTTCTAAGTGTTGTTCGTATCAGTTGAAACCACTTGCCATGAGTTTTGCACTTGATAATCTTCAATCACGTAGTGATTTTGTACCAAAAATATTGAATTAATTTAACTCTGCCAGAAAGGGGAAACGGTTGAGCAAAGAAGCGTACAAGTCAACTGGATCATCTCTACTTGTGGATTACAAATTATGTCTCTTAAAGTACCTGGGTGAAAAGAAAAACCTAGAATGAGATTAGACCAGTATCTTTTCTACTTTTTACAACAATTGTGGATGCATTTTCATAGTCTTTCTAGCAAGGCTGCGAATGTCTTCTCTAGCCGATTCCTGCGATATTCTGACCAGTTCTCTGGACCCTCCACTTGATACGAACTCCTTGACATTCCCCGCTGAAAGTTCAATGAAAAGTTTAACAATCTGCACTTCTTGTTGCAAGTCTTTTCATGATTCAGTGGTGAGTGTAGTAATTAGAGTAGGGTTAAGTTACCATTTTGGGCCAAATGACACAGGGCAAGCTCAACATGGCGTCTCGTAGAGGTAGAAGTCGTGGTGCAATGAGCGATCAGCCACTCCAAAGCGCCTTCATCCATCAGAAGTGAAGGCCCTTTCCTGTGTCCTGTAGTAGTAGATGACAACAATGACATTCTAGTTTCGTCAAACTACACCCATTACACATTGTTTCAGATAGATTCTCTAGTAACTTGTCTGTAAGTTCAATCACACAAACCTTGAAGGGTGGCTCGGGATTCACACTTAGCGAAATTGGCCATTCCTCTGGCGACCTGTGCAACTACATCGTTGTTCCCGCACTTGGCCATTCCTAAGAGTGCCTTTATTGCTCCATCTTCCTTCAACATCAAGTGTAATGTCTCTGACAAACAGAAAGGAAGAATATCAGAGGTGGATGGGATTTGATCAACCAAAAAAATCATTCAAAAGCAGCATAGAGGAAGAGAAATGTTCTTTAGGTGTTATACCATTTCCACATAAGTTGGCAAGGGCACCCGCTACCATTCTGAGGGTCTGTGGGTCGTCTGTTCTAGTTCCTGTGTCCGCCAGTAGCTCAGCGCCACCTTTGCTCATTATCAATCCTTGATTCAGATCTGTCGGGTTAAGAACAAAATTCGTGTTGCATTATGGATTGATTGAATACGGCTGATTCATTGCTGTCATTTCTACTAGGGGAAAGCAATGAAACGCACAAGAGAATCATAACAGTAAAGAATACCGTTCATTGCTAAGTTGGCAATGGCCCCAGAAGCCACTCGAAGTATAGTTGTGTTTAACGAAGATTTCAGCAACATAAGTAAAGCATCTAAACCTCCTTCCTCCACAATCTTCTCTTGATTTATGTCTGCAAATGGTGTATATAAACAGTCTTAGGCTTGTTACATATGATAACAACCCGCAAACTTGAACAGATATGACTGGTCAAGTTACGAAAGGCGAAGGGGGATCTTACGGAAAACAAAACAGAAAAAGGTCTTTACCTTCAGATGCAAGGTTAGCAACCACTTTCACAGCATGGATTTGGACATCAGGGTCATCAGATGCCAATAGCTGCAATATTTTTTGAAGCCCAACTGCAATTTTTAGAGCCGCAATTAGTTCAGATATATATACTTCTCAAGAGACAGGAGATGAAAAGTACAAAAGCTTCTGAAGATGATTTATTCATACCTTCCTCGCACATCTTTGCAATTGATGCCCTCTGACCCGATAGTGTTTCCCGTAGAGGGCCTGACTTGAGTACTCCTGCTGGAAGTTTATTAGCTGAAGAAGGTTTACCAATATTTTCCTTCATGGATGACGTATCCTGCAAGCAATACGATGTGAGGTTAAAATCAAGAAGGAAAGAACAAGTGAAGATGAAAATTTGAATAATGTGCTACCAACCCCGTAACCATTTTCGATTTCAGGTGCGCTCTTCTTTATTTTGGCCAGTTCGTTCTCAACATTCTTCCTTTGCTTCTCTTCCAATTCAAGTCTTTGTTTCAATTCCCGAAGTTCTTCATCTAATCTTGCCTTCAGATATATTGACACAGGTGTTCATTAGATTGCAGAGTCTGGCAGGTGACACACACTTCCCAAGAACAAGCGAAATGGTCTCTACTAGCCATACCTTTTCTTGCAAGACATTTCTGTAATCAGACTTCAAGGATTCAAGCTCAATCTTACTATTCGCATGAAGGTCTGGCACTTCTTCAAACTTTCTCCGGGGTTCGTCCATATCATATGTATCCTGTATTACACACAGTATAAATAAGCACGAGGAGCTAATTATGGAGTTGGGGTCTGCATAATGGTAGTTCATATACTGCAGTACTAGTTTAAATAGATGTGTTGCAAGATGCCAGTAAGACTTCATTGATTGCAGATGAGGCCTTTTCATTTCAGAAGCATATCAATATCAGAAACAAATTAACAATATGAATTGGAAGTCATTAATCAAATCCAAATCTTAGTTTTCAATGAATTTAAACCTGCATTACATTCTTCTGATCACTCGGAGGTTTGGATACCTCCAAATTAGCCTTTTCATCATCATGTTGTTCGATTAACTCCGCTATTCTCTTCTCGTACACCTGTGTAGTTTCTGCAAGTGCTTTCTGGAACGAACAGTTTTCTGCCTCATGTTTCTACTTTGCAATAAACAGAAATCAAAATTAGAGCTTTTTCGCAAGTATGAGTGTCAAAGTAACTGAAAGTTGTAGAGCTTCAAATGAGCTTAAATGGAACATCACCAGATAAATAAACAAAGAACACCATATTATTAAGTGACGCATTGCAGAACACAAATAAATGAAACCATGATGAAAGATGACTTTATGTTGTAACAAGTCCACTCAGAGCTAATAACAACCTGGATTGACTTTTTGCAATCAATTAGGAGCTTGTTAGTTAACTCTAATTGTTCCTCAGCACTGGAAGTATGAGCACGCTCCTCTTCAAGCTCCTTGTTTAACTCCTCTACTTTCTTCTCGTACATTTGAGTGGTTTCTGCAAGTGTCTTCTGATACATAGAGCTTTCCATCTCATGTTGCTGCAAAAAGAAAATACAAGAGCAATTAATCAAATGGGATGACTGTCTAAAGGAGATAGTGTCATAGTGTGACAGAAGAAAAACATACATGCGAAGCCAGAACAAATTGGCGAGAGAGAAGCAATAATATTACAAGTTCACCAACCTTTACTTCTGAATGACGGTCATTTAGGAGTTCCTTCATCATATTTATTTCTTCCTCGGCACTTTCATGTGAAGCATGTTCGTCTTCTAGCTGCTTCTTAAACTCGGCTATTTTCTCCTCATACATTTGAGTGGTTTCAGCAAGCACTTTTTGATATGTCGAATTTTCAAGCTGGTTTAGAACAAAACAAGAAATGGTCCACGTTAACTACAAAACACAAGATACACAGATTCTAATATCTGAGATAACTGATAAGCCTACTTCCCCCTCGGTATGGTTACATTAAGATAAAAGGTCCAGAGGTGGTAAAGACTGAAGATATTCTCCAAGTTATCTTGATTGGTATCGTTAGCATCCATGAAAACATAAATCTTTTTGTGAAATTGTAGACCTGACAAATTATAACCTGACCCGTTGACCCGACCTGTAACCGAAGTTTCCAACCCGAAATTACCCGACCCGATTGCCAGGTCTATGAAATTGAAAAGACAATAGCTACACAGAGTTAAAATGGGAATCACAATGGTGGCCATTAGGATGTATGGAGGAGACCATCAACATGATCGGGAAGCAAGCTCATGAGCTACTTGGAAAACTGAAGTACCTGGCTAAGCCTCAAGCTCATTTCCAGCTGTGCCACCTTATCACGCAGTCCACCATTTTGAGCCTTTTGGTTGTCCAATTCATTTAAGATGTCTTTAATCTGAACCTCCATATGAGTCTTCTCCTTCTCCACGAACTAGTCCAGTGCAGATATTGTAAGCATCATATAAGCACATAATTAACATGGTAAATACTATAAGCAGAGAGCATAATCACCTCAAATTTCATTGCAACATTCTTTAAAGAGTCCCGACATTCATTAACCTGCCTTTCACAATCATATCTTTCAGTAACCCTCAATTTCTGCTCCCTTTCTATTTCCGCGGTTAGCTGGTCTACCAGAATCTGAAGCTTCCGGCATTGTCTTTCATAATCAAACTCTTCTTTAAGTTTCACCATATTTACAATTTTCATTGCCTGCAAGTAGGCAAGCTACTAATGAGTTCCTCGCTAAATTATGATCTCTATAACAGGAAAGATAATCAAGATTACTTTTTAAAGTGTTATTAATTTGATTTTACTCGCAGAATCTTTCATGACTTACCCGCTGTCCGAACAGAACTGTGCTGCTGGTCTCTGCAAGATGTCGTGCAGATGGCCCGATTGTTACAATTAGTGAGGTCCTCGCAGAACCTATATGATTAACAATGCTTATCAGTTTCAATAAGAATGATATATCAACAGAAAAGACAAAAGTTACAGGAAAGTTGAAATTAAGGAATGTTAATTTGACCTCCAAAAGAATCACGCAGTAATCTGGTCAACTTCGAGTCCCTTGTAGGTATATGCGGACTGTTTTCAGCCAAAGCATTTATACATTTCCCAAGGGAAGTCAAAGAAAGATTAATGAACTTTGCCTCCTCAAGTAAGTGACCTTCGCTGCCTGCACAACTAAAAGATAATGATATAAGTTTTCAAGACTAAGAGATTCAGACAATATGCAGTCTCTTGCAGATTGCCATTGTCAAGCTTTCATGTACCTGATTTGTCTACTCTTTCAGAACCGGCAAGATCAACAATTAGCATCTTGCTTTTTCTAATTTTAGAAATGCCATTTCCTTGAGGTAGATCAGACACCACACTGATTTCATCTTCTGATTTC